ACTTATCGCCCATACATAAAAACATCGGAGTTTGCGTAGATGCGTGGCAATGTGGCTATGGGATGTATGGACACCCCTTCGCTCTCAAATGCCTTCCTTGTAGCGAGGGGTGCGCTACATGTAGAGGCTCGGAAGAGAATGACTGCACATCTTGTCACCTCCGGACACACTTCTTTGTTCTTACTGGGTATAACCGTGGCCAATGCATCGAATGTGGAGACACAACCAATCCTAAAGGGATTAATGGTTGTAGAGAATGTAGCGCGAAAGGTGACTCGGTTAGATGCATCGCTTGCAAAGCTGGCTATGTATTAGTTGGTGGCAAGTGCCTGTCCCACTGTGAGGACCCCAATTGCGCGGCGGGTTCGTGCGTGGTGGGAATAGGCGAGAAGCTGTACTGTAGCTTGTGCAAAACAGATGAACACGCGCCTGTGGACGGCATTTGCACTAACGTGGCAAGCGCACACCCCAGTGGCTGCGTGACTGGCGTAGGTTTTGACTCAGCGCGGAGCTGTCTTCAGTGTGGTGCGGGGTATTTCCTGTACATGGGCGGCTGCTACCAGGAGAGCAAGGAGCCCGGAAAAAGCATCTGTACCTGGGCAGGTGTTCCTGGTTACGTTAATGGAAACAACTACGGTCTTGGTCTTTGCAATGCATGTGCCGCCGGCTATGAGAACCAAGACGGCGTCTGCCGCCCCTGTACCACGGTGAACTGCGAGCGGTGCAGGATGGATGACCAGGGGGAGGTGTGCACACACTGCATGGTCGGGTACGTTCTGGATCAGGCAGGCACATGCACCACCAAGACCATGGGTTCATGCACGGTCCCAGATTGCGCCGAGTGTACTGAGGGCAAGAAGTGTCGGCGTTGTGGACCCGGGTTCTTCCTCACCAGTGTGGGGACCTGCGTGGACAACTGCAGAAGCATTCCCGGGCACTACGCACTTGATGCCACGGAGAAGAGCCCCGCAAGGTGCGCTCTGTGTGAGATCTCGAACTGCAAAGAGTGTGGAGCCGGTAATTTTTGCGCTGTGTGCTCGGACGGGTACTTCTCCGACAACGGAGTCTGCACTCCTTGCGACAGCACGTGCGCCACCTGCGTAGCTAAGGGCCCCAGTAGCTGCGTGTCTTGCCCGTCGGGCTACGCGGTAACGTCTGAATCGGGGGTCGGGGAGTGCAAGAAACCGTGTACCCCGTCAGCCGACGGCTGCAAGAGGTGCGACGCGAGCATCGACGGGGCAAGCTACTGCTCTGTATGCAGCGTGCAGACCGCGTTCCCTCTGAACGGCAAATGCGTCGGGCCCTCCGCACGGGCAGGGTCTGCGTGCGTCTCTGTGGTCGACGGCGCCTGCACGAGTTGTGCAGACGGATACTTCCTCCTGTCGGGAGGATGCTACCAGGTGGACACATATCCTGGACGCACCGTCTGCCATGCAGAGGAGAGGGGCGTGTGCACCAAGGGCGCGCACGGAAAGATGGTCAGCGAGTCGGGCATCCTTCAAGAGTGCTCGATCGCAAACTGCGCCGAATGCACGGCCGACGCCTGTGTGAGGTGCAAGCTGGGGTATGTGAGCGTGGACGGCCAGTGCCAGAAATGCGCCCAGGGCTGCGTCACCTGCATTGCCCCGGACAATCCGCAGATGTGCACCCTCTGTGACACAGGGTACTACCAGTCGACAACTGGATCGGCGTTCACATGCACAGCGTGCGGTGCGGACAACAACGGCATGAAAGGGGTCAACGGATGCACTTGCTGCATGCCTCCTGAGGGCAAGGTCGGATCCGTCCTCTGCTACTCCTTTGATGCGCTCCCGAGCATCATTCCGACGCCCAAGCCCGGCCCAGATCCAGTCCCAGATCCGGTTCCAGCCCCAGCCCCGAGCTCGGCAAGGAAGACGGCCATGATAGCCGGGGTATCCGTAACAGCAATCCTCCTTGTCACAGGCCTGGTCAGTTTTCTCCTGTGGTGGTTCCTGTGCAAGCGCACATAATTTTGCAGGATGAAGTAAATTGCCGTGAAGTATGACCTTAGTTTTACTTCGTCTCGCGTGACGGGCTCTCCGGCTGCGGCTCAGGCTTAGATCTATAACTCCAGGCGCCTGTGGCTAGAACACCGTGAAAGAATCCGTTGATCGGCTTATACAGTAGATTATATCATCACTGGCACCGTGAGCCTAAACAGCATGGCTTTTGCTCTGGTTCGCGCCAGCCTACCATAGACGATTTACATATGTATGATCATCACATAGAATTCCGCGCCAGAAGCCATCTAGCTTGGAGTTCAGCGATGGGTTTCTATGGTTTCAAGGAAAGGTAAAGCACCTTATGCATCCAAGAAAATTCTGAGCAAGATCACTACAATTGAAGTCGCTATAGCTTCTTTTACAGTTATCTTACCAATAGCTGGTGTCCGACTCCCCACACAAGTGGCCTGTCTCTTTAAATGCGTAGAAGGTTGAAATAGCTAACTCGCAAGGACGATTTCTACAAGCTCTTGAAACTATGTGTTGTGATAAATCTCTGGTGTATGCTCTGTCTGTCCTATCGATGTATGTGATACAGAGCTGGAGTTCGGCCTATGTCACGTCGAAGACATAGTCACTTCCACGAACACAGTAAGGGAATGGAGGGACTTTCGCTATGTCAAGCTTCTTGGACTGGCAATCAATTCAGCAGATAAAACATTCGAAGATATTATTATCTATCTTTCCAGGCCCTTTTACCCCACAAGCATCCACCTCGAGTCTATGTTGTTTCCACACCAGGTATTTGCTAAGCAAGGCTAACGTGCACTCTCAACTGCTACGGAAGCATTCCTTATTGTGCCAGTCAGGCCCCTCAATGAATGTGCAGATAAATGGTAGATGATATGAGCAGGCGTTGCTTAGATAGTTAAACTGGAGCCCATCTAGTATCGGGACACGGTCAAGATAACGATATTCCAAAGCACCCTGTTACCAGGGGCCCTGTGACATAGCATACGGTTCCTTCTGCTGCACCATAGTACAATGGCTGTAATCTAAAAAACCATGAAGTAAGATGCTGAATTGTAAAGTGACCTTGACTTTAGAAACCACAGACGGAGCACAGTTCTCTTCGTATAAGTGAGGCGACAGAGCAGAGCGAACGCCTATTGATGGAGGCCATTCACCTTGGCATGGACAATGAATTTGTTGTTCAACACACCATGACGCTACCTTATAGCTTAAATATACGTATCAACAGACTTTTGTGATGACCAGATAAACATAGAGCAAACAAGTGTGGTATTAGAAGAAGTCCCGGTGCCTTCCCTTGTAGCAAATCACTAACAGAGAACGTTAACCGGGGTTCAATACCAAAAACAGGAGCTGTCATATCGCTTGTAGTCGTTGCCCTCTTCCTTTAGCTAGGTAGTTAGCAAGAGTGCCGACACTTTTCTTAAAAGCTGCGTCAATCTCACACAGATACAGCCTTTGACTCGAAGATGCCTTGATGCTACATCTTAGTACACATGTTCACAGGTCCGTCCAGATGTTGCGACCTAAAGAGACGTAAAAGGGGCCATGCTTAAGCGTCACATGAGGTACAGTATGTCATGCTAGAAAAGAACCTTGCATATTGAATTGCCAGAGCCCGCTTACAGACGTAAGCCAAGAGTCCTAAGGATAAACACGCTTTATCTACCGATATATCCGAAGACAGAGATAGGTCGGTGATTAAGCTGTGGGACTCCTCGCCAATTTATGCCCTGGTTCTAATGGGTCTTCTTGGAGCTTCAGACAGTACCTTCGTCCCCCACACTATGCGTCTCTATCGTTATTCAGTCGTGTATCCTTCTCGTCATCTCAGGGTGGCCTTCGGCTATAATTTGTTCGTGACTAGTCTTTTTCTTAATCATTTTAGCTTGACTTGGGAAAAGCACCACCGCCAATTAGAAGTAGGTTGACAACAATAATCGTACTGAGTGGCCACATTCCCAAAGCTTCGTTTGATCAACGCTGCCGTGTCTGCTAGCTTGGCTGTCATATAGGTATTAACACAATCTCAAGAGTGACAGTTTTTCAATGCTTGCTAGAGCCCTCTGAAGTGCTTCTGCAATCTGAAAGCGAGGAAAACTGTTTGCTCTGTAGATAACTGGGAGCATGTTGTTCATACCTCCTCAGCTCTTATCGCAATAATCCACCTGATGAATGATGATGACTATGTCTACTACCCTACACTAGTTGACAAGTGTGTGTCTGACTCCCAGCTCTTGGTGAGTTTCCTCTTTAGACAAAGAACAGACACCAACAATCATGCCGTGATAGATCGTCCTAACCTGCAGTACTTAGACACACTCATAGTTTGCGCCGCGCTAGAGCCGTTCTTCTTTGCTGGACCCTTCCTCGATAACATTCTACACAGTTGTGGCCAGGGCGCTCGCTCTCTGCTCGAGAACTTGTACAGGCGGGAAATCTACTGGAAGATACCAGCTCCGCCCGGGGCGATGGTCTCTAATCCACATACCGACCTGCCTTCGTCATAGGACAAACGATAAATGGAGCAGGCTTGCCTGCACGAGCTTCGGTCCACACTCGTATACAGGAGTTGTAACACTACAAGGCCGGAAGCAACAGACAGATGGACGAATCATCGACGGGGTCATCTGCCTTTACTCTACGACCAAACGATAACAGGGGAGCTGTATGCCGAACATGCAGGGACTGTTGCTTTTTGGGTACACAGTCCAATGCTCGGAGAGTGCGGTGATGTCTAGGGAGCTCTTGCAGGCTTCTTGCTCGAAGGACATGGGCACATGCACAGTTCATGCAGGCGGACGATGGAATCTGTCTAGCTTTCCTTGCTTGTGCAGACTCGCCGGGCAGAAAGCGCGCATCCATATGCAGGCAGCCCGGGGCACGCGTGCTGATAATGCAAGTACTTCATAATATATTGCATGTTTTAACTCAAAGAGATAATTCTTGGACAACAGAAAATACAACAAAGGACAGGCAAAAGGACTCAGAATAAAAATATTAATGGGCTGCGGTTCTTCTCATGTTGCAGATGGTGCTGATCACGTTATGGACGACGAAGTGACATATGATAAGTTTGAGCATTTTAATGTGGTATCGTCCTACGGCGTTAAGGGCGGACCGTCTCCGAAGGAGCTCTGTGAGGAGGCAATCAACTCGATTAGAGAGAAGGGACATGAAACAGCTCCCCAGGAGGTCAAGGATCTTCTGGTTAAACTAGCAGGTGCTGACTGGAGCCTTATTTCTTCCGGTGCATACCCTTTTGCCGATGTCTATGTTTGTGCGCGTAATAATATCACAGTTGTGTCAGTTGTTTCTCTTGTAGATGCGCCTATTAGCTGTCTTCCAAAGTACTCGTCCGATGCGATGGTGGCAACAGCGGCCGGGATCGTGGAGGCGGGTGATAAGAATATTGGCTGTGTTGCTCCGTCCAAGGGTCTTAGCTGCATGATGATTTCGGGTCCCAAACCCAAGTCCCTCATAATAGACCTCTGCTCTGATGTTCCTCAAACAGAAATGAACATTGAGTCTCTTGAGAAATACTTTAGTGAGTGCGACATTGACAAGGAGGAAACTTCTCGTACTCTTTTGTCGTTTGGGGCCTCGATTGCAACCTTGGTAGCTGAAAAGGGTAGCGACTATGCGTACAAGGGCGAGCTATCAGATCGCCTCAAGTTCCTTCACCATTCCCCGTGCGGCCGTGTGGATTGCTACTTGATTGAAAACATCTCCGACAAGCCTGTTGCAGTTGTCGGCCGCGTCCCCGTTCTCGGCGAAACAACTTGGCCCATATACTATGCATTCAACAATGACCAGTGCCAGCTTGTGTATGAGCCCAGCCGAGAGAAGACTAAGAATGCATCCAAGCAGTTTGAGATGCGCGGAAACCTCAAGCCTGGTCAGAAGCTCCTTATGGGAATGGTGAATGCTAAGCTTACGTTATCCGCATACGACGAGGTCAAGATTTATCGCGTGTCCGAGACGGCATGAACAGTGGCGTCTCTTGGCGACCCTTCAGTAAATTGTGTTGTTAGGAGTATAGTCGTTGAGGAGTATATTTACAAGTGGATGGTGCTATACTATTTGTCTAAGGGTATTCCGCTATACACGTCTATGATAAAATCTTCTAATTGGCGCTTAAGGATCCTGTCTTCATTATCGAGAGCATTCATAAGGTGGCCTAATGCTTTGCTGCGTCCCCTCCTTGTATCAAGAATAAACTTAGTTGACGGTTGTTCGGAGTTCAGGCGTTCATTACTTTGAACCTCTGACCGCATCAGAATGCTGAGCATAGCTCTCTGATGCTCTGGTGTCTTCAAGGAGAATAATAAGAGCCGGGTATCTGCATATATACAAATACAGTTAGTGTGCTCTGCACTTTCTAAAAGTGGCTGATAAGGAACAAAAGTGATGTACTGGCCAGGAATTAGCTCCATTGTACTGCTGTCTGCGGTCTCATCATCTGAATCTTTGTCTCGCAATTGGTTTGCTCTGTCAACTTCAGTTAATACTGATACCGATTTTACCTCTTTGATGTCATTCTTGCGCCAGTGGATAACGATCCTCGTTGCACTAGTCACAAGCGTCACCTGCTTCGGCCTCCAAACATGTCTTCTCTGGCCTCGTTTGAATGCCTGAAATTCAAATGAGTATCGCTCCTGCGCTTCTCTTCGGGCATTCCTGTGAAGAAAGTTAAGAGCCATTATGTCATCCACAAGGTCCATTTCACCTGAGTGAATCAGCAACGAGCTAGAGCCGTGGTTATTCACTGGAGAAGATGGTCTAGAGCTCTGCTCGTCGCCACTGAGTGTCATCACAGTTGTATCCGAGATGCAATCATTCAGCTGAAGAGAAGTATATTGCTGCTGGCTCCCGTTGGGCAAGAAAGAAAAAAAGGGCACAGCAACGGATGAGGCACAACTATCAGAAAAGGTGCTTGTAATGCTTGTGAAGGCAGAGTCAGAATGCTTTGGTGAAAATAATGCTATTTGCTTGAAAATCGGATGATAAGAATATCCATCCAGCTGAGAGGGGAAAAGAAGTCTCGATTCTAGAAACTCTTCGAAGAAGGGTGTGTGAACAAAGTACTTCATGAAGCTCTGGAACTCTGGTGAGAGTAATGCTAGGAAGCTGGCATAATCAAAGACATCGTCATACTTTCCCGACTCCTGTACAACAGAGGTTATGTTAGTTTGTATATTCCCTGGAACAATCCTCCTAAGAGCTTGTATTACGCTCTCTTCTGTAAATATCGTGCTAGAAAAATCCTCCTCGCTTGCAAAAGACGACGTCGGAAGGACATAATAAGGTTGCTCTTTATCTTTTGTTGTTATTAAATAGTGGAACATATCTGTTTTAAATTTAGGAATTGAGATTGATGAAGCACCCGTTTGAACAAAATTTGGATCGACGAGGAGACTTGTGTATGAACGCCGTCTAATGCAGCGATAAACATGCTTCACCAAACCAAGTAGAATAACCATAAATCCTGTCTGCAGCCTGTCAGAATATAAAGACACTTCCTCATCATCTGCTGACTCCTCTAGACTTTTGAACTCTCCCTCCTTATGCTCATAATCCTGTATAGACTCTAGACGCTTCACCTCGTCACTATATCCCTTGTAGTCAAAGTAGACATGTTTTTCGTCTGGGTATATAGCTCTTGCAGCAGAGTAGTCCTGCTTGAGGGTCATGGGGGAAGAATATGTTGCACAAATGTTAGTGGATTGAAAATTAGGTATTATAGCTTGCAGTGGCAACTGCTGCGTACAGCAGTTGTTCATAATAGCTAGAGCTATAGGATTGGGATATTGGGCACCAATCGTATCTTCCTCAGAATCAGATCCAGACAGAAGGTGGTTCTGGCCATTATTTGGACCTGGTATATTAATTTTCTGCTCGTAGTGACTCGGCATCTTTGGAAGATTACATGTAGTCGATGTGTCTGCTACCCCTTTAGAAGGCTTCTCCTTAGTGGACTTGTCTATATAAATACGAGCTGCTTGATTAATTAGTAAAAGGAGTCGCTTTTTTATAATAGTAGGAAGTGATGGAACCTGAAAAATATTCGATGACGATACAGACGAAGCAGTTGCACTATTCAAGTCTCCACATTTTCGCTGATCTGAGGGTCTCGGACAACTGTTTTGTGGCAATTGTGTGCTAAGTAAACTAGATACCTTTCCATCACGATCTAGGATCAAGCTATCTCCATGGCGCCACCGCTGCTCCTTTTTGGCTAAGCGCTTCTTCACTTGTCGTTTCACCTTTCCTGCACAGGATTGCATTGCTCCTAGAAAGCTATCACCCGAATTAGATGACTCTGTTGGTACCATATGAACAGATGCGACGCTGGCAATGCTATTGACAGATTTTGATAAAAGAGGGCGCTTGTTCGCTTGCATGTCTGGGGGCGCTTTAGTTGCATAGCTGGCAATGCCCTTTCCTACTGGAGGAGGGAAAGCATGTTGTCTTGTGTTAATACCTGATTGCAGAGTGTTGCTATCGTATGATATTTGAATGATTTTGGAAAGTGTGAATAAATGAAAGTTCATAGTTATTAAACGACATAAATGAGAGATTCCGAAAAAGTTAGGAACCAGCTGCTGTAGTTCTTTAGAGGTATCACTTAGATTTTGATATGCCTTAGAAACCGTTGGGATCAATGAGTGCTCATTACTGGTGATATCAGTATGAGAAGACTGGCCTCCACCTTTGCCTTTTTTCCGTTGCCCTGCTGTTGCCTTCTTTTCCATTGGAAAAAGATTTGAGATGGTTAAGGTCTCATCAGTGCCCTCCAGATTGAATGTATTGTGAAGAGCGACCGCATGTGGCATTACTTCATGACGAGAGGCGTGCTTACTCTCATGCTTATGATCCTCTCCAAGGTAAAAGGCAATTGGAAATCTAGAAATAACTGCCCGCGGGAGCGCATAGCGAAGCAGCCTGCCACCGTACTGCGAAGAGAGCAACTCGTAAGGCGGCACAACACGGCCAGTATCCACATCGACTACGTGAAGAAGGGGGGATATTGCATTGCCAGTTATAACGGATCTGTAAGCGCCCGCAAGCACTGGAAAGGGGGAGTGCAAAATGTACAGTTGAAGACCAGACATGACAGGGAGGAATGGAAAGGGATACGAGAACGGATAAAGAAGAGTCCACATTTCAATGACACACATAGACACCCTGTGGAGTGATTTCCCAATAAATAAGACCGTTCGAGATTGTAGAAGCGCCTCTAACGTGTCCACAATTGCATTGGGAGAAACGTGGCTAAAAAGGGTCAGAAAATTAACAGAAACTGACGGAAAGCAGTTGTTAGAAAGCTTCTCGAAAGTCAGCTTTAGCTTTTCAGAGTTCTTCTGCCCTGAATTTCGTTTTAGCACTTCACCATTGATAACCGCCTGAGATAGAGCTGATACTTCCTTGGGTGTCTGGTGCACTCTTTGAGTTATTGGTGTAAAACCAGCACTAGTTGACTGTGCTGAAGTCAGTGCTACAGTCGGAAATGCCTGGACTTGCTTGTCGGTATCGATAATAACAGTGTAGGGCAACTTCTTCTTTGATGGGAAAAGCTCATATATTTTCATGCAAACACCCTGGAAGTCCCTCTCTGACTGGATGCTTCTTGCAAACTGGCCTAGAATAGTGGTAAATTTAGATAAGTGGCCCTCTGTGATAAGGGCAAAAATAGAGTACAGACTGTATGATTGGACCGTGACATTAATGTCTTCATATTGCGATTGTATGATTCCGCGCATTTCATCGCCCATTGGCAATGCAAACTGGTGAGATATACCCCAGACAAGTCTTCCCCGTGCAGTTGTGTATGTGAAACAGTGATGATCGAGTTTCTTAACCGGTTTTTCTGACAGGATTTGAACCCCCATAGGGAATACATAGTTGTAGATATAAGGTGGGAATGGAAAATCTGACAAGTCAGAGGATGGGTATCGCGCTAAAACCGTAGGTAGAAGGTTCGATGAATTTCGAGCTTGGGACCTCTTATACATTTGTATATAGCTTCCCTTGATGTAGTTAGGACAGGGCCCTGCTACCCCCACATAGAGTATAACAGGATCGGTCTTACTCATTTGGTGAATCCCGGTAGTTTTCGTATTTTTATTTTGGGCTTTCCCGGTTTCATAGCAAGCCAGTAGGAACAAAAGGCTTATTTATTACATATATTGCTGCATAGTAAGGTTGCATAATTTACTTGGTGAACCGTAGATCGCGTAGTGTAGCTGCAGAAGCCTTTGCACTAGCTTTAATTTTGGAGCTTGTGCTCTGTACACTAGCATCTTCACAGAGCCCTTTTATTGTGCACATGGACTCGAAGAACTTGATGCAGTTGTCGTACCTATCCTCCAGAGCGACATCGTTGGCGTTGGCACTGGTCCGGCTATAGGCTTGAATTGTACTAAAGACAACCTGTGAGAAGATCTTTGCATAATTGACCGATAGAGACATGCTATCGGTGGCATTGTAAATGGCCGTGATAGATGGATCTTTAGATGCAATGGCATGTTCGATAGACGCAGAAAAGTGGATAAGGACTGGAAGTATGTCGCTTATGCTAATACCATTTCTGGCGTCTATTTTCTTAAGAACGTCACAAACCACACGCATATCCTTTTCTTGGAGTAGGGTTTCAATGGCCACCTTAATGTTTCCCTCATGCCACAAATCACTAAACACTCCCACAATGATGCTTTTATGTTCCATGGACTCTATTATCTCTGTGTTGCCTAATAAAACAGACAGCATCTCATCTGTATCACCTGGTTTCCGTTGAATTTTGTTGTAATCAAATACAGAGTACACCGTTGGCTGAGCTATGGTATCCGACTCTGGCGTAGCACTTGCTGATGTCCTCTTGGGTTCTGCAGGCCTTTTGTCGTCTTTCTCATGTGGACGATTTCTACCATTGGGGTTCGGTGCAGGAACCACTGAGGTTGATTGTGGAGGCTTTTGCCGCTTTTCTGCTGGCTTGGGCTGCTGTATGCTCGCTGTAGATGCTGTGTCAGATGACTTCTTCATGGGTTTGCCCCCTTCTGTGGCTTTGTCACCTATCAGATGGGCATACAAGGTCTTAAATGGTTCAACATACTTCAAATTAATCACCCAAATGCTCACGCTGGGTGTCGTTGATTGTTCCAGAAGCAGCATGACGACCTGCGGCAATCGGGAACTCCTTCTAATTGCTACTGAAAAAAGGTTGTCTAGATTGACTGGCACTGAGCTCAAGACATGCTCCTGTTCTGCTTCATAATCCACACAGAGCATGCCATGAGGATGAAAAACTAAGCTAACATCAGAATTATTCATAAAGTAGGACCAATCACAACCACCGGCCCTGTTTTCTTTAGTGATTTCAGAAAAAGCTCCTACATCCCAGTACGTTACCTTCTCTCCGTCGCAGACGGCAATGATCTTGTGCTCATCATGAGCAGTGATATGCTTTATGCTGACCTTGGTAATTTGAAGCAGTTGGTTGCTATTCTGACTTATATGAGGATTAGTAAGTGATAGGTCTTCGCTACTATTACCTGACCGACTGGTGGCCATCAGCTCTTGGATAAAGGCAAGAGAAACTGTATTCCAAATAAATATCCGCCCTGCTGCATCCCCAATGAAGAGGAAGGCCCCACTAGATGGGAAGGTCAGGGCTGTTATGGCAGGATCGTTGACTACTGACGTTAGTCTGGCAGAGCCCTTAATACCAGTTGGAGGAACAATAGGCTGAGAATTGCAACTCGCTATATCCTGCAGTTTTCCCCGCTTGGACGTGTCCCAAATATGAATGCTCCCGTCAATACTGCCTGTCGCGAGAAACATGCCTGATTGTGTGAAGGCCATAGCTGTAATGTATGACTTGTGCGCTGAAAATCTCCAATAACATGACTTTGCTTTCAAATCATAAACATGGACAGAACCTCCCATTGTCCCTAGGGCCAATAAAGACTCATCGTAACTGAACAGGATGGACGTTGCATCACTGTTGAAGTCTTTAAATGTCAGCGTAGGCTCAGATTGGCCAAGAACATACACAGACACCATTCGCTTTGCCGTGGCAACAGCAAAGGTAGACCCGCTATTACCTAGGGTTGCAACAACAATGTCTCCACCTTTGGGCTGAACCGAGCTATGGTAAAAGGACTGTAAGTCTGTCATGAGAATTTTAAAATGCAGAGGCTCAGATATACCTTGCACAAGGGTCAACGTGGGCGGCCGCTTTTAATTGCAGGCTCCCCTAAATATCACGGGGCTCCAATCCTTGCAGGGTTGTCGTGTCTTCGGGCAGGGGCAGATTACTGCTACTTGCTTGTGCGAGGGTCCAATTCACAAATTGTTGCTTCAGCCTCTCCAAACTTTATCGTATCTAGTTGCTTAGATACCTGGAAAGATATTCATTATACTAATATACTTATAGGTCCCGGCTTGGACACAGAGGAGGAGTCTGTTGCGCTATTCACGGATGTCATGTCCACAAAGCCATCACGGCTCTTACTGGATGCAGATGCTATTCGTATAGTTTGCATGCTTCTTAAGCAACAGGATGTTGTCACAAGCGGCTTACTCAATCAGCTCAGTGCAGCACAATCAATAATCACCCCCAACTATGCTGAGTTTAAGCACCTCTATCATAGCGTCTTTAATTCGTATCCTTCACAGTATGAGAAGACAATAAGTGTATTAGGGAAAAGCCTTACATCCAATTGGTCGGGGATTGCACTGGGGTTCATAGCTTTAAAAGGCTTGGTCAAAAGAGGGAGAAAGTACTACAATGCACTCACAAATGAGCCTACGCAATTATCCAAAAAGTTGGGAGTTGTTATCTTGATCAAGGGTGTGGTGGACGTAGTGGTTTCTCCGAATCCGTGCGATGCTGCACGTGTAGTCACAGAGAGGGGACAACCAAAACGGTCTGCAGGCCAGGGAGATATCCTTGCAGGCATCCTAGCTGCTCTTCTGGCTAGGTCTGTCGATGAGTCTGCTCTATCTATATGTGAGAGGGCTGCAATCCTAACCAGAAGGGCATCCAGAGCCGCATACAAGCATTATGGGGAAAGTATGGTCGCATCCGATGTTATCGCATACATTAATATGAGTGATCGCAATACTATAGGTATCCTGGTCGATACATTTCATGTTCTGGGGACTTCTGGGATCCTGGCTATCTGCTTGGCCTGTTTATTTACTGCTTTGTTATATGCCCATGTTTAGTATTCCAATCTCACGCCGGTCTTGTGAAGAAATCTTGCGGAGAAACACTGTACTCGTAAATCTAGCAATTAGACCAATGTCTGAGAAATTCAATCATCTACAGCTTACAGCCTGTAAGTGTGGGTTCAAAAATGCCGGATGCGTCCTTGTTTTCTGATGGATCGCCAGCTGAGCAATATAACCTGGATAGCGGGCGAGAAAAACCCGTTGATAAGTTTGCAGATGAGCTGGTGAGTGTCTTCTGGAAGGCAACGAAGGCCGTGAAGAGCTCACTTGTTCCGTATCATGTTCCAATTGATCAGAATATTCAGGTCTCTACTGAAGGAAATTAGGCCTCTCTTCCTCTGTGAATGCTCTTTACAATTTATCAATGAATTAATTCCAGCACAGGAGCCATGGGGAGACCAACCGAAAGCAACTACCTCTCTGCTCTCAACGAGATGCGCAGACGGATACTTGGGGAGAATGAGCAGCTGGAACTCTTGGGGCCTCTTTGTCAAGATATATGCTCGATTGACGACCCCGAATATACAGGGGTCACCGTTGCCGCCATCAACGTTACAACCGAGATCTTTCTGGAATTGTTCACAAGATATCCTAAAGTAATGGCTGGACTAGCACTGGTAGGCTTACCAGAAGCCAACATTGCAGCTGATTTGAAGACAGCTCAGGAGAGCCTCTCTATGGATGATAACGATCTCCTCATTCTTAAGCATGCTACCTTATTCCGGCTTCTTCTGTATAAATACGCAGAGTCAAGCGCTAGTGGCAAACTATGCAAGGCTGCTCTGTACAACATGTTTGAGATTTTACGCGCGGAAGCACTTATTGAAGCACACCAGGACTCCTCTGTTGTGCTTTCTCAAACACAGCCCTGGAAGACCACAGAGGACGGGTCCATAGGCCTCTTCCCTCTCCAATCCTACACTCTGTTTCTCCGTTACCTTCTTAGACCAGAGGCACCCAAGACCCTTAGTGATAGTTTTAAGCGGACTTTCTCCAACATTCTAGACACGTATAGCGACTTGTGCTTTTTCACATTTTCTGCTATAGATGCCATTGTGCAAGAAATTCAAGATCACACACCACTAGAAGATATTTCCAATTCTATCTCCACTGCTGCCATCATCAATCTTTTTCAATTAAGTTTGGATGCCGCCAGTCACCATATAAAGGCAAACGCTATCAATTACTACATCGAATACCTGGCCATCTCAGTGACATGTATTAAAGGGTGCACCAGGTCAGCATCCATACCAGGAATCACTGGGCTTATTGATGTTATTTCTAGCTCTAGCATAAAAATCCCACAGAGGAGACTCTCGAGAGGGATTTTGGACCGTGTCAATTTGCTGTTAATACACAGGACCCCACGCGATCGCACTGCAGAAGATAGGAAAAAAGGAGATAACGTGTCTATGCGGAAACATAACCTGTCACAGATAAACTCTATGCTTGCAGAGGTTCAGAGACTGGAGCGAGAGAACGTAGCCCTTCCAGAGACAGAGCAGTTTACTCCTGCCTATGCTCTCGAAGATGCAGAGGGACTCAGGGCCGTCTTATTCTCTTGTTACTACGGAATCTGCGAGCTTCTATTCAATATTGCCTGCAGCATTGTTCGACGGTCAGTTGCCGCGCCGGACTTTACGCCTGCTCACAATGCCATTATAGCCATTTTATCTACATCTAACCAGGTCACAAAGCATGCTACTTCTTCTTCACAGAGTATCTATCTTATAGCAACAATGAAAAAGCTCTCTGATCTCCAACATAGCCTTGAAAGCGTTACTGGGTCTAAGCTTCCGGCAGGACATTATGCAAGGAGGTTTTCTTTGGCATACAAGCTTTTGGTCACCGACGCCATGTTCGATCTCTGCACTAGCAACAGCCTTCCCCTGAATAACTTCTTTGAGCATCTTTTTTCCCTTCTCGTGCCAAATGTATTTTCTATTCCTGGTTGCAGACAACGACTTCTACGCCTCTTAGCAAAATGTCTACAGACTTCATATGTTGCTAGTGCTATTCAGGCATGTCTTCTAAAGCGTCTTTCCATTCTGTCCCTTTGTGTGTCTGGCAACATTACTTTAAGCATAGTTATGTTGATCATAGCCACACTGAAGCGACACACAAATCTTCGCTGGTTGCTCAAGAATCAAGGCCAAGAAGAGCCTGCAGATGTGTCTGCTTTCCACGCTTCCCCCTTGTCACTTTCAAACTGCCTACAGCTGTGGGAGGGCACTTCAGTTCCCAGCATAACTCTGATTGAGCTCACGGGGCTTCGCAATCACTATCATCCATTGATCAGAAAATTGATCCGCCTCCTAGAAAGCGGTTCTGCCTTCACAGCTGTGCACTCATATTCAAAGGCAGATGGAGACTTTGATGCTGTCGTGGGGCTTGACGAGAGAACGTTTATAGAGCAGGAGCTTGCAAAGGGTATATCATCGAGTGAGATATCTCTCTACAACGCAGAGAACTTAGTTCCAAACATTAAGCAGCACATTATTGAAGGCATGGATGCACTAACTTCATATCCTGGCTTTCCCCTTGTCGAAGCCGCTGTCAGACAGGATTGGGGTAACGATTTATCAGGTGTCATGATAAGCCTGGCTGAGCAACGAGGAAGCGGTGTTATGATGCACTCAATTCTGCAAAAGGCCAAGACTGACGTGGACTTCGTAGTCAATGACATCCTCTCAGATTGCTGGATATGGAACAGTCAGCCGTTCCCTACACATATAGTACCTCAAGCTAAGGAAGAAAGTGAACACTGAGTCTCGGGCATCTTGCCAGGTACCTATAGTGTCTCGTTGACAACAGGGTTGCAGCTATCAAAAATAGGAAGTACAACACTGAGATGTACTTTGACAACCTTAGTAATCCATGTGTTTCTACACTGCTAACACCACGTTATCATAGAGCATCTTGTCCACAGCTTTAGTGAGGGCTTCAAATCAGTCAATCAATCTTGTGAATCTTCAATTTAAGATAAATCTTTTACCTGAAGTCTTTGTATTTAAACGAAAATAACCAAGGCACTACAAATTTACAACGACTAGAGTAGTGGGAAGGGCATTAGTTATATCATTTGTTGAGGAGCTCGTTGGCACGGTAATCAAACGTACTCTTGGCCTTAATCGCCTCTAGCTGACGAAGGGCTTGCTCAGAACCTGTTGCATCGTCACGCGCCAGACTTCTAACCCGTACCCACGGGACAGAACCTCCCTCCAAGAGGGCACGACGGACCTTCTCGCGTTTGACACACTGCTGAGCCTTACGGGCTTCTCCCTCCTTCTGGAACTTCTCCATATAGGCCTTTCTGTACTCAACGCTTTGCTGATAGACGAGGGCCTTTGCGGCCTCGTGATTTTTGTCTTGAAGGTTCTGAAACGCTTTGTACTTGATCTCATTGGTCTTTGCAATGCTATTGTCTCGCTGATATGCCACCAGAATCTCAGGATCATTGAGGGCGGCCTCGTGCTCGGGAGAAAGATGTATTGGAGGAGGCAGTGGAGCATATGGGGTGAGCGCAGGGGGAAGCTGCCCCGGTTGCGCTGAAACATGCGTAGCAGGGACAACTGGTGGTGCAATAGAGACAGCAGCAGGCTGCTGGGTCGTGGAAGCCTGCGGAATGCTCGATAAAGATGGGACTACAGGGGCCGACGAAGAGGTGGAATACGCCTCTACAGGCACAGGCACAGGCGCGGAAAGCGTTGCAGCTTTTTCAAATGCATTGACACCGTGCTGGCCAGTCTGCTCTGGGGCGGTGAAAAAGGGCACTGCAGGGGCAGGGGGCGCGGTAGCTGCAGGGACGTCCCCAAAACCGAACATGTCATCAGCACTTTGAATTGGTGCCGCTGGCTGTCCTGCGAAGGGGTCGAATGTCTGTGCAGTACCGTCAGGAACGTTATCGCCGAATCCAAAGAAGTCGTCCATTTTAAAAATGGTACAACTGGCCGGTGAGGCGGTCTTTTAAGTTTCACTAGAACCACACGCTCCTGATATAAAGATCCTATATTTGGATAGTAGGTTTTTCACATGTTTGCGAAGCCGTTATTATCAGCGTGCGAAATCTGACCAGCACCCAAAAATTTATTCAAAATGAGCGATCGTCAGTGGCGGGAAGCCATGACGCTTCTCATGGAGCAAATAAATAAGGAGTCCACTTCAGATCCTAGAGTCATACGGCTACAAAATTCACAGCTTTTGCAACAACAGCTCAACTGGTATAACACATACCGTCATGTTTACGTACTTTTAGAGGAGTGTTATGATCAGATGCACCATCCACAAAAGCGGAGAGTGATCAAGAAGTCTCTGGACGCAACCATAGGACGAATGCTTGAGTCCAGACGCAATATTTGCTGCTTAACTGGGACGTGGAGCCCCGATATCTTTGCACTCATGAACAATCGTACGTTACTTCCTACAGATATAGAATTGCATGTGCCCAGGTTTCTAGTGAGCGATAACTTCTCTCTGAGCCGTCGAAATGATCTGCTGCGCCTTCTACTCGAGCGGTACGAGCTTCTTTCTCAGAATGGATCCTGCTTTGATCTGACGCACTCTCTCCGAGGATATGTTCCTGGGAAGGGCATCCTCGAGGAGAAGACGGAGGCCCAAGTGCAGCGAGCCATGAGTCTCGAAGAAGCCATACTTCTTATTCAGCGCGCTGAGCGAGGACGTGCCGCCAGACTGCGAGCGAAGCTGGTACAGGACATCATGAAGGTTAAGCCGGCTGGACGGCAGATACAAGGAGGGCGCATTCACTCACGAGAACAGGCTAGTGTAATCATTCAAAAGTATTGGCGAAGAGCCCTCGCAAAGTCCAAGGTGAATGCCATGAAGCAGGCCGATTTAGTCTTCCTTGGATTGGCATCCTCATCTGCTGCTCAAGGTACAGGTTCATCCATTCTTCCCATCGTACAAGATATGGTAAGCAGTGAGTGCATCAAGCGCGAGAAGCTATATGAAGCGGATTACCTGGCGCGGCTCAATGCTCGCAAGGACGTCCTCGACAAGTCCATTCTTTCTGTCGGTAAGCCTGGAATCCCAGACTCTGGCATTGCAGCTAGTTCTAATCTGCACACAACTCTTACTCCTCTAACCTCAGTTATCATTGCTACTACCTGTGATGGGATGGAGTCCACCTATGCTCTTAGCAGATATATAGATAAGTCTAACATCCTTTCTAACCAGCCATATATGACTCACGTTACCAATGCGTATAACTCCGGGCTTCCTCTTATGCATGATCTTGTGCGGAATAGGATTTTGTTAGCGGATGCTAAAAAGCTTGGCCAGGCGGCCTATCAAGCTGAGCTTATTACTAAGCGCAATGTGGCGCTGCGAATTCAAGCCGAACTCGTTATGCAATCTGCAGAGGATGTCATTCTGCAAGAACTTAAGGAAAAGGAGGGGACCGAGCTGGAAAAACTGCTATACTCTCGGCACAAAAAAGCCATTGCGCAGTTCAGAGATCTGAACGACGGGGCGATTCCCACAAGTGCCTTAGACATTGCCTCTCCCGATGAGAAGCTGGTGATGGAGAAGGTGGCAGCAGAGCGAGAGGCCGAGTTATTGCGGAGAGGCTTGAAGGGGAAGAAGAAAAAAGGGAAGAAGGGAAGCAAAGGATCCAAAGGAAAAACGGCTGCACCTTCGAAGGGGGCAGCTGAGGAGGCAGTTGAAGACCCAGACAAGGCCAAGGTTTCTTTTCTGTCTGCATATCTCCACGATATTGTCGATACAACAGTCGAGTACTTCAACAGGTGGCAGCGACACGATCCAGCTAACTTGGCTGAGCAGCCATATGATGTTGAATACCTTAAGGAAACTCTTAGACCCCAGATACTGAAGGACGTATACGACAGCGTTGCTGAAACGGTGACTGCAGAGCTCGACAACATGCGTACCATTGCCGACGCAACTAAGCAGCTTGTCGAGGCCAAGAAGGGCGGTAAAGGTAAGAAGGGTAAGAAGGGCAGTAAGGGGAAAAAAGGAAAGAAGGGGAGTAGGGGATCCAAGAGCCTTCCAGCGCTTGAGCCCCCGCCACCCGTGGGCCCAGTTGGTGACGCCTCTGTCGAGGCAGCATATGCAGAACTGGTCAGCGAGGGTCTTGTAAAAGCGATTAAGCCAGCTCGGATACGAGATTTTATCGGATGTGACACATACATTGCTCCTTCAAGCCAGGAGACTGAGTTCATGCAACGAATAGCTGTCAAGGCGCTTCAGAAGTTTACACAGCAGGGCACAATTGCTATAGACAAAAAAGCCGCCGGGATTGTCGATCCCGTTGAACAGGAGAAGCTGGCCGCAGCAAAGGCATCTATTCCTGCTTATGCTCTTCTGCCGGACCTTCCATCGTACAACCAGATAAAGCAAGACATAATAGCCAACGTAATCATCCCTTTGGGGTGCCCCATGGCAAGGGCCGTTCCTCACAGCAATACCCTCCTTATATATGGGGCTCCGGGGGTGGGGAAGACCCTTCTTTCGCGAATTATTGCTACTGAAACGGGTGCTCTTGTGATTGACGTGTCTCCGGCAAATATTGTTAACAAGTTTCCTGGCCAGGAAATCGGGGTGATCTTCAAGTTGATCAAGGTGGTTATAGCCTCCAATCAACCGGCAATAATATACTTCGATGAGGCAGAGCTTGTGTTGGCAGACACAAAAGAAAAAAAAGGAAAGAAAGGAAGCAAGGGAAACAAGGGGAGCAAAGGGAAAGGTAAGCTAAAGCTGCCTGGAGACGATGTGGAGACCCCAGGATACTCCATGTGCTGCGAAGGATACCCCAAGCTTAGCGACCCAGACTACAACCCCTACAGGCTTCGTAAAGAACTCCTTAGCTTGCTGAAGTCCATTAATGAGTATGATGGGGTACTTGTTTTAGGATGCGCCACACGCACTATGACTCGCGAAAAAGCACTTGCAGACTTCTTCCAGAGACACATATATGTACCACTGCCTGACTATAACACGAGGCTAAGGTTGATCAGTCACTTCTTTGAGAAGATGGGTTTGGAGCAATTTGCTCTAACCGGAGTGGCCAAGGACGTCCCCGTGGGTCAGTACACGTCCTCGAAACTGAGCACAGGGGCCTTTGATTCTCGACGGTTCACGGCACTGGGCCTGATGAACTTAACGTCGGGAATTGCAATCACAAACAACGAGACCGAGAAGATTCCTTTTGACCTCAGTTCTTTTGCCAAGGTTACCGAAGGATTCACGGCAGGGCAGATACAACAGGCTCTACACATGGTCTGCACACCTGGACGCGTGGCATCCTTGGGATCCAAGCCCCTTAGTGTGGTCGAATTCGGACAGGTCCTGTCCCATTTGCAGCCACAGTATGACTCCCAAGTCGCCCATGTCGCTCTCTATAAGCTGAACAAAGCCCCACCTGAGTATCAACCGCCAATTCCGCTCACGGACCCTACTCCTAAGAAAGGCAAATAGCCTCCAGATTCCTCGACCCCCCTGGTAGGTATACTTTGTGCGGACTAGAAACGAACTAGAAAATCAGTAAAAAGGTCTTGAGCAAAACCAGTAAATTAAAAATGATTACTCCAACACGACGGTCTACTGAGAACCCAGTATCTTTAGACTGCTGAGACAGTGTTATATGATTTCCTTTACTTAAGGCTCTCGGGGAGAGCCGGCTTCTGCGGCGTTTTAAAATGCAGTATGAAAAACTCCTCAAGGTAGATCCGAACACAGCAGATGACCCCCTTTCCCTATCAGAGGCCATAATACTCAGCTCAGGATTGGGGGTCTGCAAGGCCTGCGAGCTCTTCCTTCGCAGCTACACAATCAGGCGGCGTGCAGTGGGCGTAGTATATACTCAAGGAGTATCGCATTTCCTAGCGCCTCTCTTCCGCTTCCTTGCAGCTTCCAATAGGGGTCATCTTTACATATCTTCTTCTAAACTCAAAGCGACAACTGCTGCGGACGTCTTTGTCTTTCCAGTTGCAACCTTTGTGTCAGAGATTGTGCGAGGAGAACTCAGTCTATCATCTTTTGATGGACTCCTTGTCCTTACAGCTGGAAAACCTGCCCCGTTGTTGAAAGCTCTTGCCCCAGCCTTAAGGGAGAACCGTTGTTGGGTAAAGTATCTATCCGATCAGCCTTTAATGTTTGCGTTTGTGCAGAACCTTTATGAAATCCAAGTGCATCTGGAGCAGATAGAGGCTTTCCATATAACAGCAATAAACGTCGTACACAGGTCTATGCAGATAGTCCTTAAGGACCTTCCTGCATCTCCTCTGCCTGCAGGCTCTTCTGTGTTAGATACGATTCATCGAAGGGCAAACTTATTCATGGAGGAGGTTATTTGTGTGGATGTCGGCTTAGAGCATCCCACGCATCCCCGTGTATGGCAAGAGATACGTCGATGGTCTCTTTTACTTGCACGAAAGCAGCCACGGTACGAGGCAATTGCACGTCTTCCCCAGGCCAAACTAATTAAGCATGCAGACCTGCTTTTCGCAGATGAGTACATTAGTTGGGCGCTTTGGTTTCTTTACCACATGGAGTTGGCGCTGCCACAACACCGCACAGAGGTGCTAAAGTGTTACGGACTATTTCTGGACCAATTCAAGCATCCATTAACACGCCCTGCAGACATCCGCAGCTACTACGATTCTTTGCTGGCGGTCTGTGGAGCCCAAGGAGGCACAACCTTGATAACTGCTATGGCCACAGCCGTTGAGTCTGCAAGCGAAGATGTTGCAGCCTCCATAGAGGCCCACATGTACACGGAGCAAAAGCACCTTCATGGTCCTCCCACACGAATTGTTGTTCTTCTGGGTACATACTTTGGTGCCCGAGAGCTGGAAGAGTGTCTTGTACTAAGTGGGAAGGTAGAGATGCTCTCTTCTCAAAGTGAGGATGGAGTTCCAGGAGCTGACCTCATTGCATTAGAGCCAGCACCACGAAGGACTGTACCATCTAAGGGGTCAGCACTGTCAACGGATACTGCTACTCAGGGGTCTGACCCTAGTAAGTATTCACAAGAAGCAAGCGCTCCAGAGCTTAATACAATCCACAGACGTCTTTACCTACAGACAAGCATTGATAAAGAGTCAACAAAGCTAAGTGATGATGCATATGTTCCTTTTACTCCAAGTAAAGGAGCCGTTATAGATGCGTTAACAAAGAGCATCTCTGGAAGGATCCATAGCGGTGCAGAAGTGGTAATCATCTCAACTGTGTCAAATCCCCTCTTCTCTACAAAGGCTATGTCAACACCGTTCTCCCTGTATGATCGATTGGATCAGCTAGGAATAAGCACAATTGCGTCAATTATCTGCTGTGGCGCGTCGATCCAAGCAGTTCGAGTTCTAGAGCGTCTCAACTTTAGGTACAAACAGGAGGCTCATCAGACACCTATACAGATACCCCTCATAGTAATTGAGGGAGGTGCCCAGTCTTTTACAACGAATTACCCTATCCTTGTTAACAATGTAGAATCGGAGGCATTAAAGGTTCTCCATACGGCCTCAATGCACATGTCTGTTTCTTCGTACTATAACACGCCCACAGAGATAGATTTTACGGGCATACAAACCAAGCAACAAAGTCCTGGCAAGCTTGAGAATCCACAGCGCCTACTGTACATAGACAATAGAGAATTAAGATCCGTTGTCCCTGTAGAGCTATTTGTCCTGTCCAAAGGTTTAAGACTCATTGTGAGACAACTTACTCTCGGGGACTACATCCTGTCATCCATGACCGCAGTTGAACGCAAAAGCGAGCAAGATCTCATTTCCTCTCTCCGGAACAATCGCCTTGAGGACCAGCTAGAGAGACTAAATGCACAGTTCCCCACGTTCTTCCTGATGTGCTCTATACCATCAGAAAGGTCTCACGACATGATACAAATCGATACACAGAGCAATCAGTCAACCACAATTGCTGCTTCTAAGCCTCTAGGTCTCACTGCAAGACTGTTTAAACTCTTAAGAACCTACAAATCAATGCGCGTGTTGTGGTCGACTGATACCACGTTTGCACCGCTGCTCATGAGGTTGAAGATGACGTGTATGGATCGCGGAGAACCAGAGCTAGAGCCTACCGATGCAGAAAATATGGTTTCTGTCTCTGATGAGTTCATTAGGAAGAGAATAGTCAGAGCAATCCCAGATCTTTCTGAAGCAGACTACGCAGCATTGATCCAGAAGTATTCGGGGATATATAGCATTCTAATGGAGAATGAGGAGACTCTGGCCAGAGAAACAAGCCAGTATGTCAGGCACAAGGTAGCCTCCATAGCTACTGAGCCCCTAATTAATCTGCTAAAGGCATTAAATTCTCTGGAAGCATAGACTTCGGTTTTAGTAACTCAGTGAGAATATCAAGGCAGTCTTGAGCATCATCCTTTCTAGCGAACGAGGGGTCACTTACGCGCTTACGTACGCGCATGAGGGCCGTTCTTTTAGCAGCGTCTTTTATGTCAAACTCGTACCTTGCAAGGGCCGAAACACACTCTACGTGGCACCCGTCAGCTGCATACATTAAAGCAGTATATCCATCTGTGTTCTGCATTCTTTTCTCGTAGGGTAAGAGGATCTCAACGCACTTGTGGTATCCACATTCCGCAGCTAGCATAAGAGCCGTGTGCTTTCCTGGCCGTAGTAGTCCTGCTTCCCGAGGAGCAAGAAGCTCTACGCACTCCCAGTGATTATTCACGGTTGCTAGCATCAGTGCAGACCAGCCACTCTTGTTTTGGTAACCAGCCTCGTTTTCCAAGAGCAACTTCACAAGCCCTGCAGAGCCGGTCTGGGCGGCCCACATGATAGCCGTATATCCATCCCGACTTCGCATTCCGGCCTGTTTAATAAGGCACCTACCACACTCCAGAGATTGTCCCTCGGCCGCAGCCATCAAGGCGGTTCCGCCACCATTCGTCAGAAGATCCTTTTCAAGAGGATACAGGGCCTGCACACATGCCACGTGGCCTTGTAGCGCAGCCAGAATGAGTGCTGTCCGCCCACTCTGGGTCTTGGACCCTGCCTCTTGAAGGAGTAACTTCACGCAATCAATGTGATTGTTGCTAGCTGCAAACATAAGTGCAGTATAACCATAGTGTGTTTGGCCATGTAGTTCTTCGATGCATTTCTGTACGTTATCAACGTCTCCCAGTGCTGCATAAACCATCAGCCATGTCACCCTGCTCATTTTCATCTCTGGAATCAAGTATCGTAGGCGAGACCACGATGCATTTATGCATCCATATTGAAGTGCGGTCAGACCATAGTAGTCATAGATTCCCAGCTCACCGAGCAGCTGAACCACTGCCTCATCATTGCCGTAAAAGGCCGCAGTCATCAATGCCGTACAGTAGCAGCTTGTTTTGGACCCGTATATCTTCCCCATATCCGACATATCTTCCTGCGATAACTGAAAGCCCTTCTCCTTAGTTTGAGCTGCGCGTATGAGGTTTGTTTGGCTGTCAGAAAACACTGCTTGTTGCACAGGTAGTCGCAGACGCAGTTTGTGTTCTTCAGCAAAGTCTATGATTGTAGCAATTATGTCTCCATTCTTCATTGAGAGTGCTAGCTGAAACACCTCAGATACCAGACCACGCTGTAGCATGATCCAAGCGACATCTCTCACTCCTTGCAGATCACCTACACACACCATGGCCTCAAGAGTAAGAAGCCCGATATCACAACCGGGTGACGAATACATGTCTATCAGCATCGAAGCATCTTTTGCATTACCACAGAACTCAGCAATCGACGCAGCGTCTTCTGCATCAGAACTTGAAGGGCTCCGCAGAGATGTGCTGTTGCTGCCCTTAGCGTCACCCGGTTCCTCTGTTGGGTACGTAGCGTGAGGGTGCACAGGCCTGGGTGGTAGGCGTAGCACCAGCCCTGCGTTGCTCCTGGCTACGACAAGAGCATGTTGTATCTCCGGGCACCTTATGAGTCCAAGCGTCTTGGTTCTCAGTGAGGTACTATGGTGCTTGCAGCCAGCATAGAAGTCCTGAAGAGCTCCACTGTATGTGTCAATAAGGTTGCCGGTCAAATATAATATCAATCTATGTAGCTCATCCAAAATAAGAGATTGCCCGGTTGTCTTATCGTTATAGAGAGTGTGACAGTACTTGATCCACTCACCATACACGCATAGCTTCAGGCAGCAGTTATCACATATGATGATTGTCTGTGGGGAAAGGATTGCAAAGACCTCATCAGAGTTGTGTGTGCTGCACAAAAAGTGGATCCCACTCACTACCTGTGCAATAATGAGCCACACATCAGCCTCTGGTAGACCGTTGTGTGCCTTGCGAGTCTCCCACACAAACTTTTCAAGTGTCTCCCCGTTCCACAGATCTGCTTCCAAGTGTGCCTGTCGGCCTTCGTCGTCTAATATGATAGAGTTGTATTTAATAAGATTATAATGGTGATTCCCTAAAAAGTTATTTGCGGCACGAACAAAGCCCTCTTGCTCTGATTGACGCAAGGCATCTAGACCTATATTGCAGGTTAAAACGGGCACAGCATCTGAAGACCGATGTGCCCTGCATAGTTTCCCTAACGAAAACTTACTCAACACCGCAGTATGTCTATAGTACCCGTGCTGGTGGTGCAGGCCTTGTTCAGGCATTTCAATTTAGAAAATGGAATAATGGCAATGTGCAATAAATATTTGAACATACTTGCAAAAGAGAAAGAAAAAGCAGAGCTGGTAAAAAAGCTGATGTACTCTGTTCGAGAACGTCTCTTACGCATCTACGAGGAGGCGGCCGGGGAGCCATACCAGAGCAGTGTGAAGGATCTACAGGAGCGGGATGCGGGGATTGAGCAGAAAGAGGCAGACATAATAGAGAACCTTCGCATTATCTCGCAACTGCACATCAATGAACTACGTAAATCCCTGGAAGAGCGTGATGCAATGATCAAGAGGAACCCATCTAACACAAAGATACCCTTTCTTTCGCAAGAGATAAGAGAGAAAATTCGGGGGCTTAAGGAAAATGTTGACCAGTTCCGAGAGCTAGAAAGAAAATGTGAGCGCGAACTAAACAGCAGCTCCGGTGATGCTCGCGCGCTCGCCCAAAAGAACTGCCAGGAATGCAAGGAGATGGCTGCTTTGATAGATGACTACTGCAGGGCCTTCACGGAAGAAGAGCGTGAACGCGCATTCCAACGGACAGACATTGGTTCGCCCATGGTTCCTTCTGCCCCATTGTTTGGGAGCTCTGGGACAAAGATGAGCAAGATAGACGAGCTCCTGCCTGTCCATGCTAACGCAGAGGAGGCTCGGGACAAACTTGCAAGCATGGAGCAAGAGTTTAACGAAGATCTTAAGATACTAATAGGTGCTGTTAATCGTGCTAAAGCACAGACAAATCAGATTGAAGAGAAGCTTAATCAAATTGGAGAGGTAATTGAGGTTGTTGACGAGAAAATGGAAACCGCAGTCACCGACGTCAAGGAGCTGCATAAGTCAACCGCTGACGTCAGAAAGAAGGTTGCCAGCATCGGAAAATGCGTATGGATAACCATAATACTCGTGCTTTTGGGGATAGTGGGCATCTGGATCTATAGGATTGCTATAAACTTCACTGGTTGAAGCCCACATATGAAAGGACCTTCTCGCTGACAAAGCCAACAGGACGCTCGATCACTGAGGGAGACCCCGTTTGGACAACGTTGAGCTGTAACTTTTGGGTTCCTACGGTGGAACTCTTCTGCAAGAGAATGCGGGGAGAGTTGTTGGGGTAATAAACGCCGTCAACGTACAGGCCAGAGGGATCAACGACACATGCATGGAGCCTTCCTGTGATATCTGTTGAGAGGGAAAACTGGTGTGAGGAAAAAAAGTCCTCCCCTATCTGGAGATCCATGTTTGGGCTGCTCCCCACGTGGAATGGCAAGTGCTGCACGTTTACCACAGTGTTCCCGTAGGACAGAGTACAGATGGACGGCAGTGCATCCATATCTCTTAATTCAGGAAGTAAAAGTATAATTTTATATTTTGATAAAATTATACGTGGAACTTTTTAGAAACTAATCAGTGCATTGAAGTTGCGTGAAGTACGAAGAAAGTCATATGGTCGCAGCATCGTCGTGTCAGTGTCGGTCTGTGCTGCCGCACTACCTGGTACTCTCTCCTGAAAATAAAATTCAAAAATATCTAGTGATATGGATGGAAAGGCGCCCGAAACCTCCTTTCTACGCAACTCCCGGGTCAGCCTCGTAGACATGCAGCCAACTGCTGAGGTAGACCTCTTGTCACAGGCTCGTGCATACCTCTCAGTAGCTCCTTCGGCGACTCTTCCCACTCCGCCCCTTGTAGACAAGGCTATTGCAGGGGATAAGCTTACTCACCTTACACAGAGGTTTCAGAGCCTTGACAGCAACCGAATGCATTGGTTTGTCCGCCTGCAGGCCTTGATCTATATCAACGACCATTTAACGAAGGACGACATGAGGCCGTACATTTCTATCCTGGTCCCAGGGTCAATTCAGCCACTGATGAAGCAGCTACACGAAAAGCGAAAGACCTTTACACCGTTCTTGTCTTCAATTCTGATAGAATTCTCTAAAGTTTCCCCCCTTCATATTGCACCGGTAGCACACGAGATCCTAGCATATTGCCTTCGGGATCGTTCGAATCAGGCGATGGACTGTGTGTATACAATCTGTCAAGAGGTTCCGCTGTCCCAAGCAGCCTGGGAAGCTATACTACTCTTCATTTTTGACCAGCAGTACTCCAACTTCTTCAAAGAGAAGTTCTCGGCGATCTGTGACGAACCAGAAAACACGTCTCCTCTTCCGTTGGAGGTGAAGCAGCAGATACTGGAGCTTGCCTGCGAAAGCACGGTGCATTATGGCCTCTCGTCCATGGCCGCGCAAGCAGTTTCGGCAGGCGGATACGACACAAAGACATTTTCTGCAAAGGGAGTAGAGGCATATGCAAGGATTCTCTGCGGCATGTTCTCCGTTAGGGGTGCTGATAGCAACACCTCTCTCTATGGAACATCGTCGAAGCTTGTTGGCACTCTATCAAAGACAGTCAAATTTGATGAGAACTCTATCAATATCACCTCTACCCCTGGTAAGGCCCCTACATCCATCCCAGACCTACGCCACCATCAGCCAGAATTAGGGTCTGGCTCTACGTTTCTTCCGCCACAGAGTGCCTCCATGACTGGTCACTCCCTCCAGTCCTTCCGACCATCCATTCAAGAAGAAATGAACTCCCATCCTGTCGTCACCTTTGGGTCCACTGGTGGGGCAAGCATCATCGGAGCCATGAGTGGCCTGAGCGCGACACCATCTGCTCGGGAAAGTATCGAAGATATGATTGGAGTGGCTGATGTGAACGCAGCACTTGATAACGTGGCCAATTCGACACACAAGGTTGCACCAGTCATTCATACATCCACACCGCCCTTTGCAAAGAAGTCCCAGCCTGTAGTGAAGACACCAGGAGATGCTCTTGAGCAGTTTATACGTGAAGCAAGTCTGGGACCAACGTTCTTCAATGAAAGCCAAGCACCGCAAGATGCAGATACAACTATGAATCTTCTGGAACAAGCCCGAAACCTGGTGTCTTCACAGAGCGTGTATGCCTCAGATGCAAATGAAACCATGAATATGGACGATATACTCTCCTATGTCAACAACTTGGGCAAGACTAATGCAAGCAGGCGCGTCACGGGTGTGATGGGCGTCCCTCCCATAGGTCCATCCCAGTCGGTATCTATGGCCTCTCCAGGCATGGGGATATCGAGCTATGCAGGTCTTTCAGGCCATGGTGGCACTGTCCCCAACTCCGCTGGTTACACAGGCTACTCCATAGATAGGAAGGACACGGTAGAGCGTGGTGAGTCTCTGCAGAGGCCACTGGGTTTGCAAAGCAATTATTCTAGCATGGAAGAACTTAACGCTCTTCGTCAAACAAACAAAGACTTGGAAGCCCAACTCAATAGCGCCAAACTACAGATTCGGGAATATGTGGAGAAGATCAACAACTACAATGACACACTGCTGAACATGCAGACAGAGTCTGTTTCCACAGGCGCCTCTACACAGCTCTATCTCCAAAACCTAGCACTGCAAGGAGAGCTTGACTCCTTGAAGAGTGGCTTCGACAGACTGACAGAAAAATATCAAGCCCTGAAAGAGCGCGACAGAACCATGATGGACCGCCTCGACAAGTACGAAAGCAAGCAGCAGCAATTTAAGACAATGTTTGAACAAGCTACAGAGAGATATGAGACAATGAAACGAGTAACGAATGATAAGCTTCTAGCATACAAAGAAGAAAATGACAAACTGAGAGCCGAGCTAGGAGGTTTACACAGTAGTAGCGGGAAAAGAGAGGACTCTGGCTCTTCTGCAGAGATAGCTGCACTGCGATCGGAGATAGAAGCTCTTAAAAATGATAAGGCAAACCTCACTGCTGTGACAAAAAGGTTAATCGCAAAACTAAGTGTTGTTAGCAAGCAAACGACAGACGCCTAGCCGCTGCTGGACCTCTCTTCCTCTTCCTCTTCCAACTCGTCGCACTCGTGAGGATTCTGTTGTCGTTGCATGATAATCTGAAGTAGTGATGTCGTCTTCGAAGACGGAGAGCGTGGCCCCTTGCTACCGAATGCAGGAGATCGTGCTTTGTAAGAACTTCCCAGACCGCTCCCTGACAGGCTCTCACGCGCAGATAGGGCAGATACTGGGTTCACAGAGTTCCTGTTATATGCATTGATGATATAATCATCGTTATCTTCATCGTTGTACAACACCGGAGCATACCCGGCTCGGTAGTCGAGGCAGTCCACTGGAAGCTGGCGTCTTTCTCCTGCCACCAAAAACCCCTCCATGGCAGCACCCAAATCAGCAGAGTTAACCTCTGTGGAGAGAATCTCTGCAGCCTTGCTAGCCACTTCTGTAAACGATTTCATAGCCTCCATAAGTTCCTGAAGGTTTCTTTCAAACAGATTGGAGGCCTCGCAATCCGCCGCCTCCAGCATTTCCAAAATCCTTGGCATATGGTCTATGATATGTTTGCTGCCACTGGTGGACGCCTCAGGGCTCTTGGAGCTGCTAAGGAATGGCCTATTGCCTGCTCTCCTCTTGCTTTCTAAATATATATTTGACGATGCACGAGACAGCTCGCCGGTAAAATTAGCGACTGCGTTGTGGATCCTAGCTCTGGATTGGGTGTTGGCTACAGAGCTAAGCTTCACTCCTGCCATCTGTAGCACCTGACATGCGTTGTAAAAGTTAGTCATATCCATTCCTAAAATGTTTGGGTGCGGAATTGAAGACGCTATATGACTGAGCCTGCGGGCAGAGGCAGCAAAATGTGCTAGCTCGTCTAATAAAGCCTCTAGCCATTGGAGATTATTCCGTACTTTCACTGCATGATCCCTGGCCTGCTCTGGCTGGTCGCCAAAGATCTTTGCTGTGGAGACTGGCTCTCTGGGCATCTAATTTTCGCCTTTTTTAAACAGAAATAAAACGAGGAGAATTTACCAAAAGCTTGAGCTGCTTCACAGGTGTGTGCATCTCTAGACCTTAGTCTAGACCTTAGGTAATCAAAGAAAGCGCCTTCTCATAATTCTTAATCAGTTCGACCGCCTCGTCTTCAGACGGTGCCTCTGAAATTATACGAATAATAGGCTCAGTGTTGCTAAAGCGCATATGAACCCACTTACGAGAGCTGACGGATGTGAACTTTACCCCATCAACAGTGTCAACGTCATACTCGGAGGCTTCTTGCGCCAAGGCCTGCAGCTTCTTGTCAAGCTTAGCTCGCTTCTCTGGTGCTATGGTATACTTGTTCTTCTTAATATAGTATTTCTGGAATCGTTCTGCAACAAGCTCGCTAATTGGCCTCTCTCCGTGAAGCTTGCGCATCTTAGCAAGCCATGAGAGAACAAGGACAATCGCCACGATGCTGTCACGGCCTATGTGCGCAGACGGAAGCATCACGCCGCCGTTCCCCTCACCGCCAACAAGACACCTATCGCCCAGTTCAAGCATCTTGAGTGCCACGTTGACCTCTCCTACTGCGGTGTAGTGCAGTACACCCTTGACGCCCCTTTCCTCATGCTTTCTGCACGCATCTGCAACGACTAGGGATGTACTGATATTCGTCACTATATGATACTCGCCCGGAGGCTGAAGAGAAAGGGCGTAGTCAACACACAGAGCAAGGGTGTAGTCCTCTCCCAGCGGCACGCCCGTCTCAGTAAGAATAACCAGTCTATCAGCATCGGGGTCAACTGCAAATCCCACGTGGACGTCTCCTTGGTCCTTTATAGCCTGTCCAAACTGGACAAGGTTTTCTGGAATAGGCTCTGGCTGTAGCGGAAGTGGACCTGGCTCCATCATGTAAGGTACCTTGAGACTGACGCCCAAGTGCTCGCATAGAGAGACGATATACATGGCACCAGACGCATTGCACCCAGAGAAACCTATTGAGAAGTTTGATTCACGGATGGAGGCAGCATTAACTAGAGGAGTCTGTGCAAGAACATGCTTTATGTGCTCAGCTATGGCATCGTCAGACCCCACATATTCCATTTTCGCCTTATTGTGGGTGTACGTCTTTTTATTCTGAATGGAATCGGCGATCTCCTGTACTAGCACTGTATGTGGATGTTTGGTCATGAAGCTGTGATACTCCTTTTGAAGCATATCTTCGGTGACACAACTATACACACGAGTACACTCGTCTGGGGTGAGGAATATGCTACTGGGCCCAACAAACTTAAGTCCATTCCACTTGGGGGGATTGTGAGAAGCAGTCGCGATCACTCCTCCTGCGCACTGGGAGTTACGGACCAACTGCTGCACTGTAGGGGTGGGAACAATGTCAAGGTATTTAACGTTAAAACCTTCCAGAAGGAGGGCTGCGATAATGTACTTAGGGTATTCATCCCCAGTGTTCCTTCCATCTCGCCCAACGTACACAAGCTTCTTTGAGCGCGTCGTAGAGCAGTTGTCTACCATTTGTGGAAGAGCCTTGGCGAATGCGGTAACGTAACACATAATTCGCCCAAAGGATTGCTCGTCATGGATCCAGCGTAACCCAGAAAATGTGGCGATGAGCCTATCCATCGTCGATAAATTTAAAATGTCGACGCTGTAGTTCGTACCTAGAACGGTTAGCAGTTGTAGATTGTTGAACAGTAGCTGTATTTATGTTTTGGTTCAGTATCAGGACGTAGCATTAAGAGCTAATTGAGCATCAGGCCGAATTTTTAAAGAGGTTTAAAAGAGAGGTTTAAAAGAAGAGGTAATTAAAAGAAAGCACCTCCTCCCTCTACTATGCAGCTGCTGGTCTTGCCTCGCGGGACAAATGCGGAGGCCCTCTTTTCAACAGGTGCTAGGCTAGGCAGTAAAGGCGAGCTTATCTTTAGTGGCTTCCAAGCCATCGAGATTCCACTCTCCACCAGCCTTCTACTGCACAGCAAGGGGGATGAGTACACGCAGCATACACTGACTAGTGCACTCACGCTCCTTTCAGGTGACATGGCAGCAGCACGGAGCAGCCTTCCCAATCCTAAAAATAGCATCCCCACAAGCAGGCAGGTAGATTGGGTAACCTCGCACTTGCGGAGGGAGCAAGATCAGAAGACCAAGCATTCACTAAAGCAAGAAAAGCACGTACACTTCGAGCAGCCAGAGAAGAAGCGGTCCAAGTCCTCCAAGTCCTCACGCAAAGAGAAAAAACGCCACGAGGACGAGGGTATGAAGGATCGTAGAGTTAGTAAAATTAAGAGCTAATCTATTTACAAAGTCATGGGCGAACGCATACGGGTTTTCGACAAGGCGGCTGACACACTAGAAGCGGATATGGTTGTGTTTGAGCATGCAGGGGTGAGCTACGTATTTCGTGTTGATATGGACGTGGCAGATAATGTGGATGCTTTGAGCCACGAGTACAATATTCTACGAACTAGACCAACTGCGGCTGAGGTGGATGCGGAAATCAAGAGGCTTGAGAAGCAAGCAAAGCAGCGCAAGCCACGGTCGTCCAGTGGGAATTCAGAGCTGGAGCTCAAAGTCTCGCGCCTTCGTGAGGTCTGTACCATGCTGGCAGGGGCTTTAGCAGAGCGCAAGGGAGTCGAGGTTGGCCGCATCTACCAGCTATTCAACATTACATCTTTGTAGTTGTCATCTTCATCAGTCTAGCGGTGATAGGTAAATGTAGTAAACTCAGTGAGATACAAACTAATTGCCTGTAGATGGTAAGGAGCAGGACGAGTCTGTGTTTGAAATCTTACCCTCGTATGCAATCAGCGGTGTCTCCTCGGTAATGCCCATAGATGACAGAAGGGCGTATCCAAAGCCTTCCCTCATGACGGGCAAGTCACGTCTATCTTTGGGACATGGCTGCACTGGTTCATCAGATTGTTTGCTTATGCATTCATTGTCAGGAGTGCCTGCTAGGCCATTGACACCGTCGAGATCTTGTCGTGATGTCTTTTGTGCAACAGAGAGTGCTGGATGACGCTTACGTAATAGCTCTATATTCATACACTAACGTCCAGGTAAGTGGCAAGCGGCTCCTGTGGTCTTCTGTGATCACTGCTGCGATTTTTTGCAGTGAAACCGGTCAAGACCGCCCGAGGGAATTCCGCGTAATAAAAAAGAATGGAAGTTGATCAAATAGTGAGCGATATCTATGTCTCGGAGGCCCGTGCAGCTACGAGCGGGTTCTCCCAACCATCCTATCCATCACATACCTCTCAGGATATCTCTTTGGAGTTTATCAGAGCCATGACAGCGGACACCAGCACTTCGGGGATCCCTCCATATAAGGAAGCCTCCATACGAAGTACTTCTCCATATGCGGCCTATAAAGTCAACTTTGCGAATGACCTCCAATATGGCCGCGAAGAGAGTCCCATCGATTATCTAGAGGATGACCTTAGCAGGCTTCTGATAGATTCGACAGTAGGCGATCTTCCTCTTCGGTCACAATCACTCAAGCAGAAAAGTGTTGATGAGAATGCCCGGAAAGACTCCAGCTTCGCAGGAATCCGCAGCCTCCGTTCCGGTGAGCTCCCTGCCAAGCAGCTCCTTATGTCCTCGCAGAGTAGCCGATCCAGTTCATTCATGCGAACTCCAGCAGGGTCCATGATTCGGTGGCGCCCTTCCACAGGCGGCCCCAGGCGCCATCAGGGCACACGAGTGGAGGCATCCACATCTTATCTCTCAAGTGACCCTAACGGGCTCCGCGCTTCCTCGGTGAGAGGACGGCCAATGACAGACGCGGATATAACCCAACAGGTGTTCCACGTCCTGAATTGCCTGAAGCTTAGTCACCCATCAACGTTTTACATAAACAGATCTGGATCACAAAGCATTCTAGCATTCTCTGCAGAGGATAACCAGCCACTCGAATCAGAATCAACCTCAGATCCTCATATGCCGTCTTCGTCGCAGACAATGGTGGTGTTGAAGGTCGATTTTCCAGATCAGTTAAAGATGTGTACGTATAACATGGTATATTTTGGATTTTATTCCCTATTCGATGGATTGCTAGAAGATGACCAGGGATTTTTGGTGGGAGACAGCAGCTATCTTACAGTTTCGGAAGTAGAACCCTTCTGTATTGCGATGGCACGCCATGTACTGGAGATTGTACAGTCATACAATAAATATGTTAACCCGTCTGTGGCAATTGAAAGGCTTCGCAGCTCCAGTTCCATTACGGTCCCGTTCGTTAAGTGTATCTACATGTTCAAGAAAGAGCTGAAGGCCCGGCGGCTAACAACTATCCCGCGCTGTGACCAACCTGGTTACCAGCGCAATCCCTCTAGCACCAGTTCTAGCTTTAGCTCCGCAGCAACGTCCACCTCCTCTTTCAAGGGTTACGATGAGGTGATATCCCATTGCAACAAGCTCTATTCGCTTCATGAAAAGAAGCAAGCCAAACAACTGGAGATTGACCGCCAACGGGCCGAGGAAGAGACATCTGGATGCACGTTTCGGCCAGAGCTGAACGATAGGTCCATCGAGCTCTCGACACGCAAACGCATATACGATGGGACAGCAACTGTGAAGGAAAGCATCGAAAATAGCATCGAAAACTACACTGTTAAGGTCCGGTCTCTCAACGAGCTAGACGACTATACAAAAATAATAACTAAGTACCTATACGATCTAAAGCTCTACGCAATGAATCAGCGTATCCTTTCCTATTTTCCTGACGATCATGTCATTTGGGAGGATGCATATCATGCTCTGCGGGCAAACACCAGTTTAAAGTACAGAGAAGAAATGATGGACGAGTTCAAGGAGCGAATGGCAGCAGAAGCGCGATCAAAGAGCACAGGAAAGCCCCAGACAGCGAAGGTAAAGCTCAACTACAAGCCCGGTGAGTCTATACTCGACGCAACTGCACAGCTAGGCGTATGTTACTACAATAAGCATCTTAAGAACGTAAAGGACGGAGAACCTTACAGAATGGATGAGAGACAGAGACGCAATATGAAGCTTGTCAAGCAGGGCGTGCTGCGACCAGAGTTCGCTGGGATGACTGATCAGACATTCAAGGATCTTCCAATAGCTAGCAAAATGCACACAGTAGACGCAGATCGCCAGATTGAGTACCAGGAACGGGAAGGCAAGGCAGAGCAACGTGTAGCCGCTGTGAAGCCGTACCTCCGGGGCGGTGGGGATGTAACGTCACTGGTCGGTGAAACGGGAATGGGAGAAATCGTTCAAGCTACTCTGAACACAAAGATGGGCTCTGTAGCAAACCTTGATAATGATCCTCTGGTATCATCTCCGGTTCTTTTGGATTCATTGACGAAGTGCCTCAGTATGATAAAGGCGATAACAGAGCAGGAGGATGCTTAAATCCTTTATTAATAAATTATAGTTGTTATGTTCAGTTGTTAAGTTCAGTTTTTAGGTTCGTTCCTTTTTTATTAAGATTATTTTATTAAGATTACTAAGCTTTTAGGTTGAAAGGCGCAGGGAAGCTATTTAAAAATGACGCACGTTGTTTCGACTGCATATTACCCAACGGCAGCAGGCAGCAATCCGGTGCCAACCATACAGATTCTTCTGGAAGACGCAATCCACACAGAAAATTACACAGGCGTCGTCACACCTGCGAGGCTTAGGAATGAGGGCGGCTGTGTGACACAAACCCCTATAATAACTGAGACAAAAGAATCGTCAGATGATCCTCCCCCTCTTTCTGTGTGTGATAATTACACAGTCTGTTCAAATGGAGGTTCACACCCCTTCATCGTCTACGACCTTCTGATTCCGAGGAAGAAGCATCAGGTTCAGGTTTCAAAACGTTTTAGCACAATAAAGCGTCTTCATGCCGACCTGTTGCAAGAGGGTTTAGAACATTTGCCGTCCTTTCCACGAGATCGCCCTTGGAATCTCGGAGGAAATCGGAAAGGCTTTGTCGAAGAACGCGTAAGAGAGATTAATAACTACTTCCACAGACTCCTTTCCAATAAGGCTGTAGTTAATAGCAACGCGTTTAAATACTTTCTTTCAGAAAACGACTCTTTCATGCCGCTGGAGAGCTACACCTTGAGGTAGGTTGGCTCGCATGAACCCAAACTTGCCCGTCTGAAGAATGCCCGGCACCATGTAAACATTTCAGTTTCTGAGAAAGCAATGAAGCATATAAAATTGAACAGTATAAAATTGAAGATTGTCACATGGACAAGCCCTTGATCGTGGAAAGCAATCAGCCGTTTATCAGCAAGATTAAGCCTGCAGATCCAGATAAGCGCATCACCCCGCGGTATCTTACGAAGTTTGAACAGGCTCGCATCCTTGGAACCAGAGCATACCAGCTCTCAATGGGAGCTCCAGCTCACATAACAATCACAGACAAAGGCGGCCACCTGGACCCCCTCGTACTGGCGCGCCGTGAGCTGGCCAATAACGCTATCCCCATAATCATCCGCAGACACCTGCCAGATGGTACATACGAGGATTGGAAGCTCAGCGAGTTACATATCATTGACTAGCACCGGCTAGTGCATGTAAACTGTTCTGAGCACATTCTATGGGCCTTCTTATCTACTCGTAATCCTGCACCCTTCTGGACCTCTTAAAGTCTTTCAATTCATAAATTCGTAAATGTATCCCTTGGGGCTTCTTCTACTTTTCTTCTTCAATTTTGAGCTCATAAGAGGTGAGGTTCGTAGTGTCTACAGCGACGAGGACGGGAAAATCCATGAAGGAGCTGAAGGTGGGGCTTCTGGCTCCAGCAGAGACAAACTGATGATAAACTTTCGACGCATCTTTGGACGGCAGTGCGACCTAGACATCTTTCCAGGTATTTGCGTGGTCAAGCAAGTAACCCCAGATAAAGAAAACCAGTTTGCAACGGTCCTGGTAGACTTTATAGACACAGCATCTCACAATATTAGCTATGACATTAAATATATGATATTTCTAGCAGAACCCAGCGTAGAGTATGTGACTAAGAACAACATAGTTGAGGGAGCTGAGTTTTCATGCAAGAAGAAGGTGAGCAAGTCGGGCCCGTGCGAACCGGTCCATATCACGTTCGACTTAATTGACGACCCGACACTTATCGAGCAGGAGGCGAGCGACCCATCGCACCCGCCAGCAGATCAAGATGAACTGTGACTTAAGACTTAATATTCCGGTGTCTTGTCTGATTTACTTTGTTCTTTTCTTCCTCTCTTTTTTTCTCTCAGCTGAAGCCGAAATTAAAGCCGAAACTAAATTTCACGGTCTTCGAATATTGGTGTACAGATACTGCAGTCAGAGAGTTCAAGATGAATTGATGGAGGGTCGTCGAGAAGCCTTGAGTACAGGGTTGTCTGTAGAGAAGGTATCTGCGGAAGAGCTGGGGCCACAATAGTTACACGCTTTGTCTTCCAGTTAGACCCTCCCGTTGACATTTTCACTTGTCCATCGTCGTGCCACTTTCGCTGTGCGCGATCAGCCGGTGTTGGTGTCTGGAAGGGCGACCAAATCATAGAAGCAGAAACGGCAGCAGCCACTGTCGATCCAGACATGGCGTGAGTGCCATGAGTGTCATGAAGTCCTGACTGGTATGGGGTTTGGTAGAACGTAAATGATGTCTGACTATCTCTAAGGCATGCCATACTCATAGATGGATCCATCTCAGCTTGCGTCACTGCAATGAACGATTATGAATTAATCTAGTGTACTACCTTGGCATGTTAACCCGGTCAACCTACATTGACCACACCATGACACAGCCATCATTGTCCATGGTACAAAGCCACTCCTCTGTGCATGACATGTGATGCAAATCTTTATCTGCAGCATGGGCAGGTATTTCCTCAACCAGCTCTAATCCGTGTGTGAATACGTATAGCGTCCCTGCTTCGCTGCCAGCGAAAATGTACTTACTATTGTGCGTTATGCTGGTCATTCTTGACCCTAGCTCTATCTTATTCAATTGACGCCGCTTGGGGACGTCAACCAGAGCAACTATCCGGCCACAAGATATTGCACATACGTCACCGATCAACGTCATTCCTCTGATAGGCCCCTCTGCAAGGAAATCGGAGACACGAGTGCCATTTTTAGATGCAATTATATACTTGTCCTCTGCTGCCGAAACGATTACTCCATCGCCAGTTAAAGAAAGATTCGCAACACGTAGTGTATGCTCCTTGTGACCACCAATCATCTTCCTGCTTCTTAGGTCCCACTCGCGGACGTCCCCGTGAGACCCTCCCACCAAAATGCGCGTCCTGTGACCGTAGAGGCTAGTAACTGCGATCCGATCTGCGCCTTGGATAGTCAGCAATTTATCGCCGTTCTCAATGTCATAGATTAATAGATCTCCGTTTGTACAGCCAACTAAAATCTGGATCTCGTTCAGGTAGACGGCAGACGGCGAGTTTGGCGACACGTCTATTGTTAACCCAGGATAGAAATCTTTAAGATCCCAAATACGGCAGGTGTTGTCCGCCGCAACGGTAATAAGCATCGTTGCGTCCCCGTTTCCTGCAAAGCACGCGGACGTTGCCGGGGCAATGTGATTCTCGCTTACCGGAACGGCCTTGTAAGAAGAGCCTTCTTGAATTATTAAAATGATACTCCCGTTATCTGTCCCTGCGAGAATACGACCCAGGGAATCAGCAGCAAGGTTCGTAACTCGCCCGGGAACGCTGAGGGTTGAAGACACATCCCAGTTCTTCCCCTGGCCTTTAATTATTGATATAAATCCATGACCACCTGCAGCAATGGTCTCATCAAATGCATCCAACCTTTCATATGTGGTATAAACAGGTCGTATACTATCTAAGTCTTTGCTTTCTCCCGGAAATACCACAATGCATTCTATTGGTGCGCCATTGGGTAATTGGATGAAGCTCAAGAAGGTGTTTTTCACCGCATCAATGACCAATATTTCCCCGGACATGGATCCAGCTATCATCAATGATCTGTCCTTAGTGCAGTGGGCGATGTCTCGGATTACGCGTTTCACCGGGCCAGTTGTTAAAGGAATGGGCTGAATGGTTGAGGTCTTGGGATCGAATGTAAAAGATACGATAGCCCCTGACTGGGTATAACCCAATAGATTATAAAGCGCAAGCTTTCTTCCACGCTCGTCCTTGATTCTCCCACCGAACAAGACACATGCCAGGTCCAGGTCACCAATTTTCCGCTTGCAAACGATATCAGCAGTGGCTGCTTCGGAGATGAAGATCATCTTGTCGCGGGCACCATACGAAACATAAAATAAACCATCTGCGCTGTAATTGGCAGAGGACACCCCAAAATCGTGCTCGGAAAAGCGGAAGTGCAGGCTATCTGTCTCCAAATTCCAGATACAAACATCCGAATCCTCTCCGTCTTCTGCACTGATCAGCATGCGACCACTAGGGTCCAAGGCCATATGACTCACGGTGCCCACATGGCCACGGAGAATCGTCTGATTCTCGGGATCAGTAAAAGAAGAAATCACTATAGTCGAGCCAATACTATAGATACACCTCTCTCCGTCAGGATGGAAGAGAAGTGTGCGTCTTCTATGGGGATAAAATCCAAGTACCCTGCGGAGTTGAAGAACCATTTCCCGGATCCAAAAGCGTCTTATTTTTTTAAAAGAGGGATTCTGGGCCAAGACTCAAGGCGTGAATTTACTGATAAGATAGTTCTGATGGAGGTACACTAAAAGGATCAACTCCTCGTGCTAATGACTTGGCCCACCTGCTAAAAAGGGGAAGGAATGGTCCGGTATCACCAGCAACGCGGATGCGAAGCGTGTTGGGCAAACTGCCCTGTTTGTACCACTTCCACATTGTTACGCTGGGAAATGGCCCCCTCATTATGTTGTTTAGATCCAGATACTCCCAGCTGACATCATACGTCTGAGGAGTCTGTTGCACAGGCATAGTATACACAGCTGGAATAGCCGGTATCCCGTGCATAGGCTGCATGGATGGGGCAGCGCCCATTGGATTTGCAAGTCCGACAATCTGCTGTTGGGGATGGTACACCGGGAAAACAAGCTGGTTTGAGATTGGCTGTATACCCGGAATTACTTGTGTGTAGGGTAGTGTTGGGAACCCAAAGATCGCAGGATCACTAGTGGGCGGGACAGGGAACTGCGGTACTCCATGTTCAGAAATACCTTGACTTTCGGGTAAAGAGTCGATAGTGTTGGGTCCGGTGACAGGACCCTGCTCTAACTTTTGTAGAACGTCTTCAATGTCGTCTCCTGCAAGGCCAATAGGACCCCTGTCCCCTGCATTATCTGATTCATTGGCAGTCTCTACTGGCAGATCACTTGTTAATGCAGATTGATGCTTTGGATTTGAATAGATGTTCTTCCTACTGTCTGGTGCAGAAATAAGGTCCATCACATCGAGGACAGCATCTGAGGCAGTGGTACTTCGAAACGAATCACTTATACTTTCTTTTCCGCCGGCAGTCCTGAAGTCTGGGCACAGAAGATCGTCAAACTTATCACTTGGGTCAGGCTTATCCCAATGGATAGGCTCTTCGGGCATTTGATTTTGGTGCGCTAGTGTCTTTTGTTGGCTATCCGTTACAAACTTCGATGCATATTGTTTTGCACGTGGCTGTGTACCTCTGTTTTGACGAAGATTAGGAGTCTTGATGAACTCAGAGAAATTCAAATTACTCACGTCAGAAATGGCAAGACCGCTGGAGATATCAGAGAAAATCCTCAATGGGAAATTATTCTTAATTGTCTGAATTTCTGGGGGCATCTCTGCCAGTGGCGTGAACAATTTGAAGACATCTTTCAATGTGTACTTCATTTCCTATAGATTTTTTAAATGGTATTTTTAGGCAAAGATCTTAAATGGATGCGCAAGAGGACACGCACGACACCACCTGTTCTCTTCAAGACGCGTTCCAAACGTTTCTAGAAAAGAAGCGAGCCGAACGGGCAAAGATTGCGGCTCGGGCCAAGCCCATTCAACGCACCCAGGCAGAGAAGGATAGACTTCGCAGGCTCTTCATTGAGAAAGCCATGGGCTACTGCGGTACACCCTACTCTCGCAAAGAGCATCCAGAAGGCTCCGAACTGGCTGCCTACCCCCTTCAGCTTGACTGTTGCGGACTCATAAGACAGGCTCTAATGGACTTAAAGGACGAGTTTGGTTTTGAGCCCCTGCCCTACAACCAAGCATATCAATTTGACACCCTCCCCCTCCGCTATGACACCCATGACCTTATCCGCGAAGGCGACCTCATTTTCTATGAGGGGGTTTACTTCAACAACAAAAAACGGCCGCAAAAGCACGACATGGTGCATGTGGAGATCTATCTTGGCGGGGAAGCAACCCCTGAACGTTGTCTCGGGAGCCGGTTTCGCAAGCAAGTGGTTAGTGTGTTTGATAGCTACAAGTTCAAGAGCACTGTTTGGGAATTGAAAAAGCTCCACTTTTGCTCCATTGACACCTGGCTGGACGGAGTCTGTAAGTCCGTCTGTCCACTGCACCAATGGGAAAGGGCCACCGTGGGATTTACCAGGGGTAGTATCTTCGAGCCTCTCGGGGAGGAAGACCTAGTTGCTGACCCTGAGGATGCTTAAAGGGTGTGCCCGTTGTCCTACTTTTTCGCTAGCTTGTCCATTAGCGTAAACAAAAGAGTGGTCTCTTCTTGGTTTAAGTTCTTTAGGATCTGCTGGCCAGTGCCGGCTCCAAACCCTCCTGAAAGTGCCTTCAAGTCAGTTGCGAGTGAAGAAGGAAGCCGCACTGGAAAGCGGACAAGAGATGCGCATTGGGCTTCATTTATTGACACAATATTTCTTAGTATTCTCTCTGGGTGTATCAAAACAGGTCCCGGCGGCTCGGAAGGCATGCTATAAGTAGGAAAGAAGAACATGGGGCAGTGTATCCCTCCCACCTGCGCTTTCTTAGTCCTGATAAAGCTCTGATCGTTTCCTTCCTGTTGGGCCATTTTAAAATCATCTCCATGCGAGTCGCTGCGCTCCCAGCAGATACTATTCCCTATTCCTTTCGGTTAATAGAAGCCCGCGGCAGGGTGTCCGATCGCATGGGGTGGATCACTGATCAGAAGCAGTTTCTTACCGCTATCGAAGTTATGCATTTACACTCACAGGGAAAGCTTCTTCTCTCTGACGAGATGTTTCGCGTCTTGGCTATTGCTATGGAGCGGATCAACTTCGAATATGGACCAGCGATGACGGCCGTTATGCGTGGGTATGCCAATCTGCGCGCTAAGGGTCACTTTGTTACATTCCACAGCCCTCCACCAATGTTACAACGATACTGCTATGCCGTCTGGCATATATTCCAGGCATTCAACCGCCCAGTGACACGAAAGACACTGCAAACGGGGCCACCAGACTTCCTCTTGTTCATCCCCAGAGCAGATCTGACCCCTAATACATTACATAATATATCTCAGACCCTGCAGCGGCTTCCAGACCCCCTATGCCCACACATGATTGGGATAGTTCATGGATCAAAACTAACATTCGCAAGGATCTATCCTTTGGCTGTCGCACTCCACCGCATGGATCGCCAAATAAAGGCTCCACAATTTCAGCATCCGGGCATATGTAACGGAGAGGACACTGATTGAGTTGTGGATGAACCCGCTTTTTGTCATACGACGTCGTTCCTGTTGAATGCCATCGCAAAAATAACAATGATCGCTATTCCAATAAAGAAACAAATGACAGGAAGAAGCGTAGTCGCTATTACCTTTCTGTTCCCCAACTCATTGTCTTGAAGGTCTGAAACATGGAACGCTTCCAAGCTCTGAGCTATGGATCGGGCATCGGCCCTGCTTCTTGACATGCGCATTTGTGAGGCCCTTGCTGGACCATATGATAGCCGCATGCTTCCTTTGCGATAGGGGTTATTCAAGTCATACTCTGTCGACACTGCAATGCACTGCTTCTGTAACATCAGCAGGAGCTCCTTGCGCTTTTCAGGTACGTCTGCCTCATCTCCACCCAAGGTAGTGTAGCAATGCTTCAGTATTACATCGTATTCATCTATGTCGGCTGTCTCGCGGGTATGCACCAAGTCTGCGATTCTCCTGCGAGCCTCCTCGAGCTCTAATATCAAGATCTTCTCCTCGCTTTCACGTTGCCGCAATTCTGTTTGAAGACGCAAGAGCTCATCTAGCCTGCGGTCCTGCTCTGCATTTTCCGCTGCACTCTGCTGACGAAGAAGTTCGCTTTTTGTAAGCATTTCTTCGAATTTCAAATCAACTTTCAGTGACTCAATCTTCTTCTTCAGTTCATGGTTCTCTGCGCTTAATGCTTGTGCCTTTTCTGTCGCTCTCTCTTCACGCCTTGTTCGGTACTCCAACTGAGATTTTAAAAGAGATATTTCTTTCTTCAAGGACGAATCGCTGAGCGGATTGAGATCAGAATCCGGTATCTCTGCAGACGGCCGCAGAGTATCGTCGGTACCGTATGCCAGTGTCATGATGTTGTGCAACGAATCCAGGGGCACTCCTACTGCACCTTCTGAGCCACTGACTTGCTTGTATACGGCATAAAAACTATTATCTGCTACGTCATTGGGCCTGATACTGATGGTGAGCCCGGTAGAATCACTGCCTTCGAGCATACACCATCTACCGACAGTATCTAGCTTGTAAACAGCCAAGCAGTCCTGTGATATGGTTCCAATAAGCTCATATCTGACCTTTTGAGGAGCTCCACTGGGTCCTGCAATGTCTTGCATGAAAGTCAAATTATTCACCAGCCCTCCATCGGGGACAAATGTAATGAGACGCTGAGGAAACTGTGTATACTGCAAGGATGCCAGCGGTTCCTCCCCGGGGGCAGTCATTGCCGTATTAAGATCTTCTTGATATACTCTTGTCAAGAAGGCCTCCATTCCTGCAATAATACGGACAGCATAGTCCTGCCTTATCTCGTGTGAGCTATCTAAGATCTCGCACAGCAAGCGCTCAGTTGTGCTGCACACAGTCTCTCCACGCGAAGAGAGCTGGAAAAGATTGCATCGAATGGAAAAAACGGAGCAGTATGGGCACTGTGAGATCTCTTCATGCTCCCGGCGAATATAGTCTGTCAAATAATATGAATTCTTCATGCTAGACAACCCCCTGGCGGAGCAGGAGGCTGCCAAAAAAAGAGGATCATCAGCTAATAGTAGCTCTAGCGCCAAAGTAAACTTATTCCGTACTAAAGTATATTTCTTTTCCTGGATCTCCTTGTAATGAGTTAGCAACAACTTGGCGCCGCCTAGGTTGCTAAGCACAGGAAGCTGTACAGGATGTCTCGTAGTATCCCTAACAGCTAGACTATTACTAATTGCTCCAAGCCAAGCCGCAGACAAGAGAGACACGGGAACGTTAACCCCTGGCTCAGCCGGATATTCATCTAACATTGCGTCTCTGCCTGACGTGACACGCTCATCAGCGTGATGAGGCACCAATGGAAGATCTGCCAGTCGCGCAGTTCTGGAGTCCTCATTCAGGTCAGAAACATTCATCATACTAAGTATGGCAGTTTTCACGTCTTCCTCGACGGCGTTAAAAAGTCTCTGACAGTCGAAGCCCGACTCTAAAAGGTTACGAGTTGCATCAACAAGATGATTCTTAAAATTCTCCTCTATTAATGAGTCTAGATGAGCGTGATCTGGGGGTTCTTGCACCACATTTCGATCTGTCTGATAAAGTCCGCTGGCAGAGTGTATCGGTGCAGCAACGTGGGAGCCGTTAGCTTCAGTTAATCCTCTTGTCTCTATGGCACTCAGATCCGCAAGAGTGAAATTAATTGCAGTCGACAGCTTTGCTCCACGCAGCGTTGGCTCCAGGAACTCAACTCGTTTAGAGCGTGTTCCAGTATGGTCCGAAAGCTGATCTGCAAGAAGATGATGATCGGAAGCCTGAAGGGCTCCTTCTCCTGGGATCGCCGTGGATCCGACACCGGGGACGGCGACCGTCCTTAACGTACTGCGCATCACCTCCCTGAGGTCGTTTATCATGGATTTCCCGAGATCAGGGTCATAGGCCGCCAAGCTAGACTTCCCCAGAACCTCGTCCTTAGTGACAGATGCCAGAATGGAGAGCATTTCAATCGTATCTGATGGAGCATCGTGGTTATGATTTGCAACATCTAGAACACTTTCTTGCACAGGCAAAAAGTCTGAGTGCCCCACGTCCTTTGAAAATGCGAAGAAAAAGCTAACACGCTCCATGAGCTGCTGACCATTAAGGCCCCGGTTGGCCAAGTACGCGACAGTATCCTTCACTGCAGCCTCTACATCATACTTTGTGTACTGTCCCTGCAGATTATTAGCAGTTTCGCGGCTCAGCTTACCTCTATAGCTTGACAAAAGAGCCCTGTTCTTGATCGGCTCTGTGGGCACAAAGATGAACTTTCGGGATGTCAAGCCCAAACAAACAAGCTTATGATCAGGAGCCGTGGAGGCACAGGTGACAGTCGAATTGTACGAGAAGGTGGTTATTATTGCTAGCTTATCTATGTGCTTCTTCACCTGAACTGACTTGGAAAAGGAGTCAATAGGCGGGAGAAGGTCCTTCGACAGCTCGTGTCTCAAATTCTGTTGGTCGTAATTAGGATTAGTTGCTAAGAACTCATCAATAAAGATTTTGCAGAGATGGCCCCGCATTTCTTCAATATTTTTGTCGGAGTTCCACTTGCCATCTATGCCAACTAAAGCAGACTCCCCGGTAGAAGAGGTGAGCATGATAACTCCATCTCTGAGAGGCACAAGGAACGCTCGTCTTAGCTTTTTAGAAAACACTTTGATGCTAGCAGAAGGACCGTCTGCCTGCTCTCTCCTGGAATAAAGTTGAAGGTCACCGCAGTCTGTGATAACGGCGTACTTGTCATTGAGAAGCGAGTTCTGCGTATACGGCATAACTAGCGCTGCAATACGAACAATGGGCACCGCAGAGTTAACAATGAGCGTCCTGGTATAATGGACAGTTGGCTTGAAGCTTTCTATGGTCGCACTATAATCAACTGAGTCTGCTGCCTTGTGCTTATCCGACTTCTTTGTACCTGGGGCATGTATGACTCGTAAGTTAGTCGATTTCAAATCGTACTCTCTGTAGTACACAGTTTTTGTACTAGAATCTAGGTGGACAGCAGAAAATTTATACAGAACATCAGATGCAGCGCGCGTGTTACGAGAGCTAACCTGATGGACAAAGTCTTTGACTGTCGTTGCAGGAGTAGTACATGCGGTAGAGGGGCGGTCAGATATCATATTGATGGCGGGGTAAAGGGCTGTGTCAACGAAGGATGTGACGTCTCCTGTTTTCTGTTTAACGGTGCGCACAGGGATAAGCTTCCCCCCATTATCCTCATCAAGAAGACAATCAAATGTAAAGTTATAGCCGTCTTTTGAAACACCAGTGGCAGCAATAAATGGCGTCCCCTCCACAGCGATGGCTCCAATCAAGGGTACTGACGTGGGGGCAACGTACTTTAATTCGCACTGAGCATCAGTCACACTGTACACCGTGTAGGTGGTGTACATCTTGTTATGGATTAGAAGATATTCCAGAGTGTGTAAATCTGCTGAGACGTCTGGATTACCAACATCACGCCTCACACTGATCCTATGCTGGAGGAATTTGAGAGCAGAGAGACTGTCAGGGTCACTATCCTTTACAATAGCAGATAGGCAGAGAAATGAGGACGCGCTCCGCTTTGAAACGGATAAGATGATGCCGTTATTAACACTTTCATTCAGGTACGTAAGTCCAATGGGCCCATGGGAATCGTTGGGCTTGTATGAGGTAGAATAGATCGTTGTTGTCTCAGCAAAAATTGCCAGCTTGGGGAAATACAGTACTGTCTGGACTGCGTTATCAGCGTAATCCGGGTCGCTCAAACGATCCCCCACCGGAAGAAAGGTACTCACAAACGTGGTCATCGCACAGCTCAGGCAGTTTTAATTTTTATTCACTTCTGATCTTTTACTCCTGATCTGGTAACGTCTTTAAGACCTCCTTGACTCTGCTTACAATGCTCGGAAGAATAGATACCAGTCCAGTGAAGCTAACCACCTTGTTAATAAGGCCCTTCCTCCTCCACCGATACCCAGCAAAGGGTCGGAAGTCGACGACTAATTTAGGCTTGGCCACATGGGGTAACTCTTGGAGGTAGGAAGAAGTTGCAACTATGTCACCAAGCCCAGCGAAGACCACCCGGTTCAGGGTAGCATTGGGATGGTCCTGGATAAGAACGGTGGACGGCATAGGAAACTTGGAATCTTGGCTGGGTGGGAGGAGGCCCTTCGCTGTAGAGTACCCCACCCCCGTGGCCAGATCCTCAAGTGACAGAGGCGTGGGATCTATGTGTGTCGCCACGTCAAGTGGGACGTCTGGTAAGTTGAGTGTTATGACATGTGTTTTGACGGGAAGAGCCTCTCCGAATTGGGATGGTTCGGATTGCACTTCGTAACATTTGGTGGTCGTAATAGGACTTGTGTACGCAGTATTACTGGATATAGTCTTTAGATTCTTGATATACTTTCTAAGGAGTATCAAGCGTGCGTCCCCTCTACACAGTGCATCCACATCTGTCTCATCGGTTGCAGATACCAAGGGAGTAAGGCTCTTAGGAACAAGGGTTATCTTCACCAAGATATCATAACCCGTTTTAGACTGCAAAATATATGATATCCCCAAGCCAGATACGCTAACCGCAGGCTCGTCAGCAGCATCTTGTAATTGCGGTATGTCTTCGTCACTAAGGGACATGGAGAAGTCATGCTCTAAAGCAGACTTTCGGCCGGGAGGCTGCACGTAGCAGTCAAAGTTCAAAGAGTGCCACATGCTATAGTGTTTGTCCATTCCACCAACGCCGCTAATGGCTGATAGGTGCTGCGCAAGGCCATTGGGCAATGCGTCAGAGATACTTACATCCATAAGCTGCTTTGTATACCACGCATAGTGGGTTTTTGAAGATGCAAACAACTTGGTGTAGTCACAGTCATCCATGCCACTGTCGAAGCAGAGCCGCACTCTGCGTGAGGAGAGCCCCTCGGAGATATCATATATAGTATCGAATAACTCGTCCGTTCGAGAAGCGTAGTAGCATCGTCCTGGAGAACAGGATACTGTGAAGTCAAATGCCGACTTGACAAAGTCTACTGCAGTGGTAGGGTCCTCGATAAAGAAAAATTCGCGCCCAACCGTTGCCAGGGCTGCAAGAAGAGACGATTGCCAAAACTCCTGCATATTGTCACAGTGCTCTGGAACATGCATGACAAGATACCTCCTATCAACGGCCACTGTTGATTCGCGGAGGCTCTCAACTGTGTAAGGTGTGCGTAGAAAATCAGAACACGGCAAGAGGGACCTTCTCTTTGCACAGCAAAAATTGCACTTGAGCGCCTGATCTGTGGTGTTACTTACTGAGGAGTTGGGGAAAGAAAGCTGGAATAGGAATGACTGTTGGCCATCAGACTGTGTGCTATTGCTAACACTATATGGGATAGAGCTATTAAGACGCCGGTGGGCAGTAGTGGTTTGCACGGCGTGGCAAGGCACTACATCTCCTTCTACGGTAGAAAAGTGCCGTGCATGGGTAGGAGGGCTGCTTGTGGGTAGTAACGACAGCATCTCCGGGGGTAGCGAGAAGGACCCATCCATCGATATAGATGAATATTTCCTGCTATGAGAGCCTGAAGAGCTTTGAAGTTTCGCAAGAGGCGCCTTTAGGCCATAGCTACACAAAGATGTGGAGTCAATCGGGAGCATGATGACGTTCTCGGTCTCCATAACAGGAACAAACAGGCCTGCCTCTATAGTAATCGAAGAGATCCTGGAAAAGACCATCTGCATGGCTAGGGTAACAGCATCCCTCTTATCTGCCAACACCACAAAATAAGATACCAGTCCTTCAGCCTTATGCGTGTTGGATATGAAGCAAATCAACCGGGAATTTGTCCTTATTTGAATAATATCTGATACCTTGGCCAGTGCCTCTCCGTTGCGTCCGATCACTCGGCCTACAGTCCAATTGGGGATTGGAGCAGCAAGACTAACAAATGTGTTCAAAATATCTGTGACCTTTTGTACGGCTTCCATCAGTGCTTCAGTACTTGCAGCTCGGACAGTCAACTCGTCTTGCTGGCTGACATTGATAAATATGTCCTTTCGGATCGAAAGCTCTAAGAACGACTGATATCCAGGACCGGAGTAGAATCGAGATCCTCCAGGGGGAAGGCGAAGAACTAAAGAATACGGGTACATGCGGTTCCCCAGGGCATCGGAGAGACTGCCCTTTCCCCTTTTAACCCACCGATGGTAATCTAAGACGTCTGCGTAAATCGCAGCCTTTGCGTCGGCCAGTTGCTTTGTCGTTCCCTTAATAACTGCATAAAAGCGCTTAGAGCCAGGCGGATCTTCCATATAGTGAATAGCCGCCCCAGTATTCTGCCTAATTAGTCCTATCCGTGATCCCTTAGTCCCCACCATATACCCCAGGTTATCTACTTCTATAGCTATCTTCTCAGTCTGCAGAGGCGGTAGTGCATCCTGAATCCACCTCTGGACATACGTTTTTGATGGATCACCGGGCATAGCTTTTTCTAAAGGATTTAAATGCTCCGTTCAGCGCTTGTGCCGTTGGAATGTAGGATTGAAGCTTTATCCTCATAATACATAAGTGGTGTGTTACTCGACGCCTTTGTCACAGATCAATGAGTTGAAGACTGCTTTGTATTTACTTCATTAAAGCATCATCTGATACAAACCCATAATAGAGCGGGGGGATGGCTGCGGTTGGTCGCCAGGCTCTAAGAACATCGTACATCTGTCATGGGTAGTGACTGCACCCGAGTCCTTATGAAAAGTAATAACGTAGTCGGTTGGAAGCTCCAACGGCGATCCCTGCATCTCATGGCCGCGAAAAATAAGCTTTGGCGGAGTGTTAACATTTCGCGCAATCGCCTCTGGGGCTTTTAATTCTTCAGGAACAATCCGTTCCATATCAAAGGGTATCTCTGCTTGTTCGGTCTCTAGGGTAAATGGTAGAAGAACAAGAGATCTGCACGGGGTCTGTTGAGGTTCCATACCCGGATATTTCTTAAAAATACAAGTTTTATAGGTATATTCTATGACTCCCTCCGAAGCGTCCTCCCCTCCGCTGAAGCGTCAGACCCCCTCCACCTCTGCCACATCGACTAGCTCAACTTCTGTCATTAGCTGCCCCGATCTAAAGGAAAAGCAATCGACAACCAGGTCAATCGAACTTGCCCGTAGGTTGATCTGTGAGCTCTCCACTAGTGCGGCTCGCACAAGAGAGGGATATGTATGCATAGCCAAAGATGATCTACTCACCATTACAAACAAAAGGAGGCTGTATGACGTGACAGGTCCGCTGGAGGCAATGGGAGTTATCCAGACCACTAAGCTTTTCATTATTTGGACTGGACCCCGTCTAGGCTCCTTTAGCTTTGTCAGTTCGTCTAGTAGAAATTCCGAATTTGTCGGTTGTAACGCGTTATTCTTAAGTCAATATGGCAAACGAACAGACATACCCATAAGGGAAACTGGTCGCCACACGTCTGAATTAGCACGTGTATACACCGCAAACGAGCCCGTGTTACTTCCACGCTACCCTAAGGCAAGGTCCACAAAGCCTGGCGTAGCTACTCTAAAAGAGAGGCTTGCTTTGCTCACGAAGCAATGCGCAGAATTGGAGGAAGCAGTGAAAATACAAGAGGCTATGTTCAATGACACACAACACAGAGCTATAAGCGTTTCAAACATCAGCCGGGGCGTGAACAGAATCTTTGCAAATACGGATCCACGACTAACGAACTCTGACCAGTATAGCCTTCCCTATCCCACTAGGTATGGGCTCATGCCCTACACCATAATCTTGTCTGCACCAGATCTCAAGTATGAGTTCCTTGTATCTTCATCACTACGCTACCCAGAGCTGGTCCCAGAGTTCGTCGAAAGACGACGCTTACTGGTTCAGTTTTATTCAACTTCAGAGATAATGCTCAGCGGCCCTGAGCGAATCGCCTCACCGGTTACTTCGTCAGCTGTCCAGAGGCTTCCCATTAGAAACTTCACTGGCTATCCCATTAGAGATTCTAGCAGTAGCGTGCCATACGACGACTCCAACACATTTGATAGAGAAAGTGACTACAGCACACAGAATGTCAGGATGGAGCTATCGTATTACACAGATCAGTTCAGTGCGGGCCCCAACAGCTACATTGATACTTACTCAGACTTTGATCTATTTGATGGCATCTAGGGGCCTCGAACTCGCCCACTTATCAGGTTATTTAGTCAGAATCCCCTTTGAACTCTCTGAGAGATGGCAGTTTGTTGATGATAAGGAGAAGCGATGATAGGGAAAGACATGAGAAAGTAAACGGGAAGCGTGGTCAGAGATTCACTCATCTGACAAGCCAGAGGGCTAGTGCGCTGCTGCAGACTGGTTCCTTTTGTATTCTGCGATAGAGAGAAGGTCTGGAAACTGAGACGGCTCTGTTCGCGAGGCCGCAACAGGGACTGCGCCTGTGATTTCGTTGTGAAATCGACGATCGCTGGGGATCAAATAGTTCCAATTGTCACTTTCAAATTGGAGGTTATCTCCGAAGAAAATTTTGTGTTCCTGCAGTTCTCCATTGTCCCACCTCCCCACAATCTTGCCCATTACGCCTCCGCTCTCAAAGACCAATTCGCCATCTCCGTGAAATTGGCCGCTAAGGAAGTTTCCCGTGTATCTTGACCCATCCTGCATGGTCATCTGACCGAAGCCGTGGGGCTCGTCGTTAACTTTATCCCCGTCATAGGAAATACCTACATGGTCAAAGTACTCCATTTTTTAAATCTCCCTGACCTCTCTGTTCACAGATTCTGTAGAAGATTGCGATAGTCAATGGTCTTGATAACAAACCGCCCTGAAGAGAAGTGGGATGTAAATCACAGAAACTAAGGATCATCCCGGAATGAGCTATCCATTCCTATTCAGTTGAATGGGATGGGGAACGGTGTCACGAAGGAAGGCCAACCCAGGGGCGTGTATCACAGCATCAGCTAAATGCTCGTATCCGGTTATCTTCTTTTTGTTCCGCTTCGATTCCTGTATAGCCGACTGTAGGGCATGGGCCGTGACACGCTGGGCAACAAATGCAATGGCTCGGATAGTGTCCTTATTGATTACATGGGAGGGCGCCGCAAGCTTGGTAATCCGTTTAACCTTAGATATCTGAAGTTCGAGAGACATCCGATACCTATAAATTGATACGAGTAAATTACCTTTGCAAAGTCAATTGGCGAGAAAAAACTGCACCCTTGTGTTACTCTGGTGTGTTCTTTATTACCCTACTCTGTCTCGTGAACCCTCACCACCAGTTCTTCTCGCAGTGGTCTCTGTCAAAGACTGCCGCACGGTACACCAGAAGCAAGGGGAAGGATCCCATCCACGCAGTCCTTTACTTAAACATGGGCCCCGCAAAGGCCCGTACCAGGGCGTCACACATTGCGCCAGTTGTCCACGAGGACCTTCGAAAGGGTCACGATGGCAGCGTCACGAACGGTTTCGGCCTCGTGCTGCAGACAGGACATAACAAATGCTTTGATGTTGGGCATTTGGGCTACCACGTTTCTGCCATTGCTGTAGCTTATGCAGAACATCCCAATGTCGTTCAAGCAGACAAGTAGCGAATTGGTGTCAGACTTGTATGCCTTCGTGCCAATCTGCTCTAGGCGGTTAAGGGCATAGGCGGAATTATCAAGAAGCCTGTGCGAATTGGCCTTCCAAAATGCTTCGCTCGTGTGCACAGGAGTGTTCCCAAGAAGATCTGACTTAAGTTCCGCCAAGTACGTTTCCCAGGTTGTCACCTTCTTGATAGTTTGTTCAAGAATGGCACGGAGCTCCCTGAGTAAGGTGTATATGCATCCTGAGGGGTTTTCCTTAGACTCCTGCCATCCTTTGCCTTCCATAACGACAAGAACGGCATCCAGCTGGGATGCTGCCATAAAATCTACCGCCTCGGGGAGAGTGCTAACGTTCAAAAGGATCTTGAGCGACAGACGAACAATTTTAGCAACATTCTGAAGGATGGTACAGTTCAGTATCCTTACGATAAGGACAAAGATGCCCTGTGTTAACAAGGAGCGCTTTTCGACGAAGGAGCTGAGCCATATGCAAAGAAGGCAGCCATATATTATTGGAAACTCAACCGACTTCTGGTTACTCACGCGTGGCAGGTGGCTGACTATCATGTTAATGAAGAGTGGAAGAAGCTTACTTCCGGCAACTGTCCGTGGGGAACCTGGAGAAAGCGTCTGGCGCTCTTGCTCTCCAGAAAGCCCGGTAATCATGCTGTCTGCATGGGCGTTGTAATAGTCGTCTGCGTATTGATCCATGTAAGCTCTGTCCACTGATCCGTGGTCAAACGTCTCTGCGGTGAGAATAAAGGCAAAGAGAACGGGGTTCATCATGAGCTTTGCCAGGAGAGGCAGACTCTTCTCAATGAGAGGTGTGTATACTAGCTTGAAGTTTGCTATGATATCCATAAGGCGATCGGCAGTTCTACACACACTGAAGAAGAGGGGCATGCTTACTGTCACGCTGTGAGCTAACTGTGCCAGCAGCGTGTCTAATGCACAAAGGTAGCACCCCGTAGTGAACTTGTGGGATATGGGATTTTCTCCACTTGCCAGAGGTGTGTAGGAGAAGGCCTCGTCTCCGCGCTCATAGTACAACACATGCCGATTGAGGTTTCTCTCTTTTTCAAAGGACGCCACCAACTGATTGAATAGCTGGGGATCGAGTCTTGTAATGAGCCTCTGTTCGAAATCGGAGCACCACTGGCAGAAGTCTGAAAGGCGGAAGAGGACTGCTGCAAGGAGAGCACTGGACGAAGAAGCGGGGTTGTGCAGAAACGAAAGAGAGAAGGAAATAAGTTCATCCTTAGTTGTCACGGCGGCCTCAGAAAACAGCTTGCCCCTCTCTGTATAGTCGGACCACATCAGCTTGCATACACTTCCAGTGGATTTGGGCGCCAAATGGGTTAGATCATTGAGTCGCAGCACTACTTCAAAGGCATCAAGTGGCGACATTGAGATTTCAAAATTAAAAAGTCCAAAGATCTCTCTGTGCGGCAAAAAGTTCTTCAATAAGGACTGTTAGCCTCATCCACTCGCAAACGGGCTCCTTGCTATTTTGTAGCGATTTCATTTCTTGGTCAATCGGGGATAGAGCTCCTTCTCCAAGTATAGTAATTTAGATTTCTAGCCATGCTTATCCGTGACATAGTTCCAGGAGCGCTTCCCTCCGCTACCGTGGTCTTCAGTGGTGGTCCGCTGGTAGAGTCTACGATGACTGCTGGTTTCACCCACTTGGCTGAGCACATGGCATTTGGTCAAGGTCTGTCCCGCACTCAGAGGCTAACTGCCGCAGAGGATGCTGGGATTGAGCTCAACGGGTTCACTGCTAAAAACTACGTTGCATTTACCGCAGATGCGCGAGACACTCAGCTCCATCGCCCCTCTCTCACAGATTGTCTTGAGCAGCTTCGTGACCTCCTGCCGCGTGCACAGCGTCCTCTTCCCCTTCTGCTCAACGAGTACGATGATATTCAACACGAAGCCATCATGGTCCTTGCTACGCCTTACGAGCATGCAAAGGAACTTGTTTTGCATCATGTCTTCAGAGATAGCCCCCTGGCGAATCCGATACTGGCAGAGATTGGTCTTTATGGACGAATGAAAAATGGAGCATACAAGGAGTTCACGGACAAGCTGCTTGACCCTGCCAAGGCTGTCTACATTCTATCTGGTAATGACGTGGATATTAGTAAGGCAATGGACACCCTTTCAGGCAACAATATTCACGGATCTATCTCCCAGGTCACTGATTTCTGGCAACAACCGGTCTCGCGACTGAACATTAATTTGTTCGACAACAGGATACACTCATACATCTCACCATATACACGCATACCAGAGACTGTCTTAGCATTTCCTGTTCAGCCTGGCCGTGAGACAGATGCAGCTTTGGCTTTCGTCCCACTTTTAAATAAGACGCTGGCCCCATTTGCGTCTGCAAGTCTCATGGTATTTCACGGTGCAAGTGTATTGGTCTGTATGGGGCCTGGCCAGAGTAGGCTTGTTGGAAAGAAGATTATGCAAGGACTTGATTCATTGGCTGCACATCTACGCACAAGGGAACTATCCTCCGCGTTTCATAGTGCTCGACAAAGCCTTATGCTCCACGGCTCCGACAGAAAAATGGGGCTACTGACATCTGTGGGTGCTGGACATGAGCTACTTTTAATGAACAGTGCAGTATCCCGCCCTGAACTTGATGATCTAGATAGGTCATTGCGGCCCATATGTCGACAACTTCTTAATCTATGGCGGGAAGCTTATCTCGGAGTGTGTGTACTGCCGAAGGACACATATAAAGATCTGCAACCCCAGTCTCCAGACGTCAATGACAGCTGCAGTAAATAAATTAGCTGCCTCATGGCCGGGCTACTTGAGGCCAGTGAACAGAATAAACGGGCATACGACAGGTTTCTGCAGCTGTGGAACAACGAGCGCTATAGTCCCATCGTTCTTCCGCGCGAGCAAGAGGTGCTTGATACAGTTAAGGAATACCTGTCGAAATCTCAAGACAGAATAGCAATGTATGACAAGGTTCATAGAGACATGGTTCACCTACACATGGAGCGGCTACGCTTCATTTTCGAAGACTATGTGCGTCTACGGCTTTCAAAGCTCAGCGATAAGCCATTTCTATATATGCAGACGGAGCTACAAAAGTACCTCACTGAAAATGAGCAGGATGCCGCCAGAGCCTTTCTTGAGTTGTCGCACCAGTTGCTCAATACAACCATTTTTCAACCCATTAAAGCCATACTGTCCAACCATGCAACAGAATTGGACCCAGAAGCCTCCTTCCAAAAGGAGCTCCGCGAAACCCTTAGTCGACAGCTTATCCTTCTCCGTAGCAAGGTTGTGGTTGTACGCTTTCTCCAAGCTACCACTATCACATCTTTCGATACAGAGACTGTTGTGGCGGTAGATGATCAACTCGCAGTCCACTTCGATGCCGTTGAGGACCATGTAATCAAAGGATCTGCTGTGCTCGTAGGGTGACACGCACTTCTAAAAATTGTAATAGTATGTCATCGGACACAGACATCTCCTACCTCCCAGATAGCATCAGTGACTCTGCATCAGAACCATCAGCACATGAAGGGGAGCCAAAGCGCAAGCATCTAGGCTATAACGACGCGGAGCAACTTACGAGTGCAGTTGGCCGTATCGTCAACAAGAACCTGAATACAACGGATCACGGTCCTGTTATGCTCAATCGCGAAGGGCGAGAAAAGGCTGTTGAGCGTGAGAAGTATGAGCGCCGCCTGCAGGATGCTATTTCCATAGAGCGGCGAGAGCTCCTAGAGAAGGGTCACATAACCACTCCTGCGCCTCCATCTGATTCTGCAGAGATGCGGCTGATCCGCACCGCCTTTGCTGGTGTTAAACAATTCATCGATGCCGTTACAAATTACGCAGAGGAAGCAAGAGTACACAAAGCTCGTGAGCGAGAGACCATCGAGCGGCTCCAGCGGCAGCAAGAAGCACTGCGGGGGACCGAGCGGACCCGGTGGCGTGCGCTCCCAGAGGAGAACCTCCTCGACGAGTTCATCCGCACCGCCAATCCCGAGTAAATCTGAACCAGACCATTCAAAGCACATACTAATTTATCCGCTGTTTATGCGGCGCGCCGGGCACCATTGGTGTATCGGCTAGCATGACAGCCTTCCAAGCTGTTGGGGCGGGTCCGACTCCCGCATGGTGCACGCTTTTCCGCCCCACCCCGCCACGACCCTTTCTCACAGCCACGCGGTGACGTCGCTGCACGTCGCCGACAGCGCGCTGGTTTCCACCAGCATCGACGGGTCTGTGAAGGTCTGGGATCTGATAAGGAACGCCCTTCTTCACACACACGCCCAGCTGGCCCCCTCGTATCCCATTTTCGACTCCGCGCTCACCTGCAAGCAAGTGCTCTACACCGTCGGAACCGACGGGCTCAACCTCTTGGCCATGAGAGGCAGCCTGCAGCCGCTGAGGGTGCAGAGGGTTGAACAGTTGAACAGCCAGCTGTGTCACCAACCCCCGTTTACACGATTACTCAACGCCCGTTCTGCCCTCTTTCTTGCAAACCACTACACGATCATGAAGGTATCTGATCAGTTAGAGATTGTAGACCAGTATTGTAGAAGCACAATGCCCATCTCTGAAACAGAGCCGCCTCCCATTGTACAGCTGTATAGCGACCACCTTCTGTACTCCTTGGATGATAAGATAATGGTCAGGCAGATATAGGCCCGCGGACTCTCTGCTTTACTTCGACTGGAGGCTTGCTTGAAACGTTCGAGCGTCATGTAATTGTTGGACAGTACTCTTCCGAACAATCTTGTCCTGCCATCGACTAGCTGACTCGTTTCTAGAATCAATTGGAAGATTGTCGAGTACCGTGCCTCGTCGAAGGAGGTCTTTGCGAGAGTATTCCAAGATGTCTAGCTGGCTGACATCAGCATCATTCTCCGTGCTATTAAGAATGACATTTTCTGCGTTTGACGTAGCCAGTTGCTGTACTGCAACCTTTTTAAGACTAGGTTCAGAGGACAGTATGAGCTCTGACAGGGTACATGCATCTGGCTTCTCAGCAGAATTCTTCTTATCGCCGTGCTCACTTGCATGACTGGATTTGTTTGCGACTAGCTTTTCGAAGAACCAAACTTCTCTGCCCCCGGAATCAAGAATGCAATTAGTTGCTTTCTTATAGCATAAAAGCCACTCCGAAAAGAGTCTGTGATCATCCAGAACAGCATAGGCCTCCTCACATAGCCTTCTGATCATCGGGATGAGTGGGCACTTGGTCTCGATAATAGAGACATTCTTTTCGGCAAGACTTCTCCACTTGTTACTCAAGTTGTGGAATCGAGGGGTTTCTCGCACGGTGTCATGAACCCAATGGATAAGCTCTTCAAACACATAGACGCTTGGGGTGAAAGGGTGAATAAGAAGTCGGTGCATGGCCTCTGCTCGTAGGTAATTCCCTACTCCGTTGAACAATTCCTGAGACAAAAGAAGCCGGCATATGGGTTGTGAAAATATCGACTTGGGTGGCACAATGAAAGACCCGTCAAGACCTATAGGAATATGTGACAGTTTGGACAGTATCTTGGACACATAGTCTAGGTACTGTGCCACAGGATCAGGGGACCGTGCATGGTCGAAGTCTCCTACTCGCCAGTACATGGTCTCTGGCCGTGGCGAGCATACTGCTAACACAGCATCAGATGCCTCAAACAAGAGATGTGCGTTAGACTTCAAAGCTTCCTCTGGGGTTAAGAAGGTGTTGATACAGCCTGCTAATCCCAGGCCAATCACGATACTGGTTGGTATGGTAAGCGCCACAGCGTGATCTGAGTGTTCCCAGGGGCGGCTTAAAGCGGTTGTTTTGCACAAATCATAGGGTGTCTCTGAGGTGTCAGATGTATTTCTTTTCAGACGCACAAAAATACTCTTTGCCTCATTCCTAGGTGGATCAGCTGCCCGAGCCAGGTCAACTCGGAGCTGCTTGCCTCGAGATTCGCACCTTATGGTAAATGCTACTTTTATGGAATCATCAAGGAACAAAGGTGGGAGGGCCTTATACACACACGCCCTCGAAGTAGAGACGTTAGTAAAGAGAGTGTGCTCTGCCTCAAACGTTATGCGTTCTGCGAAGGCTCGAACCTCAGGATGCTCTGGCATAAAAATGGATAGCAACCCCCTCCTGGACTTTTTTGCTGCCCCACCACCTACCTCTCAGGAACTAGAAACACAACACTGGCCTTTTGGTGATGTGCACGCGCTCTTTAGGCATTTCAACGAGGCTTTTTTCGACAATTGCCTGAGAGATGTTGTGGTTCATTGGAGCAATAGGCTAACACGTTCTGCAGGTCTATGCAAATACAGAGGGACGCGAACAGAAGAGCATAGTCCTATTGTAATTATCCTATCTGCACCTCTACTCCAATATCGTTCACAACACGACCTGCTCGACGTGCTGGTGCATGAGATGATCCACGCCTACCTTTTCAGACTGAAGGTGTTCGAGCGAGTGCATCACGGGCCCGTCTGGCACGCACAAGCGCACCGAATTAACCAGGCCGCTGGACTTACAATCCGTGCCTGCCACAACTACTACCAAGAGGTAAGATACATTGCGCACCAACGGGCTCTGAAGCGGGTTCCAGTCATTGATCTTAGCAATAGCACTATTGATCTCACCGATGATTAGAGGTCTTGGGCGTGACGCCAACCACGAAGCTGTGAAGGTGTGCCACAACATGAATCTTCATGCATGGTTCCACGTGACTGCCTGTATATGATAAAGGCGATTTGCAGCTCTGCCTCTAAGTGTGTTATGCTTTCAAATAACTTATACGTCATTCTTAGCTCCAAGTCGTGAATGCATGCTTCTTGAAATAATGTAAGAGCTTATTTTGCTTGCCAATTATCCTCCTCATTCTTAGTGAGTCTGTGCACACCGCTTCTTATATATGAATTGCTTCTACACACCAGTATCACTGGTAGATTCTAGGGTACACAACGTGTTTCTGTACATGCTGGGACATCTTTCAACATTGCAGGTGGTACATACCATCCTGCATAGCCATCAGGGAATCTATTATTAGCCTATTATTAAAGTACTGTAAGAGCAATCATGGACGGATATTAGTACTTTTCACGTAGGCCCTTAAAGTCGCCAGCTGTATACACGCTCCTCGGGGTTGTGGCCATCCTCCCTTGGGCTTCGTGCTTTTTGTAAGCATAGAGTGAAAGCACTTGCATTGGCAAACTAGGCAAACGCCAGATATGTCATGCTATGAACACGTTGAACGACGATGAATATCTTACAGAATAGGAAGATCTGCATCCAGCTATCGGTAACATAGACTTTCATAAGACATGTGAGCCGCACAGAAATACCACTGTAAATGTACTGAAAATCCACATGAGCATCGTCACATGGAGATAGAAAGCCATCTGAATGAACACTTTTGCGGGCTGCTTTGGTGCTTTGAAGAGACGCGAATGACTTTACGTCACTGTATGTTACAAACCCAACTGACCTTTCATGCCTTCCATGATGTAGTCTAGTCAGAACGAGCTGATTGTAGTCTTCCGATATATGCTTAAGGGCGCAAGGTGTAGATCAAATAGATTGCTTTATTGCCTTCGAGAAAAGGACGGGCCTTGCTTTGCCAATACATAGATATGTGATAATAGACCAGGCAATCAGCAGTAAATGGAATACACGGCTAATAGCTGCAAGACGCAGTCGTAAGCCTGGTTCTGCATGGGCAGCATCCAAATAGGGCCGTTGTCATGTCGGCTCTTTGCAGACGCATTGTGTACAGCAGTTACGAGCTGCGCAACGGAAGGTCATAGGGGGTGAGGTTGTCTACTGCACCACGCCGCATAGAGGACAAATCAAGACCGACAGCACGAGAAAAGCGACAAGAACAGTCGCTTTGTGTGCCTACTGGCAAGGACTTCGTGACAAACCCATATGGCGCAGAGCCTGGGATTGGCCTTGTCCACGTTCATGTTAGGGAGCGTGGGCCTTCAAGAGTTAGCCAGAAGTTGCACCAATTCTCAACTGGTACATGCCTTTATCCAGTGATGTCCAACGCGATGCTTTACATCCGTGCAAGCTTTGAGATACTAATTTCACCGACTCGTTGTGACTCAAGGCGTCCAACTCGTTATAATATTGAGGCAAGGATTGAACTGAGTAACTGATTGCTAGGGAAATTATGCCATCACTATCACAACTAGCTTGAATCGTGAGAGAAGTTTGTACTGACAAGATTAAGCGGCCCAACCAGCACATGAGAAGAGTCTGTCCCTTATGATACTTTGACCACCAAAGGGAAGGTAATGGATCCACGGTCATTGTTTCTGATGTAGCAAGTAGCGCCTGCAATAGATGGCTAGATCATAAATGATATTATGGTTATGGCGTGTCACGCAATTGAGCACGAGTAAGATTGCAGACTGGCCCAACCTTAACTAGAGATCCAAACAAACAGACAACCAGCAGAGTAAAGATTGTAAGAGCAACTAAACGTCAAATCTGTAAACGGCTTAAGTTTGGTGAGTGGCATGAAAAATGGTCACTGAGCCTATCGTTTTTAGCTAATGTGGAACTTTTAATCTTGTAAGGCTAAGGTTGTTTTATCTCTTGTTGCTGACAACAAGCCCCTGCATAAGCTACGTAATAATCATCTATACTACTGCCGCGCTACTGTTCTCTGGATAAGTATCGATTGACTAAAGACAGACCCGTTGTCATAGATACATTGTGAGAAGGCTGATACTAGAAGCTTGTCTGTCGAGTTTGCATGTTCTATTTATGGAGACTTCCGATGGCAACCTTTATGTAGAGATATGGATGGTCTAGGAAACTGAGCCATTAGCGCTTCAGTCGCCGTCTTACAAAAAACAGATTGCAAAAAGTAGATGCGAAGTAGGATATTTGGTAGTTGCTGATTAGTGGGCATGATACCCAAGAATCCATGGAGCCGTTACCCAATTTTCCAAATTACAATAAGCAGCTTGCTTTGTTGACCCGGGACTGGTATCAAAAGATGTCTGGTAATCACAGAATGCTTTTAAAGTGATCTTGTGTGGCAAAATGCTTATGACGTGAATGAAATGAGCTGTAGGTTAAAGCAGGCAGCTTCCTATACTCATAAAATCGTCCAGCAGAGTGTCCTACAGCCTTGTACGGTTATACTTGACCATCTATTATTTCCCAGCATAAGCACAACAAGTCCTCATTACAAAAGTGGGCGCTTTATTCTTCATTCAATACCAGATTGCATATTATGCCAGACAATTATCATGCAACGGCTGATAAAGATTTATATGACCTGGCAGGACATACGAGTGCCGTTAACATTAAGGTGCGCGTAGATAGTGCATATTTGACCCAGCAAAGATAAAGTCAACCAGAGTCAGAAAAGGGGAAAGAGAAAATGGAAGCCACCATACTCCACAGACTTCTATCATGTTTTATACGCGTGGATGCTGAATTAACCAGGTGCTCAGACGCAAGGTATTTGCTGTAAGACACTTAGGAGCTGTAGCTTGACGCATACAGGTGACATACTATAGTTATGCTGAATAACGCGGAGGTATCGATGAGTGAACGCACAAGTATTGAAGGCGATGAGCCACAGGGGCTTCTATGAACTGCTCACGGTGAGTGGAAGTACCGTAGATACCTTCACTACCAGGCACGCTTAACCCAATCTAGAATTAGTATAAAGCATAGAGTTGGACGGACCTAGGTTGCGTCTAGTAAAACGTAGGACACTTCTAAGAGCTCAACTTAAGGATGGCGAGGCGGCCCTGTAACCCTGCATAGCTGGCCTTGCATCCAATAAAGACTAGGGGCTGAGTGGCACATATGTTCGTCATCCAGCATGGCGAATAGCCCGTGGAGCGGCAAGATCAATCTTTCCTAGACGAGCAACACGTAGTGAGTGTTCGACCAGTACCAATGGGCAAGGGTTAATTCTCGCCATAACTGACGCCCGGACGGCAGAAGCCAATAGGAAAGACAGCTCTTACCGGAGCGGTGCTGGGGATGCTCTGCAAGTCAGAGCCAGAAGGGCCTGGTAGCCATACTGGTGCCTGCTGTCGTCGGGCAACCCTGTTAAAGAAGCAGCGGCTCCTCGAGCGGGGCAGCTTAGGGGCCCACTACGTTCTCCTATTCTGCAGCGCATATTGTCTACTGGCAGGGAGCTGATGTCTTTCGTGGTTGCATGGTCCTGCTCACACCAGAGACAGAGCCAGACGACGGAGAGTAGGAGACTGACTCCCAGTTGAGATCTGCTTATTCCAGGCCCAACCACACCGCAGTATGCATCCACATCGATCTACGGTAGGTGGCGGGCAGCTTGCAGGGTGGAATTGGCAGCCTGGGCGAATTAAGGGCGGCGGATGTATTGCTGCCTCATTCCATCAATAGCATGGTTGGCTTGCGAGATGGAAGCAGTGGTTGCGGCGAAGGCACGTGAGGCGTCCAGATGAAGCGGACTATACAGATCGCTTAACAGCATTAAAAGTTGAAATGGTTACACTGCCCGCTTGCAAAGGTACATGGTTCGGCCTGCGAACACTGCGTGTTTACTGACGCAGACTGGCCTATTGGCAGTGCCTAACTGTCCTTGCCGGTGGCATTGCACAGCGAGTGCCCTGGAGGCGCCATCATGACTACGCTTTTCTGCTCTTTTGCTTACAGAGGCCATTACTGTCTGTCCGCTCATGACACCATAAACACACAAGGTCAATCCCCCTGGCACTTTACTCAGAGGTGCGCCGGCTCTTTCGGAGAAGCGCTTCTCTGTGTAGCTGTCTAGTGAACAGACCAGACACGGTGGTGCTATCAGCCAAGCCACTGCTGGGCAGAGCACACGGCCTGTATCTGCTCGTCTCGTGCTCTAGCCAGCCACCCCGCGTGAGCATCTGGAGGCGTGCCTGGACATATGCGTGGTATTCTGCGGTGTGCACGGTCTCGTGTCCGCACAGTAGGCCAGCCAGGGAGCGTGTGCAGGCACGTCATGTGGCACCACGTCCTTTGTGGAATGCTGGAGGACCACACAGGCGAGGGTCTACCATCAAGATACGGACACGTTGCTTCCTGACATGGAAGGTCAATGAGGCTATCCAGATGGCCCAGCCACGGTAGAAGGCTAGCAGATGTGATCGTATTGGCCACCAGCACTGTCACTAATACCAACATGCATGATTAATAGATCTAGCAGGGCCGCAATGTTGCTACTAGTTCTTTGCTTTTTGATGAGCGCTCTCGCTGCACAATGCAAGGGGCACCAGCACTCCAACTGCGCAACCGGCTGGTGCAGGGCGGTCCGTGGCGTCGAGGTCTGTATGAGGTGCAAAGCGGGCCACGTGCTGATCGACGGAGTGTGCGCTGATAACTCTGTTGTCTACGGCGCGGGGTCCGCCTGCCAGATTCTAAACTGCAAGCAGTGTAACGCGGACAACACGCAGTGCGAGCAGTGCGAGGACGGATACACGCCGAGCGCCGGGAATACCCAGTGCAACGAGAACCCAGAAGCGCGGTGCAATACTCCCAACTGTAAGACCTGTGACAACCCCAAAACAGGCAATGAAATCTGCACTAAATGTAATGATGGCGACTACCTCACCCCTACAAACCAGTGCGCACATGACTGCACAGCCATCAGCGGATACTACGGAGATACTGACAAGAAGTGTAAGCCATGCAGCCCTGAGTGCGCTGAGTGCGTTGGGCCAGCCAACAATCAGTGTAGTGCTTGTCCTGCAGGCAAGGCATTAACATATGGAGGTGGTGATCCTGCCCAAGGGGGCACCTGCGGGGATGCGTGTACGGCGGACAAGAACGGATGTAAGGTCTGTGGGGCAAGGATCGGCGGGACAGACTACTGCTCCCAGTGCTCAGTGGGTACTCAGGCTCCTCTGAACGGGGTCTGTACGGCCAACGCGCGTGCTCAGTTCTGCACACAAGTTACCAGTGGATCCTGCACGTCTTGTAGTGGGGGCTACTTCCTCAAGAATGGTGGCTGTTACCAGGCAGATAGACAGCCAGGCAAACAGATATGTACACTAGCTGATAGCAATGGTGGATGTCAGGCGTGTGCCAATGGTCTTCCTCCTAGTTCTTCTGACGTATGCCCCTCGTGTCATTTCACCTGCAAGACATGCTCGACCGCAGACATTGCAAATACTTGTACAACGTGTGCAACTGGGTACTACATGGTCGGATCAGGGCCAAACACATGTATTTCGTGTGAAAGTGACAGTGGAAGTGTCAAGGGAGTTGCTGGCTGCATGAGCTGCGCTCCTCCATCTAGCAATACTGGCTCCGTTCTCTGCTACCTCATGAACGGTGACAGTGCCGGCGGGAGCACGAATAAGAGCGGCCTTAGCACAGGTGCCATCGCTGGCATCTCTGTGGCTGTCATCGTCGTCGTCGGGGGACTCGTCGGCTTCCTCTGCTGGTGGTTCATCTGCAGGGGCAAAGCGTAGATGTACTTAGATAGTAAACGCGTCACTGTATAAAGCATATTATACTGTGATGGGGCCCTGCCTGTGGGAGCGTCCAGAAATCCCACGAGTAAGTCTCGCCCACGTCTTGGCCAATCTGAGAGCGAGAACTGGTTGTAGACAGCAAGCAGGGACTCCTCTTTATTAGTGTATCTAAAACTTGGCACCTTCTCCGGTCGCTCTGTGGGTGTGTGCTCAGTCTGGGTGTGCACGTCGGCCGTTTCGGGGTTCAGGCCTTCTCGCAGACTCTCTGGTCCACCAGTGGCGCCTCTCCTTGGTCTTCCTTCACGGTGAGTGAAGCCCGGGCCGCTGTCTTTTTTAGATGCCCCCGTCTGTCAGGGGCTGCCATCGGGCTCTCCGCTGGCTGGGCCCCTCGGTGTCCGTCCGGCTGTGGTTCTGGGTCAGCGCTTCCACAGTCGCGGTCACTTGGGTCTCAGTGGGCCGGCTGGTGGGTGGGGCGGGGGTATGGGCGGTGAGGACTGGTGGGACCGGGTGGTGGGTGTCTGTATGTGCCCCTGGTCCCTCGATAGACTGGGGTGATCGCAGCTGTGGTGACTGATGGCTGTCCATCTATGACTCACCCCTCTGTGTGCTCGTGGTCTGTGAGTGCCTCCACCCAGACAACCCTCAGGAGCCGTGCACACCGGGACAGAGAGGATGACCAAGGGGAGTCAGGCAGCCCTGCCATGAGGGTGCACAGCAGCCAGCCTGATCTGTAGAGTCTGCTCGAGCGATGTAGTGGCAGACGACTCCCTCTGACAGCAACCCTGGCGACTGCACTGGCCTGCTCTCGAGGCTGAGTGATAGTGTGCACAGATGGACCTGAGTGCAGGAGGATCATCCACACACGAACAGACTGTGTGGACCCAGAGAGGACTGGAGTCTGCTCGGGACACGCTGACTGTGCCCCCATACGAGAGTGCCAGGCAACTACCCGAGCACCCGAGAGGCAGCAACAGACACGGGCACCAGAGATCCTCAATCAGACACATTGCTATGCTCATCCACAGGGGCATCAGAGGACCAGGTGGGGTCACCCTCACAGTCAGGGCCTGATAGGAAGCCAGAGGACTCACGCAGCACAGTAGGTCCAAGGGAGGCACACTCCAGGCAGGTGAGCAGTGGCAGAGCCCTGACAGCTGCCAGCCCCCATGACACCCAGGCAGGCACCAGACTCACCGAAGACTCCGCTGGCCTCGACTGTCTTCATTGATGACCCGAGGGGGCAGCAGCCAGAGGAGTGAGGAGGCCTTCGGACACCACAAGAGACCCGGCTGTCCAGCAGGCGATGAGGCAGACAGGTGGCCTCTGAGCACCACACAGGCACAGAGCTGGCCATCAGAGTGATGCCCGATCACAAGAGATGACCACGAGCACCCTCCACCGCACTCTGGGGCCGTCAATCATCCCACTGCCTCTCATAGCAGACCTCCTTGAGGGCAGTGCAGTGGGTCCCAGCTCATGCAGGAGGGTGCACGCCTCCCCTGGCATAGGACACCCCGGCTCTCCTCGAGGGGTCATCAGAGCCACGAGAGGTGTCAAGGTCCTGGTGGACCACACCGGGAACTCCCGAACGGGCACAGCAGATGTGAGGTATGGGTGACCCTCAGCGTGCTCCTCTCTGCATGGTAGAGCATCTTGAAACCAAGGAGGCTCACCTCTGCCTATGAACAACACACAGCGCTCCATGACAAGGACCCACCAGGAGCAGCACAGCTGACCACGGGGACAGTGCAGCCACCAGTGCCCCACCGTGCCAGTCTTCTGGGCCATCACACTAGAGGCCTGAGAGAACCCATCCCATCCACCGGCTCATCCACACCCCTGCTGGCCGAGGTGAACTACGTCGAGGCACTGGACAGGGCATGCCAGGGGCCCAGCAGACCCGCACAGAGCATCAGCGAGTAGCAGGAGAGGCTGCGATGGCCTGCCTCATCCCTCATGTACCAGTCAACCAGAGCAGCAGTACTGCCCGAGGCATGCAGGGGCCAAGGGAGGCGCTCAGTCAGGGGACACGACACGATCGTCGGTGCCTGTGTCTCGGGAGTGCAACGAAGGCTGGGGATCAGACACAACCACCTTGGCAAACAGAGAGGGGATCACCCACCGCCGCAATGGCCCACCGAACCCAGGAGCACATACGGACACCAATCTCAGCCCCCACCCGGTCCCACCAGTCCTCACCGCCCATACCCCCGCCCCACCCACCAGCCGGCCCACTGAGACCCAAGTGACCGCGACTGTGGAAGCGCTGACCCAGAACCACAGCCGGACGGACACCGAGGGGCCCAGCCAGCGGAGAGCCCGATGGCAGCCCCTGACAGACGGGGGCATCTAAAAAAGACAGCGGCCCGGGCTTCACTCACCGTGAAGGAAGACCAAGGAGAGGCGCCACTGGTGGACCAGAGAGTCTGCGAGAAGGCCTGAACCCCGAAACGGCCGACGTGCACACCCAGACTGAGCACACACCCACAGAGCGACCGGAGAAGGTGCCAAGTTTTAGATACACTAATAAAGAGGAGTCCCTGCTTGCTGTCTACAACCAGTTCTCGCTCTCAGATTGGCCAAGACGTGGGCGAGACTTACTCGTGGGATTTCTGGACGCTCCCACAGGCAGGGCCCCATCACAGTATAATATGCTTTATACAGTGACGCGTTTACTATCTAAGTACATCTACGCTTTGCCCCTGCAGATGAACCACCAGCAGAGGAAGCCGACGAGTCCCCCGACGACGACGATGACAGCCACAGAGATGCCAGCGATGGCACCTGTGCTAAGGCCGCTCTTATTCGTGCTCCCGCCGGCACTGTCACCGTTCATGAGGTAGCAGAGAACGGAGCCAGTATTGCTAGATGGAGGAGCGCAGCTCATGCAGCCAGCAACTCCCTTGACACTTCCACTGTCACTTTCACACGAAATACATGTGTTTGGCCCTGATCCGACCATGTAGTACCCAGTTGCACACGTTGTACAAGTATTTGCAATGTCTGCGGTCGAGCATGTCTTGCAGGTGAAATGACACGAGGGGCATACGTCAGAAGAACTAGGAGGAAGACCATTGGCACACGCCTGACATCCACCATTGCTATCAGCTAGTGTACATATCTGTTTGCCTGGCTGTCTATCTGCCTGGTAACAGCCACCATTCTTGAGGAAGTAGCCCCCACTACAAGACGTGCAGGATCCACTGGTAACTTGTGTGCAGAACTGAGCACGCGCGTTGGCCGTACAGACCCCGTTCAGAGGAGCCTGAGTACCCACTGAGCACTGGGAGCAGTAGTCTGTCCCGCCGATCCTTGCCCCACAGACCTTACATCCGTTCTTGTCCGCCGTACACGCATCCCCGCAGGTGCCCCCTTGGGCAGGATCACCACCTCCATATGTTAATGCCTTGCCTGCAGGACAAGCACTACACTGATTGTTGGCTGGCCCAACGCACTCAGCGCACTCAGGGCTGCATGGCTTACACTTCTTGTCAGTATCTCCGTAGTATCCGCTGATGGCTGTGCAGTCATGTGCGCACTGGTTTGTAGGGGTGAGGTAGTCGCCATCATTACATTTAGTGCAGATTTCATTGCCTGTTTTGGGGTTGTCACAGGTCTTACAGTTGGGAGTATTGCACCGCGCTTCTGGGTTCTCGTTGCACTGGGTATTCCCGGCGCTCGGCGTGTATCCGTCCTCGCACTGCTCGCACTGCGTGTTGTCCGCGTTACACTGCTTGCAGTTTAGAATCTGGCAGGCGGACGCGGCGTCCTCGTTGCACTGGGTATTCCCGGCGCTCGGCGTGTATCCGTCCTCGCACTGCTCGCACTGCGTGTTGTCCGCGTTACACTGCTTGCAGTTTAGAATCTGGCAGGCGGACGCGGCGTCCTCGTTGCACTGGGTATTCCCGGCGCTCGGCGTGTATCCGTCCTCGCACTGCTCGCACTGCGTGTTGTCCGCGTTACACTGCTTGCAGTTTAGAATCTGGCAGGCGGACGCGGCGTCCTCGTTGCACTGGGTATTCCCGGCGCTCGGCGTGTATCCGTCCTCGCACTGCTCGCACTGCGTGTTGTCCGCGTTACACTGCTTGCAGTTTAGAATCTGGCAGGCGGACGCGGCGTCCTCGTTGCACTGGGTATTCCCGGCGCTCGGCGTGTATCCGTCCTCGCACTGCTCGCACTGCGTGTTGTCCGCGTTACACTGCTTGCAGTTTAGAATCTGGCAGGCGGACGCGGCGTCCTCGTTGCACTGGGTATTCCCGGCGCTCGGCGTGTATCCGTCCTCGCACTGCTCGCACTGCGTGTTGTCCGCGTTACACTGCTTGCAGTTTAGAATCTGGCAGGCGGACGCGGCGTCCTCGTTGCACTGGGTATTCCCGGCGCTCGGCGTGTATCCGTCCTCGCACTGCTCGCACTGCGTGTTGTCCGCGTTACACTGCTTGCAGTTTAGAATCTGGCAGGCGGACGCGGCGTCCTCGTTGCACTGGGTATTCCCGGCGCTCGGCGTGTATCCGTCCTCGCACTGCTCGCACTGCGTGTTGTCCGCGTTACACTGCTTGCAGTTTAGAATCTGGCAGGCGGACGCGGCGTCCTCGTTGCACTGGGTATTCCCGGCGCTCGGCGTGTATCCGTCCTCGCACTGCTCGCACTGCGTGTTGTCCGCGTTACACTGCTTGCAGTTTAGAATCTGGCAGGCGGACGCGGCGTCCTCGTTGCACTGGGTATTCCCGGCGCTCGGCGTGTATCCGTCCTCGCACTGCTCGCACTGCGTGTTGTCCGCGTTACACTGCTTGCAGTTTAGAATCTGGCAGGCGGACGCGGCGTCCTCGTTGCACTGGGTATTCCCGGCGCTCGGCGTGTATCCGTCCTCGCACTGCTCGCACTGCGTGTTGTCCGCGTTACACTGCTTGCAGTTTAGAATCTGGCAGGCGGACGCGGCGTCCTCGTTGCACTGGGTATTCCCGGCGCTCGGCGTGTATCCGTCCTCGCACTGCTCGCACTGCGTGTTGTCCGCGTTACACTGCTTGCAGTTTAGAATCTGGCAGGCGGACGCGGCGTCCTCGTTGCACTGGGTATTCCCGGCGCTCGGCGTGTATCCGTCCTCGCACTGCTCGCACTGCGTGTTGTCCGCGTTACACTGCTTGCAGTTTAGAATCTGGCAGGCGGACGCGGCGTCCTCGTTGCACTGGGTATTCCCGGCGCTCGGCGTGTATCCGTCCTCGCACTGCTCGCACTGCGTGTTGTCCGCGTTACACTGCTTGCAGTTTAGAATCTGGCAGGCGGACCCCGCGCCGTAGACAACAGAGTTATCAGCGCACACTCCGTCGATCAGCACGTGGCCCGCTTTGCACCTCATACAGACCTCGACGCCACGGACCGCCCTGCACCAGCCGGTTGCGCAGTTGGAGTGCTGGTGCCCCTTGCATTGTGCAGCGAGAGCGCTCATCAAAAAGCAAAGAACTAGTAGCAACATTGCGGCCCTGCTAGATCTATTAATCATGCATGTTGGTATTAGTGACAGTGCTGGTGGCCAATACGATCACATCTGCTAGCCTTCTACCGTGGCTGGGCCATCTGGATAGCCTCATTGACCTTCCATGTCAGGAAGCAACGTGTCCGTATCTTGATGGTAGACCCTCGCCTGTGTGGTCCTCCAGCATTCCACAAAGGACGTGGTGCCACATGACGTGCCTGCACACGCTCCCTGGCTGGCCTACTGTGCGGACACGAGACCGTGCACACCGCAGAATACCACGCATATGTCCAGGCACGCCTCCAGATGCTCACGCGGGGTGGCTGGCTAGAGCACGAGACGAGCAGATACAGGCCGTGTGCTCTGCCCAGCAGTGGCTTGGCTGATAGCACCACCGTGTCTGGTCTGTTCACTAGACAGCTACACAGAGAAGCGCTTCTCCGAAAGAGCCGGCGCACCTCTGAGTAAAGTGCCAGGGGGATTGACCTTGTGTGTTTATGGTGTCATGAGCGGACAGACAGTAATGGCCTCTGTAAGCAAAAGAGCAGAAAAGCGTAGTCATGATGGCGCCTCCAGGGCACTCGCTGTGCAATGCCACCGGCAAGGACAGTTAGGCACTGCCAATAGGCCAGTCTGCGTCAGTAAACACGCAGTGTTCGCAGGCCGAACCATGTACCTTTGCAAGCGGGCAGTGTAACCATTTCAACTTTTAATGCTGTTAAGCGATCTGTATAGTCCGCTTCATCTGGACGCCTCACGTGCCTTCGCCGCAACCACTGCTTCCATCTCGCAAGCCAACCATGCTATTGATGGAATGAGGCAGCAATACATCCGCCGCCCTTAATTCGCCCAGGCTGCCAATTCCACCCTGCAAGCTGCCCGCCACCTACCGTAGATCGATGTGGATGCATACTGCGGTGTGGTTGGGCCTGGAATAAGCAGATCTCAACTGGGAGTCAGTCTCCTACTCTCCGTCGTCTGGCTCTGTCTCTGGTGTGAGCAGGACCATGCAACCACGAAAGACATCAGCTCCCTGCCAGTAGACAATATGCGCTGCAGAATAGGAGAACGTAGTGGGCCCCTAAGCTGCCCCGCTCGAGGAGCCGCTGCTTCTTTAACAGGGTTGCCCGACGACAGCAGGCACCAGTATGGCTACCAGGCCCTTCTGGCTCTGACTTGCAGAGCATCCCCAGCACCGCTCCGGTAAGAGCTGTCTTTCCTATTGGCTTCTGCCGTCCGGGCGTCAGTTATGGCGAGAATTAACCCTTGCCCATTGGTACTGGTCGAACACTCACTACGTGTTGCTCGTCTAGGAAAGATTGATCTTGCCGCTCCACGGGCTATTCGCCATGCTGGATGACGAACATATGTGCCACTCAGCCCCTAGTCTTTATTGGATGCAAGGCCAGCTATGCAGGGTTACAGGGCCGCCTCGCCATCCTTAAGTTGAGCTCTTAGAAGTGTCCTACGTTTTACTAGACGCAACCTAGGTCCGTCCAACTCTATGCTTTATACTAATTCTAGATTGGGTTAAGCGTGCCTGGTAGTGAAGGTATCTACGGTACTTCCACTCACCGTGAGCAGTTCATAGAAGCCCCTGTGGCTCATCGCCTTCAATACTTGTGCGTCCACTCATCGATACCTCCGCGTTATTCAGCATAACTATAGTATGTCACCTGTATGCGTCAAGCTACAGCTCCTAAGTGTCTTACAGCAAATACCTTGCGTCTGAGCACCTGGTTAATTCAGCATCCACGCGTATAAAACATGATAGAAGTCTGTGGAGTATGGTGGCTTCCATTTTCTCTTTCCCCTTTTCTGACTCTGGTTGACTTTATCTTTGCTGGGTCAAATATGCACTATCTACGCGCACCTTAATGTTAACGGCACTCGTATGTCCTGCCAGGTCATATAAATCTTTATCAGCCGTTGCATGATAATTGTCTGGCATAATATGCAATCTGGTATTGAATGAAGAATAAAGCGCCCACTTTTGTAATGAGGACTTGTTGTGCTTATGCTGGGAAATAATAGATGGTCAAGTATAACCGTACAAGGCTGTAGGACACTCTGCTGGACGATTTTATGAGTATAGGAAGCTGCCTGCTTTAACCTACAGCTCATTTCATTCACGTCATAAGCATTTTGCCACACAAGATCACTTTAAAAGCATTCTGTGATTACCAGACATCTTTTGATACCAGTCCCGGGTCAACAAAGCAAGCTGCTTATTGTAATTTGGAAAATTGGGTAACGGCTCCATGGATTCTTGGGTATCATGCCCACTAATCAGCAACTACCAAATATCCTACTTCGCATCTACTTTTTGCAATCTGTTTTTTGTAAGACGGCGACTGAAGCGCTAATGGCTCAGTTTCCTAGACCATCCATATCTCTACATAAAGGTTGCCATCGGAAGTCTCCATAAATAGAACATGCAAACTCGACAGACAAGCTTCTAGTATCAGCCTTCTCACAATGTATCTATGACAACGGGTCTGTCTTTAGTCAATCGATACTTATCCAGAGAACAGTAGCGCGGCAGTAGTATAGATGATTATTACGTAGCTTATGCAGGGGCTTGTTGTCAGCAACAAGAGATAAAACAACCTTAGCCTTACAAGATTAAAAGTTCCACATTAGCTAAAAACGATAGGCTCAGTGACCATTTTTCATGCCACTCACCAAACTTAAGCCGTTTACAGATTTGACGTTTAGTTGCTCTTACAATCTTTACTCTGCTGGTTGTCTGTTTGTTTGGATCTCTAGTTAAGGTTGGGCCAGTCTGCAATCTTACTCGTGCTCAATTGCGTGACACGCCATAACCATAATATCATTTATGATCTAGCCATCTATTGCAGGCGCTACTTGCTACATCAGAAACAATGACCGTGGATCCATTACCTTCCCTTTGGTGGTCAAAGTATCATAAGGGACAGACTCTTCTCATGTGCTGGTTGGGCCGCTTAATCTTGTCAGTACAAACTTCTCTCACGATTCAAGCTAGTTGTGATAGTGATGGCATAATTTCCCTAGCAATCAGTTACTCAGTTCAATCCTTGCCTCAATATTATAACGAGTTGGACGCCTTGAGTCACAACGAGTCGGTGAAATTAGTATCTCAAAGCTTGCACGGATGTAAAGCATCGCGTTGGACATCACTGGATAAAGGCATGTACCAGTTGAGAATTGGTGCAACTTCTGGCTAACTCTTGAAGGCCCACGCTCCCTAACATGAACGTGGACAAGGCCAATCCCAGGCTCTGCGCCATATGGGTTTGTCACGAAGTCCTTGCCAGTAGGCACACAAAGCGACTGTTCTTGTCGCTTTTCTCGTGCTGTCGGTCTTGATTTGTCCTCTATGCGGCGTGGTGCAGTAGACAACCTCACCCCCTATGACCTTCCGTTGCGCAGCTCGTAACTGCTGTACACAATGCGTCTGCAAAGAGCCGACATGACAACGGCCCTATTTGGATGCTGCCCATGCAGAACCAGGCTTACGACTGCGTCTTGCAGCTATTAGCCGTGTATTCCATTTACTGCTGATTGCCTGGTCTATTATCACATATCTATGTATTGGCAAAGCAAGGCCCGTCCTTTTCTCGAAGGCAATAAAGCAATCTATTTGATCTACACCTTGCGCCCTTAAGCATATATCGGAAGACTACAATCAGCTCGTTCTGACTAGACTACATCATGGAAGGCATGAAAGGTCAGTTGGGTTTGTAACATACAGTGACGTAAAGTCATTCGCGTCTCTTCAAAGCACCAAAGCAGCCCGCAAAAGTGTTCATTCAGATGGCTTTCTATCTCCATGTGACGATGCTCATGTGGATTTTCAGTACATTTACAGTGGTATTTCTGTGCGGCTCACATGTCTTATGAAAGTCTATGTTACCGATAGCTGGATGCAGATCTTCCTATTCTGTAAGATATTCATCGTCGTTCAACGTGTTCATAGCATGACATATCTGGCGTTTGCCTAGTTTGCCAATGCAAGTGCTTTCACTCTATGCTTACAAAAAGCACGAAGCCCAAGGGAGGATGGCCACAACCCCGAGGAGCGTGTATACAGCTGGCGACTTTAAGGGCCTACGTGAAAAGTACTAATATCCGTCCATGATTGCTCTTACAGTACTTTAATAATAGGCTAATAATAGATTCCCTGATGGCTATGCAGGATGGTATGTACCACCTGCAATGTTGAAAGATGTCCCAGCATGTACAGAAACACGTTGTGTACCCTAGAATCTACCAGTGATACTGGTGTGTAGAAGCAATTCATATATAAGAAGCGGTGTGCACAGACTCACTAAGAATGAGGAGGATAATTGGCAAGCAAAATAAGCTCTTACATTATTTCAAGAAGCATGCATTCACGACTTGGAGCTAAGAATGACGTATAAGTTATTTGAAAGCATAACACACTTAGAGGCAGAGCTGCAAATCGCCTTTATCATATACAGGCAGTCACGTGGAACCATGCATGAAGATTCATGTTGTGGCACACCTTCACAGCTTCGTGGTTGGCGTCACGCCCAAGACCTCTAATCATCGGTGAGATCAATAGTGCTATTGCTAAGATCAATGACTGGAACCCGCTTCAGAGCCCGTTGGTGCGCAATGTATCTTACCTCTTGGTAGTAGTTGTGGCAGGCACGGATTGTAAGTCCAGCGGCCTGGTTAATTCGGTGCGCTTGTGCGTGCCAGACGGGCCCGTGATGCACTCGCTCGAACACCTTCAGTCTGAAAAGGTAGGCGTGGATCATCTCATGCACCAGCACGTCGAGCAGGTCGTGTTGTGAACGATATTGGAGTAGAGGTGCAGATAGGATAATTACAATAGGACTATGCTCTTCTGTTCGCGTCCCTCTGTATTTGCATAGACCTGCAGAACGTGTTAGCCTATTGCTCCAATGAACCACAACATCTCTCAGGCAATTGTCGAAAAAAGCCTCGTTGAAATGCCTAAAGAGCGCGTGCACATCACCAAAAGGCCAGTGTTGTGTTTCTAGTTCCTGAGAGGTAGGTGGTGGGGCAGCAAAAAAGTCCAGGAGGGGGTTGCTATCCATTTTTATGCCAGAGCATCCTGAGGTTCGAGCCTTCGCAGAACGCATAACGTTTGAGGCAGAGCACACTCTCTTTACTAACGTCTCTACTTCGAGGGCGTGTGTGTATAAGGCCCTCCCACCTTTGTTCCTTGATGATTCCATAAAAGTAGCATTTACCATAAGGTGCGAATCTCGAGGCAAGCAGCTCCGAGTTGACCTGGCTCGGGCAGCTGATCCACCTAGGAATGAGGCAAAGAGTATTTTTGTGCGTCTGAAAAGAAATACATCTGACACCTCAGAGACACCCTATGATTTGTGCAAAACAACCGCTTTAAGCCGCCCCTGGGAACACTCAGATCACGCTGTGGCGCTTACCATACCAACCAGTATCGTGATTGGCCTGGGATTAGCAGGCTGTATCAACACCTTCTTAACCCCAGAGGAAGCTTTGAAGTCTAACGCACATCTCTTGTTTGAGGCATCTGATGCTGTGTTAGCAGTATGCTCGCCACGGCCAGAGACCATGTACTGGCGAGTAGGAGACTTCGACCATGCACGGTCCCCTGATCCTGTGGCACAGTACCTAGACTATGTGTCCAAGATACTGTCCAAACTGTCACATATTCCTATAGGTCTTGACGGGTCTTTCATTGTGCCACCCAAGTCGATATTTTCACAACCCATATGCCGGCTTCTTTTGTCTCAGGAATTGTTCAACGGAGTAGGGAATTACCTACGAGCAGAGGCCATGCACCGACTTCTTATTCACCCTTTCACCCCAAGCGTCTATGTGTTTGAAGAGCTTATCCATTGGGTTCATGACACCGTGCGAGAAACCCCTCGATTCCACAACTTGAGTAACAAGTGGAGAAGTCTTGCCGAAAAGAATGTCTCTATTATCGAGACCAAGTGCCCACTCATCCCGATGATCAGAAGGCTATGTGAGGAGGCCTATGCTGTTCTGGATGATCACAGACTCTTTTCGGAGTGGCTTTTATGCTATAAGAAAGCAACTAATTGCATTCTTGATTCCGGGGGCAGAGAAGTTTGGTTCTTCGAAAAGCTAGTCGCAAACAAATCCAGTCATGCAAGTGAGCACGGCGATAAGAAGAATTCTGCTGAGAAGCCAGATGCATGTACCCTGTCAGAGCTCATACTGTCCTCTGAACCTAGTCTTAAAAAGGTTGCAGTACAGCAACTGGCTACGTCAAACGCAGAAAATGTCATTCTTAATAGCACGGAGAATGATGCTGATGTCAGCCAGCTAGACATCTTGGAATACTCTCGCAAAGACCTCCTTCGACGAGGCACGGTACTCGACAATCTTCCAATTGATTCTAGAAACGAGTCAGCTAGTCGATGGCAGGACAAGATTGTTCGGAAGAGTACTGTCCAACAATTACATGACGCTCGAACGTTTCAAGCAAGCCTCCAGTCGAAGTAAAGCAGAGAGTCCGCGGGCCTATATCTGCCTGACCATTATCTTATCATCCAAGGAGTACAGAAGGTGGTCGCTATACAGCTGTACAATGGGAGGCGGCTCTGTTTCAGAGATGGGCATTGTGCTTCTACAATACTGGTCTACAATCTCTAACTGATCAGATACCTTCATGATCGTGTAGTGGTTTGCAAGAAAGAGGGCAGAACGGGCGTTGAGTAATCGTGTAAACGGGGGTTGGTGACACAGCTGGCTGTTCAACTGTTCAACCCTCTGCACCCTCAGCGGCTGCAGGCTGCCTCTCATGGCCAAGAGGTTGAGCCCGTCGGTTCCGACGGTGTAGAGCACTTGCTTGCAGGTGAGCGCGGAGTCGAAAATGGGATACGAGGGGGCCAGCTGGGCGTGTGTGTGAAGAAGGGCGTTCCTTATCAGATCCCAGACCTTCACAGACCCGTCGATGCTGGTGGAAACCAGCGCGCTGTCGGCGACGTGCAGCGACGTCACCGCGTGGCTGTGAGAAAGGGTCGTGACGGGCACGCGAAAGCTGCGCATATCCCAGATTGCGATAAGCCCATCATCAGAGCCAGAGATTACTTCATACACTGGATGCTTGCAGAGAACAGTCACCGCCGCCTTGTGACCTTCGACGATAGAGTGAGCCTTAGAGCGTGTGTCCCATATAATTAGTGAACCGTTGTGGCATCCTAGTGTAACGACACTATCGGATGTTATAGTATCCATCGCTGTTACAACGTTATTAAAGGTTGTCAATTCCACTCCTCCATACTTATTTAGTCGAAGAACGTTTTTCCGTGTATCGGCGGTATAGACAGTAACAGAGTCTGGCAATGTTTTCATCACAGTGTACCGTGTACGGGAGTCATTTGCTGTTAGAAAAACCATTGCACACATTTAAATTCTGCTTTCTGCCAGAGTCAGACTGGAGTTCTCTTCAACTAACGGTTACAGCAGTACTGACCACCAGCTAAAGATTGGGCCAGACCTTTTTGTTTTACAACTTGCTATGCCTTGATTTAAATGTACCCTATCGTCCAAAGTGGCGATGGAAGAGTACCATTTTGCTATGTCTGCTACTAAATAGGTTGAGGTTGAAGGTCTTGCTCTGTAGAATCTCCTCTAAGATTCACGGACCATTACAGCAACCTCACCCGTGTTTTCCTTAGTGAATCGATGATAGCACAGTTCAAAGTCCGTAGTTCACATACTCACTTTCAAACTAGAGTACTTCTGATTCAGTCAAAAAATGATAAGTCATTGTTGAAAAGTACTGTCGTCGGACCACCTTTATGAGGCATATGGACGATGCCGACAGCACAGCTTTCCGACGCAGTATGCACCAGTCGGGCCCCAGTGAAAGTTGTAGCGTAGAGCCTAACGCACACCATGAAGAGAGTGTGCCGGAGAGTGTTACTAGTAATGAATACACAGATCTGCAAGAAGACGAGCTCTTCGAGCGGTTCAATACGGATATGTTTCCTGGAGCTGACCCGACATCCTACTCATTTCCAGCAACACTCCAGGCTTCCTTTCTCTACCCAAATTTACAAGCTGTAGGACATCCCATGGCTTATTGTCCTCTAACCGTACCTGGCCTGTCACCACTGGGCTATGAAGACACTGGCGATTTACCCACAACTCCAACATCCCCTTTCTCGACCCTAGAGCCGTGTGTCAGCGGTTCTGCTCTGCCTCCTCCAATCGCCTACCCAGTTTTTGAGTGTTCTACATCTGGCAAAGGCTTGTCCGTTCCACTTCCATATCAACAGTATTTTCCCTCACTGCTTTTGCCTGATTCCAATCATACCACTAACCAAAACCGAAACCAAGAACAAAGCCCTATACTCAGCAGTCCATCTAATAGATCATCAGATTGCAAGCACAAAAATGCTTCTATTTCTCACTCTCAGTCTTTCCAGCTGCCACATGCATGCCTGCAGCAGGATTTAGCCCCACTTGATGCACTTCCCCCGCTCCTGTCCTTCTCCTTGCCAGTCCTTCCTCCAAAAGAGAACCACAGCCACTCTATGTATCCACCCGTTATTCCTCTTCGGACTCAAGCCAACAAGGCGCTGTCTTTTGGAGAGCAAAGGACCATTCGCTTTTGTTCGAGCCCTAATGTAAGCATTACTAATTTATCTGTTCTATCACCATCTGGGCTATCTTCATATGTGCTAGAGTTGTTAGACTCTAACGCTTCTGTTAGCAACACAGCATTAGAAAAGCTACAGGCTACTCTTAACGCCACAGATCTCGTTCATTTTGAAGACTTTTATATTAATTTATATAACATAATCATTGAAAATCTTCTAAACCTTGCAAAGTCCCCAAAAGGCTCATTATTGATAGTAGATTTTGTGAAGAAAGTTGGCAATGAAGATCTGTACTTTAATCTACTGAATGCACTATTCAGTCGTGCTAAGCTCCTAATGAACAACCAACACTCTATCTGGCTACTACAGTCTCTCTTAGATGACTTGCCAGATGAACAATTTTTGTACTTCTGCAGTTACATAGAACCAGATTGCATGGCGTATTGCTATCATCGACAAGCAAACCACGTTGTACAGAAGGTCATATCCATACTCGAGAGCAAAGCGTTCGTTTCGGAAAGGCACAGGGAGACTGCCAACAGGATTTCCGCCATCATCCTCAAGGATCCATCCGATTTCCTGGCCCTTAGTGACCAGATGTGTGGCTGCAGAATTTACCAGAAGCTTTTTCCTTTACTGATAGACGAAGGTGAGCTAATCAACATCCGCAGTGTTTTGCTGGAAAAATTTGTGTTTCTATGCAATAACCAGTGGGCAAATTTCTGTATTCAGGGGCTTATAAAAAATAAAAGGTTAATCCACAGCAGTATTCGGAAGGAAGTTGTTGAGCAGCTAACTAGAAACGCTATACTGTTCTGTACGCACAAGTTCGGCTCACACGTCATTGAGAAGTTTCTAGAGTGTTGCACTGTCAAAGAAAGAATAGATTTTTCCATGTCCTTATTCATGAACCCAAATTTCCCCAATCTCATGGACGATTCTTATGGGAATTTCATAGTTCAGAAGATGCTTCATCAAAAGGAAAGTAAGACTGATGCACGGTTAGCCACGCTTCGGGAGACGTGTGGCAGGTTGTGCAAATATTATCTTAAAAGGCATAACTTCAAAGAACAGAGCATCAAAAATATCATGTGCTATCTTAGCAAGTCCCTGAAGGGGCTCAAGGGTCTTGAGCCACTTTGTCCAGACAAGGTTTTAGATATAGCCAGGAAGCTTGATACGAGCTCGTGGGTTTTCTGTGCATAATATAAACAGAGTGTAAAATTATAAATGGAATTATAAACATTGAATTATTTTAAATTCAATTTGGCTTTCGCCAATTCTCCCCTGACGATTCCATGCCCCGCATTAGCCGCCATAGGAACTCGTCAAAGACATACAGCACCCCAAAGAAGCCCTTCACGAAGCCTCGCTTGGACGCCGAACTCAAACTCTGCGGGGAGTACGGCCTCAAGTGCAAGCGCGAGATCTATCGCGCGAGGTACATGCTTGCGAAGATCCGCAGAACGGCTCGTAACCTCCTCACGCTTGACGAGAACGATATCAAGCGCAGGTTCGAGGGCGCTGCTCTTCTTCGTCGCCTGCACATGCTCGGGATCCTCGATGAGGAAAAGGACCAGTTGGACTATGTTCTCGGTTTGAGGATTGAAGATATCTTTAAGCGCCGTCTTCAGTCAGTCATCGTAGAGAGCAAGCTCGCAAAGTCCGTCCACCACGCGAGGAACATGATCAAGGCCCGCCACATCAGCGTCGGGGGACAGATAGTCAACATACCGTCTTACATGGTTCGCATTTCTAACACGAGCCGCGTTGCGATAGCTGACACGTCGAGCCTTGCACCAAACGGCAAGCCGGGCAGAACAAAGCGTGCAGCTGCAAGGAGGCAGAGTAGCGGGGATAACGAGTAAAGAGATACAAGTAAATGGGGCCTCCTGTCCATGTCCTGTGTGGCGCATCTGTCGTGTGTAGCAGGACTGGAAGCAAAATTCAAAAAAGCCATGAATTCGGAGCAGCGTCTCCTGTCATGGATAGAGACGGACTTAAAGCCAAGGGCCTCTACCACGAGTCGCTCACTCCTCAAGGTATATCTCTCGTCTTCAGTGCTGATGTCTAACCTTCTTCGTCACCTTTATAATATAGATGTCACTGGGGCTGCCGTACTGCCCACGCTTCTGCGCACTCTTATGCCAGGCGAGAAGAGCATTACGATTGATGACGTTTTCGCACGGGAAGAGCTGTTCGAAGATGCAGTTTCTCTTCTAAATCAAAGAATTCTGAGGAAAACCCAGACCGGCCGCAGCCCGGACGAAACTTCCCAAGAGAACGTGTATCACACCCTCGCTGCCTTTGATTCATGCCAGCAGCGCAAGGATGCTTTGCTTGAGGCGCTGGAAGTCGTCGAGGCAGACATCTATGCACAGCAGCGCGAATTGAAGAATGCTGTTCAGGCCATGTCTTCTGAGATAGCTGATCTGCTGCTTAAGTGTGATACGTCCAAGAAAGCTACGAAGCAGCGCCAAACGGTCACATTTGCCGATTCCAAAGATAAGACCCGTAGCATTGTCAACGAAACCGATGGTTATTATGAGGAAATAGAGGAGCTTACAATCGATGAGCTGTCATCGCCTTCCGCATCCTACTCGGGAGCAGCGCAAGGTCCCTTGACAACAACCGATGACAAGCGCATAGCGCAGCTTCAAGATAACATCCAGAGGATAACATCTGTTCTTAAAGCATACAATGAACAGCAGGAGGAGAGAGGAAGGTATGTCGGAGATGCAAATGCACATATTCGTGTCCTTACAGAGACAAGGGAAGAGAATCGCCGCTACCAGGTTCTTGTGAATAATCTCAGCGACGAAGTAAGTGTATACAAAGGAAAGCTTAGTGATCTTTCTCGTGAATGCGATGTTCTGAAAAGCAAATTGGCATCTTCGAGGCCCGACTTCTCTCAGTCCTCTATTACTACAACTGAAAAGTCGTCTCCTGCTGCTCTTCAGTCAGCTACACCTGGGCGGACTTACATTCGAACTCCAGATAATGCCAAGGCACCCAGGCCCGGTAGCCGCCCGAGGGCCATGTCACAAAAATCTAACGACCTCCGATCTTCTCTGCATCAGAGACGAGGAGGACATGTTACCGATAACAGCTATTGTCAGCCTCAGCCTAGTACGCCGACGCTCTCTGCAACTACTAAGATAAATGAGCTAAAGCTTGCTTTAAAGCAACGAGAATCGACAATTATGGAGCTCAGAGCACAGATTTCTGAGCTTACGCGGGCGTCAAGCCTATCAGTCACAGACTTTAGAGAGCTGGAAGAGAAGCACAAGAGTCTAATGGTAAAATGTGATAAATTGCGGACGATGCTACGTTCCATTGAGCAACGTATACGAGAATATGCAGTGGAGGATAGCAATCTTACATGCAATCCCACCGGCAGAGACGCACTGGAGCTCCTCTCCAGCTTCTATCATCTGATGCGTGATAAGTGTTATGACTTTGCCCGAAAGGCAGTGGAAGCTTCATCTACAAAGATCCAGAAGGAAAAGACAAGCCAAGACAGGCGTTTCAGCGAAACATTTGACAAGAGCTTTGGCGGAGGAGGCCGTGGGCACTCAGCAAGCTACTTGCACGGGACTTCGTCGGTTGAGAGAGAGAATGAGCGGCTCAGAGCTGTTGTCCAGGAACTTTCGTCTGGAAAAGATGCCTTTGAAAGGAGACTTTCACAGCTCGAGGGCCAGATCAATCAGCAGAACAAGAGGGCAGATGAAACGCGCCGTGATCCTCTTCTAACAAGTAGTGGGCTTATGAGGAGCACGCGCCTGGATCGCAGCATACGCACTAGTAGCCGAGGCAGAGATTATGGTGACCGGTTTAGAAGATCCAGTAACAGCGAGTATGAGTATTCAGGAGATTACGACGACATATCATTGAACAACCTCGCATATCGGCTCCGCTCCGACTCCAAGCGAATTGCCATGTTAACGGGTGATGCCAAACGACCTGGCTCCAGTCGCAGATACTGAGCCATTCTAATTCGTGTAAATGCCCGGAGATGTTTACATCTTTCCGCTCGAGCCCCCGTTAATTCCTGCTGTCGTTGTAATAACTCCTAGAGCATTTGCTGGCTTTGTGGTATGAACGGGTAATGAATCACTTGACCAGCGCGACATACCCAAGATGTCATCAGAGCCAGGTGTTCCATATGATGGCGCATCGTCAGAGCATATTGGTACTTCTGATGCTGTGAGGCCCGTTGGCATGGAGACCGGTGCATAGGGAGTCATGCTTTTCACACTTTCAGCAGGTGCACTGTCCTCCTTCAAATGGCTCATCATCTGAGTAGGACTTGTCAGATGAAACGGCAGACTAGGAGATAGCGCATAGTCCGGATTGATGGATGACGGCTGCTTAGTGTTTCTCTGCAGCTCACGCATGCAACTGCTTGCTGTGTCTCGAGCTAAAGATACATCATGTTGCAAGTCTCTGTTTTCGAATTCAAGAGCGGAGACTTTCGTCTTTATGCGCGACAGAGCTTCTGCACGTTCATGAGAAAGCTCATTGAGAAGACGTCGGTTAGCGTTCTTAAGTGTCACAATTTCAGCTTCCTTGGTTGATAGCTGTTGCTGCTGAGTATATATAAGGTTCTTGAAACTAATAAGGTCCGAGTGAGAAACTTGTATCGTGTCCTTGGGACTGTCTGTGGCATCAGAGAGCTTTCGAGCTATAGTAGTTGCCTGTACATATGTATTTTCTCTTTCGCTAGTAAGTTCGATCGTGCGATCTTCAAGCTCCTTCTGCAGTTCAGCGATTCTTTGGTCTTTTTCGACTAATAGTGCCATCAGTTCTTGGTGAGTTTTGCCCGATCTTTGAGGTGAGATTCCTTTGGACTCCTGTTGTGCCAGACGGACCGGAGAATACTGAGGAGATGAAGACTGCTTTGGAGTGTACGCAATATGACGAGTTGTCTCGGTTAGCTGCATACTACTATTGTGCACCTTATTCTTATGAGCATCCGCTCGTAACTGCGCTATAGTGGCCCGTGCACTGTTTAGGTCTTCCTTTAATTGCGTAATAAGAACTTCATCTTGTTGATTCTTATCAATATCAAATACCTCTGTGACTATTTGGAGATTGTTTCTATCCTCTAGTTGCTTCAACAAAGAAAGCATCTGCTCATCCTTTGCCGTTATGGTCTGCTTAAGACGATCTATTTCTGCCAGGAGGGTGCTTAGATCCCCACCACTTGAGAGGGTATCCGCCATCGATGATGAGCACTGGCGTGCCGTTGCAAGAGATGCCTCAAGTCTCCTGATCTTTGCATCCTTTTCATCAATTTCATTTAACAGCATGGTGCGGTCGTTAGACATCTTTTCGTTACGTAGTGCAGTCCTCTCTTTTTGTACTTCTCGTTCTTTCTCGTTAAACTTTCCATGCAGCCTCTCACACATGTCTTGTACCTTTTTGATGGCAGCTCCATGCTTAAGGTGCTGCTGAATGTACTTATGCTTCAAGAGCTTCACTTCCAGTCTCAAAATATCTTCTACGGTCTCATTTCCCTGCAAATGGGCGTCTTCCGCCAAAAACTTGTTTTCGTCGACTATGTTTCCCAAAATAAACCTTGCATCAGCAAGCTCGCTCTCGAGTTGATCTATCTTTTCTTGCAAATACAAGACATTACCTATATTGATACCACTGGAATCTCGCTGAAAGAGTTCATCTTGTAGCTTTCGTATTCGCATAATAAGGCGCTCGTGCTTATCCTGGAGCTCCACGTGCTCAGCTCTCATAAGTCTGTGTTGAAATGCTTCCTCATCTAACTTACTCTGTAATCTCTGAATATTTGTGTTCTTCACTTCTATGGTAGCCTTAAGAACATTAACGTCCTCCTCCGGATTGCACGTTGCAGCTTCTTCCTCCTCGAGCTCGTACTGGGCAGCAGAGGCATTAACTTTTGACATAATATCTTGCCAATGTGCGATCTCTGCGTCTTTCTGACTAATCTTTGAGGTTAACTGATCAATCAGCTCGTTTTGTCGAATGATTTGATCTTCACGTTCCTGAATAAGCTCCTGAAGAGAATAAGTCGAGGATACATCAGCTGTGTTGAAGCACGGTGCATTCACTTTGTTAAAGGTGGTGAGAGGAGAGCGATAGGAACTAGATGCTTGATGAGAATGGCTTTGAGTGCTTCGATATTCTGATGAGAAACCACGGTTAAGGCTTTGGCTGCGGCCTGGTGTGTACGGGGTCATGGTGGTTACTGTGTTCTTGGCTCCGTACCTTTCATCAAGAGCTAATGTAAGAAAGTCTTCCACATGAGTGAATGAATTCTTGGAAGCATGTTTGCGGGCTCTAGAAATGTCTTTTACAGAGAAGTCTAGGTGCTGGACGAGAATTTTCACTACCTCGAGATGCCCCCCGATGGCTGCATGGTCAAGAGCTGTGTTGCCTTCTCTGTCTGTTTCATAACTAAAGAATGGTAATAATGCTAACACCACGGCATGCGCCCCGTAGCCTGCCGCCATCATCATGGCATTTCGGCCGTCTGGCAAGAGGATACCTTTCTCCTTCTGTGCTAAGAGCTGTGCCGATCCCGGACTACTTGCTAGCGTAGCAAGCATTAGTGCAGTACGGTTCTGTGGGTCCAGCTGGCCTGCCTCGTGAGGGAGAAGAAGATTCACTATCTTTTCATCGTCTGCAATGGCTGCCACCATCAAGGCTGTCTGACCGTGTATGTTTCTAGTACAGGCACAATGACCGATCAGGTCCCGAATAAGCTCGTAGTCTCTGTTATGGACGGCGTCGAACCACTGAGAGGATGAGTCCGCCATTCGATTTTTTGTTCCGGAGAATACTACAACAGGGGTTTACTGACTACCACCGCAGCTACACCATAGCCAGGCACACAAGCTACTCCTTCTTGTCCAGCTCAATCTCTGAGCGCACATTTTGCCAGTGCTCGACGGTTGCATTTAGATTCGCTTGTAAGTCGCTAAACTCTACACCTGCCAAGGCTTTCCAAAACCGCTCCACAACGGTCCAGAAGCCCTTCACGATGCTCTGCGTAAATCCAATTTGCGAGTTGGCAATGATAAGTGACTCTTCACCTTTCTGTGGACGGGTCTTGATCTTGTCTGGCTCCAGACCACACTCTAGCATAAGGTCACCCAGTGACCAGAACTCGTTCATCAGGGCCACTGCATACCGTGTGCTTATTTCTATTGGCCTGCATGGATTGGACAGATCTCCAAACTTGATACACACTTTCAGAATGTACCATCTGAGCAAAGCAATCTCCGAATCATTGTGGTGCTCAAGTATTTTAATAATTAAATCCTCGTCGAGGCTTTCTAAGCGGCGGAGAAAATTGAAGTGAGTAGACATATCGGTTGCTAAAATAATTTCTAAAAACAGTGCTCTAAATTCGCGGTACTGACATGGTGTGAAGTGCTTGAAATAGACTGCCATCTGTGTGATGATGTGCCATGACAGCGTTGCATGGGCATGCTCTAAGGGCGCCTCGTCGTTGTAGAGGAGGGCTAAGGCATTCTCCGTATTAATACAGAAGAGATTGTCGATCCCTGTGTGGCCAAGATCATGGCACAGAGACCCAAATAGGAGTGCCAAGAAATCAACTGGTCGGATAAGGGCCTGCCTGGGCTGTTCTGTTATGAGCCTAGAATAGTCACTCTCCTTGTATTGCCGCATGGCTTTATACACACATAAAAATGGATGCTTGGGGGATTCGCTGATGAGAGAACAGTACACGGTACTGAGCATGTACATGGACATCTGGGCCACGTCTGCTGCATGAAGCTTGTTGTGATACAGCGTGCTTGTATAAGAGGACTCCAGCTCGATAAGAACAGCCAAAAGCACGTTGTCGTGGATCGAAAAATAAGTGGTTATGCCCAGGAGCTTTGCAAGGATGTAGCCAACGGCCGTCAGTCCATAAGTGCGTGTATATGTATTCATGGCACTGACATCGAAAGAAGACGACTCAATGTTCTGGCAGATATACTTGGAAATCTTGTCCAAATTGTACTCTATCGCCAACTTGATATTTGAACAATCCACTCCATATTTCTCTGCCAATTCTGAGGTGACGGTCAATGTCATGGCACTCTCATCGCCAGTTTCAAAATATTCCAAGGTGCGTATGACCGCTATGTTTAACACAGCCTGGAGAATGCGCTGCTGAAGAGTAAGTACAAGTTCTCCAGATTGGTCGAGTCTATAATATGTGTTATTCACGCGAAATTCACGCTGAGAAACATCAGGCATCCGTATATGTTCTGGGTATCGCTTGGAATAGAGCTGCAACATATTCTCTACAGATTGCTTAGAGATGTTTGTAGAAGAGCTGTAAGACAACACAGTCCGTGTGCTCTGCGGTCTTTCTATCTCATACCTTCCTTCGTCCAGGGTCCTCAGCTGCTCGCTAATCTCAGACTTGTCATCTACGGTCAAATTCATCAATTTCATGCCTTTAATGTCGTTAAGAAGCTTTCCCCAGTCCTCCGACTTGGCAGATGGGTCTTTGCTGTCTTGCAGGATAGCGGAGCTGACATGCAAGTCTGGATCCAAGAGCTGACAGACGGTGAGTATTCGGGACTGCATGGCGGTGTCGAGCCTCCGCGTCCGGAGTATTTCTTTGAGGAGGGTAACAAGCTTCTCTTCTGATGAATCAAAGTATGAAAAAAGGGTGCTATCAGGTATATGAGACTTGTCCTTGGTGCCCTCGCCTGCTTCCGAGGCTGCGCCCCTCTTCCCTGATGATAGAATCTTAGGACCGATGAGAGAGTTCCTGCGTGCTCTAGTGTGGGATAAATTCTTGAGAATTAAATTCTGTGATGCAAGTAGCGTAGAACCCAACTTTTGCCTTGGATCTAAATTCATGTTATATGCAGATATGTTCGATAATAATGTGAGTTGATCCAGAAGCAGACTCTTCTTATGTGCTTCAGACAGCTTGGCAATCGTTCTGGGTGTCACTGCAGAAAACAAGATGTTTGGACTACACTTGTTCAGGACCGCTAATAAAGTTAGCTCTAAACGCAGGTCGGCTTCGGCATAGTTGCACAACGATTTGAACAGCATCTTCAAATAAATGTTACAATAGCTCTTACTGGAAACGCCTTTGCTGAGAGCCTTTTCGCCACCCTTGGGGAGAAAAGGGTCAGAAACAGTTATGTGATTGGAGAAGACACCCTTCATGAGTCCCTGACGTTCCATGTTGTCCAGTCGAAACAAAACACACGGCATAGTAGCATGATTCTCTAGTGTAGAGAGGTATGCCAGTGTCCTAAAGTAGATTGGAGCGAGAGAATATACAAACTTTATTGCACATATATAGACAATGATGCTGAGCTCTATCTCAATCGCAGTGAAGACATCCATATTAATCACGAAGTCTGTACTTAGAGATCTGTTAAGGTGATAATTTGAGGTATTAGTGGAGCAGAAGGCTGAGCTTACTCCAGTGGGGCCTCGCTTCCCGCGGATCTTGCTCAGTAGCTTCTCCGAAGAGGTGGTACCGAAACTATCGAGTATTGAGAGCATGTTATCGCAAGAGGTCATATCATTGAAGTAGTGCTTGTTCAGTCCTGCGGACATCACTCTTGATACAAGGAATTCTACCTCTGAAAGAGCTATCCCAGTACACGGAAGCATGCCGTTTGCGAGCATATCAATCCACTTAACATAGATTTTGTTGACAATCATTCTCTCATAGCTGGGCCGTTGGCGATAAAAATAACAATCTATTAAGAAGGCTAGCGGTGCACCAAATCGATTTGATTCAAGCCAGCGTGCAAAGACCTGAAAGATGACGGGGTTTGTGAATACCATCATCACATCTACCGTATTTCCATTGCAGAGAGGCACTATAAAAATCATCTGCAGAATAAGAATGGCATGCATAGCAGGAAATATATTATAATTATTGATGAACTCTAAGAAGGTCGCGTATATGGAAGCGCTCGAGCTCATGTATTCGGACTCAGTGCTCTTGTGGGTGAAATGGATAAGCTGAGGGAGTATCTCCATTAGCTTTCCACGCAGCAAATACTTATAGCATACATTCAAACCCAATGCAGTGATAAAGAGTAGAGAAACAGTCACCAAGTAGAACATAGTGGGCTCTATATGCGGAAAGAAATTTATAGGTGGAGCTTCTGCAAAGCGATGCTTTTTGATAGTAGAGATAATGGCAGCAAAGGAAGATCGTGTAGTTGGAGCGTTCAGATTAATACTCTCATTTAGTTGCTTCCACACGCTTTGATATGTGGGCTCGCAATCTGCTGCAACTGGCGAATAGTCAGGCAGGCCATCCACGATGGTCTTCTTCAGCTTTACGTGTGTAGGCCGGGTATTTAAGCCAGATAACCCTCCTGCTGCAGATCTCTGAATGCCGGACTCTGAGCCAGACTCTAATAAACATTCCTTACCCGCCTCTGGTGGCAGTAGTAAAGCAACGACAGATAGCCTCTCAGAAGAGGTCTGCAACGATGTTGTTCTGACAATTCTCTGCATAATGGCCCACATGATCCTATCAGGATACTTGAACAGAAAGTAATTAGCGGTCTCAATGCACAAGATCAGAAAGAAAGGCACCCACATAAATCTGAACATGCTGTCTAAGACCGAAACAACTCCAACGGAAAGTAAGAGAATGGGAGTCATCAGACCAAAAAGCGTTACAATGGGAAGAAGCTTAAGGGTGCTGCTTAGCAACAAGAAGTAAAGGCGGGTCTGAAAGGTTACAATAATAAGGCACCAAAAGGATAAGAGATGAAGACAGGCTAAGATGGACGTTGCACGACCTGCTGTTATAACCGAAATTCCTAGATAAATATGAATATCTGTAGAGAGAAACAAGAAGCCCGTTAGAAACAGTAGAGAAAAAAGGCCGAGGATCATAGTGCTGAGATTGTGTACATTGACTATAAAGGAATGCGAACAGAGCCTCACAAGGATGGAGCTGGCCAGAAGCAGGCTTCCGGCGGCTAGGCAAAGACTTATCATCCTGCGATACGCCCTACGCTTTTTACCTTGCTTATGACACAAAATTTAAATGAATTTCTACTTTAAATGGCAGCTGGCTCTCCTGCAAATTTTAAACCTCGGGGTTGGTTCCTGTAGACAAACCTGTCGTCGATAGCACACAATGAAAATCATTAAAAGGGATCTCGACCAGAACAGTGGGGGATATATTAAGGTGTGCCCGACAGAGGAGGTAGACCTTTACCTTCTTTCGGAACTCATTCGTCGTGGAGATCGGGTCTCATGCCACACAACCCGAAAGATCATCAGAGAGAAAGGAGACGCAGGGACGACAACGGTGAGGAAGGCTCTTACACTTACCATAGCGGTTCAAGAAATAGACTACGATGGGGCTGAAACCCTCCATGTGCGCGGAACGGTGGTAACAGAGGTAGAGGATATCATGCGAGGCTCCTCACATTCATTATGGTTGCAAATCAATAAGGCAGTGGCTATCATCAAGGAGCACTGGACCAATCAGCAGCTCAAAGACCTCGAAGAATCTTGCAATGCGGTGCGGGGATGTGATACCCTGGCTCTCCTCATTCTCCGTGACGGAACAGCGAAGATAGGCTTCGTCAATGAGCTGATGGTTGTACCGTGTCCTTCCATCACATGCACTATTCCTAAAAAGACCAGATACAATGAGTCTAAGGTAACAACGGCATTCGCATCATTCTTTAAAGCCATATGCACTGCTCTTAAAACAGAGATCGTTAAGGGAACCATCAAGCTCCTTTTGATCTGTGGGCTCCAAGAAGTGACGGCGAAGTTTGCACAGTATTACAGAGATGAGTTAGGTGGTAAAGAGCCCTTCAAGTTGATTCATCATGTGGTCATTCAGACAAGCCAGCCGACTCTTCACAAGGCGATTCTGGAGGCTATGACAAACAAGGAGGTTGCCAGCGTCATAGGCGATTGTCGGTGGCGTCGAGCATCAGAGGTTATTGAGGATTTCAGGATAAACTTCGCGAAGAACGAGGATTTGGCACACTATACTGTCCACGATGTCCTGGAAATTTTGAAGACCAACCCGACAGCTCTGAGCACTGTACTCGTTAGTACGGTGATTTCTCAGGGGAGAGACCTGACTATACGCAAGCAAATCCAAGAATACATGGCGCAGCATAGCAACTATATAGAATTCATTGAGGTGAAGACCCAAACAGAGCCCGGGAAGCAGCTTGCTAAATATGGAAACGCCATAGGACTTACGAAGTACCCTGTCCACTATAAGCATCATAGAGGAGAGGATGTAGAGGACGAGAGTAGCTTTAGTACTGTTGGAAGTGATTTTTAATTTGTGAGATTTCATACAAATATCTTTTCAGGTACACATGTGCAGAGGATTGCTGGGCTCACTTGATGTAGAAGTGTCCTGCTACCATGTGACAGCCATCCTGTCACGTGTCAGTAAGAGCGGCTCCAGCGCGTCCACGCATCGGTGTATGCCTCGGTCCACAAAGTCAATTTAAGAGTTTACAGGCTGGCAGTCTAAGAAGGAGATATAGCCATGCTTAGCGACAGAGAAAACCGTCTACTCCTTTGTTCTGGTGATTACAGGCCTGTGTATTAACATCTGTAAACCTTTTTGTCTAGAACACTAGCCATATTTCGGGACAGGTGCTCGATCTGGTAGTCGCGCTTCTCTAAGGCTTCTTCTAGTCCCTTATTCCGCGCTTCCAGTTCAGAGGCCCGTGCCTCTGCTGCCACAATCCTTGCATTGGCTTCTATCAAATGTGCATGGTGCTCCCTCAAGAAGGTCAAGACCTCGTGCATGAGTGCTTTATCCTTCTCCGACGACGCGTGTTTCACTATCTCTGTCAGATCGTCCACCTTCTTCTCTGCAGACGCAAGCCTTTGGGCTACGTTCTGATCCGCCGTCTCTGCCATTTTTCAGCGACTGTGGCAAAAGTATTTAAGTTTTAAAGGTAGGATTCATACGCATCAAGATTAAAGCCAAAACCTGAGCCTGTGCGGCAAATGAGCAAGTTTAGCATGTATGAAGAGCCACGAGAGGATGGCCTCTATGAAGTTGTCTCTTCGGATAGGTACTCTGTGTCCAGGCGCCTAACCACCGATGTTATCGACTCGCAGCTGGCCTCTGCAGCTCGAAATATAACCAGGCGTCTCCGCACGCTGGGAGTCATGTACACCATCAACTTTATCAACCCAACAGAACGTAACTACTACGATATCGCGGATGCATTCATTAAAGTCATTGACATGGCAGAGAGCAACGACGTCCGTATTAGACAGGATTTCATTTCACTGAAAAATAAGTACGAGGCTCTTTCTGCACAAGTAACTGCTCGGGAAAACGAAAACGCACAATTGAAAGAAGAAATCCGCACTCTACAAAAAACATTGAGCACTGAACGTGAAGAGCACAAGACTGAGCTCCGGAACACTACCCGGGCCGTCAAGAATGCAGAGTACAAGGCTGTAGCTGCGGAGAAGCTGCGCACGGTAGCCGAGAAAAATAACTCCAAACTGAAGGACATGCTTCAGAATTCGCGAACCTTCTCTGTGACTAAGTCTTATGGTGCTCCGCTAAACAAATCTCAAAATGCGAGCAATCTTACCAGCAGCCGCATGGATAAGGGCATGGGGAAATCAACCCTTGGAAGGTCCATGAGTGCAGGAGCTAGCTCTTCAGGATACGCGAACTCGAAGGGCCCTGCACGTCCACGGAACACGGTACTCTCACCCAGGCATTCCTTCTCAGAGAGAATGCAGGATACCTATAGAGAGTACGAGCGCTCATACAACGATGGACCCGGCAGTACTAGGTTTAGTTGTTATGACGAGTCTTTGCGGCCGATGGATGATAGGCTGCGTTCAAATGAAAGTTTTGCTCCCTACGACCCTGTCAGCATGATCCAGGAATCTCAGCCGTACAGCGAGAGTTTACGCCCCTACCAGAGCCTCAAGCCACCCAAATGTCCGTCTCTCCGCGAAAGCGATGTCCCATCAGACTATGCCTTGTCGAGCGTACAGTCCACATCACGGAGCAAAGTACGGAACCAGGACGGTCATTGGTCGGCTGCCCAAAGCCCAGGAAGTGTTCGCTATCAGCAGCTGTACGATGAAAGCTACGTACCTGAAGACACTAGAGGAAGCTTCTCACACTCTGATCTGGGCGGAGTGAGAACCGTGGAGCATCGGCCACGTGATTCGGCATCTAGTGTTTCATTTTCACAGAGCCCACAAGAGCCTGCTCTAATGTCTGTCGGAGACCTTATCAAAAGGTATCACTCTGGTGTCTCTGGAGCGAGCCAGACACCTGAGTCTACGAGACGATCGCGCTCCAACTCCATAGACTACACCATACCGAAAGAAACAGCCGACCATATTGCTGATTTAGAGCTAAGTGCGAAGAAGGAGAAACTGGAGAAGATGCAGAGCCAGATAGCAGAGGCCGTCAATATCCTCAATCGAGCAGGAATAACCGTGGACGTTAACAGAAGAGACTTGCGGGCTCCCCAGTATAGCTAGGTGAGGGTGTTGTGCATTAAAAGACATACATAAGGAGAGGAAAACCATAAATGTAAACAGCAACCATAACAGGTCTGGACTCATAATTGTGCGTGAGATTGAAAAACAGCTTGCCACCAGGTCTAAGGTCAACCGCGGTGGATTTGAACCCGGGTTTATAGATCATATAGAAGACAGATTGCTCATAGCCAATGTTGGATATTAAAGATGAACACTTATCGGCGTCAAAGGTGAGAATAAGGTGCTGCAGGGCCGCAGTTGGACAAACTGTGCGCAAGGAAATATTCGCGCTCTTGGAGGTGCCAATCACAAGTGAAGAATCTCCCTTTTTAGGGGAAAAAATGGCGGTTCCTGCGCAGCTGATTATAACAACCGTTCCTGGGTCGGAGAGCGAGGGCCTGAAACACTTCAAAAGATCCAATTCTATGGATGCTTCGTCAAACAAAGATTGGAGTGTATTGTGCTTTGCAAGACGTGACTCCATGGCTGCAGATATAAGCGGTGACCTAGGATCTGTCGGCTTTGCGTCACGAGAACCTATTGAGTCTACTAACACGATATTGACCTGGTTGGAAAACATCACACTCTGCTGTGAATGAAGTGCCTCTTTTCCAGTTAGAGACGGGTGGGTAAGCTGCTCCAGGGTAAGCCACTCACTCCCGCCTAACTGGGCCATGTTACGCTTGAAGTATTGCTTGATCATGAGTAGACACCGGTCAGAGATATTCTCGTGAGAGGAAAACTCCGGCAGGCAGTGCAAGAAGTTTGGTGCATTTTGCTGTGCGGTCACTATATGGAACTGACTATAAAGGTAGAGAAGAATTTGGGGCAGAGTCCATAACCGTCTCATTACAAACTCAGATGGGAGTGTTGATGCTTGTAAGGTTCCTTTCTCAAGCTCCTGAAGAATGGATACCAAAAGATATCTCGCATATGAAGGGTTCTGCAGGCAGTTGAGCCAGACAGTCGCTGCATCCCTTAAAGAGAATGAACGCTGTACAGAGCGATTTGTGACCTCAACTGCCAATTCAATATCTTCAATCTTTAGTATATTGTGCAGTAGAAGGCAGAGATCGATGCATTTGAAGTTCTGCGCCATCTAAAAAATGCAACAACTTTTTACAAGTCTCCAAGGCCACAGATGTGCATCCTCCACAGTTTGGAAAATAGCGTCTGAAAGTTTAGGCGGTGACCAGTCTGCTGCTAAGGCCAAGTTCTATTCTGACCTATTTCGTCTGAACTTCAGCTTACTTGGTGTTTATACCAGTGATTGGCCCATTCTTGGCGGTAATTACGCCGACATTTATGCCATCTTCCATGCTGCAGTTCAACTTGGGGGTATCTTCAGCGTTCTGTTCAACGATGACGCACTTAAAGGTGTTTTAGAGCACGTTTGCGTCCTACCAGTCACTCCTCGGAAGAATCTTGCCGACCTGTTTACCATTCTGAAATGGGACAATGTGGAGCTTTTAACTAATTCCAGTTTCATTAATGCCTTTATAGACACCTACATACGATACGTTCTTATCTATGAGCAAGTATATCTCAGCAAGTCGCACACAGTGTCTAACCGTATCATTTATCTCGTCTACGCTGCTTGGCAAGGCGCATTTCTTCGTCCATACATTGGAGTTGACCGCTCGCTAGCATCACTTGACTTTCTCGATGAGGTAGACAACACTGCAGATGTACCATCCCCAATCGAGGAGCAGGAAGAGCAAGAGGAGCAAGAAGACCGCGAAGAGGAGGAAGACCCAAGAGTGGCACAAAAACGACGACAGGCCAAGCTTGCGAAGACTAAAAAGGGAAAAGAGTCAGTGGGACCTCTTAAGGAACCGGATATTAAATTGAATGTAGAAGAGATAGCAGCAGACCTACATGAAGCAGCTGTACCGGAGAAGGAAGAGGAACAAGATAGCCAGTCGGGGAACAGACCTTTGTCCGCCCTGGCAGCTCTCAGGGATGAAGACCCTGCTATTCTCAAGGGCGCCTCTTACGCTTGTAATATTCTACCCGACATACACACCTGCGTTAGTGTGGCAGTGCCAAACCCTACGGCCTCTGCACCTGTCACAAACTATAACAGAACGGGATACCATCTTCATCAAATCACGTCACTGTCATGCTATAACTTTGGACAGTCTAGAATTCCCACTTACAACGAGCACGCAGTCCCAATGACAGACACAAGCTCCATCAAAGGCCAGCGAGTGTACCAGAAGGAGGAGCTCTGCATGCTCCGAAGACGCGGTCTTGATATTATCTTAAGCTCATCGTGGCGTCTTACCCCCAATGATTTGGCCATAGAAGAGTCATCAGAGTCACGCCTGACACTTAAAGATAAGTTCATATCAGATCCCATCCGAATAGCATATTATCACGCATTTCCTCCAGGCACAAACTTACTTAATCAGCAGCACCTCCTAGGCAATCTCAAGATGCATGCGCCACTTGTTGATCAACACTTGCTGGACCTGGCCATCAGGAAGCATACGCATATAGCGTCGCAGTTGATCTGTTCTCTGCTTGATGTCCAGTACAGTGACTGTGCCGAATGGCAGGGCAAAACCAAGCTGGCATTGGTAGAGCTACTCGAGTTACATATCACAGAACTATACAACTTGTTTCTATGTGATAACTGTCTGACTGGCGTGGGAGAGACTCTGATCCTCGATTCTCCAGCGTGCCTTTTTCTATTGTACTCCATCTTGTCTGATGAGATCGATTCTTTTGTTGCCAGCTTTATTAGAACTGGTTGCCAACACCCGGTACAATCTTTATCCTTGCGGATGACAATCTCGGCTATTGACACTCGAATATATTGCAATATTTTGACATGCTCTACCTACATATTTTCTACTGTCCTTCCGCGGTTGAACTTGGGCACCAATCCCAATCTCTCTCCGGATAATATTTACTTTACACTTTCTAGTCAGCACCTTGGAAACTTGGAGTCTATCACAAATAACTTTCTGGTCGAGCCCACCCAAAGATCCATTGGGTTGCTTATGGTGCTATTGGGTTCATTGCTACATAGACACTACTATATGATCAACAACGGTATCGTTATTACGTTTTGCTCATCACGGCCCATTCTCTTCCATTGCATTTCATTAGCTTTGTTTTCAAACAGTATGGTACACCCGTTTGTCCTAACAGCTCTCAGCTTGCTTATAGAAGAAGAACTGTCCTTACGGTCAGGTCTCACTGCAAGGCACGTGGACGACCCGAACCAGGCACGGTCCTTTGCTGGGCTGAAATGGAAAACTAAGCTCCAAAAATTTGCTAATAGATTGGCATCTAGATCATATATAATTAACAATAGCTTGCTGTTACTGCGAGCAGCAATTTACAATGGACGTTTTGATGGTCAACTCTGCGGTGCCATTTCCACATTTCTACGGCAGTCTCTAATGGAGACAAAGCTTGATCATACTTCTCTCTTTGCAAAGGAGCATGAAGATGCTTCTGCACTTAGAGTTTTCCGCCGCGCTCTGATAAGCACCTGTTATAGCTGCATTGATATTGTTCAGGCTCTTGTGACATCCGGCCTTTCTGCCGAATTCCATGTCTTGCTGCTCGAACTGCTTTCATCTCCAGTAGCCCTACCCGATGAGCTATCCGCCGAGCTACATCGAATTCTAACAGAGAAGATGCTATGACGTGTCCGGCGGTACGCCACTCACCCCCAAAGGCTGTTTACACGGTAATACACACAGCGCAGCAACCAACTGGTTGTCCCTTATGAGTTATATGCGCCCGTCTGGGAGTTCATCATAGAGAAGTCCCCTGTATTGAGAGCATTGAGGACAGCGTCACCACTGGATACGTTTGACTTATACTGTTTCAGCAGGTTCTCGTACTCCTTAGCGAAGCCCATGATGCGATTCTCAAGGTCGTATATCGTTTCTTTGTACTTCGAAACCTCCCCATCGCTGCGCCTTCTGCTATTTTCAATAGACTTAACAGCAACTTCTAGGTCCTTCCCACATCGCTGCAGCTCACTGGTCAATGAGTCTACCTTCTGGTGAAGCTTGTCGCGTGCCAGCAGGGAGTCGCGCAAATCGATAGCCATCGAATTAAATTGATTGTAAACCAACTCAATAAGCGTGGCAGGGTCCTCTGAGTTGCCATTTTGCTGACCGGTGATGCGATAGTACACGGTCGGCAGGACCTTCAAAAGGCGACGTTCTCGGCGCTCCATCTCATCATTCTTTTCCTGCAGAGCCTGCTTTTCACGCCTGAGCCCGGTAATCAGCGTTTCGGCCCCTTGGAGCTCGTTTCTCAAGCGATCAATGGAGGTCTGTCCGTTTGCGTCTGCATCGAAGGCCTGTTTGAAGGCGCGCTCCTTGCTGGCGCTGGTCTTTTTAAGTAAAGAAAGCTCGTGGTCCTTCTCCTTGAGCTGCTTCCTCAGTTCATTTATCTGATAGCGCATGTTCTCCAATTCTTCACGGTTAGTCAAGAGGTCCAAGTCCTTCTTGTACTTCTCAGTCATCTTGCGCTCATTCATAAGCTGTATTCGTAGACGATTGACCATGTCCTGGTCGTTCGCTGTCATCGTAGTGAACATCTCGCTGTCATCGTAGCGACTGCGCCCAGGAGTTTGAGGAGCACCCACAGCACCACCACGAGAAGTGGAGCGCATAGTGCTCTGCCCGCCAAGGTTGGGTGTGGCAGACGTCGACCTCTGCTTGGTTCTCATGGACATGTCACCGCGGGATCTCGGTCTCCCAGAGACAGACCCCCTTGTGCTTTCGTCGAGGCGATCCCTGGTCATGCTCTCATTCATACGGACAGATTGATCACGGAAGGATTGGTTGCGGACAGAAGCGTCTCGGTGACTAGCCGCAGGGGAGCGATGGGAAGTGGGAGACTTTCCTCCGAACTGAGAAACCTGGGACCCGCGTGGAGACCTAGAAGGAGTCGACCCTCCCACCCCACTGGGGGACTTCGCAGGCACCGGGGGCGGAGATGGAGACTTCCTCGATGTTTGAGCCATGACCACTGGCTCCTCATAGAACCCCGACGCATCCGCCTGGCTGCGCATGAAAGAGTTCTCTTGGCGATCGGCCATCATTGATGTCATTCTATTATTTTGCCTGGAGCCAGACCTCGATGTTGAGGTGCGCGGGGGCTGCATGGTGGTGCGATTCGGCGTCCCAGGCGCACTGGGAGCATCCAGGCGATCTATAAGAGACTGGGCAATACGAGCGATGTCTTCCTCCGTCGCATTGGCAATCATGGAGTGAGAGAGCGGGTCGCCCTTGGATCCCGGCACACTAACCTGCTGAGTCCCCGATGTTTCCGCCCCTGGCTTTTTTGCATATACCTTCCGAATGATCTTCTTCTTTTTACCGTTCTCATCGACTACAATGGACTCTACGATGGATACTGGCTGGGGGGCCGCAGAGCCCTGCTGCGCTGTACTCATAATATTTTAAAATTCAAGGGAATTTTTGAATTTTGGCCTATAGCGTTTTTTAATTTTGGAACCTAGACACTCAGTCAATAGAATGAACTTGGACAACCTGAATACGCAAAACTGAGTTTTGACTCTGTTTGCCATGGCACCAAAGTCTTTGAGTTATTGAGTATACTTTGTGAAAGATGGCGACTGAGGTAAATACAACGAGGAACCAGACTTTAAATATGAAGTAGTCCACTTTCGCCCTACATATATCCAAAATGCCGCTTACCCAGGTTGGGTGTGACTGGGAGCGAACTTCTTCATAGACACCATATACCCTCTTTGAGACACTTTCTGGTGTATACTTCGTGCGGGCAATCTCAGAGGCAGTCGTCAGCTCTTGTAGAAGAGCGTTCCGCGGGATATGCTGGAGATTGGTGATGCGCTGATAGAGCTCTTGTACGGAGGGGCTGCAAAGGCAACGTGAAGCTAGCCACGGAGAGATGCTCTTGTATACAGAATCAGTGCCCCCAACCCAGCTTGCTACAGGTATGCACGCCTCTTGGAGGGATTCGACTAGCACCATCGAGAAAGCCTCAAGGTACGATGGTATAACTCCTATGTGACAAGTGGATAGAAGGCATCTAACTTCTTCATTCGGCAGGGGCCCGAGAACGAGGAGTCGTATGTCCTTTTGATACATTGGGAGTTTCTTCACTTGTGCACTCATTGGACCAGATCCGACTACATATACATCAGCCTCCATGCCACTTGCTGCTAACAACCCGAGCAGGGGTCCAATAAGGTCCGCTCCTTTGCGCTGTACAAGGCGTTGTACAAACGCTATTCTCAGACGCTTTGGAGGCCAATGCCGGAACTTCTCGCAACTAAATAACATATCCTTTGGCAATAGCAATCTCGTTCTATCAGGAACTATGTTAGGAATTATGTCTACAGGGTTCTGGAAGGATATGTGGCGGAGCAACCGCAGGTTATCTTCGCACTCACGGGACACGCATATCACCCGATGGGCCAATGCAAGGGAGCACTGTCTGATGGGAGAAAGCAGCATCTCATAGAATACATCTCCTCGAGCCATAGAGTGCTCGGTGAGAATGGCAGGGAGTCCCACAGCACGTGCCCACAGTAGACCTGTTAATGCTAATACTGAGTAGCTTTGGTGGCAGTGAACGATAGTAAAACTATGCTCTCGATGAAGCTTGCTGAGCCAGAGGATTTCTAGGCTGTAGCACGGAAGCGAGACACCACAAGAAAGACCATAGACGGGGATGGTGTGGTATGTAATCTGCGGTGTCGAGATTGGGGCAGACAGCTTTATTCCTGTGGCTATGTGCACCTCGCAGCCGTGTTTTGCCAGTGCTTCTCCCAAGTCATGAATGTGCTTTTCGACACCTCCTATCTGAGGATAGGTAAAATCCGAAATAATCAAGACTTTCATGGACCCTTCGGGAATTTACTTAAATGACTTAGAGTCGTTTACTGATGACCTATCCAAGTATGATGCCAAGCTGTATCTGGGATTGGACGAGCTTTCTATCGCCCGCCGGACGGCTGTAAACACACAGAAGGAAGCCGCCACTCTGCACCCTCATCCGCCGCCTCCTCTATATGCTCCCGGGGCTAGATTGCCTGTAGACTACCAACAAGATCATAGTCACCAGTTTTCCCGAGCCTCTGAGCACAAAGAATCTAACGTAGCTTTCAGGCCTAAAAGGCCAACTTCTGGTGCAGCTCAATTCTATCCTCAGTACCCGCTGCCTTATGCACAGCATAGTCAACCCATTTTCTCACAGAGGTCTGCGTCGGCTACCCCTTACCAGGTGCCGCAGATGCCATCCACCATGGCTCCTCGGCCAGCATCATCGGGCATCATATACACGAGTGCGGCTATTCTCAAGAACAGATTAGCAGACGCTCCTGTCCAGAGGCAAGATAACCTCTTTATCCGGTCTACTACCACTTACAGAGAACCTGTTGCCGTTCCCTGCCGCCTTCCTGTTGTTCCTCAGTTATGCTATGATTACTACGATGTACCAAACTACCAGTATTAGTGCTCTAATGCTGGAGTATAAATAGAACACGTTTCTGGGCCTCCTTCTAAGCGTCATAGACTGGTCTGTGTGCCCTTTGGTTCCACCTCCTGCCTGACAACCTTTGAACGTTTAGACCTCCAAGCTTCTATACCATATTACCATCTGCTGCCGTGATATCTTTCTGCATTACTTTGACACCTACACTGGAAAATTGCATCATGTCTATATGCCGACTTCTATTTGTACCATTGGCATAAACTCCAGTAGAAAAGCTTCTAGTAGGAAAGTTCGAAGATTGTCAAATCCTAAGAGATATTCAATGGCCTCACTCAGTGGCCTCTACGTTCCGAGGAGTCTACAGAGCATCAGTCATTACTCCGGGCCAACTCCAGGTCAACTCCAGATTAACTTTACTGTAAACATATGTCTATCAAAAATCAAACGTCTAATGATTAAAGCCTATAAGATGTTTATCAATCACTTTTCGCAATTCATCTAATGCAATTAAAATAATGAAAGTCCCCGATGGAAATAGTCTCGAGACACACGGGGTAGAGCCTGTTAGCACCGAGGAGGCCCAGCCTGTAAGTGTTGTAGAATACTATGAGATGGTAGAAGCAGGAAAGCAGGCTGTGCGAATAGCGAAAATTGAACAACGGAAGAAGGAGGGGAAGCGCATTCGTAGCGAAGGTGGAGCCTTTTGTGAGCATGCATCTGCAATGTCTTTCAATCTTCTTCTTACGACTGTCACCTTCTCGTGCCCAATTGTCTGCACATTGCACTTTGGATGGACATATACCCGTGCTGTTTTCTTGTTGGTTTTCTTCTATGGCGTCTTTTGCTACGGGTCGTCCTACTTTAAAGCAATCTTCACCTCTCCGGGCTATGCCCCAAAGGCGTTGAATGTCGAGAAAGAGACATGCAGCCATGAAGCGTCTGAAGATGAAGTGCTAGACAAAGGCTACTGTGAAACATGTAATAGGGTCCGAACAGAACGTGCCTACCACTGCAAAATTTGCAGGGGGTGTGTTTTGAAACGTGACCACCACTGTCCCTGGATAGGCTCCTGTGTAGGGTTTCACAACTTCGGCTACTTCATTCGGTTCCTGATGTTTGGTTTTATATGTTCTATTATGTCATTCTCTATGTTTATACATGCGTTTGTAAGAATATTTTTCTTTGACAATGATATCCAGATGTACGCTATAGTACTGTGTCCGATAGGCTTTATATTTATTTTGATCTCATGTATTTTGACTGCTGCCATGTTCAGTAGCTCTATATCATCTGTGTTGACCAATGAGACAATGGTGGAGAGACAATTGAATCAAGACTATCGCACATTCTATGGTATTACTAGCAAAGGATTCCAGAGACCATATGACTATGGCAGAAGATTCAACATGCAGCAAGTGTTTGGCGCCGAGTGGAAGCTTGCGTTATTCACTCCAACGAAAATAACACCAATTGGGAACGGGATTAGGTTTGAGCCCCCCGGGGTAGATAGGCCAGCCCGTTTTAGAAGCGCTATTCGTCCTGGGCTCCTCTTGGAGCAATGCCGCACAAAAAAAAGATCAAGGAAAAGGGGAAAGCAAATGTCCGTGTCTTCAGGAGCTATTTATTTGGGAGTAGACCCGATGCAATCAACGGATCACGAATGAGACTAGATAAATAAGTAACACTAATAAAATGCTTGCTAAGACAAACAGGGTCGGAAGGGCAAAGTAAACCGATCCTATCTTGACCTCTTTGCACCTATTATCAGTTGGTGAAGGAACATTGGACTGTTGTGATATTTTAAATCGCACATTGCGATCTTTACTATGTTCCAAATCATAGTTGCAGTGCCCTCGCTGCTTCCAACTGTTGTGAGAACTCGGTAGCGACTGGGGAGTCTGAGGTCCGTGAGCAAGGTATGATAAGTGCATGCTTTTTGACTCGCAAAGAGAATCCATACTGTGCTCAATGTCCATAAGAAGGGCATTACACCGCTGTACCCTTGCCTGCTGGTAAGCCAGTATGCTATTCAACTTGGTCAAGTGGTCATCGGGCTTGGTTGCTTCGTGGACCATGTGTGCAGCAAGAAGCTGCTTGTACTCTTCTAAAAGCACACAGGCCTGAGAGATCACCGACATACCCTGAATCCTACTGTAGATGAGGTCCTTACAGATGCTGCGCAACTGCTGCAAATCCTCTTCTGGGACCTCTATATTCGCAGTTGACATTATCATGCGTTTCTTCATCCTCTGTATTTGAGCAGAGGATTGGGAAGACAGGCAGGCCTCCCCCTTCGCTGAAGAGTCGACATCTAGCGCAGTAGATGAAAAATTAGCCCGATCTGAGGATACAAGGATATCGTCATATTCACCTTCTTGGTTTCTGCTGATGCATAAAGCTGATTTATCACTAGCGTCACACGTTCTATCTGGTTCTGTCTTACTAATAGTAAGCTCTAGCTCGTGGATTTTCTCATCTTTTGCTGCAAGCTCTCGCGTTAGGCGCTCTACTTCGCCCTGCAGGTCAGAATTTGATTCAGCCATGTCTGACAAATTTTAAAAAAGCTCAGTTCTATTCACTGTTAATTATGTGCTTGTAGCCTCAAGATTATAGCATTCTCCTCTCCAAGCAGATGCGATATTTCTATGGCATCCTTGTCTGCACAAATATCTAATGTTTGGAGAGCCAAAAGAGCGTGCACTGCTCCGATTCCCGCGTCCAACCAATGTGACAAGTAGTTTCCAGACACCGTTGGACTGGACACCGTCAAGTGAATGCTGGCGATAGATGGTCCTCCAACGTTCATGCCCTCAGTCGGCCTGACAATCAACTTATAGGGCATGCGATTTAGGGCACTTGGCGAACGAAGAACGGCGTTAGCCACTGTCTGGACATCAGGGGTGTTCTGTATGGAGGGTGGACAAACCAGAAACTTCTCTAATGGAGGTCGTCGCGTCTGGCCGTACTCAGGATTCACGGCGTGGCCTACAGGGAGGAATGCTACGACGCTTTCGGTCTCAGAGTTGATCAGTCCGTTCTTCTTAAGCACCTTGCTCTGTCCAAATATGTTGACGGCGCCAATCCACACATTCTGTAGATCCAGTGAAATAGCCTTTAAGATGAACAGCTGGCCTATCATGCCGGCCTCTATGTCGGCCTCTGGTCGCGGGCTGTCCTTGTTTACAATTACAGCAGAGCAGAAAACGATTCCGCGGATCACCCCTATCCCTATCGGACTCGTCATGGCCGTCTTTGCCATTTCCCCTTCAAGGATCTGAAGTCGTGCATGTTTAAATACCCTGTTCAGGTCGGCACTGTAAGCCTTCAAGCTTTCTTTTTGGTGTTCGGAGAGATCCTCCCCCGTGTATCTTCTCCAGGAGCATCGCTTGGGAATGGCCTCCACAAGGCCTTCACACAGAGATCTGGGGACCCTCATTATTTTAATAAGATCAACAGCTAAAATAGTTAGTATCATTTACAATCGTCTTTATAATTATTTTGTTGACCAATTTATAATTAAAGGTTAACTGAGACGAATGTCCATCTCAAGCAGCTGTGAGATCTTCGCTATGTTTATGACAGCTTTGCGGGTATGTTCAAGCCATTGGGAGAGCTGTTCGTTGTTAGAAAGGGGCTTGCTCATTTGGATGGTCCTCTGTGGACGGTCAATGGCCAAGTACCCATCATAGTTAACCAGAGCAAGCTCAACGTCTATGGGATCGCAGCCAACCAATTGTGCAAGGTTATCAATCGTTGTGTTGTTATAAAAGCGCATTATCTGAGCCACAAACTCCTCTATGTAAGAGGACTTGCATAGCCCCCATGTGAGTTCTATTTCGGTATCTGTCATAGCCTCATAATCAGAACAAACGCTTTCGTAGACACTGGAAAACAATGATGGCGAAAATAACTCTATCTTTGCTGTGTAGGTGTCCTGCTTTAGATTACTAGCATCATAGGCTAGGTCTTGAGGAAGCGGAATATATGCCGTGGCAGGACAGACCCGGCCTTCCTTAAAGTCTTCCTCAATCTTCTGCCAGGGATGCAGGGGAGACCTGAAGATAGACTTTGCAAATGGATGTATGAGGGAGGAAACACACCTGTGAGCCCGCGTGCAGTAAAAGATATTCTCGGCATAGAGGGTCGAAGCCCTCATTTGCTTCACGACACCGGAGACCTTAGAGAACCCAGCAAGAAGACCTGCAATAGCGGCAGTCGAAAGGAGTGTAGAGCATTTCATGAGGTCATCATTTGAGAGCTGGGAATCCTTGTTTAACTCGGGTCTGTCTAGCACCGCTAGATACGTTGATGCAGCTGCCCATGCCGCCTCGCAGAGTGCATCCATTCGCTTGTCTCCGAGTGCAATAAGGTATCTCGCTATGTAGTATCGTCGCTGAGCAAGACTAAGACGAACTCCCAGGTCCAAATCACCTTTACGGTACACCGCTGCTGTTGTAGCCTTCAGTGTCTTTTCCTTAATGCGATTCACAATTATCTCGGCCAGTACAAGCTCTCTAAAGTAAAGAGCAACATCTAGCTGCTCAAGGGTGTACTCTATTCTCTCAATGTATGCAAGAGTAGCGGCGACATCCGCTGACAGAGTCTCAGCTATCTTTAGCGCACCGTTACGCTCTCCTGCTCTACGGTACATGCGAAGTAACCTGATCGATTGTCTCACATTTATGGCCTCAACAACAATCAAATGCCCGATGATCCCAGTAAACTTTTGTAGTAATGGCTCTAGCGTAGAATAGTCAGATTGGTCGTCGTAGTTCTTTTGTAGGTACTCCTCCAACACGGTCCCACATCGGACGATGGCCTCGTTGGTCTGGGAGCGCCGTCTGATCAGGTTCCCAAAGAGGTTGATAGCGTCCTCGACCTTTCCCACCTCCAGAAGAGCTTGAAGAAGCCCAGCTGCGTAAATTGGAGTTGCTACAGCGTCGGACGTCAGCCTGGCCCCTCGCTCCAGGTCTTCCAGCTGCTCCATGACACTTTCCAATGAATCTGGTGATGCATCCAGTCTCGCTAGATGCTCCGCTAAGGTAGCCTCTGCTTCTGTCCGGATCCTCTGCTCCCTCTTGGCTTGACCATCCATGGTTCTTATTATTCTTGCCACAAATCCTTAAAACCATACTTTTACAATTTAAAAGTTATAGCGATTAGGCCCCTTGTAGCGGTGGTTTACAGTGGGGAGTGAATGGTGGTCGTGTACGTGGGTGGACTTTCAAAGAACACAACAGAGGAAAGCCTGCGGGAGCTATTTAGTCGGCGGGTACAGATCAAAAGCGTGGAACTAAACAGAAAGCACGTCAGGGTCTTCAATGACATAGAGAAGGCTCCTGTATTTGCTTTTTTGGACTGTGTCTGTGACGAGGACCAATTGGCCAAGGTCCTAGCGTACAATAAATGCTACTGGAATGGAACGTACCTTCGAGTCCAAGTAGCTAGAAAAGGGCCGTACATGCACGTGCCAAAGACCTCTGAAGAGAAGTCCCAAACGGATGTACAAAGGTTGCCCGAACCACACATAGAGCCTGACTCGCATTGCGCATCTACGACACAACACGTGGACATGTCTAGGCCTTCCGAGGATGCTGTGCCATCCCATCCTCGTAGAAAACGCGTACGTGTGTTCGATACCCTGAGGTCTAGCATCTGTTCCTGAGCTTCTCGTGCGCCTCCCCTATAATGGCTGCTATGTACTTAGACCCTCCACGGTCTGGGTGCGCCTTGGCCAAAAGTGAACGATAGTTTTTGGTGACCTCTGCATCGGTACTAAAACGTGATGTGTTTAGGACCAGCCTGGCTTCATGGGAACTTAGAGGAGAGCTAATCTCCCCCTTCCAGCTCCTTGGAGGACTAGTCACAATGACTCTAGGGTCTTTCCGTAAATACGAATAAAACCCCGCTACCACGCCGGCAACCAACGACAAAGGAAAGCGATTCTCGCTCAGTACACGTAGCATTGGAATTTATTCTATTCAGACAAAGGTTGATGGCTCAATTACCTTGGCGTCCTCTAACCTTTGAAGCTCGTCTCCAATAAAAGAGAGAGCCCAGACTACAGACGTTGGGGTTTCTAGAACATCCCAGTCCATGATGCTCTCGTCATCCTTGAGTGCGTCCTGAATGGTGGCCAGATTGCTTGCAGGCCGAAAGCTTGTGGTTTCATATACGCAGCCAGTCTCCAGCATGGCATCAAAAGAAGAGTTGGATGCGTAAGACACAATCATAGCCCTGCCACTGCTCACGCCGAAACGGATAAGGTGATCCGTCACTTCACGTCCAAATGCCTTATCGAGAACTATTATCCCTAAGTTTGCGTTGACTATCGCATGCAGGAGAGCTGCACGAACAATTCCCACGTTCTTGAATGGCAATACTCCCCTCATTTTCAAGTCGTACCATTGACGCTTGGTCAGCAAATCTGGTACCTCATTACTATTTATGTCAATTTCATTCGGCTCACACAGCAGTTTCTCCCAGGGTAGGTAGCTTGATAACGACAGCTCAACGTCTGTCAGGTCACACTGCTGTAATCTTTCGACAACCCTTTCAATGATGGCATCTGTGTCTGCAGGAAAAGACCACTTTGGCTCACCCTCACCGGGAAGCAGTGTGGTCTTGTAGAACACAAGAAGACAATTTAACGCAACTGGAATAAGCATCCGAAGATAACGAAACCTCTGCCGCTCTAGGCTTAGTAGTAAGTTGTCGAAGATGGAAATGGCTACATTAATGCGTAGGTCGTGGTCCATGGGGAGGATGGGGAAGAGGGTCGTGTAAAAGATCTGATTTGCAGGGAGGAGGGTCTCGAGAAGACCGGTGATCAGTTCCTCCCGTCTGGAGTTTTCGCTCCTTGTACTGTCTGGGCTCTGGACAACGGCACGTCCCGACTTTGTGAGTTCATAGAAGCAGTTTAGAAAAAGGGACGCAAAGTTGCCAGGATGCACAGTGTCACTTATGAGAGTATTCTTGAGCTTACCGAGGGGGAGGGAGGGTAGATCCGGATCGGCTACTTGCGCAGCAAGATACAAATCCTGCACAGTAGTGTATGGGGTAGAGTTGCCTATCCTCAAGGAGTTGAATGCAGCATTGACATAGCTATCTATTACCTGTGGCGTCATGCTGGTCTCTTTTCCTTGTTTTGAGCGCCGCCCACCGGTCTGACCGTCTCGCTGCGTACGAGGATAATACTCGGCGACAGGTATCTGAAATACAAACGTGTCTGTTTTTCTGGCTACATGTATCTCCTCAACAGGAGGAACGTCTATGGTGCTGGCCTTAACGTTCTCGGCCGATGATTCGCTGTCTTCGCCTTTTGTCCGGCGTCGAGAGGACGACTTCTTACCAGCTATCATCTTCTTGTCTCGAGATAACTTCCTTTTGTTGTCAAGCACTACTTCTGTTACCTGTAGTGCTGCAGGGTCATGTAGGAGTTGTGGATACTGAATACCTGGATGTGGCCTACAAAAGATTACCCTACACCGTGGGCAAGTGTAGTGAATCTTTTCAGCTAGCAATGCGTTGTAGATACCATCACACTGTTGATGGAGCCACTCCTTACAAAGATCACATTGTATCCAGTCACCACCTGTTTCAATGAGCTCACACTTGTGATTAGAGCATAGGATACACAAGTCAGACTGTTGGGCACCTGCTGGAAGTTTTCTGAGCTCGTTGAGATGTTCGTTAACAATGGAGACACTTGTGCCAAACACTTGAATAAGTCGTGGCTGCAGGCGGCGGTACATCTGTTGAAGGTAATAGTGACATGCCTCGACGTTGTTGCGCGTCTCCGGAGTGAGTGAGATGCTAGACTCGCGCTCTTCCTCCATTCAATTTTTAGAGCCATAAATACCGGGGAGTTATACTTACTTTAGCTTTACTTAAGAGCACACTTTATTAGGAACTCTGCTGCTTCTGGCCATACCGAGTAAAGGATAGCCACTATCCGTGTCTTTGCATCCAAGCAGCACGCGCGCTTGCCTGACAGAGCGGCAGAGACGATTTCCTTGGCTACGTCTTCTGCAGAGCGGGCAGTCCGTGCTTGAGGATTGGGAAGGCCGTTGCCACGAGCGTTCATCCGGAGTCTGGTTGCAATCCAGCCAGGGTAAGCAGTCGTTACATTCATTCCGTCGAGCCGCATGGATTCGGCGAGGTTGTGTATTCCAGCCTTTGATGCAGCGTACACACATCTGTTCGGCATCGGAAGCAAGCCCTGTGGAGAGGAAATGAATATGTAACGACCTGCATGGATGCCAGCAGAAAGCACAGCAGGGGCAGTCAAATTGATCGATGCGATAGAGCGGGCATCACTTACGCTTATATCGGCAGATACCTGCCCGACACCAGCGTTATTAACAAGGTGGAAGACGCTCTTGTCGCGAAGATACTCCACCACCTTTATGCACTCTGACTCTACCTCTAGATCTGCGGCAAGAACGGTAACGGAGGCCTTTTCTCCGAACTTCTCAATTAGTGCATGCTTAGCACGCTCTAGATTTTCATGCTTTCTTCCTATCAGAAGCAGCGGATGCCCCAGAGCAGCATACTCATGTGCTAAGGCCTCGCCAAGGCCAGAGCCTCCCCCAGTTATCACGCAGAGCCCACTATCACCGGTTAGCAGAGATCTACGCGCGGATTTGCGTTCACTAGCTAGCCTAGAGATCCGCGCTAGCAGAACGGTTGTAAAAAGCAAAAGAAGATAAACCCAGAAAGACAGCATCTTTTAGTTTATATTTGGGGCTGGCAGCAATGAGTAGAAAGTAAAAGACCCGGGATACGCATTCCTAAGAAGCAATGTGGCTCCTGCCAAGTAAAATTGGATCCATAAAAACTGAGCCTTTCATTACACGATTTAAAATGCGCAGTACTTGGTTTTCGGAGTTAGTCAACCTTTGTAATTCCGTGCCGCAAGGACCGGTTTCTCCTGAGAACCAAGACCAGTACTGCACCATAATTATGATGCTTCAGCTCCTGCTTTCTCCCCCGTCCTATAATATGGATATGGTTTTAAATCTTCTTTACATCCTCGACATCTTCTGTGACTATGACCAGTCCTCTAAGGGAGAGCAACATCTTCTTGAGGGACAAGGGCTTCTTCAAAAGATGTACTTTGCAGAGTGTGGCATCCCGACATTCAACCTAGATGATAAGGAGCCCGGGAAACTCAACCCTAAGGGTCAGGGAGTTACTAATTCTGGTTGCCCTATTATGCCAGCCACATACATAGGCATTACAGAGGCTTCCGTTCTACTCTTTGATGTGATGGGAGACAGAACAGTTTTGAGATCCATCTACTACTATATGGCTCGCTGGATGGTAGACAATAACCTTAGCGGCCCAATTCTGACTAATACTCTGCGTGAAAGGATCCTCCAACAGAATGAAGATAAAGGAACTAACATGAGTTTGAGGGAGTTAGATGATAATCCGGCTACCATCGGACCACAGAAATTCCACCAGCTTGTCAGTATTGAGCTTCTTTCCATTATACTTTTTCCTATTCTGGCAGTGACTAGGTACAGCATGACGGCCAAACCCGTGACAGACTTTCCCTTGTTCTTCGTTTGTGATAATAATAATGGGAAGAAGGAGTATCCCTTTATTAATATTTCTGATATCACAGAGTCTGCTGGACTAGAACCCATTATGGTTCCTAGCCTGATCCTCAGCAGTGGTCTAAGTGACCTCTTCTTGAAGTACAAGAGTAGCTTTACGTTTGAGCCCTATTCCTATCAGTGTTCTGCTGTGGATGGGATGCATAGACGGCGGAATACCTCCAACAAGACGTTTGGCTGCCTCGTATTCGATTTGATTGAAAAGGTAGTTGCTGTCCTAGATAGGAGGGATATAGATGTCAGCCGAAGCATTATCATAGCAATCATTGAGTATCTAATGGAGTTCCCGTCTCTTTTCCACGAGTATGCATCGCTCTATGGATGGAGACAAGATCCCAATTCGTATTCGACAATTTATACGGATATTACAAGAAAGTACTGTCAAACAATAATGGCTACAAGCCAAAAGTTGTTGGACCTTTGCTTTATGACGGTGTTCTTCCATGGCCAAATTGACAGCATTGACGATGTGGATTTGGAGCCCATGGGCGATACAGATGATGAGCTTGTGCTTTCCAGTTCTGCTCAGGAATTGGCATCTAAACTTCTGGAAGGGGACGAGCAATACTTCATGGACTTTTTCTCCAAGTTCGTTAACTTGACTGTTCAACATACCAGGATTGAGGCAGGGTTTTTGGCGGCTCTCGGCATGCACAACTTAACGCTTAGTGACCCGGTCTATCGATCTCTTTCTCTGGCCATTGCAAATGGGTGTAACGCTGGCTCTGTTAGGTCTCCTATTGACATGTTTTCGGAACACTATTACTACATGCATTCGGATGTCATGTATCTCTTTCTCACCGGTCTTGAGTATGTTGTGTTCCTTCTACGGGCAACCTCAGTCTATATTCCCTCTGTTGGCCCAGAAGATCATGAGATATACCGAGAGACATATATGTTTCTTAACCACGATGATGTGCTGCAGATAGTATGCAATGCGTTTGGTCTGCAAACAGAAACGGAGGATTTTATGACACTCTTACGTAAAACGTTGGACGATATCATTTCCGTGAAGGATAAGAGCAAGACAGATTATATTCACTCGGTCGTGTCATCTTTCTTCTTATCAACCATCACAGAGATAGACGCTATGTATTATCGCCGCACTGAACGCCACATATCTGTCACTACGCAGTTGCTAGAGCAGCCCGTCCAGAACTTGCAATTTACTACCAATATTGTATCTCAGAAGGCTCCGAAGGAGGCTACTTTAATGTTCACAGCGTGTCCTGTGGATGCTTGTTTTCAGTCTGATCCTCCTGAGAGTGCTAAGAGTGCTGCCAAGGCGAAAGCTGACACGTCGGTGGATCAAACCGTCCTTGAAGTGGTCACTGAGAAAGCCAGCCTCCTTACTGAGATATTTCGGAAGTTCTTAGAGGAGAATCCGGCGAGTGTCGACGCACTGTGGCCTGAAAGCGAATATTCCAAGCAAACTACCTTATTTGAGAGCAAGTACGATATCTTATATCGCACGCTTCAGGATATATGTTCATACTCCTCTCAGACGTATAAGGATATGGCATCAGTGATGGAGGCGTACAGGCTTCCGGCCCATTCGGCACTGAAGACAAGAAACTCAATGATTAAACGCAGCTACATAGGAGGCGTTTATAGAAATAGTCCAGAATGGTATATTACTCAGGCCATTCGCAACTATCTAATGATACCGGACATCAGATCATCGTTGAAACGTATTGCTAAAGTCTCTTGTATCTCTACGGGGATATTCCTTCTTCAGGTCGGGGATCTGCACACAGATTCCGTAGCTTCAGCTCTTATACAGTCACCACTGGATTTGGCAAAGCTGCAGGGCATTTGCTCACCAAGCAGGTATGGGCTGGCGCTTCTCTTTACAAGAGAGAAGGACGGATCCCTCATCTTCACCGATGCCCATTCTGTTTTTTACTTGACAGACTCTGCGCTAATAGCACTCATGACTGACGAAGACTCAGATTTGCTCTCTTCTAGAATCAACGAAGTGACCGTCTTTGCCTCTTCAGTTGAACATGCAGCCTCACATTCCTTGTTCGGCGACTTTGTTCCCGATACAGGCTCTTTAGAAATGGTCTGCAACGGCAGATCTTACTATAACTTGGATAAGTGCAAATTTTGTAGAATTCAAGAGGCAATTTATCATGGGAGAGATAAGGTGCAAAATAACCTCAAAGATACGAGGCAGTTGGTGGCCCCTCTCACTGACTTTCACAATATATTCTTCAAGCGTCTTGTTCACCTTGCCCAAGAAGACAAGGGTCTGGATCTCTTCCAGTTTAGAAATGCTATTTTAGACAGGCTGTGCTCAAGTAACAAAGATATTATCTCTATGCTCCAGTCCAGTGGACACTTCTTTATTTCTAATGCTCCATCTGGCAGCGGAGCATCCATTTCCTTTGTCTCTTCTGGCAGCAAGGTCTACAGTGAGTCTGAATTGAAGGGCCTGGAGATGAACAGGTCCGTGTGCTCGATCTATTCAGAGGAACGCTATCTACGAATCCGCCTCCAAGAACATGGGATTGCAGATCTTTCAAAGATAATTTGTCAATGCGCCATGAAGAGTATTTTCAGGCCTGGTAAAGATATCTTCAATAAGCTTACTCTGACTGCTCCACTGAGAGCGGCCTTCGACGAGTGTATGGCCGGATGTGAAGCGTCCTCGGTGCCAGACTCTGTCCCACCATCCTTATGGATATTGGCAGACAGTCCAAATTTCTTTGTGGTTCACTATAGCGAATTATCATATGAGATTTTGCGAATGTGTGAGCAACTAGGGGCTAACTTGGCCTGTATAACAGATGTCTTCGATGGAATTGGACCTAAAGAGCATTTTCTTATCAAAGTTTTCCATGTTATTCTGTCCCTTATAGATCCGAACTTCGGTAAAGTCCTTCTTGAGAAACTGAATGAGAAGATCATTAAGGCAGATGTGAGTGAGAGGAAGCAAACATCTACAGGCCGCTTGGTCGGTGGAACGTGGAAATACTTAGAACTTATAAAGGAAACGACAGAGAAGGATTATGCTGATAAAAAGCCGTCTAAGATAGCGTTGAAGTTCGCCTCGGAAGCGAAGAGGAACCTGAGTTATTTAGTGACAACAATGAAGCCGTTCGTTTCCCAAGTTATGGCGCGTATTCCCGTGAAGTTTATGACGGTTGGGCAGTTTAATAAGCTTGGATGCCCATCAACTCTAGAGGATTTGGTTATTATTGTGAAAAGCAGGGACTGCAATATAGATGACACTCGTAGATTGCTTCCTAGGTCTGCTTGTACTATTGAGCTCCTCGTGGATGAGATCTGACGTCATCCTTATCTCTTCCAATCATTGCCAATCTTCCTAGTATACTGCTGCTGGAATTGCTAGCTGAACGGTAGGAATAGGGTGGGTTGAGGTGGCTGCTATCTGGTGCTAGAGAAGAATTATTTGCCGCTGTTGTAGACTCAACTACCGAGGGCGCCACTGATCCCCCACGAACGGAGTGAAGCAACGGGCTTGTATCTTGCGATGGAAGGGGGAGACTCTGGCCAGGTTCTTCTGTCACAAGCCAGTGGGCTTTTGTCCGGATTACATCTATAACAAACGCAACGTATTCCGGAAGCCTCAGATAGGTATCGTCCGCCGGAGGTGAGTATGATAGTTCTGCATCTCTTTCTGATAGGGTTTTCAAGGCATCTATTGTATTAGCAACCAGAGATTTGTAAAGAGATAATTCCTCGCTTCTTTGATTCAGGTGTATACACTCGTGCGCCAGGCGATCAGCAGTGGTCGTGGATTCCGTTAGATCTGCGCGAATGTTTGTTATCAGACAATCCTTCTCGTTCAGTAGCTCCTTCAGTGCATTTAGCTCGCGATCACTAGACTCGGTCCGTACCTCCTTTAGCTGTTGATGCAGGATGAGAATTTGCTCATTCTTGGCGGCCATTTCATGAGAATATGCCTCCATCTGTCCCATATAGACTTCTATCTTAACGCACATGTCCGATAGGCCTGCCTCCAACTCGCAGATGCGATGCTTCAGGTCTTTGATTTGAGCGTCTTTTTCCGTTAGAGCGGCTCTACTCTGTTCATGCCATTCCGTGGATAGTCTAGCAATTGTCTCTGCCATGTCTTTGATTACTGGCAAGATTGATTGAAAGGAGACCTGTTGTGCAGCATCTTTGGGGCTGTTACAACATTCTAACAATTCATCAAGCTGCCGTTTAAGATGGCTCAAGGTAGGAGACTCGTCAGTGCGCCAGAGGAGTGCTCCTTGCCGTGCATTTGGCTGTGTGTTTGTGTTTAAAATAGGTGTATTGCCTACACAGATCCTGGCGTGAAGACGCTCAGCCAGGTCCGCGACCTTAGAAGACGCTATAGGCCAGCTTTTAACTAGGTTGGTGGCGACCTTCTCACCGAATAGTTCTTCACAAAGACAGAAAATGGCTGTTTTTGTGGGGTGCTGGGGGTGTTTGTGGAAATAAAGAGAAAGGATGTTCCCGACTAATTGTTGATCTGTTAATATGGTATAGAACGTTGAAAATGCAATAGCTGGATCGATGGCTTTGTTGTAGATTCCGTCTGCAGCTAGTTTGCCAAGAACATCTACAAAAACATCAATCATAAATTCAGGGTAAATTTAATTTATTAGGGGATTCTTTCTCTATTAGATGCCTTCGGCTGTACACACAGGTCGTTTTGGTCTCAGAAGCAATCGTAGTAATTACCAGAATTATCGGGCAGCAGACGTTTTTTAGGGCAGAGAAAGATTTCCTGAGAAATGAGGTGCACCTGATTGCTGGTGACAATGCAGTGGCTTCGGCAGTGTTATGGCCCGGGCCTCTTCAGCCGCGCTTGATGGAACCCGACGGCGCGCCAGGCGACGGGACAGGGCACCGGCCGTCTCTAGAGCATGCAGGAGGCGGGGCTTGTGAGCCCATAGGCGTCTGGCCTGCCAGCTGGGGCTACCTCGGTGACGAGGCCCAGGGTGATGCAGCGTGGATGACCCTGTGCGCGTGTGCTCTGTGATGACGGGCCTGACGGGGAGTGCAGCAAGGTTATGGGAATGGGCTCCGTCTGGGCCAGGGCCCCAGAGCTCTTTCTGTCGCAGGGAAGAATAGGGCAGTGCGGTGCAAGGGAGGCATCCGGCAAGATGCTGGGAAACTGGCCCGTTGCGGTAAGTCACGGGGGCTGCTAAATACAGTGTCTCTTTTCTTAAGCAAAAGACAGGCAGAGTGGATGATTGCGGAGGCTGCAGTGTCCGTGGTAGATCGCGGCATCGCAAGGTGGCTGGGTCCGTGCTGGTGTGTCTGTCCGGGCTCCAAGTGCGCTCTGAGGATCACCTGCTGATGGACCGGAAGGCCCGAGAAGTGATGCGCTGCCCCTGTCATCGCGGGCAGCGCCCCGTGGCACGCACTCGAGCCAGCGCCTCCTGGTGGCCAGAAGCAGAGCAGAGGCAGACGGCCGGTCGTGCATCCGTCCAGGCAGCTCACTGCATGTAGAGCGAAGAAGACCACCTGCGCCGCTCGGGTTATCGCTCAGCATCAAGTGCGGATGGAAGGCTGGGCCCGGCAACCAGGGCGCCGACCTGCACGCTCCCGTCAGCCATCCCAGGCCGGTCAGAAGCCAGGCTCGACAGGCAGTGCAAAAGCCAGGGAAGCCAGCGTGACCATCGGGCCCGCGTTTGAATGCTAAAAAACTTGGGCAGCGATGGCGACTGTCGTCTTCCTGGGAGGGCGCCTCTTCGCACAGGGTCAGCCGTCCTGGCCCTGCATGCTGGGTGCGCGGCTTGGGGGCGCGCTGTGCTAGTTGCGGGCCTGCCAGGCGCTGCAGCCTACGAATAGCACGGACGGATGCAACGGGGTGTTCGAGCAGTGTACTGTCATTGTCCCAGAGAGCTGTGGTTCTAACCATGCGCCCTACACCGGCTCGGCATACCCCTGCTGCTTCCGCTGCTGGTCTGTCTGCCACTTGTTTATTATAGCGGGGGGCGCATACGCTTATAGTGTCGTCTAGGCACTGTAGTGGTCTTCTCGGACGGTGCATGTATATTCACATGATGGCCGATGGGTGGAGCGGCTGCCTGATCTCAGAGCTCTCATTGCAACAAGGCGGGGCGTCGGCTGTCTACACGCCTCTAAGCGAGCCCGCGACCTCTGTGCAGATGCCTGTTCGCCGCGCTCCATAGTGACGGCTGTACACCCAGAAGGGGTCGCAGAATCCTCCGCTGTCCTTCGAGGTGGACCACGGCTTGTGCACAGGCTAGCGACGGGGCCTGCGCACCAGCTGCTATGGGCCCAGTCTGCCGGGCACCTGGATCACAGTGCACGTCAAGACCGCACACTCGTTTGCATGCTCGCTGCTAATGTTGAACAGAACTGCGAGGGGTCTGTCTCTGGCCATCCTCGCCTTAGTGCTTGGCCCTTGATGACACGCCTCAGCAGAGGATGGTGTCTTCTAAGTACTCGGAAGACTATCTGTGCATGACGGTTCCTAGAGAGTCGGTTCGCACAGAAAGTGTAGATGTGCCCGGCGGGCTGGCGGGGTAGGGCTGGGGCTACAGAGACTAGCCATTAGCCCGGATTACAGCAGGGACACCTGTAGTGCCTCCTCGGCTCCTAAGCGTGGAAAGGCCGTAGAACTTGCAGATGAGTTGGAGGCTGGTTTTTGATTTTATGCATTTGCAGCAGAGCAGAGTTTACTGAAGGTCCACTTTTTCTGAAGTCGAGGAGCCTCATCTCCTCCTCACACACGGTGAGATGATCGATTGTAGAGGTGTATTGTGCAAACCGGTGGCAGTCAGCGTATCTATTATCCAAACATACTGCCTGCGTCCTCCTGTGGCAAACCACCACCAGGGCCCAATCTACACAGCTGCTCTGGCATCTGTCGGGCAATCATCACCTTTGGTCGAATGATTGCTGTACCTTACACATCTTGAGCCATCCGTCGACCAGGTGGTGCCATAAGCTCTTGTCCCCTACTTGTCCACCCGATGCATACTCTGAGCGCCGTCAATTCACTCACGTCTGCACTACTCATCTGGATGCCCCCACTCTTCAAGAGCACATGCCCGCAGCCGATGCTCCGTATTACAAGAGGAGCCAGCCGGGCCACTGCGCTGTGCATAGCTCTCCTGGGCGTATTGTTATGCGCGCCCAGCCTTTCCATCTATAAGTCACCACGCAGCTCTTTCCCACCGTCTCGCGTCCACATGTGCGCCAGCGCCGCCGAGCTTTTGTGGTCTCGAGGGGCCCCTGATGCATGGAGCGCTTGCGCAAAGTCCTTCCACCACTGACCCAAGCCGACCCCTCGCAAGATCCTCAGCGGAGTTGCATCCGAGATGTGTGCCTGCGTTGCTGTCCAGGTGCATGTGCCGGCCCTGGTGCTTCCCACAAGCTTGCGAGCATCGAGCTGGCCTCTACCGAACCGTATCAGAAGTCAACACCAGGATGTAGTCCCCTCGGTTGGGCTCTGCAGGCTTCCAGAGCTACGCATCAAAAGGCCGTTCTTCTTTGCGTCGTGTAACGTAGGAAAATGCATCGAGCTACCACACCCTCTCCGTGTGGCGTGGTTTACGACGGGGGACGGGATCCCCGTACTCACTGTCTATCTGCCCAGGACCAGCCCAGTCCGGGTTGACGATGACAAGCGAGCATCGCCCGGCTCCTTGTCAGCAAGTGGGAACTTCCGCCACCCCAGTACCCACAGCAAAGGGTGCTGATCATGAGCCCGGCCAACCACTGGCAGAAGGACAAGACACCCAGGCTCCCGTTCCTTCCACTGATGGTAGCCCACTATGAAGAGCCCTTTGCCGCCTGCACCAACAACCTCAGGCACTGTGGGTCAGAGTGCCTCCATAGTGAACAGCGGTAGCACTATGATGATCTGGGGTAACAGGAGTCCCGGCCTATCAACTCAGGAGGCAGCACGCTTTGGGCAGTGCTTCCCTCCTGTCCAGATCTGGGAGGGCTGGCTGCCTTCCGAACCCCACCTGGCACCTTGTTATGCGATGGGGAGCCTTAGTAGCATTTAGTACACAAGATCAGAGCTATGCACACACCAGGCGAGAGCGTCTCATGGGCTTACCTCTGTTGGTCCGCACTTCCACGGACCCGGTATCTCCTCTAGGGACTGCAAGAGAGCACAGAAGGCTGTGGCCAGGGAGCAAAGGAGCCTGGAGAGGAGCTGCTAGCGGCTGGGCTACTGGAGCAGGAGGAGCATCGCTGCTCACTTAGGATTTCTTGGTCCCGCATGCACAGAGATCTCGGAGTCCGTGCCTGATGGGGAGAGCAGGTTGTACAAGGGACGCGTTTGCTATTTAAATCTACACCTTACCTCTGCAAAGGAAGCCGACAAACATACTGACAGCAATGTACAAGAGTGCACCCCGAACGATCATTCCACAAGAGAGGTGCGATCTGAGCCTGGCCCTCACTGGTCCTGTTTCTATTGAAGCCAGGGGGAACCGCACTATCAGCTGGCCTTCGATGGGCATGCTATCATCTCGTCCTTCTCCAGTCTAACTGATCAGGAAGAGCGAGAGCGGCTGTCTCTCACTGCTCGCGGCAACACACAAGTCTGACAGAAGAGCAGTGGCACGTGTACTCCGGCTAATGTTGGTAGGATTTCTCCTAGTTTGTGTAACAGTGCTGGCAAAGCACAACGAGAAGACCGCGCAGTGCGACGATGGTAATGGCTACCAGCTCCAGGGCGACGCGTGCGTCAAGGGACAGGCCAACGCGTGCCCGACGCTGGAAGGGGCCGGGTGCGAGACGTGCGACTTGAGCGGCGGGGAAACCTGTCTTACATGCAAGGATAAAGCGCAATACGTCGCGGCCAACAAGAAGAGCTGCAAGGCCGCCTGCACTGCCCCGGAAGAGGTAATAGACCCGGCTGCCGGCTCGGCGAAGGCCTGCAAGTGCGACGATGGTAATGGCTACCAGCTCCAGGGCGACGCGTGCGTCAAGGGACAGGCCAACGCGTGCCCGACGCTGGAAGGGGCCGGGTGCGAGACGTGCGACTTGAGCGGCGGGGAAACCTGTCTTACATGCAAGGATAAAGCGCAATACGTCGCGGCCAACAAGAAGAGCTGCAAGGCCGCCTGCACTGCCCCGGAAGAGGTAATAGACCCGGCTGCCGGCTCGGCGAAGGCCTGCAAGTGCGACGATGGTAATGGCTACCAGCTCCAGGGCGACGCGTGCGTCAAGGGACAGGCCAACGCGTGCCCGACGCTGGAAGGGGCCGGGTGCGAGACGTGCGACTTGAGCGGCGGGGAAACCTGTCTTACATGCAAGGATAAAGCGCAATACGTCGCGGCCAACAAGAAGAGCTGCAAGGCCGCCTGCACTGCCCCGGAAGAGGTAATAGACCCGGCTGCCGGCTCGGCGAAGGCCTGCAAGTGCGACGATGGTAATGGCTACCAGCTCCAGGGCGACGCGTGCGTCAAGGGACAGGCCAACGCGTGCCCGACGCTGGAAGGGGCCGGGTGCGAGACGTGCGACTTGAGCGGCGGGGAAACCTGTCTTACATGCAAGGATAAAGCGCAATACGTCGCGGCCAACAAGAAGAGCTGCAAGGCCGCCTGCACTGCCCCGGAAGAGGTAATAGACCCGGCTGCCGGCTCGGCGAAGGCCTGCAAGTGCGACGATGGTAATGGCTACCAGCTCCAGGGCGACGCGTGCGTCCAAGCGTGGACTGAGCGGGGGCGCACAGCGGCGCATACGTCGCGGCCCGGAGCCGGCCCTGGGAAGAGGTGCCGGCCGGCGGGTGGTGCCGATGGAAGGACCGTGGCGACCTGTCAGGACAGGCCGGGCCGGGGGGGGGGGGCGGACGGCGGCGGGGAAACCTGTCTTACATGCAAGGATAAAGCGCAATACGTCGCGGCCAACAAGAAGAGCTGCAAGGCCGCCTGCACTGCCCCGGAAGAGGTAATAGACCCGGCTGCCGGCTCGGCGAAGGCCTGCAAGTGCGACGATGGTAATGGCTACCAGCTCCAGGGCGACGCGTGCGTCAAGGGACAGGCCAACGCGTGCCCGACGCTGGAAGGGGCCGGGTGCGAGACGTGCGACTTGAGCGGCGGGGAAACCTGTCTTACATGCAAGGATAAAGCGCAATACGTCGCGGCCAACAAGAAGAGCTGCAAGGCCGCCTGCACTGCCCCGGAAGAGGTAATAGACCCGGCTGCCGGCTCGGCGAAGGCCTGCAAGTGCGACGATGGTAATGGCTACCAGCTCCAGGGCGACGCGTGCGTCAAGGGACAGGCCAACGCGTGCCCGACGCTGGAAGGGGCCGGGTGCGAGACGTGCGACTTGAGCGGCGGGGAAACCTGTCTTACATGCAAGGATAAAGCGCAATACGTCGCGGCCAACAAGAAGAGCTGCAAGGCCGCCTGCACTGCCCCGGAAGAGGTAATAGACCCGGCTGCCGGCTCGGCGAAGGCCTGCAAGTGCGACGATGGTAATGGCTACCAGCTCCAGGGCGACGCGTGCGTCAAGGGACAGGCCAACGCGTGCCCGACGCTGGAAGGGGCCGGGTGCGAGACGTGCGACTTGAGCGGCGGGGAAACCTGTCTTACATGCAAGGATAAAGCGCAATACGTCGCGGCCAACAAGAAGAGCTGCAAGGCCGCCTGCACTGCCCCGGAAGAGGTAATAGACCCGGCTGCCGGCTCGGCGAAGGCCTGCAAGTGCGACGATGGTAATGGCTACCAGCTCCAGGGCGACGCGTGCGTCAAGGGACAGGCCAACGCGTGCCCGACGCTGGAAGGGGCCGGGTGCGAGACGTGCGACTTGAGCGGCGGGGAAACCTGTCTTACATGCAAGGATAAAGCGCAATACGTCGCGGCCAACAAGAAGAGCTGCAAGGCCGCCTGCACTGCCCCGGAAGAGGTAATAGACCCGGCTGCCGGCTCGGCGAAGGCCTGCAAGTGCGACGATGGTAATGGCTACCAGCTCCAGGGCGACGCGTGCGTCAAGGGACAGGCCAACGCGTGCCCGACGCTGGAAGGGGCCGGGTGCGAGACGTGCGACTTGAGCGGCGGGGAAACCTGTCTTACATGCAAGGATAAAGCGCAATACGTCGCGGCCAACAAGAAGAGCTGCAAGGCCGCCTGCACTGCCCCGGAAGAGGTAATAGACCCGGCTGCCGGCTCGGCGAAGGCCTGCAAGTGCGACGATGGTAATGGCTACCAGCTCCAGGGCGACGCGTGCGTCAAGGGACAGGCCAACGCGTGCCCGACGCTGGAAGGGGCCGGGTGCGAGACGTGCGACTTGAGCGGCGGGGAAACCTGTCTTACATGCAAGGATAAAGCGCAATACGTCGCGGCCAACAAGAAGAGCTGCAAGGCCGCCTGCACTGCCCCGGAAGAGGTAATAGACCCGGCTGCCGGCTCGGCGAAGGCCTGCAAGTGCGACGATGGTAATGGCTACCAGCTCCAGGGCGACGCGTGCGTCAAGGGACAGGCCAACGCGTGCCCGACGCTGGAAGGGGCCGGGTGCGAGACGTGCGACTTGAGCGGCGGGGAAACCTGTCTTACATGCAAGGATAAAGCGCAATACGTCGCGGCCAACAAGAAGAGCTGCAAGGCCGCCTGCACTGCCCCGGAAGAGGTAATAGACCCGGCTGCCGGCTCGGCGAAGGCCTGCAAGTGCGACGATGGTAATGGCTACCAGCTCCAGGGCGACGCGTGCGTCAAGGGACAGGCCAACGCGTGCCCGACGCTGGAAGGGGCCGGGTGCGAGACGTGCGACTTGAGCGGCGGGGAAACCTGTCTTACATGCAAGGATAAAGCGCAATACGTCGCGGCCAACAAGAAGAGCTGCAAGGCCGCCTGCACTGCCCCGGAAGAGGTAATAGACCCGGCTGCCGGCTCGGCGAAGGCCTGCAAGTGCGACGATGGTAATGGCTACCAGCTCCAGGGCGACGCGTGCGTCAAGGGACAGGCCAACGCGTGCCCGACGCTGGAAGGGGCCGGGTGCGAGACGTGCGACTTGAGCGGCGGGGAAACCTGTCTTACATGCAAGGATAAAGCGCAATACGTCGCGGCCAACAAGAAGAGCTGCAAGGCCGCCTGCACTGCCCCGGAAGAGGTAATAGACCCGGCTGCCGGCTCGGCGAAGGCCTGCAAGTGCGACGATGGTAATGGCTACCAGCTCCAGGGCGACGCGTGCGTCAAGGGACAGGCCAACGCGTGCCCGACGCTGGAAGGGGCCGGGTGCGAGACGTGCGACTTGAGCGGCGGGGAAACCTGTCTTACATGCAAGGATAAAGCGCAATACGTCGCGGCCAACAAGAAGAGCTGCAAGGCCGCCTGCACTGCCCCGGAAGAGGTAATAGACCCGGCTGCCGGCTCGGCGAAGGCCTGCAAGTGCGACGATGGTAATGGCTACCAGCTCCAGGGCGACGCGTGCGTCAAGGGACAGGCCAACGCGTGCCCGACGCTGGAAGGGGCCGGGTGCGAGACGTGCGACTTGAGCGGCGGGGAAACCTGTCTTACATGCAAGGATAAAGCGCAATACGTCGCGGCCAACAAGAAGAGCTGCAAGGCCGCCTGCACTGCCCCGGAAGAGGTAATAGACCCGGCTGCCGGCTCGGCGAAGGCCTGCAAGTGCGACGATGGTAATGGCTACCAGCTCCAGGGCGACGCGTGCGTCAAGGGACAGGCCAACGCGTGCCCGACGCTGGAAGGGGCCGGGTGCGAGACGTGCGACTTGAGCGGCGGGGAAACCTGTCTTACATGCAAGGATAAAGCGCAATACGTCGCGGCCAACAAGAAGAGCTGCAAGGCCGCCTGCACTGCCCCGGAAGAGGTAATAGACCCGGCTGCCGGCTCGGCGAAGGCCTGCAAGTGCGACGATGGTAATGGCTACCAGCTCCAGGGCGACGCGTGCGTCAAGGGACAGGCCAACGCGTGCCCGACGCTGGAAGGGGCCGGGTGCGAGACGTGCGACTTGAGCGGCGGGGAAACCTGTCTTACATGCAAGGATAAAGCGCAATACGTCGCGGCCAACAAGAAGAGCTGCAAGGCCGCCTGCACTGCCCCGGAAGAGGTAATAGACCCGGCTGCCGGCTCGGCGAAGGCCTGCAAGTGCGACGATGGTAATGGCTACCAGCTCCAGGGCGACGCGTGCGTCAAGGGACAGGCCAACGCGTGCCCGACGCTGGAAGGGGCCGGGTGCGAGACGTGCGACTTGAGCGGCGGGGAAACCTGTCTTACATGCAAGGATAAAGCGCAATACGTCGCGGCCAACAAGAAGAGCTGCAAGGCCGCCTGCACTGCCCCGGAAGAGGTAATAGACCCGGCTGCCGGCTCGGCGAAGGCCTGCAAGTGCGACGATGGTAATGGCTACCAGCTCCAGGGCGACGCGTGCGTCAAGGGACAGGCCAACGCGTGCCCGACGCTGGAAGGGGCCGGGTGCGAGACGTGCGACTTGAGCGGCGGGGAAACCTGTCTTACATGCAAGGATAAAGCGCAATACGTCGCGGCCAACAAGAAGAGCTGCAAGGCCGCCTGCACTGCCCCGGAAGAGGTAATAGACCCGGCTGCCGGCTCGGCGAAGGCCTGCAAGTGCGACGATGGTAATGGCTACCAGCTCCAGGGCGACGCGTGCGTCAAGGGACAGGCCAACGCGTGCCCGACGCTGGAAGGGGCCGGGTGCGAGACGTGCGACTTGAGCGGCGGGGAAACCTGTCTTACATGCAAGGATAAAGCGCAATACGTCGCGGCCAACAAGAAGAGCTGCAAGGCCGCCTGCACTGCCCCGGAAGAGGTAATAGACCCGGCTGCCGGCTCGGCGAAGGCCTGCAAGTGCGACGATGGTAATGGCTACCAGCTCCAGGGCGACGCGTGCGTCAAGGGACAGGCCAACGCGTGCCCGACGCTGGAAGGGGCCGGGTGCGAGACGTGCGACTTGAGCGGCGGGGAAACCTGTCTTACATGCAAGGATAAAGCGCAATACGTCGCGGCCAACAAGAAGAGCTGCAAGGCCGCCTGCACTGCCCCGGAAGAGGTAATAGACCCGGCTGCCGGCTCGGCGAAGGCCTGCAAGTGCGACGATGGTAATGGCTACCAGCTCCAGGGCGACGCGTGCGTCAAGGGACAGGCCAACGCGTGCCCGACGCTGGAAGGGGCCGGGTGCGAGACGTGCGACTTGAGCGGCGGGGAAACCTGTCTTACATGCAAGGATAAAGCGCAATACGTCGCGGCCAACAAGAAGAGCTGCAAGGCCGCCTGCACTGCCCCGGAAGAGGTAATAGACCCGGCTGCCGGCTCGGCGAAGGCCTGCAAGTGCGACGATGGTAATGGCTACCAGCTCCAGGGCGACGCGTGCGTGATTCCCAACACAAACAAGAGTAGCGGCCTTTCTACAGGCGCCATCGCAGGTATCGCAGTGGCTGCTGTCATCGTTGTAGGTGGTCTTGTTGGCTTCTTGTGTTGGTGGTTCCTCTGCCGCGGGAAGGCGTAGACTTAGCTGTGTACTTAGATAGTAAACGCGTCAAGACGATCCTTGTGGCAGCTCCCCGGGGTGGCACCGGAATGCCGACAAGCAGCGGGCACCCGTGTCCCTTCCACTGAGGCCTGCAGAGACAGCCGAGCGCGCTCTCAGCAGGGCCAGATGCCTGGCTTGCCTGGCTCTGTAGTGGCTGGAGCAGTCCGTGGCCAGGCGGCGATGGGCGCACCCGGGCACCGTCCCCCGGGGTACTAGGCTGGGTACCACACGTGGCGCAGCAGCATAGCTTTCTCGTAAGTTTATCGTCTACGTGTGGTACATAGTTTAAACAGTCCAACCAAAGTGATTTTTTGAAGTTCATTCACCACAGTGATAGCAAGCTGGTGCAGTCCCTTGCTATGAACTGACCAATTAATGTGCCCTTCTCATAATACACGAGTCATGTAATTACGAATCAAATATATATGGCTTTATCTTTGCTCTTGGCTGTAGTTTGTGCAAAGCCCCTGGTGAGCCGCGCCGAGCTAAGGCGGATTCAGGCTCTCAATCCTCCATGGAAAGCAGGGATGCCAAAAAGGTTTGAAAACGTCACAGAAGATGAATTTCGTAGCATGCTGATCCGTCCCGACCGTCTTAGAGCAAGATCTGGCTCTCTACCACCAATTTCGATAACAGAAGTCCAGGAACTCGTAGATCCTATTCCGCCTCAGTTCGACTTCCGTGATGAGTACCCTCAGTGCGTGAAACCAGCGCTGGACCAAGGAAGTTGCGGGGGATGTTGGGCATTCTCAGCTATAGGAGTGTTCGGGGACAGGCGCTGTGCGATGGGCATCGATAAGGAGGCCGTCTCCTACTCGCAGCAACACCTCATATCCTGCTCACTAGAGAACTTTGGCTGTGATGGAGGCGATTTTCAACCGACATGGAGCTTTCTAACTTTCACAGGAGCAACCACAGCTGAATGCGTTAAGTACGTTGACTATGGTCACACCGTAGCGTCTCCGTGCCCTGCGGTCTGTGACGACGGATCTCCGATACAGCTCTACAAGGCACATGGATATGGACAGGTGAGCAAGAGTGTTCCGGCCATAATGGGAATGCTCGTCGCTGGCGGACCGCTGCAGACCATGATCGTCGTGTACGCTGACCTGTCGTACTATGAAAGCGGTGTCTATAAACACACCTATGGAACCATCAATCTTGGGTTCCATGCTTTGGAAATAGTTGGCTACGGGACCACTGATGACGGGACGGACTACTGGATTATAAAGAACTCCTGGGGCCCCGATTGGGGCGAAAACGGGTACTTCCGGATTGTCCGCGGAGTCAATGAGTGCAGGATAGAGGATGAAATCTATGCTGTATATCTTGACTAGCGCCTGTCTTCATACATAGCTACCATTGCCCTAATGGGTAGAAGTAAACGTTTTTCTGGTCCATGCATTAAAAATGGAAGATTGGCTGCCGGTTCCTCCATCTGTGGAATATCTGAACCGGGCATCTGAACGTATTGGCGTCAGCTGCTCCTGGATGCAGATTTCGGCCGCACAGCTTGCCCCAGAACATGTAGAGCAGTATCCCATTCTTCTGTTTTTCTATCCTATTAGACCGACAAGTAACATCTACAACGGAGACGCCACCTTTCCTGAACTCATAACCAACATTCAGCCGGTGCACCCATATACGCACGTTCCCTTTGGGCTTCTTACGGCCTTGTGCAATTATTTACCCGTGGCTTCAATGCTACAAAGATTGATTTCCGAGCTGTCCCCTTATCCTCCACCACACAGGGGTCTTTATCTGACACGGAACTACCATCTTAGGGACCTGCATAATAAAATTGTGCGGTCCCTTGGACATGATCCGGACGACTTGTTCTTGAAATGTCACTACAGCCTGTTCATTCTACCCCACGGCACGACCCGGCCAATCGAGCTTTGTAGCTACAAGGTTTCTCCTTCACAAGACACATCCACGAATGAGCTCCTTGCTAGGCTCTACGAACAGGACATACCGTTCAAGATATTCACACCCAGAATTGAATAAATTCTCTGCATGAGTAGTGATGCGCCTGATGACTGGATTCAGGCCATTTCTGCACGGAACGTCCCTGCAGTAAAGAAACTAATGGAGGGCTGTGCTCGGCGGACTGATTCAACTGGGACAACAGGCCTTATGCTGGCTGCAAAGCGCGGAAGTTTAGAGATTGTTGAGCTGCTCGCCCCAAAGGAGTCTGGGATGCTAAATTCAGAAGGCCACACAGCCATGATGCTCGCAGCCATGCAGGACCATCTGCCCATTTGCGCATATCTGGGTCCACTCGAGAAGAATGTTATCGGCGCCAATGACCAGGATGTCTTTATGATTGCCGTGAGCTACGAGGCTAAAGATGTGGTTGAGTATCTAAGCGGCGCATATCCTCTTAGAAAAGACGCGGACGGACATTCTGTCTTTGACTTTGCCATTGCCATTGGCAATGCGGAAATTCTGCACATTCTGCTATCGAGCAATCCACTAGATGATGATGAACGCAATCGACTTAGTGCTCTTGCGCAAGAGAGCGAGAAGTTCGATCTTGTCGACCTTCTGCGTGAGGTACGCTGTGACAAGAAGGCAGAGCTCAACAGTCCTGGACCTCCTACCCTCCAAGGCTCTCCCCCTGTACTATCTATAGAATCTGAGCCTATTCCCATATCATCAAGTAAGCCTGACTTTCGTGGCAACTACCTTCCCTCAGGAAGTCGGAAGGAATCAACCGATGGATACGACAGATATAGCACAACAGTTGCTCCCGAAGTAAGCCTAAATGTAATGTCAGCTTCATCTTCGCCTAAGACCGAATTTAGGCCAAGGACTTCCAACCACTGGGAACGACTTTTGCAAGACCGAGACGATGAGATACAGCGTCTTCAATCTTTGCTGTTACACACTGCAGATGTTCGAGCCGCTTCGTTGACCTATGAATCCTTGTACGCAGAATCTCAAGTGTTATCTCACATCTTTCGGTCGCTAAAGAAGTACCAACTTGACATCGCAAGTAGAGAGTCCAAACTACTTTATTATTCTCTTTGCGAGTTCACAAAGGTCTATGCTCCCCTTATTTCTCCTTGTGACACTAGGGTCTTTGATGATTTGCGGAGTGTCTCCCCGAACATGGATGTATCCCCGTCTGCTGAGGAGATAAAGACCTACAGAGCAGAGAACTTGAAGCTATTAGAAAAACTGGATGAGAAAACTCACAATATAAGGCGCTTAGAAGCGCTGCTAGATAATATCAAAGGGATTATTGCGTTTCACTATCACGGAAGGGAAGACGCCTACCAACCGGATAACATAATTGCTTCCTTGCAACTCTTGCTTCAGGAGAAGACAGATCGGACCGAGGCCCAGCATTCAGCCTTAGCGCAGAGGGCGACTGGCCCTACCTCTACTTCCAGTACCGCCACTTCTGGACCAGGGCAACACATGAAGTTGGAGGAGAGCACAATAAGCACGATTTCTGAGATACCTGTGGGGCCGTTCAGCTCTGATACTGCTAAGCTTCATCAGCTCATGGACCAGAAAAATAAACAGATAGACACTTTGATGCAGAGGATACACGAGCTGGAGACGACTCTAGCAGATACTCAGAACAAGTTCAAGAATCACGTCAATTTCACGAAGACCGTGGAGCGCAATTTGGCAGACACTGTAAGCAATCAGATCAACTTGTTCGTCTCTGGGCAGCACCGCACGCAAAAGCTTTTAGAAGAAAAGGATCAAGAGATAAGCCAGTTATACGCCGAGCTCGATGAGGTGCGTAGTGCGCAGACCAGCAGAACTGCGTCTCCTCTGAGATCACGAAGCGCGCAGCAAGACATCAACTTTTCTGCTGATGGATATGCTCCTTATGGGCAGCCAGTTCAAATTCCCACTGCAATCCTTCCGCCTAAGACTCTCTATCCTATGGAACAGGAATCAGACGAATATTTAGCAGATGTTGTCCCTAGGGCCGACTATGACGCATTGTTGGCAGAATACACCTTAGCCCAGGAGCGTTTTCAGAAGCACATGGACTTTGTCGGGGCTGTTGAAAATAATCTCGCCCAGTCTCTTTCAGACCAAGTACAGGCTTTTGCTGCAGAAAGTCGGAATATTGCAGGGCGCATGATCGAAAAAGATGAAGAAATAGCCCGCTTGGTTCGCGAAATATCTCTCTTGCGCGCATCTCTTTCTGAGGCACAGGAAAATGCGGCCAAATCCCACGCCGGGATGTCTGTTGCTAATGACTATGATGCTCTAAGCGCTAATATCGAAGCTTCGCGAATTATTCAACAATTACGAGGCGAATTACAAGAGCTAAACAACCGTATTCAACAGAAGGATGAAGCCATCGTTTCTCTGCAAAATACACTCAGGCACCAACGCTTCCCTAGACACTCTTCACCTACAAAACAACCAGCTGCTCTATCTAGTGATACAGACTTGAACCGCTTACAACAGGAATTCGACTCTTATAGAGACCATGCAGAACAAGTCCAGAAAAACGACCAGTCTTTAATTCAGGTGCTGCAAGCGCGCATAAAGCAGCAGAACGATATTCTTGAAGCAACAAAGCAATCATCACCGTCACAGGCTCGGGGGAAGCAGAAGCAACGAGGGGACGACGGCTGGGAAGATCACCCGTATGATTACGCCGGGAACTGTCCCAATTGTGCAGAGCTCGCTTCTCAGAACCAACGTAACACAGACAAAGTCAAGCAGCTCAACAACGAGAACAAGCTTCTTTCGGATGAGTTGGACAAATCCAAAGGTGCGCTTGTGCTTCTAAGAAATGAAAGGGAGGACCTTCTACAACAGCTTTCTGAAGTTCTTAAAGGTGCTGAAGAGCACCATAAGAAGGACAAGTTAATCGAGGATCTGAATAACGAGTGCACATCTTTAACTGGCAGGGTTGACCAATTGTTAGCCGATCTTAATGATCAGGGTGAACTAAGGCACGAGCTTGGTGTCCTTAAGAAGGCAAATGACGATCAAAAGGCCCTGATTGATGAGGTCCAGTCTGAGAATATAAGATTAGTATCACTTTTAGAGAAGCGGAGTGCTGTTTGTGACGGGGAAACAATGACCGATCTCACATACCATGCTATTCTAGATGCTTTCAGCGACATAGAGACACTCAGACGCCACATAACGGACTTAAAAGGAAAGATTCATAAGTTGGAGACAGATGCGGATAGGGTTGAAGTAAGGTTAGAGCAGTCAAGTCCCTTCTCTGGCCGAGTCAATGATCAGCAGCTGCGACACGACTCTCCCTCTATTATTTCTCCATATGTTGGAGACAGGGGGGCTTCTTCTGCTAAGTTGGACCATCTTCAGAGACAGATGAACCAGCTACAGGATGCTGTCATGCTATTGACGAGAGAACAGGCCCAACAGCCCCAGTCACAAACCGGTCCCGGCCGCAGTTCAAGTACGATCAAGAACCAGACTAACCTTGTCGGTGGACCCAGCAGCAGCCCTAGGTTTAGTAAGCCCAGTACAATTATCGATGGTACACAATCACCGCAACGCAAGGCTACAGAGCACACGCCCTTAATGCAGGCCGTTCTAGTCAATAATATTGACGCTGCTCATCGTGCTCTGCAATACGCCAAAGCTCAGCTAAAGGACGGCACGACAGCCCTTATGTTGGCAGTTAATAAAGGAAACCAAGACATGATTAGGCTTCTTGCTCCATTGGAAGGAGGCTTACGGCGCAAAGATGGCAAACTGGCCCTGCACCTGGCCCTCAAACGGGAAGACTTTAAGGTGGCGCAGTTACTGACTAAGCTAGAGGGTGCAGACGTCTCTAGCTTCAGCACAGCAGGAGGACGACGGACAGAGTTAATGGACGCCATCATAGCCGACGACTATCTGCTTGGCTGGTCGTTGTTCCAGGTTCAATCTGGTTTGCAGGACAAGGATGGCAAGACTGCGCTTATGTACGCGGCATACAAAGGCAATACCTGCTTTGTTAATATGCTCAAGAAACGTGAGAGCAGGCTCAGGTCAAACAATGGAATGACCGCCCTTATGTACGCCGCACGCAGCAACAAACCTGAAGTGGTGCGGCTTCTCATGCCTCTTGAGGGAGGTCTCCAGGATAAGACTGGCATTTCAATCGGCAATCAGTGCTCCGCGCTCATGCACGCCTGCTACAATGGATCCTTGGACGCTGTGATGTGTCTTGTTTCTCTGGAGGCAGAGCTCCGTGATAGCAACAATCGTACAGCCATGTACTACGCAACTCACTGCTCATCTATCGTAACCCCTGAGAAGAAGGAGGCAGTAGTTCGCACGATCTCCACCATCATTCCCTCTGCATAGGCATCGATACGTATTCCAGTGAAAGTAAATCAGTTAGACTCTCAGTTCACATAGTATTGCAGCACAATAGATAGAGCTTCATGCCGAACTTGAAGCGCTCAAGCCTGAATGCTGGCGCCTGGAGCTTGGCGATGAGCCCCCCAAAAGATATGAACATGTCGACTTTATCGCCAACGGCGCGAAACTCAAATACAGTGCCGTGCATAGCATAATCTAAGTCTGGGTAGGCGTCGTGAAGGATCTCGGAGAGTTTTGGGTCATAGTTAGGAGAGTCTGCACTAACATTGAAGTCCTGATATGAGATACTGGAGAGTATCTGCACCTCCAGTGACCGCGCGTTTTTGTTCAACTTGGGATAAAGCTCGAGATTGTAATCGAGGGTCAGAAAAACATCAGGGTCATCAGTGGACTCTAGTAGCACCCTTCCTATATTGTCGTAGTATTTGACGCACTCGGGGTCGAAGGACGCAATGCTAAACCGGCTACTGTACAAAGACATTGCTTTAATTAAATGGAAAAATACCACGGGCTGGCCGATCAGATCACGGGGAGATGTCCATTTGACGAGCGTGTCCCTGCAACCTCTGATTGGGGGATGCTTGAGAGATCCTGGGCCTTCCTTAGAGCTTACCTTCTGGCGCCCCTTTTGATTACAGTAAGAGCTCCTCTTACTGTTCAAGTTCTTTTCCTGTGGTACCTATCAGCTGTCATTGTAAGGATGAGGTGTATAAACACGTACTTTGCTCGACTGCTGCTTATCCTGAACGGCTTCTATCGTGTGCCAGCATTCAAGTCCACAAAGACTAACCGTGCCCAACAGGTCTTTGCAGAAAAGTATTCTTTGTTGTTTGGTAATCTTACTACCCCGACAGACCTACTCATATACATTTATCATCTCTCTCCAACGTACGTGCATGTTCCCTGGTATACATCAGAAGACAGAGGAGGCCTGACTCATAGGATTGAGACACCGGTCAAGGCATTTATTCTTCTATGCATCTATGATCAGCGTTGCAGAAATGTCAAAGAACCACCTAACGTCAGTTCCATAGACTTTTCATCGGCAGCCACAATTGATAGCTTCAAGCGTATTCTCAGCAGACTAGAAAAACTAGGAGAAGATGCATCTGTTCTCTTCTTCCCGGAGTGCTCTCCAACAAACGGCCGAGTAGTCTTGAAGCCAGCATTGAATCTCCAGCTGTTTAACGAGTCACGCCTCTCTAATAAGAAGGCTGCATGTGTCAGTGTGAGCAATACTTGGAAATACCGATCAGTTATCCATCCATTTCCCGATATCATCTCGTCAATTCTTGATCTAGGGGAGCCAATTAGACGATCCAAGCTATACGTTATACCACTAGCAACGACTACACCACTCACTGACGATAGGCTCATGGAAGGAATTAGTCTAGTCTCTAACGCACCATGTGGCGGGACTACTGCCCTGAATCGAATGCTCTTCTTTAAAAAAGTTACAGAGCACAAGCAGAAAGTCGCGGCCATACACAGTGAATAAAACAGCCTCGGTAATGCATAAATAAAATAAGCAAGGAATAGAAAGGTGCTGTGGCCTATGCTCCAGTGCGATTTTGCGCTGCAAACACCTTAAGCTTATCTCGTACCTCCCTGATAACTTTGGTATAATAAGTATTCATTGAGTTCACCCGCTCTTTCAGCTCCTCTGTGTTTTCTCCCAAAACTGCATCCTTATTAATCCTATCGTGGACGGCTCTGATGGTGTCAGCACATGCATTGTGGTAAGGGTAAAACAGCGAAGTGCTGTGACTAGGACGGGGAATATTGGTCTGTTCTCCCTTTAATTCCACGGAAAGCCCGGATTTGGTCTTAGTTAATTCATAGGTTACAAGGTCCATGGCAGCATCATCGTCCGTGAAAGTGTTATACTTGGACTTCACGACAGGAACAAAATCTCCTTGTTCAGCGTAAACCACATTCATCAAATCCACAAAGTTATCGCACAAAACCAAGGTGGGATGAGTATAGAATGGGAGGGTGTATGCCCCAGAGTCTCCTATCTCCGTGAATGCGTACAGGCGACTCGGCAACGAGCTCTCAAGCGATGGGTAATACTTCTCCAACGTGTCCGAGCCGAACAGTTCTAAGGGAAAGTTCAGGTTGACGGCAATTGCAATATCCGAATGAATGTCTCCGGTTGCAGCTGAAACGCGACCAGGGAGTCCATAGATTGGAGATCCACAGTATAGACACGGACCAACAGGATTTATTCGCAAACACTGCCTAACGATATTGAAAAAGAAGTTGCAGATAGACCCATATTTCTTGGGAGCGTTTAGAGAATCGTTTTGCCCCATGCAAAAGTAACTGTATAGTTTGCTGATAATTCTATCATTAACATGTTGCTTAATCGCTTGCTCGAGCTGCGACCCCAATCCATAGACAGTGAGCTTCTGCAATAAAATCACAGTAAGAGTACTAGTTGATATAATGGGAAAATATATCTCCATGCTTGTTCGACTGTTCCGGAAGCAAAGGTATGATGACGCCTCCCCTTCCAGGTTGATTTCGTCAACAGTGATCTGCGCGCCCTCGACTAAGCTTCTATGGCAGAAGTACGAGATTGTTAATTGTGTCTCTTCCATGGCCATGTATTCATCTAAGGAGTGCTTTTTGTACTTGGACAGAGGTAAATTCGCCTGATTGGTGATCGTTATAAACTTTAGAGCGTCGTTCTTTTTTGTGCAATCTATGTACTCTTGAAAAACTCGCTCAGAGACCCCAATGTTGTGCGGATAATCAGCGGGCTCTGCTGACATTGAGATGCTTTTTAATAATAAATAGAATGACTTCCACTGTGCTCCTAGAGAGCTACACAGACCTTGTGATGGATGATGACTCGCTAGAGCTTATCTATGGATGGATGCATTTATGGGAGCTCTATTTTTCCAAAAGTACAGGTGGACAACGTTTGACACAAGGCCCGGCAATCTTTTCAAAAGGTCAGCGCTATTGGTCTGACCACTTTCGGACACTTCAGAATGGCCTTCCGTACAGACGGTGTCTGCTTATATATGGGCCCACAGGAGTGGGAAAGACTAGTTTAGCAAAGTATGTTTCTCGGGCCTTTGGGTATGATCCCTTACTTGTTGACTGCATCGACGAGGAGGATCCACGCCTGTATGAGTCTATCTTCGGGGTTCAGAGTTCGTCGCTTAACCCATTGCTCATGCGGGCAGCAGGGAAGGAGCCCTCAATGCCCAGGCACATCTTAATTCTTGATAATATAGATTGCTTTAGTACTCAACAGTATCAAAATAATTTATTTCGAAGATTGCTTTCTTATGATAAAAAGGTTAAAACAGGCCAACTCTCCAAGTTCATCAGAAGACAGCATCCCGTCATTTTGCTAGCAACCGACGCATATGCGCGTAATGTACGACAATTTCGGGAGCTTTCTGCCGTTGTACATCTAGCAATGCCCGCAGCGGACAAGGTTGCTATTGCCTTTCAGAAAAGGTTCAAGATACAAGCCGGGATGAGCATGCGGAGCTTTATTGCTACTGCGCTGACAGCGGTGAGTGGCGATGTTCGGACACTAGCCACTGCATTAGAACATGTGTATTTACACAAGTGCACGTCACTAGACTTAGCTATACAAGAGCTTTTGAGAGGATCGTCCTCCTCTTATATTGACCTGGCACGAGCTGTGGCCACGCAGAACTACAAGTATCTAATATCTACACACCACACTCGTCACGATGACTCCTCTGATCAGATCCTGACCAAGTTCCTCCACTCAAACAATTTGAACCCATTGGATCGCTCAGTTCGGTCCACTGCCATTATGATTGCTATGCTTTCATTCTTGAACTATAGCGACGATGAACTTGAAAAGGCAGTACACCGCTTAGAAGATCATGCAGCAGAAATCGGATTGCTTCAAAAATTTGACATTGATAATCATGTATCCAATCATGTTTACATTAATTTTTTAACTACAATCTCCTCCATCTATCAGCAGAGTGTAATCAACGTTACTAAGAGGTTAGTGCTGGCTGCCTTGGTGCAGCTGAACACTGATCTTCTTTACTCACCATTACCTTTAAGAACACATGATAACATCTACACCTCATTGCTCTATCCTTCGGCAATCCGTCTCGGAACCCTGTCACAACGAAATACTTTGCCTTTAGATACGTATTACACCACTGCCTCCCCCCTCTGTTTGGCTAGTATTGGGGCCCGCAGCCTTCTCTTTGCGAGCGAACTGCTCCCACTGTCTGTTGCAATGGTCAGCTTAGGAACGCCTGATATTGGCAACGTTCTTATAATGCCGCCTGCTGCACGTCTTTCATCAATCACTCTTGCTTCCATTATCTATGATATTGGGCTTTCTATAAACTTAACACAAGAGCCTGACGATCCGCAGGGGCGTATGTCTCACACCAATTCAAGCACCCTCAACTCCCAGAGAGCTCCCACGCCATTTGGAACTGATAGCTTTGGACACAACTTTACTCTTTCAAGTACGCAAATATGGGATACCGTTTACCGGAGTGTGCCTACTAACAGCCTGCAGATCCTTGAGAGCATGCGGGATCGTCTCCTCTCCAGTCCCGCTCAGTGGAAATCATATGCAGACATAGATTCTAGTGTCCTTAGCCTATATGAGAGAGTCGAAAACGAGCTCGAAGCAATGAATAAGCGTGAGGCGGGCATTCTAGACAAGGAGCTGGTGTATATTTACAGCGATGGAGCAACCACTGCAGTGCGTCGCCCAATCACATACAGTATGCTGTGCGGAAGCATCAACAACATTGCATCAGGAGGGCTCTAACACGCTGGAACGTGTCGCTGTCTGCAGCACTCTTGTTGGCCAATAGATAGTCGAGCGCTGATTGATTATCTTCATCCCTCAGACCACCCTCATAAGGTGCAAGGTAATGGCAAACATGGAGGTGGTTGTTTAGTATCGCAAGCATGAGCGCCGTACATTTGTGGCCACTAGGATGGTGGACCGGTGTTTGAATGGAATGCTCCAGTGGCGCTAAGACCTTCACCACCTCTACCAATCCCATCGATGCAGCCATCATAAGGGCTGTCTCCCCGTTGTTGTCCTTAAGTCCGACCTCAGCATCCAGTATTTTCAGACAATTGACAGCGCTTCTTTTAGCTGCGTACATAAGGGCTGTGCGTCCACTGAGATCAGTAAGTCCGCCCTGTAGCGAGCGTAGACACCAAACCGTATACACGTCGTTTTTGGCCGCAGCGACCATTAACTCCGTGATCCTATTGTTCTCCTTGGAGTAGCCAGAGATGTCCAAGCCTTCTCTAGGAGTTAAGAGACGAGCAATGTCGTACATCTCTGCCCGGACTGCAAGGGACAGTGCTGTGTCTCCGTTGTCTTTTTTCATGCCTGCTTCCACATTCATTAGTAACGGTATTGCCTCGGGAAAATTACACGTTATGGCTAGCATGAGAGCAGTGGTACCATCGGTCTTCTGCATCCCTGCGTGGCCCATCTCCGACTCCACCCCAAACATGTCGCGTCGAACCACAGCATCCATAAGAGGGGTCGAGTAGGGGGTCCTACTGTTGGGACCAAGGTTGAGAGCAACCTCCCTAGAATGGAGCTTATTAGCCGCGACTGCGGCAGGGGACCGAGGACGCTCTGGGCGTGCACAAAACTCGGAAATGTGTCCTGGACCGCCGAACGCAGTTGAGCTATACCTTCTGTTGGAATTGGAGCGAATGTACATTCGTGCATTGGACGATGTCAATGTAGAAGAGTTGACCATGCTTCCATCCATTTTGGCGGTGCTCTGCATAGACGACCTACCAAATGCAGAGCCAGACAGAGGACGAGACTGGGTTCCACCACGAGAATTCGAGCGCGAATTTGTCCTAGAATTAGCCCTGGACCCGTTTCTACTACTCTGCAACGATGCCATCGCTAACATATTGTGCTCCATATTATTAATCATGGCGCCCATTTTTGACGAGCTCGGGCGCGTCCTTGTCATGCTTTCGCCAAGTCGCGACGATGGTACCAGCATGCTAGAGTTGAATGACCTGTGAGGCACTTCTGTATGATCGTCTGTGCCAGCATCAGCAATAGAAGTTGCCAATGGCTTGGAACTCGACTGTGCCAGTATGTTCGCATTAAGAGGGGTAAGAGGTAACGGTGCTTGCCCTGTGCTACCCACATTTGGGACTATGGAGGTCGACTTGATGGTGAGTTTATTTGAATCTTCAGACCTTGCATTGTCGATCCTTGCGCGAAGAGACCCCAGCTCTGCTTGCAGTTCCTGGCACTTTGCTTCAAGCGTGCGATTCTCATTGAGAGTTTTGTCATGGTCCTTTTCTAACTTTTGAAGTGCAGCCAACTTAGCTTTTGCCTCTGTTAGGGATTGATCCTGCTTTTTATGTGCTTCTACGTATTCTCTTAGGGTCATTCCATTCAGGTCAATGTCATTAACGGCTCCGAGGGCGCGTTTAGCATCATTTAGCTCTTGATCCAGTCCTAACAGCTTTTTGGACAACTCTAAATTCTTCCGATCCAGCTCAGCGATCACTGACTCTGCGTGCTTGTCTATAACACAGGGGTCGGTCTGCACCGCAGCAACAGTGTATGCGTAGTGTCCGCGGGTAGCAGAGACACTTTCGACTATCCCCATTTCTGTTACCATCAAGTTATGATGGTCATATCTGGGAGGCTCTGTCGCTGCGTCAAGGACCAGGGACGTGAATGATGGCCCTAAAAAGTCACCAGAAGCCGTAGCATTGTGGAGAGAAGACAAAACGTCTGTCGCAGATTTCGGGATGCCCCTTGCGTCAGTTGGAAGAGGAACGCCTTTGGCCTTTAAGAGTTCTGCACATCTCCTCTGAAGACCGTCGTAATCAGACCGGAGTGTCTGAATGGTCATGGAATTATGTTTGTCCTGAGCTTCTGCTGCTCTTCTGGCCTCCTCAGCGCCTTGTTCACACGCATGTAGATCCTTTCTCAACTTTGCTTGGTCCTTCATCAATGCCGTCTTCTCACGCTCAAGAGCCAAAATTCTGTCCTGCAACTCTAGAGAGTCTGGGGACACAGTTATCCGCTTCAGGGATTCTTGACGAAGCGTACGTGCCAATGAGATAACGGTTTCCCGAAGAGTCTTGATAAGTCTCTTATTGTCCAACGGGTCTGAAAGGTCTGGGTCTTTGAGATTACTAGCAGCATCTTTCAAGACCTCATTAATCTCGCCTTGTTCTCCATAAAGGATGTCTCTTAGGCAATAGATCTCGTTTAGGAGCTTCTGTCGCTCTTCATGAGCATCTCCTTTCAAAGTCTTTGAGCGCCCGTTTAGTATCTCAATCTCTTCACGAAGCTTCTGTATTTCAATATCCTTCTCTGCTAGAAGACGTTCTAAATCGCTGTCTTGTGTGTACATCTTGACATTTGCGCGTGTAATCACATCGCTTGCTGAAACATTCTTTGCTGAGTGTTTGAGCAGCGCAGCTTGATGAGCCAAATCCTGCTTCAAAGACATATTCTCTGCTTGAAGGTCAGTGCATTGCGCTTCAAGTTGAAACGCACGTGCGATGAGATCTGGCTCGTGCTGCTCATTAGATAGTCCAAAAGTGCTGAGCTCTTGCATTCTAAGTTGAAGCTGTTTTACGGAGGCACGCTCTTTCTCCAACATGCTTTCTCTTTCAGTAATAATAGCCCTGGCGCCCAACAGCTCTGCCTTCAAAGCTGCTAAGGACTGGCGATAAAAGGCAGCCTCGGAAGCACCAGTTATCATCTCATGATTCAAAGAGCTGGCCTCCACCATAGGTATCGCGTCTGTGATGACCATGACTAGACTGTCAGCCAACAAGCAGATCTTATGGTAAAGCCAAGTGAACAGCTCGTCTGTGACGGTACCAGACCTCTCCATAACCGGCAACTCGTCTTTGCTGGGAAGAAAGTCAGGTTTTGACAAAAGTTCGACCACGTTTATGGGGTTCTTGCTTGGGGGCAACTGGTACCATAGGTTGACGAGCTGCACAGACATCTTGTGATATGTGTCGCAGAGAGACTCAAGCTGTATGCCCTGGCGCTCTGATCGCGCCTCCATGAAGGCTTGCTGTTGTTGCAAATATGCCAAGCTATCGCGCAAGGCAATCTCGTTAGTGTTATGTGCCTCCATGGCAGACTCAGCATTCTCGCCAGCGAGCCTCTCCGCAACCATGAGCTTGCACTCCACTCGCTTCGTGGCGGCAATAGCGTCTGCCAGATGGTTCTGCATGTCGTCCAACATTTTAGCGTTTCTATTCTTCAAATCTGTGAGCTGCTTAATCTGTAATGCGTATTCGTTGAGATGAGCCCTAGAGTCGGCAACGTTTCGCTCAAGTATTTGTTCTTCCAGCATAGCAATCTTCCTTTGAGCCGCAGCGAGCCCTCGTTGCAGGACAGAAGTGTCAGTAGACATGCTTACATCGTTACCCGCCTCTTGTGCCACGCTTTTGCCAGCTCGGTAGCGAGCGGCCGAAGACGAAGCCGGTCGTTGTTGACTGCGAACCATGTTCATATCAGCTGCTGTAACACCGGAAAAGTTTCTGTCAGAACCCACTCCTGCATATATGCTCCCGGCAGACATAGGTCGCGCAGTCTTGCTCAGCGCTTTCATTATAGTGGTCGGATCGTCAGTATCTATATAACCTTTCGCAGGACTATCGGACAAGGGGGCCATTGGCTGAAGAGCTTGTCCTCTGGAAGAAGGCTTACCAATTCCTATGTTCAGCTGCCCTGCTTTAATAGACATTGCCCTCTTAAGGACATCCGTACATCTCTGAGCATGTTTAGAAATAGCATATTGAAGGGCTGAAGATACCGTAGAAGGAGGCAGAGATCGGGCCTCAATTAGAGCAAGAACGAAGCCAGCGGCGTCGTTATTGATAGCTAGCTCGAGGGCAGTGAGCCCATCTTTGTTTGGAAGCAGATCAATGTAGGGACTGAGCAGAGGAACCGCCGCAGAAGATCCTGTGCGCGCGGCCAACATCAAAGCGTCCTCCCCGTTACTGGTTAGCGTTTTGGCCTCTAGGGGACCCAAAATATCCACTACATCACCGTGTCCGTTGACAGCTGCGAGAAATAGAGCAGTATGACCCGCAGAATTCACGATGCAGATCTCCTTCGATGCCAGAAGGCGGACACACTCCACGGCCCCCATTTCGGCGACTATCATAAGCGCAGTCGATCCCTCGGCATCCGTCTGCCCTGCATATTCATCCATGTGCCTCTCTAGCTCAACATAGTTGCATGAACGAGCGTAACTGAACCATTTACTGGCATCCATTTTTTTCCGCCCAGCTTTGAGTAACCTGTGAGTCTTTCTCTGGACGGCGTTTTAAAATCGTATAGTTACATCCTCGACATTTGCTTATCATATCAACCAACTGAAATATCAATGTGCTTTTTCAAACTCTTCAGGCCGTATCCTTGGTTCGCTGGGAGCGCGATACATTGCTGCTAGATGTAAATCTGGGTCTAGGAGACACTTCGCTCTTTCTCCCCTGCGTACTGGTTGTCAAAGACGAGTGTAGCTTCACTGGAGTTTCCTTCGGTCTTGGAGATTTTGTCAGTGAAGTGTCACGCACCATATGCTCGGGTGAAAGATTGAAGGCAGCTGTCCCAGCAGGCCCAATGATACTAGATTCTAAAATAGATGACGTCACAGCGACGATGCTGGCATTCAGAGGCCGTTGTGCAGAGCTGACGAGTGTAGGATCAAAAGTGCTGCGTGCTGTCTTTAACCATTTCAGGCAGTCACTTATAGGCTCGGCATGTTCAAATGCCATCTTCCGTAGTTCTTGAGTGTTAAATGAGCCCTTGGTAAATACACTAGTGAACAGATCTATCCCATGAGAGATTGATTCGTTGATTGGCGGAATGGACGGTGAAAGCTTGTGAGTGCTCCCTTGCAAGGCAGAGTCACGAGCATCGGAGGCGCGATTTCGTGAATTATTGTTGTGAATTTCCTTGAAGTTAGCACGTAGGTTGATAATGTCTTTATGGAGACTCTCTTGCTCCTGTAACAGCTTTTTGTTTTCTTCCTGAAGACCCAGAAAGGCCATTTTAATATCAGAATGTTCTCTTTCAAGCTCGTGATTCTTGAGCATTGCCTCATTCAGGGCCGCGGTGGTGTTAGAGTATGAAACATTCAAGACATCGAAGTCGTTCTGCAGCGAGTGAAGTTCCTGGAGGGTTGCATTCTCGTGTGAGTTTGATGTAGTTTGAATTGCTTTATTAAGTCGCCCTCTAAAGTTTGCTGAATCGTGCTGATCCACCGCAGAGATTCCAAAGTCTTTTGTTTGAGCAAGGGTCCGTAAGTGAGTGTTCATGGTGTCAGAGAGCTCATCCTCCAAAGTCTTAATGAAGTGCGTCAGCTCCTCTGCTATCTGACCACTTTCTAATTGCTTCTCGGGGAGAGACGATAGGATATAGTTCAGAACACGATCTCGAATGGTCAGAATGGCACCTTGATGCTGTTCTATGTCTACCTTAATGTTCTGAGCTTTCGTCAATTGGAGGATCTTTGCTCTATCACGGACGTCAGTGCCACTTAAGTGCGCCTTGAGGGCAGCGTCAGCCACCCACTCGAGCTGATCACTTTTGACGCTGATAATGCGATTGAGCTCTACTACCTCAACAATCTTGGTTGCCAAGAGATTGGAAATTATAGGCAGGGTGTCCAACGAGGTCCGGGGCTCTGATCTTTGATGATCACCTGTGGGTCTCTCTCTTCTATTGCCAGATACCTCGACAGCAGGCGCATCTATACTTGGAGAAATATAGTTGGTAACCGGCTGCAGTGACGCTTCCTCAAGCTTCTTCATTTTAGCGATCATACGCTGCACCAAGGCTATCACAGAGAGGTCCTGGTTTGAAGTTGGTAACACACTATTTGGCTCAAGCTTGTTGGTAATTAAGGTATGAGTTGTGAATATTTCTTCTTTATAGAGGATATTCTGCTGTAGCAGCGTCTGCTTTTCATTGACAAGTTCTTCTCGCGCTGCCTGGAGCGCTTGAATTTCTTCTTGAAGGGAATGAATTGTTACTTTCAGCTGATTGATCTCCTCATTATTGCAGACCTCTACGCTAGCATTAACCATTCTGTTAGGTGACTGCATTATCTCAGTTCTCTTCATAGATGTCACATCAGCAGCTGCATCGACCTCTACACTGAGCATTGCAACACTTTCGGTAGCATTGACCTCAGCGTTGATCATGTTCTGTTGCTCTAACCGTAGGGACTCTGCCTTCTGGAGGCTTTCCTTTAGAGCAACAAAGGAGAGTGCTAACTCATTATGCTCGTTGCTTTTAACGGACAACTGATCGCGAAGACTATTTAGCTCCATGTCTTTATATTCCAGCTGAGCTGAGTAGTAACGTTTAGCATCGGCTAGTTCCGTGTTCAGCATATTTATGGAGCCGCTATCTTGAGCTCTCAGGTTTCTAAGCAGAGACTCCTGCTTGTGAAGCGTTTCTATTTCTGCTTTGTGCTCCATTTGCTCCTGAATGAATGTGTGATGAAGGGACACTAATTGCTGCGCATGCATGCTGAAGTAGAGCAGTTTCTTCGTGACTGCCTCAAATTTAGAGTGAATTTCTGCATTACTTGAAGATAGGAAGTCCTTTAGCTGAGTGCATTGCATAACGATACCATCAGTCTGCTTGCTCCATGCATCGGCAGTTTGCGCCGATCTGAGCTCAGTATCAGTCTTGGTCACCTCAAGAAGTGCAATTTTATTTGTCAGTTCAGCGAGTTGTGTTTCTAGCGTTTCAATGGTCTTTGTCTTCTTGCTGCATTCGGATGTCTTACTACTCAGATCGTCTAACGCCATCTCCAACTTAAGGATCATCTCTTGCTTGGCTTTTGCCGCTTCGGCAGGGTCTCCAGCTCCAACGGTTGCGTCAACGTTTTGTTTAGATAGGGAAACCCTTTGTTCCCGAAGTTTGGAGTGCAACCGTGCAATCTCCTCTTCCTTGTCCTCAATCTCTGCCTGGGTCTCACGGAGTTCCTTGGTCAATATCATTATCCGTGATTCTGCATGGGATAGATTTTCATGGGTCTCTGCCAAGACTTTTTCAGCATTTCGTTTGGTGGATACAATCTCCTTCTTCCGTGTTTCAAGCTCGCTTTTTGCGTTACTTAGCTCCAGCTTAACGTCTTCTAGGAGGGTCTTAAAATGAGACGCGTCGTGTTTTGAATTCGCTAGCTGTAACTCCAAGTCAGAAAGCTGCACCCTCTGGTCCGAAATGGTTGCCTCAATCTCCGTTTTAGCGGTCAGAAGAGATGAATTGCGGGTCTGTAGGTTTGTTATAAGCTCTTCTTTGGACGACAATTGAGACTTGAGCTGAGTGGTCAGCTGTGAGGACGCAGAAAGTTCCTTAGACAGCCCAGAGACCTTAGACTCTAAAGCCAGGTAAAGCTCCTTTTCTATGTACAGCTCCCTATCAATTGCTGGCTCTGGAGTGGGCATGGACTCCAATTCTGCTACATGGTCAGTGGCCCGCTGCATCTCTCTTTCAAGCGTCTGAATGCGTATGTTCTTGTGCGATATTTCTTCTTCCGCTGCTTGGAGGTCTTCTGTAGTCTCACGCAGCTGTCGCCGCATGTCTGCAAGGGCTTTTCCAGAGGTAGTGACTGCTTGTGATAGCTCATCAAGGACGCTGGCCAACAACTTGGGCGACAACTTTTCAGAACCATCTGCGTCCTTGAACATTTGTAGGGATTTCGGCGTGACAGCTTTAGAGAATATTGAAGATGATGTGATGTGTTTGATAAGGTTAAGATAAGGTTGTTCTGCGACTTGCCTTGCCTCAAACTGTAGTGCTTCGACGTTGATATCAGGCTTTTGAGGAAGACTTGTTATACGCTCCAAATCTTTGATCTTCTCCAGGGCCTCGTCTAGAGATATTGCCAGGTTTTTCTCCTGCAAAATTGCATTGCGCTCAGAGTCCTTTAACGCAGCAACCTCTGTAGTGAGTGCTGCAACTGTCTCTTCGCTTTTCTTGGATGCTTGTGACATCCATAGAAGCTCCTCTTCCTTCTTGTCTAATAACTCTTGTAGCTTGCAAAGCTTTTCTTGTGCAGTTAGCGCATTTTCTTTGCAGATTGCTGAGTGTGCTTCCACAGTTGATGTAAGGCAGGTGAAAATCTCAGAGGCATTTTTAGGAAACTCAGACATATCAACGGTTTCCCTTTCTATGGAATCTATAGAGAAAATGGCAGCACCAAGATCCTGTAAGTAGACTTTGAGGCTAGACACTAAAGATTCTTGTGCCGCTAGTGTTTTTGTGCACTCTTCTATTTGCACTTTATCCTCACTTATTGTCTTCTGTTGTGATGAGATGATTGCATCTAAATCGCTCATACCGGTGGAGATTTCGGACAGAATCCGGTCCTTGTTTTCCAACGCTGTTTTCATGTCAGAAACGGTTTTGAGTGAGATTGAGACTGCCTTAGAAAGCCCTCTTGAACGAACAAAATCCTCCAGAACTAAGTCTCCAGCTGAAGACGAAAGATACCCGCCAACCTTTAGTTCAGCATAGATAGTCCGGAGTTCCTCGTCGTACAGGTTATAAAGGCTCACCTGATTAAGCCTTGCTTCCAGAGATACAATGTCTCGGATGATTGACTCGCCTAATCCATTTATTCCTGCTCCCGCTATAGGAGCAGGCATTTCCGGAGGGACACAACCATATTGGAGACTCACTCGTCTAGAGAACGCCCCTATCTCTTGAAGTTTTCCTGTGGCTACCTTCCCCGCTTCTCTGGCATCCCTTAGTTCCTGAGTTAATCTAGAAACATCCTGCTCGAGTGAGTCGAGCTTAACAGATTTTCGAGATGAAGCGGTTGGTACGCGAGGGACAGCATCAGGGACCCGACTTCTGCTACGAGAAACAACAACCTGCTGGGGCGATAACACCGCCTGAATGTCCATGGCAACAGTCTCTGTATTGACATTATCCTCAGAATCTCTCAGCGGGTTGGTATGATGTGTGTTCTGGCTAGAAGTAGCATCACTGACGTCAGTATTCAACCGATGGGGCCGTTGCCGCATATCAGGGATGCGAGGAATGGTTGCGAATTTAAGGGCACTATCAGAATCCAGGGCATTTGAAAGTGATGTTGCATGCCCGGGTGACGTTGCAGAGTCAATGCGTTTGGGCCCTTGAGGAGATTCTATCTGAATGCAGAGCTCGGATGCATCACTTTCTCGTCTGGAGCCGCCATTCATAGATATGAGCGAGAAGAAGTTATCCTTTGATACATGGTCAGGCTGCTTAATAGCCTCTGACATCCTAGTATTAAATGATCCGTTATTTGCCTCGAGAAATGTTGGGGCAGTAAAGGTGGTATCTAGAGCAGCTAGTCTCGACGTAAGAGAGGTTATCTTTTCCTTTGATAGCTCGTAGTCTGTATGCGCATCATCTAATTCCTGCTGTTTCTCGGCCAGCTGAGTACGCAGGTCGGCAATTGTGATGTGATCTCTGTTGGATATATCTTTAAGCGCATCCAGATCATTGTTGAGATTCTGGATGGTCTCATTGCTAGCTGATAGCTTCTCAGCCAAATCACTGAGCTCCCTAACGGAGGCCTTCTGTACTTCGTCGAGCTTCGCCTCTAGGATCATGTACTCATTCTGAATCATTACATGATCATTTCTGACTTTTGCCAATTGTATTTTGAGGCTTTGACATTCGACACATGGCTCATCTTCACGCTTTGAGGCAGAGGCCCGTGCAGATCCAAGTAAGTTACTCGTATCCAAGTTGATAGAGCGCTTCTCAGGTTCATCTGTCCCAACGTTTGCAGACTGCTTCATGCTGCTGGAGCCATCTCGTTCGTTGTGGAGGTCAGTAACTGTAAGACCAACAGAAGTGGGGGTGATCTTGCTAACAATCATTTTCTCTATCATATCCCTTTCCTTTTCAGCAGTATATGCAGACAGCTGCAAACGTGCCGGTGGTGAATTTGTTTGGGGCGATACCACACGTTGAGATGACGAGCTGAGAGACGACCCAACGGATAAATCAACAGCTAAGGGCTTGATGGCACCTTTTCTGTGAGCATCGAGAGATAGGAAGTCTGAAGCATTAGGTGTGGACTCTAATATTGAGAGGAAAATCTCGTTTAAATCCTCTAGGCAGCAAGTTCCCTTTTTGATCAAAGGAGGTATAACTTCCTCGACCTTTTCAGAAGAACTTAAAGCCGTTTCTATATACTTCTCAAATTCCCGTACGTTCTTCATGAAGGGCTGGAGTGAAACTGCTGACACAAACCCGTAGGCATCCAGAAGCGGCCCTAGACTATGGACTGCTACATCCTTCATGGCCTTGTACGTGGCTGCTTCAGCTTTGCGAATATTTAACCTTCTATAGGATAGCCTTAATGCTTCTCTTGCTCGCTGCAGCTTCGCATTGATGTCCAGATGTATTGGGGATTTTGGCTCGTAAGCCTGGACTTGTGCTGCAGAGCAGTCGACAGCTGGACGTGCACTCTCTTCCTCTGCATATTGGCTGACAAGTAGTCGCATGTCATCTAGCTGCTGCAGAAGAGCTGCGCGGTCCTGTTCAAAGCTATTCATCTCGATTTCAAGTTGGTCCCTGTACTGCTGAGCCTTAGAGGCTTGATCGCATAGAGCCTCCAAGAATAATATGGTCTCATCCGAAATGTGTGTGAGGCCTTCCAGTGATAACCTATTGAAGAGCTGTATTCTTAAGTCGTTAGCATTAGAGGGTAGTCCTTCATACGCGGGAGTATAATTGGGGTCTGAGGGGACAGAAGTGGGCGCGCTTGCTAGAATACTGGGGGGATCGACAACAAGAGGGGTGATAGTCGAGGGGATGGTCACCGGAATTTGGACTCCGGTGCGTGCATCGGCAGCAGAAACTATGGGCATTGCATGCATATGAGGGCTTGTGGAAGCGCGATCGTCTTCTTCTAAAGTACATCTTGTTGGGGAAGCAGGCTCTGCTGGCACGCTTGCCTTACGCGACGGTGATACGCTTCTAGGATTGGCAAGATACGCCTCTAAAAGATGAGCAGCCTGGAGACTTTGCTCATTGAGTGCAAGAGCTAGCGTATTTGAAACACAACCTATCGGAAGGTCGCTCCGTGAAAGCAAAGCACGTAAATACCTTAAATCCTTCATCCTTGAAGAATAGTCCAAGACGGTCATACCATTATGATCAGAGGATAGTTCTGCTTGCTCGTAGAGCACTGTAAAAGCCTGATATGCCCCTGCAAGAACGGCTTCTACGCATGCGTCTCGATTTGCAGAATTCAGGATTGTCCTCTCTCGTGTGGCTAGGAGTTTGCAGATGGTGGCGTTATTCTGGCGTGCAGCTAGCATAAGGGCCGTGTCACCGTCTTGGTTGACGTAGAGGGTCTCGTAATTAAGCAGAATTCGGACCACGGCCTCGTGGCCGGCCTGGGCCGCGAACATCATAGCCGTCTCCTGCCGATCGGTCAGCGACCCCTTCCCAGCCTCCAAATGCTGAGCGATATATGCGCTGTCACCGCTAGCTGCCGCTTTGAACCAATCCTCGCGGTTGGCCATCGAAATTTTTATGACGAATTGGGGGCGGCCCGAACGCACCTCAGAGAGCTCGGGCTGCGAGGGCGGGCCGCGGCGAGGCCGGGGAAAAGTCGGGGACCACCGGGATTTGAACCCGGGACCTCTCGCACCCTAAGCGAGAATCATACCCCTAGACCATGGTCCCACGCCCAGGCGCCAGACGGCACGATGCGCTTATAGTTCAGCTTCCACTTGGGGGCCGAAGATTTAGATGGTGCTGAATTAATTTAAAAATGACAGACCTCGTCAACCAGCTGACCGTCCTCACCCCCGGCGCCGGTGCGTCGAAGCAGACGAGCGCAGGCCCTCGAGAGGTTGTCAAAAGGGTCGGGATGCTTGAGCTCATCGTCGTCGGCTTCTTCATGGTCTCCGCAGGCCCCTTCGGCATCGAGGAGGCAATAAGCGCCGGGGGGCCACTTGCTACAATCATTTCTATAATCGTTGCACCACTGTTCATCTCCATCCCACTTGCACTGATGTCTGCCGAGCTTTCAACCCTGTTTCCTTGTTGCGGAAGTCCTATTGATTGGACAGCCGACATGGGCCACTTCGTCTCGTCGTGTAATGGCTACTGCCGCCTTTTGTTCACCATCCTTGACAATCCGCTTTACGCTGCCAGCGTCACTGACTACTTGACATCTCTCCTTGGACTGCCAAACAAAGTATGGATACGGCTGATATCCTCCTTTGTAGTCTACGCAATCGTCACCACTCTCAACTGCTTCGGAATAGAAATCGTTAACTGGTTTTCCATCTTATTGTCCGTAGTCATTATCCTCCCCTTCTTCATCTTCTTCGGGGCTGCTGCCCCCCAGTTCACTACAGAAAGGATCTTCGCCACCAGGCCAATTAATGAAATAGACTGGGTCGGCCTCGTTTCTACGTCGGTCTGGCTTTACTCTGGATACGACTGCATGGGATCTCTTGCGAATGACGTCAGAAACCCCCGGAAGGTGTATCCTATCGGGCTGCTCATAACGGTGTTGATCGTTACCCTCGTTTATCTCTTTCCAACTATAGCAGGATTGTCTCTAGACATGGACAGTGACACATGGATGAACGGGGCGTTTGTTGAAGCCGCCAAGCGCCTGTCAATTGATAGAGGGCGATGGTTGAGTACATGGATTGGCGTCGGCGGTGCCGTATCCAATGTGGCAATCCTTAACGTAGACCACTTCTGCTCTGCTATGGAGATCTATGCGATGGCTGAGAACAATATGCTTATAGGAAAGAAGTATCTAATGAAGCAATACATTACGAAGAAGGGGGAGCCAATCCCCCGTATAGCTATAATCGTCCTTGCCATACTTTGCTTCCCCTTAGGCATGCTGGATTTTTCTGTTCTCATCGATGTCAACGGGCTCATGACCGCATTCTCTCTTTTCTTTCAGACTGTCGGGTTCCTCTATGCACGCTATGGGCGCAACGGAATTATCAAGCGAATGCAGCGGGCACCAACGATCAACCAGTATACGACTCGCGAGACGATTGAGGCCATTGCATCTGCCGCTCGTGCCGATACAGCAAAGACCGGTATTTCAGATATCTTGCGCGGCGAGGAGCGTAGTCTCAACGGGCCACCGTTCCCAGTTCCTGATGTGCCGCCGAATACAGCAGGCTCTCCAGGACAGCCCCGCTCTGCTGCAGATGTGGAGACCGTTACCAGCGGCCCCGCCACCGCCGTCCAAGATATACTGGATGAAACCGCTCGTGAGATGAACAACGCCTCCAAAGACGCCAATCTTCCATGGGTGGTCAACCATCCCAAGCTCCTGCATGCCAGTGCCGACAACGACTTATACCGCATCCCATGTGGAATTCTGGGGGTGTTATTGGTAACGGTGCCTGCATTCCTTGTCTGCATATTCATCGCAATAATCTCCGGATGGAAAGCTTTCCTGTTTACGATTGTCTTTGTAGCTATATGCTTTGCAATCAATATAAGCGCTAATGCCATTGCTCGGTGTATAGAGCGTAGGAAAGCTAAGCAGGCGCAGGGCAAGGAGCTGGCGTCTTCGTCCCTTCAATTGACCCAGGCACACACTAGGGCCTCAGCTGCTCCAGAGGACGAGGACGAGAGACGCGGATTTAGCCACGCTCCCGATCTTGGTGAAAGGTCTGTTCCCCTTAGTAACATATCTCTTTCTGTCACCTCGCTGCGATGACCTGTGTCGAGGTACTCCTTTAGATGCTTTACCTTCAAAGTAAAAGAGTGATTTTTTCTTTTTATGACATCGTTGAAGTAGTTGTGGAAGTGTTTTATCGCATTTTCCTTACAACATTTTAAAAAACTTTATTTTTAATTTACAGCTCTACCATACTAGGAGAATTTGTAAAGAACTTTGGCTGCGGTCTTGTAAAGAAGCAGGCTTGCGTCTCCGCTTATCAGTAGCAGATCTTTAATTGCATAACGCACAACTTCACTTGGTTGCTTAGATGTGAGCCCTGTGGTGATATTTTACTACGACCCAATTGAAAGCAAAATCTACACGGTTCTGTCGTGCCTGATGAGATATAGGTTCAGCATTTATTATGGCTATGTCTTCCCGTTACGGCTACGGGCGGTTTCGGTATTTCAAAAAATAGTTCATGAACGGTGATGGCTCTCTCGCTGCACCCAGCGAGAAGCACGTCCAGGAAGCCAAGGAGTCGCATGCTAATACAGTAGAGGAGCTCTGCAGTTACTGCGAATTCAAGCTGGATTCGTCTTGCATACGCATGCATTGTCACGTCTGCAAAGACTTCAGTCTCTGTCTCAATTGTTATCTGTCTCAGGCAGAATATAAAACACACAATAGCAGCCACTTGATGTATCCTCGGACAGCTTTTAACATGGTAGCATGGCCGGATGGCTGGACAATTTCGGATGATCTGGGGCTGCTCGAAGCGATAGAAATCAATGGTATCGGGTCCTGGGAGGCGATTCACCGGTTCATGCACCGCCCTGCACACGAGCCCTTGGAAACCATCATAAGACACTTCAATTATATCTTCTCTGATACGGGGATCATGGGAGCACAGGTTTTAGATACCCTGACTACTGAAGCACAGGAACAAGCGTTTTTGCAGCAGCTGCCTCCTCTAGCCACATTGCAACAGTACTCGGAAATGATGGATGCATACTCGATGCACATCTGGCGCGAAGTCCAGGCTATCAAGGGGCGTGGGCAGCTGGAAACACATTCAGCTGATCTTCTGCCAAATACCCTTCCAATGGCCGGACCCATTGAGCTTAGTGGACCTTCGAAACCAGCTTCGCAGTCATCCCGTCCTTTGCTCAGTTTAGAGAACATGGAGCAGTGGCCAGAGCGTGCTACGCCAGATATAATCGCAGCAGTTATGGAGTACTTGCGTGCGCCACCTCCTCCGGAGTGCCAGGCCCTCAGTCAAGGTTTTAAGACTGTCCCGCAGAGCGTTTATGATAACGTCATGAGGGAGTTGCCAGACAACTACAGTACTTTGTTTAAGAATTTCATATTAGCTGAGAATGCCGTGGACCTCGGGCTTATAACTCCAGATGTCTGTGTGTATCCCCGCGGGGTGGAACTCAGAGATATTCCGCATAATTCTGGGGAGGGTGATGGAAAACGGTTTGTCCACGGAAGCTGGCCTCTTAGGAGAGACTTCACTGTGGAGTATGTCAACAAAGCAGAGTACCCATTGATGTTTATGCGCATCTTCTATGGAAAAGAAACGAAGCTGTCTATGCAGCTGAAGGTTCGCACTCTGCAGGCATATGTTGTACGCCTACTTGAGCGGGAAAAGAGGAAGCGCTTCGTGTTTCAGTTCAGTTTGCATCGGACAGACTTTGCTATTGATGAGCTGACACTAGCTACAGACGAGGAGACTATTCGCCGCCAAGGCAGAGAAAAGGAGTTCGCATTACCCTTGAAGATAGAGCTGTATAACCCCACAGATATTCTTATTAACAAGTTCGAGGCAAACCATAGCTGGCTTCTTCGTGCTTTCTCAACTCGCTTGGAGTTCAGACAGTTTGCGGCTCTTCACATACAGGACTGTGAGCTTCGGCGCTACATTCACACCTTGCAAATAGCAAGATTTCTAGGGCTACGTACCCTCGATCAACTCATCGACGTAGATGTCTTTATGAGAAACCCCCTCCTCTATGGTGATCAGTATGGAGCCCAGAATGAGCTTCGACGGAGACTACCGTTATTTTTATATACTCCTCCTGCTGATGGCAAGGAGAAGCCTGGCTCTTCTTCGTCAGCTAACTGTTTTTTTGAAAGTCCGGGTCAGCGGCAAAGCATCATGGATGGTATATGCATGTCTTTGTATTTGCAGAACGAGTTTAAGACCCTTGCTTTCTTGAATGCCGAGGTTGATAATGAACAGCCTTTTATCTACTTTGCGCAGCACGATGCAGGCAGGGAACATGCACAGTTGGTTAGTGACTTGGCTTCTTCGCCGGCAGCAAGGTACACCTCTAGATTATCGGTAGATGTAGATCCCGGAACAAACACTGGCGTAATGATAGAAACGATGCAGGCGAACTCTAATCATGCATCAAGGTGTTTCTTCTCTGACGAGGCGTCCGGTCGGTTTGGTGCATCAGCCCTCTGGTACTTGGTCGATAAGGCTGCAGTCGTTGGCCCCCTTGAGCAATCTAAAACCCCACTGACATTAGAGTTTATCTTCCTGCGTTTGTTCAAATTTTGTGGTGGCTCCGAAGTGGCCGATGGAAAGCTTTCTTCTATTGGCAAGGAATCACTTGTTTATCGAGTCATGGACTTAATTTATAAGCTGTTCTGCATATCTAAGACATCTGTCGAGGTCGTTGCAACCAGCAGACTGAGCTGTGGAGCAGTTCTCACGGTGCACCTGGTTGGCCTTTCTGTCCTCAGCATCATGTCTGCCATTGCCTATAACAATTCGTTCATGATGTCATTATTTAACGACGACTTCGTTAAGTACGCTCGCCAAGGTGATTCTATGGATACAAGGCCCTCGGGCGATGAAGCAGAACCTGCTCCTACCGAAGCAGGTGACGCAGAGGGGTCTGATCGAGCACGCCAAGAGTCAAAGTTGCCAGACCAAGGGGGTGAGGAAAGGACTAAAGAAGATCCTGACACAGATATGCATGATGCCCCCCAACCAAGCCTTGTGAATAAGCTTGGTGATCTGGCGGCAGATGAGCCACCCCTCAAGCGGGCTTTGGCAGATGATCCACTGGATGCAATAGAAGATGAAGTCCAGCGGAAGGCAAAGTTTCTTTCTCAGCTTAAGCCGGTGATTGCAAATACACTCACAATGGATGCCGGTGCGCATTACGAAGCGCTCGTTCTCATATGCCCGTGGCTCGAAGAAATCTTTGTGACCAACAAATTCTTGCACGATTCAAAGCGTCTTGCAGCAACAACGTCTAAAGAGGCTCCCCCAACATCCTTGTTAGTATATCAAGCCTTCGTACAGTGGCTATCCACTATAATGGCAAAGGGAGTCAGCATGTTCTCGACCGAACAACAAACACAGTATGAGAACTCTATATATGCCCAAATAGGAGGAGCCCAGGCAACAATGCTCCAAATGCTAATTAATATCTTCAAAGACTCTACCCAGCTTCGGCCCTTCTTGCGCTCCTTTACTTCATCATTCCTGGACACGGGGTCCGATGTAACGTCTGCTGACATAGAGCTAAAGGAAACAGTCTGCGCAACAGGTGCTATTGTAGACTACACCATACAGAAGTACCGCAGCCTAATGCATCAGTCAACGTCCTGGGATACGTTTTTCAATGCACGAGCACTGGGACACGTCACATACACGACCCTAAGGTCGGACAGGGTGGGCTTCAACAATGTGCATGTATTCTCTAATATTTCGTTTTGTCTGCAGGTCGCACCTATGTCGTCTCTCTTGTGCTCTCTTCTGGCATCTATTCTTCCTCATACAATTATGGCTTATGGTCTGAAGTCTCCGTTTGTTGCGTCCTTGCTGAAACTCCTCACAGATCGGCGTTCTGAAATCTCCTTCGAGGTGTGTATAGGCTATCCGGAGTACTTGGTTCACCCTGACTTCAGATATGCAGATAAGGCTATGCAAGGAGATGTGGGGGAAGCAGACCGCATGGCCAATGGTCTAATACACTTCTTGAAATCAACGCACTCCTACACCGATAAGGAGGGGCTGGATCCAGACGCAATTAGATCTTCTATTTGGCTCCCCTCTGCCGCTTATGGACTCTTCATCTCCTCTGCTCCCCAGCCTCACCGGAAGAAGATTTTCGAGGCGTATCGCCAGGCATCTTACTTAATAGCATGCACGGAGCAGGAAATGCATTATCGAGATAAGAATTTGTACATGTTTTACGGCTCGTTCAAACAGTTTTCGCTGCAGGAGCATCTTGTTCCATACGAAATGTGTACAACCCACCTTTGGCTTTCTCTTCGATATTTGCCGAGTGTTGCAGACACAGATGCTCCATACTACAAGGCTACTCAGAAGCTCAAGAAGATAGCTAGCAAGTGCGCTAATATCAATCCTGTCACTATCATGGCGTCTGAGTATCAGATTGCAAAGCTTTCGAAAGCTGAGTACAAAGATCTACGGATACGTTTGTGCACAACAGATAGAAAGATCGTCCTGTATACGTTACGAGATTACAGCCGGGACATGTTCTTTAAGATCTGTGACACGCTTCTGACCCTTACGCAGCAGAAGCTGAACATCCTTGTAGAGCAGAATCGGTATCTTCTGGCGAACGACCCCTTCTATCGGGACCAGACTAACGTTCGTCAGAGCAAGCGCACAACTCCAGGCCAGGCAGGGCGAAATATCATCGACGCATTCAATCACTCCAATATAGCTCTTATAACATCGCAGTTCGATGCCTTCATGGCGCACGATCACTTTCTTCTTCGATATGATAACCCGGGCGACGCCCCTCGCGGATGCAGCGAATCGTCTGCCAAATCCCGGACGATCTCTGAGAAGCTCAAGCTACAGGGTCTTGACCCCTCTACTTATTATATTATTGAACCAAAAGAATACCTCTTCGGGCCTGTCATGCCTCGGAAAAGCTACATTCAGGCTGACAGCCAAAACAGGCCATCTGCTATTCTCCCTATCAACATGCGCCCGCGGATGGTTAAGCCACATCAGATGCGCTACCTGCATTCTTCAGTCGGCACCGCAACAGATTTGATGAGTCATAATGAATTTTGTTCGCGTTATCTGACACGAGGAGAGGTAATCTTTCTGGCTCTTTCAGAGATAGACATAGAGACATATCTCTTTGCCAAGGAGTCGTTCATAGCTAGCGGATACATAATAACCCGTACTATCTTTTCTGTCTTTGATTGCAGACCCGGGGCATGCGAGATCATGGCCATCTTGGTCATCAGCGCTCTGTGCAGCCAGAGTGCATACTCTACTGTTCCTATGATGAACTCATTCGATAATACTAAGATAGACTATTCTGTGGAGTGGGCTCACTGTACACCCTACCACCTATTTCTCAACACCCTGGGAGATCGTCAGGCCAGAGATGAGAATGTCTCGACGGAGATAACAGCCCACACAGACATAAAGCTGACCTACGGCACTCGGGAGATAAGCACAATTAGCAACCTTCGTCTACCAAAGGCTAAGTTTGAGCCCAATATCATGTCTGTCGATAGTCTCAATATTCCAGCTACGCTGCTCCAGAAGGCAAACGAAATCATTGATAAGGATAGTCTAGATAAAGCGATTCGAAGCTATCGCTCGATATTTCTGCAGAGCCATTTCAATCAAGACTATCGAGCAGCGGCGTCTAACTCTCTTGGATCATCAAACCATGAGCAACACTCTAATCTATCCCATCAATATATGTACCATCCTTCCTCAGGTTTCCCGGCAAGAAGCACTTACACCAAGAGTGTCCTGAAGGTTAGTATTGAAACGCAGACTGTACTATCGTTTTGGCGGGACGAGAAGGCCAAGCGGGTCCAGAAGATTCTTTCAGCACCAAAACCAGTACATCAAGGCCATGTGCGTCCGCCTACGACCATGCCTGCGGCTCCCGGTGCCATTCCGCCTCCGGTCGCACCAGCTCTTCCGTCCTTCCCTCCTCTCAAGACGTCGCAGGCCTCCAGCAGGCCACCACCCGGTATATTTCCTCCTACTCCTTCCGAGCTCCCTGTGACTCCAGCTGTCCCGCCGGGACTGAGCCCACGCCTGCCGCCTCAAGCAGGTCAGGGTGGGCTCCCATTGCCTTATCCTCCGCCCGTTGTACAAGGTCCCGTGTTGCCCATGGTGCAACCAGGGCCCTATCTGCCGTCATCATGTGCCGTCATCCCTTCAGAAGCACATCAACTTCATCAGCTCCCCAACATCTCTCCAGTTCTCCCAGAGTCAGTAAAGAACAGTATCGGCCAACATTCATACAGTTCACTTAATATCTCTGTACAACAGAATCTTCTTTCAGGGGGCCTTAACCCGTCGAACCATTAAGAAAACTTGATCGCGATGGGAACGATGATTATGAGGAGAATGACCAGTATAATCGCGGCTATGATCGCGTACATCTTAATCTTGCGGCACTTTGCTGCCTTCTCCACGCGTTTTGCTTCCGACTTAAAGGCGTCTGCACTGGTGGCAAGCTGTCCTGCGTTCTGCTCTATGGTGTTGAGCGTGTCCGTGTTGACCCTGAGCTTGTCTATGTTCCGTGCCGCATTGTCGCGAATAGAAGCCATGTCACTCTGAATTTGACCAAGCATATCTCCTGCTACCTGGTCGTACTTCTTTAAAGGAAGTTGGCTGGCTGACAAAAGTGCGCGGGAAAGTGTGTCCGGCTCATCACGTGAATCTGCCAGTTTTATTGCTGTCATGTTGCCATCTAGGTCGGAAGTGATGTCGTTGAGAAAGCTGTTGACGAGTGTCGTTCTGTGTGTTTCTCTTGCAGCTGCGATGAAGACTATTCCCAGCGGGACCCCGACGACCGCGAATTCGCGATAAAGAAGGTGGAGAGAAAAGCCGTCCTTCGTTTTAATACAAAGTCGGGAGTTTGCCACAGTTAATGCTGTATTTTTCTCTCTGAAGGAGTCGACAAGCTTGGACACTGACAGAGAAACCTCCTGGCGTTTTGCATCTACGTAGATTGCAGACCCCAAAAGGCGGTAATCGCGTTGGCGATAGGCGTAGAGCGCATAAATGTTCCCGGCACTCATAATTTCTCTTTTGGGTTTTGCCACACTAATGTGAAATTATGACAAACATTTTTTATAATTTTTTACTAGATGTCTGCTGCTTGGGTGCACGACTCTAACTCCCTCTCTGTGAACGGCGTAGTTTGAAGGGGTGCATCCGGTGTCAGACACTTTGTATAGCATCTTTTTATTATATTAGCTCTTCTCCCTTGCTTGTGTGTCTATTTTACACAAGGTACTTTGACCCCCGAGTTAGTCAAAAACGCTTTAACCTTCTCTAGAGCCTTGCCTCTGTGCGAAATTGCGCTCTTTTCTACCATTTCCATTTCAGCGTACGTCTTACCGCCGCCCTCCAGTGGCTCAAATATGCAATCCCAGCCAAAGGTTTGCGGCCCTCTGGGAGGGACAATTCTTCCGTCTGCACGTCCCGTAAATAGTGCCGGTTTATCGTCTACAGTCACGTCGCAGAATGCATAAATGCAAAGCGCATAGGCACTCTTGTCCTCGTAGGGCAAGAGCATATTACAGAGACCAGATGGCCCCACAGCTGTTAAAAAGGATTTCACATATACACCTGGCAGGCCTTTGTAAGCGTTGAAGCAGAGACTGACGTCTTCAACAAGCACGGGACCTCCATAGATCCGCGAGGCAGCGCGTGCCTTTTCACGGGCGACAGTTTCGGGGTCTCCCTGCAGCTCCGGGAGATCCATGCTCACGTGGGCAATGGTGTTGTCTCCTACTGCATGCAAGAATTCAGCTAGTTTTTTCTTGCTGCTCGTGACAAAGCAGAGAGGAAGAGGCGCCATCCACTGTAGATAATCGGTTTTTAAGAAGACAGCGATGACACTAGTGTACCTCTCCATTTACAATGCTATCCAGCTAGCGTTGTGGTCACTGGGTCTTCTACTTCTAGGCGCGTGGGCACTACCAAAGCCAGATAGCCTAGACCTTTACATCTGCATGGCTCAGAGCATGATGGTTTTGGACATTGTGCACGTGGCTTTGGGGCTTACCCGGGGAGGACTTTTAACGACGACTCTCCAGATCCTCTCCCGCCTTGTTGTCGTATGGTTCGCAGTGCATGATTCTCGGACCACAATTGCTGCGAGGTCATATTCCTGGGCACACTCATGTTTTATACTAATGTACTCATCCTGGGCCTTTGCAGAGATCATCCGCTACTCCTACTACCTCAAGAAGAACAAGCCACCCAAGTGGCTGAAGTGGTTGCGCTATAACGCGTTTCATTTACTGTATCCTGTGGGTGTTCTTGCTGGGGAGGTTCCTATCATCTACCTTGCTCGGATGGTCTACCAACCATACGATGTTTTCTGGTTGGGATACTCCATCGTTTTGCTTCTCTACGTCCCAGGGTTTCCGATCCTATTTCTGCACATGGTAAAGCAGAGGAAGCGCGCTTCCACCGCAAAGCAGTGAAACAATCTCCATGTTTGGCTCTGTTTTTCTTTACCACATCCTCTCACATCTAGCCCGTTTCCTGAGCTCTTGCAGTATTAATTTTCGTGCAGTGACCAACCGAGGGTGCAGCTGTAAATTAAAACCGTTTGCACTATTACAGCAAACAACCTCTAGAGGGTAGCCCGTATGTAGCTCTCGTGTTCCAAACGACAGTGGGTCCGGTAGTTCGGAAAGAGGGTAGAAGAAAAGGGCATACTTAGCCGCTGGAATATAGATATAGTTTGTCCCAATCTTGGCCAGAACATCACTCATACGAAAAATTCCATTGGACTCCTCTTCGGCTTCTCGCGCAGCAATCTCGTGAGGAAGTTCATTATGCTCTATCTTTCCGCCAAAATCCCCAAACCCTTTACTGTTTGTTTTAACCATAAGGAAGTAAGTGACCCCGTTGCTAACTGTATAAGGGATCACACCTGCAGCCCGAACCTCACCGCGCATGCTTTTTCTTTTTATGCTCCGATGCCTGGCAGTTGTTGAGGTCCTTTATCTGCAGACTAACTAACTAGCAACCCTCTCCGCTGGCGGGGGAGAATTAAACCATTGTTCCAGTGATGTTCTGGTGAAGTTCCAGTGAAAATTTAAGTAACTTAGAGGTCTCGTTTTTTGCTTTACTCAACATGCGGCATTCGCCCAAGAACGAGCCACTTGCACACTCCTATGCCACTGTGCGTGTTTTGTGGCGTGACCATCGTGGAACTGTTTCAGTAGTGGCACACGCTGACACGCGCACGGAGTTCTTGTGTCAGGAGATTTTATATACTCGGTTCTCTCCACGTGAGCGCAGAGCCATTGAAGCTGACGTTAGCAATATCATGGACCTCGTGCATCCTCACGTAGCTTCCGTTGTGGACTTCCTTGACGATAAAGACCGTGAGACTTACTATATAATTTCAGAGACTGGCAGCTTCACCACCGCCGGAGATCTTGTACGGTTCTCTCGAAACAATAATAGTTTCATTCCAGAAGAAACTATATGGTGTATTGCTGCCCATATACTCCTTGGTCTTTCTTACTGTCACCTCCTCTGCAAGCCAGACCCCGGCTCTCCTTCCGGCATCTTGCACCGCAACATTCGCCCGTCCTCCATTATAGTAGTCGGAGAGCGTGAGTATAAACTGGCACTGTTCGGGGTTTGTCATTTTCGCGGAAACGTTGTTGCGTCACAGGGTACGCTAAGCCTATACATGGCTCCTGAGGTCGTGTTTCATAATGCATACAGCGAGAAGAGTGATGTGTGGGAGCTGGGGATCGTTCTTTATGAGTTGTGTGCTAAGCAACGGCCCTTCTCTGGCTACGACAGGCAGCAGATAAAGGATGCCATCATGAATGCATGCATACAGAGCCTACCAATCTACTATTCGGATGAGTTGTCAGCATTCATCTGTGCTATGCTGAAGCCAGATCCATCTGCTAGAAGCTCGGTATCGACCCTCCTTAACCATCCCAAGCTCACTGCTAATCTGCAAGACTATGACACTACTGCAAAGGGCTATAGTCCGGAACAAATGCAGAGGCTCCTTGAACTGAGAACTCGAGAGCTCCAATTACTGAAGCAATCTGAGGCACACTTGAAAACTATGCTTGCACAGAGATCGTCAGAGCTATTCACCAATTTATCTGCAAGTTACATGAATGCACATAGCAACAGCGACGCCGTAACACCCACCCATTTGTCGACCATACAGCGGCCACTACGCGGTACACCCATAGCGTGGAAGATGAAGGGACAGCAACGGCTATCACAGGATGTACTCGCGTCCAGATTCACAGAACTAAATCGGAGCGTGCTAGAGAAGAGCAAGGAACTAGAGATACTCCAGAAAGAGAATATGCAACTAACCGACCTTATCAGCTCACAATCGCAACGTTATGAGGACCGCCTCTATGAAATGCAGCGATCAGTCACAGATTTATTGATGAGCTTCCAGTGTGGAGACAATGCAGAGGGGAAAACTATTCTGATGGGGGCCGCTGAATCTGGTTTCAGCTATGTGGTGGAACAGTTTATTTCTCAGCAAAAGCGCAAGCAGGACGTGCAAGGGAGGACGGCCCTGATGTACGCTGTTCTCGGCGGCTCTCTCAAGTGCGTGCGGCTGCTTGTAAGAGAGGAGGCTAGAATGGTTGATTCGCAGGGGAAGACTGCACTTGCGTATGCCATAGCAAATAAGGATATAGAGCTGATCAGGGTACTGAGAGACGCAGAGTGGAACGTTGTAATACATGGAAACACCTCTGCACGAGATCTGGCACTGGCAACACAGCAGGAAGCTATCATAAATTTGTTTCCTGAGGATATATTTGCTAATAACACTTTTGTTCAGCCCCGCACTATGAGTGCTGCCACCACCAATCAGGATCATGGGCATAATTCGTCCAATCTTGTGGGAGAAATGTACATAGGTAGTAAAGACCTTAACCCATTCAGCAGCCAGGATGATGTGAATCTTAGTGAGCCAATAGCTAACTCTGGGCTTGATAAGGTGCTTGATGATAACTCCAGATACCTGGCTAACTTAGTTAAGGCAACCAAAGACAAAGGAGAGGAATCCGGACACCAGTCACAGGATAGCTCGTACTCCTATGACTATTCTTACTCATCTATTGCATCTATATCACAAGAAGAGTTCCTTAATGGAGACTCTCACACACCCTTGTAGAGGGTTAAAGAGTTGGTTAGTTTAGTCTTTGATTATAGAGCATACAGTATCATGAGGTCCAGAAAGTATGTCCTTATGGCGTCATAGGCTAGAGCCTGAGCTGACCCAGGTGGCAAGTTCTCTTGCTCGGCCTCATAGCGTTTGAAGATATTTCTGACTTCTATTTCTAGCTTCTTTGGATTAGTGTATATTGAACTATCAGATGCAAGGCCGTAGATTGTCTGCACATTTCGTCGATCGTCCGCTTCTAAAAGACAGATCAATGCAGGGTGTATCATGAGGGCGGATAATATAAAGAGGCTATTTTCGCACACCACTACTTCATTAGCGTCCTGTATTTTGGCCTTACAGAGAGCTTCGCGCGCAGACTCAAGCTGCATGAGCTGGAACTTCTGTCCAAGAAGTTCATGTACCGTGCAATCTAGCGTTCTAAACAATTTTGTTTTCCGTAGTCTTTTGTTATACAAGTAGTCGGTCATATACACATTCTTATTCGTCTGAACATCGCAGACTGACTTTGCACATAGACGCTGGGGTAACATGATGCCATCTTCAGAGTTGGAGGCCATGAATACGTCCCATCTGCTCCGCATAAAAATGTTGGCGCTGTGACAGAGGATTTCCCCGTCCCGGGGCACGTTAAGAAGATTGTGTCGCCTTGAAGAGGGTGCATCTGTGATGGAGTCACGTATATCCATGCCGACTATAACCAGCGAGTTTTGTCTCACGTTAACCACTGTTGATTGTAGGAGCGTTAGCTGCATCCCGCCAAGGGATGCATCATATCGCGCCACAGGAGAACGTACAGCCGTGCCAGGATAGATTTCTTCTAGTGTTATATTGGCAGCCTGGTCACTTGTCACTATGAAGGATCCCACACGTGAAACTCCTATCGGTAGGTATGGGATGGTTGCCGTGGCCTCGTCACTTACTTTTTGGACGTGAATACAGCAAAACCCCGCCCAATTTTCATCGTCCTGTGCTGTGCGGGGACAACTAAATGATTCTATCCCCAAAATAATAACTTCTTCTCTGGGCAACTCAAACACAGTAGAGATACGTTGCATGTATGCAGTCATGGTTTGGGCTCCACAGTAATGACCAAGCATACCCATCAATGGAGGGGCAGTCTGGTATGTGCTCACCATCTGAAGAAGCTCGCTTCTATATATGTAGCATCGTTCATTAACCTTTATCTCTGGCTGAATATTATAGAATGCGTTTCCCTTCTTTCCTCTACCAATGTATCCTTCCAGCGCCAATCTCACATCTGCAATTTTGGTTATCTTCTTTTTCTTTCCGATTAACTTCTCCTTATTCTTGCAATTGTAAGATGCCACAAGTTTTTCTAGTACTTCAGGAGGGACAGCTACAACAGATGGACACTTCCGTTGCCGTGCTTTGCATAGTGATGCATATAGCTCTCTGATAAACTCTCTGTAGAACTTTACAGAAGGATACCTCCTGAAATATGGACAATTCTTAAAAACAGGAATTACGTATGCCGCTATTGTTTCCTCTGATACGCTACTTGAAATGGATAGTAGCGGGGTGGAGACCTCTGTGTGGGACGACGCCTCGTCTCTTGTGCAGATCTTTTTTTGTTGGCCTTCTGAGCTTGGGTGCTTCTCTAGTGGGCCAAAGACATCGCTGTAAAAGTGCTCAATGTTGGAGTATGCCTTTAGTGGAGGCTCTGCAGTGTTTGACTCGTCACTAGAGGCAACACTATCGTCAAATGGGCACATGTCCATTGGGATTGCACTGTAGCCTGCATGCTCATTGTCCAAGTCCATGAAATGGTGCTCTATTTCTTCTAGCTCCAAGGTTTTTTGTGTTACCGGATTTGTATTGGATGTAGTGGATATGCTTTGCTTCTCTACGATGATATTTGCTGGTGCCTCCTTCTTATTAGTAACCTGCTTGAGCTGGTAGCAAGTAAGTGCAATGGAGCGTTTCATGATTTCCTCTCCTTCTACCTCACTCAGGGACTGGGTCGTTGCTCTCGATAGAAGACCCGGACGCAAGAGCCTGTTTAAAATATCTGGTAGCGCAGAGTAAACGTTACTATGAGCGACTGGCCACGTTTTTATTTGTTCTCTAGTGATAGAAATAGGCTCTATGTACCCATCAACAATCAACCGTTGAAGGACCTTCACTATTCCTCGCTTCTTGAAAGACCCAGCAACCTTACAATAAACAGGAAGTGTGGGTATTCGTTCCAGGTTGGCCACTAGTGTCTGAGCGAAGGCGTCGAACTCTGTCTTGTACTCGTTGTACAGAGTAGGGATCAGCCCTACAGAGCTTCGTATGCGCAAAATTAGGTTGGCAGGCATTGTTGAAGTGAGCGCCTCATTCAGTGTGTTAACTTGAGGAATGCACATGGAAGAGATAAGCAGTTGATTTGGATGGTTTAAAGGGTCCTCTTTGTGACCAGTAGAGTAAGCAGGTAGTGCTCGTTGGTCCTTTATAACCCCAGTTGCTCGTGTATTGGCTTCGAGAAGCGAGCCAGGAAGCGTCCTGTGCGATGGCATATAATTATTCAACTACTGTAAAGCTTATCAGCACCGCTCTGTTGCCAGCAAGTTGGGGCCCTTTCCCCCATAAGTTTCATGTCCTACTACCTTAGACATGGATTGATTTGTAGTGAACCCTTCCAGATTACCCCTCAAAAGCTTTGGACTGAAGATGAAGGAGCTGCCATATGGTAGACACATGGCAGAAACCGCACCCATGTCTGCAGAAGAGAGGGTGGACACTATGCACGGATTCAGTCCGTTGAAGTTTCTTAATAATCCAATCCCGACAAACCTTAAAATGTTAACACTACCAACGCTTGTGACTGGAACCTTAGTAGAATACAAATAAACGGGCATAGCAGAAAAAATAGTCCGCAGCGCCCAACTAACTCGGGATTCTGGCAACTTGTTCACTATGTTGTGCAGTGACTGAGATAGAAATATAGTGCCTGGCACACCATCATCCGACAAATGTACAGAGAGCTCCATCACTGGATAGGTTGTCTTGTATAAAAGTTCGCTTGTTGAATAGTGTGGTTCGTTAGCTCTTAATGTTGCAAGGTCTACGATTCGCAGATATTGCAAGGGACGTGCCTGGGAAACAAGTTCAACAAAGGGCGCGGAACATAGTAGATCACGGCCGGTCATCCTGCAGCAGAGGGCTCCGGATCCAGAGGGAGTAATACCAATCTTCTTAAAGTCTATGATTGACTGCAGAAAGCGCAAAGTACGGAAGTGATCCATGCCCGGCAAGCCCTGGAGACCCTGGACAACGTAATGGTAAAGTCCTGGAAAGGTGAGGGCATTCTCCCGTGACCTTCTTTTGGTGTCTTCCCAGGATGTCAAGAATAACGTGCAGTCTGTGGGGGCAAGGATTTGGATGGAGGTATCTGTGCACATTTCAACAATGCCATCGCAGCCTAGCTGCATGACACAGCGCTCAATAATGGTATCCATGGTTCCTTGGAACCAGACAGGCATGCAGATGATGGTGGGCACGTCCTCGTTGGAGGCCTCCAATGTATATAGATGTGCGGTACATATGCGAAGAAGAGCCTGCACCAACTCTACAAAGCTATCGGGATCCGACGACACGCTCGTATAACCATAAGGGGCACAGTAGGTAAACACAGACCCCATAAGTGGGAAATCGCTACCGCTTCTTTGCCCACTCTGCAAAACAGATGCACGAAGCACAGACGGACAGATAGACTCCCCATTACGGCAGTCAGCGTCAACAAATACAACATACCGATGGTACCCCGTTTTAAAGTTTGCAAGCAGCCGTGAAAAGACAGACTTTCCTACTCCTTGGGGCCCAACAACTAGTATACTTTTAGGCGCAGATATCGACTTACATGCAACGTGCCACTCCAACGCAACCTTGACCGAAGACGAAAGAGTGCCAAATGCCTTCTTACTATGAGAGATTTCATCTAGAGAAACTCCGTACAGATTAAAGCCGTCCAGTTTCGCTGCTGTCCGATAGACGATTGAGAGTTCAGCTTGGAGAGGTACACAGACAAAAATTGCAGCTACGGGAGAGTCTTCGGTGAGACCAATACACCTTTCAGCGAAGCGTTCGATAAGCAGAGCGGGGTGTTCTCCTAGGAGCCTATGCAACTTGTTCAACTCCTTCTCAGCTTCACGCACATGCCCATAGTATGCTGCAGGTAGAGAAGAAACTATAGTCACATGGCCATATATCTGCGAACAGAGCAAAGTTCTTGGAGCTATTATTGGGGCACCGTTAATGAGTGCTTTTCCGCGCAGAAGATAAATGACGGCGCTGCCTGTTACAGCACACACTTCATCGCGGTACAAGGTAACTACGGAGAAGAGGTCGTCATGGGGCAGTATTTTCATCCTCTATCGTGCAAATTTTATTTACTCCGAGGGAGCTCTTTCAGAAGAGATAAGTGCTTCAAATATGGCCGAACCAATTCCTTGGGACATGGTCTAAGACCAATAGCACTTAGCAAATTTTCTGGCTGCTCTATCCAAGCGAAGTGGTCAATCTTGGCAGCACATAGGTCATCGCGAAGCTGGATTATCTGCTGCTCATCGGCAGACAAGACGACTTTACGCATGTTTGATATATCAGATAAGTAGACCCTGACATCTGGATGCTCGCGAAACGCATGGATGGCCGCCACCGATGCATGTGCCACCTGAGCTGCAAGGGCACCAAGGCCCCAAGGGAGATCATTACGAAGAACAATGTACTGCGTTATGATTGGCGTTTTAGACATAGGCAGATACACTGAAATTATTTATCCCACGTGCTGGGTTTTGCTCTCACACTGAGCCTGCAAGAAGGAATAGTACAACCAGCGCTGCGAGGCCGTGCTACATATACGATGCTACTAATTATCTCTAATGTCGACCCTCATCAAAAGGTTTTTCTGACCTATCATGTTTGAGGCGAACACACTTTTCTATAACATTCTAGCAGACTGCGGGACAGCTTGCGCAAGCCCCTATGGCACTCAATGTGTTAACCAGCCAGATAGTTGGGTAAAGCCCTATCTTGCCTACTAAAAAACTACCGCCATGAAACCGGTGGCTATTTCATATAAGCCGCGGTCCATAGACGGCTCTTTCCGCCAATCTACCATTAGCTCTCCAACTGAGCATACAGCACATGCCTACAGGCCACACTCCGCCGTTTCGGGACAGCAAAGTGGGTCTGTGATTTCTGTTGGAGATCCAGAGAATATATTGGTTCGAACACTGGAGATTGAAAATAGGACCCTCAGAGAGCAGATTGCATCACTTCTCGAACGCGAGCAGCTTGCGAAGGTGGAGTCCTCTAGCCTGCGTGAACAGCTGGCCGAGACAGAAAAAAGAAGCAACTCCCTGACAGATGAGCTGTCAAGCGTAATCTCTAAGGAGCTGGGTGACCTCAAACTGCGGCTCCAGATGGCCCAGGCAGATCGTGACTCTGTAACAAGTCAATTTAACGCCCTCAACGAAAAGCTTATTGGCACCGAAGAAGATCTTACTGCAGCTCGCACTGGTCTGGATGTTTTAAAAACATACTCTCTATCAGTCCTCGATGACTTTGTGGTCGCTGTTCGGGAGCTTTGTAAAGATATACTTCCCGCCTATGCCCCTGCATCAATCTCCAGCGGCGGGCTGATCTCTCTCGCTCGTCAGCTTGAGATGCCTGCGCCCAACATACCGCAGAACATACAGGCGTGTATTCATGGCATTCATGGGAAGGTTTATGAGCTGAACGTTTGTCTGGGAGATATCAAAATAGTTACAGACGCCTTCAGAGACACTGCGAACATGGTCAAAGACAGGCTTCTCAAGGAGCGTGATACGGCTCGGCTCCACGACAACGAGCATAGAAACGAGACCGAGCGCTTGCGTGAGCAACTGAATACGCTCCGTACAGATACTGATGTGACCGTTAGGGAGCTTAATCACTTGAAGCCTCTAATGAAGAGCCTTGAGACGGAAAACTCAGGACTTAAAGCAGAGCTATCTGCCTTAAGCGATAAACTACGACAGAGCCAGGGTGAAGTTAATGTCCTTCTGCGTAAGGTAGAGGCCCTTGAAGCAGAGAACACCTCCATTCAGGCCACCATTTCGGTGAAGGACGACCAGATTTCTGAGTTACAAGGAGCTGTTACGATGTTCCGCATGGAGCGTGACGAGGCCACAAGTCGTCTGACGGAGTTAGAGAAGAATCTGATTGCCTTGACCGAGGACGTAATAGAGGATCGCTCTTCCAGTAGAGGTGCCTCTATGAATGCAGCTAGGCCACCTCCACATGTCTCGCAACAATCTCTCCGAGGCCACGTTGAGCATAGCAAGTTTGAGCCACAGGCGATTAAAACCACGCTTTCGCCTACCCTTTCTTCGCCCAAGGCAGATTATGAGAACTCTCGTCTTATCGATATGGTCACGAATGGAAAGCTCCCAGAAGATCGTCTTTCAGCTGCCCTTGCGCAGGACCGCGTCCAGCGCCGCAGTTCATCATATTACGACTAGGACCGTGCATGTGTCCTAGAAGAATCTGAGTTTACATTGTGCCTGTTAGCCTTGTTCTACGTATGAGAGATAGCACGGTATCCTTATTATCTATTAGTTTAGATAAAGTCTCAGGGGTTAGAACCTCATTCTCCAAGATGGCTATCCGCTGCAGTAACTCTTGAATGACGTGTGCAGAGGTTGTCGTCAATCCCGTATCCACTGTACTGATCTCTGTTGCCGTGGGCGTTGCCTCGGGTTCTCCCAGCTCTTCATCCTTTGTTAGTGTACTCGGCTGTCCGGGAAAACGGGATGATGTCTCTGATGGTTCTGCAGTAAATGTGGAATGGGTTGACATCGTGTGGTTTTGCAGAGCGTTCAGGTGGTGGGTTGGTGACGGGGCCAGATATTCGTCAGCAGCAGACCCTAGATCCTGTGGAGATTGAGACCGCGATATCACGAGGGTCTGAGTGCCTCCTCGATTCATTGTACAGTGTTCTCTAAAAAGCCACAAAAATTTACCCCAGAGTACTAACATATGTGCAACGCAAAATCAAGGCCAATCGATTGCAGGGCCACGTCTCGCTAGTCCTCTCCATCGTCGGCCTCAAGCCAGGTGACGAACTCAGCTAGCTGTTCTCCAAACAGAGACCTGCCAGGGCCACTATTCCCGTTGGCCCATGCGATGATAACGTCGGCCTCCAAGATTTCTAGATCATAAAGCTGCACGACAATAGGCTTAAAGCTGTTAATGATGTTGGGATTGTTATAACATGTGGTCTGGACAGTGGATAGGAGCTTGCCTTGCATGACTAAGTCATCTCCTACTAAAGTATACAAGCACGGCCCCCACTTTTTCAATGCCCCAACAATGTCCTTTGACATTGTCTTAGAAAGAGAAACAATACAGCGCCACATGAACATGACTGACTCTTCGGCAGACATGCCGCACTCCTCCTTGCACTGCTTCACCTGTCTGAGCGCGTCCTCGCGAAGAGCCTCGAGGGTCTCTTCTTCCCCCTCTGGGTCTTTCTGCATAAACTGAATGATCTTCTGCTCCCACGTCGTTATATTGTTCTTCGTCTGATTGGTGCGATAAAGCTCGACAAACCATTGCATACCATACGAGTCTTCTAGAAGCTTCAAGACATCGCTGCAGTGCTCCGGGCAGAAGTCAAAGAGCTTATCAACGACTTCGCCTGCAATGAGGTACTCCCACGCCTTCTGCTGACTGGACAAGGTAGCATATAAGTTTGTAAACTTTGACAGGATGCTGAGAGCCTCTCCAGAGACAACGAGGTGGTTGATTCTTAGTAACTTGAGGAGGAAGAACTCGGTGGTCTTTTCATATTTAAGTATGTCCAGATTGGCCAGATGAGAGCATATGGACATAACATGGTCAAGATATTGAGGGATGTTATCAATCGTGAGCATGGCCCTCCCGATCACCTCGCCTATCCCTATACGCATGTAAGGCCGCTTCCTCATAAACCGCTCTAGTATAGAGATCCACGCATCCACCTTGCTGAGACTATCAGCAAATATTGACGGGGATCGAGGGGTCTTCCTCTTGTCAACGCGACCAAAGCAAACTCCAATAGACCCGGAAATAAATCTGTCAAAGAAGAACTCGTGGTAGGTCTTATAATCTATGTCCGTGGCTGAATCCAAATTCTTAAAGACCTCCTCTAGACTGTCGCCCACAAACAGGTGCTCCAAGGCCTCAAGAAAAGACTCTGGATCCTTTTGGACCACTATGTTGCGCTTTCGCGTACGAATCTTTGTATCTGCAAGTGCACCAGGGAGAGGCTTCGACATAACACTTCTTTAGCACAAATTAAGAAGTCAAATGTTTTTGAAATTGATTTGTTTTTCCTTCCCATTGACTCACCCTGCGCTACATCACGGCCATTTGCGCATTCTCTTCATCGTCCAGCCATAACTATGTCTCGCCTAGTCTAGCCCAAAATTATACGTAGTCCCCATGCGAGCCGTCCGCCCAAGCATTGTCCCACGACCGTACCCGGCCCCGCGGCCTGTTTTGTTTGATTGAGCAGCACTTACTGGCCGGGCTCGGTTGGGGGATGAGGCCCCATATTCAGTTACCATACTCTTGCTACCGGCCCCTCCGCTGGAGATTGGTCTGCTTGTCAAGGGCCTGGACCCCCGTGGATCAATGACCGGATCAAGCTGCTGAATATTTAGGCGTTTGAAGTTATTCGAAACACCTTTGTCGCCAGACTGCAACTGATTGAAAGCATGACTCGTGGTTATGGCAAAGGCCCGAAGGTTTTGGATGTCTCGTGCGGCATCGTCTTTAGCATCTTGTCTATCTTCTGAGAGGGTAAGCTGCCCCATGGCCTTATTGCCTATAATCTTGCGCAGTTGAGTCACATCATCTCGTAGCCCACTTATTTGCTTCTCTAGTCTGGTCCTCTCCTCTTCCCAGGCACGCTGAGACAGTGCAGATCTGTGCTGCAGTGTCAATAGTCTCCGAACTCTCTTTGCTAATTCCTCTATCTCTAAGTCCTTTTCCTTGAGCTTATCCTTGTAACTGGAAATGATGTGTTGCTGTGAAGCCTCTGCTATTGATGTCTCTACATCATGGGGATCACCCGTTGTGTCGATACCTGGAGAGATGCGCGTTTGCTTTGCAGCGCGTGCGCTCATACTTCCACGTACCGGGGAAGAAGTGTTCCCCTTGGGGGTTGATTTTCCTTGAATGGGCTGTGAAGTAGTTGTATCCCCGGCCAGGGCTGATATCTTTTGATGTAAGTTGGCCACTTGCAGCTTTGATTGAGCCAGATTTGCTTCCGTTGTCCGAAGTCTCTCTTCTTTCAGAGCCAACTTGCTCTTATAACCCTCTAGCTCTTGCTTGCAGCGTGCAAGTTCCTGCTCCAGTAAATTGGTCTTTTTGACCTGCATGTTTGTCTGGTAAGATCCCAACTGAGTGGACATCGTCCGAACACGCTCGCGAAGCTCTGCATTTTCTGCTTCTAAACGGTTGAACTTAAGAGCTTCTTTTTCCAATTGAATGATCTTCTGGCGGCTTGCCGTTTGGACTTTTGATAGGTCGAACTGAGACTGGAGGCGGTTGAGCTGCAATTGAGACTCCAATTGAGAGATTCGGGAGAGACGAGTATCCCTGTTCCGTAACAGATCATCTCTCTCTGCAACGAGATCCTTCATCCCTTGGATCTGGGTATTCTTTTCATCGAGCTTAGCCTTGAGCTGTGCTATTTCTGTTTCCATTTGAGAATTTCGCTCATCTGCTCGCTTCTTGATGCTCCTCTCCCTATCCATAGAGTCCTCTTGATATTTGCGGATGTTGTTTAACTGACTAGTAAGATCTCGAATCTTCTCTTGCGCAGCCACCAGTCGAGCAGACAGATCCTTCGCTGTAGCGTCCTTTTCTGAAATTTGTCGTGAAATAGCTGCCTTGAGCTCGCACTCGAAATCCTCTTTGAAGGCCAACAGGACGCGGAGGGAAGCCCGCAGTTTATCAAGAATCACGAGAGGAGATTCCCCCAAAAGCTCGGCCTTCTCCTCGTCAATATTGCGGCGTGTCGAGGCATCCTCATGCGATCGATCTTTGAATTCCAGATACATTCCTACTATGGCACTCTGTAGACGATGAAGGCGCTCTATTTGGTCGGTGCTCTGCCGTAGCTGCGCCTGAAGCGTTCCAATGTTGGCTTGCAAGGCCGATATCTTGGTAAGATAGTCCTTAACCGGATCCTCACTAGCCATGCTGCGTTTTTAGAAGCAGAATACTAGGTAAATTTTGCCGAAATCTTTAGTTAGATTAGTGTATGGCTTCTGAAGTGGAGACGTCAATTTTCTTTCCCTTGGCAACATCCACTGGTGCGGACCCTGCGAACGTTAGTAGACGAAGAGGGAATAGGCCGTCAAAAATGGCTGGCTTTTTGAATGACATCTCGGAGTGGAGCAGGCCCGAGTTCAAGCTCTTTATCAGGGAGCCATTCAAGGACCAACGAGATATTGATCCTTGTGACTGGGATGTTCGCTTAGAATTCTATGTTCAGCAAATTCCTCGATATGCCAATTATAGTTCTGCCATGATCATGCGAGGCCGCGAGCTAGTTGAACTCTTCAAGACTTGTCCGCGGAATATTGCCGTTGCAATGCGAAAGCTCTGTGCTAAGGGGGTCGTGACGCCGTACTCACGGTTTGGAATCAATGATGATAGAACGTTTCTACAGAAACTGTTGTGGTGGAAGAAATCTGTCCCAGATAATATTGTAGAAGACCCTGATACCGAATGGGTGTTTGTACGTATATTTCGCGACCAGCTAGGGCAGATAGGTCAGTTTCTCAGAAGCCACTACGCTCACCGAGTTCTTACCACGGCAGACCTACGAAACCTACTGTCACTGTCTGGCATGGATAAGTTCATTGATTCCTCCGACACTGTACGACTCCTTAGGGCCAACAACGACATCCTAATACCCATCTTTGAAAATGATGACACACTCATAGGGTGGGTATTTACTCTATAAAAGAACACATGGGACCTTAGATGATAAGCATGATGAGCATGAGAATATTCCAGAGACAAATCACAAAGCGAAACACCTGAAGGGCACGGATGCACTCAAAGAGCTTTGCCTTGGCTGTTAACCCATCCTGTTTTTCCACCGCGAAGTTTAGTATTGCACCTGCGTTGATGAAAAGTGTTGAGGCTAAGAGGAGATCTCCGAGTCTATAAATCATCCTTTCTATAAAATTTATTGGGCGGATGACCACTAGGCTCATGGAGGCCGCGTTTGCGGGGAACACCGAGCTAGTTGCAGAGCTTTTGGAGGAGTATGCTAGACAGCGGGACCAAGAGGGACGCACAGCGTTGATGTTGGCGGCCCAGGAAGGTCACGTTGAGATCGTGGAGATGCTCGCGCCTTACGAGCTTGGGCAGGCTGATGAAGACGGCTGGACTGCGCTGATGTATGCGTCGTGGTCTGGGAACTGGGACTGTGTTCGCTACCTATCCCACCAGGAAATCCGCATGCGTGATTGCAGTGGTTGGACCGCACTCATGTCCGCTGCGTGGAACGGACACCTAGAAGTGGTGAATTATCTTTACAGCGAGGAAGTGGGGATGCAAGATGTAGATGGCTGGACTGCGTTAATGTGTGCGGCCTGGAATGGACACCTAGATGTTGTGAAGCTCCTTTACGAACGGGAAAAGGGCATGGTCGATCAGAAGGGGTGGACCGCACTCATGTCTGCAGCGTGGAATGGACACTATTCTGTGGTTAAATTTCTCATGGGCGCTGAGGCACGTGTCATGGATCCATATGGGTGGACAGCTCTAATGTCGGCTGTCTGGAACAATCACGGCTCGGTCGCTGAGCTGCTAATAGACACAGAGGGTCCTCTGATTTTGGAGAACGCCAAGGTCATGCGCATGGTTTCTGTTGCACGCAAAAATGACAGCATTACCTTCCCAACCGGTCAACAAGATTACCTTTACTCTAAGTCTGTTGTGCATACAATTGTTGACCCCGATGCCTCGTTCCAACAATGCATCTCAGCAGACACCGAGGCTAGTCCTATTTTAGGAGAAGCAGCCGACACAGATACAATTGAGAAACTTAAGCATGAACTAATGGTGGCACACGATACAATTAAAAAGCTAGAGGCCTTAGTTGATAAGAGTCACTTGGAAAATGATAAGGGTCTCGCTATGGAAATCGAGCGCCTTAAGGAAGAGGGAGCTACATATAAAAGCAGAGCAGAAAAGTATGATGACGCCAGACATGAAGTTGAAGCCCTGAACAAGACAGTGAGGCTTATGAAAGAGGAAATAGACCGCGTGAAAAACGAGCAGCAGCAATCCCAATCAGTACTGGATGCCCTTCTCGCCAGTTCTGAGGACCATGAGATGGTGAAGCTTACTGCAGAAGTACAGCGATTAAGCGACATTGTAACAAGAAAGGATAGAGAGATAGATGCCTTGAAGCGAGAGTGCGCTGAATACAAGGCTATGACGACTGTCCCTCCTAAGGCTCCATCTTTGTCTAGGGAAAAGAAGCACCGCTTCAAAAGACTTAACTCTGTGTCTGGTGCTCCCAGAAGACACTCTGGAGGCCTTAGAGTGTCAATTGACGAGTGCTCTGACATAGAAGCCCATGTGGCTAATGCAGTTATTCTACCTACTAACATACCTCGTGGTGTTAGAAAGAAGTCTATTTCTCAGTTTCCTGCTATTCCCAGCGGTCCTGTTGCCATTCAAACGCCTTCACAGGACAGTGATGACTTCTATCAAACTAGCAATCCATCAACGTATGTCCCGCAACCTCATATCCTCAATAAAACTGGCACAGAGGCGCTTGCTTCTGTGGACACAAAGCCACTCCAGCAGTTAAATACAGATGTAAGCAAAAATATCTCGTATTACGAGGATAAATCCCTGAACTCATTCTTCCAAGAACCCTCTGAACTTGGTAGCGGTGGAGCCGACAGCGGCACGATTAGGCAGATTCTCAGGGAGTTTGCAAAGGTGAGAAAGGAGCTGGAACAAATTAAAAGACAGCAGTTTTCTATGGGAAAAGATATACTAAGTGCGAAAAACGAAGCTAGCCTACTTCGCACTAAGATTGGCGCTAAAGCCGCAGACCCGGAGGACCTCAAGGTGGCGATCATCGACGTTATATCCAGTGACCCGACCATTCTTCGCTCCTGCTCTGCAACTGTGTCTCCGATCTTGGGCGAGGCTGCTGTATGTTCGCCGTGTGGCCACAGGATTGCCACATCTAACCCTGAGTCAATCACCAAGTGTCCTCAGTGCGGCACTTTGGCTAGGGCTATATCCTTACGCGGTGTCTAGATTAGCAGCAGTAGGGCTCAAAGAGCGCGCCGCAATCCTGCATTGTCTTCCTCTAACTTTTGCACTCTGTTGTTCATCTTTGTAAATTTTACCCCAAAAGAACATTCAGTAAGTCATAGAACACCTGCGTGGGGCCAGTCTATTATCATGGTCACTTCGGGGAAAAGTTTGCCAGAATAGCCAGCTGTACTGCATCTGGAGAGGAAGCATCAGCAGCATGGGTCACCAGCCCGCAAATCTTGCAGTAATAGAGCTCCCAATTTCTCTGTCGGGGTATGCGATTGATTGGAGCGCGCATATTGTCGAGGCCCGTAAACTTGTTATACATGTCTGCTGAGGCTCTCTCGATGGCGTGGGGTGTTGAGGGAATGTTCCTTATTCCCATCGTGTCTGTCTTCCAATTAGAGACAACGTCTCGAGCAGGAAGAAAGGCCCAAAGGATTCGTCCGAGACGCAATCCGTAAATAGACATGAATAGATTGATTATGGATCGGCACGATAGAGTAGGACAGGCTGGTTGGCTCAGGGCCTTTCCAGGTGTTCCTGGGGAGTCCTTGGAAAGCTGCGGTGTATATGCACAGTTGCAAAGCACAAATGTCGGCATCCGCTTCACGTCTGGCTTGACTATAAAGAAGATCTTGCCACAAAGACACTGATATCGCGCCTTACTGATCCTTAGATTAATAAGTTGCTCAAATGTCGGTGTAGGCTTGAAAAGAATTTGTCTGAAGTACGAAGAGTTCGCATAGAGAAAGTCTTTGTTCTTAATTCCTGGTCGAACTCTGAATAAGAACCAGTAGTGCAGGAAATCTAAGAACGGAAGGGGAGGTGCAATGTGAGGCCTGAGGTTCCTGACGTGGAGGTAAGCAGCAAACAGAGACAGAGATCTAAATTCCACGAGCATGGCTATTGCCACTGCAGCAGAGAGGCCGGTACCGTTCTCGTCGTAAAGCAGGCACCTGCCTCCATGGGTGACCGTTCTGCGCAGGAAGTCCAGCACGCTGTCCAGGGCGGCTGAGTATCGCAGGAACTCTGCCTTAGGTAAACCCGGAGTACTTTCGCGAGGAGAACCCAGAAAGAGCGTCTTGTTGGACGTGGGATTAATAATTTGTGTGAGAACAAGGGGGAGCTTATAATAGTGGATAGTGGTCATTTCTATAACTCGCTTGGTCTCCATGGACTGCTCTAGAGAGGTCGTTAGGCAATCAATCACAGACGTAACGTTATATGCCAGAAGATGCTCTGCATGCCGCAAGACGGAAACAGACCCTATCCACAGAAACCCATCTATAATATTAGTGGCAGGAGGCATCACTTTGACAGGAAGCGTGGCACAGGGTTGACCCAACACAGGGCTAGTGAGCTGAGCCGTCGCAAGAAGGTAGCTGGGTATAGCAGCATGGCTCTCCAATTGCTTCTGTACAGAGTTCGGGGATTGTTCGCATTGCTTTTTGACAATAGAAAGCTTTGGTGCAAGGGCATCGCTAGGATTGACCAGGCAGTCATTAACACTTCCGATAATGCTGAAACAAAAGCTGCTACTGATGAATGGCTCCGCCTTCGCCGGCTCCACATAGTAACACTCGGGCTTATACATGTAGGTTTCTGGAAAATAGACCTTTAATATGTGCTCGGTCATGGCGATAACGTCTCTTATTTGGGGGCGCAGAGTAGGGTTTGGTACCAAGCAAAACTCAAGAAGGTCTATTATTGGCTGGCAGTTCCCCAACATGGCCTTCTTCTCTGGAGAAAGCGAAACTCCCCTGTAAAGCTGAGCAAACTTGCCTGAATGATCAAATGTAAATGATTGGGCAGCTGACTTGTCACGTGCCCTTGCTCGCACGTTGCTCTGATAGCTATCCTTCGTGACTCTGATAAAGAAGCGGATCCAGTCAGAGTCAAAGAACAAGATGTCACCTGTCAATAGCTCGTAAAGGAAGCATGCAGCAGACCAGATGTCTGAAGAGCTTCCAGCGCCCTTTGGACGACGCCGATCAAAGTTAGACCGGGTTTGGGCTACCATGTTTGCCGAGAGCAGCATCTCTGGCGATTTATTATATTCTGTCCCCTTATTGATGAGTGTGTAGGAGCTCTCTTCATCTGAAAAGACCATCGACTCTCCAAAGTCCGCTATTGCAATGCGAAAAGGAAGCAGTTCGTACGATGGTACAGCCTGGTAATCGGTGAAGATCTTATCAAGGAAAATCTTTGTAATAGGCGTCCCAGTGTCAACAGTACCGGCAGGCCTGCTATTTTCATCCAGTCTAGCTAGTTTAGAGTACCACTGAACTGTTCTGGGATCAAAGAATACGTTGTCGGCCTTTATATCATAGTGATTGACTCCAGCAGTATGTAGGTACTCAAGGTGTCGGAGGAATTTTATGAATATCAGAAGATAGATTCTGATGTACTTCATGTAAGACAGTTCGTGGCCGTATATAGGCAGATGCTTATACTTTGGCTCCGGATGATACAGCAATTGGTTGGATTGCAGTGTGGCTGGGTCGTCGAAGAGTTTGAGACGGAGATCCCTGAGACTGGTAACGTACTTGTGCATGATGATGTAGTATCCATCCTTCGTAACTCCGTAATCATACATTCGACTAACTCCGCTATAATTGGCTAACCGTTCCATTACAGTTATTTCGTTAAAGATATCGTGAAGGACGCACCGGTCATAAATTGACTTCGATCTGTCCTGGATTTTGACCGCTACTGGAGTCAGGAATGATTGGTTGGTCTGATTGTCCTCTGTAACCAGCGATACATTCCCAGAATAAACAGATCCATAGGCACCCTGTGCCATGAGTGAAAACTTAGTGGCGTCCTTGATGGGATACAAGGTAGAGTCAAACAGAGTATAGCAGGTGAGGCGTAAGAGACGCTTAGCAGCAGGTGAAATGTCGGAAGATATTAACCTAAGGGCGAATTTCTCGTTTCTCGGATGATTAAGATGGTGGTGAAGGATCCATAGAATGTTTGGCATGCCATCATTGGCTGGAAACTGGGAACAGTACATCGGATCGAGAGTACCAGTCTCGGGGACAATGATCAATAGCAAAACAATTCGCAGAATAGTATAGTGTAGCTCCTCGTGGATATATAATGGTCGGTGAAGCGCCTTTTCTATTGAAGCGCTGGCCTGAGAGTACTCCAAAAGATCAGAGGCCTCCAGCTCTGATGGATTTCCATGCTCAAAGTCTCTGTAACCGGAGAGCGTGGAGAGCGTCGACTCTTGAGCAACGAGGAGAGGATCCTGTACTCCATGCTGTAAAACCGGCTGGATGCGACATTTGTCTGGACTACCCTGGGCAGTGCTCGTCTGCCGATTTTGAGCACTGAGCTTTGCCACGGTTGCGCTGTGAGTAAGAAAGCGCTGCTGTTCCTTGTTATTTTTCGCATCGGTATCGCGAACAAATTCAGAGGTAAAGCCAGCCAGGCTGATACTGCTAGAAAAGGTGGACTTGGTCCTCTTAAGCACTGACTTGGTTGCCTTTGGCTGCTTTTGCCTCTGCTTGCCCTGTTTCAAACCCTCAGTATCTGTTTGCTCCACTTCTAAAACCGGCTCCGGAGCCTGGCAACCTTCCGTGGCTAGTGGAAGAGAGTGTGCAGTTTCTAGTTTGGCTGCGATTCTATTCCCTAAAACTAAATGGAATTTGGGGTTTAGGGAATCGGCAGCGGCTTCAAACTGTGAAATGCCACCAGCTATGTTCTGAGAATTGGACTCCTTTTCCAGTACTACGTTCTGCTTATCGATTGAAACCTTAACGGCTGGTAATTTGAGAGTGAATCCGAAGGTCTTGGGCACAGTGGCAGGAGGAGCTCGTGGTAGGTCACTAGAGTCACTAAAACTTGAGTCTCCATGAGATGAGTAGGCGTCACTGGGCTTATCAGCCTTAGGTGGCTCCAGCTCGTTAGCCCTCCGCTGTTTAGAGTCTCGTTTTGGCAACTCTATGCCGCGTTTCTGTGCCTCGTCGTCCCAACAACTATCGCTGTCATCGTCGTCGTAAATGTGGGTTGAGCGCTTTGGAACTGCAGTGATCACCAGACTACTCTTGTGCTTGATGCCCTCTAATGGTGTTTTTCTGTCAGTACACTGCTGAGAGCCCATCAATTCAGATTCCGTGCTGGGGAGCTTTAGGGGGTGTATGACAGCAGATCCATGATAGTCAAATAGAGTGTCTATAGATGGAATGGCATCTCCATTAATTACCTCAACTGGTTGCTTTTGCTTTGCTGTCGCTTGCAGCTGATCGCTGATGTTGCAGTCGGTGATCTCTGACTTTTCCAATAGGTCCATTGTGGAGCTGTTGTCTGTGATCAGCTTGGTTTCCAATCCAGGGGTTAAGATTGCAGACACTGATGGCTTAGTGGAAAGTGACGTTGCAGCACTCTTCTTGGACTCCTGACTCCCATTTACGGTAGTTACTACCTTGTCTTCCACATCTTCCTCTATCATACTAGATACTGCGTTAGCATTGGCTCTGAGATCACCCAGTTCATAATCCTTATTCGCTAGAATGTGAGATCCGGTACTATGAGCAGTTTGCTTCAAAGGACGTGTCGGTGTGCTGAAGAACACACTAGTCTTGGTGGGGCTGGTTCCCGAAGGTTTCTTGGCCTGATCTTGAGTGGCTGTGGGGTTATCAGACCGTAAATATGGCATAGAGATAGGAGGTAGCAATTTTTGGGCTTGTGCAGATGCCACCTTTATAGCCCATTCTCTATCGGCCTCTGCCTTAGCAAGGTTTATCTTCTGGAGTGTAGAAGCGTCGCTTTCTGCAATTGTTCTCTGCCAGCCACTATTCTGATCAATATTGTCGACTGACAGCTGCAGAATAAGAAATTGCATGATGCGAAGTTCATAGAAATATTGCCGGGTGTTTGGAGAATCCATCTGAATGAGAGAGCAAAGTACATTGAGGTGCCCATTGCACAGGTCGAGAAGACTCACGCTGTTGTTGGTACTTAAAATACATTCAATCAGATCTACCTCACAGTCGTTGTACAGCTTCAAGAACGACTTGTAATGAAACGATATGAATTTTCGCAAGTCTGTAGGCTTTATATAAAGATCAACGTTTTCAATGGCGAAGAACTCAGCGAGCGTATAAAGGACGTAGAGGACAGACTTTCTGCTTGTAGGTGCAGAGAGCGCATTTTTGGAAAGCTCTGTCAGGAGCTCCTTTGCTGACGTGTGCTGAGTTCGGGCCTCTGCCACCGTCTCTGCGGTTGGCATAGCCTTGAGAAGGTCAGAATCGTCAAAAAGCCCCAAGTGTTTGGAGAAGTTGACACCACCTGTCTGAACCTGAACATCCGAGCCATTTTTGGCCAGCATAAGATACTGTGGGAAAACTCCTGTTTCGAAGTCAAATAAGAATGACCATGTGCCGATGATACTGTGGCAGTCGTTGTTTCTGAGAAGCTCCTTCACATTAAAACGATGACTTTCATCACAGCGCGTTAGGGGGATGTGGTCCAGTCGTGCCGTTGTGAAAATATTGGCATGGCTCTCTAGAGTGCACAAGGTAGCCAGCGAAGTCATAGGTAAATTCTTCAGCCGTGTCTCCTGAGTGTACTCTGCAATCTCCTTCAATCCTCGTGGATAGTCATTCTCTGGTAGATTGGCATATTTGGTGATATATATTGGAGCATGGAACGAGCTCGTTGCTAGCTTAAAGCTTTGCCTTCTCGTACTATCAACCAGGCGCGAAGCGATGTGAGAGCTGTGGGTGCTATTATGAGTTGCAGCAGTGAACATCTTTGTGGTCTCTAATTTTGTGTTTGTGGAGAGCTGCTGAGCCACCTTGAGGAAGTGGTACCGGAGAAGTCTAATCATGGTGATAATATACTTGGAGAACTTAATCTTGTAGACCTCAAAGGAGTGCTGACACTGAGGCTTGCTGTAATACATTCCCGAGAGCTCATCCTTTATGCGTGTGTTTAGGAAAATCAGACAGCTATAGCGTCTTAGCCACTTAAGATTAGTCTCGTTGAACACCAGCGCGTCGCACAGCATGTTATCAATGTTCTGCATTGATCGATCGGTGGTGTAGCAGACGTTGTTATTGACCAATGCTCTAACCACCGGAGGCTCAGGGGATGTCACAAGGCTAGGGGCACGAACAAAAGAGTCCGACGCTAGCAGGCTCATAACTTCAAGGATTCGTTGGACAATAAGAATATAGTGAAGGCGAGAATTGATTCGTCTTGTCTGAAAGAGTTCCACGACTTTTAGAAGCGATGGAAGAAGCGCCGTTGTCACAAGCCCCCGCACCATCGGGTTTGCATGCGAAGTGGCCAGCCGGTCAGCAATGACTGCCAAGTAACATGCGATATCATCACAAGCAGAGATGGAATAAGGCATCAATACTAAAGTACTTAACCGCAAAGACAGAGTATACATATCTATGCAGTACATGCGCCGCTGAGCCTCGAGGCGTTGGAGTAAGAACATGTCGTCTGGAAGAGTTACTGCATGCCTCTTTCCAATCTTTCGCTTTGGCAGGCCTGTTGCCGGGGAAACAGTGTTCTCCACTAGAAAGTTTTCCTGCATAGTTTCAGTTGTGACTTCTACGCCCCCGTGGCAGACATTCAGCTCACTTTCAGGCACACACTCCCCCGTGTCCACATCTATGTAGTCATAGGTAAGCTTAGCATACTTATACATCTTAAACAATAGTCGCATCCAGTCTGATCTTATGCGCGTTTGGCTTGCGCTGTGTATTTGGTTGACGAGGGTTGACAACGCTAGAACCACTGCAGGTATGAAGCCAGTCTTACGCTGATGCAGTGAAATAAGGTCTGTGCATATGCTTGGCAGGATATTGGGGAAGTACCTCAGCGTTATATTTGAAAGGTTCCTGATGCAGTGGTAGAGAATATAGCTAACACCGAGGCGAATGACATCCTCCCTAGATAGATCCACTCTCTGAAGACGCACCAGGGGCAAAAGCTCGGTTGACATAATAGAGAAGTTAAATTCATAGTCAGACAAATCCCTGGTATGAGTGGAACCAAATAGCTTGTAGAGAAGGTATCGTCTTTTGTGTTCCTTTAAATAAGTGTAATAGTTATGGGTTACATAGAGGTGATTGACGATGTAATTCGCCTGAACAGCTTGGGAAGTAGATGTAGTCAACACTGAAAGGCTACTGTGTGTGGAACGCGCTGTTAAGTTCGCGGACCCGTGTGAATAGGTTTTATCGCGACTGAGAGAACATAGCAGGGGATAGTCCCGCATAAAGGTATACTCGCCAATACGGTTAGCAACATCCACGAGTTCCGGAATTCCCTTCCGCCGTTCAGAAAGAACCTGAAGATACTTATCAAACACAAAATCGGCCGTCTCCTGATTAAGTCCGGTGTAGGACTGACCAGTGGCAGGAGAATCTGTGTCACCGAATCGTCCTGGATGTCCTCGATGACTCATAGAAGGTGCTGTACTCTCCCGATTGTGAACAGACTTCAAATCTAAGGATAATCCTAGACTGAGACCGGGAAACTTTTGTTGAGAAAGCTTTGGTGTTGATTGGGTGGTAATTTCAGGAGGGTCTTTCTCTTGTTGAGCTGGACAACTCAGTGATAGAAGCGGAACGATAGAGGGCCTGCAAGGTTTCGTTTTAGATGCCAAAGCCAATGGGCCACAGATTGCACGTCTTTCGACCTTCTCAATTTGCTCCGCATGTGTAAAGTCAGCAGACTTGTCCTTTTGCGGGTAAAATTGACGAGCTGCTCCAGAAAATGGCTCCCCGATGTTAGAAAGAGTTCCATTTGGTGTGGAAGGCGGGATGAGGAGGTTTGAGGAGGAGCGATTCTTGACCCCAGGAGCGACGGCTCTGTTGTGTGAAGCTTGCCCATAGGCAACAGCATTCGTTCGCCCCTTACCAGCTTGAGTGCTGTGAATCATATACCTAGACTGTCGCCGCGCGGTTGTGAGCACTTGCCGTGCAGGAGACGAGCTCTCATTAACAGGATCTCGTTCAGGATTGACAGCTAACGGCAAGTGAAGGTTAAGAACGGGGACTGCAGAGCCTAGGACGGATTGAGCCTCTTCTCCTTGCACCATCTGTAGCTCGGCAGACGAGACTTTGGCCTCCGATATAGTTCCCAAGTTAAATGGCGTTAGAATCGCAGACGCAGATGATTCCTGGGTAAGCGCGTCATTTAGTAATGGGTCGTAAGCTCCAGTTTCTTTCGAGGTATTCCGTTGGTCATGCACCATAGGGGGGAGTCTGACCTTGACTCCTCTCGTGACAGGTGGTCGTCCCCTGACGCTCTCATCCTTATGCTCTGGTTGTGGGATCTCAGGAATGCAATCACCTAGCGCTGGGAGCTCTAGCAAGCGATCCTTCTCACAAAATGACGCGCTGCTTCTGCTGCAAGAAGACCTTGAGTGATTTCTTATATTCACATCTTGAGATGGCTCTTTCACTCCTGCATGACTTTGTTTTTGTAAGTCTTTAGCCAATTCAGTGGATGCCTGTGTGCCGTGTAGACTAGGTTCTTGATTGCAGGTACGTGGTGAGACAAAGACTGCTGATTCTTGGTGGTCAAGTGGAGTGGGTTGTCGCTCCTCCCTATCGTTTTCGTCGAACAAATCCTCGCCAAAGTCTCTTGATCTGTCACTATTTAAGTTGGTATTAGAGTCACCATTGTTAGACTGAGAATAATAGCCACTTTCTTCCTCGTTATCATCAGAGTCCAAGTGCTGACTGTTGTTAATTTCGATGGATGAGCGGTCGGACACCATACTGCTACCCTCCGAGCGAACAGTATTAATCAAAGGAAGCTTGCCATATGAGGCGGTCTCTTTTCGCAGTTTTCTTTTTTGTCCTGGAACAGAATTACTAAACACCGTCTCAGCAAAGTTAGAGAGAATGCTCCGTGCTGACGAGATCTCCGATAGCGCATCATCCAACTGCTTACAAACCGTAGGCATAGTGCAATCCTCGTCGAGAGAAAGACTGGAGGCTACTGTCATCCCGGAGTTGGTCGATTCGTTACCATCGCTGGTGTCACCGTCCTTGGCATTGCCGCGGCCCCTATGTATTTGATTCAACTGCACAATGGAGAGAGAGTTGGTTGTCTGCGAGCACATATCGAGGTTGTTACACACCTTGTTGAGATACACCTGAATGAAGTGAATTGGTGATAGTGTGTGCACGAATGGCACACAAGCGTGATGTGTTGAGATTATGTCCCCCACAAGCACATAGAAATAAATACTATATAACATTTCACTATCACTGAGCTGTGAAATAATGTAATTGAGAAGAGAATCTAGACACTTGGTTCTACTATATTCTTTAGAATCAATACTGAGGTTCGCAAATATATAAGAAGACTGCGAGGCGCAAGACTCCATGAAGCATTTTAAAAACGTTTTCCCAAGAGCAAATATCTTAGCGTTGTGACTGTTTTGGAGGGTTGCTTTAAAGACTTTAGTAGGCACGTCGCGGGAGAAAAAGACCTCTGAATACTTGTTAGACACATAAATATCTGTTAGCTCTCGAATCGCCGTGGTCAGCTCGAGAGGATTCTTGCACTCGAGATTGGCCACCAAGGATCGAACGTAATCTTGATTTGGATCGCGATCTCTGCCCCGCACTAATCTGCGAGGTGCGCGCGACACACTTCGAGTGCTCAACACAGAAACAGGCCGTTTGTGATGTGACAGTGACTTCGCACGCATTAGTTTTTTAATCTCCAAATCTGATGTTCCGCTATGAGCATGACGGGCATGTAATCCAACTCTTTCGCATCACTGATCATACAGCAATCAACTGAATACGTTAGTTGAGTACGTTAGCTGAGTACAAGCAGATAGTGTGAGCAGGTAGCAAATAAATGGCCCAATTTAATCAGATTTAAGAAGCGTCGCAAACCAATTTATTATCCGCTCGAGTATTCCATTACTGACCACTGGGGGCGTCTTTTTTGTCAACACATAAGGAGGTAGGTCAAGCTCGTGACAAAGTGTTATGTCGTTGTCTAAGTCCTTAACAAGACAGGGGATAAGGCCGATGATGGAGATCTTGCTGAGACAGATTACTCTCGCAGAAACCGCGGCTTGTGCGGAGAGGGCGTCTCTGAAACGGACATGAATAAAATGGTGATTGGCGTAATTGACCCTCATAATGGTCCCAAAGTTCATAAGGGCGTGAAGAGCCAGCGAAAGATTGGATGGAGTAATCCCATAGACAGTTACCCATTCGTCTACAGACGCCAGATCTATGGGTTCTGGGACAGCGAGCTTTCGGTGCTGACCGGGAACATCCATTGTTGCTACCGCTTTGGTTGCTAGAGCGCGGGAGGAAAGGCTGTACGGGTCATTCTGGTAGGAAAATCCCACTGAGTGTGTCTGCATGTTGGATTTTAAAATGGAGGACAAAGAAGACTTTCTGGAATGTTTGGACATGGCAATAGCAGCGCAAGCTCTACCAGCTACCGGGCACTTGGATGCACTAGCCAGTGAAAACGATCTCTTTCTATATCTTAAAGAAGTGTCCACCCCTGCTGACTTGCTCGCAGGAGTCTCCGCTTTCGACCTTTCCGTCCGTACCGATGATTCTCTCCTTGGTGGCGAAGAGTTTCCTCGAGGAACTAGCGCACTAATGTATTTACTACGCGCCAAGAAGGAATTGCTAGCCAGCACACTTCTAAATTGGGCAATGACAGAAGAAGGAGCCGCCGGAAGATGTCTTCTGGGCCTTCAGGACTCTAATGGAATGTCTGCGCTCATGCTAGCAGCGCAAGGAGGGTTCTTGGAGCTAGTGAGAAGCCTTGCTCCTTATGAAGCATGCCTGCAAATGCATTCCGAAGCACACATAAAATGCTCCGGAACTAAACCGTCGAGCTGGGTATCTGGGAAGACGGCTCTGATGCTTGCCGTTGAGGCACGGCACTTTGATGTGGCCTTGTTCTTGTCTACTTACGAATCAGGAATGTTCTTTGTTCTGGAAAGGCATGTCCGAAACACAGATCGTACAAAAACTGTTTTTATCGACCACCTGTTTGCACTAGACATCCTCGAGAGTATTTCTCAAGATTTAGAAAATGATCCTCATGCCAAGAATCTATCTGACGCACTAGATCTCGATCGCTGGATGCGCGCTGCAGTTACTAAGGACATTGCTAGACTTATAGAAATGGCTCCTGGCTTTCTCGGTAAAACGAACGGATTAGGACAGACGGCAATAATGATAGCTTGCTGCAAAGATCAAGTGGACTCCATACGGGCCTTGATACGATACTGCCCTGAACAGTTTCGCACGTTGGAATTGAGCAAGCATGATGTTTTTGATAACAACGCGCTCTGTTATGCGACGCTAATGAAATCTGTGGCTTGTGTCACATTGTTATCTGCATACAACGAAGCTCACTACCAGAACTTTTCACTACATAGGCCTGATGAGCGTAACATTGCTTCTCGGTGGAATGGCAAAGGAGTGATGAGTTGTTTGGAGTATGCACAGAGCATTGGCTTCTGTGACGCATACCCGCTCTTATCAGAGCCTCTTTGCCTTAGTAGACGTTTATAAAGGTCTGTGTTTGCAAATCATTCATTCAAAGGTTCAACTCGTCTGGTGAGTCTTTGTGGATCTAGAATACCTGATATCTCACTGTCATGATCGCTGTGATAATAATGGAGGTTCTACAAAGGTCTCCTTTCCTTTTATAATGTGTAGCAGCACACTTGATTAAATTATAGTGATGGCGTAGACTTGGCTTCCAACAGAACTCTGTTGCTTAATGATGCTATACACTCAGCTTATGGTCCTGTAGTATTTGCTATTACGTTAGTTTATTCTTCTTGTCTGTAAATCTTCATTTCTATACTCTTATCAATTACTTTATAATTTCTTATCCGAGCTTCGTACTACTATGCTAAGCAGTCCTAGTAGAGCTCTTAGATTTTCAGCCTTTAAGAATCTGACCTATGGATTACCAGTATTCACCGTCATTCTCTGCATTGCCGCCATACTCCATTAATAATATCGCTATCTCCATATATCTATATGCTACCATTTCCATTGTACTGCTTTCCGGCACACACAAACCCACCTATCTGACATTTTCTCTCTGCCTCTTGAGAAGAGCCACATCACACGAGGAAGGGCGCCGTTTACTCGAGGAGAGAGGCGATTGCGTCGTGGCCATGCCTCCTTGCGATGTCGAGGGCGGTGGTGCCGGGCGGGAAGCCGAGCCACTCACGGGTGGTCTGCATGCCTTTCTCCTTGTCCATCAGGAGCCTCGCACACTCCAGGTGACCACCCTGCGCTGCATGCATGAGCGCTGTCCATCCGTTGTTAGTCTTCATGCCGTCTTCTTTGTCTACTAGAAGCCTCACGCAGTCCGAGCAACCGTTGTCGGCTGCGTGCATGAGGGCAGTCCACCCACTGTTGGCCCTCATCCCGCCTTCCTTGTCCAGTAGAGCCTCCGCACACTCGCGGCGCCCATACTGTGCTGCATACATTAGGGCGGTCTTCCCATCATCCGTTTTCATGCCACCCTCCCTCTCCAGGAGGAGCTGCACGGACTCCAGTTTGCCGCGCCGTGCTGCGTACATAAGGGCGGTGGTGCCGTTGTTCCTCCGTTTGCCGCCTTCCCTCTTCAGCAGGAACTTCACGCATTCCGGGTGGCCCCCGTACGCCGCCCGCATGAGCGCGGTCTCTCCAAGCTTATTCTGTGTGCTACCTTTCATCTTCAGCAGAACCTTCACGGCTCTCAGGTTTCCATACTCTGCTGCTGACATGATGTCGGTCTCGACGAAGCCGTATTTCAGCAACAAAAAAGACGAGAGACTCAGCCCGCTCCTCCCTTGTTGGTGGTAAAACTCTGCGGCTTCATCGATGCTCCTATCAGAAGCAGACCCCTCGGTGTCCTGAGGGCGACGACTCGCCTCCGAATCCCTGAGCACACCACTCGACATTTTTAACTTCGTCTGCTTGCAGGAAGACACTGCCACGGAAACACACACTTTGCTCTCTGCTTCACTGAAAACGGTTTGTCAACTGCTGTCCGAGCATCTCCGTGAGAGCCGCCGCGCTGGGTGGGCCGCCCGCTCACCGTCCGGGGTCCAAGGTTCAGATCTTGAAGCTCGAACTCGTGCCCTCATACAAGGCCTCCTCCCCTGTGGGTAGGCGGGTCTCACGCTCGTTCACTTCTCCAATCCAGGACTCAGAACTCGAAGCTTGAGCGTCGAATGTCATGATGATTTACTCCACCCACCGGTTGCTTCCAGTGGTGTGCTGCTGGGGCCTGCCTGCAGGTATGGTCCAGAGATCCCACGGGCAAGCCTCGCTCAATTCCCGGCCAGTCTGGAGATGAGGGTTGGCCGCGGGTCGTAACGATAGCCACAACGGTGATAGGAGGAGCTCCCTCCGTTTGTGGATCTGGGGTCTGTGCGTTCCTCGGCTGTTCCGTGGGCGTGCGCACAGCTGGACCTGAGGCGAAGGAGAGCCCGCGAGGACCAGATCTGCACTACGAATGCAAAATCGTACCTCAGGGACACCCAGAGAGCAAGCCGTGAGTCTCTACTCGGGGGACCACTCCAAAGACGTTTACTCTCTCAGCAGGACACACACGCTGGCTCTGTGGCCTACCGTGCGAGAGCGCCAAGCAACCAACCGAGCACCTGAGAGAAGCAAACGATGACAGACACAGAGTGCTGGGCGACGACAAGTTGATCATTCCGGCCCAGTACCGAACCAGACAGAGCTCGCTATGCTCATCCACCAGGGGGCACGCATGATCGCGAGCATCGAACAGGCCGGGACTGGGGTCGCGCTCCCTGCTATCAGGGGCCTGAACGCCCTGGTGGGAAGCCCCAGAGGACTCAAGCAACACAGTAGAGCAGGCCCAGAGTAAGGCAGACCCAGACCCCGAGAAGGCGAGACGCCGGATAGCAAACAGGGTGAACAACGCGCTGAGCTTCGGAGCAGTTGCTAAGGCTCTCCGCGCCCTTGATGAGACACCCGTGCGTCCCCCCGAAGGCTACGTTGGCCTTGACTACCCTCCATCGATGAGCTCGACGGGCTGGAGCGGCAACCGAGGAGGAAATGAGGAAGGCCCTGTTAGGACTCTCAACAAGAAGGCCTCAGGCGTGTCTGGCCTCGGGCCGGTCCAGCTCAAGGCGATGAAGCAGAACGACAGCTTCGTGAAGTACCTCACGCAGGCGTACAACGAGCTGACCACCCACCCCGAGGCGATGTCCGACGTGATGGCCATGTTCGAGTTCCGGGCGATCCTCATCCCGAAAGAGTCCGACGGATACCCCGATCGCGATAGGCGGATGGTCACGAACATCTTCCACCGCGTCCTGCTGAAGGGCTGATCAAGCATGCCAACTACCTCTCATGCGAGCAGATCGCCTTCAAGCAGAACGCGTACGCGGTAGGTGTGAGGAGGGCCCACGAGCTCATCAGCAGGACAGGAGCACGCCGTCTCCCTCGACACAAAGAATGCCTTCAACTCGCTCCCGAAGGCGGAGGTCATCAGAGCCCTGAACGAGGCGGGCATCCTGAAGGTCCTGATCGACTACATCAGGAACTTCCTCGATCTGAGGCACAGCCGGGACGTGAAGTGCGAGGTCTGTGGCGTCCCCCAGGGCAGCCCGCTCAGCACGCTCCTCTTCTGCATGGCCATCGAGCGCCTCCTGAGACGCCTCAGGGAGAGGGGCATCACCTTCCTTGCCTAGCGGACGACATCGTGGCGTTCCACGACGAAGGGTACCCAGCAGGTGTGATAACACAGCTGGCCACAGCAGAGGCTGCCGCCATGGGCCTGACGATCAGGAGCGACAATGCAAGTCCACCATGGCGGGCGAGGAGGTGACCTTCCTCAACCACCCGGCGTCCCCCACTCCTGCAAGCTCCAAAGGTCATCGCAGGTGCTGTGACTGCCCTGAGGAAGATTGAGAACGCCCCCATAACCACCCACCAGAAGCTCATCCTGATGTCACTGCGTGGTCCCGATGGTGAGCTACGCCCCCCTGGTCGAAGTAACATCGGACAAGGCGGACTACGAGGAGCTCAACAGACGCGTCGCACAAGGCTTCAGCACTAACCAACAGAAGCTGCGATCGCCTGGTCGACTTCCTGGCGTACCCGAAGGAGAAGGGCGGCCTGGGCCTGCTCATGCCTGGATCCTACCACGACGAGCTGCGGAGGGTATGGGCCTCCCTGGACGTCAACAAGGGGACCAGAGACCCGGTGGAGCTGCCGGTGAACGGCCAGGCACTGCAGGGGAAGGGGCCTACTTCAACCGCCTCCTCACGCGCACACCAGCTTCCGGACAGAGCGGCGGCGTGCTGACCGAGGAGGAAAGGGCCCTGAAGGAGAAGGGCGGCTCGATCATGGCGCAGACAAGAGGCACCTGCCCGGGCTGCCACACGGCGTGGACCCTCGACCACGAGGCACGACATGATCGTCGCGTGCCTGTGCCTCCGCGTCTCGGGGAAGCTCAACCGGAACTGGAAGTCGAGACCCACAGCCACCTCAGCGACCAGAACCAGAAGCCCGACATCTGGCTTGTCGACAAGTGCAAGGCGATAGATGTGGGTGTCATCCAGCTCCGCCAGATGGATGCCTACTACAACGAGAAGGTCAAGAAGTACAGGGACGGGACGCTCCCGATCATCTACGGGACAGACGGATCCCTCCACCCCAGTCCAAGGGGCACCTCGAGGAGCTCCACGTGGACGTTGAGAAGCTCTCTGTCCGGGCTGCCTTCGCCATCGCCCACATGGCTGCAGAGGCGAACGAGCACCCGACGAAGCTGATCAGACGGGCCGGGCCGAAAGCCTGGTCACCCAGAGCGACCGTCTCCTGTCATCCTACTTCTGACAGCTGAATGAATCCACCCCTGGGACCTGTCGACAACGACCGAGAAGGTGCAAAGACTGGACACACAACCGAGTTGAATCCCAACCAGAAGAGAAAGCCCCGCTAGCTGCTGCTGATCTACATGGACAGTATTGAGAATGACAACAAAGACCAGAGCTTCACTCACCGTGAGGGGAGAGCAAGGAGAGGCACCCTAGTAGACCAGTGAGTCCATGAGATGGCTTGATCTCCAAAAGGACCTATGTGCACACCTAGACCGAGCACACGCCCGTAGAACAGCTGAGGAACGCAATAGCTCCTCCTACTACCACTGTGGTCCTTATATTGATACACGACCAACCCTCGTCTCCGGACTAGTCAGGGACTGAGCAAGAGCTTGCCCGTGGGATCTCTGGACCATACCTGCAGGCAGGCCCCAGCAGCACACCACTGGAAGCAACCGGTGGGTGGAGTAAATCATCATGACATTCGACGCTCAAGCTTCGAGTTCTGAGTCCTGGATTGGAGAAGTGAACGAGCGTGAGACCCGCCTACCCACAGGGGAGGAGGCCTTGTATGAGGGCACGAGTTCGAGCTTCAAGATCTGAACCTTGGACCCCGGACGGTGAGCGGGCGGCCCACCCAGCGCGGCGGCTCTCACGGAGATGCTCGGACAGCAGTTGACAAACCGTTTTCAGTGAAGCAGAGAGCAAAGTGTGTGTTTCCGTGGCAGTGTCTTCCTGCAAGCAGACGAAGTTAAAAATGTCGAGTGGTGTGCTCAGGGATTCGGAGGCGAGTCGTCGCCCTCAGGACACCGAGGGGTCTGCTTCTGATAGGAGCATCGATGAAGCCGCAGAGTTTTACCACCAACAAGGGAGGAGCGGGCTGAGTCTCTCGTCTTTTTTGTTGCTGAAATACGGCTTCGTCGAGACCGACATCATGTCAGCAGCAGAGTATGGAAACCTGAGAGCCGTGAAGGTTCTGCTGAAGATGAAAGGTAGCACACAGAATAAGCTTGGAGAGACCGCGCTCATGCGGGCGGCGTACGGGGGCCACCCGGAATGCGTGAAGTTCCTGCTGAAGAGGGAAGGCGGCAAACGGAGGAACAACGGCACCACCGCCCTTATGTACGCAGCACGGCGCGGCAAACTGGAGTCCGTGCAGCTCCTCCTGGAGAGGGAGGGTGGCATGAAAACGGATGATGGGAAGACCGCCCTAATGTATGCAGCACAGTATGGGCGCCGCGAGTGTGCGGAGGCTCTACTGGACAAGGAAGGCGGGATGAGGGCCAACAGTGGGTGGACTGCCCTCATGCACGCAGCCGACAACGGTTGCTCGGACTGCGTGAGGCTTCTAGTAGACAAAGAAGACGGCATGAAGACTAACAACGGATGGACAGCGCTCATGCATGCAGCGCAGGGTGGTCACCTGGAGTGTGCGAGGCTCCTGATGGACAAGGAGAAAGGCATGCAGACCACCCGTGAGTGGCTCGGCTTCCCGCCCGGCACCACCGCCCTCGACATCGCAAGGAGGCATGGCCACGACGCAATCGCCTCTCTCCTCGAGTAAACGGCGCCCTTCCTCGTGTGATGTGGCTCTTCTCAAGGGCCGGATGGACAAGCTGTGTATGCGTCAGAGAGTGGTGCTGACGGAGAGGGGTGAGCACACCTCATGAAGGAAGGAGGTCACGAGAAGGCCGGGCAGCAACGACGCCCGCGTCTAGCCAGTGGCGGCGTCCTCGCAGGGGGCAAGAGGAGGAGGGCTACGGTCGAGCGGTAACCGATGCGCGCGTATTGGTTAAATATAAAAGTCTCTTAGAGAGCGCACCAGATTTGATAAGCAAAGGTGTCAGAAAAGCTCTACATTCATAACCACTAGCTACCTCCATCTCTAAATACAGTTATAAATGAAGTAAGTCTATTTGTAAAATCTTTGAACCACATCTATAGGCGTGCCCTAACAACACAACACTGGAAACAATCAGGGGGTAAAGTGGATCATGTTGTAGGGGTAAGGCTGTTTCTCTGCGAGTTCATCTTCGCCCTCGTGACATGCAGCTACTACCACCACCTGCCCTGCATCCAGGCGTCCTTCTACGTCGACAGGACTGCCAAGGACAAGAAGATGCGGTACTTCAGAGAACTCATGGCGAACAAGAGCCAGAAGGACTCCTCTCTCTCCTTCCAGACGCTCAACGAGTGCATCAACATGATGCTCCACGGGGTGGTCCTTGGAAACATCATGCACAGATACGACACCGGGACGCTTTTCCTGTGTAGCACCCTCCTCGCGCCGGTGTGCAGCCTCGGCTACCTCTGGGTAAAGTCGTATCACAGCCTGGCCGAGATATACTCTGCGATAACCGTGAAGCTGTTGTCGGACAGCAGCACGTTCTGCAACCCAAGGCACAGCATCCGAGAGCTGACGTTCGAGGACTTCGGGAGGCTGGCGCTCCATGTCGACGAGGAGGCGGTTCGCGGCAGAATTAGGTACGGAGACAACGGGAGGCTGGAGCAGTACCCCTTCATCTATCAAGTAGCGCTGCCGGAGAAGACCATCCAGGCCATCTACGTGGCAAGGACGTGCCAGCTGTGCAGTCAACTGCAGAAGGGAGCAGATGGTTGCACCTCAACCGACAAGACAACGAGTGTCTTCAACATCCAGCTAGCAGAGGCAGAGTTCGACACATATATGCTCAGGGAAGCATACGGTGCATATGCGGCAACCCCCAGTCGGCTCTGCAGAGTTGTAAACAGATGTAAACACAATCGGTAGTTTTTCAAAAGGATATGGACAACAATATATGTGAGCTATGTGTTCAGAAAAATCCTGGAGTGCAGTGGACCATTGGAGGGGTCTCTGTGACCGTGGAGTCTCTTTGTCACGCGGTGCAACAACTGAAAACCCAATCGTCCAACTTCTCCTGGGCAGCTGTTTCTCGAGCACTTGGACTGTCGAAATCAGCGACCTCTGCCTCCTCTATGCTGAAAAAAAAGTATCAGCAATATATTCAGCCGTATGAGTCTCTTTCAGCGCTCGCTGCCCTGCATACCCCAACCAACCCTTCAGTATCTTATCTAGAGCGACGATCTATGAGTGCCAAGCTGTCCGACAAGCTTGCAACTATACCGGACATCCTTTTTACACAGAAGAAAGAGGAGACATTATGTCTGCAAGCTCTACGAAACCTACAGTTCCAAGTCGTGAAGAAGCCTGGCGAACAGGCAGTAGGCAACATGGACTACCCACAGCAGATTGTGGAACTTTACAATGAGTCTCAGCCATTTACAAATAAGTTGCTTGCAGATCTTTTAGAGCGACTTGACGAGGTAGTAAGTCTTACAATTGGCCCTCTGACCTATTTGACAACTGTTCCAGACTTCCGACTCCTTCATCAGTCGTTGCAGAGACTGATTCTTTATGACCTTCCTTCTCATCTCGTTGAGAAAGTCCATGATATGGCCGTTGAGTTCCTCCCAAGGCTCCACACCCTCTCGATACTGGCCACTAGTTGCCATATGATTGCACCCTCTTGTGACGAGGATGGAGCAGGGAGTTTCCAAGGCCCACCATTTCTGACTGAGACGGCAATCTGGTAGTATTTATGTTGCATATTGTTGGGACTCATAATCACAGTTAGCATCTTTTCATTGGTAGATTGGCCTACAGAGGTCTGAAAGCATGGCAGAAAAGCCACACTTCGAAGACTTCAAACTGGTAGTATAAAAAGTTGCATATCCTGCAGTGCACGTCTATAGTTGCTGGTATGTGATACTTATTGGATCTCATCTGTAGTTTTTTCTCGAAAAAATGTCCATCAGGGTGGCATCATCATTCAATTCGAGGACGTTGTCTTTGATACGCGTTGGTGTTTTGTGAAGCAATCCTTACCAAATATTTACGCACGGACATGTACATAGGTGACAAGACTGAAAGTGTGATTACCTATTTGGTGGTCGTGTTTCTCTTAAGCCAGGGGTTTGTGTTCCGTTCTTACTTCCGGCTCAATTTATCTGTAAATCGCACACTGGACAAGGTTTGTGACGGAGTCCGCGGAGATCAGTTGAGGCATTTTCGAAAAAGCTACTTTTGAGGCGTTGGGACTAAACAGACTATCAGCATCGATGAGGATATTGGTCACAGGAACCCCTGGGGTTGGGAAGACGACCCTTGCTAAGCGCTTCTTGGAGCTCCATCCAGATTATAGATATGTCAATGTAAGCGATCTTGTCCACAGCTCTGGACTAATAGAGAGCTACGACGAAGTCTTCAACTCCGTAGTTCCGGATGAGGAGCGGCTTCTGGACACTCTTGAGGTACTCATCCAGAGGAATAAGAACATCCTGGTGGACCACCATTCCTGCGAACGCTTCCCGATTCGCTGGTTTGACATCGTCGTTCTTCTGCGTCTAGGCACTGAGGAACTGTATGATCGACTGGTTTTGCGTGGGTATTCATCGAAAAAGATCCTAGAAAACATCGAGGCCGAGATAATGGGGGTTGCAGAGGACGCAGTCGCAGATTTCGACCAGCGGCGAGTTATAACTTTCACTCACAAGACTGAAGATGATATGCGTCACGTTCTTGCACGCATAGAAGAAAGGCTTCATCAGACTCCCCGGTCTGTTAGACTGAAGGGATCCAAGACAAGGCTCTGTGTGTGCCGACCACAAAGATGCTATGCGTGGACATGGCATGGATCTATCTCCTCTTTCTGCAAGGCCTATCGTAACTCACTCCGTTTCCGGTCCTCAGGAGGGGAAAGGAAAAAATAAATCGACCTTAATGTCTGACTCTCTTATCAATACCCACTATCGAGACTGTCTCGTGATATTTGAAGGTAGGGATATTGTTACATATCGCGCATTCTCTGTAAAACACAACGAGCAGGTCTTTGTCCGACACATAAACTTTACCAGACTGGAGGGAAGATCTGCCAAACCTTTCACTCGACTTATTCATGCAATCGAGAAACTATGCCACCCGAGCATACTTGCCTACAAGATAATTGTCCTATCGGACTCTGAAGCTCTTTTAGAGTTTAACGTCGTTCCCCTACAACTAGCTGTACTTCTTAATAGCCAGGCGCACGCTTGTACCCACATTAGTGAAGCAATTGTTCTTCGAGTTGCAGAAAGCATTGAAAAGGCCATTGACTACCTCTCTTCCAATCTAGCGGAGTTCTCTGAGCTTCCTGTAAGGTTTGGTGCCGCAGATATCATCTCTAATTACAATCTGGAGGGGCCAGTCTTACTGGATCCTCTGTTCCTGTTGGGATTGGAGACTAGATCTATGAGCATAGCGACCGAAGCGCCTTTAACAGATGTCATATCTCTGAAGCATTGCCTTGGCCTTGTTCTTCTTGAGCTATGTACTTTGCAATGCAGTGAGACTTCAGAGTACGTCAGCCGTGCAGCCGTGCTGGCGGAATCGTCTATTTATACACCTGAAACCCTGCAGTGTGTGTTTTCTTATCTTCAATTTGGTCAACCCACATCCATAGTTCCTCCGTCACTATTTACAGAAAAGCATAATTTAGATTCTTCAGAAACTCTTTCAGAACCCGACATGCCCCAGGGAAGGACGACGCTGATGGAGTGTGTCCTGCTGGATTGTCTGCACGAAGTGGCCAAGTATCTGCCCACAGAAAAGAGGCATACAACAGAGGATGGCAGGACTGCCCTAATGTTGGCATCCTCTGCCGGAAAGTTAGAGTTTGTTCGGCTTTTGGCTCCTCATGAGGCACGGATGCAAGATAATGATGGGTATACCGCTCTAATGCTTGCTGTGGAGAACAATCACTTCGAGTGTGTGGAAGCGCTGTTGGAGTTCGAGGCAGGGCTGAGAACAAAGACAGGAAAGAGCGCACTTGATATTGCTCGCACAATGAGGCGACATGAATGTATGTTACTGTTGGAGGACAAAGACTGCGTAAGCAGCCCGTGGGAAAGACTTATGCATGCAGTGCAATGTTCGAAAATTGATACGGTTTTAGACAACATTGACGCTCTAGACTCTGGCATTTTTGAAGAGGCATTACGCAGAGGAAACACCCTCATATTATCGCTGCTATGCCATAAAATAGCGGCTGATGAACTCCCCATCACCCTCTCTTCCCCCCTTCACAAGCGTGTAGACAAACAAACCAGGCTAATGATGAGTGTATGTAATAGGAATGCACACGACCTTATAGGTTACTTGGATACTCTTGGGCATATATACACACAGCAGCTAGAGTTTCATTCTACAGATAGACGGAGTAAATGCCAGATCACAGGGAGCACGGCTCTGATGATCGCGGCATACACAGGTGAAATAGACAATGTTAAGATGCTCCTGATAGAGCGGGGCATCAGAACAAGCACGGGGAGAACAGCACTTATGATCGCAGCACGGTATGGTCATACAGATGTCTGCAAGCTTCTGTTAGAAGAAGCAGGACTCCAGGATCAGGAAGGAAGAACAGCCATGATGCTAGCCGCACAGTACAGAAGACATGAAGTAGTGCAGCTTTTGCTGCCACACGAGGGCGGGCTAGTCACAAGCAACGGAGAAACAGCATTGATGATAGCAGCAAACCAAGGGTTCGTCGAAGTAGTTGAGGCATTAATAGATGTTGAAGCAGGGCTCCAAACTAAGCATGGAATGAGTGCCCTGATGTTTGCAGTGGAAAATGGGCATGCCGATGTCGCACGGCTGTTAGCTGAGAAAGAACATGGGCTGCAAAAGAAGCACGGACTTTGCGCACTAGCTCTTGCTGCGCAATATGGTCGAAAAGATATAGTTTCTTCGCTCATGGACTATGGAAACGAGAAGTGGAACTTTACTCGGCTCATGTACTCAGTAGCAACTCGGAACTATTCGCTGTTCTTCAAGACACAACCACAGGCAGGACAGCGGACAGTGGGGGGCTACACAGCGCTGATGATTGGAGCCGCCATAGGAAATAGTATAGCGGTGAAGTTCCTCATTAAGCAGGAGGCAGGGATGCAGACAGATAGCGGGTGGTCTGCACTCATGTTTGCTGCATACCATGGACACTCAGATATAGTGAGGAAACTTTATCCTCATGAAGCAGAGCTTTTAACTGCAAAAAAGAAGGACGTCTTCTACTGGGCTGCACGCTCCATTGCCCCCAAGCCAAGCGTTAGGTCTCAGGTCTTGTCTGTTCTTGAAGAATGTCGAAAAAACATATTTTAATTTAGAGATGTTTCCTGAGGTAGCCACTCGCCGTATTCGAGCCCCCAAGGATAAGAATAGCTTGGAGAACATAATGTATGTACGTTCTGTTATCTGTAACGCCTTCCCAGCTACATCTAAGAACAGCTCGGATATTAGAGAAAATATAGAGCTCTTTGCGACGTTACTTCATAGGGGAAGCATCTCAGGGCTTGAAAATGTCCAGAGTGCCATTACAAGTGACAACCTTGAATTTCTAAAGGTGGTGTACTGCAAGGCAGACAACTTCTTAGAAATAAAGACACAGGTTGTTATGTCCTATGCCTATCTCCTTCAGAATCTAACGGAGGACATGCTTAGCTTGCTTTTGCAGTCTGAGCCTATGCAGGACGTGCTCACCTCCGCCCTGTCATCGCCAAATCCGGACATCCGCGGCTACGCAACTGCAAGCCTCAAGTTCATAGCCTCGTCAATTACAGTTAAGCAGCTTAATTTACTGAGTGTTGGCGGCGAATATCCATTTTTAGTGAAGATTACCAACTGCTACGCCACAGGTGAGAAGGACCAGCAGATGGCTGTTAAAGGGTTAATACTGGCCTCACTGCAGCACAGCCAGACTCACAGAGGCCAATTGCCAGAGCTCCTAGAGTGGATAAATCGCGTGTTGCTGGGGCCATTTATCTCTTATATGTGCTACGAGCTATTGGTGATGTCTGTCGACTTAGCCAATCTGAGCGACGGACCATACTGCCCACCGCATGACCCAGCGAAAAGATCTCAGATAAAAGAGCTTCATGAGAAGATCTCAGATATTTTAGACTTCTTCCTTGACTTGAGCTCTGTGCGACACGAGGAGCAATGCATGGAGGTGTCGAGGATCATTACTCAGCGCCTTATTGAGCTGGTGATTGGTCCTGTAATCTTAGTATCTCTTCAGCATTGTCGCTTCGAGAAGGTTGCCCAGCACAACATTAGTTGGCCGATATACAGCTTTTCCGTGAGAGGATGTCTCAGCAATAATGATGAAAAAGCAGATACAGACTCTAATCCGCAAGGAGGACAGCTTGGCGCGCCATCTCTACCCTTGCAATCAACAGGATTGGCCCTTAGTTCTAGAAGCATAGACTCTGTAGATACAAGCAAAGGCAGTGTAATGGGTGACAGCATGATATTGGACAGTAGCTATAACGGAGGACAGTCGCTCTCTGTTTCCGTTTCAATGGATGCAAATCAGGCACTCATACAGAAAATGCCACCTGTTCTACCAGTGCACATAGTGCTCATATTATTGGTACACATTATGAGTACCTTTAGGGGCAGCATCATCGGGCAGTACCTGTACAGGATCTTCTTTCTGGACAAAGGGTCTGTGGAACAGTTGCAAGAGCTCATCGTGTGCCCTGTTGTAACAGGGGCTCTAATAACCATCATATCCTCATCAAATAGTCTGACCCAGAACGCTATTCTCTCTGACTCTCCGGACTTGCAGCACCAAAAGATCTGCTACGGGCCAGCGGTTGTTCGTGAGTGGTGTGAGTACTTTAGTCGAACACATGATAGTGCAAAAGACCCTGTGCTGCTGCGCCTTATTTCAAGGGTCATACAAAAGTACACGGGCATATCCCTATCGTGCGGAAATGATATGTTAGATCTTGTGTTGATTAGGTTTTTCTTGGCCCTTCACACGTATTCACAAGAGTGTGGGGGAGATTCTTCCGCTATTTTTGTTAGTATGCAGGGCCCGCGTTTTGTTGCCCAGACTATTGCATCTTCTTGCAAGAAGCACATGCGGAGCGTGACGCTTAAGCAATTGGTAGACCTAACAGATGTATACAAGAGTAAGCTAGATGGTGCGGAGATACATAAGGATGCCTCCAGGCAAGTGGATGTCCTAGAGGCGTTAGCTGTGCAGGAAAGGGAATGCCAGAAACTTCGGTTGACAATCAGTAGCGAGGGACACTCCCCAGAGTGGAAGACCCTTTTTCCAGAGGAGGACAGCTCATCACATCCTAAAAAGCAGATGCAACACCTCGTACGGCTCTACACAACCCTTTCACTATACCAGGATGAAATAATTCCATATGACACACTGGTAACAATCTTCAAGACCATAAAGCAGAACTTCTCACCCGTTGCTTAGTATAAAACTTCCAGCAGAGCAGATGCCAGACCATTTGTGCTCAGCATCCACTCTTGAGGCTTTGGCATTTCTCGTATGTCTATACGGAGATTAAAGGAAATGACTTTACAGGTATTTAGGGGTGCATTAATGGACACAACCAATCTACCACTAAGTACCCCGGAGTAGTCTCTTGATGCAGAATCAAAATTCACGACTTTTATTTCCACGTTTGTGGGGACAGAAATTCCGAAGTCTGGGGGCTCTGCTATCTTTACATTGCTCATGCTACCAATAAATGAGGATCTTGACGAATGGCCTGCCGGCTTGAGCTCCACTGCAAAGTCAACATTCAGCTGTGCCTTGTACGGAGTAGACAGACGGTGTATTACGATGGTGCATATGTCTCTCGCAACTTTCTTCCCCGTACTCTGGCACCTTATAGAGTCATCAGAGATTGGAGGCTCATACCTGTTATCTGAGCACACTGGCTCGCGAATCTTTGAAGCTAGTGTCACCGGAAGCGACATCTGTGTGTATGCCTTGACATCAGAGCCCTTTGATAGAAGGGGAAGCTCCTTGGTAATCTCCAGTAGAGGCGCATCCATGCTGTCAACAAAAAGCCCATCGCCTCGGTCGTATTCGGGTGCAGCAACACTAAATTCATTGACAGAATCACGCGAAGCATTAGGGTTGTCTGCAGACAACTGAAGAGATTGTGAAAGCGGCTTACGATCGCTATTAAGTCTTCTTTCTGTGCATGCAAGCTCTCTAGAGACTTGTTCTCGCAGTACTTTTGAATATCTTTTATAATGCACGCTCTCAGACCTTCTGCTGGGCTTGTCTTTCTCGACGGTAAGAGGCTTTATCGATGCTGTGCCTCTGCTTAGTGACGCCTTGCTTGGAATAATCAGATCTTCTACAGATGGCCGGGTCTCGTATTCCTTTTGGAGCGTGGCCTGGATGTCCCTCGCTGACTCAATCGGGGAGGACACCATGGCTCGTTTGAGCGCCCGAGTACTAATTGTGCTTGCAGCTATTGCACCATAATCTATAGAACTCCGTACCTGCTTCACTAGTTCGTCCATGTCGGTGCTAGAAGACTTCGAACGATGATTGACGGGTTGTCTGGCAAGGGTCTCCACACACAGATGGGAAGACGGTGCGTCTACAGCTAGTGAAGGGCCTCGACTAGATGTGCTCCTACGTTTGTGTGGAGACATTGAACGGCTCCTCCTGCGTTTTTGGCATGTGTGTAAATCTTGTCTTTCTGTATGCAAAAGCTGTGCTGCGTGGTCAGAACTAGAATGGAAGTTAGGCGTGCAGCTCGTGGGCTCCAATCGATCTATCTCCTTCTTCATTATTTCTAGAGCAAGACCTGGTCTAAGCCGACTATTAAAGTCATAGGTCATAAGACCCGTAACGATTCTTTTTATAACAGATCTTCTAAAGCCATTCAATCTAAGCGCCCCAGGAAAACTTATTTGATTGGAACAATCTAAGTATGGAACGATCCCTTCAAATGACGAGATGAGCTTTTCTTCTGCCTCTTTTTGCAGTGGCAGAGAACCAAGTTGACGAGGAGGACCGAGAGCATGGAAAAGAAGTGTTATTAGCTCAACCCGATAGTCACTGTATGAACTGGTGAAATGGGACTCTATGAACTTTGTGCCAAGAACAACGTAAAGCAGTGAGGCGCCAACCATCCAAGCATCAGTGCTTGGCTGCAGACAGTTTATTGTGCTTTTATAGATAAGAAAGCACTCTGGTGGTATGCAGACATCATAACTGTGGACAGAAGAGTCAATCATAGTAGTTCTTTCTACATCAATCAGATAGGCAGCAAAGGGCATTGGGGGCCCCAGCCGTACGGACAGTTGGGCGGGACTAAGGTAAATATTACTTGGACAAATTGCCCCGTGGGTATACCTCAAGCGACTAAATGTGTCCAGTAAATCTAGCAGCTGAAGCGCTAAGGGTTCAAATAAACCACAGTCTAGTTGCATCTTATCACGCAGTATGCCATACAATGACATATATGGGCGGACGTCGGCTGCGTCATCTCGAGGAATGACCAGCAAGTAATAGCGGATATCACCAGCAGAGCTCTTTAACTGATAGAATGCAGAAACATGCAAGTAGCTAGTGCTTACGAGAACCGTCAATTGAGTGGCGAGCTGCTTAGGCACTTGTTTGGCGGGCAAACAGATGCCGTATGATTCTATGCCTGTCTCACGTGAAATACCAGATATGACTGCATGGCTTAGCACCACTGGGTTTCTGAAGAACGATAGCGCAGCACTCGGCGGCGTTGGAAGCATGCCTGAACGTAAGTGGCGTCGGAGAACAATTTAAAATTTGCTATCCCGGGTGACAGCCTCCAGACCTAAGCACTTTGGTGCAGGTTTCGTCTTGGGCACCTCACTATAAAGCTACGAGCACCTGGCATAGTATTGTTGGTATAGTATTAGTCTTGTTCTATAACTCTTTCATGAGAGTCAGAATAGATGAATGATTGGTTGGACAAGAGTTTTTCCATAGGCTTTAGGAGGCTTAGTACAACCTCTGACATTTTACCAGTTGCTACCAATAAACCGTCAGTTTAAATTGCTCCACACCGTCGTTCTTTTCTTTATCAACAAGTAAATGCTTGTCTGGTGTCATGTTTTAGTGCCTGAAAAGCATTCTTTGCTAACAAGATTGTTTAACTAATAGGCCACTTGTTGCGAACTGGCATCTGCTGCGTGAGTGTGGAAAGACTGTTTAAAAAACGCCGTTAGCTATTCAGCGCGGCATACAATGGAAAATGCGGGCAGTGTCATGGAAAAGTGTCCCATCTGTCGCGCTGATGTTCCGTCTGTGGGTGACACACTCTCCGATCCTATCACAGATCACTTCAGATCAGGATTGTGCACCCCGGAGAAATATGAGTTTGATGTCCTCGACCTTTCTGCATTCCACCCTACTAATATCTTTGTGCTCCTAGACACTCTTGGAAAAATTCCAAATCTGCGCCACCTCTGGCTCAAGCTCCCGTGCCCCGTTTCCCAGCGACCAGCAGCTACCGTCTACGAGAGGTTTACATCTATGCTTTATCAAGAGATTAGTGTGAGAAAGCATGTTTCAGACAGTAACTTCCTATCCTGGCTTGGGTTCTCCTCAGCTGTTCGACAGCGTGGAGAGGCAGAACCTAAAGATACTTTGCGTTCATCTTCTGTGCAAGTGCACGCGTTATCCACAAAGCCACAGCATTATTCACAGCCTATAGATACTAAACATCCCGTTGAAGCACCCGTTTCTTCAACCTCCATTGAGAGTGAGCGGCAGAAGGCTGGTGACGTCTATGAAGTACTTCTCAAGAGCACTAGCCACGTTTGTATACGTTGTGCTATACTTCAAGTGCCCTTCGAGGAAATCACTGAAACCTCACGCTTGCTCATATCATTTACTAAAGTGAAAGACCTTACAGACTCGACTCACGAAATAGACCTGTTGAACATCCTGCGTCAAGGAGGTATCTTTCTTTCTGAACGAATGCTTCTTGAACATCTACACCATACAGACACTACCACGTTTCCTGCAAGAACTACCAATCCTACACGCATAAGAGCTGAGCAGGGCCTTGAGGAAGCTCAGCTAAGGCAATATAAAAGCACTGAGAGACAGCAATCTGCATCCTTGTCCGGTTGCAGCTATGAGCATATGGCTGACCATTCATCGAGCATCAACTATTACAGTGAAAAGAGAGTTTCTCCGGGCACCGGTTTTCATCGATTTGCATACACTGCGTCTGGAGATGCCCACACATCAGATGTCCTGATTAGTGATCGGGGCCATCTCACGATACAGAGTGCAGATTTCGAAGGTTCTTCGTCGCTTGCACCAGCATTCGAGTTATCATACAATACTGCAGGCGAGTCCCCTGCAGGCAATACAAACGATATGGACTTAAACCATCTTATATCTGCTAAAGCCCTTTTACATAATCAAGACAGTCCTCAGGTGGATTGCTTGTCTTTTCCAGAGGATAAGAAATCTTCTCTGGCACAAAAAAGTGAAGTCCAGGCCTCCCCTTCTTTAGAGCAATCCGAACAAGAACAAAAGGGCCAGGGATCTGATATCCAGGGCACCGGAGAGCTTCGTCAATCTAAGTCGTTCTTTAGTTACGTTCTCAAGAGTATCATACGCCAATTCAAGGGAGAGGACAGCGCTACAAAACTCTCAATAATGAGCGGTCTACTGGACTCCATCAGATACGATCTTCCGACCATTGTTGTTAGGCGCCTTATGTCAATTGGTACACGACCCGATTACCTTCCCCTTCTTTCTGCTTTGCTCCCCTCCCTCAAGACGATTGATGGCGTCTCCATTGCACCTACAAAGCAGCGCGAATACGTGAAGGAGATACAGAGTCGTTACTCTTTTCCTCACTATCTCATACTGGAAAGGCTAGAAGATAAGGCGTCCATCTCGAAGAAGAAGAAAACAGACCGAGCTGCGAAGAGTGCATCATCCATCGATTCCCGAGGCACTTTTCCGATAATGAGGAACAGACCCTCCTTATACTTTCAAGAGCTGGAGGGTCAGTACCATAGCTGGCGATTTACACCCACCATTATGCCTTTAGACCTTCCTGCGCGTACAGCGAAGAAACTCTGTGCACGCCACATCTCTAGGATCATTGAGCCTAGAAGCTACAGTATTTTTAATGTGTCCTCTCTTGGTTCCCCATTTCGTCTTTCAACAACACCACCAGAATTGCCGACGGAGTCCACCTTTTCCTTGATGTCTAGGTTCGGTCGCCCAAGCGTACTCCGTGCTTCCCCTTACAATTCTGATATTGCGATCGGTACTGATCAAGGAGATGTGTTTGTTATTGATGGATCGGCGCCTCTTGTTGAGTCTATGCATCGCTATGTTACAATCACGGACTCGTCTAGGCGTGACTACGTGGTGGACATTCCCTTCATGCGCCGCAGGAAGACAGAGGGGCACAGCCAAGACTCCATTGTGGCTCTCACGTGGCTGAGTTCCTCTGCAAACGTTATTGTTGCAGCCACCTCCTATGGTGAGCTGCTTTTTGGACACATGCTCTATGACTACTCACACAGTGCTGCGCATAAGCAGCGACTGAAAAGCCATAGCATCGACGTTGGTCGTACCATTTTAGACTTTGCCCTTAGATCATCCTTCAGCGAGGTTTATTCCGTCGCTCAAGACGCTCTGCGCGTGGTCAACTACGATTTATGCACACTAGTTAATGATATTCCCATAACCAACCTCCTACCGGTGTCTGCAAACGAGCTGGCCCCACGGGCTCCACAGTTTACCAAATGCAGCTACTCTCTGTCATCCTCTCTACTAGGACTGGGTACGCTGTCAGGGCAGATCTTACTTTATGATGTGCGCACACTGTCCTCCAGCTCCAAGCCTGTTCTTACATTGGACAAGTTTTCTGGGCTACCTGTCGAGAGCATCACATTCGGCCTGGATGGACACGTTATTCTTTCTGCTGCACTTGATGGACGAGTGCTACACTACGATGTTCGCAGCGACCACGCTAATCCAGCGGCATCTGTTTACAATTTTTCTTCAATCCGCAGTGCATATAATCACACAAAGGCTGCCTTTATAAACACGTCTAAGAAATTCCTTGTTTCGCAGCACGATACGGGTGTGCTAAAGGTGTTTGACTATCCATCTGGAAAGCAATTCTATGAGATCTATATGAACCCTCTCTTGAAGTGGAACAATACCAACATAATAGACTTTGATGAGCTTCCCATGGCACCTTTCACGTATGCGTGTGTTACTAGGACGAATACGGTGTCCGATGTGGGCGTCATCTCTTTAATAAATAGTTCTAAAGGGTTTATCACCGCACCAGGCGACATAGAGCCAGAATCCGGGTTGTAAACAGTGTGCAGCTTGTGGTTTGCCTTTATCTTCGCACGGCTGTAAGCTTAAGTTACTCACTGAGAGGGTCTGCGATGATTACTCTGCACTCGGTCGAAAATTTTCTGCCCATTCTGTTCACAAAGAAACAGCCGAGAGCTCAGACCCGCATGGTTTGCCTCCAGGATTCGCCGCACAGCGTCAACGTTCATAAAATCGCCATATCCTAAGCATATAGATTCTAGTAAATGCTCATCTATTTTAAAGTTATTGGGCGTTGAGCTCGGCGCAAAAAGATACCTTGGCTTGGCAAAAACGGGCACAGACGGTTCAGAGTAGTACAGTGACCTGCTGTAGTCTTGGGGATATATGCGATCCAGCGCATCGATCGTGATGTTATCTCCAAGAGACCCCATATACTTCTTTGACCCATCCGGTACTGTACTTGTCTGTAAGATGTCATAAATGGCCGAAACCACTCTAGATCCGCCCATCCTTGCGGGACCGCTTTCTTCAGTCGAGCCTCCATGCACACCCATCTGCTTGCTGTCCACGACATCATCTGCCAGTGAAACGGCGAGGATGTTGAATGATGAGATTGCTGTGGCTGATGCGGCTGCACCTGACGTTGTTATCGTGCGGCCCCGGAGCGAGGCATAGTACGGCGATGTGCTTGACCCTTTGATAAATTCTCCCGAAGCATTACCGAGAGTGCTAAGAAACGAGGCTCCAACAGTAGTGAGAAGCTTCTCCATGGGATCTGCTTTAGGAAAGGAGATACGGTATGCGACCCATATCGCCGGGAACATGGGTCTTAACGAGCAGTGTCCAATGAGCCCGGCAAAGACCCGATAGCTATCTGCTCCTGTGTCTTCGTCGTCCATGTTCCCTGCTATGCTGGTCATGTCGGTGAGGGAGCGCTCTCCGAGCTGGCTGGTAGTGGTCGAAAGCTGTACTGACGGAGCGTCGTCCTGCTGGTCATCAGAGCCCAGCAACTTGTCATAGAGAGAGGTCAAGTTGACTATGCTTGTAAAGATAACGGTACTGGGTTGTATGTTGGAGGACTCCTCAGCTGTCAGCACGTCGCTCTTTTCTGTGTTATGCTGGTCACATGTTTCTATGACCTTATCTATAACAGATCCGTCGTTTGCAAGCAAGGATATATTTATGTTATAGAAATTATTAGCTGAGTTCCACGTTTGAAGTTGAAATGGGGCACAATTTCCTCCGACCTTCTTGTAACACTCATAAAACACTTTGCACATTATCAATTGGCTCGGAGGGCCCAACGCAGTAGTGAGTAACTTCATTTCGGTTGAGGTCACCGAAAGATCCTGTGTTAGCGATGATAGTAACTCCGGCTTAGATGTGATTAAACGGTGGAGCCTGAATCTCTCTGCTGCGTAGGAAATAACATATTGGTTGAGGCACAGGTAAGAGCGCATGTAGCTCGTTGTTATCTTGTCCTTCTTCTGGTTGTAGCTTTGCGTCTCTAGTCCTCCAGAAACATATACTATGACCTCCGACCCCGTCGGCCGCGAGTTCAGAAGAGATCCGAACGTTACGCCCTTATCTATGCCTGATGGTGGTTTGTGGTTTTGAGACTTTCTGTTGCTTAAGAAGAAGTTCTTTATGGCCTCCTCCGTGCTTGCTATATTTTGGTACTTATATGGGTAGACGACACGTGCAGCTATCTGACAAAGATACTTGCCAAGAATAACCGAGAACTCCTCTGTGATAACATCTGTTGGTGGGTATGTGTTCATGAGGCTCTTAGCAAGATCTGCACGCAGAATATAGGCCTTTGTAGAGGAGCTGTGAAGTGGCTGGAACACAGAAGGAAGGTAAGAGCAATATATATTTATAGAAATGAAGCTGCAGCCAGGAAGACTGGCGCCCTGCGGAGGAGTGGCAAGATAAATCGGCCATTTAGAATTCATTTGGCAAGCGGTGACATCCGTGTAAACATAATGTATTGGGAGGAACTCTTTAGATATCTTCTCTTTGGATTCTTGCAACTTAGCAGACCAGAAGCGCTTGTCTGGAGGGCCCATGTTCAAAGACTCCAGTTGGCTAGAGGAGCGATGTAGGCGTGTCGATTTCTGAAGAACGCCATAGGTGGGGAACTGTGCGTATAGAGTATATTTGGACTTCTGTATCTTATTTTGCCGATAGCACAACCAGTCAGGTTGAGTGCCAGCTGGGATAGAGGCGGCGTCAGAGTTGTACTCAGGTAGTTCATTTCCTACGGGGATATTGCTGTGGAAGACCTCCATGCAAAACGCCCGTGTCTCATCAAGGACTGTAATGGGCAAACGGGAAATTATACCTATCCCTAGATCCGGCCGGTGCTCCAGAAGAACATCCAAGTCTATCGTTACGGAAAACCCAGTCTCATCAAAGGAAAGGGCAAAGTTTCCAAAGGTACATGCGTCTGTGGTGATCGAGTACGCAGTCGTTTGGGCATGAGATGCACAGAAAACCCGGGACTCTGTAAGCCGCGCGCTCGTTCCCTGCGGTATGCATCTTCCGCAGTAGCTGCAAAATGTGTCAGCTGGGACCGATTGCTGGTTGCAAAAGAACGGAAGTGAAAACATAGCCAATGTTTTCCTTCAACTTTTTCTAAACGCGTCACTCCCCTCTGGACTTGGACCAGTCCAGATAATGCAGTCGGCACAATCAGCTCAATTTACAAATAGGCACCTGAGATGCAACGAGTAGACAACGCGGTTAGAGAGTGCTGTCACCGTGAGCGTTTGTGCGTTCGTGACCGTTCCTCAGAGGGAGCCCTTGATGACCGCCTGGAAGATGTCTGGCTTCTGGATATTAGATCGCGCGTAGTTTTCAAGTGTATATGCCTGGCCTTGGCGCCATCTATCTGCAGTGCAGCTGATAAACACTGATCAAGTAGCCTCCTCTCGTCGGGAGAGGGCTCCTTATGAAGCCAAAGCTCGTATGAGATTCTCGTTCGCCGCACCTTGAAAAGCAGCCCGTTGACAAGGTCGGTAAACTCAGGCAAAGAGCAGCCAACAAAGAGGCTCAGAAGCGCCAAGGCCCGGCCCTCCAGATCTGCCTTGACCTGTGCCCAGTGCAGAGGATTGCTTTTGATCAGCTGCTCGTCTTCTTCGTGACTGTACGAATAGACCGCCCCGTTAGAGTTGTCTTCACTCTCCCAGGTGACGCTCTTCCCCTCCTTGAACCAGTAGTAAGTGAACCCATCGTTGGCATCCAAAAACGACGGGATGTTATCGACGACACGCCAGAGCTCCTCGATAGTCTTGATTGGCGTGGTGGTGATCTGCGTGACTAAGTTTCGGAACGAGTCTTCTGTGACCTCGCGGCTCCCAAAGGTTCCTGTGAAATAGAGGTGGACCCCGAACGGGAGCGAGTAGTCGGTCATTCTGGCCAAGAAATAAATGCATTATTGAAGCCCTTTCAAAAAAACAAATATATAATTTCAGATACTTTTAGATGTCCGGGCCAAGTCGTCAAGCTCAACAACTGCAACCAGCAGCTTAGGATGTGCGTGACGAAAAGAGGGGCTTCAAGACAGGCATACTTCGCAGCTGAGTCTCTATAACAGGGGTTCTGCCCTGAAGGCGATCAAATTCGAGCTTATTAAATATTTTAATTGCAAAACTTAATAAAAATGTTCTAAATATTATAAAGAGCCTCAAAAAATGTTCACCGATAGTCCATCTAGCCCAGAATCTGCCTTTTGTAGCACATCGATCTATTCAGACGACTCTACAGCCAGGGAGACCCCAGCCACGGGGTCCTTCAGTCACACTTCTTTCTCTTCTTCGTGTAGTCAAAATCTTAACATGCACATCGGTGTACGTGATTCTGGTTTCAATTCTTCAATCTTTCCCCCAGTAATATCACATCAATCCTACGGTCTTCCCCCTCCCGGTCTTTCACTAGTCAGCGCCTCTGCATGCACAAAACCCGGTTTCCAGTCCACCGCACAAGTCCACTATCAACCCCAACCAGTCTTACACTATCCCTCCATCAACGAGTCCACGCCTCCCATAGTCCCCTTGTCCATAAACACGCAGTTAGAACCAATTCCTCAATATGGTATTTCTAGTTTTGTTCCCGTCGATCAATATGCTCAACAATCTATTGCACCATCGTCCTATTATTGCCCCGTCAGCCCGCCTTGCCAAACTGTTCCGGTTCCCTACCCTACAGCCACAACGCCATATTCTTCTCCCCAGCTGAGCGACTCTCAATCACAATCACAGAAACCTGGTATTCCCTCTCCGAGCTTTTTGGCAGCCAACATTGTAAGCATGTATACGACTAAGCAAGGAAGCAAGAATCTCCAATCACTTCTTTCGGCTCATGGAAAGGCTGCGGTCCAGGCTATCCTTCCTCACCTTCATCCGCACTTGATTCCCTGCATGTTTCACATCTACGGCAACCACATTCTCCAGGCCATGATCAACCAAGCAAGGCAGCAGGTCGGTCCCATCCTTTACAATCTGCTAGGGGATCCACGAATTCTGGTTCAGGCCTGTATCAACACGTATGCATCCTGGGTGGTGAGGACCCTTTTTAAAGAAGGCCAGATAGATCCGGCGGTCCTCAGCCAGGTGATTGAGAACTTTGCAACAATATGCAATAATACCTGTGGTAACTACGTGATCCAGCACCTCTTGGAAAACAAGAAGTGCCCAAAGTCTATCATACAACAACTCATCAATGATGCTCCCGAGTTGGTCTTCGGTAAGTACTCCTCTCATCTCTTAGAAAAGCTAATCAAGGAAAACGTTCTGCCCAAAAATTTCCTCTTGCCATTTATCAGCAAGGTAGCTCTCACGCGCTATTTGCCAACGATCCTGGAGTCCAAATACGGCTCCTATGTTATTGAAAAAGCCATCTTGAAGGTGGTGCAGATTCATGGAATGATTGACACCGTGACAACCATTCTTCGAATTTGCAAATATTACATCCAAAAGAGCTCCAAGCACTACAAGAACATCCTCGACGGCTCAACTGTTATAGTTTGCGAGACAGCTGGCTGCGTGGGAAATTGTGCACTGTGTTCTTTTTTCCAGACATCCCGCCAAGCATTTGATATGGATAAGATCAAGACAATGCTCGAGTCCATCGAGTCCGTCAATCGCTCGTTTATTGAGAATGTTCCCCAGTATGAGGAGCTACAGCCTCTGGCACTTCCCTTTTTCTGTTAGACGTAGGTATAGATAATGAGTTAATAAATTTTTTCTTAAGGCTTTCGCAGGCTTCCCTGCGGGGGTATTAACGTTCGCACCGGGTCAGGGATTCCCAACTACATGCAATTTTAATTAAAAAGTCACCAAATCTACCCTTTCATTTACAATTCTAAGGGGTTTGTCTGAAACCTCAAAGACAGTTCCTTTGAACATTAAATGAAATGCGTTTTTGTCCCCCAGAGGCTCTGTTCCTCGTAGGGACTTTAGTGCGGACGCGACCCCGCGGGTCAGATGTGCCCCAGAAGGGCCGCATAGCGCAGATAAAAATCGTGGGTGGCCCAGAGGGCTCCAAAAACCAACTCTTTAATGTGAGGTTTTTTTGTGTCGCAGGGTCCGCCGAGGCACGAGAAGCCAAACAGACCTCATGGTATCGCTACGATGAGCTCGAGTATCTAAACCCACCCACTGCCAGCAAAACGCCCCTATCCTTCGAGCAACGGACAATTGGAGAGGTCTGTATGGGGAACGTGCGCATGGTCACATGGTACTACTCTCCGTTCCCTCCTCCCTATACACACTTACCAGAGATCTTTATCTGCCCGTTCTGCATGCGTTACATCCGAAAGAAAAAGACCTACACAGCTCACATTCAGAACTGTGACATGAGGCGCCCTCCGGGCTTGAGAATATACGACGACGGCCTCCTCGCAGTCTACGAGGTTGATGGACGGCTCAACAAGCTGTTCTGTCAGTGTCTATGTCTGTTTACGAAACTTTTTTTGGATAGCAAAACTCTCTTTTATGACACAGATATTTTCCTCTTTTATGTTATGACCGTACGCACCGACGTTCTTGACGAAGAAATGAATGCTTCTCTTCGGCGTCGTGGAGGCCCAGCTGTTGAGCCAGTTTGCAATCTTCGCTATCCCACAGGGGAAACAATAGTCGGGTACTTCAGCAAAGAGAAGTGTGAAAACAATATTCTAGCGTGTATTCTGACCTTTCCCTGCTTTCATAGAATGGGCATAGGCTCTCTACTGATTGATTTTGCATATCTCCTTGGACAGATGGAGAATCGGCAAGCTGGCCCAGAGGAGCCTCTTTCAAAGCTTGGGCTATTGGGCTTTACAGCATACTGGTCGAACAAAGTCCTTGAGTATCTTCTTCAATACACTTTTGGGATTAACTTGGAAGAGCTCCTTCAAGTAAGAAGAAATGGCTCGATGGCCACACTTAGTTCAGAGAGCGTGCCAGTCTCACTTGACGCCCAGAGCGAATCTTCAATGCACACACTTGGGACAGAGAAGGAGCTAACCTTCTCCCCCGTGCCTTCCAGTCGCGGAGCTTTTGAAGATGCAAAGCTTCCAAAGAAGTCTGAGCACGTTGATCTTGTTTACATTTGTGAGCAGACTGGCCTACTTAAAAAGCACGCCATGGCTGGGCTACAAGAGTTACCTTATATCCGGTTTCGCAACACAGATTCATTCGACATCACCCATACCAATATGGAGAAGTTGCTACAGCATTACTTGAAGAAAGAGTCCAAGAAAGTAGGACGCCTGCTTTGTCACAGGCTTCGTCAAGAAAGTTTACACTGGGAGGCCTATACAACGATGTACAGGCGCAGAGACAGAATAGTATGAAGAGTGTGCGGATAGTCCCTCTGTCCTAGAAGCCTTAATAGGCCCTTTACTTTTGAGCACTAGGTTTATATGCTAAGTTAACGGGGATAATGGGGCTATCTACTCTTCCTGTCCTGTTAGAGTCCACAGATGCATCAGACCTCCGCTGTCTGGAACGGCTGCTTGCCCTGCTGCCTTGGCGACTAGACACCCTAGTACGGGACTCGCTTTGGGAGTCGCCGTTTACGCTTGCTGTACCGTAAGTTGTGCATGAGTTGTCTTTATTGAGCCCACCAACTACTATGTCATCTCTTTTGGCTCCCATTTCGAAGAGTTTGTTCTCCAATTGTACTATGATATTCTTCATTTCTCGCTCTTTTACTTTCATCCTTTCTACCACGTTGAATGCTCTTCTGTACAAGTCCTTGTACTTCTTGGCCTGTGACCTATAGTGATCAAACCTTTCCCGGGTGAACATGGTCTCTCTATCTGTCTCGGTCTCCTCATCGGCATTTCGAAGCATGCCCATCATCGCTTCTTCATGGTCCCTTATCATCTTAGCTCGGTCATCCTTCATTCTCTGGATCTCCTTAAGTAGGCGTTTCTTCTCTTGGCGCAACGAATCCCGTTCATCCACTGCATAGCTTAATTGTTTCATCTTGTTCTCCAATTCCTTGAACTCCTGCCTCTGTTCTGCTTTATAGGCCTTTCGTGAAGCCTCTGCAGCCTCGCGCTCAGTCTGCAGGGCGGCCTCAAGCTCTCTGATCTTCTGTCGATAAGATGACAATAGGGCGTCGTCCTTGTGTGCATTACTTAATAAGGTGTCGAGGTCAGAGACGCGGGAGTTTAGTTGCTTTATAGTAGCCTTGAATTTATCCGTATCCATGTCATGCTTCTTCTTTATTCCTGCCAGCTCGTTGTTTGCAGCCTCCAAAAACTTGGTCTTTGTCGTTATATGACCTTTCAGTGACTCTACTTCAGACTGGTATTTGCTTAGCTCTTTTTCATAGTTCTTTATGCTCTCTTGTAAAGATACTATTATCTTATCTTTCTCAGAATCCCCTGTGCGTACAGATGTGAGCCGTGCTTTCTGCATGGTGATTTCGGTAATTTGCTGCCGGTTTTCTAGCTCTAAATCACTAACGCGTGCCTTATAATCCGCAAGTTGCTCTGCAAGATCCTCTGATGTAGCTAGGGCGGCCTTCAGGCGTGCCTCAGCTTCAGTGAAATCAGCTGCAAGCGACTTCTTCTCTATCTCGAGTTTGCTAGCCTTTCCAAGTAGTTCGTCAACCACAGAGTCCTTTTCTCTGAGCCTCCGTTCGTACTCTGAAAGCATCTGTGTGTGTTGCTCAATCTCTTCACTGCGCATTGTCCGCGCAGCGCGAGAGTTTTCGTCCAGAAGCGCTTGCAATCTGTCCTTTTCCTGGGTGAGATATGCATTCCTTGAAGACAGTTCATCACATTCCATTTCTTTTGCACGAATCTCTGTGATAAGCTTATACTGCTCTCCTCTAGCGTCTTCGTACATCTTTTGCATATTAACAAGTTCATCTAGAAGGCCTTGATTCTGAGGCCTGGAAGATGGTGCTCGAACCACAGCCTCTAATTCTGCTCGTTGTTCTGCATAGCGGGCCATTTGTTCCTTGAGAACCCGATTCAGGTCTGCGTCGCGCTGATCAATCTCTGCATTAAGCTCCGCAATTTTTGCTTCGTACGCCTTCTTGAGTGCGTCAACGTGCTTATCCGTCTGAAACCCTCCTGTAATGTGGTTTGACAGCTCCTCCTCTAGCTCGATCACTCTTCGTTCTAGCTGGCCTATCTTCACTTGGTTCCAGTTCAGTTCTTGCTGTGCCTTGTCAAGATTGATTGTCTTTTCCTCTAGTGCATTCATCATGTCACGAGTGTGTGTCCGCGAGGTTTCACCCTTCTGCTGTGCTTCTAGCAAGCGTGTAGCAAGCGCATTGTTCTCTATCTTCAAATCTTCCATCGTCTTTTCCTCACGCCTTCTGAGCGCATCTGCCTGTGTCTGTGCTTCCTCCATCTCTGCTCGAAGTGCTAAGAGATTCTTTTCTGCACTTTCAGCTTTCCGTTGCAGCTCACCTTTCAGAGTTTTATGCTCTGCCAAGTCCTCGGTGAGCTTGGTAATCTTCTCTTTGAGGCCGTTAAGTTCACCAAACTTAGCAATCATATCTGTCTTCAGGACCATGAGATTGTCTATGAACTCATCCTCTGACATAATAACATCTTGAACCCCAGAATCTATCATACTGGTGGCGAGCTCGCTTCCCTGAATGCTATCGAGTCGCAAGGATCTCTCCACACTCAATTCTGCTTTTTCACCGTTCAAATTAAGGATATTCATCACTTTGTGGATTATTCTTCTCTTTCCCCGCTCTCTGATCTCCCTTTTTGCATCTCTGAACTCTCCTACAGTGATAATTACACTCTGGTCCGCCATAATATCCGTCTGTACAGGTGCATCGTAGATTTCCTTGTTCAGAAGCTGCTCCAGAGACGCTGCAGCTGCTTCCAGGTCGCTCTCGCGGTTCTGAAACTCCACTCCAAGTGTCTCAATATCTTGCGTCAGAGTTTTAATTTGACCCAAAAGTGCTTCCTTTTCTGTTTTTAGTAAAGCTATGGACTCTTCTTTAAGTTTATCTTGCTGTTCCATCTGATGGTAATCAGTGCTGAGCTTTGTCACGTGTTCAGCAAGCTTCTGGTTATCCTCTTCTAAGGTTCGGATGTGACCTTCAAGGGTTGAGGAGCTTTGGTCAAAGTGTCTACTTTTGGCCAAGTGTTGGGCTCGCACCTGCTCAAGCTCATCTCTGGCTTGATAAAGATATTGATTGAGGTCATCACGTTCTTTCTGAAGGCGTAGTGCGCGTTCCTTTTCTTGGTCCAAGGCCTGCTGAAGCATGTCTGCGCTCATTCGCGTCGAGTCAAGTGTGTTTCTTAGCTCATTGGCGATCTTTTCAAGTCTATGTCTCTCCAGAAGATAATCATCCCGGCTGATCATGTTCGTTTGAGAAGCTGCCAGTGTGCTTCGCTGAGCAGCCGTTTCATTAATTAATTTGCGCACTTGCAAAGAAAGTTCTCGGTTATCTCTTTGGAGGGCTTCATGCTCTACTTTAAGAATGGCTAGTTCATCCAGCTTTTGCTGAACATTTGTGTTAGACGATTCAGTTAATAGGTGACCCGAGCGGTCAAGCCTAGCAGTTGCCGCACGTGGCGTGGCTGCAAGCGAAACAAGCCTGGACGTGCCTTGACTTGTGGTGACCTCGCGTGCAGACGCAAACCTGCTGATTTCTGCGCGTATTAGCTCGCATTCGCGGGTCATTTGGCCGAGTTCTTCTTGAGTGAAAGAGGGGAGCTCACTGGGGCGTAGAGATGGGTAGATGTAATCGATGTCTATGTCTATGTGCACATTCTTCTCGCGTACCTGGTTGTAGAGCTCCAGAAACCCCTTTTTCGCTAACGTTAACTGCATGTCCTTAAGCTGAAGCAGCTCCGTCTGCACTTTAACGTGGTTCTCCGAATTGGACAGCTCACCTTTCACTCTATGAAGCGCTTCAGTAACAGCTTGAAGATTCTGCGACGCTTGATCTTGTGTCCCGAGTGCAGCCTCCAGGTTCTCTCTAAGGGCTTCATTCTCTCGCTTCAAGTTATCAAACTCGAGAATGAGCATATTCATAGATGCCTTGTCCACGAGCACTTGCCCTTCGGCCATTTCGGAACCCTGAAAACAGATTTTGGCTTTTTTAGTGCTAAAAGAGTGACTCGAGAACCCCAAGAGTTTACTGGCTTCAACCATCGTGCTAGGGCTCTGCACTCTCTACAGGAACCTGGCAGAATCTTACTTTGTTGACTAGTCAGTCAGGCGCACCGTTATCTCCGAAAGACTGTCACGTACATCAACAAGTTGCTCTAGTGCAGCCTTTCTGCCCTTATCTAGGGGATGCTCGGACTCTAAGGTGGAGATTAGTAAGCTGAGTAGAGAGTCAAAGTACGCTGGTGTCCGCTCAAGAGTGCCAAAAAGGACGACAAAGTCAGTAAAAGTTAGGAGAAGTAAAGGCCTAAGCACTTGCCACCTTTCTTCAATCGCCCCAAACCTGTCCTCTGAGTCTTCTGGCTGAAGAGGATAGACGGTGTAGTCAGCATATAAGTAAGAGCCAACCAGCAATAGATAATTGAATGCCATGGTGTAGTTGTAATTAGAGTCATGCAGTAAGTGGCTGGACGACGCAATAGAAAGAATTGCCGTAGGATCTGTAAAGAGGTACTCGTTGTGTTCCTTGCCCTTAGTGGAGATAACTAGATGCTTGTAAGCCATAAGAAGCAACATGCGAGGAATGCACACTCTAGTACAGCGTGCCACCATTAATCCATAGAGCTTAACGGATCGGAGATACCAGGGTGAGTAGCGGATAAGCTCATCACTGCATTGAAAAATGTTGATCGTCTTCTCCAGAGACGTAAACAATCGCCGACAGAAGAGCTCAGCAGGGTTCTCTGTGCTGGATGCATAGATCTCTGCCAGTTGTTCTTGACTATATTCTTGAACAAATAGAAGGACCAAGGACTCCAGCATAGCATAGAGTGGCCAAGAGCACAACCGCTCTGCAGCCCTGTGGACCGCGTCTTTCCGCCTAAAAGAGTCCTCTTGGACATATTCATCGAACGCTTGCTTCATAGCATTTGCGGTTCGTTCCACTTGGCTGAGAAAGGGTGTTAGTACATCACACCCATAGCTAGTTGGAAAGACCTTACTGAAAAGGAGCTGAATCGCTTTACGCACGGATCCTACTAAACCGGTCATGTGTGTTTCTGGCTCTTCCAAGAATCCTGCATAGATTGCCAATAGCTTGGCCAGGAAGTCCTGTCGCTCCTCGAGAGTCTGCAACTGTCCATAGCGCGCGAGAAGCAGCGTATGCTGGGCTGGATCAATAACCGCTCCAATTAAATCATCCTCCATATTTTTCATTTGCAATGCAGTGTGCAATTTTTAAATAACCTGTCACACACTTCATTCCAGGATTTAGTTCTTTAGTCAAGTTTGGCTCGAAACCATGGAGCAGCAGAGGAGCGCCACCCCAACGCTACCGCGCTCATCAAGCACCAAACAAATCAGAAACGAGAAGATACGCGTCATTGTGCGTGTACGACCGTCTATACCCGAGGATTTGCACCCAAACCCCGTCGATGAGTGGTGCGTTCAGATCCTCGATATGGGAGACAAAGACGGGAGAGCTATTGTCCCGCCAGATTGGTACGATGTTGACCGTGTTCGCATACCATACACTCCCTTTATTCGCTTGCGAAGAACTATGCACGAGAGGCGTGACTTCAAATTCGACGCAGTCCTGCCCCACTTCACCACCCAGGAAGATACATATGAGATTGTGGCTCGTCAACGCATAAATGATGTGCTTAACGGTGTGAATGCATCTATCATCATGTACGGCCAGACGGGATCAGGGAAGTCATATACATCTTTTGGACCACCGGATGACCCTCTGCTTACCGGAGTCAGTCGCTCTAACCAGGTCCTCACCAGTCACTCTGGGTTGGTACCCAGAGCAATTTCAGAAATCTTTAATAAGCTGAATGAATCGACAGTCCCTTACACAGCCACACTGTCGTATGTGCAAATATACAAAGACCAAGTTTTCGACCTACTATCCAACCTCGATGCCAATGTTACCACCAATCACCTTTTGCTTCCTCTGCAGATTCGTGAGGACAAGGGAGGAATCTTCGTCAATAATGTCATGCACTTGCCAGTCTACCAGGCGACAAACGTCTTTGCAGCGATCATGTTTGCTGCCAAGCGGAGAGCAGTCGCGGCCACGCAGATGAATAGCAATTCGTCGCGCTCACACGTACTGCTTACTTTGACTGTAGAAAGGCGCTATAGCACGACAACAAAGCGGGGTGTCCTTACCTTTGTTGATCTGGCCGGTAGCGAAAGGGTAAGCAAAACGATGTCAGACGGAGAGCGCCTTTCAGAGGCCAAGAAAATTAATCAGTCTCTCTCAGCGCTCGGAAACTGCGTTGTAGCTTTATCTACCAATCGGTCTTTCGTCCCCTTCAGAGACAGCCCACTGACCCGGCTCCTGACAGAGTCCCTATCGGGGAACAGCAAAACACTGATAGTAGCCACCATAGGGCCATCATCATACAACTACGACGAAAGCTATTCGACACTGCAGTTTGCCACTAGGTGCATGTCTCTTAGAACAAACTTTGTTGCCAATGCGACACCTCGCGCCTCTAGCAAGCCAGCCCAAGGTATAGCCTACGATTCCAGCATATCAATGACTACTTTGGGTGATTTCGCCGTTATGGAGGACGAGGAGGACGAAAAGATAACGTGCTTGACTTCACAGTGTCCAAGATGTGGTGTACACTTGACTATTTTGCCCAGGAATGCTGTCGAGAGCTTCGCACAAGCAATGTCACTGCAGGAAGGCAGGGAAGAGCTCCGTGACTCCCCTATGCATGATCAAAATGACGATGCCAGCTCGTGCTATAGCGAGCTATCAGCTAACAGGGTGTCCCTCACAGAAGGCATCCAAAAGGATGGTGGGAGCAATGCGCACGAAAGTAGCATGTGCTCTCCCAATAAGCACGCAGCATTAGTAGAAAACTACAAGAAGCTTGTAGCCTCGCTTCAAGAAACAATAAAGGTCTTGGAGAGCGAAAATAGAGCACAGAAGGAAGCACTCTATTGCGTGCAAGAGCTTTTCAAGGGGAGCATGAGGAGCTCGGTCCTGCGGCAGATGATTATGAATGCCATGGGGGACGAAACCACTACTCCATCTGCTCCATATGTAGAAACGGACGATAATGTAGTAAGCAGATTTGATAGTTTTCATGCGCCTGGTCCCAGCGACACCATAGAGGGTGGTGGAAATGAGAGGGGAGCGCATACGCAGCCCCTTTATGACTCCGATCTTTACGACAGCTATAACAAACTAGACCCCACCGAGATACAGCTACCAGTATTAGGCATTCGTGTGTCAAATACAGTCACAGACCTGCCAACTGTCGCCAAAGATGACTTCAAAGAATCCAACAATGAAGAAAGGGAAAGCCCGCTACTGAACAACGTATTGTCTTCTTACTTGGATGAGGAGCTCCCTCAGAAGCCAATCGCAAATAGCTTACTGTTGAGCACAGGTCTACTGTCGGATAGAAAGCCGAATGAGGCAATGACAGGCAGTGCTGGAGGCGACAAAACGGGGGGAAGGTCTGCTATTCTGATCTCCAATGAATACATACGGTCAGACTCTCTAGGCTCTTCCCAGAAGACCTGCAAGCTGCTCTCGCCCTCCAGCAAGGCGCCCCTCCCTGTCATAATTCCCAAGTTTCGGAGCAAAAACAAAGCGTCCATCTTGGTACAAGAGAGACCATCCTCAGAAATGCGCCTCAACGATCTTCCGGAGGGGGAGCTGTAAACGTCTTGGACCCAATGCCAGGAAATTTTAAAAAATTTTAAGCCTTTTACTGTCATGGATACCATCTGGAGACAGTCTGAGTATACGTGTCTCAATCCGCGGTGTCGTCTGACATCGTATGCACACATGGATTTGCCAGAATACGGCCTTTATGAGTGCCCATTTTGTCATGGCCCAACCGCTGTGACGGTTACCGAGCGCGTTTATTTCCCCTTCTAGTGACCAGCCCTTTTAACATTTGTAAACCTATTCCCTGCTTCATTATGATCTTTCCATTTCTAAAACCAAAAATGACGCCTCACCCGACGATCTATCTGAACCCCTACAAGTCGAGGACAGGCCTCGGCGACGACCCTGTAACTGCACCGGCAGACGAGGAAACCCTCTATGCTATTTGGGAGAAGTACTCTCTGCTTCGACTTGACGAGCTCGTTTATTTCCATTCACCTCTTCGCTTCAACGCGCAGACCCAGACAATCGAGCGCCTGGCTTATGAAGGTATCACCTACAGGACCATGCGTTCTAATATAGAGCGTTTTGCGACAGCATTTGTGACCAAGTTCGGTCTGAAGCCCGGATCGATGGTCATGCTCTGGTCCTGCAACAGCCCAGAGTGGATTATCACCGAACAGGCCTGTAACAGACAGTCTATGGTGCTTGTTCCCATTTATGATTCGCTGTCTGCACACGGCATGTCGTACTGTATCGACGCAACCAGGCCTGACATCCTGGTGATAAGCCGTGATAAGATTGGGCGGTTGGTTAAAACGCTTGCGCAAGCAGTGGTCGACCTTTCATTCCTCAAGGCCGTAATACTCACTACCGACCTCGAGTTTGAGCGTGCCATCCCTGGAAACCAGGTGGAGGAGCTCGAGCAGCTTCTAGCGCGCTCTGGCATGGCAAACCCCCGTCTCACAGATATTCTTGGGTACGTAACGGCCGCAGTCCATGTAGTACCGCCGGTGCCTCCCACGCCCAGTACCATTTCTAGTTTAATTTATACATCTGGAACATCTTCTACGCCAAAGGGCGTTATCATCTCGCACGGCGCGCTCACCTCTGCCTGTTACGGCTATCTTCTGACTCCTCTTGATTTTGTGCGCAGCGGGAGAGGACTTCACTACCTTTCCTATTTGCCCATGGCACACATCTATGAGCGCGTAATTCAGGCAACTGGTATAATCATTGGTGGTAAGGTTTATTTCTGGCGAGGAGACTTCAAATCACTTTTACGTGACATGCAAGACGTTAAACCGGATATCCTGTGTGGCGTGCCTAAAGTCTACACGACTCTCTACCAGGCAATCCGCAGCAAGCTGGAGGCCTCCCCACTCACTCGTGGGTGGTTCCACTACGGGCTCAAGGGAGACAGCATGCTACAAAGGTTTGCCAGGCGGTGTCTCTATGGGCTTGTGAAGCGCAAGATAGGCGTCAACTTCAAGCTGATGATATCTGGAGGTGCGTCCCTTCCTCCCAAGGTGCACCTTTTTGTTCAGGACTTCTTTCAATGTAACCTCATCCAGGGCTACGGACAGACAGAGACGTGTGCCTGTGTCACCGTGCAGTGCGAGTCGGACTATTCTGTTGGAAACTGTGGGGTTGTGTGTCCAAATATGGAGCTGAGAATAGACCCATCCGAGAACGAGGTTCTGCTTCGTGGCAGCTCCATGTTTAGCCGGTACTACGTGCCCGGAGAGACCTTTTATGAAAATATTCATAACTTTCCGCCGTCAACTGAATGGTATAGATCTGGTGATTGTGGACTGATGAATGAGGACAACAAGCTGATCCTCAAAGATAGAATTAATACCAATTTCAAGCTGCAGAACGGTGAATTTGTCTGTCCAGAGACAATTGAGCTTATGTACCTGCAAAGCGCGCTGATCAGTGCCATCTACATTCCACAGACACCCAACTCGAACCACCTCTATGCTTTTGTTGTACCAAGCGAAAGCCTGCTTGCTAAGCTGAATGTGGCCAACTATTTCTCGCCTGACCAACCTCTGTCGCTGACGGGGCTCCATGACAAGCTCGTAGATGATACAGCAACCGACTCTGTTCACACCAATGAGCAGGTTGAGGCCCTGGGCTCCTTCTCCGTTCTAGAGGGGAAGCATGTGGAAAATCACATAATGGGTCTCCTTAAGCAGAAAATCGTAAAAGACCTCACGAAAGTGCACTCGGAGGCGGGGATGAAGCCGTTTATGCACCTTAAGGACATACACTTGCTGAGACGTGAATTCACGATAGAAAATGGATGTCTCACAGCGACACAGAAGCTCTGCAGAAAGAAGCTCTACAATCAGCTCCAGCCAGAGATAGAAGCCATGGTTGATAAGGAGTGACGTGCTAGTGCTTCTACTCACACTGTTTCCGCACATACGCGCCTAGCAGCAATACTGGTCGAACGAACTTGATCAACCATTTCCTTTGGACTGACATTTTGCTCTGCACACGTGGTCATTGTCACGTCTATGTTCCTGAGATGCTCCATCAGTTTTGCATTTTCTCGACGCAGAATGAACGTGTTTGCCCGCTCCATGGATAGTTGGATCTCAAGATCCTTAATTTTATTTTTTAGTGAATACACATCTTCGCTATGTTCGTGTTTGTGTTTGTCTGCAAGTGCAGGGGACATTGATGCCGCCTCTGAGTCTATATACTTCATGAGCTGGACTCGAGTGTTTGTCAGCTCATCGTTGTACTTATGCTTGAGAGACTCTGCAATGATCAAATCCGATCGCAGGGCTGCTACTTCATTTTCTAAAAATCTGCAATAATTCTTAAGATTGGATAGTTCGTCAATCCCAAGTTGCGAATGCGAGATCTGAGAAAGATTGAGTGAGAATTCCCTTTGGTGCAATTCCATATCCAAAAGGGTATTGACACCCTGTTCGACTGTGTCAATAGATGGTGTAGCCAGCTGCTGCAGGGATGCATCCTGAGCTGGGGAAGAGGCATCGTCGGATGCGAGAGCAATAGACCGTGTCTCAAGGCTGTGAACAGTTGCTGGTGACACGGCCCGTGAGTCTCTGTGAATACCATGTGGGTTGTAAGTTGACGCCTCGTTTTCTTCTGCCATGCTCTTAAGGTCGTGGGCAATATTCGTGTACGAGAGGAGCTTCTGCGTAGGTGTGGACAACTTCAAGCACGCAAATTGAAGCTTTAGATATTGAGCTATGGTGGTGTTGTGCATGAGGTCCTGCGCCGACGGTCTAGCATCTGGGTATGGGCTGAGCATGGCTAGAACAAGATCCTTCAGCTGGGAGCTGTAGTGTGTCTCTCTCAGAAGGGTGACATAATCGACAGGGGACTCGTGGAAGGTACGCGAGAAGAGGGTGCATAGCTCATAAAGGACACAACCGAGAGAGTAAATGTCTATTTTCGAAGTAAGGGTAGCGGCAGTGAGGGCCTCGTTGGGGATATAGCGAAATCCGTCGTCGTCTGAGTTTGCCCAGCAATAAGACGAGAAAGCAACGCCCAAAGGGTCTACAATGAAGACCGTGAGGGCCTGGCTGAGAAAGATATTTGATGGCTTAAGCTGACAATGGATGAACCTTCGCCCTGGGCGTATGCCGTGCTCCCCTGGAAAGTGGAGGGCATAAAGCTTGGCTGCAATTTGAGCGAGCACTCGCCACACTAAGGACTCCTCGAAGGAGGTCTGCTGTCGTCTAGCAGTGTGGATCAGGTGTGCCAGGCTACAGTCTCCGAAGTCTGGGGTTACTATATATGCAAGCTTGCGCTTCGCAAGCACAAACACCGTATCTATGGCCAGGTATCCCTTTTCCTGCAGGGCAGAGATGGACATCATGTTACTAACGAAGGCCGAAAGCTGAGAGGCCGGCATATTGGATGCATCCAGCCGCTTGCAATAGAGGTGCTCTCCACTCTGGTTATCGTACACCCGGTAGGTGGTACGAAACGTTCCTCGATTGACTACTTCCTTTAGTTGGTACCGCGCATCAAACTCCGATTCAGATAGATCCTCTGGTCCTCTCTTGGCCATTTTTAACACAGGCCGCGTTTTTGTTGTGGCAATAAACGTGGCCAGTTTCATCTCCTGAGACAAATGATCGATTGTGATAACATACCGATGTCACCGGGCCGCTGTGGTAAGTTGCAGTGAAAGGCTTGCGCGCAGGATTGAGCGAGGCATGAAAGCAAGTGCCGTTGAGAATGATCAGCGAGCCTTCAGAAGATGCTACTATCGGACAGTTGACGATCCACCTGTCAAGGCTCTCTGTCCGGAGCTTGTGTATGAAGGTGCTCACAGTTGGATGTACATCTCTCAGACAGAGGCTGCCACATTGTTTGCTGAGCTTTACACGCGCTGACAAGAGGGTGTCCTCGAGGTAACTGCGAAGGTTGACGGGAGCAATCGAACAGTGGAAGTACTTTCCTAATTTGCGTACTCGAAGAGTAGCCAGGATAAGGTCTTGGTCCATCCACAGCAGGTGGAGAGTGCAGGAAGTAGACGGGGTAGTCACGGGGGTCATGTGGAGGCGTGTCTGGGGACACTCGTCGAAGTCTAGTGTGTACAGTCGCATAGATATTGTGAATGATGCGTTGAGAAAGACGAGTAGGCAGAGATATCTAGAGTCTCCATGACTACAGCGCTCTAGTACCACTTCAGTGCACATCATGGAAAGAAGAGGCCGCACAGGAGTTGCAGACAGCCATTTGTGAGCAGGAAGCTGCGTCCAATCGACAGCAACTACTCCGCCTGTTTTGATGCCCAGCAGAATGTATTGCTCATAGAGGATGGCACAGCAAACAATCCCTACGGATAAGGAGCAAGTGCTAAGAATCCTTCCCTCGAAATAATTCACCAGTGAAATTTGACTCTTGTCTGTCACGATGACAACTTCGCTGTGTGTGACAAAGAAAGCCTCAATAAGTGTGTCTGGATGCGTTCTGTGAACATGGATTCGACGGGGACGGTCAGACACGTCAAAGGCAAAAACTGCCAGCTCATTGCATAAGGAAAGCGCCATGAATACTTGATCACTGCGGAACATATTATACTTTACGCTCTTAACCGGCGCTTTGGAGACTTCCAAGTCCAGGACACTCATCTTTAAATTTACTCCAAGCTGTGCATGCGATCACAGGCGGAGCAAAGGTTTCTCGCCCACGCCATAGCGTCAGGGGTGCGCATCGACAACCGAGCGCCTGACGCCTTTCGCTCCGTGGTACGAGAGCGCTCTGGCACGTTGTGCGGAGTAGATGCGTCCTCATCGTGCCAAATTGGAGAGGCACAGGTGCTTTGCTTTACTAGAGCCTTGGATACGCAGAAACAGGAAGAGGAGCCTAATGAGGCAGAAGCCGAGGTTGAAGCAACCCACACGAAAATACAATACATTCCCACTTCACTGGCCCCTCACAACAGAGAGCGGCTCGCCTACTGCCAGTCTATTGTTTCCATGTTGTCACGAAATACCATCCTGCCCAAAGGTGTTGTACTATACCTCTCTCTGCTGGCCTATGGCCCGAGCTACTGCACTACGGCCTCTATCGCGGTTGCCGACTGCCTCAGACAGTTAGATGGCACATTCGCGCCGCTCATTTTTGTGGGGGCGTGGAAGCTGGGGGGACGCTGGATTTGTGATGCATCTCTAGTCGAAGAAGAGAGCGCCGAGGCGTCCGTGCTCGCACTGCTGGACAGGGAGGGCCAAGTGCAAGACATCAGCAAACACGGCAGCTGCCCCATAACTGTGGCGGACCTCGACGCTGCCCTGGAGATATGCCGCGCCGCCGCCCAAGCATTATACACTAGCCTCTATGTCTAAACAATTACGATTGTTTCATAATTTAAAACAGAGGAATTTGGACGAAGCGATGTGGACACGTTAGCAAAAAGTCGTAGAAACAAAAATGAGCGAGCGCAGCGTTAACGTCAAGAATGCAGACATGCCCGAGGACATGCAGCAGGACGCGATAGACTGCGCCATCCAGTCCATGGAGCGCTTCAACATCGAGAAGGACATCGCGGCGTACATAAAGAAGGAGTTCGACAAGAAGCACCACCCGACCTGGCACGTCATAGTCGGGAAGAACTTCGGGTCCTACATCACGCATGAGACAAAGAGGTTCATCTACTTCTACGTCGGCCAGCTGGCCTTCCTGATCTTCAAGTCTGGTTGAAGTAAATGCCGAGCCCCTTTGCCGTTTTCCGCAGGAGCCGGCTGCACGCGTCTCTGCGCCCGAGGAGCTCCTTCAGGAGCGTGGCGTACATGGCTGTGTCGGAGGCCGCCTGGGGGTCAGGTACCGTCGCGGATGCCTCTGTCCGCAGCACGATGTCGGTAACGTAGAGGCGGAGGTCTGGATTTTGGGCAAGGGTGGGATCAGATCGAAGGTGCTTGTAGCGACGGAGATACTCGTTGTAGAGCTTGATGGCCCGTATCCCGCTGGCCCCACTGCGAAGGTCGCTGACGAAGGTGCTGCTGAAGCCAAACCGTAGCAGCCAATCGCAGGCGCGCAGGGTTTCCAGCCGCTGCATCACGGCGTCTCCCCTGCAGAACTCCGACAAAGGAATGTACGCAAGTGAATCGAAGTCACCAGCCTGGGCCTTTCCACGAGCAGCACAGCGGGCCTTACGAGGTATAGCCGGCGGACGGCGCTTTACGACCGGTTGCTCGGCTGCATCGTGAGTGCCGCGGGAAAGAGAGGGAGGCTTCTGATAGACAACGGGAGGGTCTTCATCGCTAATCGATATGAAAGAACTGGCCGTTATAAAGCTGGCTCGATCAGGAGTGGCTTGCCGTACGGGTGAAATTGCGGAAGGGGCCTTAAAAACCGTTTCGAGAAGAACCAGGAAGTTCATGGAGATTAAATCTAGCCGCGCATTTGGCTGGCACCGCTGAAGAGAGTACGGGGCACTACAAAGGGGGCACCGGTACATGAGGGCGTTATCTGTATCCGGGGGGATGCTCCGGATGCACTCGAGGCAGAAGATGTGGTCACAGCCCAGTACCACGGGTTTACGGGCTACATCGTGACACACTATGCAGCGGAGGGCGTCGACAAGAGCAAGAACGGCAGAGTTGGAGCGCATGTGTAATTCTGTTTTTAGCTGACTTGGAGACGTCCGCAGACCTTATCGAAAGACAACTCAACCTTCTGAACGATTAGCAGATCTAATTGAAAAATGCAGTCTAGCCCTGTTTCCCTCGCCGACGCGATCGTCCGAGCAGCAGCTCTACGGGATAGATGCATTGCTCTTGACAGCCGCCTTTACGACGTACTATGCACTAATGTTCACGCTAGCGAGCTTCTTAGCTCAGCTCTACAGGACGTGCAAAGGCAACTACAGGACGCACAGGAGCAGTGGAAGAACGAGATGAAATTGCTTGTTGAGTAAAGGACCGCTCAGAGTAACTATGAGTGCTTCATCGTGTATCGCTGTGATTCGGTAATCATCGCGGGAGGAAGGCAAGACGCCGTCCGTTTTTGTAAATTCCCGTTAAAAACAAATTCTCAATAAAAAACGCCAAGCTTCACCCCCGATGCCGAGGGACACACACCTCGGGCCACCTCTCCCTACAGCCAGCTAACACACAGCACATGGTACCAGATCGCGAGATCATCATCCGAGTCAAGCTCGCCTCCGCGGGCTTCATGAAGAGCAGCATGCTAGCGAAGAAGTTCTTTATTCTCTACCAACTCTGCGAGGAGCAGCTTTCCAAGCAACGCCACTACGACTTTGGGCTTAGAAACATCCTCTCCGTCCTGCGCATTTGCGGGTCGCGTCGCCGCAGCAACCCAGACCTGTCTGAGGAGAACATACTTTTACGCGTCCTCACAGACATGAACCGCTCAAAGCTGGTTGATGAGGATGCACCCCTCTTCATGTCTCTGACCGAGGATCTCTTCCCCGGCCTTCGAGTCGAGGATAACAGCTACCCGGATCTCGACGCTGCCCTCTCCGTCGTCTGTGGCGAGCTTTTCCTCCAGCAGCACCCTGACTGGCTCAAGGCCGTCGTTCAGTTCTACGAGACCCACCTGGTTCGTCACGGAATTATGCTTCTTGGGCCCCCGCTTTCCGGAAAATCACAGTCCATCCTCTCTCTTGCCAAGGCTATGTCTGCGATGAACCCATCCACAACGTTCCCGAAAAAGTACACCGTTATCAAGATGAACCCCAAAGCCATTACGGCCCCTCAGATGTTCGGTCGTCTCGATGCCGCCACCGGTGATTGGACAGACGGGATTTTCTCGAGCATCTGGCGGCGCTGCACAAAGCGCGAGGGTGAATGGTTCTTCTTCTGTCTCAACGGGCCTGTCGATGCCGTGTGGATTGAGAATCTCAACACCGTCCTCGATGATAACAAAACTCTGACCCTCGCTAACTCCGACCGCATCCCTATGTCCAATACCCTAAAGCTTGTCTTCGAGGTCGACTCCCTTGCCAATGCGTCCCCTGCCACTGTATCCCGCGCAGGGATGATCTACATGTCTCACTGGATCCTCGGCTGGCGCCCAGTCCTTGAGAGCTGGGTCGCCAGCTGGCCCGAGGCCACAAGCAGCGTGATAAAGCGGATGTTCACTGACGCTAACTTCCTGGACGACCTTTATGCCCTCATAGACACTGCTGTCCTTCACCCCGTGACTACACTCCCGCGACTGCAGCTCTTCCGTAGCCTTATGATGGTCCTCACGTCGCTCATCTACTTTGGATCTGGTGTTGACGGGCTCAGCGAAAGCGAGCTTATAGAGGTCAACGAGAGTATTGTCAATGCCTTGAGCACAGCCTCACACATCACTTCCGAGGGATTCACTAACGCAACGCAGGCTCAGACTCAATCCATCGCTACCAATGCTGCTGCCTTCGCCAGCAAATACCCTGAAACACACTTGAAGCGCATGGTAACGTTTGCTGTCATGTGGTCCTTCGGGGCGGTCCTTGATTTGGAAGAGCGGACCAAGACTTTTCAAAAGTTCCTCTACGACAAGAAGGCGGTGCTGGATCTTCCAACCCTTGACGCGTCCAACCCCAACGATAACGTGTTTAACTACTTCGTTGACGACACCGGGAATTGGCGCCTCTGGGCGGAGGTTGTGCCCAAGTGTGAGTATCCACCCAAGACGGAGACGCCTTTTGCAAATATCCTCATTCCGACGATCGATAACACCAGCCTCGATATGGTTCTCCGCAAAGTCAGCTACTCCCAATTCAACATCATGCTCATTGGAGAGTCTGGCTCTGGTAAGACAGTTGACATTCTTACCTTCCTTAACAACCAAGACAAGGAGAAGTACGCCATCCGGAACATCAACTTCTCGTCGGCCACCACGGCGCATTTGCTCCAAGATAATGTTGAGGCATTTGTGGAGAAGCGTATGGGCCTCTCGTATGGTCCGGTTGCAGGTAAGAAAGGCCTTGTTTTCATCGACGAGGTGAACATTCCCCAGATTAACGAGTGGGGTGATCAGCCAACCAATGAGCTCACGCGTCAGCTGATAGAGGAGCGCGGATTTTATGCACTTGACAAGCCTGGCGAATTCCACATAATGCAGGATATGACCTTTTTGGCTGCTGCCCCTCTTCCTGGAGGTGGGAGGAACGATATCCCGACAAGGCTCAAGGGGCACTTCATCACGATTAACGTTGGGCTTCCAGCCTCAGATCAGCTGGACATGATCTTCGGCACAATTGTTAAGGGCCACTACCAGGAGTCTCGGGAGTTCTCCGAGGACGTGTGCAACATTGCAGCTAGACTGGTTATGACAACGAGGAAGCTCTGGCAGGCTACAAAAGCGCGCATGCTCCCCACGCCTGCGAAGTTCCACTACATCTTCAATCTTCGCGATCTGAGCCGAATCACCCAGGGCTTCATCAACTCCCAGCCGGACGTCATAGACTCTGCCAGGAAGCTTGTTTACCTCTGGGCAAACGAGTGCACGCGCGTCCTCCCAGACAAGTTCACGACTCTCGAGGATATTACGTGGTTCAACAATGCGATTGTGCAGTTTGCTGCAGAAGACCTTGGTGATGCCCTGGCTGCCGAAGTCGAGGTCTTCGCCGCCCAGAACAACATCATTACGGTGCCACAGTTTGCCAAGGACGAAGAAGGCAACGAGAAGCGGATCTACTTCGTCGACTTCATGCGGGACCCGCCAGAAGATGTTCCCGAGGGCGCAGACGACGATGCTTACGAGGCGCCAAAGATCTATGAACCGGTTATGGACAGAGAGGTGCTTTTGGAGCGGATTCGTGGCTTCCAGCAGAAGTACAATGAGCTGAATAGACGCAGCCCGTTAGACCTGGTGTTCTTCGATGCATGTGTCGCGCACATTCTCCGCATATCCCGTATCATCCGTATGCCTCGTGGACATTGCCTGCTTGTCGGTGTCGGAGGCTCTGGGAAGCAGAGCTGCACAAAACTCGCCAGTTCCATTGCGGGCTACACTACGTTCCAGATCACAATTACGCGTGGCTATAATATCAGTAATTTCGATGAGGACCTACGGACTCTTTACAGAATGGCTGGCGTTGAGAACAAGGGGGTCACCTTCATGTTTACAGACGCAGATGTAAAGGAAGAGGTCTTCTTGGAGCGCATTAATAATATCCTCACTTCGGGCGAGATTCCAGCTCTATTTGCAAAGGATGAGGTCGAAAACATTACCAACGACTGCAGGCCAGGGTTCAAGAAGGAGAAGCCGCGTGAGCCCGATACAAACGAGAATCTGTGGAACTTTTTCCTGGACAGGGTGAAGGCTAATCTCCACGTTGTCCTCTGCTTCTCTCCGGTTGGTCCCAAGTTCCGCGAACGGGCACGGAAGTTCCCTGGTCTAATCTCTGGATGCACGACGGACTGGTTCCAGCCGTGGCCGCGGCAGGCTCTCTGCGACGTTGCCATTAAGAACTTGACGGGCTTTGAAATCCGTACCAAGGAGGGTGATAGCGACGTTCTCGGAAAGCTTGTTGAGCACATTGCGCAGGTTCACCTCTCCATGACAGATGTAACCAAGTCATACTTTGACAGGTTCCGACGGCAAACGTATGTCACACCGAAGTCCTATCTTTCCTTCCTCAGCAGCTTTAAGAGCCTTTACTTGGAAAAGCTTGTGGATCTGAAAGAGCAGCATCGCCGTCTCAAAACTGGATTGGACAAACTGGAGACTGCTGCTGCTGATGTGTCCAAGATGCGTGTCGATCTGGAGGCCAAAGAGAAGGACCTTGCGGTGGCTCAGACGAAGGCAAACGAGATGATGAAGGTCATCTCAGTCTCAACTGCAGAGGCCGAAAAGACGAAGAAAGAGGTCCAGACAGTTGCCGACGAGCTCGCCGTCCAGGCAGACGAGATTGCAAAGCAAAAAGCCGAGGCCGAGGAGGGTCTGGCGAAGGCTCTGCCAGCACTAGAGAAGGCTGAAAAGGCTCTCGAGGCAATTGAGCCTAACGATATTAACACGCTCAAGAAGCTTGCGAAGCCTCCCCATCTCATCCAGAGAATTATGGATACTGTCCTGTTGCTCATGAACATGCCTCTTGATCGCGTGACCCCTGATCCAGAGTTTCCCATAGACAAGAAGATCTTGAAGCCCAGCTGGAAGAACTCCTTGCTACTCATGAACCAAGCCGGATTCCTGCGCAGCTTGCTGGAGTTTGAGCGCGACGGAATCACGGACGAGACCTGCGAGCTCTTAGAGGCGTACCTTGAGATGTCCGATTTCAATATCGAGGCTGCTCGAAAGTCGTCTGGGAACGCTGCTGGGTTGCTGCAGTGGTCGCAGGCCATGTACGAGTACCACTTCATCGCGCTCGAGGTTGAGCCCAAGCGCGCCGCTGTGCGAGAAGCAGAGTCTAACTTCAAGGCTGCCATGGCCTCACTGACATCTGCGAAGGAGGATCTTGCGGAGAAGCAGGCTGCGCTCAACAAGCTTCAAGAGCAGTATGATGAGGCAGTCAATGAGAAGAAGCGCCTGCAAGACGAGGCAGATTTGACCGGGCGGCGCCTGCACGCTGCATCAGCCCTTATCAATGGACTGTCAGGAGAGCGAAAACGGTGGTCTCAGCAGGCACGAGAGCTTGACGATGCTGCTGTCCGGCTAGTGGGTGACGCGTCCCTCTCTTCGGCATTTCTGTCATACGCAGGTCCGTTCAACCAAGAGTATCGTCAGTTCCTCGTCACGCAGATCTGGCTCAAGGACCTGGAAGAGAGAAGGCTGCCCTTCACACGCGGGATTGAGAACGAGATACACAATTTCCTGGTCTCCGAAGCCACAGTCGGCGAGTGGCGTCTCCAGGGCCTTCCCACTGACCAGCTCTCGACGGAGAATGGCATTATAGTTACCACAAGCACGCGCTACCCGCTGATGATCGATCCCCAGACACAGGCTGCGGCGTGGATCAAGAATATGTACTCTGACCTTAAGGTAACCACCTTTAGCAACAAATACTTCCGCCAAATGGTTGAGGACGCGCTTAACATGGGCCAGCCGCTACTTATCGAAGACGTCGAGGAGGAGCTGGACCCGCTGCTGGATCCTATCCTCGAAAAGCAGTTCGTCAAGACAGGGAAGTCTCTCAAAGTCAAGTTAGGCGACAAGGAGTGCGAAGTGTGCGATGGCTTTAAGCTCTTCATCACGTCCAAGCTCCCGAACCCGCGCTACCTCCCCGAAACGTACGCTAAGACGTCAGTCATAGACTTTTCCGTCACATTCTCTGGCCTGGAGGCGCAGCTTCTTGCTAGAACAGTTAACATAGAGAGGAAGGAGCTCGAGGACCAACGCCGCGAGCTGCTTGAGGAGGTCAATGCCAATAAGAAGCAGATGGCCAAGCTAGAGGAGGACCTGCTCAGCAGGCTTTCCGCTACCCAAGGAAACCTCCTCGATGATGTGGAGCTGGTCGATGTGCTGAACAAGACGAAGGAGACAACTGAGGGCGTCAAGGAGAAGCTTGCATCAGCCGTCGAGACAGAGCGCAAGATCAACGAGGCTCGAGAGGAGTTCATGGTCGTTGCCACCCGCGGGTCAATCATCTACTTCCTTGTTACCGAGATGTCGACGGTTAACTCTATGTATCAGACGTCACTTAAGCAGTTTCTTGAGCTTTTCGACCAGTCTATATACGATGCCGAGCCGTCTCCGATCACGACGAAGCGGATTGCAAATGTGATACAGAATATGACCATCAAGATCTTCAGGTACATCGCTCGTGGGCTCTATGAGCGTGACAAGCTGCTCTTCATCCTCCAGCTTTGCCTCAAAATTGATCTTAAGGCTGGAAATGTGTCTCAGCTTGAGTTCGGCACCTTCATCCGCGGAGGTGCGGCATTGGATCTCAGCAACGTTCGCGCCAAACCAGCTGCTTGGATACCAGACAAGGCGTGGTTAAACATAATCGCTCTCAGTGCTTTGAACATCTTCACTTCGCTGCCAAATCAAATCGCCGAAAATGAGCACGCATGGCGCCAGTGGTACGACTCGGAGGCCCCGGAGAATATCGATCTGCCTCCCGAGTACAACGGGCGCATATCCGTTTTCCAGAAGCTTCTCCTTGTCAGGTGTCTCCGTGAAGACCGTACAATGCTTGCAGTCAACGAGTACATCATTCACTCCCTTGGAGCAGAGTTTGCAGAGCCTGTCCCGGTCAACTTCGAGGACATCTTCATGAACGAGGCAAAGCAACAAGTTCCTATCACTTTCCTCCTATCCTTGGGTTCGGACCCAACGTCCCAGATAGAGGCTGTCGCCAAGAAGCTCAAGATTGAGATGCGTTTCATCTCTATGGGACAGGGACAAGAACCTCAGGCGCGCCGTCTGATTATAGAGGGTGTCGCAAATGGCACGTGGGTTATGATCAGCAACTCCCATCTTGGGCTGAAGTTTATGTCTGAGATCGAGCTGATGATTATGGATCTCACAGAGAAGATGGCCAGCGTCACAGAGAGCTCTGGCAAAGACGATGGTGCTGGTGACGCTGTAATTGAAGCCGGTGCCGATAAGGGAGGCGACTCTGCAGAGAATCAAGGTACCGGTGGAATTTTCAGCATGCTCGGCAAGGGACAACTACCTCATGCAAACTTCCGTCTCATCCTTACCACAGATCCGCATCCACAGTTCCCGATTGGTCTCTTACAGAAGACACTTAAGCTGACGAACGATCCCGCCTCTGGGTGCCGTGCCTCTCTTAAGCGTACTTACCAGACGCTAACACAGGACTACCTTGAGACGTGTGACAAGCCACAGTGGCTTCCGCTTGTGTACTGCATTGCGTTCATCCATACCACCCTCATTGAAAGGAAGAAGTTTGGAAGCCTGGGCTGGTGTATCCCCTATGAGTTTAGCCTGCCAGATTTCACAGCCTCTGTCCAGTTCCTCCAGAACTACCTCTATGGGCTGGATTCCGTTGTTAAAGGCGCTGCACAGAAGGGGTCGCTCATCTCGTACAGCACGATCAGATACATGATTGCTGAGGTTCACTACGGGGGTCGCGTTACTGATGATTTCGATAGGAGGCTTCTCAAGACGTACTGCGAAGAATGGCTGTCTGCACGATCGCTGACTCCAGAGTTTGAGTTCAGTAGAGGCTATCACATTCCAAAGCACAACAACATTACGGAGGCCCGTACATACATTGATGGCCTTCCATTTGTCGACAAACCTCAGATCTACGGGCTCCATTCTAATGCTGATATTCTGTTTCGTAATAAGCAGGCAGGGGAAATCCTCTCGACCATTGTCAATATGCAGCCTAAGGACAGTGGCGGTGGAGGAGGCAGCAAGGACGGGAAGCAGCAGGTGGTCCTGACACGCGAAGAGCAAGTGCTTAAGCTTGCAAGGGACATGCTCACTAAGCTCCCACCTGACTATGACACCAAGGTTACCGTCAAGCAGCAGATTCAGAAGCAGGGTGGAAAGGCCAAGCCTCTGAACGTCTTCCTGGGCCAGGAGATCGATCGGATGCAGGTCGTTCTTTCCCTTATCCGCACAACCCTTGCGGATCTCCAGCTGGCAATAGCAGGCACAATCATCATGAATGAGGCCCTCCAAGACTCTCTTGATTCTCTCTACGATGCCCGCGTGCCCAGCCGCTGGCTGAACGTCTCGTGGCCCGCTTCCACGCTCGGATTTTGGCTCTCTGACGTCACAAACCGTTGCACACAGTTCACGGACTGGCTTACAAAAGGAAGACCCAACTCCTATTGGCTTTCTGGTTACTTCAATCCGCAAGGATTCCTGACTTCTGTTAAGCAAGAGATCACTCGCATGCATACGGGGTGGGCGCTCGACCGTGTCTATCCGAGGACCAATGTTTCCAAGTTTTCGGAGAAGGGTCAGGTTAATCAACCACCGGAGGAGGGTGTTTACATCCACGGGCTTTTCCTGGATGCGGCTGCCTGGGACAAGAAAAACAATCGCCTGATAGACCAACCTCCGAAAGTTTTGTTCGTCCCGCTACCGCTGCTTCACCTTGACGCCACGAACGACGTCTACACGTACCCTACGAAGATGTATGACTGCCCACTCTATAAGACTCCAGCGCGTACAGGCCTCAACTATATTTTCACAATAAAGCTTCCCACAGACGCAAATCCAAACAAGTGGGTCCTTCGCGGCACTGCTCTTCTTTGCAATATTCAGTAAACGTTTTTGAGCGCTGCGCCTGCATGAATGCCTCCCAGGACATAAGCAGAAGGGAGCGCTGCCTCCTTAGCGAGGTAGTCTATCTCCGGGAGATGCTGGAGGCTCTGATGGAGGAGAAGGACGACGTAGGAAGGCTGCGCCAGGAGGTCCAAGATGCCAAGGAAGTCATCTCGACGTACGAGGAGACGATAAAGACCCTTATGAGGGAAGTCGTCGAGCTCCGCCAAGGGGTAAGTGATAGTCAGAGAGTCGTCAATCTTCAAGCAGAGCTTATTGCCTCAGAGTCTCGAAGAATAAAGGAAGTAACTTCTCTCCAGAACGCTCTTCATCGAAAGGATCGCGAAATTGCGCAGCTCCAGACACAGCTGGCAGAGATTCAAAGAGCAAAGCTGCACTAGCGTGTTCGTTCTCCTTCACTTTTAAGGTCTCATAAGAGCACACTTCTGAAAGCCTCTACGCTACGCATATATCCTGGGCAGTGTACTTTGTTCCCATATACTCTGTCAAGGTGTGTGGTAGAAGTTCGTCCGGCCGAGAGCTAACTGTCTTACAGTCCAAGAATAAACTTTCTGCTCTAAATCTCTTCGATGTCTGTTTCGCAAAAATTCAGCGGCCTGTTCCTCTCTGGAGCCCTAGGCAACCAGCTGGAAGATACGCCACCAACTTCTCCCAAGTCGGCCTTCTTGGATCACGTGTTTGAGAGTCCACAAATGGTTAGAAGCAAGTCACGTTGCGGGCCTTCTACCGCACGCCATGATCCCCTGATCGATATGTACAATGAAAAAAGAAGGGCTAATACTCTGACCCAGTTAGAGGAGCAGCTTGTCCGGGAAGTTGTGGACTTACGTAAGAAAATGCTAAAGCTCCTTCCAGCACGCGAACCAGAATCTCCCGAGTCTCATATCGATGCATTCAAACTCTCTCCCTCTGTGCAGAACATCCTCCGGTCTATACGTGCTGGACCAAGGGGATCTAGCACAGAGTATCACCTTATAAAGTGCATGAAGGCCCTCAAACACACGGAAGAAGAGCTATACACAACTAAGCAGCTCGTAGAGAAGCAGAATGCTATGCTGGAGAGTCTTCTTGTCCAGAATAGCGAATTGATGGCATACATTAGGCGCTTGCAGCTGCAGCAATGAACTATTCTAGATGCGCATTTGTAGTCGTCTTACGGGCCCGTTGTCCCAGAATCATCGTCAAAAAAATGTACCCCGAGATCCCCAGTCGCCAGTGGGTCTATTCGACGACTCTTTGCATAGACGCTGCCGTTCTTCCTTCCAGCAAAAGACGCATGGATTGTCAGCATAAGGAAGGTGCCTTGTTGAGCTTGCAAACCGACCTGTGGAGGAGACTGGATTCCGAGCTGCCTTACCCCGTTTATGGGTACATGCTTCCCAAAACCGCCCACATGGTTATCCCCAATTATGTAGTTCTGAAAACGTTGGCTCATATGAATGCAAAGGAGCTGAGCAAGTTCTCGTTAGCAATAGAATCTTACATTGGCATGCTCAGGCACTTAAACTCGTTTGTCTTGGCTATGCACGGGTATATAACTACGTTAGTTGATAGATGTAAGCCCTTGTTGGTCTCCATTTCTCCTCCGAGCCTCTCTTCCTTATTCGCCAAGTCACCCATTTACTTGGATCTGGCATCAATCTTGCCAGAGGATGCAGCACAGAAATTTATCATCTGGTACAGGGAGATGATGTCCTTTCTTTTGGAACTGAGTATCTGGGTAAAGGAGCTGGCCAATGCTCAATCCAGCCTCAGCCCCATCATTCACTTGGTCACTGGATACTCCTGCTTGAAAGATATGTGTAGGAAGCAGGAGATTGCTTGTCAGATTGTTAGATTTATGGCCGATACAGAGTCAATTGAAACGTGGATTGAGCAGGTTGAAAGGCACAGACAATCAGAGAAGTTTGGTGAAGATTCTGTGGCCCCCAACTGGCACGACCAGCAGCTCTTAGTCAGAAACTGTCTGCATGCGATAAGCTCCATCGCTTCTGTCGAGCTTGTAAAGGGCTCGAATCGAATAGAACGCATAGATATAAACGCGGATGTCTCAGCCTTATTTTGCTCCCGTCAATGGTCGGGGAGCTCAGAAGCACGTTTTAAGCTAATTATACAGGAGCTCACGGAAAATAGGCAGCTCTTCTCTAGCTACAAAGCATTCCTATGTGAGCTGTCTTTCTTAGACGATTTGAAGCGTCCTAAGCTCAGGGCTATCTCCTCAGCCGTGCCAAATTTATCTACTGATGGACAAACAGTCCTGGACAGGATCTGGACAGTGTGTAGTTTTGCATACACAATTGAGACATCCCTGAAGAACAGGGATCACTTTAATTCACGCTTCTATGGACTTCTAGAGAACATGTACAGCTTTGATCTAGACGCTATATTAGCGAATTGGATAGGGGTTGATGAGATGTTATCTTTGTACTTTAAATTCAAGGAGCGAGTGGCTAAGACCCAAGAGTACAGCATACTGTTGGACCAGATCATTTGCACCGTGGATTCTCTCTCATCTGTAGGAGACGAGTATCTCCGGCTCAATCCTGATGTGGCAAACAATGATATCCGTAGCAACATAGCTGTGCCTCTCTTCTCTTCTAATAATAAAAACACAGAAATGAGCAGCATTAAGCATTGTTTGATGAATATGCACGAACTGTTGGCAAAGTACTTGGATCTCACAGGTCTCAGATACACAGATGTCCTTAAACACGACCATCTGCACTTCTACGTACTGCACCTTCTTCAAATGCCGAAGAGCAGTGCAGTCGCATTGTCCAATGATGAAATCTCTGACAAGATTCTTAGAAATATCGACTCAATCAGCTAGCTAGTTGATCCTAGTAAGTAGCCCACGCGCTGGTAAAACAGGTGCTACACGAAAAGCTAGGACCGGATTTTCGTATCGTTTTATAGGCTCTGGAACAGGTCTTGCACTTGTATCGGTGTACCTTAACATAGATTGTTTCCAAATTATGGCCGCTTTTAGTGCAGCTCTCTGGAGCTACTACCGCAACTATTTGGCATGTTTTGCAGAGCGTGGCCTTTGTTGCTTCACTTTCGCTCTTTCTTTCTTCCTGCAAACTCATTTTCAATGTAGCATACGGCTTAACTGCAGAAAGCCCGAGATGCTTCTCTTTTGCAAGTCCTGAGGTGCGTCTCTTACCTTTTAGTTCACCAGTTTTAAGAAGCTCAGCTTGTGCTCGGCGTTCGACTACATGATCTACTACCTCATTGAAGGTAAGATTGGGGGAAAAATGCATCTGCTTCGACGCATGGTGTGCACGTGCTGCAGCTGAACCCATAAGAGGCAGCTCTTCATATAATCGCAAACCGGCCGCATTGGGCGCTGACATGGCCCCCGCTGCGTGCGCTGGGCAATAGACAGATACGCGCACATCGATAGCATTAGAGCACGGACCCTCTGTGAAGCTCAAATGTCTGCACGTGCTAACATTGATGGCACGTCCTAGCAGCAAGATTTGACTCTCTGGACTTTCAAGATATAAGGCATTCTTAAGGTGCACAACACTTGTTCTGAGGAGACAGATAACACTGTACACTTCCATATTCATCGATGTAGCTGCAGATGGATCTTTTTCATAGACGAGGATGGCATCTGACCCGCACAAGTCCGTGATTTGCATACAGACGTACTCTTTGGCAGCCTGTTTGATTTGCTCCAGCATGAGCACAACTACAACAGTTGATGGAGTTGAGATCATACCCTTAGAATGAAGGTTAGGGTCAATGATGCGAAGCGGCTTGATGAATTCCTCTAAACGTAACACTTTAATTGCGCCCGACTGCACCGTGGAATTGAAGGCAGCCGCAGCCCTTGCGCTACCAACAATTCGAAAGCTCGTCTGCAGGAGAGACAGACCCTCCATCCCATAAAAACTGGAATTTAAAGGTAAGTAAACTTTATCACTGTATGGACACCGCTAAAGCATACTCAACAGCTAATACTGGCCTGATAGATGGGTTAGATGGCGAAGTAAAGAACAGGTTAGTAACTCAAACTAGAATAGAGCCAGGTAAGGCACGTGCCCTGATCGTCAAGCAGGAAAGCACTATCCAGGCGCTTGAGGCACGCATCAAGGACCTGGAATCGGAACTCACAACAGCAGAGCTTTCATTGGCTCGTCGGGAGATTCTTCATAACAAGGAGGTAGAGAGGCTACGAGAACGGCTATCAATTTACGAGCCCGACGGAGAACCTGCAGACACTGCACTAACTGAAAACATCCAGCACTTAAGGAGCACGCTTCAGGAAAAGCTAAAGAGCCTAGAGGAAGTGGCGTCAGAGCGGGTCAGGATCGCCGTTATTGAGTCACGCCTCCATGCAAAGCCATCTTTCAAGACCCTTGCAGAGAAAAAGGATGAATCAGCAAGAAAGACGCGCGACGAACTCCGGAATGATTTCATCAAGCGGCTAAATGAGGAGAAGGCAGAGCTTAGTGCTTCCCTGGAGGCTGAGGTACAAAAGAACAATAGCTTAAACAAGGAGATAGGGGACTTGCGCAACATGATCGCTGTCCTGCGCTCTGACCTTAAAAAGCTTGTTCAGGAGCAAGTTATAACACAGCGTGCACAGAACTTCGAAGGGATCTCCCCCCACAAAGCCTCTCCACCTCGTCCCGATGATGACTCCAAATATCCATACTCCAAGGATGCGGACAGAAGCGTAGTAGGGTCTCAGAGACAAAGGTCAAGAAACTCCACGCAGATCGGCCAACTTGGCTCTGAAAGGCCAGAGTTTTCTGCATCAGGACAAACGGCATTCATGTCCACACAACACACCTCGCTTCCTGTAATCGCGGGTGCACTTGCTAATGGGTCTGGCCCTGGGAGGAAAGCGCAGCAGGCAGGAACTCTCTACGGCCACAACGATATCCTGGCTACTATTGCTAACGCCGAGTCTCCTACCAACCACTCCCCAACTCTCTGTCGCTCCGTTGGAAGGGGCGAGGCCATACGGCAGCAGCAAGAAATACGCACCCTCAAACAAAGGCTCACCATTCTTATGCGCTCAATAGACGACCTTAAGGACGAGTTGAAATGCATAATAGGGGCGACTCTTCTGTCTATGAGAGAGGCTGGACTGCACCATGTCCTTTCTGATCATTCCTATACGTTAACAGAGACCGAAAGACTGCGGTTTTGTGGCTGCCTGGCAAATAACCCTCCAATAATTTTAGCGTTGATCAGATTGGCTCAAGCAGCTATTCTCCCGCCTCGAGGCCAAGGCCAGGAGCCCGCTGGAGACACCAAGATAACACGGAGGCTGCCCCTGTTATGCACAGAGCTGGACACGCGGAGACTATGTGGTCTAGAGAAGAGCATTTCTCCTCCACGGCGGCGCATTGAACCAGTCATTCCGTTTGATGAATGACGCTACCTGAGGTTCGGTTGTGGATACAAAAATGCCAATCCCTTTCTAAATAAACAAATTTAAAGTCACTTTGATGTAGCAATTAAAAGACCGGGCAGGATGCCGATCATTATTAAGGGTGTGAAGCTTACAGAGGAGTTCACAAGGACCCTGAAGGAGATCATCAAAGGTGTCGACGGCTTTCGCTCGCCGTACCTAGCCAACAAGGCCCGTGAAACTGACAAGGGCGTCGAAATACCTTGTGGCTATGGGAAGCTGCTTGCCGCGGTTAGGCAGAAGTACCCAGAAGCTGATCTGCTTCCCCTCGACCAGGATGAAGCACGCAAGAACTGCATCGACCGCAATGTTTCCATTTTTACTAAGTTCAAGGAGTACAATGCAGACTACCTCAAGACAAGCAAAAATGTCATCATCACGGTTACCTCCGCACCAGGAGAGTTCATGGACCCGGAGAAGGTCGTCGCCTTTTTGACTAAGACCCTCTCGAAGATCACGCCAGCTCAGGATCACAAGTTCAAGATCACCGCGAAGTATCAAGTGCTGGATGCTATCCGTGGAAGGATCAATGCGGGTGCTCTCAAGGATGCCAGCGGCTCTTCTGTGCAAGGCAGGTGCGCGACAATGGGGATTAGATATGTTGAAGGTCGTCCGCCGCAGAGGGGGACGAAGGTCGCCGTTGTTGTTCAGTCTTCTGAGATAGAGAAGCTTTTTGCTGCTCTCTCTGCCGATAATCTTTTTGAACGCGTTCCCGCCATAAGGTTCATTAACCCGGAGAAGCGCCGTAAGCATATCCAGGAGCTTCGCGAGAGGGTTGGGTCTGCAGGCGATGGTACCCTGGGCACAAAAAATAAGCAGAGGAGACACCAAGAGGCGAAGGGTGGTGTGAAGAAGCCTGGAGCCAAGAAGGCCACCGGAATTAGAGTACAGCTTGCTGATGACCAGAAGGCCGCCAAGCCTAAGAAGAAGCAGGGCAAGAAGGTGCAATCTCAGAAGGAAAGGCTCCCATGTCTCCTTACGATCGCAGGGATTCCTGAGGCTCTAGCATTCGACGATATCAAGGAAAACCTCGATAAAGATGAGCACGCAGACATTCTAAAAGCTCTTGCAGAGTCTCGCTTGAGGAGACCCAAGCAGCCCAATCCTTCCGAAGTGTCGTTCTACTGCACTGTGGAGAATGGCAAGATCCTTAGGGATGCCTTCGGTAACATGGAGATTAACGGGGCCGAGCTCCGCACTACGGTGTCGGATGTGAACTAAGTAAATAGCCGTTTGGCCCGATCTTTTCAATCCCCGTCTCTGAGGGGTTCGTCGTCTTCTGTCTCTATCTGCGACTGCGCCGGGAACAGGGCGGCTCTCGCGGGGCCTGGCACCTGGCGTCCTGGGCGGTGCCGGGTCTGAGTGGGTGTGCGCCTTCAGCACTGTGGGCGTCCCCCGTCCCTCTTCTGGTACAAGGGATCGGTGATGCGTACCCCCTCGGTCTGCGTGCGATTGTCAGTGCCCGTGCCTCGTGGTGTCCCGGCTCTTTCAGCCCCAGCTGTCGCGGCGCCCTGCTCCGGCCATATCCCCACGAGGCCGCGTATTCTTCCATGGGACGGTCCTGGTTCCGTAGAGGCACGCCTGGGCCCACGATTCTCCCTGCGGAGGCCCCGTTGTCTGTGCTACTGGGGTCTGGGCCATCCGTCTGTACCGCTGCTTCAGGAGTCACATGAGTAAACTGCCTTTCACGTGGCTTTTTATAGAAGTAGACACTGATTGTAATCAACAGGGTCTAAAGATCTCTCGCCAATTGTACATGTCAGATCCTGTGGATTTTGGAATCCTTGGGTAGCATCCGTGCCCGGCTGATACGCGCGCCTCGGGCTCAGCAAGCCTGCCACCCTCCTCCTCTTGCCCCCTGCGAGGACGCCGCCACTGGCTAGACGCGTGCACAGCTTGTCCATCCGGCCCTTGAGAAGAGCCACATCACACGAGGAAGGGCGCCGTTTACTCGAGGAGAGAGGCGATTGCGTCGTGGCCATGCCTCCTTGCGATGTCGAGGGCGGTGGTGCCGGGCGGGAAGCCGAACCACTCGCGGGTGGTCTGCATGCCTTTCTCCTTGTCCATCAGGAGCCTCGCACACTCCAGGTGACCACTCTGCGCTGCATGCATGAGCGCTGTCCATCCATTGTTAGTCTTCATGCCGTCTTCTTTGTCTACTAGAAGCCTCACGCAGTCCGAGCAACCGTTGTCGGCTGCGTGCATGAGGGCAGTCCACCCACTGTTGGCCCTCATCCCGCCTTCCTTGTCCAGTAGAGCCTCCGCACACTCGCGGCGCCCATACTGTGCTGCATACATTAGGGCGGTCTTCCCATCATCCGTTTTCATGCCACCCTCCCTCTTCAGCAGAACCTTCACGGCTCTCAGGTTTCCATACTCTGCTGCTGACATGATGTCGGTCTCGACGAAGCCGTATTTCAGCAACAAAAAAGACGAGAGACTCAGCCCGCTCCCCCCTGTTGGCGGCAAAACTCTGCGGCGTCATCGAGGCTCCCATCGGAAGCAGACCCCTCGGTGTCCTGAGGGCGACGACTCATTTCCGAAGCCCCAAGCACGTCGCTCGGCATTTTTAACTTCGTCTGCTTGCAGGAAGACACTGCCACGGAAACACACACTTTGCTCTCTGCTTCACTGAGAACGGTTTGTCAACTGCTGTCCGAGCATCTCCGTGAGAGCCGCCGCGCTGGGTGGGCCGCCCGCTCACCGTCCGGGGTCCAAGGTTCAGATCTTGAAGCTCGAACTCGTGCCCTCATACAAGGCCTCCTCCCCTGTGGGTAGGCGGGTCTCACGCTCGTTCACTTCTCCAATCCAGGACTCAGAACTCGAAGCTTGAGCGTCGCATGTCATGATGATTTACTCCACCCACCGGTTGCTTCCAGTGGTGTGCTGCTGGGGCCTGCCTGCAGGTATGGTCCAGAGATCCCACGGGCAAGCTCTTGCTCAGTCCCTGACTAGTCCGGAGACGAGGGTTGGTCGTGTATCAATATAAGGACCACAGTGGTAGTAGGAGGAGCTATTGCGTTCCTCAGCTGTTCTACGGGCGTGTGCTCGGTTTAAGAGTGCACATAGGTCCTTTTGGAGATCAGGCCGTCCTGCAGGCTCGCTGGTCTACTAGGGCGCCTCTCCTTGTTCTCCCTTCACGGTGAGTGAAGCTCTGGTCTTTGTTGTCATTCTCAATGCTGTCCATGTATATCAGCAGCAGCTAGCGGGGCTTTCTCTTCTGGTTGGGATTCAACTCGGTTGTGTGTCCAGTCTTTGCCCCTTCTCGGTCGTTGTCGACAGGTCCCAGGGGTGGATTCATTCAGCTGTCAGAAGTAGGATGACAGGAGACGGTCGCTCTGGGTGACCAGGCTTTCGGCCCGGTCGCGTCTGATCAGCTTCGTCGGATGCTCGTTCTCCTCTGCAGCCATGTGGGCGATGGCGAAGGCGGCCCGGACAGAGGTCCACGTGGAGCTCCTCGAGGTGCCCCTTGGACTGGGGTGGAGGGATCCGTCTGTCCCGTAGATGATCGGGAGCGTCCCGTCCCTGTACTTCTTGACCTTCTCGTTGTAGTAGGCATCCATCTGGCGGAGCTGGATGACACCCACATCTATCGCTTTGCACTTGTCGACGAGCCAGATGTCGGGCTTCTGGTTCTGGTCGCTGAGGTGGCTGTGGGTCTTGATTTCCAGCTCCGGTTGAGCTTCCCCGAGACGCGGAGGCACAGGCACGCGACGATCATGTCGTGCCTCGTGGTCGAGGGTCCTCGCCGTGTGGCAGCCCGGGCAGGTGCCTCTTTCTGCGCCATGATCGAGCCGCCCTTCTCCTTCAGGGCCCTTTCCTCCTCGGTCAGCACGCCGCCGCTCTGTCTGGAAGCTGGTGTGTGGCTGAGGAGGCGGTTGGAGTAGGCCCCTTCCCTTGCAGTGCCTGGCCTTCCACCGGCAGCTCCACCGGGTCTCTGGTCCCCTTGTTGACGTCCAGGGAGGCCCACACCCTCCGCAGCTCGTCGTGGTAGAGCCCCGGCATGAGCAGGCCCAGGCCGCCCTTCTCCTTTGGTACGCCAGGAAGTCGACCAGGCGATCGCAGCTTCTGCTGGTTAGCTTGCTGAAGCTTTGTGCGACGTCTGTCGAGCTCCTCGTAGTCCGCCTTGTCCGATGTTATCTCGACCAGGGGGGCGTAGCTCACCATCGGGACCACGCAGAGTGACAGCAGGATGAGCTTCTGGTGGGTGGTTATGGGGGCAGTCTCGGCACCTGCGATGGCCTTCGGCGCGAGACTGGCAGGGGTGGGGGACACCGGGTGGTTGGGGAAGGTCACCTCCTCGCCCGCCATGGTGGACTTGCATTGTCGCTCCTGATCGTCAGGCCCATGGCGGCAGCCTCTGCTGTGGCCAGCTGTGTTATCACACCTGCTGGGTACCCTTCGTCGTGGAACGCCACGATGTCGTCCGCTAGGCAAGGAAGGTGATGCCCCTCTCCCTGAGGCGTCTCAGGAGGCGCTCGATGGCCATGCAGAAGAGGAGCGTGCTGAGCGGGTCGCCCTGGGGGACGCCGCAGACCTCGCACTTCACGTCCCGGCTGTGCCTCAGGTCGAGGAAGTCCCCGATGTAGTCGACTAGGACCTTCGGGACCTCCGCCTCGTTCAGGGCTCTGACGACCTCCGCCCTCGGGAGCGAGTTGAGGGCGTTCTTTATGTCGAGGGAGACGGCGTGCATCCCCGGCCTGCTGATGAGCTCGTGGGCCCTCCTCACGCCTACCGCGTATGCGTTCTGCTTGAAGGCGATCTGTTCGCATGAGAGGTAGTTGGCATGCCTGATCAGCCCTTCAGCAGGACGCGGTGGAAGATGTTCGTGACCATCCGCCTATCGCGATCGGGGTATCCGTCGGACTCTTTCGGGATGAGGATCGCCCGGAACTCGAACATGGCCATCACGTCGGACTCCTTCGGGGTGGGTGGTCAGCTCGTTGTACGCCTGCGTGAGGTATTTCACGAAGCTGTCGCTCTGCTTCGTCACCTGAGCTGGACCGGCCCGAGGCCAGACACGCCTGAGGCCTTCTTGTTGAGAGTCCCAACAGGGCCTTCCTCATTTCCTCCTCGGTTGCCGCTCCAGCCCGTCGAGCTCATCGATGGAGGGTAGTCAAGGCCAACGTAGCCTTCGGGGGGACGCACGGGTGTCTCATCAAGGGCGCGGAGAGCCTTAGCAACTGCTCCGAAGCTCAGCGCGTTGTTCACCCTGTTTGCTATCCGGCGTCTCGCCTTCTCGGGGTCTGGGTCTGCCTTACTCTGGGCCTGCTCTACTGTGTTGCTTGAGTCCTCTGGGGCTTCCCACCAGGGCGTTCAGGCCCCTGATAGCAGGGAGCGCGACTCCAGTCCCTGCCTGCTCGATGCTCGCGATCATGCGTGCACCTTGGTGGATGAGCATGGCAGCTGTCTGGTTCGGTATGTGGGACGGAAGGATCAGTTTGTCGTCGCCCAGCACTCTGTGTCTGTCATCATTTGCTTCTCTCAGGTGCTCGGTCAGTTGCTTGGCGCTCTCACACGGTAGGCCACAGAGCCAGCGTGTGTGTCCTGCCGAGAGGGCAAACGTCTTCGGAGTGTCACCCCGAGTAGAGACTCACAGCTTGCTCTCTGGGGCCCGAAGGTACGATCTTGCGTTCATAATGTGGATCGGGTCCTCACGGGCTCTCCGTCGCCTCAGGTCCAGCTGTGCACGCCCGCGGAACAGCCGCGGAACGCACAGACCCCAGATCCACACGTGGAGGGAACCCCTCTTTGCCCCCGCTGTGGTTATCGTTGCAACCCGCGGCCAACCCTCGTCTCCGGACTAGTCAGGGACTGAGCAAGAGCTTACCCGTGAGATCTCTGGACCATACCTGCAGGCAGGCCCCAGCAGCACACCACTGGAAGCAACCGGTGGGTGGAGTAAATCATCATGACATGCGACGCTCAAGCTTCGAGTTCTGAGTCCTGGATTGGAGAAGTGAACGAGCGTGAGACCCGCCTACCCACAGGGGAGGAGGCCTTGTATGAGGGCACGAGTTCGAACTTCAAGATCTGAACCTTGGACCCCGGACGGTGAGCGGGCGGCCCACCCAGCGCGGCGGCTCTCACGGAGATGCTCGGACAGCAGTTGACAAACCGTTCTCAGTGAAGCAGAGAGCAAAGTGTGTGTTTCCGTGGCAGTGTCTTCCTGCAAGCAGACGAAGTTAAAAATGCCGAGCGACGTGCTTGGGGCTTCGGAAATGAGTCGTCGCCCTCAGGACACCGAGGGGTCTGCTTCCGATGGGAGCCTCGATGACGCCGCAGAGTTTTGCCGCCAACAGGGGGGAGCGGGCTGAGTCTCTCGTCTTTTTTGTTGCTGAAATACGGCTTCGTCGAGACCGACATCATGTCAGCAGCAGAGTATGGAAACCTGAGAGCCGTGAAGGTTCTGCTGAAGAGGGAGGGTGGCATGAAAACGGATGATGGGAAGACCGCCCTAATGTATGCAGCACAGTATGGGCGCCGCGAGTGTGCGGAGGCTCTACTGGACAAGGAAGGCGGGATGAGGGCCAACAGTGGGTGGACTGCCCTCATGCACGCAGCCGACAACGGTTGCTCGGACTGCGTGAGGCTTCTAGTAGACAAAGAAGACGGCATGAAGACTAACAATGGATGGACAGCGCTCATGCATGCAGCGCAGAGTGGTCACCTGGAGTGTGCGAGGCTCCTGATGGACAAGGAGAAAGGCATGCAGACCACCCGCGAGTGGTTCGGCTTCCCGCCCGGCACCACCGCCCTCGACATCGCAAGGAGGCATGGCCACGACGCAATCGCCTCTCTCCTCGAGTAAACGGCGCCCTTCCTCGTGTGATGTGGCTCTTCTCAAGGGCCGGATGGACAAGCTGTGCACGCGTCTAGCCAGTGGCGGCGTCCTCGCAGGGGGCAAGAGGAGGAGGGTGGCAGGCTTGCTGAGCCCGAGGCGCGCGTATCAGCCGGGCACGGATGCTACCCAAGGATTCCAAAATCCACAGGATCTGACATGTACAATTGGCGAGAGATCTTTAGACCCTGTTGATTACAATCAGTGTCTACTTCTATAAAAAGCCACGTGAAAGGCAGTTTACTCATGTGACTCCTGAAGCAGCGGTACAGACGGATGGCCCAGACCCCAGTAGCACAGACAACGGGGCCTCCGCAGGGAGAATCGTGGGCCCAGGCGTGCCTCTACGGAACCAGGACCGTCCCATGGAAGAATACGCGGCCTCGTGGGGATATGGCCGGAGCAGGGCGCCGCGACAGCTGGGGCTGAAAGAGCCGGGACACCACGAGGCACGGGCACTGACAATCGCACGCAGACCGAGGGGGTACGCATCACCGATCCCTTGTACCAGAAGAGGGACGGGGGACGCCCACAGTGCTGAAGGCGCACACCCACTCAGACCCGGCACCGCCCAGGACGCCAGGTGCCAGGCCCCGCGAGAGCCGCCCTGGCTCCACGAAATCTACCTTGCCTCTGGAGCGGCAGTGGATGGGCGTACCCGCCCCCGTAGGGTAGTGGCGCAGCACTCGATGTAGTCAATGAGTCGAGTGAATCGTATCATTTGGTTGCTTGTGAGAGGGACCGTTCAACCGTTGCAAAGACCGCTTGGTGATCAGCAATCAATCTGGAGATATCGTCGTCAAAAACCTGTGGAGAGACGGCTTGGCTGAGAGGTGAGCCTGCAGAGGCCTTAAGGTCTGTCAAGCTGATGGACTTCTGAGTAAGTTCTTGCTCGAGGAATGCTAAGCGGGTCACCGCATCCTCAACCAGATCTTCAGATGCGGGGAGTTTAGAGATTTGGTTTTTCAGGGACATCACCTGCGACTCTAACTCTAGGGCGTCAATCATTGCCTCGACTGTTCGGGACTTCTTAGAACGAGCCCGCTTAGATGGTGTCGAAGCATCCATGCTAAAAGACACTCTACTGTTCCGCTTATCTAGTGGGTGATCAGACTCTATAGTATTAGATTGCACGAGCGAAGCTGGTTGGTGGCACGTGGTCGACTGTAGGGCAACTCTTTCTTTTTCTGCTTCATGCATTCGCAACATCTCCTTCAACCAAGAAATCTCTTTCTGTTGAGTGGTTATTATTTCACATTTTTCTGCCAGAAGAGTGTCTCGTTCCGAGATAGACTTGTGTAGATTCACTAGCACTGTCTTTGGCACTAGTTCAGCCGAGACGATTGTCTGGGTATTACTGTGGGCATTTTGATGATCTGGTATGGAAGAGGCTCTCTGAGATGGAGCTACTAGCGGCTCACATGCAGATTTTGCCGTATACACCCCTGCGCTTGTAGATCTCTGTTTAACAACCAACTTAGAATCTTGGCTGGCTGGAAATGGCCCAGAGAAGCCAGATTGCTTCTCCGTATACAAATCTGTAATATGTAACGAATCGCGATGATTAGCTATTTGTTGGCGTGCCTCAGCGAGATCTGTAGAAAGCTCTGCAATGCGGGCCTCTTTTTCTGCAAGAAGGTCATGTAACTGCTTCACTTTGCTAACAAGCGGATTATGTGTCTGTGTTGGGAGTCTGACCCCGCTAGAAGAAACAGCACTTGTGATGAGTGCATCGCTTTCATCTGCTAACCCACTAGCAGCAAGTGCTCTAGACAAACCTTGATTCAAGGTTTGAGTGTGAACACTGGTCATGCTTTGTGCCACTGTCTGAACTGCACATGTATTTGTGAGCCTGTCTAGCCTCTCTGTCAACTCTTCACTCAGACGAGAAGCTAGGCTTGCACTTAGAGTACGAAATGACGCGCTCAGCGGTAGTACCTGGAGATGCTCATGCCATGTATCGGTGTATTCTAGATAGCCCACAACAATGGCCCGCAGGCACATGATCTCCTTTAAAAGGCAGACCTCCACCTCTGTAATGTCGGCTTGTTGCGAAAGGTAGAGCAGATACAAGCGCCTTATTGGGTCGTTAAGATCGAAGATCCGCTGCACATGACTTGCAAGATCTGCCTCTTTATCTATTAAGAGGCCATCAATGTATTGGTTCTGGTGCTTCAACAGATGCTGTCCTTTCTGGGTTGAGGCGCTATCGCCGTAGATCCCAGAACGAAAATCCTTATGAGTTACCTCTGCTGACAGATATGGCGCCAAAGTGCTATGAGTATCTGCAGATAAGAACGAACTCATCGCTCGCGGGCAAGGTATCAACAAAAATATCAGCTATGTAGTTTTACAATTTGTAATGGCTTGATCTGTTAGCAAGTGGTGAACATTTACTCCAGCTATGCAACGATGAGAGAAAGCCGGAGCCCACAATCAACTACTGGGACCCTTCTCTGTAGAGAACCCACGGAGACGGTCGCGTCGACAGAGACGGAGATTGTGCACTCTCCAATCGAAGAGGCACACGCCATAAAAGGCACTATGGCTACTTCAAATGAATCTATTTCCCCAATGATTGTCTGGAGGCCTATCATGGAAAACAGGCCGGTAGGACCACTAATATTGGCAGACACGTGTGTATTAATCACGGTAAGAGACCGGTTAACCATAACAAGGTCAAAGCTTACCTTACCATCGGCTGCAGCATTGCATCGGACCATTGCAGATAGAGGGCCCAGCCCAGGCGGGTCACGAGAAGCAGTGGGGGTGAATTCACGATTTAAGAACACCTTGTCCCCAGAAGAATAAACCAGACTAAAGTCTCTTGTCGTTACTTGACAAAATTCTTTAACGTACATATCGAGCACGGCGCTTTGAACTGTCTGCAAGTCCTTTAGGATTGTGCTATGAAATTCATTTAGGTTATAAGCAGTATCGTTTCGGTCTTGAAATGAAAAGTTACTTTGCTTTTTTAGGTAGTTGTATGCCAGGGGTAAAAGGCTGGGGCCGTATTTGTGTAGTTCTGCCCGCTTAAGCAACAATGTAATGTTCTCATGTAGCTTTAATAGCGACGATCGAGATATTCCTGCAAGATCCTTAGTCTGCTTAATCAAGGCCTCATTGGCCAGTGCGTCCGGTGGAATGCCCACCTTATTTTGTTGGGTTGGTGTGAATGACTGGCTGCGCTGCCGAAGTAATCTCAATGAGTCTTTGTACTGGTCACAGAGGAACGTTCCAGTGTAGGTGAATCCACTCTTCTCCAGAGTGAGTCTACACAGAGATGGTGGAGTGCACCGCTTTGAGAGTATTACTGCAACTAGCTCATCCTGACCGGATGGAAGAATTGCTCTAACGCTATGCTGTTTTTCTGCAACTGACTTTGCAATCGCATCCCTAGGTAACGATAGACTTGGCTGGCCTTGGAGACTGGGCTTAGCTGCGGAGAGGATATGAAGCTCTGCAGTAGTTTCTGACACGACAGGCCAAACAGTAATAGAGTATCCTAGATAGTATTCAACAATGAGCTTTCCTGGTTGCGCTCCAGGTGGAATAAGAAGAAGTATTGGAATCGCAATAGACTCGCGTGATCTTAGGCTCCTTCTGCAAACGATCAATCTATCCTGGAGCATGGGAGGCATCATAAGCTCTTTCATACAATTCTGCAAGACCCTCTTAATGTAAGGCCTTGCAAGATCCAGCTTCAGTACGGATTGTTCGTGAGGAGTGGCTGCAATCTGCTCTAGTTCTGATAATACAGCTAGAGGGCTTGGGAAGATAAAATCGAGGGCCACCTCAAGAGAGATATCTGTTAGTTTTGAAGACAGCGTACCCTCATGTTGGTCCGACTCTAGTGTTACTTCATCCAGATAAACACACGCCTCATGATCATAGACACAATATGCTTGATGGCTTGAGGAGATAAGCAGATTGGAAACATCGCGCTGGCCAGTGTTCTTCACTACCAATTGCCCCTGGACAATCTGCCCCGGAAGCACTGGTGAGTTTGGAAATACAACGGATATCACAATGTCAGCAGCATGCGAAAGAACGGGGAATGAGACAGGAGTTTCCAAAATAATCTCTGTCTGCTGGGTGGTGGCCCCATCATTTGGAACGGTTGATGTTGTAAGTGGGGGTAGCGAGGATTTTGACTTGGAAAAGGAAGACGACTTTGAAAGAGACCCTGTTGAACGCACATCTATGGGGAGAAAAGAAATTCGAAGACCACGGATCTCCATTTTTGAGATAGTTCGTGTGTCAGACGGCATAATAATTGGGATCCCACAAAGAAGAATGCTACCGCTTATGAAGGCCATCTTGGTCGGTATCACAAGTGCGTTTTTGCTTCTGAGCTCCAGGGTAGCAGAAGGAAGTGGTCGGTTGCTTTCATCATAAAAACATAACGACAGCTCCACTTTCTTAATATCATAATCCAGCAGCGGATATTCGTTACTGAGACAGAAGATCGCCATAGCAGTTTCGCCGGCTCGTATTGCTTTGATGTTATTTAGCTGATCCAGTAGCTGGGTTTTGGCCAGCTTGTGATACACCAATCCCTGAAGAGTCTCAAATGGACAAGGGAGAGATTTGCTATCCAATAAGATAATAGAAGAAAGGTTGATATTAGGGTGATAAAGCCCGCTAACAGAGACGCTTGGAATCCGTATCTCCTTGTGGATTATCTTCAGCTTTTCTGCATCAGCTTTTAAGAGTACCTTGTAATCAAAGTTTGTTAGTCGCGGAGCAATATGGGTCAAAAAGTCGACCAGGTAGTCTCTTACAATGAACTTCCGTGCTGGTGTAAACGCCTTTTTAAGGAACGTGTTAATGCTAGAGTCTGCATCCCCGTTGGTCGACTGAATGAGGTCGCTGAACAAACGAACTGTATAGCGCAGAGGGGTTTCTCCGATGTTGCGTACTGGGGGTGTGACGTTCTTGATGCAAAATCTAAGACTACGCTCTTCTATTTCTTTGGCCGTAGAGAAGGGAAGACAAAAGAGACTCATGAGCTGGGGGAGGGCAACCTGGTTTGTGATCAAGAGCCGTTGTAGAGACGCAAAACATGAACCTATTGGAGAGGATGGGTCAGAAAATGTTGATGGCGTATGCTTAACAATAGAGGAGATGTCCTTAGGATAGAATAGTTCTGTTTGCATCTGCTTAGAAGTGGTGTTCTTAAGGAGCTGAAGAATCTTATTTGAAAGGGCATCAATCAGCGTCGGCTCCTTTGTTGCGGCAGTCTGTAGATCCAATCTTTCTGAACGCAACGCCCGTGTCCTGCAATAGAGGAGCTCTGACTCATAAACGGTTGCAAACCACCATCCTGTCTTAAGTGCTGGCAGCAGATGAGGCCGATCTAAGTTCATGAAGGCATACGTAAAGCACAGAAAGGCTAGATTGAAAAGACGGTCGTTAAAGAAAAGTGCGCCTGCTCTGAATGCCGACTCTGTTCCCAGGCGTACATATCGTGCCTCACAGAGAAGAAAGCTAGAAACCAGGTAGGAAAGCGCTGCTGTGAGAGAGTTGATCGTGTGAGGAATAGCGTAGGAAAAGGTCTTTTCCACCAAATGGAAGCTCTGTCCCGACACAGTGTACACCAAGGCCGCCATTATCTCAAGATATCGCTTATAGTCAAAGAGGCGATAGACAGATATGCGTGTCTGAAAGGCGGGCGTTGGTGTGAAGGGGCTCAGACCGTTTTCAGCGTTTTGTAACGGAGAGTTAAATACTTGGCCAGACAGCCGGAAAGGGCTGTGCAAGGAGGCGTTGCAAAGGCTCACATGTCCCAATGTAGGGTCCGATAAACAATCGTTAATGATGCGCAACGCCTCTCCGTAGTACTTCAGGAGTTTTGAGGTGTCGTCGGCAGAAATGTGGACATGCGCATTATCAAACGAATAGTTTGCAAAGTACTTGCGTAAACTAGCGAAGGCCGCACCCTCATATGCCTCTGCCACGAAAGGAGAGGTCGCCTTATGCTTTTGTCTTGGAAGCAAAGTCTCGTAGTACGCGCAAGCGTCATCAATAAGGTTGCATTGCAAGAGTAAATCTGCCAGACGGCGAATTCTGTACTCGATGGGGAACTTCGTATAGAATGCCTTTCCTTGTGATAAATGAGCATGTGCTGGAACCGTACGAGTTGCCTGCTTAGCGGACGTGTGGTGACCGGCTAAAATATTGGCCATCTTCTTCCCTACGCTAACTGTCTCCTCGCAGCTTTCAGAGATGTTAAATAGTTTCGAAGCCAGGAATGGGATCAAGATGGTCTTTAGATAGTATGAGAACACCGTGTTGAAAAAGCTGAAGAGTACATTGCTTTGCTTAACAATCAGGTCTGAGACCGTGGGGCGTGCATAGAGACCTTTTTTATCCTCGCTGGATGGATCCATTGCCATGGGAGACCAGACAATATCACTGTACATATCTGCGGCGAAGCCCTCACATGAAAATAAGTACTCGAAGTAGCGTTTAGTATGCGTGCTTTGCAAATACTCAGTAATGTTAACGTCCGTTGAAGGTTCCATAATGTATTGCTGAAACAGCTGTAAATTGAGGTAAAGCGGCTTGACGCGATAACGTGTTAGTTCATTATGTAATCCTGGATCGATATACTGACTCGATCGATCAGTGGGATAAAGGTCTATGATCAATAATGTTAGGCAGACGTCGTTGTCAGACATGCCAGAGACAGCACCTTGAAGAACTGCGGGCAGTCCTGTGGTTATTTTCTTAATAGCCGCTATCTTCTCTTCGCGAGAGTCAGTCATTGCACAGACAGCCAGATACCCAACGGGGTTGTCCAAGAAGTCATGCTCAAAGCATCTAAACTGGGCGAAGCCAGCATTGGCGTATGCAGAAACTATATCCCGGAGGATATCAGACGAGATGCTTTCAATGGTGCTAGAGTGGAGGCTGGTAGACAAAGAGGACGTGGAGTTGCGTGATGAGCCCTGAAAGTGCTGCACTAATTGTCCAAGAGCGTTCTTAATGAGCGTATCATTGGCGCTGGCTATTGCTTGGTCAGGAGCTGGTGTGACAATTTGTGAAACACGAAGCGGAATAGAGGCTAGTTCATCGACTAGATACAACTTAAATTGGAGATTGTTTAACACAGCAGACGTTCGTCTTCCTTGGTAATTGATGTAGTCTGCAGTCAGAGGAGCTTGTACACGATATGGTGGCATATTCCGCAAAAAGTGGAGCAAATCTATACCATTTCGCGCACACAACTCTGCACTGGTCTTATTGATGTGTAAGCCAATAGTGAGGCGTGATCGGAAGCTTAAAGCCTCGGCGAGATAGTTGGGTTCAAAAAAAGTCATTTTTTAAAACATGGCCACTGTCAAGACAGCCATAGGCTGTGTGGTGCGAGCCATGAAACACGCGGGTATTACTTCCTTGACTCCAGAAACTCTTTACCGAGGAATAGCAAATTCAGAGATGCTTGAGAAATCGGACGTCTCTGCACTTTTCTACTCGCTACACGACCTTCTAATAGCAGTGTATTACTACCGGGGCCAGCTTGCCGATCCATCTGCCCAGCTCCAAGCCCTTGCCGCGGAGTACAGAAGTCGAGATAAAGTCCGTCCCACAGCGCGGGACTTTCTTTTGGTCATGGAGAACGCCCTCATCAAAATGGGATTTGCTTTCTCTATCACACGTACTCATGTTCACACCGCCGACCTTTGTAGGGCTGTGGCAGACTTTGATGGCCATACTATGGCTTTAGCAATTTGCTACGTTGTGTTAATTTCTCGCCTCCTACACGTTGCCCTTTTTACCTCTATCAATGTCTCAGGCATTCACTTATGTGCTGAAAGCGTTACAAAAGAAGGTGTAGTGAGTAACAAAGGGACACACAAGCTAAGCGATTCCAGAGGCGGAGCCAAGGGTGCAGCACCCATCCAGAAAGCTCTATCACTTAACCAGCGGCCACAGAGCCGCACTAGGACCCTTCCTCAAACGCAAGGATCTCTGTCTATAGAAGAATCCGTCCCAGAACTGGTAAGTAAGATACATGAAGATCTGGAAAGAATTCGTAACTATACACGCAAAATCAACATACTCTTACCTAGATGGTCGTGCAGTGTCTCAGAAGCACTGCATCCAGCAGAGATTGCAGACATTATGGATGGAAAGGCCCTCCCGAAGGAGTCGGATCGATCGAAGATAGCGTTATATTCCAGAAAGCAAGCCAATAGTCAAGAGTGTCTCCAGAGGATCGCACATGCTAACGCAATCATTGATATAATTGCATCCTTGGTGTACAGGGGGTTATCAGACAAGAAGTATTGGGTGGCTGCTCCAGGAGGGGGGACCACACCTTATAGGCAGAGGGAGCTCTACGTTGATGACGTGCACCTGGTTAACTTGCAAGTTCTAAAGCAGGTCCTAGGGGCCGCCTACTTGTCTACTAGCACCCCTTTGCACGGAGGAGAAAAGATGCTCCTTCCATTTGTCCGGGGAGGAGAAAGGTACCATGACAACCTGAGACCGTTCTTGCAGCACCATTCAGAGAAGCATCGCAAGGCAATGAATGCATCGACACGTACATACAACGACATCTGCAAGATAATAAACGACCTCATGATTGATGCCGATAACGTGTGCTTGAGAAGACTGCGTGACTTTGCCAAGCCAGATCCTGAACGAGATTAGTTGGAAGTAGCACCTATTCAAAGTTTACGTAGTCTATTACCGTGCGCTCCAAGATGTTAATCACCTCACGGATATCTTGCTTATCACATTCAAGGATTGCTTTCCCATAGTATCTACCTCCCATCTTTATCTGCAATACACGTGCAATTCCATACATAAAGAGACACAAGCGGTCGACGAGCGGGGTTGTCATAATGCCATGCTGGCTTCCTATCCCATGCCGTGACCCTCGGAGCTGTGAAACAGTCAGGCTATCTACTCCTCCGTGCTCAGAAACATGACCTGCCGAGTGCAGCTCCAATCCATCACTAGAACTCTTATCAGTGGCATCAAACTTCACTCGTAGCTTGTCAACGTATCTGTCCATGTAGACGATCGACTCCTTAAGCTCCTTGACATCGCTTCTTACTTCACCCTCGAGCTTTGTTTGCTTTAGCATGACGTTGTCAACTCTGGCTAATATCATCTCTATATTACTCCCCTTCACCGATTTTGGGTTGAATAGAAGGTGGTGCAACTTATCTGTTTTATTTTCCAGCTTTTCTACATGGACGTTTAATTCGTCACACTTATCCTGGGATGCCTTAGCCATCAATTGAACCGCTTTGATATCCTTCCTTTGCTTTTCCATTGCCAGGTAGACCTTGGAAAACTCGTCAATGATCTCAGCAGAAGTACCTCCCTCACGACTGGAATCGTGTGAGCTAGTCATAGCAAGGTCAACCCTTTTCTCAAGGCTTTTTAGCCTCGATAGAATTGCGCCTCCTTCAATTGCATGGGAATCTTGATGTGCGAATGTCCGCGTGGCCTCTTCTACCCCGCCCAGGGTGCTGGACATGCGCTGCGTGCCACCCAAAGTCATAACCATAGACTCCATTTGTGTAACGAGCGATGGCTTTAAGTGATTGGAAGCATACTCTCTCATATATTCCTTTATCATGTTGCCCATCTGGGAAACCAAACCGGTCTTAAACTGGGCCAGCGGAGATAGAGGAGAGTCAATGTTTGAAATGCGAGACAGCTCCTGTAGAATATTCATAGTTACAGAGGACACAATACTCTCTTGCATCTTGCCCTCCTTGGCCATCATTTCAGCGATTCGTGCATACAGAGTGTCAAGGAACGAAATATTTTTCAGAGAGTATATCTCTTCTGCGAGATGCTTAGCGATCTGCTCGTTTATTTGGTGAGGCATCTTTTCCTTTAGTTCCTGGTCCACAATTCCAGGTATCTTATCCAGCAAGTTAACATACGTTCTAGTTGACAGTGTCTCTATTTGGTTGATTATTCTGCTGCTAGTAACGACTTCCTCTATAAGTGCGCGGTTATCCGCCGTGGCCCTATCTGACTCCAGGTCATCCTTGACGCGTTGAATAACAATTGCTGTTACATCAGCAGCAAAGGTAGGAAGGTAGTCTGTGTTTAGCCTTTGAATAATATACTTGAAGATTGCTGTCTTGCTATCTACAAGAGATGACGCTGTGGTTGCCGCTGCAGCATTTGTTGCTGCGGCGCCAACCTGTATCTGCAAGCTCAGTATGGATTCATTTTGGGCCTCTATCTGCTCTGCAAGCCTTTTGAGTGTGGCATCAGTGAGAGAAGAATGAGGTAACGCCGCTTCTAGATTGATTCTTTTGAGGCTCGTTGCAAGCTCATTGATCTCGCTCCTGAACTCAGAACGCATGCTACGAGCTTCCTCCTCCAGCCGCTTTTCTATATTTTTAATGTGTGGATTGTTAGTTAAGCTTCCTGCAGATGTCATGTACTCTTCAAGGCTACGATTGAAAAAGGCCCTAAATACTGGTGTGGTCTCAGTGGTTAACATAGTGTTCATAAAACTCCGAAAGTGACTCTCTAAATGGAGTGGCAGCGATGCAGCACATTCCCTCTCGAGAGCATGCATGGACGCCCACACCTTCTCAATATTGGTTTCGAGAGAGGTTGTTCTTGCGTTTTCAATTGCAATCTCATTAGCTAGCTTTCCCAATTGAATAGTTGTGTCTTCAATAGATCTCTCTTGACTAATGGAGAGCTCATTAACCACACTGGACAGTCTCTCCTCGTTTGTCTCAACGACTGAGCTAAGCAATTTTGATATGGTCTCTTTGGAGACGACTTCCAACTTAAGCGTTTCTATGGAGGAACTTAAGCCAGACGTAAGGGCTTCTAAATCCTTATCGAGCTGTTGTCTGAGCTTCATTTCTAAAGATTCAAGAGTTTGACGAAGTGATGACTCAACTTTAGCACCTATCTCTTTGTCAATCATTGTGAACAATTTTGTTTTGAGATTGTTTGTATCCGAGTCAACTTTGTCCGCCAGCCGATCGAACGTAGAGATAATGTCTGTCATTGCATAGATGGATACTTCTTCCTTTAGCTGGCCCAGATCATTATATGTCAAGGCTCGGGGTCCTTTCATATTAGAGTTATGAACCTCCTCCAGGTACACGACCCGCTCCCTGAGCTCACCGTTTTCTAGGTCGAGGCGCTTTATAGTCTCTGTGGCCGAGGAGAGCGCGGTAGATAGCTCAGATATTCGAGCATCCATTGCACGGCTCTTCTCTTGCTGAGCCTCGACCAGACCAGAGAGATTTGTGATTAGAGCCATCATAGCACCAGAGTCAGAACCTTCAGGAGCTTGAAGCGTGTGCACAGACACAGTGGATGTAGAAGGCTTATACACATCTTGAGAGAGCTTGGACGTCCCGTGCGTGACCTTAGACTGCATCTGTATGTCTGTGAGCTGCATAGTTGAGTCCAGCGAGTGTAGCCTCTCACCTGCTGCATGAGCTTCTCTACTAGATGTGTCAATAAGCGCAGGAGGACATTCCATTGCAGGACTGAAGGCCCGCGATCCCCCTTCTTTGAGAAGAGTATTCCTTAGTGTCTCGCCTGGGTTAATCCAGTCCTTAGTAGGGCTGGAGTGCTCTTCATCGGGAAGGCTGCGTATAGATTGCTGAACGCTTTTGCGAGCGGAGCCAAATAAGCTGGATTCATCCCCTATGACCGGTGTTTCTGCTATGGGATCTGTCGGGGGTGTGTGGCGGGTGAGCTGGGGATCCACGATGGAAGAAACCCCCAGATTTAGATCATCCCTAGATTGCTTATCTTTCGAGATATCAAAGCAGACGTGAATAGCATCTGGAAGAGTTATACGCCCTGTTTCGATAAAGTCGTTATACCTTCGCACAGTTGCACTTAGTCTATGAGCTCGCTGCTTTAAGTCATCAGGTCCTATCCTCGCCAGGAGGTAAAGCTGAAAGGAAAGAATCTTATGAATCATCATATCCAGTCTAGAAACAGGCTCTTCGTGGGCAACGTGGTCTGCGGACATGAGCACGGGATCTATCAACAATATCCGGACGGGAAGCATCGCTACCTTCTTAGGATCTAATGAGTCAGTAAGGTCTAAAGAAGGAGTGTACAAAATGGCAATGTACCTGTGTAGGAAGGGAAAAGCATAGTGCAGTTTAGACACTCTTAAGGCAGAAGATAGCCCAACCCCTGCTTTGAGACCGGTCACTGACTCTCGCTGAGACTCAATCGGCTGAAGCAAAACAGATATATTTCTCAGGTGTAAGTTTGGGCTTGACGGGTCTGCAGGAGTCAGGCCGCGAAGCTTAATAGACTTGTCGGATTGGCTAACTAAATATAGATTCGAATCACATGATACAAGATATATGTATTCGATGCGTTCATAGATGGTTGCTTTGTCCAAGTAGCGCGGGGGCTGGCCAGGTGCAAGTGCATACAGCTTTGCCGTACTCTTTATAAGGAGTACCAGATACTCATTTCCGCGAAAGACACAGCAGGCGGCCTTCTCCGCAGAGTCCAACCCAAGTGGACTCGATTCCATGTGACTTAGGTCCGAAAATCGGTAAAGCATAGATGTATTATAATCATATGCAATAGCAGAAGGCGCGGCACCGTCAGATTGCACGAATTGTGGGATGTAGAAGACAGTAGATGGGGTGAATACCGATAACTCTGTGTGCTTCGTGTCTGTCACGTCAACCCACCCGTCGGGCATATACTGAAGGTATCGCGGCAGTGCTGCGGGTTTCAGCCATGCAGATCGCTCTCCACGAAGAAAAAACATGGCTATATCCGATTGTAAAGAGCAGGGTGAACCAGGATTAAATTTTACACTTTATGGATCAAGGCCTGCTCCTCAACCTTGCCCGTGACATAGAGGCCCAGCTGAATGCAGAGCGTCAAGCTAATAAGAAGCTGACAGATGATTTTAATTATAACTACGCGCTTCTGTTGGAACGCGACAAGACAATCGACATTCTTGAGGCGGAGCTAAATACGCTCTCAAACGACTTGAAGAAGGAAAAGGAGCGAGCCGGAACAGCGATAAATCAGCTAGCTATCTTGGACCAGAAGCTCTTGCACTATGACATAACTGTCACAGAGAACAAAAGCCTAAAGACAGAACTCCATAAGGCGCGGTTAGAAATAGCAGACCTGTCTCAGAAACTGTCTGACACTACCATACAGCTACAGGCAATTAGGACACAAGAGTCCGAGGCAACTAAAAAGGCGACAGCCAATCAAATAATAATAGAAAGATATGAGATGCAACACAAGATGATGGAAGAAAAAGCAGAGAATGCAGCCAAAGAAAGCAGGGACAGTAAAGAAGAAGCAGAGAAAGCTCGGCTTGATGCTTTAAGCCTCCATGAGACTTTGGTCAAGTTGCAGCAAGAGGTTGCTTCCCTGCAGATAGAACGAGATTCACTGCGCAAGGAGCTTGAGAATGCGCAGTCCCTGTCAGCTGAACGGCAAAGAACCACCAAAAGTGACATGCAGCACAAAATAACAACTCTCCAGCGTGAACTCCAGCTCAAGGAAGAGGATCTAGAGAGATCCGTTGCAAAGTACAAACACGACGTGGAAGAGCTTCGTCTGAAGCTATGCAATACTAAGGAGTCTGCACGTGCAGACTTGGAGAAAGCAGAAGAGCTACGGAAAAAGGCAGAAAAGAAGGTTGACGAGCTCTCTCGGGCTTCAGTAGAATATAAAGCGAAAATAGAAGAGTTACTAGGAGACATATCTGTATTAAAGAGCGCAATTATCGCAGAAAAGAGAAGAACTGCCTCACTCCAATCTGAACTTCAAGCCCAGCAGACAGACGTGGAGGGGTCATTGCGAAAACGTGCCTTAGATGCAGAGAAAGAGCTGCAGATTGTAAAAGATGACCTTGCTGCAAAGGTAGTAGAAATTTCAAATCTGAATGCAACCCTGTCCAAGCTCACCATTGCCCTTCAAATCGCTGACCAGGAGGCCACCAGGTTAAAGGGCCTCAATGCAGACCTGGAACGAGCCAAGCCAAACCCTCTTCTGGACGATGCCAAAGCTGCATCATTGCAAAGGTACGAAGACGTGATTAAAGATATGAAGGAGCAAATGAGACGTGCTGCAGAGTGCTCACGGACACTAGAGCTTGAGAACAATAGCTATAAGGCAAAACTTGAGGAGATAAGTCTCAAACTGGAGGAGCTGCAGCAGGACCATGACCGCGTTCTGGAAAAGAACAAGCGAATAACTGCTGACAAGGAAACTATTGCACTGTTGCAAACAAAACTAGCAGAAATAGAGGTTGAGAATGATAGACTCAAAAAGAAAATTGCGCTCATGCTGGACGGTGAGTCTGTTGAGCCGGACTCTATTGAACTCCTTCGCAAGATGCAAGTGCACATGAAACTGGCAGCAAACATGATCGCAACACTAAAGGAGCAGAATCAATCACTTAATCTGAAGAACAATATACTCAATGAAAGATTGAAGAAGTACACCTGTTTAGATTTTAAAGAGAAATTGGTTGCAGAGACAAAGGAGGCGACACCTTCCTCTCCTCGTGCATCGCACGCCTCCTTTAAGGGATCACCTACGCGCTTAGACAAGAACTCCAAGCACAGCCCTAGGAGAATGCAGCGGCTGTTCGAAGAGGACGCCACCGGTAGAGTTAACATGGATCGTCTCTCAGATTTACCTAGTAACATAAGTGTCTTGGAAAGCCTCTCAGAGATGAGTGTCAAGTTACAAGATATCCTACGCGACGCCTACCGGGACACCGAAACAGGCCTATAATAAAAATCCAAATTTTAAAAATTTACCGGGCAATCTTCAAATGAGCCGTCGCATCGTTGACGAAGACATAGTTATTGGACAGCGGATAAAGCCAATGACCAGGGAGGAGCGTCGCGCTCTCCAAGACAGAGATTATATGGAAAAGTTGCGGCTTGCACAGAGACGTGAGGATTACTGCCAATACGAGGATCCCGGATTCATCAACCATGCCTCGCAAAACTCTGCTGCATACATTGATGAACATCACAGATTTGCTGATAACATTTTAGATATCGAACGGAACAGGCGCGAGGAGGAAAGGTTGCGCCGTGAAAACTACTTACGAGCTCGAGGCGAGGCTGCTATGGAACGGTCTCGGCGAATAGCTGAGCGGGTAGAAGCGGAGGAGCAGGAAAAGCAAGATCATCTCAATCGTTTAAGGGAGCGTGGCAACACCAAGAATCTAAGTGGCGCAAACTTTAACCTCTTAACCCATGAGTACAATAGTGGAGCGGACGGAGAACAGGCGGCTCGTGAAGACGAGCGTGCCCGTGAGAGGGCAGAGTTGCGTAAGCGTGAACTTGCCAAGCGTGGAGGGTATGGATACAATCCACTCACTGGAGAGTATATGAATGGCCTATAACCGACAGCACTGGCGGCCATGACACGCGTGGACAAAGTAAATTTCCTGTTGGCAACCCAAAAAATGCCACCGCTGATCCAAGAGGGTAAGCTCACCTCGACCATATACTCTATCATCCGGGACCAGGAGTGGGATCAGGCAATTGAGATCCTGAAGGACCAGTTGGCCCAGCACCCAGGCAATAGAGCAGCTCTGTCGCTTCTGGCCTTCTGCAACTATTCTGCTGGGAACTACGAAGATGCAGTCAGCCTTTACCAAGAGCTCTGCCAGCGCCATCCAACATCTGAGCGCTACCAGCTTGCTCTAGCTAATGCCCGCCTCAAAGCTGGGATGGTTCAAGAGGCCTTAACCATTAAGGACGACTCACACAACGCCATGGTCATCAAGGCGTATGCAAAACATGAGCTGGACGATAGCCTCGGGCTGGCTACCCTCATCGACGCACTCACAAAGCGCCCAACAGATGACCCATGTGTTTTTTGCCTCAAAGGGAACGCCCTGCTAAAGGCTGAGAAATATACCGAGGCTATAGAGCAATACAATGCAGCGCTTGCAATCAAACCAGACCCTAGAATATATTTTGCTAAGGCTCTTGCGTGCTATCGAGAAAACAACTTCCCCCTCTGTCTTCGTACGCTAAATGAGCTAGTAAGCTTATCCGCCAAGTTATATCCCGACCTTGCTGATGCAGCCAATCGGTTTGCTGCCACTGACGAGGTTGCAAGAGCCACAATGATGAGCTATCAGGCACGCCCCAACGAGGTCCTGGCATCATCCCTCATTGAGGCGTTTAATCTCAAGTCAGCAGTAGCGTGGATCCTTGGAGATAAAGAGGCACATCTCAATGCACTGGACTCTATGCCTCCGCGCAATCTGGAGGATCTAGACCCCGTCACACTGCACAATAGAGCTCTGGCAGAAATGGAGAAAGATCCCAATGCTACCACTGAGAAGCTTCAATGGTTGATCACCCAGCCGCCCTTTCCGGTTGAGGCGTTCTCTAACCTTATTACAATCTACATACAGTATGGGTTGTTTGACCTTGCTGCAGATCTCATCGCGGGCAACAGACAACTTGCAGTCTCATCACTCGACCCGGATAAGCTTTCCTTCTTTGAAGCTGTAGTGAGTTGTGCCACCTCACCTGAGGAGAGCTATATTAAGCTTGACACATTGAAAACGCGCTATGCAGCGGCCATTCGGCGAATCAAGAATGAGATAATTGAGCTGAGAGGTAATGCAGACCAGAAAGAAGCCAAGTTGTCACTGGGTGGATTCACAAGTGCCCGCCTCACAGAGATGTCTCCCGAAGAGATGCAGTACAACACTCTTACTCAACAATTTGATCAGAAGTTTGGGCTTTTCGTCCCAATGGTCTGCTGGCAATGTGGCATCCTCTATGAGATGGGCCGCTATACGGCAGCAAGCTCAGTATTAAAGGCACAGGAAGACCTAATACATATGGACCCCACTTATTATCTCAACACAGCGCATATCTCCTTCGCTGCAGAAGAGTATGGCAAGGCAACAGAGGAATACAAGCTTGTCGTCGATGCAACACCCCCCTCCGATATTCTTTCCATTTCAGCCGTGGCACTTGCTAATCTATGCGTGGGGCTTATTCTTATCAATTTAAACAAAGAAGCAGAGACGTTAATGCACATTGTGGACGTCGCCGAGAAGGAGAGGTTGGAGCAGACAGAGGGGATGGACGTGCATCCACCCTTACACCTTTGCGTGATCAACTTAGTGATAGGGACACTCTACACCGTCCGTGGAAACATAAACTTCGGCATAAATAGAATAATTAAGGGACTCGAACCCGTGTCCAAGCGTTTGAGTCCAGACACATGGCTATACAGCAAGCGCCCTCTTCTAGCGCTGGCAGAGGCATCCGCGATGTCAATGGGCGGGCCTCCAGACGAAGCCCTCATAGACAGAGTCATTTTCTTCTTGGATGAAGTGATTGTTTATGGAAAGGAGATGGCCACTATAGGATCCCAGGCATACATTGGATTTGTAAAGCACACCACGATCGCTGAAGAGGCGCGCAGCCTCAAGGCTCTGTTTTTACAGTTCTATTGAAGATCGGGACAGGTACGTTTGGCTGCTCCCACAATGCCTGTGGGAAAGAATTTACTATACTCTGGAGCAGCTGAGTATATCTTTCAGTGGTCAAATGGTGGAATGGCATGCATCCTTTAGTCCAGTTTCGTTTTCTATCAGGCTTGTGTGAACCACCTCTGGCCTGTATTGACCGCCAACAACGGCGTCCATGGGCTTCAAGCTTGTCAAGCCACTACTAGTAAATAGCGAACGTGCGCCCCACGCAGAACTTGGAGCCGTGTAAAGGTGTTGACATGGAAGTGTGTCAGTAAAGTCTTGAAGGTAGCGCTTCTTCTCCACGCTAGTAGGGCCCACCAGGTGCATGGTCATGTAAAGACCCGTGGCTGCAGGTGTATAGAGCCGTTGACGGTGGGTTCCTTCAAGAGACCAATTACAATACTTGAAAGAGCGAAGAGGACCTGTGTGCACAGGAACCCTCCTTGATCGAATGGCGTCTCGTTCAGTCTTGGCTTGTCGGATGGCCTTTGATATGTCTTTCTGTTCATGATCATCCGTCGACTGGTTCAAAAAACGACGCTGCAACCAGATGTAAGTGTCATAACGGCTCAATGCAGTCTTGGTTTTTCCTATCTCCCTGTAGTGTCTGGCCTCTGACAGAGCAAGCTCGGCCAGGGTAGGAGATATGTCCGCGCAGTAGTAGGTCTGCATTTGTTTTTTAGTATGGCCTCCTGCTTTCGTATTCTGTGTGCGCTATCTGATCAGCGCGCGCTCTGTGCATCGGATGAACAAATAGAAGACATCTGCAGTGCCTTGTTGGATGGCTCAAGCACTCCTGTTCCTAACCTTACTAGTGTCAAGTATCTATTGTCAGTGCTCCAAGGAATTCACGATTGTTTGGTTGGAGATGAATCTTCATCTATCTCTACAACCAATCGTAGTAGAGAGCCATCTCTATTGGGGAGAACTGTGAGCAAGGACCCGACCACCAAAACCAGCACAGATAGCATACGTGAATCCGTTGCTAGTTCAGTTCTATCCAAGAGCATGCTAGATCACCCTGTTTCTGGTGAAAAAAGTACAGAAAAAGCGCCAAGGAATGAGGTCCTAGTCGTCAAAAACCCCCCACAGAAAAAAGCACAACGGGCTACATACTCTGCTAGGGAGTTGGCAGAGAAGAATCAGCACGCAATAGACAAATATGTAGAAAGGATGAATAGGGCATACATTATGCGAACAGGCCCTACGCGGTTGGAAGTGATGAATGGTGATGTGCCCCTGAGTCACCGTCGAGCCCGGGAAATCCGGTCTACTCAAGAGCTAGAACAATACCTAGACCTGCTGGATAATCCGTAATCCTTTATTTCTTCCCCTGCACAACACCAGCAAGGTTGATCTTGCGCGCAACAGTGTCCTTGAGCTCCAACAGCGTGTGTGTCTGTAGTTCCTCGCTAGATGCCTTAGAAAACAAATGGTCTACTAAGTCTTTCTGTGTGCTACTTTTTAGACGTTGCAAAGACTCCTTGATGGCATACAACGTCACTGTATTGCTTGATGCAGAACATGCTATCTCCACAACTTCTTTGATACTCGTTTGTAAGGCTTCTTTGCTGACTTCTTTTGGTCGTGCCACAGAGTGCTCTTCATCCTCGTCACAATAACCCATAATGGCAAACAGACCCGTAGAAGGGCCGTCTTCTACTTTTGATGTGTACACATAGGCCTTCTCATTGCAGAAGTCCTCACAGATGGTATCGATTAACTTGAGGTAGTTCTGGGGCTGCTGTATTCTTAGAAAAGTTAAGAATTCTTTGGTCACTCTGGACTTGTGGCACCCCTCTTGCTTCATGAATTTCTTTAAGTCATCACTGAAAAGTTCTGCAACCTTGTTTCGAATAGCCTTTTCTCTGTGTTCCCTTCTCTCATCTTGTATCGGTTCCCCTGCCTTTGCCCCACTTACTGACACATTGATCTCCTTCGTTATTACATTGATTGGCACGTCTGGTTGGTTGTAGGTGAACAACTGAAATAGGTCGCTCTTGAATAGCTTTAATGAAGTGACGGAGGCGTTGTCGAGTACTCTAGACACTAGAAGGCGCTTGTATATCTGTCTGTTGAATATTTTCTCTTCTATCGTGCCTCCGGTAAACACCTTGTAGACGATCACCTTTTTGGTTTGAGTGATGCGCCAGCAACGCTCGACTGACTGATCATCAATCGTTGGGTTCCAGTTGGGGTTTAAGAGAAAGACATGATTTGCAGCAGTAAGGTTGAGCCCTAGACCGCCTACGCGTGTTGTAAGGAGGAAAAGCCGAATCTGCGGATCCGTAGAAAACTTCGATATAAGTGCTGGGCGTGCATCTACTGGGATATTCCCGTCCATCCTCAGGTAAGCATTTTTGAAGGAAGCGGTTTCCAAAAGTGCCTTTTCAACAATGTTAAGCATCATTCTACCCTGGCAAAAGACAAGAATCTTATCTTGTGACTGACTCCACAGTGTTGTAAGCTGTTCCATCAAATATGTCAGCTTGCAACTACTTTCATATAGCTCAGAGTCATCAAATGGGGCGGTGCTCAACAGACCAGGATGATCACATATGTGCTGCAGTTGGACAAGCTTTGCCATGGTCAGTTTGGTAATCCCTTCACCAAATGAACGTGATGTAGCAGAGAGCTGCCTCAACTTGATAATTGCCTCGTCAGATGATAGAAGTTGCAGATACAATTGCTCTTGCGTGTCAGACAGTCTAATAAAAACAAGATGCTCAACTTTTGGAGGGAGTGACCGCTCTACGTCTGATTTTAGGCGTCGTAGTATGTAAGGTTTGAGTCTATTTGCAAGTCTCTGTGCCAAGGAGGCCGCCAAAGATATGTCCTCATAATTAGAATTTTCCATTGATCCCTTGCGAATGGGAATGTCATACTCTTGCAGAAAGGAATCATAATCTCCAAGAATGTTTGGTTGAATGAAGGTTATCAGTGAATAGATCTCTACTAAACTATTTTGAACGGGCGTTGCTGAGATACCAAGCTTACATGATATCCTAAGGGCCCGCAATGCCTTGATGCGAATTGTTTCTGTATTTTTCAAATAGTGAACTTCATCGAAAATAGCATACTGAATACACGGCTCTTGGCTGGATAGAGATTTGGGTGTGAGGACTTTAAAGAACGTGTTTAGAGCAGATGCGTTCCTCATAGCAAAATCATAAGAAGATATAAAGATTGTTCCACACTCGCCGATGGTCATGGTTTTTCCGGCATATGTACAGGTTGTAGAACTGCATTTCCTGAGGTCTGTGGCCAGGGAGGACAAGAACGATGTATAGATATCGCTGTCTGATTCGTTTATCCCATATGCCACCGCCGACGCTCGATTGAGCAATATGCAACGAGTGAGTGGCCACCAGCTGCGTACCATTTCGAGCCATTGAGTCTGAAGTGTAGACGGAACCACCAGCAGAACGTATCTAAGCCTTCCACTCAAAAACAGCGACGAAAGAGCAACGATTGTCTGTACAGTTTTACCGACACCAGGCTCATCAGCCAAGAGGCCTCCGCTATTGAGAGAAAAAAGACGAAGAATCCATCGTACACCTGTTTGCTGGTATTTCCGCAGGGATGCATAGAGGGGTCCATATAGTTTGTGCCCAGGAGCAACTTCAGTCAGATTAGTAAGGTCAGTAATTGCCAGTTCGCCATTAATCCACGTCTGTCGTCTGATCCTTTCCAAATACCGCTCCACTTCCAGATCATTTTGAGAGTCGAAAAAATACTCTTGTGAGTTGCCGCTTTGAAATGTATCTGCATCGAATTGCGAAAATTCATCGCTACTCGGCGTAAAATCTGTCGTGGCTTCAGCCTTTTGGTCTGGTTCTATGCATACATGCTTTATTTCTGGCTCATAGGCAGTGTCGGCACGCTGTTCTAGTTCGCCAAGGGCGTCCTCGAAAGTTCTTTTAGTGCCGTTCGTCCGCTTAAGAAAGAAATTGAGGCGTTTCCTGACGTCTAGGAGCTTCAGTTCAAGGGATTTCTGCTTAACTTGATTGGTTTCTGCGGTTAGTTTATCCTTTAGCGAAGAAATCTCATCATAGTAAGACTGAAGTTCTTGCTGAAAAAGCTGATCTTCCACATCCATCCCAGCTGCATGCATACTGTCTAGTTATAGAACTAGCTGCGAAAGAGTGTTCACGCCCCCAATAAGCTGAAAGACTGGATTATTTAAATTTTTGATTCTCCCTGCGCCGGTACTACCTCTCTCCCTGCAGTCGCTCAGGGAAGTGGGTAGTGATTTTAAAAATCTCCCTTACATGAACGCTGAAGAAACCCCTATTGATCTCAATAACATAAGCGGATATCAATTTCACAACTATTTGCACACAAGATGCGATGCGTTTACTGGAAACATAAACGCATTGGATGCAGAGGTTGCACCAATCTTTCCACAAGAACCGCTGACAGATCCTGATGTGCTAAATAGACAACCAGACGACATGCAGAATCCACAGTTCTACCGCCGCGAATTTGATGCATATGATGTAGAAGGCACCAGCATGATTGATTTATCAAAGAGGTATCAATCCTCCGCGATTCTGAATGAATACGATCTGGCGGCCAGACGTCGTGCTAATGATGAAATGCGCACAAACCCTGCATATAAATCTTTAGAATATGGGAGCATAGAATACTACAAAGTATACGATGATCTTGTTTCTCAGGAGAAGAAGTCTCTCCGTTCTAAATACGGACCGCCAACATGCTCCTTTGATGGGTTGACAAAGCTGCCCCTCATATCTATGTACTCGGAAACACTGTATGACCCTACAAGTCTCCGCAAGTATAGGCGTAATAGCCTGGCGTGCTCACCTGGATACTTCCGAGATACAGAGCAAATGAAAAGAGTTAAGAGGAACGTACGACGCGCATCGGTTGCATACGGCATGAAGGGGTCGACATTGAGAACCAGGAACGTCATGCATTCCCATCTTGCTCCAATCTCAGAGGAGCAAAGCGGAGTTAAGCCCGATGACTTAGACGGGTACTCTCTTGAATGCATTGCAGATGAAAATGTTGAGGATGCAAGTGGCGCAGAGGTGCCGCTAAAAACATCGAAGAGTTAACAACTATGTGGGCCACTTCTGTATATTGTCGATCTGCTAGTGTTTGACCGAACGCGCCCCTGAGTCCTTAGCCGGAGGCCACTCCATGTCTACAGTCAGAACATCCAGCTGTAGAATTTCTACTTCAGGCTGTTTTTCACCGTGTATACATTCTCCAAAGAGCAGCTCAGAAAGGGATGGGCGAGTACGCCCAAAGTCGCTATTGCAAAACTCTTTGATGTATGTCCCCGCCTGTGCAAATATGTCAATAACAAAGTAATGATCTGAGAGCTTTCTTATGAGCTTTAAACTATATACAAGTTTGGTTCGTTTCATTGCTGTCCGGCGGTGTAAAACTCTAATTGGAGTTGCTTGTTCTATTGAAAGATTCTGTATAGTGCGACATGTCTCCTCTGCATTACTCGGTAATGGCTTTTCAGTCCAGCAAACAGCACGGTAGCTCTTTCTCTTTTCATTGCTTCCCGATGCCAGCTTATCAAGAAGTTCCCTCCCGTTCTTCTCGAAAGCCACAAGAGTGTCTCCATGTATGTGTATGAATTTGGAAACATTTGGGTCTGTGTTGATACGCCTGGCAAGACTGATCCAGTCCCTACTGAGTCCGTTCTTGCTGTTGATTAGCTCAACTATAAAGGGTCTCCCATCGCCCTTCATTCGTACATCTATGTCTTCGCGTCCTGCGGCATGGAATATAGCATCATCGGAGCTTCCGTGAGCAATGAAAAATGGAATGAGCAAGGAAGACACAGATATCTTGGGGTGGAATCCGTGCGGCTCCCAGTCGTCGCCCTCATTATCTTCCTTTCGTACCGGTGTTACCAAAGAACTTTCTTGAATAGCCTTACCTTCGTAACCTGTCTGAGAAATATAGCGCTGATGCTTTAGGTACCGTCCGGCAATATATATCGAATCGCACTCCAGAACTGTGGTGACAGTTATCTTTATATTTTGATAACGTAAGGGAATCTTTGTGCTAGCCAGTTTTTCAATAAGTTCGTGGTTATGAAGCCCCTTGCCAATGATGTCAGATAGGAGTCCCTGTAGCATTTCATCGGCATCCTTTCCACGTCTGCGAAGTGCGTTATGTTCTTTACGCCTAGAAGCGCTCATCTGCTCGTACGCAGAGGCAGGTATCTCTGGAGGCGGGAGACTTGTCTCCACGTGAATAACGCAACGAAGATGGGCATTAGTAGCCACTGGCATCCCAAGTCTTGGCGTACAATACGGGCCTAACATGTACTTCAGTATACGCTTTATAGGTATGGGAAGAAGCTCCGTGAGTGTATCTTCGCCGGCATTAATAGGCAGGACTTGGGATTCACAGCTTGCGCATCCGTAAAGCTCATGAACAAGCAGGGCGTCTCTGACAATCAGACAGGACGGAGTCCGTATGTTAAGAATGTAATTAGGAGACTCAAAGCCCGAGTTTTGAATTCGGTGAACAAGATCATTTTTGAAGCTTTCCTGAGAGCAGTATGGAAGTATGCCTAGGCATGATGGACAGTCTGACAGATCGATGCCTTCAGGAAAGTGTACATCAAAGACCTCGCTAAGACCTCTCCTAAGTGCTTCGCAGGAAAATCCGCATAGTGAAATATCGTCCCACAGGCTTACGCGCAAGATACACCAAGGGCAAAACCCTCGCTTGATCATATATGCAATCAGGTCCGATGTGATTTCCTGAGTGGCAGGGTCTACATTTTCCCGATAGCTGGCGATTAGAATGCGGGTTAAATCAGCATCAAATGATGCTTCTTGGGTCTCTGTCATGGGGAATCAATTTTGAAAAGATTTAATGAAGGACAATGGCCCCTTACTGCACCGGTCTTGAGTAAAATACTATAGTAGAAACCCAGAATGGCTATGTCTGCCAGGAGCCGGGCTTGCATGGCAATGGATGCATTCACTATCTAAGTGTGTCCTTATGCCTTTCCGCAGAAGACGAACTGCCACCGAAACCATGTTTCACTGATAAAGTAGGGTCCCTTGCCACGTACTGAAAATCCTCTTTGGTTTCCGTGCACAAGAGACCAGCATCCTGAGATACAGGTCGAGCATCCGCCTGCTCCTCTCTATGACCGGAAGCGGACAACGAAGCGTGTCTGCGCCAGTCATATTGCTTCCAGTTACAGGGGAACACCAGGAAGCCTTCTCACTGCACGGGCTTCCATGCACTGCCGACGCAATGTTTGCTAAGCTTATCTTCACAAGCCTCGTTCTGCAGCTGGCAGAGGCGATACGGCCAGCAGAGAAGAGCAGATCTGACAACGCGTGCGGCGATCTAGGAACCGCTGGGTGCGCCACGTGCGACTCGAACAGCGGGAACAAGATCTGCCTCACGTGTACGGATCCCGCGAAGTTCATCGCGGTCAACAAGAAGAGCTGCAAGGCCGCCTGCGACGCAAACGGAGGAGAAATAGAGGCCCCGGTTGTCGGCTCGACGAAGGCCTGCAAGTGCGATGAGGACAATGGCTACACGCTCCAGGGCGACGCGTGCGTGATTCCCAACACAAACAAGAGTAGCGGCCTTTCTACAGGCGCCATCGCAGGCATCGCTGTGGCCGCTGTTATTGTCGTGGGGGGCCTCGTCGGATTCCTTTGCTGGTGGTTCCTCTGCCGGGGCAAGGCGTAGACTCAGCTGTGTACTTAGGTAGTAAACGCGTCAAGACGATCCTTGTGGCAGCTCCCCGAGAATGGGACCGGAATGCCGACGAGCAGCGGGCACCCGTGCCCCTCCCACTGAGGCCTGCAAAGACAGCCGAGCGCGCTCTCAGCAGGGCCAGATGCCTGGCTTGCCTGGCTCTGTAGTGGCTGGAGCAGTCCGTGGCCAGGCGGCGATGGGCGCACCCGGGCACCGTCCCCCGGGGTACTAGGCTGGGTACCACACGTGGCGCAGCAGCCGGGTCTGCTGTTCCTTGCGTATCTGTCTGTAAATCCCCACAGACAACTTTTATTATCCGCAACCCTGTGCCCTAGAGGCGGTCAGAGCTGTGCACCCCCTCTGCCGTCGTGGCGCCCCACAGCTCGGCGCCTCGGGACCGTGAGCGCCAAGATAAAATGATCAGCACTGCAGAGCCGCTGGGAGAGCAGCCACAGGCGGATCAATGCCCCCTGCTGGCGGCGCTCATGTCCAGGAGCGCCCGGTTTTCCGTGCCCTTTCCGGTCCAGACTATCCGCTGCCAGTACCTTCTCCAGCGCGGCGTGGCCTCTCCGCAGCAGCTGTCGGCCTTCGCCGAGTCCGCGTACCCCCTGCTTCACGAGTCTGCGGTGCGCCTCTACGCCAGCTTCCTCCGCCACAAGGCCCGCCACGGAACGCCTTCCGAGAGGGAGCTGTATCGCGGCATGACCGTCACCGCGCTTGTCCACCGCCTCCTCACAAAAAGAGCGGTCTCCTTCTACGGCTGCGAGGACTTCTTCACGCTACTGGACGGCACGCGGGGGCGCGGCTGGGGCGGGGGCTCGCTGCCAGAGCGCTTGACCTACGACGAGATCAAGCTCTCTGCGCTCCTGTCGGTCAGCTCGTACAGCGTGTTTATCAACAACAGGTCCCGGGAGAACAGGGGCGTTCCGGCGCCGTCTCGCGAGGCCGTCCAGAGCCACGGGGTTGTGATCGGGCTCATCGGCCCTCGCCTGGAGAAGGAGGGCGTCATGGAGTGGGAGGAGGTCGTCGTCTCCAAGGACCAGAACGTTAGGGCGCGCGGGTATGGAGAGCCCTCCGGGGAGCCCACGGCGGCCGCTTCGTGGAGGCAGATGTGGGCCGAGCTCTACGGTCTCCCGTGCCTTCCGCTGTACGACCGGGTTAGGAGCAGCGCAGATCCCGGCAAGTACCTTCCGATCGGGGACCTGTATCTGAATAGGCAGGCGTACTCTGCAAGGCTGGCGATCTCCTTCGAGACCCTTTTGCTGGAGGCACACTCCCGCGCCACCCGCGCCGGCACGAGGGCCTACGTTCACGTTGTCGGGATCGGGCTGGGCGTCTGGGCGCTGTCTCCAGCCCAGGAGCCCGTCTTCCTCGAGACCTTCGCCCGCTGCCTCGCAAGGCTGGCAGGGCGTCTCACGGGCATAAGCGACCTGGACTTTGCGTGGTTCACCGCCCAGGCCCTCCCCCGGGCGGCCTACGAGCACATCCGCGTGCGCTTTTCCAGGTGAAACCCCCACGACAGCCTGCCGGCGGAGCACAGAGGCAAGCTCCTGGTGGTCTCGTACGCGTGGGACGGGAACGCGCTCCCGGGGAACGAGTTCTGGGACGGCGCCCTCTCCTCCTCCGGCGACCCTGCCCAGGCGTGCTCGAGCCAGATCTCGGAGCTCCACAACCCGCACATCAACCTGGCCGTCTGCGGGGAGAACACGCGTGTGCTGACCGCCAGCGGGGAGACGCTGGGCATCGACGACTACCTTGAAAAACATGTTCACACTAGCCCCTCTACAGGGACACCGGGGACCCGTCATCCTTCCTCTCGCTGAGGAGGGCGTACTCGGTGAATATGGGCTCCAGGTTGGGGGAGCGGAGGGCCACAGATCTGACTGCCTCCAGCGCCTTTATCCCCCGGTAGACAGCCGCCACAGCCGGGAGGGGCAGCGTCCAATACACTGCCTACGATAACACTGACTATCTATTTCTGTCTCTTTAATTGTGCTCTTTCTTTAGCCTAGCAGAGATTGCTACTAATACTTCAAAGCTATGTCAAACGCTCTATCAGCTATTCGCCTTAATTAAAGGCTCTGTTAGAAGCTTTTCATGACGGTCCTTAGAGTTTACACAAGACTCATAACATGGATGCACTAGCCGAGGTAACCGCTTATAGCAGCAGAAAGTGAACGTTTTTGCAGTGAACTATGTGGTTTTCATATAGTGTCAGCAGATCGGCTCGTATGTCGTCATATTCAAAGGGTGTCCGATTCTTTTTATCTATGTAGCCAACGTCCAAAATGACAGTAGTAAGGAGGTGAAGATTAAAGCAATTACTTTCTATAAGCTTGAGAATTCGGCCTGGAGAGCCAATTGCTACTCGACAGCTATCATAGAGCAATGACCCCCGTCTGATCTGGTTCACCATTGCAGGCAGTGGCTGATGTCTTGCAAAAAAGAGGGAGATACCACCGAAGTCCTTCATGACAGATCCCATATCGCAGATTCTGTATGCGCTACTCGTTAAAACAAGAACAACAGGCGTCACTAAGCCTGGAGTACCAAACGTTGTGCTAGTCTCGCCTTTCTGGCCCTCTTTTGATTCTGCATCTTTAGCAGTGTTTTCGTTGTCACTATCAGCATCCAGGACCTTGTGTTTGGAAGCCTCGAGCCACTTACGTGCAGGCTCAGCAATGTGTGCCCCGTCAACGTCTTCTTCCAACTTCTTTATATTCGTGTGCCGCAGCTCTAATATTCGTTCCTGCTCCTCAGTAGTAAGTCGCGGAAGAGTGATCTTTGCCCAGTACTCTATTGCATCGCGGAAATTGGTGAGACGCCGACCGATTATGTCCATTTTCTCGTAACCATCCACCCGTGCACGGAGCTCTCTGAGCCTTATTGGCAAAGTAATAGCCTTCTTATAACGTATCATGGTACAGTTAGCCTTTGTATAAATGTTTGTCTTGAAGAGGTTATTCAAGTGTTCGGCAGCAGAAAATGTTGGATCTATGTAGTAATTGTCTTTTGGACGCCATCCGTTGTTGATTGCGGTCTCCACGGCTTGCTGACTGAACTCTTGCCGCTTTAAGCGACGCTTTTCTGTTAGCGGATTGACAAATGTTGGCTTTACAAGTGGATACTCATCTTTTTCTTGGTCTCCAGCTACACCCTGATCGTGATCCAGTCCAGAAGAGTCTGTATCTGTATCCCCTGTCGACGAGTGGGACATTGATTTTTAATTGCAATCTTAGCATGGTGCTAGAAAGTACAACTAGAGAGCCACCAGAGTGTGGCGCTATATTTACTACTTACGAAAATATGCATCCAGTCGGGCTTGAGACCCTGTGATCTGGGCTTTGCGGAGCATGTCCTGGCGGGCAGCCCCAGTCGGCTCTTTCTTAGTATATCCTCGGAGAGGTCTGCTGTGCTCTTTGAGCTTCTCTTCACGGACGCTCTTTGGATTGCCCCGAATAATACCCTGTCTGCGCAAGTCCCAAAAGTTGCTATAATTCATCTCTGGATCGTGCTTGACGTAGGGCACCATGTGTCTAGTTGCCATAATTTTGTCGAGCTCCTTTTCAGGAACCATTAGAAGATCTTCATCTGTAAGACCAAAGTTGTTAGGTGTGACAGACGTGTATCGGAATCGGACAGGCCCGAATCCTGGAACATAATCCACCTCGTCCATCATATTAAGTTCGTTCATGTGCCTATCCAACTTTGCCTTGATGTGTGGCTCAAGCTCTGCCTCGTGCTTTTCCTTCTTGTGACTGTGTCCCGAACCGCTTGTATCGCTATGCTCCGAATTATCCTCATAGTCCTGCTCACTCACATCTTCACTCATGCTGCTAAAAACAGGCTTTTCGCCCGGATCTTCGTTTCCATTGGCGCTATCATAAAAATTATCATCAAATAGCTGGTCCATCACCTCTCCCAGGTCATTGCCATCGAAGTCTTTCTCATCAAATAAGGGATGGCTTTGTAACTTCTCCAATGGAATCCCAGACTCCTCTGCTAGCTTCTTCAGTTCGTCCATTATTTCTGCCCTCTTCTCGGCCTTCTTCTTTTCAATCTCACTCTTCCGCATAAGCGCATCGTTGGCTACTCGTTCTTTTTTCCGCTGTCTTGCCTCTGCCCTCTTCGACCTAGTTTCTCGTATGGACCGGAAAACATTCCGCGCATAGTTGATGATCTGTCGGGTATCCTCTTCTTTGCGGTGATTGTACGCGTCTTCGTAAAGATCTTGTGCTTCTAGTTGCTTTTCAGAGTCAGAGACGTCCTTCAAATCTGTGCTTGATCGTTCGGAAACCTCATCTTGCAACCACGCTTGGGACTGCAGGTAATTCATAAGGAACTTGTCTGTCTTGTCTTCTGCGTGTACCTCTCCCGTTTGGGACGCAACCCAGTCCTGACAGACCTTTATAGACTCTGCATCGGCATGAAGTGGTATTTTGGAGAGCATTCTGCGCTCCTTGTTAGTAAGATGTGTCGATGGATCGCCTGTCTCATCTCCACGTTCGGCCATTCGCTGGCCGACCATGTTGCGTGCTATAGCGTTGAACTCCTCCTTACGTGAATGTTGCAGCTTATCAGTTGCTGCCTTCACACTAGCTGGTGCCTGAGGCAGAGCGTCGTCAGAGAAAAAACGCACATCCTTGTCGAATATGCGAGGGTCTCTGGCCTTTATCATGGCTAGGGTCTTGAGAATCTGCACATCGTGGACTGGGTTGACCCCTTCATCTGTCGATTCGCTATACACACTGCACTCACTCGAGTGTTCGTCTCGAGATAAATGCGTTCCAAGTTCTGAACTTCGCTGCATTGAATTAATTGTTTTTAATTAATAGAAATAATGCCTGGTCACAATCGCAACGCCCCTCCGGCTGATAAGGAGCTTGATGACGATATGCATATGGATATGTTCATGGGGGAGGATGAAGATGGTGCCGACAGGGCGCTCGGCAGGGTGATCAGCCGTGGCTTGCACTTCTCTGTGCCATTTTCGTTTAAGCTGTCGAAGGACAACAGCTCCGCGTTTTTACCCTTGGAATTTAACGCCCTGACAACAATCACGAGCATATCGCTTTCTGCTGATAATAGTAGCTCGAAGAAGCATATCATTGAACTGTGTCATGGAGCCAAGCACTCGGAGTTCAAAACCGTCATTGCCCGCCTTCTTCCAGGTGTTACAGAAACAATCCTGCCTGGGCTCTCTCTAAGTGCTCACACAGAAAGGGCAAAGCTAAACCTGCTGTATGGTGAAGGTTCTGTCGACATCACTGGGACGATAGAAATGGACCTCTCTAAGGACAGAGAAATCCGTGAGTATATGGCCGAAAACGACATGCTAAGCACGCTGGACGATCACCGAGAATGCAATGCTCACAAGTGTGACGATGGCGATGATGATAAGGCTGCTGTTCGTGCTCAAATTAAGCAGAAATTGGTGGAGAATGCGTGCAGGGAGCCCAAGCGTAAGGCAGAGCTTGCTGTGACCTTCGGTGATGCAGCCAAATCCAATGAAGTGACCAAGGAAGACAAGCCTGTGCCAAAGCAGAAGGGGTCAGTCGAGCGTACATTCCGTGAGGTTAGGGGTGTCAAGATATGCGATGTGAAAGAAGGTTCTGGTCCGGCTCTAACTCAAGGCAAGAAGGCCAGCGTCACCTACGTCCTTCGCCTCGGAAATGAGACAGGTAAAATAATTGACCAAACGACTGACAATCGCAAGTTCAAGTTCCGACTGGGTGAGGGGTCGGTCATTTCCGGGTGGGAAATCGGAGCGTCTGGCATGAAGGTTGGCGGAAAGAGGATACTTATCATTCCTCCACACCTCGGGTACGGGAAGAAGGGATCACCCCCTGAGATCCCTCCCAACTCCACCCTTTATTTCGAGCTCCAGCTGCACAGTATTAATTAGGGAGTAAATGCTATTTCTTGCAATAGACAACCATGCTACTATCCTTTTGGAGTGTGAAATCGTGAAGGGTTAGTAAATATTGCCGAGCGTCTGCCGAGATCTTGGCTTTTGTGAATTCAGTTGCCACTATTATCGTACTAATATATGTTTCCAGAAAGAGCCTTAGGTTTCCTTGCTGTTGCTCGTCGGGCTCAACAGTTTGAAGATTTGACAATAGATCTGCAAGAACAAGGACATAGTAATTGGGAGACGTAGGAATGTAGGGGCAAAGGCTTGTCTTAATACAAAAGTGCTCCTCCAGAACACGGGCCGCTGGGTCAGCGCTGTTGGGTAAAGGCCTACTGTATCTAGTGTCCCAGCGTATCTCCCTGGTCCCTATTTGTGCAACATAGGCCCGTGGTCCAGGAATATGCAGCTGCTCTTGATAGTACTTTGCAGCCTCCGCTCGTTTATAGCAGTAACAACCATCCTGGTTTGATGGAGAGTTCGATAAGGAAGTGTAGAAAATGGCACAATCAGGATATACCTGGGTGTCAGGTGCTCCACCTGCACGTGGAATACACGTTGCTCCGAGGTCGAGGCAGTAAGCACCAAATGATCGGGGAAGCATGCGGTACAAAATGATCGGGAATACAAGTCGATCGCGCTGCTTGTATGTTACCGATTCCACACACTCCAGCAAGAATTGAATTAAATCTAGATTGATGGATGATTTAATATCCACCGACCCGACGGCAGCATCGCTCTTCAGAAAGGAGAGGGCTGAGTATCCTGCCACAGTACCACTGGTGCAGATGGGGTAGTACGTCAATTGAGACTTATAACGGGGATAGGTTTTGCTTGGCGGTTGAAGCTTGCCAGTGAAAAATGGAAGAGCAACAGATACCGCTCCCGCGGCCTTATTCAGTTTGAAGAGAAAGAACGTTCCACCAGAGTGTGCGCCGTAAAGAGGCCGGTGGAGCTCGAGAAAGAGCTCGCACTGGCTTGCACGGAGAAGCTCTGGCTCTACATCGCCAGCCTTGTTACGAAGAAGAAACGGCATGTGGAAAGCGCTGCTCATGTACGTAAACGGATCACGAGCATTGTAATACCGTATGTGCCGGTAATTGGATGAGCTTGCCTGCACAGCTGGACTACTGTCCGGGGCTGCGTAGACGTAAGTAACAGCCAATCCGAATTCAATTGGGGGCTCTGATTCTGTATACGGCGGAGTTGTCTTTGCTAAGCCAAGATATGTAATGATGCCATCAGGGGAGCTCTCATAGTGTTCAAAGCCTAATCTAACCGCTCCGATAGAATGGGGAAAGCGCTCGTAGACATAAAAGCTTCCCACAGTCACGCCCATGCCACTGTCCTCATAACTGAGACCTTGGCCCGGAAACATGCAGACGTTCCTCAAAAAGTCTGTCTTACCTGCAGGTGGAATAGTGGGGGCAAACATAACAAATATCTCATTGCCGTAGTGGCTCTTCTGCTGACAAAGGGCCGGTATTGGAGAAAACCTGGAGATAATGAGATCAGCCAAATCACTCTCAACAGATGTGGATTCAGAACTCTCATCAGAAGTAATCGAGATGTAGGAAGCAGATGTGGATGGACCTGAACAGTGTGTGGGGCGGAGCGACGGAGGGATCAGTGTACGGGTTATCCAGCTCTGATACTGAGAGATTAATACAGGGAGCGGTACCAATTGCAATGCTTCTACTCGCTTGCTCATAAGAGTGACAGATAGACGGAGAATTGGGCTATCATTATAAAAGACTAAACGTGGCACTGGCTTAAAGCAAATATTGTGAATGGTCTCCAGTGTGCCCATGGTCCACGCAACACCATACAATATGATTCGTTTGCCTTCTGGAGAACAGGGATCTGATGAGATGAGAGAGGTGAGGGCGGGGTGAAGATTCTCCAGTGGAAGAGTGTCGCCCCGAAAGCAGAAGCACTGCCACGTAAACCGATTTCCTTCTTTCTCCATTTGTTGTTCGTGGGCAAACTCTATATTACTTTGAGCACATCCCTCTGTATAATAATGTGGAAGAAGAGGGTCGAAGTTCTTCCCAAGCGTGTGGCAGGTTCCAAGTACAGCAACATACAGTGATGCGCCAGCTTCCGGGAGCACGTAGGTTGTCAGCACACCCGCTACGGCGCCTGTGTCACCAAATTCAGGCCCCAGAGTGGCAGCAAAGGTGGCAACGCAAAAAGGTGCCTCTGAGGGTAAATCAGATTGTCGAGCATAGACCTCACTGCATATCTGTGGAGGAAAGAGGCACGAGCATCTCACTGAGAGGACGCGTATTAGTCCTTGCTTCATTCTGGAAGTCTTGGCTGGAAAGATTGATGATTTAAATTAAAAATTAAAGTTGGTTTACTAGTTGTGCTAGCCTACTAATGCGCTTGCTGTTCTTATTCTTTGCATTCTATCTTGCCAGATTAGATGCTGCAAGCCCGGCGACGTTCCCCGCCCACATAGGCAAAGAAAGACTCGCCACAAACGCCGTTTACACCGGGAGGTGCACCACAAGTATCGACAAAAAGGTCACCCCCGTTGCCACCTTTAAGCTTACTATTAATACGCATTCAGTTAACATTATCAAGCGAGGGTATGACAGTACAAGCCACATAGGCGTTATGATAAATAATCCCAACCCTAGCACTGCACCCAAACCCCTCCTCTTCGCTGCGGGAGGCTTTGGATCCACTCAATTTGGAGGCTCTGCAGCGGCGTTTCTGTACAAGCCTGGCCCAGTCTTCTTTGCCCTGTCAGAGGGAAACACCCACTACATTCTAGACTATGACTTCGTAAAGCATGACTACGTTGCAACAGACAAGGGAGGCCAGTCATGGTATAGCTTGGCAGAACCTACGCTTCGGGCCCATTGGCCAAAGTTTAATGGCAAGCCCTATGGCCCCAGGCCGGCTGAGCGGTTTATAGTTGTCATCGCTTTATCTGTGGCAGCTACCATGAAAGAAGGTACACAGGTGGAACAGTTGCAGCAAGCAATAACTCAAAATTACCAAGGTGTTGTAGATAACTTTGTATTGATTCCGGGTACCTCTACTTTGGGGAGTTCTACCGTTTGTTCTGTCTCATTGTTCGTGGATTACGATATCTACTGGGATGTGTGGGTGCTGGTGTTGTCTATTTCTGTCTCTGTTATTGCTATTACACTGGTAAGTGTATTTAAGTGTTGTCCATGTGCTTCTGTGAAGCGTATCTACTACAAACAACAATCCAAGGGACACAGCTCTGATGGGTCTATTACAGCTGAGCCAACTGACGCACCGTTGGACCCAATAGCATCAGAAGATACACTAGGGTTAGCAGACGACTCTGTTGACGCTAGTGGCAAAATGAATGCTTTATGATAAGAATCCGTTTAGCCTCTTTTGTTGGTCTTTTTGATTGACAAGAATAAACATTTCAATCCTCTAGAATGGAGTTACTTGATATAGTCGTAAGGCTGTGAAGTTCCGAGGTAGCCTTGATAATTTCGCGCTGGAGAGCTTGTATCTCCATCATTTTTTGTTGAAAGACGCGGTACATGGCATCTTTTTCCGCGACTTCAGGTTCAGTTGTTAGTGTAGCCTTTAACTTTGTCAGCAGAGCGATAGATGATTCTATGCTATCCCTTTGCATTGTTAGTTTGAGCCGTGCCTCGTCACATAAAGCAGTCATACTCCGATAGCTTGACTGCAGCGTTGTGTTGGTCTTTGTCAGGTGCTCAAGCTGCTGAACCATTCCAGATATACCAGCTTCAGTAAAGTGTGCTGATGAGAGATGTGGCACAGTGGAGACAACATCCTTCCTGGTTGATAGGTCATCCAGACACATGCTTGAATCGTTCTCTGTGGCAAATGAGTTGGTAATCTCCACATGCTTCTCTGGAACATATGGCGCACTCAGCTGAGGCATGGATAGACTAGGGGTTGTAGATATAATAATAGACGCCGGAGGAGAAATGCTATCTGTCCCTTGGCACCCTGCAATTCTCCTACAGAGAATCTTGCTTATGGCTAGGTGTCCCAGGGAGTCAGCTAGGTCAACAGCACGGCGAATGTCATCAATCGGGTACAGTTCTGGCTGAGATAACACTCGAACGGCATCCACTTGTCCTGCAGCAACCGCCCAATCGAGTGCAGTCCGCCCCTCACAATCTCGGACTAGGAGTGAATCGGTAATTAGGAAGGGAATACAACCTATATTGCCTGCACGGGCCGCCAATATAAGCGGGGTACACCCGTGCGAATCGACAATGGACCGTTCGTATTGAAGAAGAGGAAGGCAGCATAGCAGGTAGCCTAGCTCAGCCGCAACAAGGAGAGCAGTCGCTCCGTTATTGTTGACTAAACCCGCCTCTGTGGGTGCCAAGATCTTGACCATATTTGGATCGCAGTAGTGTACAGAGAGGATTAGGCCTGTATCCCCACTAGGTGTACGAGAACCAGAAAACTGCTGTATGCTCCGATTGACAGCATCATACCGACGGCCCTTGATGGCCGTAAACCAGTCCTTCAGCGTTGCAATTATCATTAAGTAACTCTAATCTTTTACTTACGCCACCAGCAGCCTCTGGTGCATCAACACTTAAAGTTCATCCTTAAAGGCAGTGGAGTTACTGCTTTCTTGGGAAGAAGTACCCTCAAGCTGGGTATCGAGGACCATGAAAAGGGCCTTCGCAAAGCTCTTTTTGTTCTCTATTTCGTAGCCAGCAAAATAGGTGGCAATGTCCGCCAACAAAACGGCCCGCTCATCCATCTCTGGAGTGCTCACAACAGGTTTGGGAATCACGTAATCATCGTTCGGGTCCGTAGAGTTAGCCGGCTTCATGGGCGGATTGAGATTAACCAGCTCTGCAATGAACTTCTTAATGAGATTGTGTTCAAAGTTAACCTCTAACGTGCGTTGCTTCCTGTGGTAGTCGGCTTCTCCTGCATTCTTGGAGTGCTGCATTGCCTTCTCCTGAAGCGGTGTATGCGAGTGCTTGTTAGATGCAGCGAGAGCAGGCGTCGAAGCAGGAAGCTTGGTGGACCGCTCTACTCCGTGGACTGTCGGCGTGGCTTGTCGCATGTACGCACGCAGGAGCTTGAGATGATATCGGGCTAGAAGCTTGTCTTCAGTGCGGTCTGGGATATCTGTGTCTGGCCGCTCCTTCTCCTTCTCTTCTTCATTAGAGACATCGTCCTTGGGCTTATCTGGAAGCTTTGTTTCTAGCTTCGCTATGTTCTTGATTTTGTACACTTTGCCGCTGTTTGCCCGAAACTCGTTGAGGTATGTCGACAGCAGCAGATCCTCATTCACGTCGGTAAGGAAAATCACCTCCAGCCCACGAGTATTTGCTGCTTCTGTGTACGGGGAGGCAAGACACTCGTCTATAAACGTGCAGGATATCATATAAATATCTTTCTGATACGAGGGCATAGCATCTACGTACTCCTGCAGAGTATAAAAATGTGGGAGCTCTTCATGGGAGACCTGGTGAAGACGGAACTTCTCCTGGACCTCTGGGCTGTTGACCATCGTGCGAGTAGTTGGAAAGAGAAGGAGGTGCATGATCTCCTCCTTGTTCTTCTTGTCCTCGATGGCACCCATGAAGAAGGAGCGCTTGTACCAGTGATGAATCTTGTAGAATGTTGCGTCCTTTGAAGGGGCCTTCTCTATCTGCTCCTTGGTGGGCTCTGTTATCCCATCCTTTATTAGCTCGCTGACATAGTTATCATATTCCTTTTCTGAGTCCTTCGCCTGCTTGTAAAGATCGGTGAGTTTCCTCACCATTGCGCGTGCTATTCTCTCGCCTATTTTCTTAAGAAGTTTCGACTCCTGTATAAACTCACGGGAGAGGTTTATGCGTATGGAGTCGGAGTCGACTATTCCCTTAACGAATTGCATCCATTGGGGCAGAATGGAACCTGTTTCGTTGGTGACAAAGACCCGATTAATATACAAATTCAGAGTCGCTCGTTCGTCATGGTACTTTTCGTAGTAGTTTAGAGAGGGGAATCCAGGAACAAAGATGAGGGCCCTAAAGTCTGCCTCCCCACCCTCTCCGCGGAAGTGTATCCAGGTGAGGGGCGGAGCCATCTCCTTTGCCAAGCTCGCGATGCTAGAATCAAAACTCAGTGCTGGATCAGGTTTGTACAAGGTTCCGAGATAGAAATCAACGTATTCTTCCTTCGTGATCGTCTGAGGATTGCGGAGCCAAATGCTTGTGGCCTCCTTTGTAACATCTAGCCACTCGCGGGACTCCACATACCTATACCGCTTCTTGACGGCCTTCTCGGCATCCTGGAAGGACTGCGGATCCTTCTTGCCGTCGGCATCGACGTCATCATAAACCTTAGGCCCTGATGCAGTAGAGGCCTTTTTCTCTCCTGTTGCACCATCTTCAACGACTAGGGGGGCATCAAAGACATCGTCGTCCTCTTCATCTGCGCTGGGCGTATACTCTTCACGGCGCTTATTGACCATCTCTAAGTTAACGGGAAAGCCGACGAAGCCAGAATACTTAAGGATCACGTGTTTAAGCAGGGCCGTATCAAGGAATTCTTCACTGTTCTCGCGCAAGTGAAGGACCACCCGGCTGCCCCTATGGGGACATGCCTCGGGCTCCAGGGCCTCGTCGACGTCTTCGACAGTGTAGTAAGAGGAGGCATCGGAGGACCACTTGACAACGTGGGGAGTGGAGTAATTGTCAGCCTTGTCGTGTGCACGTCTGGAATAGAAGTCCACCTTTTCTGCGACAAGATAGGAAGAGAAGAACCCTACGCCGAACATCCCGATAAGTCCGCTTGCACTTGTTGGCTTGGCAGAGTCTTCATCTTGTGAGTTAAGGCCAACCTTCTTTGTCTGCCTAAAACGGCTGGTTCCAGACTCAGCGATTGTGCCCAGGTTTGTTATCATCTCTTCCTTATTCATTCCTATTCCTGTGTCTTCTATTATAATGAGTTTTTTCTGGGTGTCGACACTAATATTGATTTCCATCGGTGTGTCTCCTTCACCGAGTACCTTAGCATCTGTCAACGATATGTACCGCAGCTTTTCAAGGGCATCTACAGCGTTGGAGATGAGCTCGCGGAGAAAGATCTCCCTGTCGGAGTATAAAGAGTGAACAATAATGTCCAGAAGGTTCGTGGTCTCAGCCTTGAACTCGTATTTCGCTTTGTTTTGGTGGTCCGATGCAGAAACACAGAGAGCCACAGACACACACAGAAGGAGAAGCATCTAAGCACGGATTCCCTACCTTTTTCTCTCTGTCTTTTTAGAAAGGTTTTTTGAAAGTTTATCGCATCATAACTCATAATCGCTAGTTCTGGGAGGTGAAAAGGGAAAAGGCGAAGGAGAAATTAAAGACATGCATGATTCAGTGGTCGCAAAGAAGAGGGATTGATTGCCTTGCAGACATCGGTGTCTCCGAAGTGACTGCACAGCCTTTTCTTCAGCTGATCTGGGAGCAATACTAGATACTGCAGGGCCATAGAGATATCATTTTTGGCGTCAAAGGTGATTGCACGGGTTCGTATGATCTCGTATGGGTTGTTATGCGAAAGCAGCATGTCTCGGACCTTGATGATTCGCAGACAGGAAAGGAGCGGCATGAGCCCAAGGCCAAAGGAGAATAGGAAATCCCAAAGCTTTAGGACCTCGTCGAGGGGCTGCAAGCAGGCGCCAAATGTCATGATAACGTCAAATCCCCATAGAAACCCCCTGAGATTATGCTTAAATAGCTTCTGCTGCAGCTCTGGATCAATAACGCCCATGATATCCTCGAGAAGGGCACAACCAGCATGCACTCCGCAAAGATCTGGACTGAAGTATGAGCGAGCAAGGCTATAAAGGCGACGGAACATATAAAACCCAAAGACCTCATCTGCAACGTAGAGCAGTGGACCCAGCAACACATTCATTCCCTGTACGTAGCGAATGTCCAGATCGTGCACCAGTGCATTAAGTACTCGAGATATGGAGCTCAGAGACACTTTCTTGTGAAAAGAAACGTTATTCGAGAATGTCCGGTGCACGTCCTTGCGAATCTTTTCAGCATCTATAGATTGTCCGCGTCTGACCAGGTCTACATAGCGTTTTGAGTTGACATACCCGATCCCCAGTAGAATCATCCACACCCGTCCGCGCCTATCAGGGGGGACATCATATAATAGGACAAGCTTCTGCAACTGGAGCCTTCTCTCACTAAGGGCCAAGTGAGGGGTTTCAAGGGTTGTAAGGTAGTACTCCATGACAGAAAGTTTACTTAGCGTTATAAATTTGCTTGGATTGTGTCCAAAATCAAGCAATGGATCTTTCACGCAGGGTGTCGTACCAAGCATAATCCGCCACCTTCTTCAGAAATAATTCTTCAGAGATAAACTGCGCAATCATATCTTCAACGGCTAGTCGCAAATGCCCCGAACGTGTGTTTTCACACTTTCATTGTATTTGTCGTTAATAAATTAAATTTCAAAATCGATAAATAATTACTGGGTCACAATGCGTTACTTGCTCTTTGAATCTGCTGCCGGGATCGCGATTTTCAGCATAAAGGAGTTTGACGATGTAGCTAAGTTTACAGCAGAGCTGCAACGCTCCATTGCCGACGGAGGTGCCTTCTCCACCCTGGTAAAGCTGTCTTCGTTTCATCGCTTCTCGGGAAACGAAGATGCTGCAGCAGTGTGCGCTGCCCTCCAGGAAGGTGTTGTTCCAGAGACTGTTCTTAGAGTGGTCCAGGGCATCATGAAGGGGGAGTCTTCGACCATCGGAGTGGTGGATGAGCGCCTCAAGCTGTCTTTGGACGCTGCAGGTGTGCCTGCGGAGTACAGCGGCCTCATGGTGGAAATTTCCCGCGGCATCAAGCGCCACTTTTTGAAGCTAATGGCCGGGGATGTCAACCCCGAGCAGTATGAGGCAGCCTGCTTGGGTCTTTCGCATCTTATGGCCCGCAACAATGTCAGCTATGATAAGAACCGTGCAGATAACATGATCATTCAAGGAGTTGGGCACTACGAGACAATCCTGAAGAACACAAATAGCTTTTTCATGAGGCTCCAAGAGTGGTACTCATATCATTTCCCAGAGCTTAAGAGGATTATGGTCGACCATCACGAGGAGTATGTTCGCACTATTCTAGCAATTCAGACGAAGGAAAAGCTTATCTCTGGGGAGACTGCGAGCTCTTTTGACCAGCTTGTATCTGACGGTGTCTTTGGAAAGGATGTTGCCGATAAAGTACGCGCAGCAGCGACAATTTCAACCGGGATGAAACTCCACGACGATGATCTGAAGGCTGTGCTATCTCTGGCGCAGCGGACGCTCTCGATGTTCAATGAGAAGCAGGCGTTGACGGACTATCTTGGCTCTAAGATAGCAGAGATTGCTCCCAATACTGCAGTCCTCCTCGGTGACATACCTGCGTCACGTCTGATCGCCCGGGCAGGGGGCATACGCTCTTTAGCTAAGTCACCTGCGTCGACCATACAGATTCTTGGCGCAGAGAAGGCTCTGTTCAGGTCCCTGAAGGCGCGTAACAGGAAAACACCAAAGTACGGCGTCCTTTTTTCTGCTCCACAAGTCTCCAAGGTAGACATCCGCCACAAGGGGCGCGTTGCCCGTAACCTTGCTTGCAGCATAGCGCGTACAGCAAAGATGGATTGTTATGGCATTTCTCGCGACACGAGGTTTGGAGTGGCACTGAAAAATATGCTTGAGGACCGCATAACTTTTTATAAGACAGGTGCCAATCCGCCGCGTAAGAACATAGATCTGATGCTGGATTTGTATCCAAGTGGGTCTTCCGCCGATGTGCCCGTGCAAGATTCAGCGGAGCTCCTCGTCAACGAAGAAAAGTCCAGCAGCCACAAGAGGGAGCACAGGAAGGAGCATAAGAAAGATGATAAAAAAGAGCACAGAAAGGATGATAAGAAGGATGATAAGAAGGAGGATAAGAGGAGCAGGTCAAAGGACAGAAAGGAGGTCCGTGATGCAAAGTAAATGATGTAGATGTGGTTTGCTGCCGTGCAGTTCACTTTGCTGCGCTATACAGCATGCCTCATATTGTTGGCCTCTATTACTTGAGCACGGTTTCCATCGACCACCACATTATAGTGACTAACCATTCCGGGCATTAAGCAGATGTCAACAAGCCACCCAATTCCAAAGAGCCCTGCGGTGAAGAGCCAGATAACCGCAGTGCAGTACTTGTGAAGATAAAAGCGGTGCGCACCAAATAGCCCCAAGAAAAACCACCAAAGGTAGGCAAAGCATAGCGACTTATGGTGCAACTTTGTCATTTTATTTCTGATGGATGGCGTACACTGCGAAGCCCGAAGTTTGCATTAACGTACGAAGGGTGCCAATCTATGGATTATCAAAACCCATAATCGGCCGTGTACTTTGTCAGTAGTGGCTGTTCTGTTGTCCAATATCGTTCTGTATGTGGCAGTGCAGTTGTGGCATCTCCAAAGAGACTCATGGCCAGAGTGTGTGAAGTACTTCGTGAAGTTGCATTGCCAAATTTCTCCTGAGTGGTATCAGCGGCAGCTGGGGCGCCGTACTTGCGCATGATATCAGTAATGTCTGATGCAGGCGCTGGTGGCTGCATTTCTTGAAACTGCTCCTGTCTGAGATGGCGCTCCAGAAGGGACGGTTTTGCGAACCTTGCGGCTTCATCTGAGTTCAGCGTAAGATTCAGGGCTACAGGCTTCTTCTTATTACTATCGATGAGTAATGCTTCCACGGTATTTCCAAAGGCGTTTGCCTCCAATGGAGCGCCATCGAGCTTTGCTCTCTTGAGGGCGTCGAAGTCCATGTACTTAGCAAAGAGCTCGTCTATGGTCGAGCTACTGTCCGATGCATCTGAGGTCGGCGTAGCGCCCTGGTGGGTGTTGCCAGACTGCTCCCTGGGAGGACGAGGGGGCACGGTTGTCTTTACGGGCTTCACCGCAGAAGCAAGGTCTGTTGATGCTAGAAATGGCTCATTACCATACTTCTCCAGGAGTTTATAAGAATCATCCGGAGAAAGGGCGTCCACAGAGTCCACGGCCACTTTCCCAGACTTAAAGCTAATGCTGGTGAGATGAGACTTTTCTTGGAGACTCTTGAAGTCCTCCTTGAGAGTATAGATGTCCAGTGCAGAGTATCCAGCAGGCTTACCGTAACCAGTCATGCTTCCTTTGATGCATTCAGCCTGATAAATGTTACGCTCCTCGTCTGTCAGCTCGAACTTATCCCGCAGCTCATCCAATTCCGAGGCCTTGACGTTCAGTTTCTGCTTATACTCATTGAACTTACGCTCAAATCGACTTCGCTCTTTCTTCTCCTCGTTCAGCGCCTCTGTAAGCCGCTCTATTTGCTCCACATAATCTGCCTCTATAGCCTTAATTTTTTTATTTTCCTCTCGTAGATTAAAAAGCTCGACTCGGATTGCTTCCAGTTCAGACTCTACCTTAGTGTTAGCACTTGTTAATGAAACTATATCGTCATCAGCAGCCTTCATCTGGCTTAGGAGCAACGTAATGTTCTGCTGGGCCTGCTGGAACTGCCCCCTGACATCTTCTAGAGATGACTGGAGGGTGAGCTTGTCCTGTGTGATCTCCTCCAACTGCGCGGCTAGCCGCTTGTTCTCGTTGATTGCCTTTCCAGCACGCTCCTGGAGCGCCTGGTACAGTTCTTTGAGCCCTTCATCGGCTACGTCTTTATAGAGTGCTTCGTTGAGAACGTCTTCTATGGCGGGGTTGAGCTCATAGGTGGAACGAAAGTCTGTTCTCGGCACGTCTCTCGCAGTGTAGTAGCCCTTGTCTTCTACAGCATATCTATCATAGAAGCTTGTATCCCCCATCTTCAATTGTCTGTCTTGCTGCGCTGACGCTGCAAAGCGAAAAGGTGAAGGGCCAGGTAAGTTTTAAAGATTTGATTAATGCTCATTTTATAAAAAATGCAGTCCTTTTCACTTAGTCAGGACACAATTGGGTATACATGTACCTGTTTGTCCAAAATAGAAGACCCGTCCACCAAGGCTGATCATGGGTACGTGAAGCAGGCGAAGAAACTGCGCTCAGAGCTACAGCACCTGGTTTCCTCTGTAGCGAAGACAAGCAACGTGTCTGTTTCGTCCGAGATAATGTCGGAGCTTTTTTCGTTCACTACTTCCATTCTTAGAGACAAACCTCTGCCTTCTATCGTCTTTGAGAGCCTTTTGGTCCTTACCTATTTTGTTCTGCGCGAACCAACCAATGTAAGAAAATTTGATATCAGGACTCTGAGAATGAGTGAGCCCGTAGCTGATGATAACGGTCAGCCACCAAAGAATTTCAGTACATATCTTGCCATAGTGATATGGCGCCTCTTCAACAAGCCCCAGCCAGAGCTCCACAAAGACCAGACCATCAAGCAGCTCCTTTCCTTGATCGAGAACCTTTGCGTATGCGAGGTAGGGCTTTCTGGACCGTCCTATATAAACATGTGCAAAATCCTGCTGGGCCTGGCATCCAGTAAAACGTATGCACCACATGCTTCACTATCACTTTATCATGCAACCCTCTCTTTAAACAAACACTTAAGCAATAGTAGAGTAAGCACTGAGTTATCTGAGGAGTATATTGTTACTCTCAGTTCGTACATTAAGTTCCTTTTGAGGATCCTCCAGTTCTTCTCGGATGAAAGCCCTACCCTGTTGCTTCCTGCAGGAACCACGAGTGGTGGCATCTTTCGGTTGCCATTTGGTGGTGGTAGCTCAGGGGACGGGGCTGTGACCCAAGGCTCTTCTGTTGCAACTGGAGATGCAGGGTTTTCGATTCGCTTTGCTGAAGTCCTGGAGCTCACTTACAATAGTGCTCTTTTCCAGGTAGTAGCACACGATGAATTACGGCGAATAACTATTACCGCAATGTATCTTCTCTTCTACTTTTCAAATTACTTTTACCTAGAGCCTGTCATCTTAAGAATCGTTTCAGAAGATTTGTTAACTATAGTTCCCAAGCGCTTCATTGTCACCCACTCAACCCAGCCTGTCATTGTCACCGTTGCTTTTGCCTTGCTGGAGCTTATCCTGCGGATTTATTGTTTTCACATTTCTGCCAAATGTATAAAGGCGTACTTTGAACATACAATATTTAAGATCTTGGAGGAGCCTGACGTACCATGCGGAGAGTTAAAGATGGGCATTCTAGCCCATATAGGCCGCATTTTTAGCGGTGATGTCCTCAATAGCACGTTTGTGTTTGGAATTTCCGAGTTAGAGCGCTTTGCATTCAAATACTCGTATCCAAATCACGAGCTTCTTGATGTCAATGATTACGAGTATGTCAAGCTTCTCTTTCCTCGCCCCTTTGACTACATATTTAATTTATTTGTCACTTTCGATTGCGATTTTGAGTCATCCGACCTTATATATCGCTTAGTTTCCGCTGTCACCGAATACACAGGCTCTGCATCGTCAGGCAAGAAGTTCTCTTCTCAAAAATATATGATATCACAGGTACAATCCGGTGACGCCCAGAATGTTTCCTATCAGATCCCAACCATGGTCTACTCCTTCCAAACATCTGTGCACAAGTTCTTCTTTCACCTTATCTCCAAGTACTTGCATCGCTATGAACCCTCCTTTGCATCTCCCATTACCACTACATCCATTTTGGCACAGGATGTTGGGATGAAGCCTGGAGAGTCTCCACATACACTGACAAAGACCACAATAGCAGACAGTAGCAATTCTACCGAGCGTCCAACTTCATCCATCACTCTGCAAGAGTCTTCAGACTTTGTTCCTAATCTGATCATGTATGCTCACCATCTTGGGGTGAACGTCTATAACAGCTCCAAGAGCTTTAACTATCTGTCTCCTGCTACCTGCTCGCTGACAAACTGTACAGAGGCAGCCATATATGCACTGAGCCGCATAGCATACTCTATCTCCTATTGGTCCTATTTGCACCAGTACGACTCTATTGCAGAGCAAAGGATTCCGCTGGAGTGTGTGCCTTCTGGCTCCGAGAAAACAATGAGCAAACACTCAGAGCTTTTCAACTATATGCAGAACAGATACAATATCAAGGAGCTCATGGAAGATCACAACAAGAAGCGTCTATTTGATAAGGGATATCTTCTATTTGATAGAAAGATGAAAAAGGGTGTCGATTACTTTGTTGCTAATAATAAAATACTCAGACTTGTTCCGCTAGACTCCCCTACCACACTGTCTCTCCCTGAGCCAGTAACAGGCAGAAGACGGTCATTTGACGAAGAGTGGTACTACTCTACGTATACCATGGAGAAATACAAAGCCGGATTTATGAACGCAAGCGAACACTACAGATCAGTGGCGCAGTTTCTGATTGACAATGTCACCGAAAATACCTTCACAAAGATTGGCATCCCACAGGAGGTTGTTGGAGAGATTATTGGCGGAATAGACAATCCTAACTATTGCACCCTCTATGAATACGTTATGATCTTTTCTGATAAGTGGAACGGCTTATCTACGAATAGAAATAGCAATATACGCCTTAACTCTAATGGCCAGCTACCAGTAGAGGAAGCTCTTCGGGATATTCTTAGCCACTTTAAGCTTCCGGGAGAAGGGCAGGTTATCTCAAGGATTATGACGTGTATCTCGTATGCATATGTGCAAGCCAGCACGGCCGTTATTAAACATCACCAGGTTTGTAACGGTCTCATGTTTGCTATTGTCATGCTTAACACCGACCTACACAACAAGGCAATCAAGACACAACGTATGACAAAAGACACGTTCTTTAACAACACTAAGGGTATAGACACGGCCAATATTCTCACGCGTGAGCTTCTTGACTCTATATACGACAACATAGCCGCCAATCCATTCTCCTTGGGTAGTATAGATACTAAAAGAGAGATTGTCGAGCTCATGGATAAATACTTTAAAGCACCGGGAGGAACAAAGACAATTTTCAATGGCATAGTCATCAAAGCAAATGCTCCAACGCCAGGGAGCAAGGATACAACTCTAAACATGATTGCCCACGGCCACCAGTACTATCCCTATTTGGCCACTGCATGTATGAAGGAGTGGATAGATGTCGAAGTCCTGTTAGAAAGCCCACGGAAGAGTACAAAATCAGTTTCACTGGATGCAGATTTGACTAAGGCTTCAGCTGTCATATATGCTCCTACCATGATAGCACGACTTGCTGAGAAATATCACTTTGCGTTCTTTGAATCTCTTCTACTCAAACTGGACTCGTCCGTACACCTAGAGCTCTTACACACACTTACTCAGGCGCCCACTGTCAGTGAGCAGACCTTCCTTTTGTGTCTACGTCCCTTCTTTACACTTCTTTCTCTTTTGCACTGCACTCTCCTTCGCCAGACCAGGCCTATATGCCGAGCGGTTGTCGATGAGCTTATTCAGCTAACTAATATCAAGAGCCTTTCTGTGTTGAGCATAAGTCCAACTAATCACGCACTGATTGTTTCTAGAGAGCAAAGCGCGTCTCATACAGATTCAAAGTTTGATCGATCCCTGAATGGACTAGAGGTTTCCAGGGCCAAGAGCACGTCTGTCTGTTACGTTGTTACTGTGATACACGTACTACTCGAGTTTGTCTATATCCTCGCCAATCTTGAGAAGACAAAGCCTCCTGCCATCAACCCTTTAATCGTAGAACCCTATTCCCGCACGGGTTTAAGCGGCGAGCCACCAGCCCTATCCTTTGCAAACCACTTTGAAAATAAAACGACTCTTTTGACCAAGATGTACATGGGAAAGCTATCTGGCGGGGATTGTTGGGATCTCTACCTGCAGGTCTTTGCGTGTGTTGAATACTACTTCGACGTGGCAGATAAAAACCAGTTTCCTCGCTTAGATCGCAGCGAGCTTCTTAGAATTTTCAATATGGATGCATATAAGAGCGATTCCTCGCTGACCATATCGACCAAGAAGTCTTTTATCACCTCTATGATGGTCCAGACTCACCGGATTGACCACGACATACAGTTCATACAACGATGCTTAGACCTTGGTGATAGCAATGACGATGAAATGGAGTGGGATGACGCCGCCTTGATTTATTACATGTACAATCTCCTAGATAGACACATCTTAGATGACATATACAACAGGTTCATGAGCTTTCCGTCGAAAAGCCTTATCAATCTGTTCCGTGCCTTTGTAAGCTGTTCTGCTCAGACGCTCGCTGCCACCACTAATGCAGTATGCAGCGACAAAGAACGCGCAGCCTATTACCTTAAGAAGGGTCTCTATGTCCTTGAGGGAATTGCAAAGAATTCTCTTGATCGATTGAAGAAGACTTTCTCGGAGATACAGCCCATGCTCTCCGATGCTTATAGCAACCCGGATGAAAGCTTAGTGATACTCTGCCTTGGGTCTCACCAATCAGTGATCAGAACGTATTTTGCAAGATTTAAGCAGCACTCTAGTCTGTCAGTGCAGCCATCAAAGTCTCTGGAGGTTGCTCAGGGGAAGAGTCAACACATGCGTTCACGCTCGCGTATCAAGTCGTTGAAGGTACCGCCAAAGGCGCCGCTTCTAGACGATAGTATAACGTCTGACGCATCGTCCGTGACTTCTTCAAATGTGTCTCTGAATGACTCCGCCCTTCAACGAGCACTTATGAAACCGATGATAAGTTTGCTCGAAAAGACTCCATATATTCAGGTGATAGATCTGGTCCTTAACTTTTTAGAGGAGCTGCAGTTATTGTACTCCGTTTCTGATAGTCTCTACACGTCAACCTCCACAATCGAGGACATCGCACGCGCAGTAGAGATAACCGTCACACGAGTGTCTTTGCGGAAAGGCGCCGTTAAGGGTGTTGTGAGTTCCTCAGTCCAATCCGGCGACCCCCTTTCACAGTCTGAACAGAGCCTTCAATCAACAGACTCCTTGGACTTCAAGACAGAGTCCTCAGTATTGGTCACTCCGTCCATCTCTGCACTAAGAAGTACATCGCCGTCTCGATCTCCTTTGCAACCTCTTGCGCAACTACCTCAGAATATGGAGGATGACTTAGGCAGGCTGAACTTTCTCATCAGTCGCTGCGACTCTATCGCTAAACGGATACTGGATCTACTTGAGAAGCAGAAGACACTTATTTCGGCCTGTGTCCGGATGAGCTATGCATTATCACAACAGCAGATAGACTCAAATATCGCCACTTCGTCTATGGGTACGTTCACCAGGCTCATTTATCTCGCCTATGAATACATGGCATGCTCCTTTTCACAGGTTGATTCAGCAGGAGCGTCTCTAACACATTGTGATTCTAACTACGCAGATGACCTGGCGACCTTATCTGTTGGAAATCCTTATGCACACTCCTTTATAGCTACTGTAGGGATTCTTTCTGAGCTGAGCCTGGATAGTGCTGAAGCGGCCAGACATATTGCCATTAACTTACTGCGCGAATTCGTGGGGAAACTTATGAAAGGTCAACTCACCCCTTGCAACCACTTGAAAATAACTCCGATGATGATCTTGAAAGAGGTTGTTGTGGGGTCACTACTGTCCTCTATTTCTGCGCGAACCAAGGCTGAACCTCGAATGTCGCTTTGTGCATGTAACGCCAGCAACCTTTACGTGCTAACAAACCATGATCCTGGCAAAAGAATCCCTATCCTAAAGAATTTGTTGAAGATCAGGCAGAAGGGTGAGCCTGTTCTAGTTCTAGAAAGCACGCGCTTGCAGATCTGTGAGGATTCTGGCTGTGGGTACCACACAGTGCTTGATACACTTCTTGATTATCTTCTGGATCAGCGGATGAGCACCGCCATATATAGTGTGGTCCTCTATGGACTGGAGAACGTTATATTTACGACTGGGAGCCGCACCATACTCACCTTCTACAAAATTCTTACATCGTATTTGTGCGACATACTAAGCATCCTTATAGAGCGGCAGATTCAAATCTCTGGCGGGGAGAGTCTGGAGTTAGAGATTGTGCACGCCATGGGGTACACCAGTCCTGCACAGGCTCTGAAGTTCATGACCAGTCTTGTAGACGCTGTGGAAAGTTGGGTAGAGAACACAAAAGCCAGGCAGTCCCTAGTGGCAGAGGGGCAGCAGAAAGGAGGTGATGGGGCGTCTAGCGGATCATCCGGAAGTTACATAGGCATATACGATTATATCTCCCATTTAATTAATACCTATGCACGGCTCTATGAACATTTAGAACAAGTAGCACAGGGCATAGAATTGGAGCACTTGCGTGGATTGATTTTTCGTCTAATTACTATGATTGAATTGATTCAGAAAAGTAAGTTCTCTGGAGCTGATGATGAGAATACCTTGCTAGTCGGGCTCTTCATAGCAGGCTCGCGCATGAACGGAGATAGCGCCATAGACCAGGTTGTGTTGACTAAGATCATTGAAGTGCTTCAAGTCTACACAGACCTTTTGGAAAAGGCAGAGTCTTCACAGTCACGTGCACACGAGAACATGGTTATCGTTGTTGGGGCTGCACTCACTAGTCTTGCAAGCCTGCGATGGGAGCAGATAGCGTCTCAACGAAAAACCCTATTCAATCTCTGCATAAGCCTGATTGTTAGTGATTCTCGCGAAATCCGAATAAAGATAGCTGTGGCCATGAAAGCGCTTTTTCTTCAATAGCCCGTTCCATCACCTGCTTACAGGTTATGGTCTGCAATCGGCCCCCCGAGCTACTGGTGTAAATACAATACATGTATTACGTCCTCGTGCGCCACTCAAGTGATTGACGCCCTTCTCCATCGGATTAGGCCGGATCGTAGTGTTGAGTCTGGCGGACAATAAAAGCCTAAAATGACACTTTTACCGAAGCATTCACTGTGTGTAACAATGAATGTGCAGGGAAGTTCTCGCAAAGACGGGGACAGTAGTTCCGTCTGGCAAGGCTACGATCCCGGGCCACAGGTCTGGTGTGAACGCCAAACCCCTATTCTCCCTCCAGGTTTAACCCGACAAAATGGAGCGTTTTTGGGTGACGGCCGCATCAATCAGTGTGAGGAATTAGAAGCAATACCACGAATAGGGGTGTCTTGCGACGGAGAGTTGCAATTTAATGACTCTGCACGCCTTACTCCTATTGAACAAACAGATCCACACACCTTTAAATTGGCAACGCCCCCCTTCTGCTATAATAGCGTCCCATACTCTAGCCCTATGATTCAGCCCAGTTCCGGGGTCGATTACTATAGCGAGCCCCATCAGCCAGCGCATGTGCAGCGTGACCCCATCCCGTGTGGCGCCAACGGGGTCTTGCCGGCTATTCCTTATCCAGTGGACACCAATGGCTTTACTCCGCTCTGCACCAATCCTCCTCTCCATCCCGCACTGATCTCATACATTCCAATAGCTACCCCCACCTCATATGAGGCACCCCATCTTTCCTTTCCAATCCTGTCGCCGCCTGCGCCCATGGCACTTGACACATACACGAAGTTCCCCTCTGAAGTCTTCCCCTACATGCAGGACACTGTGCATGCGCCACATGTTCTCCCATACTCACTGGACGCAGACACAGACCGAACCTCCTGCTGCTCAAGCCCTATTTTCGGTATGCAGAGCCCAGTGCCGACTCGCTCGGCCACATGCTCTGTGGATCTATCACAGACCACACCACAAAGGATAACTACTATGAGGCCCTGTCCTCTTTCATTTACTCTGACCCACTCGGCTCTTTCAGACACCCACAACTCGACCACTACTGTCTTTTCCAATGAGCCTATCGCTCCTCAGCCAGACCTTCCTACGAACGACTACGAACGAAAGTTAGTTCTTTCATTCAAGGAACCCACCGGGTGCAAGATCCTCCAGCAGTATTTGGCTGACTTTCCCGACAAGTCTCGTTATTTGCTGGACGTCTTTATTGCTGAGTATAGTACTCCGTCCCTAATGGAGAGTCTGCTAATCCATCCCTCGGGTAACTACTGCTTTCAGAAGATCATTGAAAGTTCTGATGCAAGTCAGAGGCTAAGGATTCTACTTCTCATTCAGGATTCCCTCTTTGACATTTGCCAAAATCTGCATGGAACCCGGTCTATTCAGAAGCTGTTTGAGCGTGTCTCTTCAGACGAGGAAAAGGCCATAATTGCCCAACAACTTGGAGCAGGTGACAGAATTATAAAGCTAATCGTAGACATCAATGGCAATCACTGTGTGCAGCGCTGTATTGAGACCTTTGCGCCGAAGGATTGTACCTTTATATATGACCAGATAATCCGGGAGCTCGTGCTTGTAGGCACCCACCAACACGGCTGTTGCATCATACAGCGCTGCCTGGATCTCTGCAGTGAGGCGCAGCGTGTACAGATTGTCACAGCCATCAAGAATCACGTTATGGAGCTTATAGTCGATCGCTTCGGGAATTATGTATTTCAGTATTCGCTAGAGAAAGCAAACAACGGTTTATGCGGTTTGATCTCGGCAGACGACCTGATCAGACCCATTTTGGGGCACGAGGGATCTCTCGTCAATCAGAAGTTTTCCTCCCACGCCGTCGAAAAGTGCCTCAAGTACGGTAGTAGAAGGATGCGCACGCTTATCACCGAAAACCTTATGGCCAGCAGCAGTTTTCTTTCCTCGGCCATGGACAAATTTGGGAATTATGTTGTGCAGAAGGCATTTATTGGTGCCACAGACGAGCAAAAGAGGACCATATCTCAGAGGGTTCTTACCTCTCCTGAGGTGCTGAACTGCAGTTATAGCCGGCATCTTGTCCAAATGTGTGAAAAGTTTGCAAATTCACACAAATCCAGATGAAGTTGTAAATTCCTCCATCAACTTTCCAATCATTTCTAACAGAATCACTATGAAAATAACGACATGATGTGATGGATGAGCGGTTTGTCATGACAAATAAGAGGTGTGGCGAGTGAAAGTGTTGCTTAAAAATTGAACTTATAGAGCTACCCAGATGTCTACTCACGTGGTGGATGCCAGTCCCAGTAAGGCAGCACCATCAGCACTTGCCGCAGCCAAGGGCAGTGAGATGGCCCTGTCTCAAGAACAGTTTGGAAGCCCCACTATCACCACGAAAGAGCTTACCCAGTTCAGGTCGCAAACAACCTTTGGTAGCACTTCTGAGCTCCTGCCAACGGTATCTCTCCCCATCTTCCCCGAAGACAACTGCAATAGATCGCCCTCCAATGCCACACTTGTCAATAACGTAGACGCAGATGATAAGGACACCATTGAGTATAAACGCCTCGGTGCCAAATCTCCATGTGTTACCCTACTAAGTCTCTCGTTGGGCCCCCTTCTGTCTAATATTTTCACCTCGCTGGTTTCGATTGTTTTATCAGTCTATGTCTCTAAAGCTCTTTTAAATTCCAACGCGGCTGTCGCTGCATTAACAATAGCTGCGGTTCCTGAGTTCATTGCCAACTCCATAGCGTGGGCCTTGCTGATAGGGTCATCGGCCACGGTCAGCGGCTCTCTTGGGAAGGGTGACATCATCGGGGCCCGGACAGCTGCCATTAACGCTGTGACCATGGCGCTCATCTTCGGCATTCTCATGCTTATCATCATGCTTCCCTCAGCACGGCAAATCCTCCTTTCACTGGCGAGCAGCGAGCACTCCTCTGATATAATATCTATAGCTTATGACTACATCTTTGTGTTCATATGTGGAATACCAATAACTGCTCTCAATTTCACGCTCAACGGAATCATGTCCGGAACGGGGAACGTAAAGCTTGTCAGTATATGCAACATCATTGATGTTGTACTTACGCTGGGGGTTTTTGCTCCCATCTTTCTCTTTGTTCCCGCCACAAATGCCAGTCTGGGTGTTCGGGGAGCAAGTTTAGCGATTGTTCTATCGCGAACCCTTGTTTGCCTTATCTATCTGTATGTCTACATTTTCCGAGGAAACGTGCGAATGGATTGGAGATTGCTGCATCAAAACCGCACCTTTGCATATGTCAAGGCGATCCTTGGAGTTGGATGCATTGACCTTATAAGCTCGCTGAGTGGAACAGTCATCTTAGGCATCGTGAGTACCTTTGTCTCCAAGTTGGCGACTGACTACGCAAATCGCAATCCAAATGGCAACGAGAAGCAAACCTACGAGGAGGTTATGGCCTCATGGGCCTGTCTCAATCGTATCTACAACCTCGTTGTTGCCATAAGCTTTGGGGTGACGGGAGGATATCTAGCTCCCGCCTCCTACGCCTATGGGCGCAAGCTGTATGATAGATTCATCTCGCTTACCTGGAGTTGCTTTATTTATGACAGTGTTCTGCTTCTGCTACTAGGGGTGCTATTTATCATAATAATCCCGTGGTTCTCCCAGATCTTTAGCACGTCTGAGCTATACACCATGATGTCTACTCAGATAGTAAGAATAATGCTAGCCACGTCCGCAATACTCCCGTTTCAGTTTATCATTACAACCATTTGCCAGGCATGCAATATGATTCTAATCGGATTGCTAGTGGGGGTGGCCACCCAAGTTTTTATTCTCCCCGCCTGTTTCATTATTATCTATTATGTCTCATTCAAGTACATCCCCGAAGATGTCTGGCTCCGCTACCGCCTTTGCATACTCAGCTTCACGTTCAATGATATTTTGTCGGGAGTGGTTAGTATCGGGGTCTGGATTTATTCGATGCGCAAGCTCAAACGGCTGGCTCGAGCGCAGGACGTAGAGAAACCAGCAGACAAGCGTTAGATTAGATAGACAATCTGTGTTGATGCAAAATAGTAAATGGTTTACTTGCCACTCGCTGACACCTACTCACTGGTAGGCTTGGTCTCTGAGGGCATAGATCTCGCTGAGCTCCTTAGGAGCACCGGGGAGGACAATGGGGCCATCCGGAGTGACCAGGACGTCATCCTCAATCCGATACCCTCCGCACTCTGCGCGATACTCCTCCACCACATCGAAGTTGATGTGTGGCGCGATGATGGGGTCATCATACGCTCTTGCGAGGAAGCCCGGGACAAAGTAGAGTCCTGGCTCGACCGTGATGACCATGCGCGGAGCCAGGGTGCGGCGGGTACGCAGTCTGCAGAGCCTAGGATCTGTCGAGCGCGGAATGTCGTCCCTGTAGCCACCAACATCATGGACATCAAGGCCGATCAGATGACCGAGCCCGTGTGGCATGAAGATGGTGGGCACGCCAGCCTCCATCTGGTCCGTGAACGATCCTTCGGACCTGACAATGCCGCACTCGCGGAGGCCCTGGAGGATGACGGAAAGGGCGTGCATATGAACGTTCTCCCACGGAGTACCAGGCTGGCACATGGCTATGCACTCCTTGTTTGCGCGGAGGACAACGTTATAGAGGGCCTCCTGGCGCGGAGTAAAGCGCTGGCTGACAGGGAAGGTACGTGTGTGATCCGAGGCATAGCCGTTGACCTCGCAGCCAGAGTCGAGGAGAAACGTGTCCCCAGCGTTAAGCTTGTAGACGTTGTCAACGTAGTGGAGGATCGACGCGTGCTGTCCTCCTGCTGTGATACAATCGAAGGACGTATGCCTGCATCCACGGGCCATGACGTAGCCGACATAGAGCGCCTCGGCGTGAAACTCGTGCATCTTATCCGTAAGGAGCTTCATAACGGCCCTCTGGGCGTCTGCACCAGCCTGTGCGGCCTTGGTCATCTGCTCTATCTCCCAGTCTGTCTTGTAGACCCTGGCTTCCGCAATCACCGGGCCAAGGTCCTTGAGGACAAGAGCGCCCTCTGGAAACTCAATATTGGGTAGACCATCGACTATGTGGATGGTGCGCCCCGCCGTCTGCTCCAGGACAGCCGGCAGTTCGTCGATGTACATCACGTTGGAGGCGCCGTACTTCGCCTGCTTGAAGTCGTTACTTTCCGGCTCACCGAGCCAAAGAGCATGCTCAGGACTGTAGCGGGGAACAAACAGCATGAAGACGTTATAGCGCGAGTCGATGAAAGCGACACAGCCCGGCTCGCTACAGCCCGTGACGTAGAGGAAGTTCGACTCCTGGCGGAACATTATGTCTCTGTCTGTGTTGTAACGGGCAGTCTGCTCGCCCCCCTTGAGAACGATGATATCATCGGGGAAGGCCCCCACAATGCGGCTGCGGTGCTCCACGAAAGACATTTTAAAACACGAAAATCTTTTTTAACAATGATTAACTTGTAATTCCGCCATGATGAGTTTTTTTGTGGCTCTGCTGCCCGCGCTCCTCCGGTGTGGGCAGTGTGGTTCTACTATTCCCCACTGTCTTGACTGCTTGGATCTAGATAACAACTATTGTCGTCGTTGCCAGGAAGGCTTTCTACCCGTTGATGGTCTATGTCTTGGAGGTAATGCGTCTATTCCATGCACCTCTCACTTGGGTGGCACGTGCGTTGGCTGCCGGCCTGGATATTTTCTATTTCACGACGGCGACCAGATGGGCGCATGTGTTATATGCTCACACGCTGTATTGAAGCTGGGTCCGGGCTGCAAGGATTGCGTGTTGGTTGGTGGTGTTCCTCACTGCCTCGCGTGCCACTCCACTTACTTCGGTATCAACGTCATGTCAGACTCGGGTGCTACTCTACTACAATGCACCACCTTGAGTGAAAGGCGAATGCCCTTACAGAGACGGCACAAAGGTTTGTTTGTATCACCTGGACAAGCCACCTGCACAGTTCAAAATTGTCGGGTGTGCGCTTCACAAGCGCCCAACATTTGTATTCAGTGTACGCGTGGATATTCACTCAAAGATGAAGGACGAACTTGTATATGCGGCGTCCCACACTGTACTACATGCTCCCCGACTGACGGTCAGCAGTGTACCCAGTGTGATGCTAACTATGCTCTCACACCACACAGAGCCTGTGTTTGCTCCGTAAGGAATTGTATTCAGTGCGGCTCTCAAGGAACTGCACGTTGTCAGAAATGTATTACTGGCTATAGGCTCTCAGAAGATGGCAGCACGTGCAGCTGTGGAGTGGACAACTGTGCCTTCTGCTCTTCTACTGACGGCGCGCAATGTGTAACTTGCGTTACTGGTTACGTTCAAAGCTACTCCCAACGCAGTTGTACCTGCGCGGTCGAGCATTGCGCTGAGTGCTTTCCTGCAGATGGAAGCCAATGCGTCCGTTGTGTTACTAACTACGTTCTTTCTCACGATTTTAAGGTATGCGCAAGTAGTCTAGAAAACTGCCTATACCCCTCTCCAGTCAACGGATCTGTATGCTCCATTTGCAGTAGTGGTTACGTCACGGCGTTTTCCGGGGAGGTCTGCTTAAGTGTGAAGTGCCAGGTCCTATACTGCGAAGAATGTGACGGGGTTCTGTGTGCTCAGTGTATAAAAGGATATTCTTTGGTGAATGATGGACTTGGGTGTGCCTGCAACGCCCTGAACTGTCTCATATGCAACCCTGATGACGGGGACTTGTGCCTGGTATGCGTTGGAGGATACGACGTTACACCCGATGGGCTATGCGAGTGCGCCATTCGGAACTGCGCAACATGCTCGCAGGACGGACGGTCTTGTAAGGCATGCATTAATGGCTACCGAAAGGGAGAGGGTGGCTGTGAATGCTTGATTGATGCCTGCAAAACGTGCAGCCCACAAGATGGTCAGCTTTGCGATGAATGCCATTTGAACTATGATTTGGTCCACGGTGCCTGTGTGGGAAAAATTCCTGGGTGTCTGGTGGCGAGCCCTATCTATGAAGGGAGCTGCGAGTTTTGTAACACCAATTGGGAGCTCTTTCACGGACGCTGCTTCTGCAAGATCAGAAACTGCAATAAGTGCCACGAGAATGGAAAGATGTGTATTCAGTGTGCAAATGGGTTTGTATTGCAAGCAGATAATACGGAGTGTGCATGCACGCTGACCAATTGCGCTGAGTGCGACCCCGAGGACGGCACAAAATGCTTAGCATGTAAGACAAGCTATACTTTAGATTCCTCCGGACAGTGTACAACTAGTACGTGCAGCATTGATAACTGTAAAAACTGTGGCCAAAGCAATGTATGTGCCGAATGCAATGACAACTATGAGCTTTCAACAAATAGCCAGACCTGCACTTGTTTGTTGTTAAACTGCTCAAAGTGCAGGCCGTCAAACGGACAGCAGTGTCTAGAGTGCGTTACTGGCTATAAACTGGATCTTTCAATGAATCAGTGCATTTGTGATGTGCAACTATGTGAGACGTGTAACTCATCTGATGGTGCTCTATGTGACACGTGCATAACTGGGTTCATAAAGGGTCCAACCAGCGCAACATGCAACTGTGCAGCTGACAACTGCCGCGTTTGCAATCTATCTGATGGTACAAAGTGCGAGATCTGCAACTTGGGATACACACTCACTGGAACTGCATGCCAACCAAACGTTGCAAATTGCAAGCAGTACTCTCTAAGCAGGGGATGCATAGAGTGCGAACGCGGTTACTCTCTTATGCCATCAAATGCAGAGTGCCTCTGCACAGTGCAGAATTGCGCAACGTGCTCTCCAACCAACGGCTCGGAATGCACATCGTGTGTCCAAAACTATACGCCCCAGGAAGGTCTATGTCTGTGCATGGTTCAAGAATGTCTTGAGTGCGACAGTGCCAATGGAAACTTGTGCAATGTATGCGTATACAATTATGCGCTAAGTGAAGACAGGACGACTTGTGCTTGTGACGTAAAAAATTGTATATTATGCATTGCAAGGGATGGAAAGAAGTGCTTCATGTGTGAGAAGGGATACCGATTGACAGAAACTTCCGCCTGTGAAGAAATACCTTGCAGTGTGGAAAACTGCTTGAGCTGCCCTCCCGGCAACCCTGACTACTGTATTGTTTGTCAGAGGGGGTACTGGCCGACTAAAAATGGGAACGAGTGTGCATGTTCCGATCCTGCTTGCGGTGAATGTGATTTTGAGAATGGAGAAATTTGTCTTCACTGCAATGCAAACTACAGAGAGTTTCAAAATAAGTGCCTCTGCTCTCTTCCATATTGTACTAAATGTGACATTAATGACGGTAGCCAGTGCGAGGAGTGTGAAAACGGGTTCATGCTGACTCCCACCAAGGCATGCATTCTCCGTGTTTGCTTCACAAACCAGGATAACTGCAAGGTGTGTGGAACAGGTGCACACGCGGATAAGTGTCTCACGTGTGTGAGTGGGTATGTACCGATCGACGGAGTGTGTGTGCAGGATTCAAAGCAAGATGTTTGCAACCAGTACTCAGGTACGTGTACTGGCTGTGCCCCCACATACTTCCTCTGGCAGAACGGTTGCTATCCGTGCAACATGATACCAAACTGCATCGAGTGCTACATGACCAAAACATACGGCCCCTTGTGCACGATGTGCGAGCCATTCTACACACTACGTGGGGGTAAGTGCCAGCTCAACCCATACTGCTCCCAAGGCTGTGTGTGCAACGGCGAGCTCCAATGCACTGATTGCATAGCCGGATACACTATGATAAGTAACATTTGCACGCTATGCGAAAGCCTATTCTACATGTGTGCAGAGTGCTCTAAGACGTTCTGCACTCGCTGCTTTGGTGGATACTCCATTTCCTATCATGACTGTGTTCCTGGAGTATGCAGGGAAAATGCGCATGGATGTCTTGTCTGTGCAAATGATTACACCTGCGCAAGGTGCCGCAGCGAAATGTACCTCTATCGCGGGGCCTGCCGGGAGTGTAACTTTGCTGGGTCTAATTGTGCAGATTGCACCTTTGACAAGGAATACAAGTGTCTCCGGTGTCTCGAGGGGTACACGCAGGTCGTATCTAACGGGGTGTCTTACTGCGTCAAGTGCCCAGACATTGACCACTGTTTGGAGTGTGCCTATAACAGCACGCGCTCTTCGCAGTTCCAGTGCACAACGTGCGCTGACCCGTGGCTTGTTGACACTGCAACCGGGACGTGCTTCATCAGAAATGCCTCTAGCGCATCAACAGCCACTGCAATTTCGTGCAGTGTTATAGGGGCAGCGATTGCGATCGCCACCACCATTGCCCTGATTGTGAAGTGTCAGCATCACCGGCATGCACGCATGGTACGCCAGGTCGATGCCCTGGTCACGGAGGCCGACGAACTAGCCCACTAATAAGGTATACTATTTACCACTGTGCGAACTAGAACGAAGGATTCGCAGCTACATTCATAAAATGGAGCTCCTAGAGTGCCCCGCCTGCAATCGGACTTTTAACGCTCCGATCACGCTCAAGTGCGGGCACACATTCTGCAAGGGGTGCCTTAGCTCCAAGCGACAAAAGGCATGTAAAATCTGCCGCCTGCGCTACAGAATAACACCCAACATAAACATATGCCTGCATCACATAGTAGAGCTGGCTGGACAATTAGGGAAGAAATACGCCTTTAACGCCGATTACATGACCTTTGAGCCACTGAATGTCTTGCCTGTAGATACGGCTTCAAACAAAGATATTGTAGACGTATACGAAGAGCGTGCTAACTCAGCTACTGGTGAGAAGGACGTCCAGTCGCCATTAACTTTCGATGCACTATTGTCAGACGCATTCAACAAGGACACACAAGAAGCGGAGGTGCGACCTAGACCGTCCATCGCTAATGAAATAATCAAAAGCTACCACAGAACAAGCAGAATCTCCAGGAACGCAGACGACAGCGTCGAGGAGGACTCATCGGCAAGCCCTCCGTCCCAAAATCAGCCTGCACCGACATCTCAGCTAACCCAGCAGATCAAGAAGCAGGATCAGAAGCCTGGTACTCACCATAAAGACCAGGGGCAGCATGTGGTAACGGTTCCATTAAGGTCTGCGCGAAAGCAGGAATCACTGGCCGAGTGGCCCCGTCGAGATAAGCAAAGGGGAGAAAGGAGTCGCAATAGTGTCAGATGGGCGCCCGATGTCGTCGATAACTCCCCCAAGCTCGCACACAGGATCCCCAAGGACGTTGGAATTGGAGCCAACGTTTGGCGTCTCTCACCATCCCCACCAGACGTTGACTCGTCATCTCCGGAGACCCCGCAGGCCAGCGAGCTCCACCCTGGAGACACAGTGAGGGTCCGGGCAGAATGCTCCGAGTTTGGAAGAGAGTGGTCTGGTCAGACCGGAGTGGTGCGTGCGATAAACGGCGGAACCGTCACCATTAGCCTCAACACGGCGATCTGGACCTGCCGCACCGCAGACATCGAACGCGTAGAGGAATCCGCAGAGGCTCGGGGACCCATAAGCCGGTTCCGAGGGGTGTTCGACGGCGATGCGATGCGAGGCCGGACTATGGCCCGTGCATTCGCAGGGTCTACGTAATTTACATAGCGCAGACGCGACTCAGACCCTTTTAACAAGCGTGACGGAACTGGACTTCATTTTGGCAACGACGTTCTTGCTAGTTTCCTTACAGTAAAACTTAGATATGTTGTCTGCGAACTCTGCCGCCTTATCCTCACTTCCAAATCCGACCTTAATGGGCTTACCCAGCTCGATACTTGCGGGGTACACTGAGACGGAGTCCTTGACAATCTCGCGCATTTTCTCCTTGGTGATGCTCTGCGGGAGGTTATACACCATGACGACGGCGTCCGAAGATGCGGCCGAAGACTCGCTGACACCCTTCATCTTGACCACTATCTTCCCGTTCTTTTTTCCGCCCTTGCCGGCCTGCCTGGCGGCCTTTTCGGCCTTGTATTGAATCCGCCTCTGTTTGACGATGTCGTCGAGTGTTGTGAAGCGTTTGGCCCCACCCGCCGCCTCTACGACCCCAGGGGTCTCTTCTGCGCCTTCAGGGCCGGCCGCTGTGGCGTGAACAACCTGCTCATCTGTCATTTAGCGCACCTTTTTAGAACTAAAAGATATGAATTTAAAATACTTTTTTAATTAAGACCGCTTGCCCGCCGAGCAGCAAAATCCGCTCCAACGGCAGCGTGATGGCAGCACCCGCACAGGCAGCGCAGCAGAAGTACAAGGCTCCGGTCTTTGCCGTTTTCCCCTTCAGTCCGCCAGACACATTCTCCTATCCGGTGCCGAGCCTCGAGGCCTGTGACCCGTCGATTCAGCGGACGGTTCGGTACATGGAAGAGGCGGCGAAGGAGCCCATTGTCCGCGCAAAGAAGACAAAGCGGAAGACAAAGCGCGGGGCCTCCGTCAAGAAGAAGCCGGCAGGTGGAAAGTGATTTGTAGTCTATTTGGCGTTCTTTCATTCAATTTTGCACGAGCAATTAAATGTAAATGCTCTCCCTCAGCCAGATCGTCGGTGTCATCGTCGACGAGACCCCGCTCGCCATCGGACGCCTCGGGGTGGAGTACTATGCTGCGGCGTCTGTTGGCCGCGGATTTCTTGTTTATAGAGCCGACATGCTTGCCCCGTTTGTCTACTCTCCGGCCCTCCCCGACACAATCCGGCAGATGGCTGTCTATAGTGATAAGACCGTAGTCATGTACCAGCGAAAGACAGAGCTCGAAATATACACTCGCGGCCGGCTGGTAGCAGAGATCTCCGGGTTGCTCCATCGGCCCCTCTGCCTTGTACTTCAGGAGTCGACGCTGGTTGCATTTGATGCGTCTGGACGATACATTATATATGACTTGGAGCTTATGGAGCAGATAAAGCCTCCTAGGTCTTTGCCACTTGAGCACCCCACAGACACCTGTAGTTTGATTATGCACCCGGACACATATCTGAATAAGGTCTTGGTCGTGACTAGCAGTGGAAGGATGGAGCTCCATAATATAGACAAAAACAAGCGGGTGACTGCGTTGCGGCAAGGACCCAACGACATTTCCCTTGCACACGGAGAGCCCGTCGTGGGCATTGTTAATTCCCCAGAGATAGATGTCGTCGCTGTGATCCAGCCGTCGCGAGTGTCAATGGTGCACCTCAAGAAGCAGCGCGTGCTGTTCGCGCTTCCGTGCGACCTTAGTGGAGATAGCTTTACATGTGCAACGTTCTCCTCAGTACACGCCATCGTCTTTGTGGGTACAGAGCAAGGGCGCATCCAAGCCTTTGACCTGGACGCACGTCGAATTCTCTGCGAGCTAAAGGCCCACAGCATGTGCGTTACTTCGCTCTTCTGGCTACCAGACACATACATCCTTTCTTCTGGCGCGGATAATACCATTCGGATTCTGGGGTACGATTCCAACCTGACTGTCATACAGCAGATTAAGCATCGCACAGGGCATCGCGGAGGCGTGTCCCTGGCCAAGTTTTACCGCGAGAACAGCAGCAACATAGTGCATGCAGCCGAGACTTGTCCTTTCTTGCTTACAGCTGGTTTGGACAAGACTCTACGATACGTACAGATCTATCAAAGGAACAATTCCGAGCTTTTTTCCTCCCATGACAAGCAGTATCCATCTGAGGTCATTGACTTCGACGCCTGTGAGCTCCGTGATGAGCATTGGGCAAATGTTGTGACTGCGCACAGAGGAGAGGACTTCTGTCATTTGTGGGCATTCTACAAAAACAAGGAGCTAATAGAGCCTCTTCCGGACAGATATCTAGGCCGGGAGGCTCTTGAGAAGCGGGAAATGGCCAAGCTCAAGAAGGAGAACGGCGGAGTGCTTCCTCAGGACTTTGTTGATGCTCGGGCTGCAGAGCGCTTCAGATCCCGATATCGTGTCACTCTACCGACAAGTGTGAAATTCATCGAGAACGAGGATAACCTTACTCTCGTAGCTGGTAACGGAGATGATGCCAATGAAAATTATCTTGCGTGCCGCCTGTCGTCAGAAAGCGTCAGCTGCTGCGTGATCTCCCTCTGTGGGAACTATGTCGCCCTTGCTGGGACCCGCTCCAGTGCCGCCGTGTATGCGCTACAGAGTGGCCGTCTGGTGGGGTGCGCTCCGTGTTTATTCTCTCACCCAGACTGTCTAAACCGGTCTGTTGTTAGGCTATCATTCTCATATGACGGTCTGATGCTCTACGCGGTCAACTCCATAGGGTACATCGTCCTATTTGACATCAGAGCGCGCAAAGCAGTGAAGGAGGTCAGCCTGCGCTCGCTGCTACCGGACGCAGAGGGAGGTGATATCGTGGTGACAGCCGTAGCCTTTGATGTTATCCGTGGACTGGTCTCTATAACGTCGGCGACAGCACTCTATGTTCTGGACATATCGCAGAGCTCTGGCATAGCTCTCAGCCGGATGCAGTCTATCAACATAGAGGTCCCCCATAACTGCCTATCCTTCTTTGAGCATGGCCAGCGGCTCGTGTACGGAGGGTCTGTAGATGATAGCTCTCCGGAAATGACCGGATCCCATGCTGCTGTAATCGTGTACGACATCCTCTTGGATAAAATCGTTGCCAAGCAGCAGTTCAGGGAGTTTTCTGCGATATCTTCTATCACTGTGACGTCTGATAATACTGTGGTGGCAATAACATTCGTGGGTGTCCCTGGTGTGTATATCTATAAGAACAATGAAAAGTATGGTCTCGGGATAGCGCTAGATGATGCGGAGTATGTAGAGGCTTCGTTGCAGGCTGAGTCAGCCGAGAAGAACATTCGCCGCTGCTTGGACCTATTGACAGAAGGCCCGCAGTCACTTGGAATCATTCTGCATAAGGACAGTCTCCTGGCAAGCCGCTTGTATGCCGTGGCAATGGATCGGCACGCGACACGGGAGCTGCTGGAGCAATACGGGGGTCGTCTGCGCCGGGCGGGCTCTGCATCCACAAAGGACCGCCTTCCATTTTACATAGGTCTGCAGGCGAAGGACCACGCACAGCTTTCACGCGCGGGCAGCTCTTGCTTCCAAAGGATTTTCCAGATGCCAAGTGATGCTTCCTCGTTGCTGCCCGAAATTACTACTTTGAACCACGGGATTATCGATCAAGAAATCCAATGTCTTAATGACGATTCCCTCTCGGCATTTTGTTCGCTGCTTGGTAGTTGGGCCGGCCATCACTCAACAACAAGAACGTACGCTAGTCTTGACGTGTTCGTTGTAATATTCTGCTGCCTCCTCCGGTACCATGCACTTACAATAAGCAAATCGAAGGAGCTCCTATCGTCACTGCGCCCAGTTTACGCTATCATCGAAGAGCAGTACAATCATATCACAAACTCCGTCAATGTTATCACAAAGCTGATTGATACATTGGTCTATTGATTGAGCAGGAAAGAGTCTTCTATCTCCTCTCCCGTAGTTTCTCCAAACAGGATAGGAACCCGTGGCTCTGTCTTTCTGCCAGAATGCTAAAACTTTCAATGCTACCTTGTACTTCCAACATATTTTACACATAATCCAATTTTCCCAATCTGATTGTTTTGGAGCCTAATTCAAAATGGAAGTGAATGTCCACGAAACCGCGTATTGGGTTTTTTATATAGGTCCAGAGGGCTTATGCATCGACCCACAGCTCTGCGGCAAGTGGATGTATTTCTGGAATGACCGCGCGTTTGTTGCCAGGATTTGTGAGCTGGCTGTTTCGACTGAGGTGGTTACTACGGCCAAACACAGCAATGCTGACAGAGGCGTCGCGTGCTTCTACATAGATGGAACTGACAAGGAGAGCCACAAAAGGGTTCTCCGCTTTTTCTTGGATAATAATCTGATCAAGAGGACAGCCCAGGGGCGCCTTCACAACATCTCGTTCAAGTATGACCAGCAGACAAGAGCAGGCGAATACGGAGAAGACTTCAAGGCAAGGATACAGCTTTCTGACTTCGTTGATCTCTATAAAGGGAAATTTCTGAGTGATCCCAATCAGGCTGATGTGGATGTGCCCATTAAGTAAACTAGCAAAGATTAGTTGGAGGAAGCGCAGAGCTCTGCCTGACAGGCATTACTTAGGTCACCCGGTGTCCAGAGAGCAACACACTTGCTTTGATCCTAGGCTAAGTTATGAAACAACTGACACGCAAAGAGACCTTTCTGGTAGAGTGCGAGGCAGTCAAGGCTCATCTAAGTTCAGTTGAAAATAAGGAGAAGGAGCAGGGAGTACCACAGCTGTAGCATGGGCATATAGTTCGTAGTGGTATCTATCTATCGCTAATCCGTTGATAGCTCTCCCGTAAAGCGGATGATTACCAGAAAATTCAGGGGTCTAAGGATTCTTCTCCAATAGAAAATGCTTGCCCGCCCCTGTAGCCACGACCTTGTTGCAATGCAGTCACTCGCCTGCATAAGATGTGGGCAAAAGTTGCCCCATGCAGAAGTTGTGATGCATTATCAGTATCGGGACGGGAAGTTTATAAGGCGAGAAAACTGGCTCCAACAATACAAGGATGCGGTGCTGAAGAGCAAGAAGCTTATTCTGTTCCTCGATATCGACAATACCATCCTCTATGCATGGGGAAGCGTCAAGGGCCAGCCCCTCCAGAACATCCAGCGGATCAATTCGGTTAATTTGAGCGCTCATCATGCCTTCCGCATGTCCCGCGATATTGTCTCCAAGCGTGCGTCCTATGCATCCAAGTCTGAATACCGCGAAGCATTTCTAGATGTATATTTAGCAGAGGCCGAAGACTTCTTCTGCGGATGCCCCGAGCGCGGGCTGCAACCTACTGCCGTCGAGGTGCAGGGACTGCGGATGACGATAATGTTTCGGCCCGGTATCTTTCGCTTCTTTCTAAAGACATACAAAACAGTCGCCATCATCATCAGCACGCTAGGAACGCAGGAGTACGCCCAACAAGTTATCAAAATGATAGATCCCCAGCGCATGCTGGTGTACGAGCTCCTGGACAGGAAGCTGGCAAACAGACACGGGGACGCCAGTGCCGAGGTAACACACGATGATGAGGGTGGGGCAGTCATTAATTTTGAGGGCGAGTGTGGCAATCTAGCCGACCAACATCTATCTGATTTAGACAACCACATCATGAAGGGTGTGAACCGGTTCCTTGGGGGCATCCAGCTTCTCATCGACAATTCCATAGCAATAGACAACAGCTCGGTCCCGTGGAGAGGAACCAAATGCGGCTTCCTCAAGAGCTTTGACTTTTACGTAGCAAACGGTCTGGATTGCTTTAATTATATGTGGCAGCAGCAGGTCTATCCCTTGGAGTCGCTAACAAAAGTTGTCACAGGATATTGCAAGAATGACTTCACATTCCTAGCCCAGAGGAATAAGCCTGTGTATGACCATCGATTCTATACGTTTTCCGTCGCCCAGCTGCACTCTTTCAAGAATATATTACGTTACATCCAATCCTCCATGCATCCTGAGGAATTCAAGCAAACAGATGTGCTACAGTGCCAAAGCGCTCGAGAAGCGGTCGAGGAAATTATGGGCAAGGTCCTCAGAGGATGCGTCATCTACATACCTTTTCTGCCTAACGCAGCTGATCTTGTTACAGAAGGGCCTTACATCGTGGCTGCACAATGGAAACGTAAGACCGAGACGCTGATGGACTTCCGTGTAGAGCTCATCCACTTGCTTGGAGGGCGGGTAGCGATGACCTTTGACAACGAGGTTACTCACGTCCTTGTCTCCGAGAGCGGTAGCTTGTGGAAGAAAAGCTATGCAAAGTGTGCTCATCTGCTGTTAAGGTGCAATCCAGATGAGGTTTCTCCGGGCTTAGTGAAGGCTGCTCTTGGAGATTGGACCGATATACAAATTCGCGGAAATGGCACTGGTGATCAGGACACATCAGAGCTTTTTATTGTGCCAGACACATTTATGTGCTATGATCCCGGTGAAATCAACCAAACATGCACGTCTGTCTTTCCGTTTCACGCGGTCACACAAAACTGGCTGATGACAAGTGCGCTGCTCTATCGGAGGCAAAGTGAGCTGTTCTATACACGCTGCTTCCTTGCTCGTGGGCTTCTGCCCTCAAAAGAGACACCTCCTCGGTCGTCTGCGGACAGAACGGGCAACAAAAAAGATGACTACGATGGAGATACCAATTGTCATGAGGAAGGACGCCCTCTCGGCTAATGTGCAGACGAATCTCGTGGTCATCCCCAAAGACATCTACCTCCCCATGTACGATGCAGACTTAATTTCAGAGCTGGAGATATACAAGAACCGCTATCTATTCGTCTTCTTGGCGCAGAAAAAGGATGAGGAGGAGAGCAAAAGGGGAGAGACAGCAGTTATCCGATTCTACATTTTGGAGCCAGAGAAGGAGGAGAGCGAGATAATCCTGGGGGCGAACTTTGTTTACCTCCGGGACAAGGATGACTTTGAGCTCAGGATGGAGCGGGCCATACCTTACAAGATCATCGATAGCTATATGTACTATCACAACATCACGAGAGAAGGCGAGCACAAGAAGACTCTCCAGGCACACTTTAAGGAGTTGTCGGCCCTTTATCAGGAAATAATAGACCTGCGGATTAAGGAGCGGGAGCTTGCTGGAGGTGCATAGCGCGTAGTGGGGGTCCTAGGCGGGCTGTAAACGACTTGACGTAACGCTGGATTTACTGGGTGGAGGGTGCGGGCTGTTCTGCAGGTGCACCAGAGGATACTATCGCCGGAGCTGCGGGCTCCGATGGATTGGCGAGATCTTTGCTTGTCGACTCGGGCTCGTTTCCGGCCTCTTTCGACTCCGTCTTACCCATGAACGGAATTCCTCCCCCGGTAACAGGCTTATATTGCCCTACGACGGGCATACCCGGGTAGGATTGGGGCATGAAGGGCATGGGCCCAGAGAAGCTACCCCCGAAGCCAGGCATCGCGCCCCCGCCATACATGGGCTGCTGAGGAGCACCGTACCCCATTTGTGGCTGACCGTAACCCCCTGAAGGCATGCCGGGCTGCACCATGCCTCCGTAGGAAGGCGCACCAGCCTGGGGCATTCCGTAGGACTGTTGGCCCTGTCCCACTCCGCCACCGTAAGAGCTTTGGGAGGCACCATACGGAGATGGTTGACCGTAGCCCATCTGTGCTTGGGGTTGCTGGCCACCATATTGCTGTTGCTGCGGTGCACCGTAGGGCTGCTGGGCAGGAGCCCCATAGCTCTGAACAGGTGCGCCATAGCCTGGAGCAGAAGCCCCATAGCCCGGCTGCTGGGGTTGCTGTGGAGCTCCGTAGGATTGAGCTGGCGCGCCATATCCCTGGGGTGCACCATACAGAGACGGCTGAGAAGCTGGTTGACCGTACGGATAACTCATCTACAGGCGATTTTTTTGGACCTTTTAAAACGGATGTCCGCCCGACCTAGTGGTTGCTAGACCTTGTGTTCCTAAGTGTCCTGATAGACATAAGAGGGCACCCTTGCTGAGTCGAGGGTGCCACTGTGATCATGACTCCACTTCTCCCGTATTCATGTGGCCGTAGGACGGGGAGACCTTGCACAGGTTTTCTTTGAATCCTCTGCATACCCACTGGAATAGACCACGAGGAGCCAGTGTTTGCATTTTCCACCTTGTGGACGTCAGAAGGAAGAAATCCATATGATGCTATCCGCGTCAATCGGTTGCTGTCAGAGTCTTTTCTCCCGGCAAGGGGCATGATTCTCTTTCTTTTATCGAGGGTTGGTAGAAATGAGCCACTGATATAGTGCCCTTTATACGCTACGCTGTCGTGTCCTTCCTCATTGTACTTTCTTGCAGCACAGCTCTGAGCTTTCTGAGGAATTAGGGTTTGCGGAATTATTGGAACGGCTTGTCCTTTAGATTTTTTTCCGTCATCTAGTCTCGGGATATGACGGTTTTCATGCAGAGATAGCTTGATAGGAGATGGAGGAGGTTCTGAGCAGGGAGACAGGCGGAGCATGGCTTCAAATTCATCAGCAGACTCAGTAAAAGAGAAACGAGCCCACAAATTCGTACGCAACACTTTTTCAGAAAAGGCCCTAAACCGTGGACTGTTGGATATTTTATGAAAGATTGTGTTTGTGGCCGTCGAAGAGGTTCTGAGGCTGCATGTTAGTTCATCAAGAGTTAAGGGCACAGGGGATTGGTGGATAGAGGAGACTTGTGCTGATGACAGTCTTAGGCTTGGAAGATGATCAAGTTTCCGATTTTTCCAGCGACTATCTGGAACACCCCCTGCCAATCTTACAATGTTTGCAGCCATGGATACGAGGAACACTCCAATGCTTGTTGTGGAAAGCGTAAAGCTGGTAGCCAGGTCGTTCATGTTTTGGCCCACATAGAGGTCGAGGAACCTTAAGAGACATGTCTCAGAAATAATAGAGTGGATGACATGTGGAGCATGTCCGTTGTACTCTAGCATTGGGATGAGAATACGCGTCCCAAGAAAATGGCAAATAGAGCAGTTCGGGTAAGCTATCATTGTCAGCAAAACTGCATCTGGGATTCCGCTCTTCGCGTAGCACTCGGCGATATGCATAGGAGAAATGGGGTAATGACCACCGCCACCAAAGCAAAACGTCTTCTTGAGATCCACCGTCTCTGTGCCTCCAACCCCAACAATCGCAGAGTAGGGAAAGCTGGCTTGAAATGAACCAGCCGACCCAGAGTCAGCAAAGGAGTTGTCTGCACCAAATGTTCCACTGCTTACTGAGAGAAAAGGACCAGTGCCTTTGGACACGCAAAGAAAGTCTCGGATATCTGCAGATAGAAGCAACAATCTAGCCAGTGTTTCTAGTATTGCATACTGCACAAGAGAGAACTGGCCCATATGTTTGTCTTGCCCCGAAATCAGCTCAACCCGTTGTTGAAAAGGACGAGAACGATCAGGAGAAGGAATAGTTCCTTTCAAATGCACGGCGTTTTCGTTGTGCTCTGTAACAATAGATCGAGACAGAGTATTCTGGAGTTCTGCCAATGATTCTAAAACGGTTAGGGCCAAGGTATTAGTGGGGCCGGCACTTTGTGAGCCAGTGGAATCGGTTGGCTGTGCAGACAGATCATCTCTTCCTCGCCGCTCTAACTCTATGCCTTCCTTAATTAACATGCGCAGTCGGTGACCCACACCCTTTATCACTCCAAGTACTTTCTGAAAGATAGACCGTAGGTAACTAATTTGCTTGAGCTCCTTGGATGCTACAGACGGAGGCTTCCCATAGGTGCTTTCGTAGAGTGAACGGGTGATGTATATTATTGCGCGAACACCAATGACTAATGTTCTCCCTGTATACTTCATCCGCCAGACGTCAATGCCTCGGTGCTCGGTGACAAAGACATGCTCAGCCAGGCTCGGCAGGCATTTAATAGCCTCCAGTCGAAGCTCATCGCAAGTGGTTGCTGAAAGAATGGCACTAAGAACCTCAGAGACCATCTGCCCCGCATCCGCGGGCACGTCATCAGGATTGTTGGTCACCAACAGTCTGCAAAGAGAGGTAGCGAAGCTCAGCTCTGTCAGTAGGTTCGTCAATCGCTGCTTGTTATCAACAGAGAGAAGATGTTGACTGTCAACTACAAAGGAAATCAACGACCCCATGACGTCGGGATGATCTGCATTGGAGAGCCATGCAGTCAAGTAATTCCAGCCATCAGCTGCGTCAGATAGATCTGTCTTGGGGATCGATTCTTGTAACACGTCCAGAAGTAGTATAGCCGAGGCCTGCTGTGCGCACAGACTGCGAATAAGCTTGGAAAACGCTCTGCAGATGTGAAAGGGGACCCTGTTAGTTGAAGAAGCATTTCTCAGGGAACGTAGCATTGGGAAGCAATTGCGCCGTGAGACCACGGTAAATGGGTATCGTTGGAGTAGACGGTCCTCCTTTATGACAGCAACGGCCCTTTCATCCCGTAGACAAATGTCGAGAAGGTCAATTGCTGCATCAAGCATATCAAGCCGCTCCTGCTTTGGTATTTGAACATAGTAATCTAGTTGAGAGAGGACAGGCTTCTGGATGTCTTGGATAACTGCTTTGGATGATTCAAAATCTGTTGCAGACCCGTTACCAGTAAAGCATTCAGTAAAGAGAAAGTGGTGAATATAGTCATCGTCACATGGGACGACGAAGGCAATCTCTAGGAGAAGTCGAAGTATTGCTGGCTGGACAAGGAGCTCCGTGACATAAGTTACCTGGATTCGAGCTGATGCAAGAAATCGTTGATTGAGGAGAAGAGAGCGCATGTCATAATTCTGGACAAAGTGTTCGAATAGTTCTGGTCCACTAACCCCGATGTCAAGTGTTGGATCAGAGACATCAGAAGGAAATTCTAGCTCTGCTGCCCCTGGTGCGTTCATCAGTGGCGCAGAAAAGAAGTACTAATTCAAAGCCTGAAACTTTTTGCCATGCAAAACTGGACGTATGTTCAGGCGTCCCTGGAAGACAAAGTCAGCGCTGATGCTAGAAGCATTCCTTACTAAGGCTGCTGACCATCCGACTTCCTTATGGGTGGATCGAGTAGAAACTGTCTGAGCCCAAAGTACCTCTTGTTTATTTGCAAGGGAAGACGGGAGTGCAGGGGTTCTTCGGTAAAGAGCATAGAGGATAAACCCACGTGTACAGGGGCAAGCGCAACCCTGCGAAGCGATTGCTGGTGAGTAAGCTGAGATAGCACTGCTGCACTGACGGCGGCGGCTGCCATGTTGTTGAGGACCCCATGGCTCTGGGTCGCCCCATTTAGCGCCATGGTTGTACACTCCGACAGCTGATTTGATAAAGCGGCTGTTGCACCGGCAGTGACCGCACTTTTAAAAGGTGTGTCTGTCGCCTTTTTGGCCCGCCTGGGATGAAATAACGAGGAGACGAGGCGCGATGCCAGCGACGCCCCTGCCGTTGTCACCCCTATTGCAATGGAGCGTCTGCTAATATCCAAGATTCTGCTAGAGACGTCATTTCTCATTGAGAGAGCCATTTATTTTCTGTTTACAAGGGCTACCAAGATTGAATACTCGCCGTCAAGGAGTCGATGGCGCTTTGGTCAGCTAGACACCGCTTTTTTCCACTTCCGTCGACACCTCTCGAGGAGGAGACATCGCTGCTGTCCGAAAACACAGTTTTCCGCGCAGCCAGTGGAGCGCAGTGGATATCATTGAAGGTCTTGATTATTGGTGACTCTTGTAGGTACATTAATAGATTCATATTGGCCTCATCCATGTTATAAATCATTTCTTCGATCTGCGCAACGGTTTCGGGGACGAATGCCCGGCCTTGGCCAGACGTGGAGTCACCACGAAGGGACACGTTTCTCTTTTTATGAGTGTAAAGGTGCATATCGGGTATTCCAGCAGCAAGCCTAAATGCTGTCAAGACAAAATCGCGGACAAATGGAAGCAACGACTTCTGTTCTGGTGTCAAGTCAGTCTTGCAAAGGCTGAAAATTAGATCCTCCATCCCGTGTGTGGAAAAGACACGCGTCACTAAGCTGCTATTAAATCTGCTATATGCTAGGATAACTTTAAGTACTCGGAATACATAGAATCCTAGGGTGGATGAGTGCGCACACTGCCCACCTCTATACGTGGTGAGTAGGCTTAGGAGAGTAGCAGGGATCCCAGTATTGTCAATTACCTCTATAATATTAATCGGGGAGTAAGGTAAGCGCACTCGGCCAGCCAAGAACGACGTGGCTTTCAGTTCTACCTCAGAGGTCCCCCCTACAGACGCTAAGGCTGTTTCTGGAAGATCGGCATATTGAGAGCCATCCAGAGACAGGTAGATCTCGTTAGAGACCCCAGTTCCGGTCCCATTAAACTCTGAAGTCGGTCCGCAGCCCTTAAGCATGTCGTAAATGTGCGCCTTCATGCTTGCAGGGATGGAAACTATCCGGGCAAAGAACCGAGCATATTCTAGGAGCAGCGAAAAGCGTCCCTGCGACTCATCTGGGGTTTCTTGGGCAAGATCGGCCAGTCGTTGTGCATATATGGGAATAAGCTGAACGAATTCTTCTGCCACATCGATATATGCTAAGACGCTTTTCGCCTCTTCTGTGACTGAATGGAGGAGCTGTTCTCCATGTGTTCCTACCAGCAAGGGCTGGAGCTCAGGGGCTGGCGATGGTGGGCGCTCCAGGACCCACTTGAGAAGCTGACGAGATATAGGAATATGTGTAGTTGGGTCCTCTATGCAGGTTATGTCGTCAAACGGCAAAGATAGGTCGACAGTGTCATTGCGGACTTTGTCCAGGATGTCCTGGCTATAAAACATCAGAAGCCTCTGTATCTTGATTAGGCACTGGCCAACAACACAGAGCCACACCTCAGTTAGCCGCTCCAGTTGGTCTCCTCTAAGTGCCATCCCTATGTACTTGGCGATCAGCTTCACACTAGAAGAAAGTATCACTGCCGTGGCAAGAGGGCCGGTGTGTTGAGAGATGAACTGAGTAAAGTAGTTTTTACAGCCATCCAAGTAAGATGACGGCATGTAAGACTCCCGTTGACCCGTGAGGAGACTAGCGAATACTGAGAGTGGATTCCACTTGTCTAAAAATCTGACAAGATCGTGCTCGTATTGGGGATTCTTCAGGCGGCGAATGGACATAAAGACTAGAATATCTTCTATGGCAGGCCAAGGAGCAAAGTATATTAACTTTGTGAGGAGATAGCCGCTCTCTATCCCAGGCAGCAAAGTGAAAAACATCTTATATCTGTCGTCCTTCTGGAATATTGACTTGAGAAGACTGGCAAAATTGGTGAGTAACATTTGCTGTTCGATCACCTTATCGCGACGCTCCTGCTGTAAGCTCATGTACCCTATGTACACAAGATGTGGAAGCATCTCTTTAGTCATATAGCATTCTATAAAGTCTGTCGTATGCTCAAATGCCGAAAAGAGCTGAACTATTATAGCAGCCACTTCTGTGCGGAAACCTTTGTGCTCAGCCTCTTTTTTCTGCAGAAAATCCTGGTCACGGACTAAAATAGCTTTTGTCTCGAGAGGCAAAGCGAAGTCGAGGGGCGATGGACCAAAGAGAATGCGAGGAAGACGAACTAGCGTAGTTTTGTCCTTTAGAAAGGCCATCACTGAAGGGTTGCGCGCTTGTACCTCCGAAAGAAAGTGTTGATGTGTAATAAGCCGAATCAGATCCCCCTCGTCAATGAAATCAAAGACTCCCTTGGGCAGGCTGAACCCACTAAGAATAGACCAGAATACTCGCTGAGAACCTATACAGCTGTTATCACAGACACGCCCGTCCTCTAGGGATGGTATCATATGGCCTCCCTATGACTTGTATTTTCTTGTGTTTTTTCTTAGTCAGTGGGCAAATTTTAAGGAATGTTTGAATGCCTAGATTTATTTGTATATCGATTTACTCTACGTGTCTGAGACAGCACTAGGCCTGCTCGTCACAAATATCCTTGAACATATTAAGGTAGTCGCTATCATCGTTATGTGTTAGACGCCGCACGCAAACAGGTGGGTCTTCGCCGCTCTTCTCCTGGGTTGTTAGCCGCAGTGTGCTTCCTGTGACTGATAGCTTCTGAGGATTGTCTGTAGAGTTGGTTCCAATTCTAATTACAGAATCGGATAAGAGCGTGTCGAGGTCGATCTCCCTTTGGGCTTTAATTTGCTGGGCTGTGGTCGGTAATTGTGTTTTGGGCTCTCGGCTCCTCTGTCTCTTTTCACGAACTTCCAAGATGAAGGACTCCGTGAAGATGCTTTGCTGTTCATCTTCTGCGCTATCGGGGCGATTGTACGAAAGCATAGCAGACATGAAGTTGCCATGATCATCTGCAAAGTTTCGTTGCTTGCAGGCAGTATTTAAGTAGAGCTTGTTAAGTAGCTGAACATCCTTCCGCTTCATACATATGTCAAGGCACCTCCGATCGATAGCATCGGTAGATACTTTGCTATCGCGTATGATATCAAAGAGTTCTTTGACAGTCCATGGGACCACTACCTCTCTCGGCGGATTAGGATCGGATGGAAGATCCAATGAAAGCCCGAACTTCATGGACTTCTTCTTGCGAGCAGATGAGCTGGGAGACTTGACGTTCTCCCACTCTGCAATAGAATTGGTGGCGAAGTTGAGGGAAGAATCCTCTACATTATTAGACGGCAGGCCCATTTCTCGCTTTCCTGTACGGTGCTGTTGTGTGGGGCTGCTTACGGAAATTAGTTCAGACTGGGTAAAGTCTATGCTACTGTTCTGGTATCGATCAGACCTTCCGCACATGCCTAAGATAGACCGCGATGGTTTCCTATCCATTTGCAGAGTTGACTGCACCATTGAGCGGACCTCTCCAGAAGCTCTTTTTGCCCCCCTTCCAAGCTGAGAGTCAGTGAACCCTCGGAGGTGTTTGGTAGGGGCCACAGGAGTTATCGGGAAATCGGTAGCAGGCTCTGGTGCAATATTCAACGTGGTCGCAAAGGTTTGGAGCTGTACAAAGCGGCTCTTGTATAGATCCTCATCGGTGATTCCTGCTGCCTTTCGCAACATGGCTCTGACGCTGCTCAAGAGATGGGCACAGAAGGTAGAGCGTCTTAGTTCAGGAGAAGAGGACATGGCAATTGCTGCCGTAAAGCTATCATATCTCTCAACGGTAAGAGGGAACAGGATCCCAAGCAGCTCTGGATAGAATGTGCTAAGGTCCAGCGCGCAATACCGAAAGCGATTGGCTAATAAGTTCACCATATGGGAGTTTCTGTATACTGGCCCGAGACAGTCAATCAATGGGAAGAGGTGCTTTATCTTGAGAAGTTGAGCAGACAACTCTAAAGGACTATATGGCATTTGATAACTATCGTAGAAGTCAAAGAGATCTCTCAATAAGACTTCTGATGGTCCTCCACAACCACACTCTGCCGTCGGCGGGAGCTCAGCCGAGTAGTTGGCCATATAGCCTATAGACTCATCCGGCTGCCGTACCGAGTTGTTGAATGCGGAAATCGGCTCCCTATCTGAAGAAGTAAAGTATTGCAAGCAACGCACATCTGCTACAATGGATAAGATGCGTGCTAGGTAGTTGAGACGGATGATAAGAGAGAGCTGAAGGGGCTCCGGAGTCTTGTTGAGAAAGAGTTGGCAAGTCTGGTTTAGCTCTTCCTGTAGGCCACGGAGATAGTCAGTTCTGTGAGCCTTTATAAAAGGGTTGTATCGTGATAAAAGCTTCTTGGGCTTGATCGGTTTTGATCTAGTGGCGGATCTTTGTCGCCGGTTTGAATCTTCATCTGAGGGGAAGACCTGATCGAAGGATGACTGCTCGCATTGGTTGCTGAGTCTGTATATGTTGGTGAAGCTATTATTTGAAAGCGAGAAGCCGTCTTTCTCTGGCCGACGGAGACCCTTAAATTTGCCTTTCCCTGCATATGAGAGAGACCGGGAGTGTGAGATCGGTGGGCTAGCACAGAGATAGGACTGGTCTCTATGATCAATGACAGGCTCTGCCGTGTGAATTGCTGTTGCACCTGCATCTACAAAAGGTTGACCGATATCACTGACCGCAGACGACGCTGTTAATACACGGTTGACAGGTCTGCCTATAACAGGATGGTACGTAGCAGCAGCTGACCTAGAAGACTCACTTTTCTCATAGGTACAATCTGCTGACTGATAACTTAGTTTAGACTCGTAGTCCGACACGCTCTTCTCACTGCTTGAAAAGCCTGTTGTAGAAAGGGTAGACTCTAGGCTTTGACGGATCCGTCCTATATGGTTCTCGTCGTCTTCATAAAAGTGCAAGATATATTTGACATAATTAGCGTAGCAATACTCGACAAGCTGCTCATTTTTATCAGAAAAAAGATCCCAAAGCATAGAGAGCACAGATGCGTGCGGTATCATTGCTTGAAGTTGGTCGAGAACAGCTGGCTGCAACCGTGTGAGGGTGAGGCACAGGGATGCTGAGCTCTCTCTAGAATCAGCACCACTATGCACCTTGTTCTGTAAACGCCTAACAAATGGACTTGTTAATCTAGACACCTTCTTGGAAGGTTCAACACTAGACCGTAAACATCGCTCCAAATCAGAGCTATCCATTATCGTAGAATTCACCGAAAAGGAACTGGTGGCAGCTCGGTAATCTACTGCATGATACTTTTTATCGTTCAGCTGCGGAGTTCTATTGCTTCTTTTCGAAGTATACAACTCTTGGGAATTGCTGTATTGACAGAGTAGGCTTTGGACTTCAGCGATCACCTCAGGCTTCCGTAAGTAGCTGTGTGTAGACCGCATAAGAAAGCTCATCGCTGAAACAACTGTCGTTCCAATCGCGTTTAGAGTGGCATGAACGTACTCGTTGGACTCTGTTATCACCAGGCTATCTCGAAAAAGAAACTGAGCCAGGGTACAGATACAGCTATAAAAGCTGGACTGCAGTAGGGGATGATTGTAGGGTATCATTTCGGAAATGAACGCGCAGAGGCTCTCGAATCTCATCGACTCAAGGTAGCCAACACTCCCGCGTTCTATGCAGCGAGCAAGCTCGCACACTAGAACATCATTGAGTTGAAAGTGGGGCCCTATGACTGCATAAGCCCGAGCTGCAAGGGTCTTATCAGTATCGGTATCGCCAAGAGGCATGCAGATTTGGAAGATTGCAGTGAGAGAGTCTACCACATGGTGGTTACAAGTGCACATAAGAAGGCTGTCCCACTGCGGCTTGGACAAGGCGGAAGAAAGGACTTCAATGAATTGCATGCGACGGCTTTCGTGCCAGACGATATACTTAATAAAGGATGCAAATCGCTCAGATTGACGGGGAATTAGGCACATATCGCTTTCTACCCAACGGCTAAAGAACTTGGGGAGCTCCTCAGAACGCAGAAGGACGTCGTAAAACTTGGTGCCAAACCGCGCAGTCTGAAGTAGATTATCTATGGCAATGATATCAGCTTCCGTATATTTAGACCTAGGGCATGCCTCTGACAGCTTTGTAATAGCCCTTAGTGGCGGCTGAATGTCCTGAAGCAGTGTGCTTAGGATCATATGAATGCTATGCCTCGTAGTAAGAAATGCTATTACACTATCCTGCTCTGTTTCTAAAGCTTGCAGAAAGCCTTGGGTCTTAAGTAAACGGAGGATGTCTGCCGACTGAATGGCATGATCAAGGGGGGAAAGGAAACCTGGATTACGTATGATGGTCCAGTAGAGATGCTGGTCCCCCAGAACAATACTCCTCTCCTGCCTAGAAGCGAACCCAATCATAGGCGGCTCTTTCAATCCGACCCTTTTTTTGGTAATCGGTCATTTACTCACCGAGGTGGACATCATTTTCACGTAGTGCGGGGCCGAATACCCAAACGCACCGGGGTTTGTGTACTTTCCAAGCCACTCTTCAATGGCCATGAGGCGCGTATCGAGCTCGGTTAAACGGGTGAGATCTTTCACGGGGCACCTCTTACGGAGAGCCAGAAACCATGGTTTGAATTCGTTTACCAGTGAGGCCACATAGCCTTCGTCTCCCCCGTGCATACCCAGCTCTATCGCCACGAGGCGTTCATTGACGTCCCCCCAAGGAAAGGGCTGCTTCAAGAGCGGAGGTACCCCGGAGTATCCCGGGGGATGATAAGTAGGGGCCGGTAATGAGCGCAGAGCTCTAGACTGCATGGTCTCGACAGTGGATAGCCCGCCAACGTGCTCCACCGAGGAGCCATACTCAGGAATCCCGTAATAGGTGGGATGTGTTTGCGGCTTTGCAGATTCTTCGTACATCTTTGACGCCTGATCAACGTACGCCTTGTCCTCCCACATGTGTGCGGGATGCATGCTCTTTTATGGTCAAAGGTTTTCAAAAAATGTCGGTGCTGTTCTCCCAGGTCGAACTCAACTTGGGCTTTAAACCGGACGCGAGCGCCCTTCTCACCGCTCACGTGGATAAGGACCTTGTTGCCTACTCGTCGGGTTCACGGCTTTTTGCATTTTCTCTTCTGTCTAACAAGCGTCTCTTTGCATACCCTACCACCGGTAACCAAGTCATGCATCTCCAGTTCTTGGGAGACTCTCTCTTTAGCATTACCACTGACGGGGTCATTAGCGTCTACGAGTCTCATACTGGCCGCCTCATCGCATCCGTCCCTGCTGCCTTTGAGGACGGGCCTCCGATGTTCATCTTGATAGCAAAGGTTGATCCGGCTTCTGTGGGGTCTGTCTTTTTCAACACAAAGGTTTCAAAGTCAATCCGTGAGATTCGCATTCGGCCTGGCTCGGCCATCCCCTTCGTAATTAAGTACAAGTTTCCAGACGAGCGTGCGAGCGATGGCGTCCTCTCTATGACCTCTTCTTCAGAGAGACTTGTGGCTATAGCTCGAGTGAAGAACGCTCGACATATTATAGTGTGGCCAATTTCCCAGAAGGACGAACGTGTCACTAACTCCAAAACCTTAAAGATCAAGGAGTCCGAATACTGCCTTATCTCATATTGCCCGTACGACAACCATTTTATTTTCTCTGACGATAAGGGCCTTTATTCACTAACGGCTCAGTGCAGCAAGGAAGTGTACAACCCGCCCTTCAATATGAAGAGGGTGCTCAACACGTCACCTAGCTTGGCAGGGGCCAGAGTTATTGGATACAACATGTATGCTCAGCGATTTATGCTTGCGACACCACACGGGATATCGTTTTGCGACATTAATGGCGAGGTAGCACAGTACATCTATGGGATGCGTACTCCTGTCTTCGTTAAGACTTCTCATTCTGCAAATACCCCTGCGCATCACACCTTCATGTACCATCTTTCAACCTCTGCCATGTTCGATTTTGGATCTTCCCCAGACATTGAGCTGACATATTTTAATCCGTCTTCTTCTGGTGATGAGGTTATACCCGCGAAGCTCCAGCAGCCAAATGGAATCGTCCTCATAAATGGGTTCCTCTTCGACGCAACTTATAGAGACTGTAAGGTTCCTGCCATTGAGCTTCCAAGTGCCCAAGTGATCGATGTGACTTCTTATCCGAGCCGAGAAGGGATCATTAAGATCATCGCCCAGCAATGTAACAAAAACCTCTTATTTTCGGATCTTTATGACGTCAAGGTTGCTTACGATGGGCATGGCATATTGGCTCGGCTTCTGATCAAAGAAGATTGGTCGTATTTTGTCATAGATGTTGACAAGAATACAGGCGCGCTGTTTAAGGTGTGGCCTCTTGATCTTGATGAGTCTGGGTTTGAGTACGACTCCATTGTCAGCTTTGGCAGGGTAGAGACCCGCTGCTTCTTCCTTACCGCCTCGGAAAAGGGGATATGTGGCTATTGTCTCGACGTGACGGTAGGCGTGTCCGCTCCGCTCCAGATCCAGGTTGTCGACGTTCCAGCTAACTCTATCGGAAAGGGGGATGGCGTGGTTTCAGTCCAACAACAATCTTCAGGTCACATGTCTGCTCGGGGTCCTCCTCCAACACATCAACAAGTGATCGCTGACGCGGCAGCGGTAGCTGGTGGGTCTCCGGCGCAGCCTGCAGTCACCGGAGTGGGCATGGGAATGGGAATGGGCCCCCGCCCGGGGTTTAGCATGGGAAAACCAGCCGGAGGCGCCGGATTCAGTTTCCAGGGCCCTGGCCTCGGCGGTGGCACTGGGGCCTTCATGACAAAGCAGCCAGGCACAGGCACTCTTCAACCGGGATCTTCTGGTCCGTCTTCTGCGGTGTTGAACCCTGCATTAGGACCCGCGGCAGCGACAAAGGGTGTAGCCCCGCTCATACCTGGCGCTGCTTCTGCCCCGGCTGCCGCTCCGACGCCGTCTACTCCTGCTCCGGTCGCACCTATCACAAAGACAGAGGTCATCAACGACGGTGTGGTCACCAGGGACATAACAACTGATTACTACGTCTGCAAAATTGTTGCTATCACGTCCACAATGGCGCAACTTGTGATAGCTTCGTCCAAGGCGATTCATCTTGCAGCGGTTACCCTTACCGGATGTGCAGTTAATCTGGTAAAGCAATCTCTTAGTACCCACTACCTGAGCTCGTCCAACTATCTGATGAGGATAGTCTCCGATAACTCTGTTGATCTGCTCGTAAGCAACGGGATCTGCGTGGTCTATCAGCAGTACATCGAATGGCTCCACGTCCATGTTCAGCAGGGTGTTCTGGCGTTTAGTAGCGACTTTTCTAAGAATAGAATCATCCAAACAACTTTTGCGTCCGACGAGGACATGGCCAGGAAGTACCGTGAGTTGGTTGTTGACGTGCAGGCCTCCAACCACATTGTTGTCACCAACAAAAACGTGTACTTGATTACCCCCAAGAACACGCTGCTCCAGTACATAGCAATCCCGGTCCACGGCCCTTATCTTTCGCTTTTCGGGAAAAGAACAAAAGCCGGCGAGCACGAGATTCAGGCGTTCAAGCTGCAGATTGGCGCCTTGGGAGCAGGAGCTTCTACTGATATGCTGAATCAGAGCGAGCTTTACCCCTTACTGCCGTTCAAGGCGTGTTATTATTGTAATAAGCTCATGCACATGCTGCAGCCATCGTGTGATATCAACCCGGAGGTGTTCACTCTCACCTTTATTCAACTGTCAGAAACTATGGGCGGAGCGTCGAAGATGAATATTCCGAACCTGGCAGACTTTCTTATTCTCTTCCTAAAGAGATATGCCGATTTGGCCCGTTCGAAGGAGTTCTTTGAGCACCACGAGAAGCACGAGAAGACGCTTATGAAGATATTCTCTGTTTGTATCGCTAAACAGATGCTTGCACCGTTCCTTCTGGCCTTGCCATACCTCTTTACATACCACACAAATAACCTGCTCCTGTCTGCGCAGTCTCGCGGCCAGATTCTCTTCAACCTCTTCAGCAACCTTGTTAAGCTTAGCTATGCTAATAAGCACCTCATGCTGTTAGTGGTCTACTTCCTCTCAGCTAACAAGACCTTCTTCAATTCTGGTGGGACCATGAATGCTGACTTGTTTGACCTCGTTCGCTCGTCCTCGGCTATGGGACTATCTCCGTCTATACAGACTTCGCTCACCAAGAACATAGGGGTATACACTGAGAATGGAGAGATCTCTTTCCTCCTTATCGGCTCTCTGATTTGTCTCTTCGAGGAAAGAAACGCTTACTGCGAGCTCTGTCTGACGCTCCTCGCATGCAACATATCTGTTCAGTCTATACTGCAGTACCTTGAGAAGGTCCGCAATTCGATTGTAAAGGATATGCATCTCTCTCCAGCTGCAGCCATTAGGTTTATTGATAATGTCGATGGGCAACGATATTCCAACACAGATAAGTCACTAGGATCTGCGGTGTCTGGGGCGCTGGACACGCCGTTTATTCCTGCAGGAGCTAGGGGGCCCGATGCGAAAATAATTGGCATCAATACGGCCCTGTTCCACGTATTTGGCATAGATCCGTCTACAGGAATGCTTGTAGGTGTCGCTAATCCAAAGGGGATTAAGCCAGATCCGCTTGTCATTAAGCTGGGAGGAGACTCTTTCACGGCAATTGAAAACTCCATTATCCGCCCGTCTCCGTACGATCTCTATCGAATTTGTGAGATGGACCTCCTCAACTCTGCTAGTCACACGAGCGTGAATTCCCTATTCCAACATGTAGCCAGGCCAATTCGGTCATTGGACTACGCTAGCAACGAGTCTGTGTACCCCAAGAAGCTCTTCAGGCAATATCAACCCGATGCCTTGTCTGTTTTGGTACACCTGAGAATTCAGAGCGAGCTGGGCAAGAATCGCGTGAAGGTTGGGATTGCCGCTCGCCCTGTGGCAGATGACCGCATTAGCGCCGGGAGCCTCGCTGACGTTGGTGACGGGCCTTTCATCAACCCTGCCCACAAGCTTCTTGGCACGCCTTCTGCTCAAACCGTTCCACTCATGTCTGCCTGCAACATAGGTTGCTTCATGTTTGACGTGGACGGAATGCACGTCAAGGTTAAAAAGATCAAGAAGAAGAAGGAGATGATTGGCCCTGACGGGCAGCCTCTTCCCTTCGATGTGGGCCAGGCAGAGCAAGTTAACGATGAGGTCGAGGAGTACGAAGAAGAATCAAATGAATCAGAAGAAGAGGCTCAGGACGCAGAGGAGGCCCAAGAAGCGGCAAGGCAGGCTGGCGGGGACACCACGAATCCCAAGCAGGACGACACTAGCGCTGCTACGACAGAGGCTCCAACGTCTCCTGAGGTGACTCCAACCTCAGCACCAGAGGGATCGTCGCCCAATAAGACAGCGGTGAAACCGGCAGGAGCCAAGAGGCAGCTCGTAGCAGGAGACGACGACGACGATTGGGGCGAGACAGCGAAGAAGCCAACCCGCAAGATAGCAATCATGAGCAATGAGAATGCACGCAAATTCAATCCGGCTGCAACGGGTGCAGTGGCTGGGGGGTATAACCTGAAGGTTGTGGGCGGCGTCCAGACAGGGTTTGGCTTTGGCAAGCCCATGTTTAAGCCGGCCTTCAATGATCCGGCAGCCAAGGAGGAGGCAGACAAGCCTAAAGAGCCCGCAGCTGATACATCTTCGCTACCGGTCTACGACGTTGGCCCTGCGGAGGTCTCACCGCCTGAGCAGCATGACCAGGGTAACTATGGTACTCATTATGACAATTCAGGGAATAATGATCCGTATCAGCAAGGATATTACCAAGGATATCAAACTGATCAGTATCAGCATGGGCAGGACTATGGAAGCAGCGCTTATGGTGATCACAATAATGGGTACGGCCAGTCATATGGCTACGACACCCAAGCCTCCTACTACAACAACGGCCAGGAGGGCCAGGGTCAGTGGTGAGATGACAGCGTGTGAATTGGATGCAGTATGTTTACTTAGGACGAAGCCCGCTTAACGGTACGACTTCTGGCGACGGGCACGAGCACCACGGCCACCAAACTTCTTTGCCTCACACCTGCGGGGATCGGAGACCACAAGCTGGCGGTCGTAGCTCACAAGCTTGGCGCGGAGTTCTGAACGGGCTGCCTCGTCCTTGACAGACGCAAGGACGCCCCTGGAGATTGCTTGGCGGACTGCATAGATCTGGGACACGTGCCCCCCTCCAGCGACTTTAATATTCATGTCGAGTCCCTTGAAGAGGCTCTCGCCGAGGATCATGATGGGCTCCGAGACCTTTGTGCGAAGGATCTCTGGCCTCACAAGAGCAAGCGGGACGTTGTTGACGAGGATGTCGCCCTTCCCCGCCTTTACGAACGCCACCGCCACGGAATTCTTCTTCTTGCCGAGGGTGTGGACGGTGTACTTGTCCCTCTCCCTCACCTCTATGTCGTTCCTTTCCAGTAAGTCTCTTCTGTTGCCCTTCGCCATCGGGGAGCCGCTTTTTATGGGACCGGAAGTGGAATTAAAATAAAATCCTCCTTCTTATCTATTCGCCATTTCAGATAAAGTGGCGCATCTAGAACGGTCAAAAAGGACCGATCGAAGACCAAGCGGTGCTAGGTTCAAGCCAGGTCCAAGACCCGGGCAGTCTGTGCTGTGGGGCGCCGCTGTAGACGTCTTCCGAACACACCTGCGATAAACCCTTTATTTAAAAGATTATGGCCACTGCTTTGCCCCAAGCGCTGTTCTCCGACTACGTCGCCTACTTCACTGAAGAGAGGCTGCAGAGCAAGGGAGTCGTCTACTCATCGTGGTCCCTCTTCCACACGCTTTTCATCTTTCTAGCTGCAGTGACAGGGTCTGTTCACGACGACCTCCTCACGGCAATGCAGCTTTCCGAGAAGGAAGCCTCCCCGCCAGCGGTTTCTCAGATAGCGTCATTGCTCCGCGAGGACTCTGCTCTCGCTTTGGCAGCCAACATCTACGCCAAATCAGTCTCTCCCACTGTCGAATTTGTCGCCCTTGCCAAGCGCTATTTTGATATTACAATAGAACCGCTAAAGAGTGCAGCTCAGGTCAACAACTGGTGCTCTGCTCAGACAAAGGGGCTCATCAACTCTATCGTCGATGATGTAAAAGATACAGACGCCATCTTGATCTCCGCTATATACTTTAAGGCCAACTGGGCATTGAAGTTCTCCAAGGATGACACTAAGATGCTTCCATTTACGTCACTAGATGGTCGTACGCAGGATCGCGAGCTCATGTACTTAAAGGCAAAGCTTCAGTATGCATCTAGTGACAGTGCACAGATGGTTAAACTTAATTACAACGATAGTAACGTCTCTGCCATTATTGTGCTTCCTAAAGAGACCGGTAAAGCATCTCTGAAGGCGGCCCTGAGGTACGACAACTTCTTTCCCACGGACGGCTTCTTGACCAAGGAGGTTGTTCTCAAATTGCCAAAATTCAGGCTAGAGTCCTCACACGACCTTAAGGATCACCTTGTTCTGCGAGGTGCAAAGAGCATGTTTGGGGTGTGTGACTGCAACGGGTCCCTGGGAGCGCCGATGTCTGTCACTAAGGTAATTCAGAAGGCCGTTATCGAGGTAGACGAAGAGGGGACAACGGCAGCCGCAGTTACTGCAGTTAGGATGCTCCGCTGCGCCATGATGGCCCCTCCCCCTGAGATCTACCATGTTATCTGCGACCGCCCATTTTGGTTCATGCTTGAGCGCGATGGAATGCCTCTTTTCCTGACGGCTCTTCTTTAAATCTAGAATAAATTACCTTTAGCTTGAGCCATTCCACCCTGTTCTGTTCGCTGCTATTCATAGGTGTCTATTTGAGAGTAGAACATTTGTAGCTGTGTATCATGCATCTCATCCTCATTCATGCCGTAGCTCTGGTATCCGTCCATCTCCTCTCCAACTGTCATCCTTTCCGGCAGCTCTGGCTCCAACTCAAGGATATTGCCTGACAGCTGCGAGAAGTTCACAAGTGCCCGGGTATCCTTACCTTTCCCAAAGAATACAGGCTTAGTGCTTCCACTGGGATAGAGGATCTGCATGTGGCGGACACGCTTGAGCAGCATCTGATGCTCCCTATCGACTTTCTCCGGAGATATTGCCCACTTCATTGTTTCCTCGTCGTACTCTGCAAGAGCTTCTGCCTTTGCGACCTCGCATTGGGGAATGAATGTCTGAATTATTGCATCAAGAAGAGCGGACCGCTTATCCACTTCCTTGAGCTCTCTCCTCTCCTCCTCAATGCTGAGTGCATGCTGTTCTGTGATATCATCTATCTCTTGATTGACCTCGTTTATCTCTGCCTCGGTCTTAGAAATGTCTGCCTTGAGCCTCTCCAATTTCTCAACGGCACTTAAAATCTCGGCTGTCTTTGTTTGGTGCTCGGTTTGCTTATTCTGAAGGGCCTGCTGAAGGGCATTGTGCTTCTCCTGACGGGTGGTGAGCTTTTGCTGTGCTTTACCAAGAACCTTATCCTTTATCTCCAGCTGCTTCACCACAAAGACGCTGTTCTTGATTGCTGACAACTGCGACTTCAGATCTGTTAGGGTCACGATTGCTTCTTTGTTTAGTGCCTCCTTTTGCTCCAACTCGCTTTCCCGTTTCTGCTTGGCCTCTGCTAGAGCGCGCCGCTTAGCTTCGAGTTCATCGGCAGCTTTCCGTGATGCTTCGTCTTCCACGAAGACTATCTCCTCCTCGGTTGATTCCCCCTCTGAGTCACCGTCACGTGCTTCACTGAGTTTGGCCCCAGCTGTTCCTTGGAAGGTTCCATCCAGGTTTAGCTCGTCTCCATTAATTGCTTTCATAAGGCTCTTGCCAATCCTCAGCACATCCATCGGCTTTGCACCATTTGCTTGTGCCTCGGCGAGCTGGGCTTCGAGCCGAGCAATGTGGTCTCTTAGCTGGCGAATCTGCGCATCCTTCGGGTCTTCATTGATCCGTGGCTTGTTCTTGATCTGCTTGGCACGATCAGCGTAGCGGAGGGTTGACATTGTCTCGTCGTAGTTGGTTGAGGCCGGACTTATATTGGCACACATCAACGTCTTACTATTCCCACCCAGGGAATCTTGGAGCAGCCTAGTAAGCTTTGAGTCGCGGTATGGTATGTGCGTGGCTCCCTCAACTAACTTTGAAATAACCAGCCCCAGAGCGCTCAAGCTCAAGTTGATCTTTGCGCCCTCTACAAGCGTTTCCCCAGTTGCGCCCGTCTTACTCTGACGCTCAGACCCTGCAAGGTCCACTAGATTTAATTTTCCTACGCGAATGACCTCCTTGTTTTCAATCACTTCTGAACATTCTATTCTGACCATAAAGATGCTATGTGATCGGGAGCTAGTGTCGTTCATTTGAGTGGCTGCAACATGCCTATTTGCAAAGCCCTTGTCCATCAGTGCCGAAAGCTCTGCTGCAGTTGTCACACGGTGCATAGAGAGCCCGTCAACATAAATTCCCCGTGTCTTGTCTTCTTTGAGTGGTAGCTTGGTGTTATTCTTAATCAAATCACGTATCTCTTCGTTGTAGAGCTCCAAGTAGCTGCCAATGACCAGGAAGTTTTGGTTGCTACTACTGGAATTGATCGCGTCGAAAAGGTGCTTGAAAGAGTTTGGTATGGCGCCCGGCTCCTCCTTGTTACCTCCCATCGTCCAAGTCTTTCCGGCACCTGTCTGTCCGTACGCAAAAATAGTGCTATTAAATCCTTCGAGAACGGCATCGATGAGAGGCTTGAAACTCGCTTGAAAGATTCCATAGTTGCATGATGTTTGATCATAAACCGCATCAAATGTGAATGTACGAGGAACCTTTTTCGCCTGGGTTGCTGACTTCTCCTGCTCAGGAGGATCAACGATGACCTGAGCAGACGCCTCGTCCATGCGAATAATGTTGAGCGCATTCTCCCGTGTCTCTCGGGCGTTGAGAGGCCGGCAACGCACGATAACCTTGATGTTGTCGCTCGACATAGAAGACTGTGAGGACAGAATTTATTTTCTTAGCTCTAAATTCCTGGCCAGTTCTTCTGAGCACCTGAGGGCAGCATTATGAAAATGCGCGTGTTTTATCGTGAGGTACCTACCAGTTTAAAGAGATGCCACTTTTCAAAAAGATGCTCTATAAACTGGTTGTTAGTTTCCTTTGTGAGGCCGAACTGGTTGATGAGGTACCCATAAAAAGTCTACTAGAGCTAATAAATCACGATGGCACGTTTTTGTACCACCTAATGAAGCGCTTGGGCGTAGACGTTTCATCAATCCACAATAGACTCTATCATAGGTCACACACGAGGGCCAATATTCTTTCCAACCACGAGGTCATGCTAGCCTTCATCGCCACCTCGGGTATCTCCCCAACCTTGCTTCCTGCCCCAAAGGTTCTCTATTCTGCAACTAAGGAGGGGGTCGCTGCAAATCTTATTTACCAGGTACTGCGGTGCATATACCGCAAGCGTATCCGTCAGGCAGAAGGTTATATTATCAAGATGGCGAACTACCTGAATGCATTATACACCCTGCGGTCCGAACCAGTCTATCAGCTGACGGGATTCAGCAGACACACCAGCTTGCCAGCTTCTCTCGTCAAGCTCAGCCTTTCCACATCATGTATTAGCTTTTCTATATTTGTGGCCGGTATCCACCGATTTTTGAGTGAGAGTGGTGTGCCTTGTGTGGATTTCTTAACAAACTTCTATAAGTTTCCTACAACACTTCAGCACATGACCCGTAATCACACTAAGATGCAGCACTTGCTCGCAGCTCTCGGCGTTCCGCTGTTCTTCTCTCCCTTAGCGTGGCTTTCTATCAAAGACGAAGAGCCATATTTCGACCTACGCCTAATACAAGTATATCTGATTTTTGACAAGTTCCGTGGTTGTGTTTCCACACTTCTGTTCAAGAAGCTCAAGCAGATTCTCTTTGCATCACGCTCCATGGATCCCGCGCTCCCGCAGTCGCTAGATCTAGTGTGGCGTGACGCAATCTGTGGCTCCTGCATAGATCCACAAGACGGACTTTTAGCATTTGCCAAATCAACTGATCCGGGCCTAGACTTTGATACTTTGTCAAATGATAGCGATATCCGTCACGATGAACCTAAGAGGCCCGATCCTAATAGTGTGGACGCTCATGGTAAAAAGGATTCTGCATCGATTATGTTGTGTCCTACTGACATTCAAACGGTAACAGGTGGAGAGTATGATGATACTTTGCCCAAGCTTCTTCCACATGAAGCAGAGCATCTGATGATGGTACTTTCTGAGCTTCCAGAACCATCACGGAGTGTAACTAGCCAAGGACCTGGGTCTCCTACTCATTACCGTGAAGCAAAAACCCACAGAATACGGAATGCCGACCCTATCTCTGCAACGCATCCAATATATTCTGACGAAGAGCATGACAAGCTACTTGAAGCGAGATCTTACAAGTCATCTGCTACTGTCTATACACATGAGGTAGTAGAACCTAAGCAAGAGGTTATAGACCGAACTGAACTAACCGACTACGCTCCTCTAAGTGATACTGAGTTGAGAGCTTGTCAGTCTTCTCAGTCTATCTTGCCTGCGAGCGCAGATGAACAACTGGAATATCGTGTGCAGAAACTTCTTAGTAATGATGTAGACTTAACATCTGATCCTTCAGAATCCCAGAAGTTACCTGCCCTAACACAGGTTGAGGACAAGGAAAGCTCAGAGGATTCTCAGATGGCACAGGCGCGGCATTCTTCTCAGCATAAGAGCTCTTCTTCCCCTCCAGGTGCATTACATATCCAAGTCCATCGCATTCACGATGATACCATGCGCCACAAATCGTCCCTGCCACATCCATGCAGCATGTCCCCGTCTGCTCATCGACTGAGTGACGAGTGCATCCAGCGCAGCTTCCACAACCACCACGAGGTTATTACCGATAGTGAAGATGAGGTATGTAGTACCATAACACCAGACCAGATCAAGGCGAAGTACCGCATTTGTTTCCTTCCTTCTCCTGCTGTCAATGTTGAGCATACTTCAGAGCATGTTCTGCCACCAGCTGAGACCTCCAACCCTACGGTCAACATCCAGAAAGACAAGAGTGGTCCCAAGCAAGAGCTGTGTATTAAGTACTCAGAGTCTGAAGACGATGGCCCTTCACTAATGCTGCCTCCTCCTCTGCCGGGCCCATCTGTTTCGCATGCTGCCAAGCAAACATCCTCCAGCCCCAATCTTCCTCAGCTAGGTAACTCTCGTCTTAATGAGCCTGATGACAGGTCTAGCACTAGCACTCAAGAGTACGACTTATCCGGGATCGTCCTGAAAAACCTTTCATCTAAACCAGAAGCCCATACTTCAGTTACGCAAAATGGTGGCACTAATTCACCACACCCAGACACTCTCCAGCTTAGTGCAGACACTGCTGAGCAAAGTCAGGCTCGAATAGAGCACGTCACTCATTCACAAGATACACTATCTAATGAGGATTTTAGGCTAGCCCGGGTTGGGTTGCTTCCGCAATCCGGCTCGGGCAAAATCAATTCATTACAGTTACAATCGGTGAATCTGTCTACTTTGGCTGCGACAGACAAGCAACTAGCTGATGGGCTACTTGTGGAACCTCGTGGTGTGTCATCCTCTTATGCTGAAAATACTGCCCCCGTTCTCTCTGCTCAAGACTTAGACGAAGAGGCCAAAGAAGCACAGGATCGCTATGTTGCACGGTTTCCGATTAGAATCCAAAAGCATATCCGCGAGAATCATCTTCTTGCCCTCTCTGAGCTTCCATCAAGGTTACTCGGGGATAGAGCCACCTTTCCAGCAGATCTTACTCGTGCTTTTATAGATGCTAATGGACATATCTATCGTCTCTACGGTCTGGATTTTATTCGTATTTCTGTTGATGGAAGCGTGCATATAGAACCAGATGAAGATTTAGAGTCGGATCAAAGAGCTCTAAAAGCCTCTCTTTCGTCATCTAACGCCACGGACTTGCCGTTGAATTATATCTCTCAGCCTAGCCAGGTAGGAACGCACGTTCAATCTCAGCAATCTTTGATTCTATCAAACACATTGGCATCTTCAGAAAAAACCACGCTTAGGGACTTTCCGGATCCACAATACTTTGCTAATCATAAGAAACTAGATAGCTTGAACTATGAGACTAGCAGTGCTGATCTACCAGCGGTTCAAACACTATGCTTAACTCTTCCAGCTCCTAATACGCCTGGTTCCGCCTGTTCAGACTCCAGTTGTGCCACCTCTAAGCACCTGCCTGCAATGCAGGAAGAGTTGTGTGATGAAAGTGTGCCTGTATCCAAAGCCACGGTGGAACCATGCTTGATTGAGGATCTTGGGCCTCTTCTTAATGACTGCACAGAGCAGCAAGATATACATCTTCTTTCCAGTAGCAGTGTTGCGCCTCTGATCTGCCTGGATGACTTGGATGACGCTGGAGAAGCTTTTGTGGATGCCGAGTGTGTCGGCCAATCCTTAGAGTCTGATCATGTGCTGGTGCATGATATCTACCTTCCTAATACTCTAGACGGCTGCGAAACCTACTCCACTGTCGATGGACCCAGCAGCGTTTTCAGTGCCCAAAGTATGCGAAAGTCCATCGGTATAAGCTCTGCCAGCTCCAAGCGTAGCTTGAATCCTATGCTATCAATGTCCTCCCACGTGTCACGACCCACCTCGTCACAAATAGATTGTGAAGCCCCCCGTGCTTCTGACACGACTGAGCTTGCCATTGCTATTACCGAAGTACTCAATGACCCAATAATAGCCCATATTGAGTCACCAACGACTGATCGTTTAATCACCGCCCATGGGCCGCGTCAGAATAGCGAGCAAAACCCCGGCGTTACCCCGGATCCATCAGCGGTGTGCGCATCGGACGAGCAGTCTAGACCATCAACCTCATCTGTGGCACTTACTTTCGTGACGGAAACTCAAACGGTACCGCCGTTTGATATCACCCCCCAAATTCAGCTGGAAAATCTGCTTACATCGAAATTCATGGACTGCTTTATCGAGTCCTATCTCAAGAAAACCCAATTTAGAGTGCCTAGTACAGATAAGTGTATAGCTGTTGGTGCTGACGCTGACGCTAACGTTCTTATGAGTACTGAAGGTGAGACGCCTGTCACTGCGACCTTGAGACCCACCGCCTCTTTGAAACAAAAGCTTAATCACTATGTTCATTCTGTTACTAATAAGACCCGGATGAGGGGTGAGACCATTACAACTCCAGGACAGGGGGCGCATCAAACCAAGTCACAGCTAACGCCAACGAGGGGTGGAGCCCAAACGCATGTTGTCAACGGTCAGCACACTATCCGCGCCACCCACTTGTCTGCTCCCACCAGCGCTAAACATACATCGTCATCCGGTGCAGGTACTCACGGGACCGAGCAATCTCTTCCACCAGCCTTCCGCAATCTGAACAAGGAGCAGGCGTGCTTGTATCATCAAATCAATGATGGCGCACATCTGAATGACAGCTCGCCACAACTGTGCAGAAAACTTCGCAGCAACAAATTAGCTTTCTCCGTTCCGGTTCATTCGCCTATTCAGCGATTTATGTATACATTGAAGTGCCTCAACATAGATTCCTCTAGGATAAGCAGTGAAACAACGCTGTTTTCAGTGCTCCGAAATAACAACTCCGGATTTTATCTTGGAATATATGCGCGACAATACATAGTTCTTCGCATTGAGATATCAGACGTTTACAAGATAGAGAGGAACCTATGTCAGGTGTATCTATATTTTCTACGTGCATTCGTAGCAACAGGGGACAACTTGCTCTTCGCCCATCTTGATCTACTAGACGACCGGACCGCCCAATCCTTTGTAAGGGACCTCACTGCTGCCGTAGAGATGGTGAAGCCTCTGATTTCTGAGCGCTAGGGCTATGGTTCTGTAAATGCACTTTGTTGCTTGAGTTTAAAAATGGATCCTCGCCCAGATTTATTTCTGGCAGGCATGGCAAAAGGATCTGGTTGTGACTTCATTCGATCTGTTTTAGCACCGTCCTTCCAGCAATACTTTGAGGGGTTGACGGGGTCTGGTGTACCTGAGACAGAACCAACACAGGCCTTGATACCGGGATGCTCCGATAAATTGCGCCAACCTGTCATCAAGGATGTTGTTCGCGAGAGTAGAAATGATTCGAAGCAGGATGTATTCTCTGTGTCCACCCAAACAGACCCTATTAGGAACGAAGCCAAATTCGACCCCATATCTATCTTCTACGAGAGCATTCAAACTGCCCCCTCGGCTCGCGAAATATCAGCACGCGTCCGAGCAGAATGTACCAAAGAGCACCGTATTGCCCTGGAGCAGGCTTTACAATCGTTAACAGCGGAGCACAAGTTGGCCCTGAACGCCATAACAAACGTCCTCAACGCAGAACGGAATGCCCGTGCGGCCGAGCGAGAGCATTATGAGGCCGATCGCCGAGTCATGCTTGCTGAGCAGAAGCGCCTTGAGGATGCAACGAAGACCTTTGCTTCCAGACAAGAAGACCTAGCCCAACGAGAACTGGCTGTTCAGGCGCGTGAGGCTGATCTCTCTTCCATGACTAAGCAAATCTTGAGTAGAGAAGAGACTATTGCTACTGTTCAAGCGGAAAACAGAGATTTGCAAGCTAGAATAGCTGATCTTCAATCAGTGATAGATTCATCAAACGATCAAAGGAAGGCTGCAGACAATGAAATGGCTGTCATGCAGCGACGAATAATAGCTCTGGAAGAAACTTTAAAGCTTTACGAGTCTGTAGCAAGATACTATAGTTCTCAGGTAGGGATGCCAGGTGCTCCGGCTCCTATGCTTCCTCCCTGTCTTCCCTTCCCACCTACAGCTGATTCTCGTCCAACAGGTCACTTTCGCCAACTCCAAAATGCGCCCCCCGATTACTCACCGTTCACAAATACTTATCTACCCGAACCCCCCATTAATATGGGGCCATCTCCTAACATGAACTATGAGAGTGGACTATCCGATGAGGGCAACTCCGGGAACTACCAAGGATCACAAGACAACAACTATTTGCGGCAGCAGCATTTATATTTGCGGCAGCAACAGCACCAAGCGTCCCGCCCAATTAGTCACTTCAACCCTGGAACCGTACCACCTCCAATGTATTCCAACCCAAGGTATCGCACCCAAGGTCAACATGATAATCATGCCCTGAGGCAATTGCAACAGTTTGAAGACTATAGCAGGCCATTTTCCAGGCTTACAGCAGACAGACAGTCGCAGTTCCATGTTCCTCCAAATCCGAACCTTATTTATCAAGGGACACCGGCTCCTGAATTGCAGGCCATAGATCCTGCCGCAGATGCTCATGGCGCATGTCTCGCTAGCGATATTTACTTAAGTGATCCTCGGTCAGACGCGACACCCCTGAAGGACTCCCAACAGCCCAACACCCAGGCTGTTGGATACTCGGTATTTCCCATAATCGATGGCTTCTCCCCTTCTAGAGCCTCAACACTGCAGACAACTGTCCGACCCGGTTCTGCCCCGCCGTGCGGAGAGCTCCCTGATCGGCCGTCCTATAAGTCGACTATGTCGGTGAAGGCCTTTGGGGACTCCAAAATAGGGTCGATCTCCCATTCAAAGGCACAGGTGCACGCACTTGAAGAGGCCTTTTCAGAGTCACCAGATCCTGTCACTCAAGGTTGCAATGCTCTGTCTCCGATCAATAGGGACCTTAGTGGAAGGACATCCCTGAGCAAGTTTAGCGAAAGGTCGAATGCATCTGACCCGGCGGTAGATGTGGGAAGGTATTCTGATTCATTGCAGAAGTCTCCAATTAAGCAGCAGGCTTTGGCTGATGATAGTTTCAAGAGCTCCTCTCCAATCAGAAAATCTGTTACGATTGTGGAAGCTACTGCAGTGAACGGATCGGTACTAAAAGAGGGGTCATATCAATACTCAATGACCTTCGATGAATCGGCACACAGTGATCTAGCTGCCTCGCGTCAACTAGTCGAGCAGCCACGTAGCCAGTTAAGCACAAGCGTACACACCGCACTAAATGAGGAAAAGCTGCCATCGGCAGCCCCACAGAAGACTGCAACGCTTGTCACAGCTGGAGGGATGACGTACACTGTTCACCATTCTCCTACTAACTCGACAAGTGCATCAGCCATGGACCAAAAGAGTGCTTATGAAAACGTTAGCTATGCCAACGACTTTGATGACTTTTCAGATGTGGGTCTACGGACAGGTGAACTTACTGCCAACAATGCCGATAGTTTGCACACCAACTCGCAAGGTGGTGGAATTAGCCGTTCTCCATCTATGAACTTATACGGCGACTTGGGTCCCGTGGAGATTGCATTTGACGATTTCTAGACCAAAGAAAATTGGTACTCTACCAAAAAATGTGAAAACAGCCATGGCTTGGGCCCCTCTCCGCGGAACGGCCTATGTATCGCAGCCAGAAGAAGCTGCTTTAGATGCTCTGCACTATAATGCTAAACATACCGTTCTCGAGCATGCTCCGTTGGCGTCTGTGATACCTACAAAGACCGTTATACATCACACCATCGATGAGGGCACAATCGCCTACCAGGAGGGCGGGTTTTGTCGTATTACGCCAGGGGAGATCCTACACGACCGTTATAAGGTTCTGCGGAAAATTGGGTATGGGAAGTTCTCCACTGTTTGGGCAGCTGTTGATATGGTATCCGGTACTCTTAGAGCAATCAAGATCTCACGCTCCAATCCTGAAGATTGGAACGTAGCCCGAAATGAATATGACGTCATGTGCAAAATTCATTCGAAGGTCTCTGAGCTTTTCTCTGACAGCTTCCCGTCTATCGAGGCTTTGCCTCTTCAAGCTGTCTACGATGTATTTCGCCACCCCGCCCCGCCCAATTCTAAACACGTCTGTCTTGTGGTAGAGTTTCTTGGGTGCTCCACTTATCGTTTCTTGCAGCAATACACCCGAAGGCGTTCTTCGCGGCCTGCAATCCCTGTGCCGATAGTAAAGACTTTTGCCCGCCATCTACTGGTCGCTCTCGGTTACGTTCACGCTGCCGGGTATGTGCACACTGATGTGAAGCCCGAGAATCTGTGTTTGAAGTATACCCTCTCGGAGCTTCGAACACTGGACACACCTGTCTTTGATTGTAGACTACGAACAACAGCGGTAGCGCCAAGCACCGCTGACTTTGTGAGCCTATCCGGGCTTGAACAGATGGAAATAGCAGCATACTTACAATCAGTCAGCCCCCAAACTACCGTCCGTTCGGACCACCACGGATCACTGGATGATCTTCTTGACAATACGTCCTTGCAAGTTGTGGAAGGACCGGGGAATATTTACAGTTCTAGTAGCTACCCGCTCCACGACGCCCTCTACGCTGCGGATCTTCTGTTTCGCATTGTACCATACCCAGATAATCTAGAAAGGAAGTTTGGCCTACTCATTGACGAGACCTCCCTATCCAAAACAGCGATTCACTTGGACGCACTGTATTCATATAAGAATATTCCATCAACTGAGGAGTCTCAAGAGCAATTTTGGAACTCTCTGACCTCTATTTGTAAGACTGTCTTACTAAAGCTAAGAGGGACCACTTCTTCTCCATTTAACATATGTATTGAGACTACACAACAGACAAAAGAGGCCGATGTTGATGGTGATGTACAGCCGCAGCGTATCCTAAAAAAGGCTAGCACCACCCTACGTGCTCCTCTACCTAGAATAAACGACGACGAGCATATTTGCGTGCACCTTCTCGATGAAGCGACAGTTATTAGTATTGACGCTCTCTCGGCCGTCCCATTACTTAAAAAGCTTGCTGCCGCGGAACTGGCTTTGCCTGTGACACTGAAGAAAATCCTTCTTGCCCACAAGAGGACCGCTGATGAATATCTCCAAACCCATTCTATAGAGCTTCCTACATGCATGTCAGTACCTATCGTGCTCAACGGTTACATGAGGGGTAAGACCTTGCATATCCAAGAAGGTCTCGATCCCTATAATCACGTAATTGTTAACGGACACCAATTCGCCGTGGCTAGGAAGGGCTCTGTTGACTGCATTGATGACATAGTGGTGGAGCTCAAGCATTTTGATCCTCGCAAAGCAGCATCCATTGCGGTCTATAAACAGTCAAGGTATGCATTTTCATCATACTTAGCAATGCTGAATTGTTGCTATGATGACTACTACATGTCAGATCACCACCACATCAACATTGGCGGATCATTCACAAGTAACCCTTGGGGACAGAGCCGGCCTCCTGCTCGTCCGGAAACATGCACGGGAGAAGTGAATGGTAGCAATGAGACCGCGTCAATGGCTGCTTCCTTTGTGTCTACAAGCTACAGCCATGAGTGCTCGCGGACACACACACGTCAAGGGTCTCAGATAAGCAGCGAGTGGTCTGTTGAACACGATTCCTCTGCAGACGGAGAGGGGATTCCTCCCTTCGATGATGCTATTTGTGGTTGTATCATTTCTTCTGCCACCGACACGGCTCTTTATAGGCCAATTATGGTGGCATACCCGGATACAGATCACCTCATACCTCTATTGCCGGAAATGTTTTCTGTTAAGCTAATTGACTTGGGGAATAGTCACCGTCTTGGAGATACCCAACCACCTCTTATCCAGACCGCTCCATACCGTGCGCCGGAAGTTATACTGGGACTTCCTTTTGATGAAAAGGCAGATGTTTGGTCTGTAGGGTGTGTTATCTACGAGTTTCTTACGGGCCACATACTCTTCCCGACAGTTGACATGTCCAGTGGTAAACACATTAGTGATGCCCAGCATATGTGTGACATCCTTGCTACTGTTCCGTTCCCTGGTACTGAATACTTTCAGGCGTCACCCTTGGGGCTTTCGCTTTTGGAAGATGAGTGTACAAAGAAGTACCTTGATGCCACGGCACACTTCTCTTTGCAGCTTCGTCTGGAGCAGACTGGGTTCACAAGGGAGGAGGCGTGTCTAGCAGGAAGCTTCCTAGAACAACTGCTTACCGTCGACCATAAAAAGCGGCCTTCTGCGACTCAAATGCTGGAGCATCCGTGGCTGTCAACTCATGGCCCAACTGATGCACTTACGCAACCTGGCGGTTGGGGGCATTCATAGCTTAATGTACCTTGAAAACGGAATACGATTGCCGTTATTATGTTAAATATGTGATTGTAAATTATGGAAAATTGTAGGTATATCCTATCTCAGCGTGGTTAACTACCTTGCTCTGAAGAAGTAAGCGGAACGAAGAGCAGACACTGGAGCTTGGGAGGATTCAGCTGAATTGTCAACAAGTGGCTGCTTAGTCCCGCGTTGCATCACGCATCCCATCGCAACCCTGTGGTGCTGGGGCTCAGTGCCAAAGACAGGAGGCCGTGGGTCTGAGCAGAGGGGCCTATCTTCTGCGCGTGGCCGGCTCCAAGGGTGCGTTCCACAACAAGGACAAGCCGAGGGCGTCGTCGGGTTCCTCCACTAGTAGCCCATCTGCCAGAAAAGGCGTGAGTTAGGCAGTAAACATGTCGTTATATTGTCAATGTCCCTTATGTATCTCTCGTTATCCCTCATTTGCGCAGGCAGAAGCTCAGCTTGGCGACACGTAATTACCCATCTTAGGCAGACTTAAGGCCTTGCCGTCCAGCAAAAGTCCCCCTTGTAGCTGTCCAGTGAGTGGGTGCAACAAATGGGTCATGGCGCAAGGGCAGTAAACGAGCTTAATAAAAATCCATGATCTCCTCGATCAGAGGTCAACCCTCACATCGTATCCAAATGGGCCTACAATTTGTTGAAATCTACACAGTGGGAGATCCGAGGACAATCCATATTCCTAACAGGGAGACGTTTGAAAATGGAGGGAAGATAATCTTGGGGCATGACATTCTCCAACGTCTCCTCGACAAGAATATAATAGAGGAGGGAAAAGGCATGCACTTCAGAATACACTCCCCGGCACATAAGATCGTTATTCACTGCGGTGTCCTGGACTTTAGTGGTGCAAACACACTGCTTTACGCTCCGTCCTGGATCATGGAGTATTGCAACATTCGTCCAGGAGATTCCGTGGTCATTGCGTCTATAAACCTTGAGCCGGGAACCTTCATGAAAATCCAGCCTCAGTCCACCAAATTTCTTGAAATCGACGACCCCGAAGCAGTGTTGACAAATCTTCTCCCCAACTTCAGCTGCATAATGAGGGGCCAATATTTGCGGTTTGAGCATGCCGGCATCAAATATGACATAAAGATTCTTGATACAAAACCTGACGTGGCCGTGTCACTTCTCAATACTAACATTACAGTGGAATTTGCTGAGCCCGTGGGTTATACAGAATACCTGGAGGAGCAGAAAAGGAAGTATATGGAAAAGAAGCGTCTAGAAGAATCTAAAAAAGCCGATGAAGCCATGGGATTTGTTGGGGGTAGGAGGCTAGATGGCCGAGGGAAGGCGATTGCTTCATTGACTGAGGCAACTCAGCCAGGACATCCCTCCGCAGAGAAGTCGGCAATGAGGGTGGATTTGACCCAAAAGCTTTCAGACATCAAGCCAAGTACTATAAAGTCTGTGAAGAGCGATCTAGATATGTTAGCAAACATGGAGGAAGAGAGTCACTTCAACGTGAAGAAAGCCCTCGAGTCCAAGAAGTTCAAGGGAAAAGGTCGTGCCCTATAACCCAAAGGGCAGTAGCTACCTTGTCGAAGTACTCGATTGAAATGCATTTTTGTAAATAGCCTCGATGTCTCGTGTGTTTGTGAAGAACCTAGCCAAAAAGGCCACAGAATCAGACATCCAGAAGCACTTTCAGAGCATTGGACCCATAACAGAGATTCGCCTCCTCCTCAAGGAGGACGGAACATCACGGAGAGTAGCATACGTGGGATTTCTAGATGAGGCGTCTGCAAACAAGGCCATTGCGAAACTGAATCATTCATACATTCGCACGTCTCGAATAAGCGTCGAAAAGGCCCTTTCTCGCAGTGCTATTGAGGCCGAGCAAAAGCTCAGAGAGGAGGACCGTGAAAGGCGGCATCAAGAGCGTCTGGCTAAACACCAGGGTGGAGCACGCGAACTCATCGAACAAATGCGGAAGGAAGGCGGTAAGAAGCTGCAAGAATACATCCAGATTGCCGGTCAACGCTCATGGGAAGATAACGTAGTGTGCGTTGCACGTGACACAGATAGCCAACAGGGCAGTACTAGTGATGCGCCCGAAGAGGCGGGTGCCGGTGATAACTCCCAGGTGAAGACAGAGGACGGTCAGGCAGCAACAGAGGACTACGGTCAGGATCTCATCGATACAAATGACATTGAGATTGATGCTGTCAGGATCAAACTGACGGGGCTTGCCAACGTTACCACAGAGGACCATCTGCTTCAGCACTTTAGTTCCTACGGGGAAATCTCTGAGGCGGTGGTGTGCTTGGACAAGTTGACGCACAAGCCGACTGGCGTGGGCTTTGTAACGTTTTGCCTTCCAGAGGCTGCATTCAGAGCTAAGAAGCAACGAGATACCATCATCAATGGCAAGGTTGTTCGCATAACTCCTGCACGCGCTATTATTCTGCCGGGCTCCCACAAGGAATATCTAGTAAAGGGTCTAGATAAGCACAATAAGCTAGCGTGGAATCCATCATATATGAGGTCGAACACAGTAGCCTCCGTCGCTGCAGAGCGGCTCAACCTTGATCAGACGGCTCTGGCCTCTAATGCAGTGGGTCTTGCCGTTGCAGAAGCCCATTTGGTGGAGGAGGCAACAGCTATTCTTAAGACTCATGGGATTCTAATTGTAGACGAAGCAGTGCGGGCCACTGATACTCAAAGAAGCAAGACAGTGATACTTTGTAAGAATCTTCCTGGAGACGTCGATATCTCCGAAATATCTCAGCAGTTTGAGCAGTACGGAGCTGTTCTTCGGTGTATCCAGCCGTGTCCCGGGTTCGCCATTGTTGAAATGGGAGCGCCCCAAGATGCCAGGAAGGCTTTCAATATGCTTGCATTTAAGCGTGTTGGCAAGCTGAAGGTACCAATGTTTCTCGAGTTTGCGATGATGCAGAACACTGTCGATCAGATAAAAGATGATGGCAGTCAGACACAGCAGAAAAACCAAGACTGCGAGGGCACAAGTACAGCTCCTCTACCTAAGAGAGAGGCACCCACAACAATCTACATCAAAAACATCTCCTTTTCAACGACTCCAGATCGTGTTTACGCTATTATAAAGGATTTGCCTAAAAATGCATCGTGCCGTTTGGTTCTCCATGCCCACGGCCACAAGGGCTACGGCTTTGCAGAGTTTTTGACGAAGGCAGCAGCACAAGAAGCAATCGACAAAATATCCAATATAACCCTCGATGGGCACAAATGGTCAGCGTCTCTTGCACGAGGTAACGATGGGGAGATAGCCCAACATGCTGCAGAAGCCGGCGCTACAACAAAGCTCATAATCAAGAACTTAGCTTTCCAGGCAAACGGCAAAGAACTAAAGCAGCTGGTGTCTCAGTTTGGTAGAGTTGTCTCCTTCAGAGCGCCCAAGAAGCTTGACGGAAGGCTGCGTGGATTTGCGTTTGTCCAGTACGCTACAGAAAAAGAAGCAGAGGTGGCCCTCAACCGCATCAAACTCACGCATTTTTACGGCCGCCACCTAGTTCCCGAATTCACCACTGAGGACCAGGGCCTTGATGCAGACGACGCCTACGCCCACGCAGAGAAGCGAAAGCTGAAGAAATAACTTTACATTCCAATGTTGTCGAAAGGAGGAGGAATGCTGGCCACGTAACTATTAAGAGTTCCATTAATCCACTCTCTCAACAAAAACCCGTCAATAGATTTCTCGGTTAACCCCATGCTGCTCAGTAACTCTGTACACTGCTCCTTAGTAAACCAGCATGCGCACTTGCTATCGCGCGGCTCAAACCCTCTAGCTATACAGACTTTCCAGGCAGTGACGAGGCCAGAGATATCGACAGAGGAAATTGTGATATCCAGAGCCACTGCTGAGTGCATGTACTGCCTAATATTCACCGCTGTGACATCATAAAGATTGACAAGCAAAGCACTCAATGGCGTTTCGCAAACTTCCAGCTCAAACAGGGGCAGTCCCCACAGGGCCTCAGTGGCACTCTTGGGTGTTAGCAAGATCCGGTTGTCATGAATTATCAACCCACACACATAGGGTCGAATGGGGAGGAAATACTCCTTAGCGCATGCTTTACATTCTTGAGCAAGGCCACGGGTATCGAGCATAGTTAAACGTTTGCCACATACGCTACAGTACATGCAGCTTGCTAGGAATTTGGCCAACATTATGGAGTGAAGGAGAGACCCAACTCCGGGTTCTGTGCAAAGGCTTGTTAGCCCATCAGACAAGACAACCTTTCCACCTATCTGGTGAGCAACACTCTCTAGATCACCGAGGTCCATTCGCACGCTAAAGATGGCAGACATGCCAGGTCGTAAAATAGAATCTGTCTGCAACGTTACTGACTCTGGCGAGGCAGTAGGCGGGACAAACCAGCCCAGAAAGCTTACCGAGCCGTTTGCAGCCGATGACAGCAAAAGGCTCTCTATACCCTCTTGAATTAAGGGCAGTAAGAATGTGGAGTCCTTGGTGATGTATGCTTCACCGCTGGCGCTCACAGCTATGAAGAGATTCGTTGGGTCACACATGGCTCCCTTGATGTCACCAATCTCCTCGTGGACACGCAGAAAGCAGTTATCCACGGTAGCCGACATTTTTATCTGTCGATATTGGGTTGGCATTTATCTTGTGATAGAAAACTGATAGCTATGTGTGCCTGGTGATGGGCTAGAGTGGACTTCTGATCTCCGTGCAATGTCTCATCCGAATCTATTTAAATTTGAAATCAGATATCCAAGACAAATAAGGAGCGTCACCCGAGCTCGTTCGTATGCAGAGTCAAGAAACCGCGTGTGTTTTGGCCGCTATAATCCTGGCCGACGAGAACCAAGAGCCTACGGCAGCAAACCTCAAGTCCATCTGCGACGCCGCCGGCGTCAAGGTGGACAGCATCTGGTTCACCCTCTTCGCCAACTACCTGGAGGGCAAGAACGTCAAGGAGCTCCTCACAACCCTGGGGTCTGCGTCTGCTGCCCCTGCCCCTGTTACTGCAGGCGGTGCGGTCGCTGCTGCAGCGGCGGCTGCCGAGACCGCCAAGAAGGAGGAGTCCGACGACGATGAGATTGTCGGTGCCGGCGGAATGTTCGGCGGCGACTCATCTTCCTCCGAGGAGGAGTCTTCCGACTGAGTCTGCATGCACAAGGACGAGGCTTTACTGTAAAGGAGTGAACACCCGATTTTATTGTTACGCTTCGGCCGCAGATGGATGTCTGGGGCGGGACGCTGGGAGCGTTGGGAGAGGCGGGCAGCTGGCCGGCAGTTTACCTCCTGGCTTCCTATCTGCAGGCCACCAGGGGTCCAGAGGGGCCTCGCTGGGCCTTATATGCTCTGCAGGCAGTCCTCTCTGATACGCGCTTACAAGTGTCTCCTGTTCTAGCGGAACTCGAGAGCCGGAGCGACGAATACAGAAGGGAAATCAGTTTGTTTTTGGAGCAAGGGAAGCCCCTACAAATCGACCTCCATGTTCCCTGGGTGGTCATGTCAGTCATCCTCTGTTTAGAAACAAACCTGTGGGCAACTAAGGACCACCCTGATCCAATAAATCAAGAGTCTTGCTACACGGTCATTAGCAGAAACCTGAGCTTCGCATCAATTAGCTTTGGACATATCCGCGGCCACCTCCAAGATGAGGCCACTGCGACATTAAACAGTGCGAGTGAGCTATTGGATGTGGCCATTTGGATTTCTAATTTCATGCTGTATCTATCCGAGTCTCTTCTCAAATTGTCTTATTACAACAGTGACTGTGCAGAGCTGTACATCGGAGAACCAACCCACCAATCTGAGCCCATGAGTCACGTGGATATGCAGAGCCTTCAGGAGGCCAACTGTGAGTCCCGAGGCAAGGAGCTCACTGTGACACAGCCTTCAGAAGCCTCGTTTCTGGACCTCTTAACTCGTTGTAAAGACTTGTACATCATAGCAGAGTCGATTCGCAGCACGATATTCGTCCGTCTCCGCGATCTCCAGTTTGATCCTCCACTAGCTCTTCAATTGATGACCCACCTCTTCTGGGCACCGGGGCAGTCCTTTGAGGATGGTGTATATGGTGCCAAGAAGATATATAACAGGCTTCAAGGGCTGACAGCGGTGTCTCTTTCTCAAGTAAGCACCTCGGACGGAAACTTCGTTTCTCTAGAGAGTCTACAACAGGAATGCTCAAACCATGCCGCATACTACAATAGTGACCAGCTTGTAGCCTCGCAGCTGGCGTGTCTGAAGGTGCTTCAACTCCTTGAGCTCGCTCCTGTGCTATCTGTTCGTCCCGCCAGTATAAAAAGGCTTCAGCGGCTCTTCCTCTCATCACTTCGTGTTCTAGAGGCCCACAAACACCAAGAAATAACAGAGTCCGTGCTTCAGCAAACAGAGTCTTTCTCTGTCCTTGCAGAGCTTGCAGGCATCCACCGAAGAGGCCCACCACGCCCTGTAGCCTATCTTCGATTGTTCTTCTACAAAGCTGTCTTGAACTACTATTGCAACACGCCGCAGAAAGACCTTTATGACATTATTCTATGCAACCTAGACTCTACTTCCATACGCGATATGAATAGGATTGAAAGCACAGATATTCAAGCCGTACTACTTTCAATCAATGAATATGCTGGTGTGCTACTGAAGACTGTGGAGACTTGTATTACAAACATATGCACCGATGACCGTGCAGACCCTGAGATTGAGCTTGCCGGCCACATAGATAGTCTTTCTGGACTACTAATCTGTCTTCCGTGTAGGCCAGATCCCTTTGCTGACCTTATTGCTCTTACAAACAGCACAATCTCTCTATTGTATTATTATGAGGAACTTAGGTTACAGAATATACAGTATGTAATTAGTTTTACTCGCAATTTATTTTTTAAAATAGCAATCCAAAAGTTGCGAAAGCTTTTTGTCAAGCTTGTAAAGCTCTACGCGTTAATTTTAAATCTCGGCTACCCAGCTGCTCAATTGGAAACAGAGTGCTTTCAAGAGCGCACTTCACGGCTTCTGGCCAGGAAGCTGCAGGGGCAATCACGAGTGGACCACCAGTTTATTGCAAAAGAGGCCATTCAACATGCTAAGGTCCTGGTTCTAAGCTACTACAACGAAGACGAACCTGGGTTTTCCTTTGCTACCCTAGCCAAGACTGTATCGTTTATGATCGTCGAAAGCGCTAACGATGCATCTCTTCAGGAAAGCCTCCAGTGCATCTTATTCTACTTGATGATGGAGACACCGATATGCCTCTTTGATTACATTATGACCGCTCGCATAATACGTGAACTACACGCTGACCTTGTCTCTGCAAACAATATAGAAATTCTTCTATCGACTAGCAAAGGCCTCTTTACTCACTTTGATCATGACACTATCCTGAATAGATTTGGTAATGTAAGTGGTGATATGCAGTCACATCTTTCAACTACCTATTCTGAGCTTCTGTTAGCCCTTGTGCTTTGTTCTGAGGTGTTTTTATAAAGAGCTTGATTGTCTATGATCAACCAGTTGTGCTCGTGTTAACTTACTCTCTCTTATCCTGGTTGAGGGAGTTCATGGCGGGGCGCCGATTAAATTATTGAACCAGAATTGCTAGAATTTACCTGCTGCCACGGACAGGCCTGCTAAGAGATCGCTTAGCACCGGGTCCTCGGCCTTTGTCTTTGCCGTCACGTAGCCGAAGTAGTCACTCAGGCTGCTGATCTGCTCTTCGTCCTGCGGTCCGTCCCCGTCCTGAACGTTGGTCTTGAAGGTGCCCATCTGCACCTTCAGCGCCTCGTCCGGAGAGGACGACTGGCATATCATGGTGTGGGAGTCCATCCCAGGCGGGATGCGCAGTATCGCTTCGTCTTCGTCGATCGTGAAGTCGAAGGCGTGCGCGCCCCCCTTGGTATGTCCCAGCAAGTGCCTCGCAATGGGGCCCGTGTCGTCTGTGCCGGCTGCAGAGTAGACGGTTGTTCTTTGGGGGCACGCAGAGCCATCGGAGGACGGAAAGAGCTTGGCGTTGGCGACCAGGGCCAGGGCCCGAACGCACCGGAGGGCGATGCTGCGGCTCACAGGGTTTGTGTTCTGCAGCTGGGTGCTGTCTGTCAGCAGGATGGTGCAGCTGGAGAAGCGCTGGCGCTTGCTAAGCGCGTAGACGGCATCCAGCCAGGCCTTCGTCTCCGTGACGCACAGCGAAACCGAGGCGGCAGAAATTAAAAGAACGAGATGCAGCTGCTCAGGGTCAGCGAAGAAGTCAAGGTCGTGCAACTTGTCCTTCAGGAGCCCAGAGGAACCCAAAATAAAACAGGAAACAGGAGCTGCATCGTCTGCACCGCGGTCAGACGAGACCAGTAAAGTGGTGTATTTTGATGTGCCAGGGGGGATTATAACCTGCTTTCCGAGCAGCCGCGTGGCAAGCGCGCCCTTGTATGTGTCCCCGTTGCCCAGGAGCACAAACGTGGCCGGCGAGCCTTTCGCATCGCAGCCCTCCGTGAAGGGCGCAAGAATGTCCTGGATGCTCATTTTAATTCTTTGCCAGGTCTCCCAAGCCGCCTCCCTGCTTCTTGTGGCTTATCAAAAGTGCAGAGTCTGTCGCCTGGGGGTCGCGCTTCGCTGCACAGGAGCCTGTGTCAGCGCCAGGCAGCTCCGTGCACTCAGATCGATGGACAGAAGGGGTCAGTTCGTAAGATCTGTCTCACTAAGGGCGCTTTGGTTGCAATCCCACGACTTCAGAGGCTTCTGTGCTGATTGGGATTGGGCAATGATGCGCGAGGAAAAGCGTTCGACCAGGAGGTAGCAAGGCTGAGGCTCACCGAATCCATGATTGTTATCTACCCACAGATTCTGCGAAAATTGGACCCAGTACAGTAATTGTTAGTTTGGCGTAATAGAAAGCGAGAATCTAATTGCGCATGACATGGTCAGTGAGAGTCCCACTCGTGCTGCAGAGAGCGCTGGCAGTGGCCCCGATAGCATCCCCATGTTCAATCCCGAAGGGCTGTATCAGCGTGAAGGCGAGCTGCTAGGCAAGGGGCCTTCGGAGTCGTCATGTACGAGCTTACTACTATGAAGTTGCCGAGCTTTTCACACTTTGGGAGCCAGAGGACGCGAAATCAGTCTTTGACAATGAGTGGAGGCCTGATTTGGGCACCATCACAGATGAATTTGTAAGAACTGTCATCGAGAAGATATTATCCTGGACCCGGCAGAGCAGTCCACAGCCAGGGAGCTTCATGATCTGCTCCGGGAGCTGAACGCTTCAGAAGTAGGGATCAGGCTTCACATCAGTGCGTTGGAGAGCGTCCTGGAAGATGCCAATGCTAGGGACGATCCCCTCGAGAAAGCCCCTCAAGCCGAGTCAGCTGAGAACAAAGGCCCGAAGGAGACTATCTCTGCTCAGGCTGCCGAGCTGGACTTTCTCAAAGAAGGTCTCAGGAAGCTGGCCGCTCGAGACTCATCGTGGACCCTGCTCATGCGGGCTGCAGAAAGAGGTGACGTAGAGGCTGTTAAAGCACTTTCTCCTCTTCCCATGGGAAGGACAGCAGGATATGTCAAAACAGACAGATGGAGTGTGCATGGAGGAACAGCACTGATGATAGCAGCACGAGGACATGCAGAAGTGGTGAGGCTATTAGTGAAACACGAGAGTGGTATGAAGGATAGATATAACTGGACTCCCCTTAATCATGCAAAGTCACGGAATAACCGGAAGTGTATGGAGCTTCTTCGAGGTGACCAACCGTTCTGAAGATCTCCGCTGCATCTTAAGAATTTAGTGATCCCAACTTCTAACAGAACTAAGCAATCCAGTAGGCCCCCGGCGCTAGCCCAATCGATAATGTGTCCCTCTCTAAATCCTTCGGTGGACGCAGTGATCAGGGGCCCAGCCCCACCTGCACATAGAGCCTTGCATAATGTAGGAGATGCAAGGCACTGTCGCTAACAGCATGGCTGTGCGATCGGCAGGCAGAAAGCGAGTGAAGGGCCTCGCTGAAAATGACACCCTGGATCAAGTGCACTCGCTGGAGTTGGCGATGCAGCCCTCACCACTAGCTAAACACCGGGGAAAGCAATTGCAGACAAGTGGATATGGTTTGAGATGGCCTCTACGTGCCTAGTGCTTTTCAGAAGTACTAATGAGAATAATCACAAGAGAGAGCCCAGACGCGCTTGGGTCCCCTGCCGGACTCTGCCCCTCAGGTATCCCTCGCAAACGCGGCTCGCCGCCCGGGGCACGACTGTCCGTGGCGGCGGCCAGCCCTCCACCAAGAGGGCGCGGTACTCAACCATGAGACGGCGCAGACCATGACCTGCAGATGCCGACGGGCATCCGGTGCCCTGTGGCCTGTGGCCTGCCATGGAGGAGGGTGCAGGCGCCACGAATCTGCTCGTTTTGCTAGTGACTGCCGATGCCCCTCTGTCGGACTATGCTGGCACCTTTGCTGACTCGTGCTGCGTTAAGCTCCGGATGCACGAATTGTAGGCTGACTACCAAACGCAACTACCGATTTACTTAAGAGAGGCGAAAGTTCTACTCACAAGAGCACTGATTAGCAGAGTCTCAAGGAAGAAGATTCCGTGGAAGCTCATGGCCCACCTTGCTGGGGTAACACCTGCAGAGGTCGTGCCAGTGCTGGCTAGTGAGGAGAATGTAGTCCAGATCCTTGAGAAGGTCCGGCTTGAGGGTCGGTGTCAGTGCGTCAGACTCTGGCGCTAATAAAGGAGTATTGTCGAGAGCTAATGGCTTTTTCTTTCCACTAAACAAGTACTCACCCCAGTCTCCCATCCAGTCGCTAGAAAGCAGGTATTCGCCCCCTGACAAGGACCCGGCAGATACTGTGGCCATGATGTCATTGTACAGAGCTTTTTCTCTGGCAAGTGCCTCCTCCATTTTCTTGTTTGGCTTGACCTTCAGAGAGTAGCTGTCGTAGTTATCTCGCTCCAAGTAGTCAGTTAGGCTACCATCAAAAATGGCAGATATGGAGTAATAAAAGCACCCAGGTATAGGGTAGCGCTTGGCAAGCTGTGCAGGTTGGAGCGTGTACGACAGCACGGTAGACACGCTCCACGGACCCGAATGATCAATGCCTGTAGGTATGTGTCCCGAGCAGCCTCTGAGAGACGGCCAGTGAAGGTTATGGAAGCTATAAATGAAGTCGGCAGATAAGTCATAGTCTAAGTACGCGGTGGATAGTGCCGTACTTAACAAGGCATGCGAGCCCAGTAGGATCTCTAGAATCCCGATGCAGTCGGCCCTTTCGGTCATTATCCTGGTCATCCACTCTGGGGCGCTGGAGCCAGACCCTTTTAGATACGAGCATAGCTCTGTCCAGATGTACCCCTTCAGCGCCTCAACCAAAGGGCTCCTGGACTTGATAAAATATAAGATAGAGGCATTGCTAATAGGCGGATTGGTTACGCGAGTCACCTTGTCATCGTTGAAGCAGTACCATGTATTTGGTGGAGACGTTTTTACAGATGTACTTACATCAGGTATGCCCATGGATCTCAGCTCATTGTCTGGTGTTGCAGAAGGCCCAACGTGAGAGCCGAAGCTTGGCTTGTTCGAAAAAGGATCATTAGAAGACACCGATGGCAACGTGGAGACTCCAGTTGGAGGCGGGCCGGCGCTTTGGATATCCTGACTAACGCCTGATTGTACGTCATATTTAGCATCTGCACCTTCTTGTTGGACATTTCCCTTAATATACGCTACGTAATGATTGCCGTTGCAGTGGACAATGAGAGAAGCCAGCTCGTAGGTGGTAGATCCTGCCTTCCATATATCTACGTCCGCAAACAACTGTGAAAACTTGTCTGTACACTTATCTGGCAACTTGTGGAACAACTTATACAACGCGGTGCGTTTGATGTTGTATTCCAGCTCTGACTTCATGTCGTTTTGAATTGCGCTATCGTTTGGATCAATCTGCCTAACCCACCGTGCCTTATAATTGTTTATCATTTTAAACTGGGAGAATATCACCTGAATATCCGTTAATACGATAGTAAACAGCATATAGAGAAGATGCGCACGGCCTGATTGGCGCTCCAACGGACGTCTCCTGAGAAACTCTAGAGCGCCAGGGGCATCCACTATAAAATCCTCCAAGATTTTTTCAACTTCAGCAAGCTTATTTTGCGAAAGAAGCAGGAGAATATAGAAAGTACAGTTGAATATGTAAAGCATGTGGGTTGATAGGAGGGCTGTAAAATACTCTATCACATTAGGTGATATGGCCGTTAAGTTAAAGCCCGTGGGAATCTGGGCCAACAACTCTAAGGCCTCGGTAACCTCTGCCTCACAGATCCCGGCAGATGATGTCAATATGCGGGACGCCTTGAAGCGACGCAAGATGTACTCCATCGCAGCCACGACGATTGTAACCGAGTCATTATAAAGAAAGCTGGCAGATTTCATGACTATTTCGTAAATTAAAATAACAATCTCGTGGGAGAGCTTCTTGTACATCTGATACTGAATAAAATTTTCCAGGAAGGCGCGTATTTTGAAGTCTGTGCCCACATCAATGGTCATTAGCACTTTGTATTTCTTATGGGGGCTAGTGGAAGACAGATAGTCAGCCAGTGAAAAACTAGATAGTGCAGTTAGCTGAGAGCCGTGTGCTGTGAAGTGGCTAGAGGTGGATGACTGAGAGCGCTGTGTCTCCTGTTTAAAAGACGCACCATAATGTCCCTGCTTCTGGAGGGTGATTAGTACGTCTGGGCACATGTAAAGGGAAAGGTGCGTAGTCCCGTGTGTTTCTGCGCCACATGTATCACAGTGGAGTCCAGAACACTCCTCCTCAGAGAACAGCGCTCCTAGCTCCTCCAAAAATGTCTTCTCGGGGTTGTATGGAACTAAAAGGTCGAAGAATGGTTCGTAACGTGTTCTATGGGATCCGCATCTGCTACATTTCCTAAGAGTTTGTGAAATCCCACGGAAGCACTGTGTGACAAGTGTCTGTGGCTTTGTATTGCTGTAATTAAAGATCTGACGGATTTCTGAGCTGTAAGATGCGACAGGCATTCCAAAAGCATCGTACAAGGGCCTTATGCTGCCAGTCGTAGCGGTACTACCAGATTCCTGGCTCACAGAAGGAGATATTTGTTCATGCGTTGTGCAGCGCACCCACTTGAAGACGTAATCAAAGAATGTGCTTCGGCGGTATATTTCACTGTACTGGTGATTGATACTAGGTGCCTGAGAAGCGTCCTGCGTTGGTGGGAATGTATGTATTAAGTGAGCAAATGCGAGTTGAGGAGGATTGCTGAGATAGGAGAAGTGGTCACTTTGTCCGCAGGTGCTTCCGTTTTGTGCTGGGTTTGAAGACTCCATGGAGTTAGTAGAGGAAACGGAGGAGGATGAGCCACATGCATTTAAATACACCTCTAGTAGGTGGTGGTTTTCGCGCAATACGTTTTCGGTGAATGGACTGACTGCAAGGATGTCTCGTTTAAAAAGGTGCAGTAGTGCTTCCTCCGAGTTGTTGCGAGAGAAAATGCTAAAAATAGTATGCCTGTTTCCACTGAGATTGTCTGCAAAGAAAGCAAAAAGGTTCTCATTCAGATATGCCTGTGGCGGTAGAGAAAATCGCAGGGCGTCGTTTAAAAGTCCAAAAAGAGCCATCTGTATTTCATGTGCATCATGAAGGTCCCCAAGAGCGTGTGAAGGGAGAAAACTGAATAATGCTATGCTGAGTGCCTCGATATTAAGCCTTTTCCCTGATAATTTCGGAATAGGATTGACGAAAGGGGGAATAGAGGCGTCTGTAACAAGCTGCAGAGCAACCATGGTGAGAGTGAATTGTTGGAGCAAGTTTGTGTAGATTCCCGCATCCAGAGACTGAAGAATGGGTTGCAAGGCAATAAAGTACTGGGCAAATGGGGGCAGGTGAGCAAGTACCTGTAAAATTCCATTGAGATAGCATGTATTAGCATGACTGTGGATTGGAACTTTGGCAAAGCACTTTGCATGAACCAGTGCCTGCACAGAGGCGCCTGTGCTACCTATTCTTTCACTCTTAGGCTGCGAAATGGCCATATTATAATGAGAAAACGAAGCAGTCCCATTCAAATGTAAAAGCATATTCTCTAAGGTTGTGATTTTGGGCTTGTTCTGGGCAGGCCTTCCCAGTTGCCGCGAAACTGCTTGACCCTCCTGGTGAAGATTCACATCAGCCACCCGTGAGCCATCAACCTGGACAGAGCCTGCAGTGGCCTGCTCTAGCTTGATAAGCTTATCTTTAGTGATAGTCGTGAGAGGTTTTATGGTTGCAAGCCATGGGTTGCTGGTTTTGTACGAATTGCAATTATAGCACCAGAGATCGTGACAAGTCAGATGAAAAAAGATCGCATGGTGGTCCTGGTTGTAATGGTCTTTGGCATGCTCGTTGTCTGTGTAGCCACAGAAGAATCGCCCACATGTACAGCACATCCAGAGGGATTTCCAGGACTTGTTGCAGCGTGAGGCTGCGCACGTGGCATTCTTATCCATGAAGGCGCTCTTATTTGCCAGTATAAGCCGCTTCAGAGTCCTGATTTTAAGGTTCATATGACCACAGGGGGATACAAAGTCGTCGTCTGCGAGGATGTTCATTGATCCTTTCGGCTATGAGTAGGTGGGTGTACGGTCGCGTTCCCCTTAAGGCGTTTACTCTGTGTCTGCAAATTCGTCCAGAGAGGCGACAGCTTTAATTTTAGAGGCAGCAACGCTGTGTAGTTCCCAGCTTTTCCTCCACTCGCTCAGGCCACTTGCAATGTCCTCTTGGGCATCGCTCAGAAATAGTTCTTTTAGGCGGGTTTGGACGGCCGGGGATCGCCAGGTCTCTCGAAGCTCTTCGGACAGCTTCAAAATGTCATTGTAAATGACCATAAGCTGCTCCTGGAATCTGATTGCATAGTCCTCCAGCCTGACTCCTGTTCTGTCCCCAGATAGTCCATCTAGGATGCCTGTCAGTGTGTCCTCAACGAGTCCAAATGCACTATTAAATGTGTCCATTTTACAAAACAATTTGAATTTTAACGCCCAGACCCTAATGGATCACTCACCAAGTGTGGAATCGGCCCTGGACTCTATGGCAGCGGATCCGCGCGACCCAGAGCCTCCAGAGGAAGGCAGGAATGTTAACAGAGCGTCTATTCTGTCGTCCTCGTTTAACCTTTCCAATACCGTTCTTGGTGCAGGCATTTTGACTCTACCTTACAATCTCATGAATTGCGGCTGGCTCCTGGGGATGTTCTTCCTTGTGCTTATTGGTGTCTCTTCTGCGCTGTCATTTTACCTTCTTACCGTTGCTTCAGACGTCACAAAGATGTACCAGTATCGGGATATTGCTCGTGTGCTGTATAAACCGTGGTTCAGCCACCTTGTTGCTGTTATGGTCGCCATTTATACTCTGGGCACCATTGGGTCCTACTCCATAGTTCTGCGGGACAACATGTTCTGGTGGGCTGAGGACACGCCAGCCAATGCATCAAACAAGAGGGGGATGCTTTGGGCGATGGTCTGCCTGATAGTCTTTCCCTTAAGTCTCCTCCCACGCATCGACTTCCTAAACTTTACGTCTCTCGTGGCCATAGTGAGCATCCTTTATATCATTTTCGTTGTCGTTGGGTTCTTCGTTCTCACAACTTTTGATAAAACCAAGTATATCGCTAAGGGGCCCCCACAAGTCTTCAATTGGTCTATCAACGCGCTGACATCCTTTCCTCTTTTCACAACAGCATTCTGTGGTCACTATAATAGCCTGAACATCTATAAGGAGCTCAACAACAGGTCCATCAAGCGCATGAACATAGTGATATGCATTACGGTTATCGTTACGTCGTTATTCAACTCTGTAATGGCTCTCTTTGGGTATTTTACCTTCACAGACCTTTTGCACTCCGACATACTGAAGAACATAGCTGAGATTCCAGGGGCTTCGGTGATCTTCTACATCGCTAACTCTGCTATGATACTTGTGATGCTTTTTTCCTATCCTCTATTATGCTATGGCCTCAGGTGTACCATAGAATCTATGTTTTATTCGCCTGGCCAGAAGATTCCCTACAAGTGGCGTCTGCTTATCATAATGTTCAATGTCTTTCTCCCCGCTATCGTTGCAACGTTCGTTGATAGCATTGCCGACATTCTTTCATTTACAAGCAGTCTCTGCGGATCTCCAATGGTGTTTATTTTTCCAGGAATGTTTGGCTACAGTGTCACAAAGCGTTTTGGTGGTCCCAAGCATAGATACATCTCGTCCTTGAGTATTATAGTCTTGGGGATCTTTTACACCATCTCCGGATTTGGATCGGCTGTGTACTCTGTTGTATCTAGGTGAAAACTAACTTGTGTCTTCTGTTTGGTTGTAAATTGATAGGTACGCATTATCATTCATCGTCTTCGGAAGAGTCCAAGATAAGAGGAGCAGGTGCTGCGTCATTGCTTATGAGCGCCTCGCCACTTTGCTTTTTAGTACCTGCCACAATGGAGTCTATACTGGCAACAGCTGATCTTACCGATTGCATACTTAGCTGCGTGGTAGCTAAACTGGTAGCGGAGGGGAGAGCAGGCGTTGAGGAGACTACGGACATGTCCTCCGTCACACATGGAGTGGCGAAGACTGAATGAGCACCAATACTAAGTGACGGGTCAGATGAAATACCATTGTCGGCGTTGACGTCTGAATGTGGCGGTTGCGCATCTCCACTGATAGAAACAATTGGAAGATATGGAAGGAGGCCAGGACGATGCTGCTTCAATCCAGGTTCTGTAAGAGGAGCGTTTCCTGCCATGGTAAGCACACTTTCTAATGATATCTCAGAAGGGTCAGCAATGCCATAGGCAAGCCTCAGGTCAGAACTGACCTGCATCCCATAGAGGTACATCAGAGGAGTAGCTGGCAAAAGGGCAGCAGAAATAAGGCGGCGACAGCTAGCGAGGCGGCGAAGATGGTCCGCCACAAGTAATTGATCTGTCAGGGCTATCTCAAGAAAGTGTATTGTCAAAGGTAGGGCAGAGCTTAGCTGCCCGTTGATGGGAGTCAGACACAGATGCGTCAAGCCTTCTAGTAGGAATGTGTATAACTCCAAACTCTCAAAGGATAGCAATGTCTGTTGGTGTACACATTCCATTACGTAAGGGTACTCCTTCGTAGAGTAACCGTTCGCTTGTTCGCCCTGAACAACGAGGGCTTCCCGTGAATTATGGGAGAGTATAGACACAACACGAAGACATACAGATATAATATCTGTAAGTAGAGGGCATCCAGCGTCTTGAAATACCGTTGCATGAGCAGCAAGTAGCCGAATGCTACCAGAACTACAAAGGGCACGAAGTAGCTTTGCAAGCTCTGGCAAGTTACGATGAGAATGAGTCTGTTTGGCCAAGCCCTTGGCGACTGACACTAAATCCAAAAAGTCCTGATACATGGTCAAAACCAGTGTTGTAAAGCTATGAAACCGCTCATTGTGGAGGCGATTGTCGATGGGAAAGGTAAGAGATGATTCAGCGAGAAGCGAGGCTAAGCAGTTATAAAGGTGTGGCTTTATGATGGTGAGCGCATCCGCAGGTACAGTGAGGAGCTGGACAAGCGGCCAGAAAAGCGCTGTCTTCAAACCATTGAAAAGACCAAAGTTCATTTCAAGAATGGTAGTGCACGCCAGAAGAAAGTGTGTTGAGATTGCTGCCAAGTCGTTGAAAGAAGGTGTTGTTATGAGTTTCTCCAACAGCGTTTTGCTGCAAGAGATCATAAGCTCAATGAGCCCGGCCACGGGATAGAAAAGAACAGGGCAGACATCATTTCGAAGAGGAGACACCTGTTCACCGACTGGGATTTCATACTGGCTCAAGCCAGATGGAAGAGAAAGAGTGCTTTTAACACATAAAGCAAAGAACAAACTACAAGTACGGGCAAAGTTATGCAGAAACTTACTAAATCGTATGTTTCCTATGACAGGATGATCCTTCCAGAAATTGATACAGGCTGCAGAGGACGATACGCCAAGAACTTGTCCAATAGATGAGATAACCAAGTACCCATCGAGCACAGATAGCTCTACATGTTCGAAAAGTCTAGATTCTGCCATACACTTGAATGCGACAAATATCCGAAGTAATTCTGCCCCTGCCTCGTAGCGTATCGCTCTACTTTCTAATGCGAGGATAACAAAACTAAATAGTGACGCTGCAATGGTGATCAAGTTATCGATACGGCATTTGTTCAAACTGGCACCGACGTATGTCACTGCAATAACAACTGAGAAGCACGCTGCACGTATTTCAGCAGCCCTACTGCGGAGGAATGTTCGCACGTGAGCACATTGTTGTAAGCGAAGTAGTAACGTGAAGACAGATGAGATGGTATCGAACCCTCTGTGGAGTTCTGCGACTGATGGTTCGCCGCTATGAGAAAGAATCGCGCGCTGGGGCCACGCTAGAAGGCATAAAAGTGTGGAAAAGGTGGTTGACTTGATCTGATGGCTCCCGCTGATACTGATCATTCTTAGAGCAAAATCGCCATAAGAAAGGACAAGGACCTTCGTTAACGAGGCCCTCTGAGGATCATGGAAGAATCCTGCATGAGAAACCTCCATTTCACGAGAAATGCCTATGAAGGCGTCGTCATACAGCTTCTCTAACCGTACGGCGTTTCTTAGCATAAAACTGTCTGTACACTTCGGAAGGGACTGGCTTAATGTTGCAGCTAGTTTCCAAGCGGCTAGCACATTGTGCATGGATGCTTTTATGCTGCGTGTGAGACAAGTAGAAACGATGGTTTCTGAGGTGCGTGTCGACGCTTTATCTAAGAGAACAAACAGAGAGCCTAGGAGTGCTGGCGTATTCGCTTGTTCAAAGAGCTCAGGGACGTTCATTAAGAGGTAGAGAGGACCTTTATACAATTATTTGTTTACCAAGAAATCTTGCACGCGAGGTACTGAAACCGTGGTTGACTCTTCCTTATTCTACTAAGGTCGTCAGGAAATCCAAATACAATGCAATTGGGGCCTGCATCGTATGTGCAAAAAGCCTGCAGTCCTGCTGTGCGTCTTTGAGTGGTGACCCAGTCGGAGAAGGCACGCCCATCCTCTGTTATATATGTCACTTCTGCCGCCTCCTGCACAACGCTATGCATGCACTTCCAGTCCTCTTCACACACTTCAGCCAGGTCATTGAAGCACCCACGTTGCAGGGCAGATCTGCAGCGGTCAAGACGAGCGGGAATACGAACCAACCGTGCCTTCTGGGATGGATGATCTGCACATTTATTCATGGCTTCTGTGGACGAGAGGGGCTTTGGAGCGGATGAAAAAAGAAGTATAAGGCACTCCAGAGAGTGAAAAGAGGGGTGAACGGAAAGGGGGACTGCGTGCCAGCGGAGCAGAGAGTGTGCGTTGGCGTCACAAACCATCTCCACAGCTCCTGGATACACAGAGCGTGCGCCTGAGCCAGAATATAGCCGTGCAAGACATGAAAGAATCTTTCTATCGAAGTTTGTTCGGTAGTACTCGTTCAGGGCTAGAGCGAGTGCGGCTGCACCGGCAGCTGAAGATGCGATGCCACTAGCGATGGGGATATTAGTCTGAGACACTATGGAGATGTCTCTTGAGAATTCTTCTACAAGCCCCAAGGCAGACGAACCACTGGAAGCAGAGGCGCCCGTTAAATGTGCACATTGACTGAATCCATCCAGAAGGCGCACTAGGGAATCCTTAACCGCAACAGTGGTCCCATTTATCTCCATGGTCGGACCAATTGTACCTTTGGAGACATCACGGGACAGCACTTTTGTTTTGGCCCATAGAGTTTCCGCAGATAGCGTGAAAGAGATAGAGCCAGAAGCGGGGGAGTTAGTTTTCTGGTCTCCCTTGCCCCAATACTTAATTAAAGCGACGTTGGGCGCAGCTATAGCTTGCATTTCTGCTGTCCTTAATGTAAATTGGGTTTCAAAAAATAGAAACTAGGCTGTGTGTTTCTCTCCCCACAGATGGACAGCTCTGACTCTTCTAGTTCATCTGATGGTGCCCCATGTGGCGAAGTACCAGTGGGGCCCTACGATCTTTCTAAAGCCATTGCCACGGACTCTGGAGTCATGGACCTTTTATCAGAGGATGCTCGCTACTTCTTCAAGTTCAGTCTTCATGGCCCCCGTCCTGTGATGTTTTATCAATATAAATATCCTCTCCGACTAACTAGCTCCGTCCGTCTAGAGGACCTGCGCTCATCTTTGAATAGATTCATCATGAGAAAGAGCAAGGAGGAGGCCCGAATTACCTTCTATAACGGCGAAGCACGGCGTCAAGTGCAGCAGGCCGCAGCCAATATGGACGCGGAAACAGACTATCGACTGACGCTTCGCAAACACGTCGACCTGTATGGAATGGAGTCTGCCGCTGCGGAACTTGGTAACTTCATGCTTACAACTGCCCAGCGCGTTGACCGCGAAGTACGGATGCATGACTATATCTGCACTTCCATTTCTGACCAAGAAACCCTTTCTATGCTGCGCTTTACAAAGCGCTCTGTGCATGAGCTGAGCTATGCAGCGCTCCTTCGAATGAATCTATCAGTAGAGTGCGACACCTTTCTTCTTGATAAGCTCTTAGCTTCTATTGCTCTGGAAGCAGCTGGAACAGGGGACAGTGGAACCACTGGCTTCTTCTCCCTTGAATCAACCATTAAAGCGCCATTTCTAAGACCAAAATTCGTTGATTCTGAAACCAACTGTCCTTTTGCAGATAACCCTGTCGGTACTGATGTCGACCCGGTATCACTCAAAGAACCGGGTTCCACTGAGCCTACCAAGCAGGATGCACCTTCACACAAAGATTGCAGTCCCGAAACCCAGCCTGTTGCTGGTTCGATACAGGAAAAAGAACCCTCCGAAGCGGCTGCGCTCCAGGAGTCAGATCATATGTCATTTCAGCTCTTCACAGAATGCATCGAGAAGCTCCTTGACTCTGTTGGGTCAGGTCCTCTTCTTTCAGATCTTGCTTCCTACTACGACATCCTCAGCATGTATTCAGTGACTGAAGCATCTACCGACTCCACTGTGCAATCAAACATCAAGACACTCAAGTCGGTGAAAAACGTTGTAGACAAAGAGGACGATCTAAATTGCGGCGCCAGCATGCCTTCAGGCTCATCTGATTCGGTGGAGATTCATCCGATGTCAACTTTGTTGTCTAGGTATGAGAAGTACAGGACATGCCCGAATCTATACAGTTCGGAGTTATCTGTTTTGTTCTGTTCATCATTCTATCATGAAATTTCAACCTGCCCTCTGGTCGATTTCGCGGCAATTATTGGGAAGCTCACTGTGAAATCAGCCGCCAGTACAAGGAGGCCGAGTGCCACAATTGCGCCGAAGGTGACGACCCGCGGAAGCTCGCCTTCAGCAACAAAGCGATCGCCGTCCAGTACGGCCTCCTCTAAGAAGGCTCCGCAAACTCCCGTTATGCACACTCCTGCTGCGGTACTAAAGGACCCGAGCATTGATGCTGCCGCCATGCTAGACGAGGGATATCTAGATTATAACCAGGTTCTTAACGTGTTCAAACATATCTATCACTTTTATCAATACTGCGTGGACCCTTCCAGAGATGTGAAGCTTTTGCGCTGCGCTGTAATGGATCCAACCTTTTCACTTTCCGAGTATGTAAGATCTCTTGCTTCTAATGGGCAAAATGCTCTTTCGCAAGTTTCTATTGCAAATGCAGCGTTCTTCCTTGAGTTTTCCTCACTACTATCTAAGGGCTCTCTAGATAATGTTGATCTCCTTACAGACCTTTTTCACTCCGAACAAGCAAATCCAACGTTGTCTTCACCACTTTCTGTAAAGCAAAAAGGGTCTGCAGAAAGGCCTAGATCTAAGGCTGTCACGCCACCAGGGTCGCGCGTAGAATTAGAGGAATACTCTAATGGTACCTCATCATTCTTAGATTTGCTAAACATAGACTTTGTTTCTGTAGGCGACCTAATTAATTACTTCCGCTTTCTACGTACATTTGTAGATGACAGCTATGAAGTACGGGCACGCCAGTCGCTTCTAAAGGAGATACAGGACCTGGTACTTCTAGAGCTGTGGAAGTCTGACAATGACACAATGTCCATACGGAACTATCTTATTAACAAGAACAGCGTTCCATATGCTGCCTTGACAGACTGCTCATTGGCTCGGCAAATTAAACCACCAGCTGTGTCACAAGACGACAACTATTTTACGCTATTACTAGCTAATTTGAACAACGATGCATATATAAGGATGCTTATTGACAAGATTGATCTGGTCTTTGTCACTGGCGACCCGGTGTCCGGGAAGACCCTCGTCACGGCAGAGCTCTCAAGACGCCTGTCTGGAGAGCGAAAAATCCCTACCGGTATAGTGGACGCCTGCACTATCTACCGCTCGCTCTATGAGGAGCTTATGCGTATCCTCGACGATCGAAGCTCTAAGTACGAGTCACATAAGGATATCTCCTCCCGAAGTGTATACTTAGAGGATGAGCTGATGAGCGACCTCCTTACCCTTCATAATAACTTGCTCTATACACAATTGACCGGCGCCCAACCGGGGGCACGATTCTATCCACATCCTCTCCATAACCCTAAGAGCCTTAGCGATGGTCTGATATTAAACAGTAACAGCATGGCCAATTGTGCCAGTGTTCCTGATCTACATGATCACTCCTCCGATAGTCCTATCCAGTCCCTTCATCAACGGGCTCCAGGAAGAAGCACTCTCCGCGATGAGTTGCCCATTGACACAGACACTCTTTCCTCACAAAATGTTAGCCGTGCAGTAACGCAGGATGCTGCGGCTCATGATGTGAGAGGCAGCAATTCTGCACATGCTGCCATTCGGCACAACATCTCGTCTGGGGGCAACATCTTTGTACCAAATGAACTGTGCCGTGACGGGTCTCTCTTTTCGCAAAATGAGGGAGAGATTACTGACGAGCCTTCGGATAGCCACCAACAAACCATACGCTTCAGCATCCCCTCTGACGTTCAAGCCATACTCCGCACACCAGAGCAATATATGATGTTATACCGTGCCATTCAGAGAAGGGTGCGGAAGAGTCTCTTGTCTAGGACACATCCTAGTGAGCTTTCTCTTGCTACTACGGACTCTTCTGCAGGAGCTGACGACCAGTCTAGTGAGCTTCAAGAAATAGAAAGAGTCGACAATGGAGTCGATGATCTGGCTAGCGTAGTTGAATCTATTCTTTCCGGTAAGGACTATTATGCTTCAGATAAGCTAACGGTTGATGTGACAGATGTGGATCAGATCAATAGATTTGTTGCTCGCTCCATGCTGGTTCAGGCTATTACACAAAGCTTGCTAAGTAATTATACATGCCTGATCTTTGACGGCTTTCCCAACTCAGTTTGTGACAGCGATATTATCGAGGACTTACTAAACGGATGCCTAACAAGGGACTCTTTACAGAGGCTTTTGAATGGGTATGCGTCTCATGTTACAGCTAGTTCTGACCAGAACGTTGATGTTACCCCAGCCTTGCATGCAGCATCGAGCCTGACTGAGTCTTTAACGCCTGTGTTTATAAAACGCTCTGGCATAACGTCATTAATTTATCTTCACGATGATAACTTTGAGGCTATTTGTCGAAGGTTGTATGGTAGGCTATTTATTTCAAGTCACCCGGTAGAGTGTGATGACTTATTCGATGCCTACCTGACCAGCCATCACATGGACCATGGGGACCCGTACAATACAGAATTATCAGTTAACGAGGTACAGTGGCCATCAAAAGACCTTGGGCTCTGTAGAACATCCACATGTATCAACGAACACGAGGAGAGTATGACAGACGATGCAGACAATCCCAAAAAACAATATTTAACCATTGACACTCAAGCTGTAGGTCGTTCACATCAACGGAAAGATCGTTCAACGTCTTCTGGAAGTGACTTTTCACCAGATACTTCCATGGACTACTCTTCTAATGAGGACGAGTCCACTGATCCTGATTGTGAGCGTGTACGAAAGGAATTCCCGATTGGTTCCGAAGCATCTAGCCCTCAGCACTCTGGTACTCATACCCATACCTCTCCTAACTGTGCTGCCGCGACTGCTATCCGTAGCACGCGGACCTCAAAGAGCATTCTCTACAATAGTCGGCGACTTAATCTATCGGCTGATAACCTTGCTGTGTATAGTGCCGGGCTCAAAGTACCTGCACATGAAGTCCGTGACATAGGATTTATGAACTCGGCCACTCTTGATGTTCTCAATACGGACCCTGTGAAGGATTCGGTCCTCTTCGGGGATGATTACACACGGGCTCCTGTAGAAATACCTCTTAAACCAGTAGCACAGTGGGCAGATCTTCCGACAAGAAATGTATCCAAGGCAAATCTCAGTCTCTTAAGCGTTTACACAACGACGTCCCTTGGCTTTGCTCCTTGGGCAGACGAGAAGGGCGATGAGCATTTTTCAGTAGATGATACCTTCATCAAGAGCTATCCTATTGTCGATCCACAAGCGTACGACGCATTCTGCAGAGCCGTTGCGCAGAATGCTGTTCGCCTAAGTACAGGCTGTCCGCACAAAGTAAGAGGCACTGACTCTCCCTTAAGTGACGAGAGAAAGCTTAAGCCCTCTATAGCGGAGGTGTTCTTCTCCTATCGCTTTTTTGATGTCTATGGAGAGTCTTTGACTGATCCTCCACAGTATGCGACACCACACAAGCACGAAGTGGTGAGGAACCTTGTCCAGCTCAATTACGAGAACAGACTACTGGTCAATAGAGTGGATATAGAATTAGCTTCTTACAAGCAAAAACGGGACACCCTACTTGCCTGGATGCAGCATGTATATGGAGACCTGCAGCCCCGTGTCTCTCTTCCGCCATGCATCCAAGCAGATGCACTGTTTCGGCGCTCAAGGCACAGATCTGATGGAATCGAGATTTGCTTCACTGACGATGTGGATCACGAAGAAGCCCTAGTTCCCTCTGTTCTCTGTGTCTGTAATGTTGGCCCGCTATTTGACAAGGCGCTAGCAGCCTTTTCTGACGGTCAGTCTGGTAGTGTGTTTGCAGAGGAACTAGCTGAAGTTGGCAATAGAGTTTATCACCATGTACTTCACGCAATAGAGCACCGCAAACAGAGTGTCTCTAGTGCGTCCTATGAATTGCAAGCCATGCTACCGCATGCACAAGGGTCTAAGGCTTTTACTGCTCAAAAGTGCGTCGAGAAGTCTAGTTTTGCAACCGAGTTTCTAAAAATGTATCAAAAGGAGCTAGGAGTGCAGACTCCCAGCACAGAATACTTGGACCACCCGATTCCAGAGCCACCGCTTGATGCCACCGACCTAAAGAAGGCTAAACCTGTTCCCGCAAAAACACAGGGCAACAAGGCCAAAACTACGCCTTCTGATGCTGCCTATGTTGCGCTAAATCCCCTGACCACATTCAATCTTCCACAAAGCTTTTTCTCTGGCACACTTTCTAATGCACTACAAGATATAACAAGAGGATACAAACAGCGACAGGTCTTTATGGAGCAATCCGTTTATAAGCTTACAATATCTCAATCTGCGATGACAGACATATTGACTCACGAGGCTGCTGGACAAACAGATCTACTCACCAACTTCTATGATGTTTCGCTGGAGCGTACCCAAGCTATCTTCATTGAATTTCTCAATTTTTACAAAAGCATTGATCGAGAAGCACGGAGTCAGCCAAATATTAAGGCAGACGCCCTTTTGCTCATAGACAAGTGTCTTGCACAATGCAACGATGAGGTCTTCAAGACCAAGACTCGATCGAACGTATTGATTAATGGACTAACCACACGGTACCTCCGGCTTTCTGCTAAAATGTCTCTTGACGTCCTTTCCTTTGGTGACTATAATGAAGTCGTTTCCAAGCATCTCCCACTGACGACAAAAGACAGAGAAGCTGGCATTGCGCTGGGGATTCTGTTGTTTCAATATGTTTCCTCTCTGTACGATATAATGTGGAACGACATTGCCTATGTTTCCCTTGTCCTGTTCACGTTGCACGAGGTATCCTTGTCTGCATATGATGCGTCAACTAACATGCTCTATGATCTTTTAGCTGCACTTTCCGTAGACTCGGAGCAACAAGCCCTTGCGGAGGCATATAACAAACAGCTGGAGCCGCTCTTGAATGGACGGCAGGTTACTTCCGCAATGGTTGGACAACAGCTCTCTCAATTGAAGACTTTCGGACGAGTAGCTCCACCTGTGTTAATCGTCAGTACAAGCTGTCTTCAGGAGCACGTGCAGCAAAAGAATCAGAAGCCACACGAAGGCTATGCCGCTGCCTTAGAGCCTCTCTATGCACTAGCGAAGAGCTTAGCCGGACCTTCTGACGAGCATAAGGCGCTGCTATTGAAGATGAAGGAGAAGGCTGTCACGAGCCTGGGACAGGATCCCGCCTTGACAGTCGAAGAGTATGCGCACTATAACTATCAAGCTAGTAAGGATGCTATAGATCAACTAAATGATTTGGTGCATAATGGAATGCTCATTTCCCAAGGTGCAGGCGCTACCGTGACACGGGCTTGTTTGCATCCGGTGTATAACAAGCTTGTTATGCGTTTATCTGGTAAGTTAGGAAACAAGTTATCGTTTGCTAAGCAGCAAGTACAGACCTATATTGCAATGTGTACCGACGGTCTCTCCAATACTTTACTAAAGGTAGGGGATATGATCGACAGTCTCTATGCGTCAACCCTTTCTGTTACTGCAAGTACGGCCCGGGCCATGCAAACCGTTGTTGATAAGGAGCTAGATATATTGGGCCTTCATGTTGACATGGCAGCAAAGCGCATCAACCTTGAAGTCAACGAGTAAAGTGGTCACTCGCTGTATACTTGATACTTTCGCTGCCAGTTGCTCTGAGCTAGGGTTCTAAACTGGGCATAAAATCCTAAGACTAAAAAAGTCATGCTTGAAATGACCCACAAGACCTTCTACCTGTTCCTCGGGCGCGTTCACTCTCCAGGCCAGCAAGTGCTTCACAAAGTCTTTGACATACGGCGGGGGGAGTTACTACTGGCTCGTGAGATTGCCTTGCCACGTCTAACCGACGATGCCCTCAAGGCTTACCGAGATGCAGCCCCAGATGCACTGCGAGACATAGACGACATGGAACTGATAAACATCGTCAAGAATAAGAGCTCGGTGTTTCTTATCTTTCAGCTAAGTTGCGCAGATGTTGACCGCCTGTTTGGGATTAGGATCCGCGCAGAAAAACCTGTCCCAGAGCAAACGGTATACGACATGATTGCAGAAGTCACAAATATCATGTGCTTTGAGCAGACAGCAGTGTCTCTTTTGATGCAAGAGACCATCAATCTTAGTACCATTCCATCAACAGTCTCCACCATTTCTGCATGTACCTCCGTCACTGACGAGGGAAAGGTTCTCTTTGCAGTCGGACTACTTGCGCTTTGTCTGATGACTGTTACCCCTTTTGCCGACACGCCAAAGCGCATCCACCATCTCATCCTTGACCTTATCGAGTATGAGTTTACTCTTGAGAGTAACCTGTACTCCGATGCACTAGTAGACATGGTGACACGAATGTGTATTATTGCAGGACCTTGTGCACCACTCGACGGCCTTCCGATAGCCTTTAATGAAATAGTTACAATTCCCATCATATCACGCTTTATTAAGGACATTGACGACTACTGTAAGGTGGAACCTGAAGCAGGGCAGGTACCAGCGCCTACAGCGGCTTCTTTTTCTTCTTCTTCTGTGGAGATTGGTATCCAGTTAATGCCGTGCAATGGATATGACAATTCCATAACAAATAGTGTTGCTGATAAAATAATAGACAATAGCTCCAACCATACACTGCCTGGAGCCCCGGGGCATGAGGAACCAAATGATACTGTGAGCTTACTTTTAGAGCACGGCCCAACGGGTATACATGAACGCTTAGTGGAGAATGATGTGGTCTTGCCATCAGTGCATAGAACTGGGCTAGATATCAAGGCTTGCCAGGATACTCCCATTGAGGTGGAAAATAAAGATGTATCTAATGAGTACAGTCCAAAGCATATGCATACGGGTGTACCGTATGCAAGCTCTAATTGTGACTACGCCAAGCATGAGCCAGAACTCTATGACGCAGATGAGCAAACCATGCCCCTCAGATCAACATCTGCACGCTTAAAAACGTATAGTACAAATACGGACACTCATGTAAGGAATAGAGTAGTAGATATTGTCACCACAGGATACCTGGCAGCAGAATCGTCCAGAGGAAGGGGACGTTGTAAGTCAGTAAGCTTTAAGAGTAAGAGGCAGGATGATTGCAGTATAGATCCGTCTGACATAACCCTTATTGCCAGAAGAGAATATATTAGATATTATTAACATGTCATTGGCATATAGAAAGTAGCCGTGCGTAGATCCTCTGCTCACGCTTTTTCTTTATTGCGACAATGTCCACAAAGCGCATAGATACATATAATAAGAAATATAATAAAAGAAGCTATCGCCAGAGACAATAGCTGCGTGCGATAATTCAGTTGGTGTGCAGTGGCGCACATCTCTAGCGTTACAACTGTTTGTTCGCTCAGCGGACTCAGAGAACGTAAGGCAATCGGTGTCTTGAATTTTTTATTTTTATCCACGGTGGATGGATACAAAATGGATCTGTGCGGGACATTCGTCATGCTGTAAGAGGTGGTTTCGACAATAATTACAAGAGAATATACGCAGTCCTCCACCATTGAAGATAGTTTTGCCCTACCTTTCTTCGGTATCACCACCGGGTTCACAACAGCAAGCATTTTAAAGTACTCATCAATAGTGCCAGACAGATTGTAGATCTGAGGCTCATTGGGCCGCAAAACACTTCTGTATTCGGAGATATACGGAAAGTAGGAGAACTCCAGTTGCTCATTCCTCAGGGTTAATGGTACACCCAACCCTAGCATGCAGTGGTTGACGTCAAGGAGCATGAACTTAACAGAAACAATCCCCTGGAGCTGACCAAGCACTATGGTGTCGTTGGTCAACATAGAGATGTTTCGGCTCAGAGAAAGGGTCTCGTAAGAGCCATATTGTAGTGAATACTCGCTGACTGTCCGAACATTTTCATAGATCTCGACGCAGTCAGACACTCCTATGATACCCAGCTCAGTGTTGACGCCAGGAGGGGTCAAAAATAGGGTTGTGTTCGGCCTGATATAAATTGATGTCTCGTAGGTCACGTTGCTGGCCAGGTAGCCACCCAGGAAACCTATGAACGCGCCAAATGTTACACAAATCATAATAAGCCGTTTAGGGCTCCACAGCTTCTGAGGAGGATTACCGCCTGCATGCCCAGCATTGGAGTTTTCTGCTCTTTCTCTCATAACTCTTGTAGTACTTGTATGATGGTTGCTTCTTTTATTTTTCAGGGCTTCTCTTCTTTTCAATCACAGACAAGCTAAGACGCAGCGTAATCAATCTGACTTTGAAGACGCATGCAAAGCTTTCGGTATCAGAGAGAGACTATTCGTCTCTTCGAGAACAAGCATCCTATGGACTGTGCTACTTTTGATACAGACGATGACACCGGCCAAGGTATACGATTTACATCGTCGAGACTTCTATCTATCAACCAAAACCGTCGCGTAGAGGAAGGAATAGCTGTTTTTGGTGATCCAGCTCGGAGAGCAAAGAGCTATCCGGTCGTTATGAAGACCCTTTACTTCGGTTCTAAGCAGCAACAGCAAGAGGCAGTAAGGGAATTTATGTTTCACCAAGCTCTCCAGCATCCCAATTTGGTCCGCTGTCTTTGTACCTCACAGGAGGGGAGCGAGCTAAAGATCCTTCTTGAGCACTGTAAGTACTACGACCTTGACCACTACACTGGCGTATTCACTGCATACACCGCAGGTCGCATCGTTGCACAGCTTTTTAGTGTGCTTCATTACCTCCACACTCTCCCTTACTCGTCTCTTTTCTTCGTACACGGAGACGTGAAGAGGAGCAACTGCTTTCTGGATCAAGACCGGGACCAGAAACTAGGAGACTTTGGGAGCACACATTTTCAAAGGTATGATGCAGCGTCTTTACAACAAGTTCCAGCAGAGGGTCACCACGGTGTGACACGAAGCTATCTACCTTACTTTCGAGACGGCACCCCAGTCGTGAGCCAGTGCACAGATATCTGGGCAGCCACTCTCGTTAGCATCTCCATCTTGGGTGACCTAACGTCATTCTTTCAATTCACCAACTCTGCCTCTCTCACACATTACTTGCAGAACTACCATATCGACCTTCTAGACGCTCTCAGTGGGCACGACCCCCGTTATGCGGAGTTTCTTCTGTATTTCAGCACGGACGAGGCCATTGAAGCATATTATAGTTCTCGCTCCACTGATCACGATGCTGTTCGCGCACGACTCAGGGCTTTTATGTGTTTGCCTCCAGTGAGGAGTTTTCTATCGGTGACGCCCCTCTTTTCATCATTGAATAACCAGGAGGTACCCTTTTTCATACGCGAAGAAACAGCCAGCGGGTTTACAAAGCTCCATCGTGCATATACAGAGAAGACCTTACTCACTTTAGCAGCTGCTCAAACCGGGACCGGACCATCCTCATCATTGACGCCCGAAGGGGTGACGAAGATAACTTCTCGCACAGTGTATTTTACCAGTGATCATGCAACGGTTCATTCAGATCCGTTTGTTATGTCTCTGTGTGGAGAGATAGAGGCCATGAATCTTTGTCCTAGACTCCTGGATTGGCTGATTAGATTGGCGCTTAAATACATTGAGTCACCAGAAGAATTCAAGGCTATTTGGTCGTCGATGTACACGGAGTTGGTCACAATTACTGCTGGGAAGTCCATGTTCTCAGAGGTTAGTTCTCCGCTAGCTCAACAAGACGATCTTATTAGTGACTCATTTGGGAGAGAGCGTGCATCGTGCTTTCAACTGTCTGATGAATTTGATCTTATTCAGATCGCCCTATCCAACGCTGGTGTCCAAAATGCCTCATATGTATGGTCTCTTATTATGGATTATGTAATCCTCTGTCCAGAGCCCCGAGAGGACCTTTTAAGTAGAGGACTTTGCGTCCAGCCAGAGTTGTCAGATGCTGGAAGAAAAATTCAATCTGAAAAGGAGGTAGTTTTAGAGCAGACCTATGCAACCCGTGGAGGAGCCTCAGGTGCCAGTATCATTTACGCGGGAGGAACTGAACCGAAAGGTGACTGCGTTGCGGAAGGAGGCCGCTGAGTTTGAAGCACTGGTCCGTGAAGGACGGAAAGACTCGAGCGAACCACTGCCAGAGACAGTCGATGAGAAGGACAACGGGAACGAAAGACTCAAACGCGCGATTGCGCATAAAAAGGTGCCTGATTTCGACGCAGGGTTGAAAAAACTTGCTGACGCAAAGGAGGCAAGGCTGAAGCTTCAGGCAGAGTGTGAGGCGGTAAAAGCGCGAATTGGTCTCTGCCTTAGCAATCCAATTTTTGATGGCATAGAGGAAAATGACGAAGCAAGAGGCGAGCAGCCGCTCTACGATAATTGGTCCACAGAGATGAATATGAGGGCTCAGCTACTTCTTGAAGATGGTGTTGTTGACGATAGTGACGACGAGCGGGCCGCAGCGGAATACAAAGATGCTCTGGAGGAGGTTAGGCAGTTCGATTCGCAGTTTCTAGCACATGCTAGTGATGCCCGGGCAGAGGAGGACCTCCCAGTCGCTTCTCCATGTAAATAGATGAGTTTCAAATTTAGAATAAAAAAGGAAAGGATAGCGATGAGTGTACTGAAAAGGAGTTTTTCGCCCCGTCATTTCCTGGATCTTGTGGCGGATTACGCATACGTATTGTACGATGACGCGGCGGCTACCCACGAGCGCAAGCAGACGAAGCAAATGCTTCAAACAAATAATGTACCAAGAGTCTTCATTTACGATCTACCAATGCTGCTTTCTGAAGCCTTGATCTCCAAGAGGCATACCCTCCGCTCCATCTTCGTAATTGTTTCCACAGAAGCGGCGATTCAGACAGTTCAGAGCAATCAGTTTGTCGGACTCGACTACAAGGTGCTAACAGACGCTGAGATGCTGAGGGTCTTGAAGAATTGCGAGAGCTTTGTTGATGACTTAAAAGCAAAGACGTCTGTGCGCATTGGAACGCTCTCCGAGATTATGATCCACAGGCTCAAGCATATTACATTAGTCTGGGCGGCAAAATTTGGCTCTGCCGGCACAAAGAATTTCTACACTGATCCGGCCCTCCATACAGGGTCGAAAGCTGGCCACGACATGATCAAGAAGGCCGTTTCTGATTGTGCAGACGCCTTTACTAACTACCACGGTAACATAGTTTCATCTTTGGCTAGCCTTGTGGAGCAAAGTGGGTACGCACCCACTGTCCCTCATTCTCCGTCTAATAGCGCCCTGCCAGGGGGGTCAGGTGCAGATGTTCCCCGCCCCTTATCAACTATATCTTCATCTATACTATCTACCCTCCAGCACCTTCTCAGCACTCGTCACCAGTCTGTAGCGCAGCATGTGACTGAGGTTTCTAGTCAGGCACAGAAGCAGATCTCTGCCAGCAACCAGGCCTTTCAGACGAACGTCCTATCTTTGATAAATCAGATCCTCAACACAACTGTCGGGGGAGGATGGCCGATGCTCTCTCTGCACATCCAGGATTTTTTCCACTACTTCGCTCCCAAGAACATTGATGCGACGATGGAGTACAACACTAGTGGGATATCTAACGGGGTTGTGCTTCTCCACTACTTCGCCGATAGACTGGCGACAGTATACGAACCCGTTACCTTGTCGTTAGACCTCTGCGACGATCCCACTAATGCCTGGTTTTACGTCAATGAAATCAGGCCAATGTATTCTTTGCAGGTAGACAATAGCCCGTGTGGCCGCCTACTTATTCGTGGAGACTACACATCTCAGACAAGCTGTATTCTACAAGACAAGTACCTCCTGTCGGGCGCCACAGATTTAGCCACGACTTACCGACAATATGAGGCGTACATTGCTAAGGCTGTCCATGCGCTGTCTCAGCTCTTGGTCAGCGCCTGGAAGCACTCTCTTCGTGCCCAGAAGCTGATTGTCGAGGAAATAGAGTCTCTTAAGAGTGGACGCGTATCTATCAACTACGAGACGTTTCGGCACATTATCGCTGGCCACACCATAGACGTAGGCAGGCAGGGGGACAAGGGAGCCTCATCAGAAGTGCCTGGTTCAAATGGTGCAGCAACCAATCCTTTCATAGGTGCAGATCTTCCTTCAAACAGCCTTGCCTATGCACTCCATCACACTACCTTCGTTACATCCTTCTCTGATCTGATCCTCCTTTTGGCCATTCGGTTGAAGAGCCCTTCTCCAGACTCCACCTTTAACTTGACGGTCAAGAACATTGGGGGCCCAGCCGCACCAATAGTCACTGTCCCAACTAGCGGTGCAGCGCAAGGGGGCGCAGCAAAATGGTCTTATGCGTATATGCGGCGCCTGTACATTACCCAGGCAGACATGGACAACTACGTCACGACCATTGCGTATCTGACCACCCTCCCTTTTGTTATTCTAAACGAGTTTCTTGATTACATGGCATACCTAAATCAAAAACCCTGCCAAGAGAACTTCTCAAGATACCGACAGGCCGTCGTTCTAACTGAAAAGATGGGACAGTTCTGTGCCCAGAATGGGCTTTCTGAAACTGTTCTACTCTATATCCAGAAGATTCTTGACGCAGATTGTGATAATATGGCAGAAGATTTTATCTTGGCAAATCAGGTGGCTCTTAACTCTATTTCTTGGCGAATTGATGGTCTTGTGGATGGATTTGTAGAGTCTTATCTTGCACTGGTGGAATCCACCGTTGCTGATGACCGCCGAGTCGGGAAGAACGTATTCGGAAGCGGCGCTCCACAAGGTGTTTCATTGACCACTTCCGGGCTTACACGTCTCTATACGTATCGCTTCCTTCATCTGTTACGGCAGTCTATGATTCCTCGACCAGGTGCAGAGCACGACGCGACATCGATTATGGACTTCGATGAGCAGATTCTGCTCTCAAAGTCTCCCTATCATAAGGTCCAGCCCTCTATCGCCCTGTACACACAGAGCCCCGACTGCCCTTCACTGAAAGACGACGTGATCAGCATCAGGCCACTATCCAACGCAATCACGTATCAACTCTTTATACCCGTCTCGGGAAGGAACCGGACGACATTTGAGCAACTTATAAGCCTGGCAGATTTCATGAGCCTCGTTGCTCGTTTTAATCCCTTCCCTCACCGTAGCTTTACACACACCCTTATCTTCAATACATCCCTAGGTCTGAATAATCTCTTCTACCCCTATCATTTGAAGGGCGCAATAGCTAATGATTATCAGCGCCTTGAACTTTCGGCCAGAAACGATACAAACAATGCTAATGGAACCAACACACAAGGCACAATCTTGGCTCACTTTTTGACGTCTCACGTTCCAGCAATGAGCCAGTTCAGTCCAGCTTTGGTCAACGGTGGTGGCGGGCCGGGAGGTACATGTAGCGCTACGTCCAAGGCTAATTTTGCACTCTTGATAGACTTTTATAATAATGTCAATCTGACTTACAACCTAACCTACAACTCGCTGAATAGGGAGAAGTATAATAGAGTTCGAGTAGAGGAGGATCGAACTGGCGGTGATTGTGCTGTCTGCAACGTTAAGTATGACAACTACAGGACACATGTGTCGTCTGCTGAACACCTGAAAAACTACAAGTCGTATATGGCTCAGGTCTCGGGGCTTACAGAGAATGGCGAGTCTAACGCCATGATCGACGAGCTTCGCTACCTCTCCCTTCAGTTTGAGCGTATATCTGCCATTGGCGTACAGCTTAGCAGCATCATTATCACCATCGCTGCAGAGCTGGGCTGTACCTATGAATTTGTCGCAGGAATAGTCAATGACCTCTTGAAATCCCTCTGTGGCGACCTAGTTATCGATGTCTCAGATATTCCACGTGCACTGTCTCCGAATTGCAAGACCAATACATATTTAAAGTGGCGAGAAGATAACGCCCACCGTAGGCAGCTTTCGTTTGAACAGTTTCTAACAGGTAGCGGGTCTCGAAAGACTGGCTATAAGCGGATAAAGGCGTCGGCGGGCTCCATACTTCTCACGGGCATCATGCTAGATGTTAATCGTGTCAAGTGGGTACGCAATTCGATAATGGCGCGATGCTGCGGAGTAGACATCCACACATATATGGACGCGCTTGCACAAGGCAAGGACTCGGGGGTCTCCACGTCTGTTTCTGGAGCGTCCTCGATTAACAAGGTATCTATCGACAACAATGGCAGCTATTACCTTTTCCCGAAGCTTCCATCAGAGCAGGAGTATACAATACCCAAGTTGATCATTGATCCACGCACACACACTCAGTTTCTCTTTGAGGAGGAGGACTTTACGCAACTCATACGAGTGAGTATGGCCACTGTTCTCTGGCGGGCGTATGGTGGATCTATCTCTGGTGATTCTTCTGGGGCAGCCGGATCTGCTCATCTCTCGGCAGGCCTTCTGGCCAATGTTGACAAGCAGCGCGCCAAAGGACAGCAGGCAGGCGCAGAGCAGGTGAAGTTTGGGTCACACATGATATCAATGAACAAATCGGATTACGTTTTACCGGCACACCTCCAGCACAAGTCGACAAGCTACCTCGCGACATATGAGTCAGATGATGAGTTAGATCTTCAGCAGGAACACGTTGTTCGCAGGCTCTGTGACGAGACGCCCTTCCTCTCCGGCAGTCGCTATATACACGTTACAGCCGAGCTAAAGTATCACCGGTATGAGCGATACAGAGCGAGAATCAGCTGCAGGAAGCAGGAAGCGCGTGAGGAAGACCCGAATCTGTCTGTGTCTGCTGGCGGAGCAGACTATGAAACGCTTAATCCTGACCTCAATGTAGGGCTTTCTTCTGGTTCACCCACCATAAAGCAGAGGCAATGCTACCATGTTACCCCCATTACAGGGCTCGATTTCAAGCTGCTTCGTCAGGATATCATTGATGTCGAAGTTGGTCATATTCCGCAAACAGGTATGCTCGTCAAATTAGCGAAAAACATTTTAGAAATTAGAGAACAGAGGCATATTACAGATGCTGAACTCATTGAAATGGCGAAGACGGTCTTTGGGAAAAGTGAGCTGGACGACGTTTTCACAGCCACTACGGCAGAGTGGCTCAGGGCGCGGCTTGAAAACCTTGCTACTGCGCCTTCCAAATCTAAGGAGACCCGTACACCTCAAGCAAGTGAAGATGGTGCCGATGAGGAAACGTCCAACGAGCTTAATACATATGACGCAAGACTTTCAGGAACTAGCCGCTTGCAGATACCGCGACTTTACTGGTACGATCATGCAAATGGACGCATGTTTGTTGACGGCTTTAATGACTTGGAGAACGAATTCATTCAGCAGAGCCACATTTCGTCTGGATTTGATATAGGTCGTGTCAACGCGATAGAATTTAGCAGGGCCTATGCGAAGTCCATTGAAAAATCTCTCCTCAGTGGACAGTCGGAAATTACCTTTGTGGAGCGCAATGCGGATGGCGTAGTCATCGATCGTAATGCGTATGAGAGCACAGATCACACCCTGCTTTCTGGCTTGATGGGAGGCCCAAGCGCACAGTCCACCCTTGAACAAGCATCCAGAGTGACCCGGACAGCCAACGTCTCCGCAGCTAGCCGTCACCATAGCGCGATGGGAAGTGCGCTAGGAGGCACCTCAATGACAGGTTATGGAACCGCTGGGGCTCTGCAGAAGAACACTTTCAATTATAACGATAATATCAAGAGAATACTCACTGCGATTCCTGCAGCTAAGATTGACATCTCTCTGCTGAGCTCTCTTGCAGCCATTCCCCTTGACATACTGCGCGCTATATGTACTAACTGCGTTAACCTTATGCAAGCATCAGACGTGATACTAGCTATCAACAATCTGGGCGAAGTGACGAACGTTATTCCGGACGAAGTGATCGTTGCTATTTCCAAGTCCTTGGACGCAGAACTCCATTGCTTCACAATCCTAAGCGAACCAAAGAATGCCGCCAAAGTCTATGCAGATCATGTCTCCATGATTGGGCGGAGTAAGCGGGCAAACTCTGCTGTTGAAAGTGCCATCGTCGCTCATGAGCTCTCTGGGGCAGGTACGGCCTCCGGCTTTGTGGAAGATACCGTCAAAAGCGAAAACGCTAACACAGGACTGATGCTGAGTGCAGCAGCTCTCGCCGACGAAGCCCTCGATGCGTATTTTGAAACTGTGTCTCAGCAGGTTAATCTGGCCCGAAGTTCCTCATGCCAAGACTTCTTTGCACACATGAAATCGTTTTCTCCATGTAATCCTGGTGCTAGTGCGACGGAGCAAGCAAACAGGTATCCGTCTAACTCTATTCTCAGGGCAGCAAGAGCAAACTCTGTGGCTGCACCACGCCGCATTCGTCTCGAGGAGGACATGATTTCCATACAGCTTCTGGGAGATGAGATTGGCGAGGCGCTGCCGACTACGTCTCTTATCGAGGGATCGACGCTTGCCTCGCACTTGATTACAACAGGAGATCCTAAGAATCTTAACAGATACTCTGTGCTTAAAGAATCAACTATTCTAGAACGTGGAATCGAAGACGAGCATGACCTCACATATATCCCCGTCAATGGACAACAGGTCTTAATGGTCTCGCACTATGCTGCTCCAATCATGTCTAACTTCAACGCGATTGACCCCAATACTGCATACTTCTCCAAGAAGTACTATGGAAAGATGATTCCGACATCCGAGTCCATCTGTAGCGCCGTCTACTCCAGTCTCATACCATCTTACACAGGCACGTCACGGTTTTTAGAGCAGGTCTCAGACCTGTGGAAGGGGAGCGCTGACGCGTTTCTCGGTAGCTGCGCAAGCGTCTCGTCTGTGTACAATGACCAGACCTTCTACAGCATCAAGATTCTCGACCCCTCCACCACCACTCTCATTTCACTGGCAGCACGTGCCGAGGTCCTGCGAAGAAAGGCCGAACTAAACGCTCCCGGCTTTAACACAACAAAAGGCCTTGTGGAGCTTCGCCACGATTGCCGATCCCTATGGCGCAGTACTGGGGCTAAGCCTATTGTCGTTCTGGACCGTAGCGACAGGGGCGAGTTCCTGGGTACTCTCGGTCTTTCTGACTCCGACGGCGAAGACGCTGATTACGACGAGATCTCTGCGCTTGGACCCTTCGACGTCACACAGAGTGGCAAACCGGACATATACGCAACCCACACCTATCAGTTCATGAATTGATACGTTCGTCTCCCTAGTAAATCAAGTTCTCACGGGCCATTTACTGAGGAGCGCTAGATGAGGGGCTTTATGTAGCAAGGGAGTGCATTGATCTTCATCTCTTCGGAATTGAGCCTTTCAAAGTCTTCTTTTCTCTGAAGAGGAACATCGAGGTTAGGCGCAGCCTTCACTGGATTGCGTGTAGCCTTATTTGCCGACAGCGCTTTTTCATTCTCAATAATCGCAGCAACGGTGGGGCTCAGAGGCCGCTTGTGGGGATTCCTCTTGTAATAGAACTCCTTCTCCAGCTTTCGTTTCTCTTCCTCTGTTAAGGGTGCGACGTGCTTGCGGTCGCGACGCATCCTAGCTTCGTCCTCAATGCCAAACTGATCTATGTAGGAGGCGCCCTTTGCGTTATAAGGGATCCTTTCATCTTCAGGAGAATATTCGACTGGTTTAGTAGATGTAAAAGCGCCCTTCTTTGAGTGAGCAACTTCGTCTGCTGTAGGCAGCTCCATACCACCTTCTCGGCGCTGACGTAGTTCCAGCTCGTCCTGGATTTTCTTTGTATGCACTTCGGCAACCATGGCATCGTGCCTGGCGATGTTTGCAGTCGAGTTTGCCTTGCTGAATAGGTTCTGATTCTGTATCTCTTGAGTCTTGTATACTTTCGACATGTTCTTGAGTTCTTCTTTCTCTGCCCTCGCGCGCTCCTGATAGGCTTGTACTTTGGTTGTATGTTTGAAACCTGCTCGCGACTGCATAGCGCCTGACGATATTGAGTTGCCAACCCCCGATGCCTGAATGTCTGTTGGCTGGTTGAGCCCTAACATTGCACGCTGTAAGGTTTCAGTCCTAGATGGAATGTCGGGCACCCAATCGTGCTCCTTGCACGCTTCCTGTTTCATCCTCTCTAAATACTTATCAGGTAGAGCAGTATGTAGAGGTTTGCCCGTTGCGGGATCAATACGGTCATGTGGAAGAGCATCAGAGTCATAGAGGCCCTGCTGTCTGTAGTCCTTTCGCTGCTGTCGGCGCTGTTCTTGCTCCTTGATGGCTGCACTCTTGAGTTCCTTGGCCAGCTCTGCCTTGGCTGCCTGATTGTTGCGTTCTTTTGCCAAAGTTTGATCTCTGCGTCCAAAGTTATCCCACGCCGTGTTTCTCAAAGCAAACGAAGGCTCCATTTTCTCAAGCTTCTCCTCAAGCTCTCGCTCCTTCCGTTTTGCTATCATATCTCTTCTCTGTGCCTCCTTGAGGTCCTTTTCTTTCTGGGACTGAACAGCTTTAACTTCTTCCTCCTCTGAATGAATTATTTTGAGCCTATCGCGTGTCAGTGCTTCCCATGTATCGGGGACAGCCTTGGAAGGGGTGTACTCAGAACTGCATCCCAAGTCTTTAGCTTGCTCGCTAGTTTGAGCCATCAGACTGCCGATCCGGTTTTGAGAAGTTCGCGACACAGCAACTGCCTTGACTGCATTGTTCATGACATCTTGGGAGACAGTCCCGCCAAGAGAAACAATCTTCTGACGAATGGCCTCTGCCTCAGTGCGACTCCCCACGCCTTCTACAAGTCTATTCTGTAAACGGGAAACGAGACTGGACGCTTCATCAAGCTTTCTCTTTTCCACGGCTGCCGATTCTTTTGTCAATGGCATCTTCAAATTTTAAACTTTGGAATATCAAAACAGGAATGAAGTAATAATCCTTTTGCAATATTTATTGTAAGGCACCATTATGGCAAATCTCGTTCTAAACCCGGCCGGGGAGGCCAGGGCGCGCACACAGTATCGCTGCTTCGAGTACTTGAGGCTCCTTGTGGCTGCGGCGGGACACGCTTTCGACGCGTACGGACTCGGAGACAGCAACCGAGACCGCTATCTCGGCGACTGCATCCAGTGCACAGACATCTTGGAGCTCGTCGTCTGCGCTGCAGGGTGTGCGGCAGCCGGACCGTCCAGCGCGCCCCTGGATGCCGATTCTCCCAAGATGGACTTACACCTGCCAGAGGCCATGGGAGCTAGCGAAGCGGTCCTCCCAGCAGCGGACCCGGCAGAGGCCCACCGTCGCTACCAGAACTACTGCACTGAGATGAACAGGGTGCATCCGGACCCGCTGCACCCCGCGCCCGAACTGGCGACCACGGAGACATACTTCAAGCTCGTCGACCACCTTTTCTCCTCCTTGGTCTATGTGGAGAAGCTCATGGGCACCCCGAAGATCGACTGGAACGCAGACCACTTCACCCTGGACTACAAGCCCTGTCCAGACGAGGTCAAGCTGGTCATCAACCTTGACGCAGAGGCCATTAGCGCCATGGACAACAATAAGGACCTCCAGGATAAGCGTACATGGTGCAGCTGCCGCGTCATACACCTTTTGGCCATTAATATAGTTGCTGGATTGGGGTACCAATGCGTAGGCCTTACTTTGCCATTCTACCTTACAGACCTGTCGGCTACTCCATCGCAGACACTCAATAGCACCGCATTTTTCAATCTGGCACAACTCATTTGCTGTCCTCTCCTTCTTTGGGCGTCGGAGTTTATTGGACGCCGAATTATCATGTCCATCTCCTTTGCAGGATATACCGTGATGATGGCTGTCTATTCTTTGGCACTGTTAATAGGTGAAGCCAATACAGCTGCCGGAAATCAAAGCAAAATCAACTTCATCCTTGGGATGCGTGCTATTAATGGCATCTTTGCCATCACCATCCCCATTTCATTTCTGATTGCTTCTGACATCGCCAATCCTAGGGTGAGACCGATGGTACTAATAGGTGCCAATGTATGCAACCAGTTGGGGTCTGCCGCCGCTTCCTTGTTGGTGTCCTTTGTTTTTTCTACTGGAAGATATGATACGAAAACCAATCCGTCAGCGGTTTCTATAAGTTTCCAGCACACATGCTATGTGGCTTCTGTCTCATATGCCCTATGCTTGATCTTATCTGTTTGCATGAAGGAGTCGTCCGCAGGTGTTCTTGCCAGAAAAGCTGCCAAGAAAATGGGGAAAACCAACACCACTGCCTACAGGGAAAACTTGAAGAGGGACAGCTTCTGCACCACGTTCAAGGTGCTTGTGAAGAGTAGGGAGCTTGTCATTCTTTGGTTTGCTTACCTTTTCCAAATGTTTTCGTCTCAGCTTCCGTTCAGCAGCAGCACATACATAGTTTCTAAGTTCTATGGGTTCTCAGACTCGCAAGTCGCAAAGAAGTGGAGCAGCATTGCGGCATTTGTCTCTGTTCTGATAGCACTGGCCTTTGTACTCGGATTAACTCGCATCCTGGCTAAGTATATGGGTGAGCTGCGTGTCATTATCATGTCTATAATCTTGTCAATGATACCTGGGCTTTTACGCTGGGCAGTTGATCCACCAATCCCGATTTGGCTCTTGTTTCTTCCGTTCAATACCATTGCACTGAACCTGGGCGACGCTCTAATCGTGCAATTTGCAACTCTCTATACCACTCCCCAGAATAGAGGGACGTTGATGGGCCTCTTTCAGATAGGTAACAGCATTGGACGGTTCGGGGCTGCATTGATGGCCGGGGAGCTTTACAACTGGAACTGGAGGAATGGATCTTTGCTGTTTATGCTCTATGGTTCGGTATCCCTCATTTTCTTATGCTTTGTAAGGCCTATTCTCGAGCAGAACGTCGCAAACCAGCTGGAACAAAAGCAAAAGGAGGAGAGAGCCTCCTTGGCCCGTGTGTGAATGGGCATGAATACGATTACACTGTAAGTGAATTAAAAACCTTCATGCAGCAGGTCTACTTGATCAACAGCTCGGGGTCTCTCATGTACAGCTACTCTACTATCAAGAACCTAGACTCTAACGACCATATCGCGCTAGCTTCGACGTATTTCAGCCTGTCAATAATGTCTAATGAATGCAGTCCAAGAGAGCCCTGCACCTCTGGGCTACGTGAAATAGGAACAACAGCAGGGAGCATCGCGTGCTTGGAAACTCCAACTGGAATTCGTTTGATTGCGGCAGCAGCGAAGCATGTGCCTATTGTGCGGCTTCACCAGTTTCTTCGGGATCTATATCGTTTATATGCAGACTTTGTGGTCAAGAATCCCTTCTTTGTTCCTAATCAGCTTATCCGTGCAGCAAAATTTGAGAAGGGAGTCCAGAGACTGGTGCAAGGGATTTAGTTCCTAACTTTATTCCCGATGTCGTTAGAAGAAGTCAGATGGCGCAAGGAGGATGACATAATGCTTGAGCAAGCAGTAAATAGGTATGGCGTGCACAAGTGGGGCGCTATCTCAAGCCTGCTAGTGGGAAGAAGTCCGCAAGAGTGTAGGGAGCGCTGGGCTCATGTGCTGCAGTACAAGCGCACCGTAAGCGTAGTCACTGATAACGAGCTCCTGAGACTCTACCGTCTGTTCGGCGACGCATGGGATGTTATAGGCAATGCTACCCTCTCGTCTCCCGCAGTCTGCAAGTCGAGAGTGTACTCTCTTCTTGGCTTAGAGTCCTCGTCCGATGATTCTTCGACTGTCCCATCTGCTCATGTGACAGACTACGCTACAGTGGACGCAGAGAATGTCCATGGCTCAATAGCGATAAGCTCAAGTGCACTACGTCAATCAGATAGAGTGCAGGCCGAGTGCCTATGTGCTAAGAGCTGTACAGACTTGGCAGCTACCCGTCAAAGGGAATATACTGCATACCTGAAGCACAGACCCAAAAAGCGAACAGCTAAAGATACTCACTGCTCTCATTCCAAACGTGCGTCATCAACAGGGGTAGCAGCAACAGCAAAAGACTATCGACAATATATCTGTAGCTATATACGCCGGAACCGTATACAACTAGACGTGCCACTACAACCAAATAGAGGTACATTAGATGGGCCTCAAGTGGCTACGAAGTTAGTTAGTAATTCACAAGAAGCACACTCTCCCCCGTTGTCGTTATATCCCATTTATGCCAAGATGAATAGAACCAAACTGTATACTGCAATCTAGTCGGAAACTTAAATGCTCTCGCTCCCCATAAACTGGTTACATTACAGTTGTTTGGTGTTTACTATCCCTATCTGGGCGGGCATACGCTACATGCTAAGTGGCTGTCTTCGTTATGTAGCTAGTCGCACGCCATGGGCATCAGCACATCCTGTTGCTAAAGGAAAAGTGGCAGAGTCTGGGTTTTATCTGATTCAGTATACACTACTGTACTGGTTTTCTCACGCATTGATAAAGGAAAGAGGGATACAGCCATACCACTTTGAAGCCTTCTTCAGCGACTATCCTCTCAGGCTGTCCTTCTCTGCTAACGTGCACAAGTTCTTTATCTGTCAGCTTACGGTATACTCTGTCAGCTTGCTTTTCTTATTCTCGGAGACAAGGAAGAACAATAAAGACTTTACAGTGATGCTAGCACATCATGTGATTGCATGTACATTGATAGTGGCAGGATACTCCTTCCGCCACTACAACTTTGGGCTGATACTCGCAAACCTCCACGACGTATCGGACATTTTTCTCGAAGCCTCAAAGATCATCAACCTCACCATAGGAGAGCCCTGGTCTTTGGTGACCTTTGTGCTCTTTGCCTTGACCTTCTTCATTGCTAGAATAGTTGTTTACCCCACATACCTTATAATACCGCCGATAGCAGGAAAGTGTGACTTCCTGGTTGAAAAGAGACTAGGAGCAGGTCAGAACTGTGGAGAGACAAAACTACACAGGTGGGGGTTCTATGGTGTCCTTACGAGTCTCTATGTCATAGACGTATATTGGATGGTGATGATAATTAGAATGATAGCAGGGATTTTTAGGCTTGAGGTTCGAGGAGATGTTCGCGACGATCAAGAGAACACCATACGCCGGATTGAGAAGGACAAGTAGTCTGTCACTGGGGTGCACCATAAATCTGGTCATAGGATTGTCGCTTACTACCACAATTTCCGCAAAAGACCGCATCTGGATGGAATTTTAAGCCGCAGTAAATGCAAAAGGTGCACAGCTCTGGAGGCGTGGCCATAATTCGCACAGGAAGCCCAGGAACGCCAGATGATACTGCCACGGTTGACAGCTGCGGTATGGCCAGAGGGGTTTGATGAGTAAGCTGCGCTGGCTGCTGCACGAGGTGTGCTGGCACGCCCGAGACATATGCAGGCACAGTATGGCCAGGAGTGCTAGACACATATCGAGATGTCTCCGAAGGCACTCGTGGAGTGTGCCCGTGCTCATGGCGGCGACGGTGCCTGTGTCGATGCTTAGACTCGACAGCTGACGCCATGAAAGCAGGGTCTGGGACACTACGGGGATCTGTTGGCTCATCTCTTTGGATGGCAGATTTAGGACGCTCTGGTGAACGTGGCTCTGGGATGCGATCTTCCTTTACTGAATCTTTGGGCTTCTCGTCAGATTGTTGCTGTTGCTGCGGCGGCGGCGGGCTATGCTGAACGGGCCGCTGGGGGGCCACATTGTCATCATATGTGGGATTGAAAGCCAACTTTTCTTGCCCAAAGCTTGCGGCCATATCTGATGTATTCCAGTTGAGTTTCTTGCGGACAGGGGTTTTGGACTTCACCATGGAACGCGACATCGGCGTGCTTGGCTCTGCTTCGTTGACCAGCTGCCTATCTTCATTGCTGACATTCCTCCAGCGCTGGTCATGAGGATTGAAGGATGGGACTCTCCGCGTACTAAGCTTAGCGCATGCACTGACGTGCTTCTCAAGGCGACTAGAAATGAACCTGCGACCGCAATGGGGACACTCCTCTCGGGACTCTTCGCCCTCTGCTGGATCAGAAGTCCTCGCAGGAGTGTTTGCAGAGTGGTTTCTAGAAGGAGAACTCTCCTGTTCCTGTTGAACGTAGGAGCGTTTGGAACTATCCTGGACCTTCCTTGTAGAAAAATCCTCTGATACGCGGTTAGATGTGCGTTCACCGGCTCCAACAGGCTGCCTGGACCGCTGGGTGTCTGTCTTGGTTTGTTGACCGGCAGAGCTAGCCTCAGCTTGGAGAGCTCGGCAGATCCGGCAGTGGGTAATGAGGTCCTGTGCCTGAAACTTCTTCTGACAAAAGGGACATGCAATCCCGGACATGCCGCTGAGCGCTATTTGTTTCCAGACTTTGTCATATGTTCACATTATAGCTGTTTGTGATAATTGCCGCTTTTTTCATTTTTAGTAACAGGAAATGTTTCTAATTCGATTTCTGTCTTAATAAAGAATACTCCGCCGAAGCGTTAGTATGTCATCCGGCCCCACGCCATCCATCTTCATCTCCAACATCCCTGAGAACTTCGGTGCGTCGGACGTCTATGCGCTCCTCTCACAGGCCGGTGTCACCGGTTTCAAAGAGCACGAGAGGGTCCGCCTCTCCAAGGATCGCGGCTCAGGCACGGAGACCGGCCGTTACATGGTCGTCCAGTTCGACAACCCGGACCTTGCAGCGGCGGCGATAGAAGCTCTCAGCAACATCAATTTGATGATCAACCAGAAGCCGCACCAGATTTACTTCTCGCCGTTTGTCCAGGACTTGGCCAAGAGGATTAAGGCCAAGACGGGGATGATGGTGGTTCAGAACTTACCCAAGGACGTCACAGTAAGTGGACTGAGGTCCGTGTTCTCCACCTTTGGAACTGTGCTGAGCGCTAAGCTAGTATCAAACCGGGACACCCGCGTCAAAGGGGCCGAGGACAAAACGCAGGCGCCTATCGGCTCGGCCATGGGGTACGTCATGTTTCTTTCTGACGAAGAGGCTGACCGTGCTGTAAGGGAGACGAATGGGAAGTTCCTCGGCGTGAACAAGGTCACTTCTTCCCGCTACCTTACTGCAGAGGAGCGCATCAGCAACACTAACTCAATCTTCATTAAGAACATTCCCCCCGAGTACGCAGACGACCTGGACAAGTTCAAGCAGCTCATGGTTTCCTTCTGCGGAAAGCCTCTTGAGGCCCTTCTGGAGGAGTACTACCTGACATCCATTATTATGAGGAGGGACAGTCGTCCCGAGCCCTTCAGGACGGACAACTCCTGGTGTGTCGTAAAAGCCAGGGGAGTTGAAGACGCCGAAAGGATCATCAAGGGATTCGCAGACAACGCAGAGAAGTATAATATCCAGGCTTGCAAGTTCCTCTCGAGGGGGTTGCGCTCGCTGCAGCTGAAGAGGGTGATGCGCGAGAACTTCGTCAAGTACTGCTCGTCTAAAAGGAACATTAGTATCTATGGATTGAAGCTTGATTTGGATCAGAAAGAGTTTGAAAGGAGAATTAGAGACATCTGGGGCGAGGATGTATATGAGATCAAGTTTCCTCCCAAGGTCCTGGACCCCAAGCTTGACCAGGCTAAGTTCCACGTTAATGTTCTGTTCTCGACAGCTGACATGGCCAAGGAGGCGATCCAGAGGTTGAGGGAGGAGAAAAGCCTTCTGGGGAGTTCCGTTGTCGACGAGAAGCTTTTCGAGGTAGACTATTATGAGCCGGGCCCGCAAACGAGGTTGAACAGGCAGGGTGCTCCCAAAGATTTTAAGATCTCGGAGAAACGCAACACCGCGTTCCCTTCTAGCACCAACAAATAAGAGTTATTATTTATGAAAGTAACTAGAAATGACCAGAACGTGTAAATGTGCAGAAGGGCCGGGCGGACCGCTCCTTGTAGGTTTTTTTGAATTATGTCAATATGCAGCGGCACGTGAAGGTCTACGCCCGTCTACGGCCCCCGATCAGTGCTGATGAGATCACTAACCCACAGTGCCTTTTCTCCCAGGACTGCACAGTCGTTGTGCGTCCTCCATTTGCAAACATCCGCTCGTTTACCCTGGACGGCGTTTATGGGCCGAATGTCACCAGCGTAGACGTGCATGACTCTTCACTGGGACCGCTGGTCGCTGACTTTCTTGATGGCTATTCATGCACATGCTTTGTGTACGGCCAGACGGGGTCCGGCAAGACACACACCATGGGGTTCGAAGCCGACACTCCTGCTTTGTCAGAGGACAGGGCCAGCCTGAAAGAGGAGGGTGTTTGCGGCATCTTCTTCAATAGGCTCTTTCACAAGCTACAGTATGGTCCCCAGAAGCACAACTTTGCCACCTCGCAGCTGCTGCTTTCGATGGTGCAGATTTATAATGATGAATTGGAAGACTTGCTACTTCCTCGCAGGAGGATTAGTCTTCGTGAAGCAGGAGGGTTCTTTTACATATCAAATGCTACGTGTGTTTCAGTTTCCACAGCTGCCGATGCTATGGCAGTTGTTAGAGTGGGGCTGCAAAACAGGACAACCGCGCCTACAATGATGAACAAGTCATCCTCGCGATCGCACACAGTTCTCTGCGTCGCACTCTGTAAGCGCGCCCTAGGAGATAAGCAATCTTCTCAGCTGTTCATTACTAGCGCAGAATACTTGAAAAACACCACTGAAGAATTCTCTGGAACTACTCAAGGGGCCTGTTACAGGGCTCCAAGAGCAAATAGTGCAGCTCCAGCTTTAGCCAAAGAGCGAAGGAAGTCTAACATACCACGGCTAGAAAAACAGAACAGTGCGATATTACGTCCTTTGGACGAGCTACACGTCTCTACAAGCACAACCAGGAGTTTCCAAACATATGCTAAGACACTGGCAAGGACACAGTTTGATGCGCCTGCCTTCGAAGCAATCTTTTACCTCTGTGATCTAGCGGGTAGCGAACGAGTTAAGGCGAGCAAATCAGACGGGGTTCGGCTCTCTGAGGCCACCCATATTAACCAGTCCCTCTCTGCTCTCGGCAACGTTGTAAGTGCACTGTCAAAGCAAGCTTTAGGAAAGAAGATATCCCATGTACCGTACAGAGACTCACTGCTGACGAAGCTTCTAAAGCCCTCTTTGGCTGGTGAAAGCAGGATGGTAGCGATAGTAACATTATCTCCAGACCTAGCATCTCTACCAGAGACCTTGTCAACGCTTGCGTTTGCAGAGCGGTGCAAGAGCCTTCCAGACCGGAGCAGGCCTAAAAGCTTTGCCACGGACATAGAGTCTGTGTCTGGCTGTGACTCTTCAATGGAGGTCAATAGCCGTGCCATCGCGGAAGCATATTTGTCCTCGATTGGCATATCTCTGACTAAGCTTGAAAAGCATTTGCCAGATGTTTTACTTCTCCTAAACAAAGACAGTTCCTCTCAGGAGTCTCACGAGACGATAGCCATCTTGGCTGGCGAGAATGCACGGCTCCGGGCGTGCATTGGATCCCTCGTGGAGCCGTCTGCGTTGCCAAAAGCCCATGCACCAGATACCAGAAAATCAAGCGCCTCTGGGAATTCTCGCACTAAATGCTCAACTCACGTCGAGGAATCCCTTTACTCTTTACTCGTCAATCAATGTTTTTATATAGATAACCTTTACCAGCAAGTCACTGCATCACTCCTTCACACGCGGACAGGGTTGGTCCTACAGCAGATTGCTGCATCATACGCAAAGCTTTGCATCCACACGAGTGAAGAGGAAAGAAAAAGTATGTTAGTCATTGACTCAAAGTCTAACAAAGGACAGATACCAGAGGATAGATTTGTAGAGGCTGTAATGAAATCAGAATTGCTATGCGAGAGCATGCAAATGCTATACGATCAAGGTAATGATGCCACTCATCTTCTTCTGGATAAGATATTAGTTGCACATGCTGACAGGCTCCACAGAGAGTGGACCTCCTTGGCAAAAAGGACGATAGTCCCGCCGTTTTCTTACTTTCGGGACCCAGAAAGGCTGGTTAAATTCACGACCGAGCTATTTGATGTCGCATCAAAAGAGCTAGATCGTATGGAAAGGATATTCGCCGGAAAACAAGCAGAAATAGACTTTGTGACAGCTTATGCCAACATGGCTCTTGTGCAAAGGAAGAAGACCACACTCAGGACCAGTTCCAGGCCAACACAGAGTAGCACGTCTGAAGGCATAGATACCTCGGTTATCAGCACATCTTATCCTCTGTCTCCTCCATCCTCCCCAAGCTTCCAGGGAGCAGCGTCCTTATCTTGGCTGGCTGACCTACCACCCAGACCAGACAGCACAGGCTCAAATAGTGCCTTTTAGACCAACCAATCAGCACCTATGTGCAGTTATGTGTTGCAAGAACCACAATCAGGTTGAAAAATATGACCAGCGTGAGGGCCAAGACAGCAGTTACGGTAATATAGTCGGCCCAGACAATGTGACGTAAATTCGAGAGCGTCCTAGCAGACTCCGACTCTATAACCGCTGCAAGCCCGTCGTTTATATCATCTATAGTCATGGCGACGTCGCGGTATTCTTGCCGCATCCTTGCGGCCTCGCTAGATGTTATATAGGTTGAGGTGTTGATAGATTTGGTCAGCCCATCGATGGAGCTTCTTACGTCTGCAAACTGTCGCAGAATATGATCTTCAATGAGATCGAGCTTGGTGTTGGTCTCCGGAAGATAATGCTGCAGGGTCTGGAACGAGTGCGGTGGAAATCTGAGAGTGTGGAAGGACTCTGGGACATTGCTCTGGGCCGGCTGTGTACAGATTTGATCTATAGCTAACGATATCTCCGTTAGAGGTTTGCCTTGCAGGCCTGTTTCTTCATTAGCTAGCCCGGGACATATGTTGAGCAAATCCTTTTCCTTGACCAATGCATCAATTACGTTGTCGTTTTCATCGTTGAACACGATCAGAGCACTTTCCTCAAGACGTCCGGAGTCCCGTCTGCTAGCAGCTGCCAGCGACCTCTTTGATGCTTTTGTAATAATACCAGAGATTACAGGGGCCTTCTTCTCCAGCAACTTGGACACTCCTTGTACTATCTCTTGCGGAGAGCAACCTGGATTGTCCTCCTCCGTCAGTACTGTGGGGCTAGCGCGCAGAGGAAGCATATTCTCCAACCGAGTGGCCTCAGAAATCGGCATTTGCTGGGAGTGGTTTCTGTGAGGGTCGTCCAGAAGGATGCTCTTGAAGTCACAGCAGAGCGCCTCTGCAAAACGCAACTGCTCTTCTGCAAAGGTCTCCATGTGGATTGTAAACTGCTTTGTTATAAGCTCCTGAAACCCCTCTTTGAGGTCAGGAAAAACAGAGTCGACAAATGCTTGCAACACGCCTGAGACCAAGCCTGGCTGTTGATCATACAGAGTAGTTTGCTCTCGCGGTATCTGAGAAAGCACCGCATCACGGTACTGATCTAGTCGTGCTTGAATCTTTAAAGCAACTTCTTGAGCAATTCCTTCAACAAGAGACGCGTCCCAGTGCTGTATCATGGAGTCCATCGATGAATGTGAGGCAGAGGGCTTCCCGGACAGGTTCGCCGGGTGGACAAAGGCCTCTAGGTTTTGGGTGAGGAGCTCCTTCAGGTTGTGCATATTACGTGCCAGCTCAAGCTGAAGCTGAGAAAGACGCTGCTCTATGTGTGTTGATACACCTTCAATGACCTTACCTTGTACATCGGACAAGATAAGGGACAGCTCACTTGTTTGTGCTGCAATGACGCTAGCTAGATCGGTAGGCATCAGTCTGTCGCCCACTGTGCTTTCGGAATCGGTCCTCTCTACCTTTACCACTTCCCTCTTAATTTCGTCCAGCTTAGCTATGAGAGACTCAGAACTGGCAGCCATGATATCCCTTATCACCTCCTTAAGCTCTATCCTCGATTGCACACGACTTTCGGAAAAAACGGTATCGAAGACTTGCTTTTCCAGGCCATCGGAGCTACTTGCCTGTTGGCCACATGTGGAAGGTATAGGTATAGATGCAAAAAGATGCTCAATGTAGTCTTTAACGGTATCTGCTAACTTGGCATTGATGGATCCCACCCTCTTCTCTAATGTGGTGATAACGACATCCTGAGTAGAAGAAAGATGTGACTGTACAGACTCGAAGCTGGAGGTCAAGACTTTAAGGATACTGGCATCTTTTTCCTCCAGCTGCTTGAATGCCGTATTTTGTCCCTCCAAAATACGCTCTGTTGCAGTCAGAATCTTAGCCACACGCTCCTTGAGCGTCGCATTCGATCGTCTATCTCCTACGTTCATATCTACCAGACCTGTTTCGTCAGAGACAAAGTTATCGGCCGGCCCAGACAACGGAGCAGGTACAATGGCTGTGTGGAGGTCTTGAAGCATCCCTCTGAGAACAATGAGGGGTTCATGAAGGGTGGCCTGGAGTGACTGAAGCTCTGCGGATGAGATGGATGGAGTCCGCTGCGGCAGAGAGACGACACTGGCAGCATCAGTCATCAGGCCCTTGATCCGCTCATTGAGCTGGGCTATTTCGTAGTCCTTATCTAAGACAAGCTTCTTGAGCTCTCCTATCTGTTTATCTGCCTTGCTTAACTGTGTAGACAGATCTGAGTTCTTTGTCTTAAGCTCATTGAAGGTAGCTATGTTAAAGCCCTGGGGATGGGTAGAGCCAGCAATACTACTGAATACATGTGTGTTCGACCCCAAAAGGCTTGCAATAGAGGGGGCGGGATCGAAGGAGTTGGAAGGCTGCGCACCAAGAATCTCACTCCGACGCCGCGTAATTGCCTTTAATTCCCCGGTGAGCCTCCTGAGTGTCGAGCCTTGCTGTCTAGCCTGAGTATCCTGGGTTTCTGTGCGGATGGACCTTACGTTGTTCTGGGCCAGCTGGCTGACGGCACAATTGACAATCCCATTGATGCTTATTCTCCCAGTGTCATCTACGTAATCCTTGAGTGCGTCAAACGGAAGATTGACCAAGGAGCTGACATCTGCGACGTTAACTGTGTCGTCGTCTGCAACATTCAACTGCTTCTTAATGCAATTGTAGAGCATGTCGGCCATCTGGTTAATATGGAGGAACCCCTCCTGACTTTGCACATCGTCCAAGGCCCCAGCGGCTCCAAAATCCATACTAAAAAATGGATGACAGTAATCATATTAAATTGCATTGCATGTGGGGAAAAAAGTCCTAGCAACCCGTGATTTGCAACGCTTAGTCCGTGTTTCGGAGTGTCTTGCACGCTGATGAGTGAAAGCACACATGAGGTTCCTTTAATAAAATGCAGAGGCAGCTCGCAGGGCTGGCTTTGACGGACGTGAGCGGCGCAGCTATCTACGCCCAGTGCTACGACCCTCTCCTCGCCGAAGGCTACCTCTCGTCCTTTCTCCCGGCGCTGCATGCCGCCACCCTGGACTCGATTAGCACGTCCAGCCAGCTCCACTATTGCCCCTACCCGTGCATCTACAGAAAGCTTGGCGGGCTGTTCCTCTTTGTGATCGGCGCGGAAGCGGAGAATGAGATGCTTCTCTGCGATATCGCCTCCACGGTTGTAGAGGCGTTGGTGGGCATACTTGGTGAGCGCCTCTCCCTAGCGGCGTGCAAGGAGCAGTATGCATCTATCTGCATAACTCTTGGGGAAATTGTGGACAATGGGTTTTACCTTTCTGATAACCCAGCTGGCCCGCAAGTGAGTGAGAGGTCCTTCAAGCAAACCTTGAGCGACGGCGCCCGCTTTCTTCTCGGAGCACTCATGAACTGATAGCCTGTCTCACACTGAGTGCGGCGGCAAAGCAGTAAACCACCAGGGCGAGACCCCCAGCATCACGCCACAAGCCCGCCTGACTATTTACTCGTAGGTTACCGTCGCGTTGGGGTTCCCGTACAAGCGCTCGTACTTCGGTGTTGCGCGGTCGCCCACGTCGATATTGTCATAGAAAACACGCACCTTGTGGCCCATAAGCTGGCCCGGGAGGTTTGTGTAGAAGCGCGCACGGACCATGCCGGAGTTGCCGTGCGGGCGGCAGATTTTGCCGAAAATGGGCTTGCCGCTCTTGGAGTGGATTATTGCAATGAGTCTCCCGAGCACCTTGTCTGTCTCTGCGCGTGTATAGATCCCACTGACCTTGACAAGAGCGACATTTTCGCGCTGCTTGGCCCTACTTCGCTGGTACCCGACAAATATCGCCGGCAAAAATGTCTTGCCCTTGATCTCCTCCATCTCGCCCGGGTCTGTTTTATTGGAGCAGATTCAAAATTAATTTTGTTTATTTTCCAGGACTACGCAGGATGTGAACTGGCGTCTGGAAGCCGGGTTCGTCCCCTAAGCACTCAACGGGCTCTACAGCAAATCGTGTTCAATGTTTTAAAATGGAGCCCCCTACAGCACAGCTGATCGACGAGCAAGAGGTGGTATTTGAGCCAGAACCAGCAAAAGACGCTTTTGATCGCGGAATAGCGTTCAAAGAGGCAGGAAATAGCGCCCTGAAGACGGGGAGGTACAAGGAAGCAGCAGAACATTATCGAGAGGCCCTAGCCATATTTTCCGGACGAACCACCGAGCGTGCAAACTGTCTGTCGAACTACGCGGCCGCCTGTGTTCGCCTGGGCGAACTGGATGAGGCAGAGCGATCACTTCGGGAGGCAATTGACATAAATCCGCGTCATATCAATGCGCGTCTGCGTGTCGCGCGTGTCTTTGCCGCCAGAGAAAAGTACATCTTGGCAGCTAGTGAATGGAGTGTGGTGACGCAGCTCCGGCCTTTGACAGACGCCGAAGCCGCGGAGAGGGACGCATGCAACAAGAAGGCAATGGACGCAGGTATCACTACAATGAAATCCTGGGGCAATAAACTTCTTGGGAAGATAGGGCTCTCCCTGGATAATTTCAAGCTGGCCAAAAACGCCGATGGCTCGTTTAATATCAGTATGCAAAAATGACTGGTGCAATTCTGCAACGCGCCAAGGCCTATGAAGCAGTCGTTGTTGCAGAGCTGCGCGAGATTGACAAGGACACAAAATACCTGCAAACCTGCCAGCGGAAGTATGGCGATATTATGAATGGCCCCATTGAGCATCTACAGCGGGAATTTGAGGCCAGGAAGGTTCTTCTTAAACTGCTGCATAAGACAGTTACCCTCATTAAAGACTCCCCGTTGCGCGCACAGGAGATCTGGGCCAAGTTCGAGACTGCCTCCAAAGAGCTCTACTAATACATGCAGGCAAACACATTTGCGCATGGAAAAGCTGGGGTGTGTTTACAGGTTGGAGGCACTAGATTAGTGTGTGCTGGGCATAGAGCCTAGAGCGTCACTTCTGCGACAAAAAGGAGCACCATAAAAAGAACAGCCAGAGCCATTGCGGTCGCTGTCGACACAAGCAAGAGCGGCAGGCAAGCAAGCACTCTCTTGCGAGGCTCCTGGGGTATCCCCACTGCCACGTAGATACAAACGAGTACTATACATAAAGAGAAGCTGGCGAGGACAAGCTGCTTGGAGGTCAACGGTATTTCTAATCCAGGGCGGATGGGATGTACTGTATAGCCCAAAGAGGACAGGCTCTGCGGGGCATTGTGTGTGGTTATTCTCATGAATATAAATTGATTCCACTTTTTGGCTTGGGAAAAAAGCCCCTTCGTCATGACTGCGAATAAGACGCTCAGTAGGAAGTTGAGGCTCGCGAAGAAGACAAAGACGAACAAGAACATCCCGCGCTGGGTCATCGCAAAGGATCATCTCAAGAAGACGTGGAATTACAAGAGACACCACTGGAGGAGGTCTCACCTCAAGCTCTGATTCTGCAGCATTTTGCCTCGATTTCACAGTGCTCTCCGTCGAGCTGGCGACACTAGTGCAGTGAATTTTGCTGATTACTTCTTTATTGTGCGCAGAAATGCGTCGATGGGTCCGGTCCCGGGTGCCTCTTTGGTTTGGCGCTTCACTTTTGTTTGGCGCGCTCCTTGTCTAGCGTCCTTAGTTGCAGATACGGCCATTGGTGGGCATGAGGCCTTTGGGGCCCCCAGATCTTGCCTGAGCTTCTGGATTGTGGTTTGGTCAAACAGTTGTGCACAAAAGTCGATGGCTCTGTCGAGTGTCTTTAGAGCATCGGTAGCTGATAGAGCAATGATCCGCTCCTTGCAGTGCTGCAAGTACGTGTCTTCTCTGAACTGATGAGCCAATTCTCCGTCAAACGTTCGACTAACGAGTCCTGGACACTGCTGAAGGGGAATGCCTGTAAGAATGCTTGCCAGCGCCGGATCCCTATCTTCAAGCGTCAGCCTTATGTCTTCCTCTGTGTGCATACTATCGGACATTTCTCGCAAAGTTGGGACGGCGTAGTGCCACGGATTGACGGGAACATAGAAGTCGGCCCTTGAAGGGCAGTTGGTAAATATCGAGTCAGAGAGAACCCCGAGCCGTTTGACTCCGCGGGCGTGCGCCCAAAAGAGATCTAGCTTAAGTCGAAGATACACCTCGTCGTCTTTCCTTGCAAGTACCACCTGCCGTTGTGGACCGTGGTCAAGCGTGCAGCTGCTCTGGGGTCCCTTAGAGAGGCCGCGAGGCTGAATGCTGAGGAGCATCATGAGCTGACGATCGGCTAAAAGCTTACAGCTTATTTACTGAGAGTGGCGTCCGCGTGTTATGGACAGCTTCGAAGATACGTTCGCACATCCTCAACCCGACTCAGATGGATCATGGTCTCTTCAATGGCCTTGAGGAACGTATCCGATTTGTCATCGTAGAAGGCCACGGCCAAAATACCGTTTTCCGGCTGAAACATATAAGAGGCTGCACAGTTGTCGAGAATAATGACAGATTCTATTGGTCTCCCGAGTATGCTCATATCTTTTACAAATACACCGTTGGATTGAATGCATGAATCACGGTAGAGGCGATGCACACAGAGCCCATTGGGGTCAAGTTTCTCCATAACCGCATCACAGTATACTCGGAGAGAAGCGGTGAAGATCGCCAGCTCATAATACTTTGCCATGGTTTCCAGGAATTCGTCGACATAGGGCCGCTTATACACATAAACCTGGTGGCTTATTGTCGCCTTGCTCACGGGGTCCTCTATGGACAAAGGTATTATCATGTCTGCGTTGTCTACCTTGTTGAAAGAGCTGTGAACTAGTGTCTCGTCTAGGTCTAAGACTAATAGCTTTTTGTTATACTGATCTTCTGTTGGCGGCGGTAGTAACGCATCAGGCCCTGGAGCCCAGTTCTCTACTTTGGTAAAGTACATTCTCTTTGGAGGAGGCTTTGGGGTGCTCTCCTTAGTACTGAGTCTATCTGCTCCCTCGCTTCCAGGTGACATTGCCGGGGATGGAACAGGAGACGTTGCTTCAGAACCAAGTCTCGAGCCTTGGCCGCCAGAAGGCGAAGCGTCTGAGACTGGCTTTCCATCTGTTTGAGGAGTTGAGGAGACAAGGTTGTTGGGTGAACTGTCAGCCGCTTTCCGGGCGACTGCAATTGTAGCTGCTGGAGTGAGGTCATCAGTGGATCTCCGCTTCCGTGAGAACCTCTTACTAGACTCAAGGTTATCGGTAGCTGCAGTGTGAGGTTTATCTGGTACAGCATATTTGCTAACATCAGATGTAACTGTTTTAGGAGATAATGAGATTTGCCGGTCAAGGATCTGGTCACTCTCGATAGGAATAGTGTCGTTCATCATGGTGTCTTCGATTGTGGTGGCTAAAGTTCTAACATTCTGTAATTCAACGGCGTTTTCTGTGGTTTTAGTGTTGGATTGTGCTTCCCTGGTGACTGACTCCTTCTTCTGCTTTGGTTTAGACCCACAACATCCCCCAAACGCGGTCTTCGTCTTCTTTACTTTTGATGTGTCAGTAATAGTGGGAGCAGCCTGTGGTGGAGCAGGAGGAGTTGGCATTGTCTCTCCCTGCTTTACCTGAGTGATAATAGAACTAAGATCGACCATAGCTATAATTTGAATTTTTGAGTGTCCGGGTAAAGATTGTGCCGAAAGTTAGCATTTGCAAATTCACTTCGCCACAACACGCTCTACTTATCTGTATGTCAGAGGGCCCAAAGGATTTAACGGGTAACAACCTTCAGTCTTGAGACTACCCCATCGCCCGTTGCCGCTCTTCGTTAAGCTGTCTAAAGAAGTTGGCCACAAAAACATATAGCTGATCGCGAGGCGGCTTATGCTCGAGCACGCTCATATATAGCAGCTCAATGACCTGCTCAACCTCCGGATGCGTCTTCAGATAATCCACATCGCTTATCTTAGCCTGGACCTTCTTTCCTCGTAGCTCAGCTATCTCGTTATTAGTGAAGTAGCCTCCACTGGTGGCATTCTGAATCAAATCCATCGGATTCTTCTTTATTTTTCCGATGCCCTACTAGCAGCTCTGCTAGTGCCGTCACAACCTGCTCTACTGTCTCTCCAGAGCGGAGTTCACTGGGTACTGTAAGGGTGACTCTTGGTTGGCTCAGTATTATGGGTTTGACCGCGTCTTTCTTTGTTCATCATCTACATTAAAATGATATCTCTATCCTTTGAGGAGCGAGCCTATGACCTGTCTGATCTGCTAGCTTCACAGCGTGAAAGCTTAGTAACGGCCCTTAGCAATGTCCCAGAAAGCAACCGTGTCTTTCTACTCGACGAGAAGCTCCGCGACCCTCTTTCTCTTATTGCAGGTGACCTCTTTAAGGATAACGAGGTCACGTTCTTGTCTACAGCCATGAAGCCCAATCCAAAGACAGATATAAACCTGGTAATCGTTTTTGATGGCGCTAATGTACTGGATGCCATATCTGGCGCCAAGATGTTCCTGAAGGCCCGCCCAAGCATCGCCTTGCACTTCCTAGTGACTCCGGCATGCGATCAATATGTCGAGCAGCTCATATGCGACACGGGCTTATCCGATCAGGTACATACGCTCGAGGCATTCTCCTACAACTCCGTCTTCCTGGACACCGATGTCATAACGCTTAATCTGCGCTATGGCTTTAATCACATGCTCTACCAGAAAAGCATGATTGCAGTGCAGCGCTCAGCCCAGGCCCTTCTTCAGATTGTTAACACAACCGGCCTTTTCAGAAACATTTACGCTAGGGGCCTCGAGGGTGTTCGATGCCTTCGCTCATTCTTGGCAGAGCTGAAGTCCAGACCTGCTCAATTACTGGAGGGGGCCCATAATCGACAACCGCCTTTTGAACACGTATTCCTCATAGATAGAGGCATAGATCTTCTATCTCTAACCCTTGATCCATGGACATACGAAGCCCTGCTGGCAGAAACCTTTTCTCTTCACAACTCTGCTCTCCAGACTGATAAGGATTCTGGCATAACCTATCTAAACTCTTTGGACCCCGTTTACAGGAGATTGCGAGCTACACACATATCAAAAATAAAAGACAAGATAGATAAGATACTGGAGGAGCTCAAGGAGGTGGAACAGGAGAAGGAGCAAGCAATAGCAGGGCGTGACAATCTTTCTCTTCAGCAGATCCGCTTGATTAGAGAGAAGTCCATTGTAGCGGAAAGGAATCAAAAGTTCACTGAATGCCACGTTGGGTTAGCTAATAGCATTTTGAAATTTATGAGCTATGACCTCGGGCAAGCTTTTGTCTTAAAACGTGATCTCTTTCGGGAAGGTGTTCTTTCCAAGCGGGTGCTAGACCACCTGCTTCTGCGAATTATGGAGAACGCGCCACTTGTCGAGATCGTCCAGTTCTACTTATTGATCCTGATCACCTCACAGCCAAAGCCCAAGGACCTCCAGATCATTCGTTCCAACATAAGCGCCCGCTATGGGGTTAGTGCCGACTTTCTTTTTGATACACTTGATGGGTCTGGATTGCTGCCTGCTCTCACGTCCAAATCATGGTTCAAGGACCTCCGTACTGCCTACACTCTTTGGTATGATGAAGACGAGCACTCAGAACGGACCCACGGCGTGTCTGTTACTCACTACCGAGACATCTCCGATGTCTTCAATAGCCGAGCACCTCTTTCTGTGCGGATGGTTGAGAGAGAACTCAAGGCCATTTTGTCCTCTGGTTCCGGAGAAAATGCACTCAAGGGCATTGCTAGAGGAGGACCCAGTGCTGATCCTGCCCTAGAAAGCACCTCAGACGCTTCTAACAGTTATCCATATGTCCCCGCGACCCGCGTCTGGGGAATCAAAAGACCTTTGGAGGCATGGAGCGGCAGCGTAGGAGAGGATGTACGTCTCCACAATGACCTAATAGGCGAACAGCAGAGCTCCTCAGTGCTCGTGGTCTTTATTGGCGGGGTGACGTATGCCGAGTTGGCTGCCCTTTCTATTCTTGAAGAGCAGCTTGTTATGCAGTATGGCCCGAGCGTCGGCATCCTGACTATTGGTACAGATGTAGCAAGTGGTCGTGAAATCCTGGAAAGCCTCGTTGAAAAGACACATAAAACTGCTGATGGCAGAAAGTGATAATTTACTAACTAGAATCTATTTTCAAAGAGAAGTCACTCGACAAACTTCACCCTGGAAAGATTATCAACTGTGCAGAGCCTACAACGGGTTAAAAAGTCGGCAACAGACTCTCCTGGTATCCTTGTTATACTCAAGAGCATTGCAAAGGCCTCTCGAGCATATTTCCTAGCCGATTCAGAGCTATCTCCTATCAACCTTAATAGCGTTTCAACATATATCTCTGTGGAGCTGCGGAAATGGGAAACTACCTGAGAATCCTCTGCAAATTCCTTGAAGATGATTGTAAATAGTTGTGCGACTCGAAGCCGCACGCCTGGAGACTTGTGTCTAGACTCCTTCTGCAGATGTGGCACGAGTTTGAGGGGCTGCGTGAGCGATACGATGACGTGTAGCGCCCGGTCTCCAGCTGTGGAGATGAAGTCGGCCTGGGACGCGGACCCAACACGAAGAAGCAAGGGGGTGAATATCCTATCTGCGTAGTGCAGCAAGGCAGGGTGCTTGGTAAGAAAGATCGGAACCAAAGTTTCGATAGCGTGCTTGATTACCTTAGACCGTGGGGAAGACAATACCGTAACGTACGATGCAATGATTGTCTGGATTTCTATGTTATCCGTTGTAGTAGACAGAGCAGAGAAAAAACTAATACATTTTGTAATGGCATCTATCTGCCGTTGCCAATCATCAGAGGATAGCCCGCTAAGGATTTCTTCACTGCTTGGCCGAGGATGAGAAAGAGCCGTGTTTGTGTCAACTATGGCTGTAGAAGACGTGTCTTCTCCAACACAATACGACGTAATATTTAGATACCGGGGAGTTAAGGTGCACGACTTAGTGTCTGCGGATCCATCTTCATCCCCGAGCTTCCCAATAAATACGTATGAGTCCATGCACTCGTCAATATTATCTGTGAGAAGTGAGGTGGATTGATCTGGGTCTATGAGGGCTCTATAGTCACTTAGTTGTCGGGTGCTTCCTTTCAACAAATGAATAACGGACTGCTTCGAAGAAGTAAATGTCCCTGTGTCTGGATCATCGTTTGCAATAGAGTTATGCGCAAAAGATGCTCCAGACAGCTGGGTGGAGTCTATCACGGGAAAACGTTCAATAGAATACTGCCGCTGCTCTGCCAGCCTTGTGTGAGTATGCTCTGCACTATTCATAAGAGGCGGCTCAGTTATGCTATCATTTAGAGCGCCTGTAATAGAAGAGATATGCGGGACAGAGCAAGATGAACTGTATGCAGCCGTTAACGCGGGATTCGTTGTGGCGGTGTCAGCTACCTGCTGAGCAAATTCTGCGTTGTCAGACTCGTTGATTGTGAGCAGAGTTGTCCCCAGATGAATAGGTAGATCCATGTCTATGGAGGAGCAACGATCACCAGATAACCGACCATTTTCTAATAGAGGAAACTGTATGGAGTTATCTATGCTTATATCGCCTATAGTTTGGCCAGTGCTGAGGCGTAGCCGAGGGCTGTTAAGTTGACCTGCTGGTGAGCAAGAAGACAGTTTGCCACTGGATGTATGGCTTTGTTTGGATGCTGTACCTTGGTACTCGTCACAAGTATCCTCAAAGACAGTAATAGGAGGGAGCTGAATGAGTTGGCAGACAGGGGTTTCAACCTTAGGCGAAGCCTTACCATTAGAATCTGCAAGACTTCCTGCAGGTGAAACAGACGTATTAGAAGCATCCTCCACTGAAGGTGCTCTCCCACGAGAGTCATTGTGCAACACAAGCTGGGGGAAGTGGTTGAGGCAGAGCTTACGCATCGGCCGTTTATGTATTGGGCTCGCCTCCACACTTAGAACAGGTTTTGCCCGCGAAGCATTACTTCCGCGAGAGTTTGGCAAAGAACTAGCAATATCCTGGTAGATTTCGGTATCGTCTAGATCCTCATCGGTAATACTGAAGTGCTCCGAAGCCCTCCCTGTTTCTAAGAATGCGTTAGCTGACTTGAACTGCCGGTCGACGGGACCAGGGGGATCGTGCACTGAGGCCTTAGGGTGTGCACTGGCGCTATCAGAGCTCTTCCGGTGACTTTTCGGGCCTGGTATGGCACTGCCAGGGGGACATGCACGCCTAAGGACCCGGGAGTGAGGCACTGAATGGGGATTCTTGGTATACTTGTCGAGATCGACTGACGCCAGGGGACTATCATCGACGTCCTCCGAGCCTTTGAGTACGGAGTATTGCGAGAAATCTGGAGTAGCGTTGCGAGCCATTTCGTGTAGAGTGTCGCTGATCCTGGGCAGTACCTGGTTTATTAAAGAGTTTTCATGTGGCGGTAGAGCTGATTGCTTGGATCTCCCCTCTGCTGAAGGGACATGGCACAATATAGCACTTGCCACGTGACTACCAAGCACATCCCCGTGAACTATAGATTTGTGCGCAAATTGTGGAGTGGCCTTTGACACTAGAGGCACGTTAGTCAAAAACGGAGAGTTGCGCACTCTAAGCGCCCTGTAGCTGGACGGATCCTCGCTTCTAGTGCTGCCGGTGCCAAGAGGTAAAACCCGACTCCGAGGTTGGGCTTGTGTGTCACATAGTTGGTCAAGCCCAAATGGCATTTTTAAATCCGTCCAAATCTCTCGAGTTCATTGAATGTATTATCTGCTAGTTACCGGCTATAGCTAACAAAACAGTGCACAGCCGTACGCCAAAATCTTCGTTCATGCACTTTAAGAGCTTGCACAGTGCGCGAAGGGAAAAAATTTAAACGTTGAATGCAAGAACGTATATACTGCTCCGAACAGATAACCATACCGAACCAACTGCCGCAGATCATTAAGGAATACTCAAAAGTGGTGTTGCGTGAGCAGCCGAGCGATTTAATAGAGTTTTCTATCAAATACTTCAAGCAACTGAGCGCCTTGCGACCGAACAGCGTTTCCCACGAGTCCTTCAGCCCCGACCTAAAACTCGTATCGGGGATGTATCGAGACCTTTCGGATAACGTCAATCTCGAAGCAGCTGTTGAAAAATACCTAATCCCTCAGCCCGTTCATCATTCGATCAACTCTATGCTTCAAATGGCACATCTAGAACCCGATGCGCTGACGTATACTATTCTTTTACTGAGCCTAGCATACAGCTCAATGGGCAAGGTAGTAGAGTCTGTGATGGCTGTCACAAGTCCTACACATAACGGTGAGATTCGGGCTACCCTTCTTATGCAGATTTTTGAGGTCCTAAGCAGGTTTGATCCTCGTGTAGAGATAGACGTGCTTGAGGCATGCACGGGCTGGGTCAAGACACTCGTGCAGTTCGAAGGAGATAATCCTATTGTCTCCTATCCAATGGTTGTGAAGGCCGGCTTCCTTGGTGATAAAATAGGCGACAAGTAAATTTTCAAAGCTTACTACCGAGCCTTTCAAAGATGCTCACGAAGCTTGCCCTCCAGCATTTTGTGGATGACCAGTGGGCGATGTTTCCGCCGGTAATCACGGAGTTTGCGCGGGTTACCATGCAGAACTTCACCGAGCTGTCTTCCTGGTTTACATCCGAACAGAACTACCTTAAGACAAATTATCAAACGATTCGAGACGCTCAGCAGATAGTGCAGAACACAGACCGCTTTCTGAGCTCGGGAAGGGAGGATCTAGCCTCGTTCAAGGAGCAGATTGATCGCCGAGTGAAGACCTTAGAAACAGACATGGAGTTTAAGCTGGCTTCTCTGCAGGAGCGACAGCGTCAGATAGAGGAGCAAATGAAACAGATTAAGGCAGGAGTCGAGCAGCAGATAGAGCTCATGAACAACTCCATCCTTGAAAGCATTGGGCCCAAGTTTGCTGAGATTCAACGGCAGATTGACAGTGCTTGTGTCGGAGACATTTCAGGTGCAGCAGCCGATAGGATCGCATCCCTAGAAAAGCGCTATGCAGACCTTCTCGCCGACTTGTTCACTCGTTCTGACGGATTCGCCACCCAATTCGACACGCTTTACAAAGAGTACGTTCAGTCCACCGCAGCGTTCTCTGAACTGACAGAGGCGTTCAAGCTGGATCTCACCTCTCAGACAAGCATCATACGAAAGTGTGAGGCAGACTTTCTAGAGGTATCTCAGAAAATGGACGCCGAAAGGGCACGCATTCCCGCTCTTGCTAGTCAGATAGAAGCACTAACTGAGAGAGTGGTTGCTGCGGAGGACAAATATCCCGTCTTGGAGGCATTGGAGCTCGGCATGAAGACACTCGAGACTATCATGATCCAGCAGGACAGCGAAGACAAGAGCCTAGGAAATAGCTATAAGCAGCTCTGCGTGAAGTACGACAGCATGAAGCTCTTTCTAGAAACCGAAGCCCGCTCTTTGCGTGATGAGATGGGAGATTGCGAGGAGGCAACCTTGCATTCCTGCGAGGAGATGCGGGCAGCAGTGGCCCAGCTTGCAGATTCAGTGCAGGACCTTGAGGAGGATCTGCTATTCCAAATCAATAACTGCAAGAGCCTTCTCGTTGGCACCAATGTTTACAAGGAGTACGAAGTGTTTCGCCAAAAGTCATACGATGAGCTCGTTGTGGACAGTCAGAGGAATGCAACTTTTGCGTTCTTGAGTCCTTTGGAGATGCGACTGCACAGGGTAGAGAATCTGCTCATTGACCACATGGCTCAGCCAGGACACGGCAGAGAAAAACCACCACAAAGAGCATGACTTACGGAGCCACCACCTTTATGTCGTAGCCAAGGCGCTGTAGCTCCTGGCGTTGGCGTTCAAAATCGAGACTGTACAGCTTCAGGAGTTTCTCGCGTCTGCACACTACGTTTGCTTGCTTAACTGCTTGTCTTATTTGGTCTAGCTCCTTGCGCGCAGCAAGAACCTCACTTCCAAGCTTGTCCTTAGAGTCAAAGTCTGCGCGGTGCTGCACCTTGCGGATCTCCTTCAGATTATTTTCGTGCCACCTCTGTATGCCTTCGGCGTCAACCCTGTCGCGGATGGACTTCGGATCCTGCCACGGGTTCCTATCTAGCCTATTAATCGGAGGCATCGGTCAAATTTAAAGTTTTACTTCAGAACCTACCAGCTGCTATAGCCGCCGCCATAGCTGTTGTAGCCACCGCTGCTATAGTTGTCATAGCCGCTGTTATAGTTATCGTAGCCACTGTTGTAGCTATCATAGTTGTTTGTATTATTGTAGTCATTAGCCACGTCATACACGTCATAGTCACTCTGCTGCGTTGGCTTTACGCCGGCTAGCATGTCCAGCTCGCCCATGTACTTGTCGGCGGAGGAAGTAAACGCGCTGGCGTTGAAGCCGCCCATCTTCAGCCTGGCCATGCGGGCCACTGGGTCGTCCTCCTGTTCATCTGCATCGAGGATGCTCTTCTTGACAGTGTAGGACGCTTCTGGCGCAGACTGCATGAGGGTAAGAGCAACCTCCAGAGGATCCTTCCCAGCAACGTCTGACACTGTCTCCTCGATGACTGGCGGCTTGACCTCCTCGACCTTCGGCGTTGGCTCGGCTGGCTTTGAGGCTTCAGCTGGTGGCTCCTCCACGGGTTTATCATCAGCTGGCTTGTGCCCTGCAGATGAGGATGCGGGCTCTGATGGAGCCGGCGGCGCTGGAGTGGGAGCAGAGGCTGGTGTCTGTGCGTGGGCACCACCCCTCATGGACTTATGAAGCTGCCTATCAGACTCAACCTGAGCACGGAGATTCTTCATCACAACTTCGTCCTGACCCTGGTAGAACACATCGCCCCCCTTAGTGGGCAGGGATGCTAAGCTTGCCGCAGGATCCTTATTGAGAACAACGTCGTCGGCGGCAAATCCAAAGACCTTCTGCGGCTCGCGTGCTGTTGATATCGAGGTGTACTTGCCCCGGAAAGTGCAGAGCGCCCCTTGCTTGACCTCTGGGAGCTTCGCAGCCATGGCTGGCTGGAAAGTAACTAGAACATCGAACGGCGCCTTCTCATCTATGCGGGGGTTGCACTTGACCTTGGCGTTCTGAGGAGACACCTCTATAACCTGACAGGATAAGGCGCCGGCAACCTTAGTGATGTGCCTCATGAAGATAGCTTCAGGAAGCCCGCGTGCTTGCATGGAGCACTCCATCGCAACCATAGGATACTCCACCGTCAATTGAGACTCCAGAGCAGCCAGAGAGGGGAAGGCCTCCGGAATCGCATGCAGCGCATCAGCAACGGTCTTTGGAAGATTGTGCTCGGGTTTTTCAACGTAGCCTCCGCCCACAGAAACGTAGTCAGCGGCAATTACGGGCCCGTTCATCCCTCTCAGCTTCCCCACGAAGTCGATCGTCTTCATTTCATTCATTTTTATCAGAGGCTGAAGCTGCGTCACCGTAAACGACTGAGGAAAGTGAAGAGCCAGGTCGGGAACGGCCCCCTGGTTGATAGAGGGGCTCATCTTGAAAAGGACGGAATTAGTGCTAGGATCTGCATTCAGCAACGTCCCGTGCCAGTGGACGACCTTCTCCCTGTACTTCATGTTGAACGCGTCAAGGACGGCTTTCTGGGCCCTGATAGAACAGTGGGCGTACAGGTCTGCCCACGTGCACGTCGTACCATTGGGGCCTGTGAACCTTACACCAGGCACTGGCAACGCGAGGAAAGGCGGGGGTGCAAGCTTGGACGGCGACTGGCCCATTGGTTTTGAATTTAAAGGGGTTATTCGTAATTTTTTAATATCCTTTTAAATCGATGGCTCGTCATAAGAGCTTTGCCTGCCTGTGCTCATTCAGCCTCCAGCAGACCCTGAGAGAGAGCTGCTGAGTGCTGTGCATTATTCTCAACGGCTAGTGATCACATGCTGATCTTGAGCTTCCGAGCCTCACCGGGACGCGGTGTCCTGCCAACTTCTGGATTTAATCCGAGAGAGTTCGAACATTGATCAGCTTTAACGTAGGAAGGAAGAAGGAAATTTTATAACTCTGTGACAGTCCATTGCGCTCCAACATCATTACTTGTTGGTATCGAGAGCACTGCGCCTGTCACCCTCGCTGAAAGTGTCGAGAGATGGTGCCCCGTATCTATCCCATTGAAGAGTTGGAGGTCCGCCAGGACAGCGAAGATGATCCCATCAGGGCTGTGATCATATACCCGTCATTATGGCAACCATAGTGTAGATAAGACAACTGTCTGGGCCCCGCAACTCCCGGCGTAGGACGCCAGGAGGCTTGGCTGGGTCAGGCTAGTGAGGGCTACCCCTGTCATAACAGGCTTAGAAAATAGGGAGCGAGTGACGTACCTGGTGTCCACCAATGCACGCATGCAGCCTGGAAGCTGTGCTCAAAGCACCGAGGCCTGCAGGGGTGTGGCATCCGAACAGGCCCGACAGTTATGACTGCTTCTGAGAACAGCCAGCATGACTGGACGAGGACATGAAAGCTCATGGAGGCCCTCACAGTCTTGATGTCTGGGAGAACACGGGGACTGACCACTCCAAGATTGTCCATCTCATGAGCTGGCTTTCGATAGCAGGCATAACAAGGAAGTGACCCCCAGTCATACACAATCTCATGCGATTCCATCGCAGCCTAGAGCATCCTTATCTGGCCTGCCAGTCCATCCATGACGGTAGCAGATGTGTCAGCATTCCAGATCATCGGCCACCGCAGCTGCACAGTCGGGGTACTGCCTATGGTATTGCTCACTGATACTTTACATGGAGCCCTGTCCCTGTGGTAGTGACAGGTGAACTTCTCTGCAGATGCAGATCTAATGATATGGTTCCTCTTGGGCATTCTACTCCTACTTCTGTCTGGTCTCTCACCTCAATGCGAGTGGCCAGCGGCTGTTACTGGGTCTTGCAGCATAACTATTACACATTTGTGTGCTAATCAAGACTACCATATAGGGTCACACAAGCCGGGAGCTCTGTCAGGCAATTATCGGACTCGATATCAAGATGGCACGGGGACAACACTCCCAGTGGTCACCGGGGACATGAATCATCATACAAGCCGCATAGTGCACCAGAAGCAGCACAACGGTGAAGAGCATGCCTGGATGTAGATGGCGCCTACAGCAAGCGGCATGCTGTCGTTGTCGGTACAACGGGCATAGTGGCTACTGGACCCACGCTTTGGTAGCCTCGATTGGAGCAATTGTACAGCGAAGGAGCAGGGCGTAGGGACATGGGCACCAACCGGTCGAGCAGCGTGTACATGTATGAGCACGGTTATAAGTCTCGCCTACACTGTTGGGTGGTGCTCTGCCTCGATGTGGACTCAGCGGGTTGGCTCTTATATCAGTGGCAGATGGCAGAACACCACGCTGGTCATGTGGTGAGAGGTCTTCATGCGGTCTTCCAACTATTCTAAGTCACGCTGGAAAGCAGCTAGCCCTCCCGCACCACGTCTCCTCTCCAAATAGGACTGAAGGCGCCCAGGGCGCTCTTCTAGGGCCTTAGTATCATGGAGCCCGTGCCAGGCAGGAGAGTTCTATGTTGCATGGCGTGAGAGTCTCTAGGGGGTGTAAACACTTGCGTGGTTGTAGCAACGCATCTCCACCAGCAAGTGTCAGGGCACATCGGTGGACAGGTGCATATTAAGTCAGGCACTCTGTGTGCGGTTATGCATCACAGCTCTTATAACGGGCCACGGGCAGCCTGAGGATCTCTGCTTTATAGCAGCGTGGATGTGGGGTGGTGCGCCCAGAGCATCGCCAGATCGATAGCTTCAGCGCGGCATCCAACAAGGTGCAGCAGGGCATCGAGCCAGGTGAGCGTTGGACCAGATCCTGAGTGGGGGCTGGGACTCCTGTGCACGGCTGGGCTGCTCCCAGATAGAATAGGGTACAGAGTGAATTAGATGAGTGCGACGCTGTAAGGTATCCACAGTCGCATAAATGCATCCGGCGGGCCCACACTGGACTCTAAGAGGCACGCTGCCGGACAAGCCGAGGAGACTCGAGGGGTGGTGGCGCCGTCTTGTTATCTCTATGCAGTGCTCCGCAGGTATGTACTCAGGAGGTATCTCTTGATGGCTGGAGAGAGGACAGAGCTGGGCGATGGTGAGCATGCCCATCATGAGCAGCTCCAGGTGCTATCCGATCACTCCTTGGAAAGGCATATGCCTCAGCTAGGTTGCATCACATCCAGGGCAGAAGAGGAAGCTGTGCACTGTCTGACCCGCCATTCAGGGCCATGTGCGGATAAAAGGCAGACCAGTGACTGATGCTCTGTACTGCCTCCTCATCCGCTGCCTAAGCAGCCAGAAGCCAGGATCGATATGCAGATAGAGGCTATGAAAAGTGGACTAATCACGGGGCTGATTGTCTGATACCAAAAAATCCGGAACGACGATGGCAGCCGCTGTCTCCCTAAGATGATGTATTATGCGCGGTATCGACCTTGGTCTCCCAGGTGAGCAGGCTGGGGACACTCTGGCTGGCCCTGACTTCTGAGGCATTAAGATCTTAAGCAGCACAGAAGGAGACAACGGTATATACAGACGGTGCGTTGTCTTCATAAAGGTGCACTCCAACTTCCAAATGCATGCAGCTGCGCTGAGACAGGCGGTTCAGCTGGCTTACATTGGCACCCTGTCAGCCATCGTGCTTGCTGCGATCAGAGGCTGCGTCTGCTCGGCAGACTGAATAGAGATTACAGCGGCTTCCATGGTTATCCACGTTGCACGATGTCCAATGGTAGAGTAGCCACCGTCTGTCTGAGGTGTTTGCTATCGATAGGAGACAGCGCTTGGTTGCACCAGAGGTGCTTTTGTTTAAGTATAGAGTCTTTATGGCTGCTTCTCCACTGGCTATAATGATAACTGTATACTTAAAAAGGTCCTGCAGAGCAATCCACCGTCTTTCAAGATGAGACATGGGCCTGCATCTAAAGCTAAAAACGGAAACTCGTGCACCAAGTGCCATAAGCCTAGTGTACTGACTGGCCTGGATCACAGTCCATTTGTCAAGAACCTGTGCACACGTTTGGATGCTCCCTGCTAGTGGCAGACGGACCTACGAGGAGGCTTGTCTTTGGTAGCATTCGCTTTATAATATTTAGCCCTTGGTGACACACCTCAACGAAGAAGGGTGTTACTTAGGTGCACAGGAAGCTATCCGTGCACAGCGATTCTCAGAGAGCCGGCTCACACAGAGAAGGTAGAGGCCACCAGCAGACCAGTGAGATAAAACTGATGCTAGAGAGGCCAGCAATTAGCCTGAATTACAGCAGGGACACCTGTATTGCCTCTTTGACCTCTATGCCTGGAGAGGTCGTAGGGTCTGCAGACAAGCTAGATGCTGCTTTTTGATTTTATGCACTTACAGCAACGTAATATTATTAAGAGTTGCTTCGTTTGGAACCGAGGGCATTCACCTTCCCTTCGTATACGGGTGAGGATCGATTGTAGAGGTATACTGCGCAGGTTGGTATCAGTCGGCATGGTTGCTGTCCACATGTGTCTCACCTACGTCCTCCCACGGCAGACGGACACCAATGACGCTTCTTGGCCACATGACGTCCTACGATGTATCTCCACCTTCGATACAGGTTGCTACACATACTGCGTAGTTTGGATTGCTCATCAGCCAAGGTGATCTGATCAGCTCTTGTCCTCTGCCCGTCTATCTCGTGCAACCATTTATTGATGGTCTTTCCAGATCAACAGGTGCTTCCATCGGTCCCACAAAAGAATGTGTTATGCAGGCGGCCACTACAGGCCAGAGCCTTGTCTACCAAGAAAAAGGGTCAATCAGTTCACTGCGTGGGGGTCCTTTGTACGTCTTATGTAATCCAGCAGGTCTTGTGCTCCCCAACATCTTCACTCACAATCCGCTGTCTGGAGCCCGCGTGCATATCGTTACTACCAAACACTTAGCAGCTTCGACTGACCACCTAGGACGTCAAATCCCTTGCGCTGCACAGTGGGTATGCTCAGCGTGAGAGATACATAGTCAGCATCAGCCTTCTCAGCTCATCGTCTGGGTAATACTACTACTGTTTCTCATCCAATCAGCTAGCGCGAGGACCCAGCTCATGACCAGCAAACCGAGACAGGCTATTCCAGGAGGTCTTCAAGCACAGCAGTACCTTGTTAACGAGTAGTCAGCAGTAACCATGACACGTACTTCCACTAAGGCATGACCTCCTTGAGCGGGGGTGTGAAGTGGGTCCCTGTCATTTTGCGATCCTACTAATCTTTTAGCCAAGAGGGATCAGAACAGCTCAGATTAGCATTGATCACTTCTGGGTCTCCATCTATCTCCGTCGTCTGGGGTGTGCTTGACCCTGTAGACTGAGAAGGGCGCTATATTGTGCTCGTGCCTGCACGTCTCCGTCAGACAAGGCTACCCTCTTGGAGACTGCGCTAAGGTAGCCACACGTCCCGAGGAACTTGCAGAGAGCATCCCAGTCCAATAGAACTCCTTACCTATCGAATGCAAGTTGTAGTTGTGGCCTCATAAGTGCAGGATTTTTTAGAATAACCGGTCAACTACATAGTTTGCCTGCTCACCCAGACCCATCTGATGGAAGATGATATCAATCTCGTCAGTTGTCTACAACGTACACCAGTCAAATCTTATAGATGGACAGGGACCACCCAGCCCACAACACTAGACATTACCAGATATCTTTTAAGACAAGGAGGAGCGACTGGTAGACCACAGCAGTCGTCTGCTCATTGGAAACCTTCC